TCGTCCGTGTCTCCCTCTGTTATTGACCCATCGGTATCTCCCTAGCGATCCTTGAATCTTCTTCTGCTGATTCCGTCGCCTCTACTGAACTGGAAGATTCCTTCGCTGGATGTGCTCCCCCGTCTGAACCTCAAGTATTATCGTATAAGGAGTCTCTTGCTCACCTGACTGACAATATGAATCTTGCTGCAAATGAAGCTCAGAAGCTCCCAGACATTTCCACCAACACTTTTGATTACCAGGAATCTGATCGTGCAATTCCTCTTGTTGATCCTCCTTCTGAGAATCCCGCAAGTGTTCCTTCTGACGAGGACCATATCGATGCTTCCTCTGAACCTTATTTTCCGTCCACCTCTCTTCCGGATTGTGTTCCTGATGCGGTACCTTCCGTGGTTCCAGTGCTTAATCCCCTCCCACGCGTTTCTTCCCAACTATCACTATCATCTGTTGCAAGTGATACCGAGCTTTTAGGCCTTCTTCAAGATGATTCTCCTCCTGATGCTTCGGCCAATCAAGCGATTACAGATTTTTCGCTTGCTCTTGATCTTACTTCCGGCCCAGCCTTAGTCCGTACTATTTCTGAAGTGACTGATTTTGAAGGACCCATTCCAAAACGCGCTGACCATCACACGGCCTTGTTGGTCTCTGGTCAAGTGTTCAATGCCATTCATGCTGTTCATAGAGCTTATGTTACCACGTCGTCTGCTGGATACATACCCTCGACGATTCAAGAAGCTCTGGCTTGTTCCGACTCTGCCGCTTGGACTAGTGCCATCAACAAAGAACTTGATGCGCATAAAGAGAATCAAACCTGGACTATGACGTCTCTCCCTGCTGGGCGCAGAGCAATTGGATGTCGGTGGGTGTTTACTATCAAGGACAATACCACTCCACCCACTTACAAAGCCAGGCTTGTTGCTCAAGGTTTTCGTCAAGTACATGGTATTGACTATGGTGAAACCTTTAGTCCTGTTGTTAGGTATGAAAGCATTCGGGTGTTATTTGCGTTGGCGGCTCAGTTTGATCTCACCATTCATCAAATGGACGTAACCACCGCATTCCTGAACGGTGATTTGCATGAGGAGCTTTATATGCAGCCTCCCCCTGGATCTCCTGCTGCTGGTTCAAAAGTGTGCCATCTGAATAAAAGTCTTTATGGCTTGAAACAAGCACCCCTCTGCTGGAATGTTAAAATCAATCAGGTATTAATAGATTTTGGCTTTGTGCGGTCGATGTCTGAGTTTGGTGTTTACTCTTTGGTTATTGAGAAGTCGGTTACACTTGTTGCCTTATATGTTGACGATCTATTGATCCTCTCCAACTCTCTTCTTCAATTGATTCCGTCAAAGACGTTCTGTCTTCTCATTTCAAAATGAAGGATCTTGGTGCAGTTTCTCGGTTCTTAGGGATGCAAGTTTCCCAACGTCCTGGTGTGGTTTCCATGCATCTCGGTCAGTACTTAGCAGGATTCTTGGGTGATTTCAATATGTCTGACTGTAATACAGTTCAGACTCCCCTTGCTGCTGGGTCGTCCTTGGTCCCTGAGGGTAAGCCGCTGTCTGATGAAGATGCTTCCCTGTATCGCACCATGGTGGGGAAATTATTGTTTGCTGCGAATACAGTGAGGACCGATTTGTCATATGCGGCCTCGGCCCTGTCAAGGTTTATCAAAACCCCGTATGCAAATCATTATGCTGCTGCTAAACATGTTCTTCGGTACATAAAAGGTACTCTCGGTTTAGGATTAGTATTCAAGAAGACCACGAGTTTCAATTTAGTTGGTTACTGCGACTCCGATTGGGCTGGTGATAAGGTGGACAGAAAGTCGATTACCGGTTATGTTTACATGTTAGGAAATACTGCAATAACATGGAAATCCACGAAACAGCAGACGGTGGCGCTATCATCTACTGAGGCAGAGTATATGGCACTGGGTGACGCAGTTAAAGAATTACTATGGTTAACACAACTGTTGAAACACATTGGACTTAAAATGAACAAAGTCCCCTGCATCTTTGAAGACAACGAAGGGTGCAGGATGTTATCAACGCATCCGGTCCATCACCAGAGAACCAAACACATTGATATTAAACATCATTTTGTTAGACATCATATTTCAGAAGGAAACTGTGAAATAGTTTCAATCAACACTGAAAATATGGTTGCGGATATGTTGACTAAAAGTTTAGCCAAGATTAAATTCAATAAGTTTGTTGGTCTAGCTGGAATGTCGAACATATCTACAAGTGTTTAGATTATGGTGGGGTGTTGAGATAAGATGCCGAAGCCAATCATGATCGAGTGATAAGAGATAAGAGTCTTATCATGATAAGGCATCTTAAGTAATCTAAAACTGGAAAGTTAGCCGCCATGATAAATGAATAATGGCAAGTTTAACCGAAGGTGTAAGTGTATAAATACAAGAGGTTTGTCCCTTGTATTTATGTTTGAGAATATTAGTTTGTAGGCTAGTTATATTAGTTATAAATTAATAAGCAACAAACATAAGAAAAAGTGAACATATACAATGGATATTCATAATAGAATAGCTAGATTACAACAGATCTCTCATATCTTATCTATTGTCTGTCTAGACAGCTTATTTCAACATACCCAGTATTGCTTGTATCTACATCCTCATTTGCTTGAGCATCTTATCTCAACAGAAATCAATTAGTGTTGTGCAGGGAATAAGTACATACCAAATGTGAAGCTGATAAAATTGGCAACCCTTCGGAAATATATTTTGAGCTTAAGTTGTTACGCGCTAAATTTAGTAGCATCAGATATAGTTAAAAAAATTTGTTTTCAAATATGACTGGATGGCCAAGTTGGTTAAGGCGTGCGACTGTTAATCGCAAGATCGTGAGTTCAACCCTCACTCCGGTCGGTTCTTTTTCAAGTTTTTTTTCTTGAACTAAAACGTTAAAAAAACACTTCTAGACGATGGTAAACGGGTACAAAATATCAGTAAGGAACAAAAGTAGGAAACAAACAGTAATAAAAGGAAAGGAAATGAACGTACTACCTAAGATACAATAACGACTCAACCAAAAATGACTTTAAAGGTAGCGATTTCAAATGCTCTCAATTTGAAGGTGAATTCGCCGGAAGAAGAAATTTCGTATTCTTCCTTTTCTTCTTCCAACAAATTAGTTTTAAAAATCTTCGTGACTGGTGCATTAAGTTTGATTGTGGCTTTGCTGATACCACCTAATGATTCGTAAACTCTCACTACAACCGTTTGAGAACCGACATACTTCTTTGGCAAGTTGTCCATCAAACCACCATCGTAATCCACATCAGCATCATCTTCTCCACGCTTGACGTTAGAAAGAATAATTCCTTCATCACCAGTGATAGTCAAGAAATCTTCAACGGTCTTCAAAGAATCTTTTTTGTCTGTTGCCACATATAGTTCAGATGGCATACGTTCGTTGAGTTCCCATCCTGCACGGACAGTTGTTGCACCAAGTGGCCCTGAATGTGGAACAATAGAATACTCGAAGCTGTGATCACCTATATCTGCCTTTTCATCTGGATACTTCGGAGCGCGGAGAAGTGAAAGCGTCATTATGTTACCATGAACAGAACCACCATACTTGTTGTTATTGACGATAGACACACCGTAATTGTAGTCAGAGAAATCCACAAATTTATGCATACAGCATTCGAACTTGGCAACGTCCCACGAAGTGTTGAAATGTGTTGGTCTCTTGGTGATACCAAACTGGGTCTCATAACTGGCAGTCTCGGATGAAATGTTGACAGGGAATTGGACCTTTAAAAATTGGTAATTTTCATTCCACGATACGTTACATTTGAACTTGACTGACGAAGTTTCTGAAAGATCGTTGAGACCATCCAAAGAAATGATGGTAGTGATCTTACTGCTTGACGATAATTCATGCTCGACTTCCAAGGCACTCACCAAAGGACCGTTGTACTTGATTGAACACTTGGTAGACTTGGAAACATATTTGAACTTGTTTAAAGAATAGAGTTCAGTATCCCAAGCTGGAAAGTTTAATGGAGTGTCTGAAAACATAACATACTGGTTTCCACCCTTCATTGTGGTGCCATCAATAACTTCACGTTTGTTAACAATGTCGTACAATTTCAAAATCACACCGTCTGAGTCGAGCACGACCTTCAACTTTGAGTTTTCCATCACAAACAATCCGCTATCATTTTTGATAATCGAAGACGGATATTTGATTTTGGAGGCCAGAGGTTTCATCACGGTGCAACCGGTCATGACCACCAAGTTTTTGTTATTGTCCACTTTTTGTGCAATAGAGAGTAAGTAGTTAGGTAAATTATCGACGATTTCAATTGAAGACTTTTTCCATGGGAGAGAGCTCAACTTCACCAAATGTTTATGGGTGTCATCCTTGGTAGTGGATAATCCTAGTTGAGCGAGAGCAGCTTCCAACAACTTTGTTTCCTTGGAAACAACATCAGCCAACATAGGCCAAACGTCTTCACCGTAAACTTTGTTTATACAACTTCCTGGTAAGACGTCGTGGAACTGACAAAGACAGATGTTTTCCCAGAGAGCTTCAATCTTAGCAAGAGGGTACTTGAACTTTTTCTTCAAGACTGAGGCTATCGTGGAGAAAAGTTCAACGTTGTGCATCAACAACTCGACTGTTCTCATATAGTTTTTGACTTTAGCCTGGGTGGTGTAAGTACCTCTATGGTACTCCAAATACAATTCTCCTCTCCACGATGGCAACTTCTTACCATTGTCAGTATCCTTAGAGAGGTCATTGTAGAAATCGCTGACGGTGCAACCGAGCTCCACCTGGGAGAAATCACCGCCAGCAGTGTTTGCATAACCACGGCATCTCCTCAACTTCTCCACCATGTCTGGAGTTGGGCCACCACCTCCATCACCTTTACCATAAAGCAACATACCTTTCTGGTCGTCGTACAAATTCTTGTGATTGATGACGCTTCTTTTCACATCACCAAAATTTGCATCTGCAGTGTAGGTGTTGTCGGGTGGCATGTGAACCAACACCTGGGAAAGGTCGATACCCACCCAGTTGAACGAGTTTTCGGGGAAGACGTTGATGTTGTTCCAGGACAACTTTTGAGTCAAAAACTTTGGAATCTCACACAATCTGCAAATCTGAGGGATTTGGGACGAGTAGCCGAAGGAGTCAGGTAACCAGAAAATGTCCGACTTGGCACCGAACAAATTCTCGAAATATCTCTGTCCCAGTAGGAACTGTCTCACCAAACCTTCACCGCTTGGGAGATTAGTGTCGTTTTCCACCCACGACCCACCTAGAGGGATAAAGCGGCCCTCGGAAGCAGCCTGTCTCACCTTTTTGTATAAGTCAGGGTAGTATTGGACCAACCACTTAAAGTGCTGTGCGGCCGACGCCACAAAAACGTATTCAGGATACTTTTCGATCAATCTTAACTGAGTGGACCAACTTCTGGCGATCTTTGTTTTGGAGGTGGCAAAGTCCCATAACCATGCGGTATCGATGTGGCAGTTACCAATGGCATAAACGGCGTTGAACTTGTTCATCTTTTTTTCTTTGAAAACCTCGGCGGAGTCGACGTTATTGCCCAAAAACTCCTTGGCGATCTCTCGGCAGGCCACCACAGTGGTGATATCGTTAGGGTCAAATACGTCCATAATGCGGTTACACACTTCCCTCGCCTTGTGCTTCTGCGGAGGCCCATCTTCTCTTGCTGCATCGCTTAAAACCAAAAAATCAAAGTAGAGTGCCTTTGCCTGGTAGTTGTACTGGATGATTTCAACCGCTGTCACACCGTAGGAGTCGCCACCTCCGCCAAAAATCGAGTTGCAGCCACATTCGATGTAGAATACGGCCTCAAGCTTTTCCGGGTCGCCGGACTTTGCTTTGGAGAACCATTCCAACGGAAGTTCACACTCGTTTCTTTCTCCGTTACCTGTCAGACCCTGCAACGGACACCCGTCTGTGCCAAAGACGAGGGCCTCGCAGCCGGCGTCAAACAGAAAGGTGAGAACCTCACTGTTCTCTTTGCCTTTGCCCGTGGAAATATCGTCGTACCAGGCCTTGCTGATTCTCACCCTGACCTCGAACCAATGGGAACTCCACTTTGGGGACATGGTGATGCCCTCACCGGCGGGACACGTCTTGAACTCACCAAGTTTCGACGGAATGATGTCCTTGAACAAAGGCTTGGACAAGCCCGGAGCAGCCCATTTCTTCAACCAAATGCCCGAGTCGGACGTCTCAGAAGGGCTGGAGACATTGGACAGCGTCAGTCTCTCTCTGTTGTAGAACTTAGGAAGGTTTAAGTCTCGGTATTGGCCCTTATCGATGAACTGACGGAGCCGGTTTTCGTAAATGGAGTCTACAGTCTTGAAGGTCGGGTGGTCATTTAATTGCGGATATTGGCTGGTAGCAGCCGCTGCTGCAGTACAGCCGCCCTTGGAGTGGGAGTGGGCAGTTGCCATTGTCGCTGTGGAGTTGCTATGGGTGCCAATTGACCTCTACAACAACCACCCAGTTAAAGAGAAACTACGGTAGACCACAAGAAGAGAAGGAGGCACAACACCGAAGTAAACTGGAAGCGTGGCCAGTACCCGAGCAGCAGAGCACAGGGAGACAGGACAGCCAGAACCGACCGATAAGTTCCTCGGCGTGCCTGCTCGCCTGCCCAGCCGTCAGCATGACGTTGCGCCCGCAAAAAATATACCGGCGGCCCCGGGGCGTCTAGACCGATGGCGATTCGCGATTCCGAGCGGGGCCCCGCGGTGGAAAGATGAAGGTGGAGTCGTGAAATGACATGAAATTGGAGTTTATAACTCAGTCACTAGAAACAATCCGGACGTCGGAGCGTGGTCGTTGAACGAGACACGATGCTGCCGCACGTTGTAGAGAGATCGGTTGACTGTTTTCTATACACAAAGAGCCGTGGTGGATGGTATCAATCAAAATACAAAAAATTTTCCCCAAAACAAACAAAAGTAACAAAAATAAGATGAAATTTTAATTCAGAAAATCTATGGCGAAGATGCCACAAAGATTTGTGAAACGGAAGAAGGAACAAGCAAACAAAAGAAAAAGAAAGAAAGAAAGAAGCCAAAAGGGTCTGAATTAGCAAAGCCGAGTTGATGATTGTTGACTGAGTGACCGACCGACCAATCGAGCGCCTTACTCACTCACTGGCATTGGCAACTGCTCAATAGAAAATGACGTTGGCCGAACCAGAGGTGACAGTGACGGTACACCCGTCAGCAGAGGAGAATGATCCGTTTTCGTAGTAACAATCACCGTTGATACTGGAGCCCTCAGTGGCTTCGATCTTGATGTTGTAGTTTGCGCCGTTACCGTTATTTGGGTTTGGAATCAAGGACAAGTAGGTCAAGCCGCCAGTGGAACCGGCACCAATGACAATTGGGGCGTAGTTACCGACACCAGCAGAGGAAGTACCCCAGACACAACCGTCTTCAACACTGACACCAGCGTTGTTGACGTAGTATTGGGAGGAGGTCTTCTTACCACCCCACTTGAAGTAGGAATCTTCGTCGACAACGGACAAAGGCTGGGTGGCTCCACCTTGCAATTCGGTTGGGACAACCATGTTTTCGGAACCCGGGTAGTCTGTTCTACAGAGAGCAACAGAGTCGGAGAGTTCGGACTTGACGTAACCGGTGGAGTGGTCAGCTTGACACAAGGAGTCTGCGTCGGAGTTGGACTTGTAAAGGAAACCGCCTTTACATAGCAAACCACCGACGGTTCTACCATCGGAGGGCTGGTTGGAAGGCCACTGGGTCTTGGACATACCTGGTTCACAGGCGTAGGAGCAGTAGAAGCCCTCTGAACAAGAGTTGGAGGTGGAGCCGTCCAAGCCCATGACAGAGGCCCAACCACCAAGACCGATCCAGTCGACAGAAACAATACCGTCGACAGATGGGAACTGCGAGCATGGGATGGTACCGTCCTCAAAGGATCCACTAGAGGACCCGGAGGAGGATGGCGCTGGACCGGAGGCAGAAGTGCTTGGGGCGGCGTACTCGTCTCTCTTGTGCATGTGGTGCTGGTGGTTCACAGCAACAGGAGCAGCGCTGGCGAGGGCGGATAGAGCCAAAAGGGATAAACTTTGGGAGAACTTCATTTCGTTTAAGACGTGCTAAGTAAAGGAATGAATGGCAAACTCTGGGATGTAAAGTAGAAACTTTTTTGTAGTTTTTTTCGGAAAGTGAAACTTTTCGAATAAGGATAGTCGGGGACTTAGGGTAGTGAGACCTAGTTTTCAGTTATTAGAAGGAATGTAAAATAGTTGGTTGATTTTTCTTGTGATTTTCGCTTGGATCAAGGAAAAAAGTCAGAAAAATATTTTATTTTAGAAAGAATGTGTTCGAGTTGGTCTGTCTTACGAAGATACGAAAAGGAAGGAAGGAAAGAAAAGAGAAGGGATCAACAAAGGCAAGAGAGAAAAGAGGCAGGAAAAGATAAAGCAGGGAGGGGCAGGAGAGGATCCGGACAGATCAGGCGCCCACAACTCCATGGATCCAGTATCGCAGCTCAGGACTGCCGGAATAGGCACTGTATTTATATCTGACCGGGTGCCTCCAGGAGTCAAATTGTGTTTGTATACACTTTGTGTCAGAATCGGGAAGAAGTGCGGCGAGTGAAAAAAAAAATGGTGCAAAAGGGAAAGCGACAGGTCTCGTAGGCACGGAGGGGAAAACAAGCGGCGCGCACAGCGGTTGGCCGGTCTAGACCTCTGCCGCTTGCAGCAGTCTTATTAGCTACAGCAGGGATGAGGGCGGCGTCATCCGGGGGTCCGTGTGCTTGCGCCCGGGCGAGGCGAGGCGGGCGGGGAGCGCCGGCTTTGGCCCTGGCCCTGGAAGGAGGTGCCGGTGCTTCACGTCTGTTTCAGAAGAAGGGGCAACGGCGAGCAGGGGGCGAGGGGAAAAGGGGCAACGCCGATTGCTCACATTCACGTGTCGAGAGACATCTCGCATGTGGTTGGTGGGTTGCTGGCAGGACCACTTCTCGCTTCTCGCCCGTGGCAAGTCACTGCGTCCGAGACTCTAATAAACCTTGCTGCAGCAGGGCACTAGACTTTGACTCGTTTGCGCCATCAATAGGCGGACGGCCACTCGACTGGGCCGCAGCTCGATCCCGATCTCCACCCGTCGAGTGATCGGGTGAAAAAGCAACGTGGGAAGACTATTGCATCATGCGGAGGGTCCCAGCAGGAGGCAAATCTGTTTACCCAAAGCAGCAGTTTTCCCTATTCGGGTAAGTTACGCACGTCGGAGGTCGGCATTGACGACGCCCGGGTATGCGCGGGCGGCTAACGCATGCAAATCCCTGCGGGTGCGCACGCGAAAAAAGAAAAAGTACACACAATTACACTGCCTAAACGGTCGAGTCCGGCTACCACACTACAGGAAAAAAGACAAGGCCGCAGCTGGCTGGGGGAGGGCAAAAACCGAGCCGTGCAGCGCATGCGCCGCCTGCCGACCGTTGGCGCCGGGCCTGGGTCGAGAACGGGGCCTCTGACAGACCTCGTCTCAGCTCGGGGTCTCCGGGGGCGTCGATCTGCCAATAGGACGCACTGTGCTGCTCCTTCCGGTAGGCCGGCTCGTCTCCAGCTTCAGCAAACGAGGCTTTGGCGGCGCCGCGTTGCGTTTAGTTAGCCGGGACTAGTGTGCTTAGTCTTTCTCGGCTTGCCACAGGAGCACCCTGCGGACGTCATACGGACAATGGTCTCGGCGGCCCAGCGCCGCCGCTCTACCCCCGGCCGAAGATCAACATTCACCACACCTATCGTCTCCTTCGCGTAGTCGAGACGAGCGGCTGTTGTCTCTCTGGTCACTCGCTGTCTTGCCTGCAAAGGGGGGAGCGTCGATGGCGAGACACTCTTGTGACACCCGACAAACCGGCGCTCGTCTCTGCAGGTCCAGCCCATTTCTCCTGCTCTGCCCCCTGACTCCTTTGCCTCTATTACAGGGGACAACGGCCAGACGGCCGCGGGGCGACAATGTTATTTCCCTTCTGCCCCGTCTTTATTTCCGGACAGGCGTACAGGCAGCATGCAGCACAGGACCCAATAGCAGAGGGCTCGTTCAACGCAGCCCCGCTTTCCGGTCTCGCAAACCGCACTAGTCGATTGGTCGCCCCACCTGACTCGTGCTCCGACATGTGGGGTAGCAGGAACCACGGCAGCCCTGCGGTGGAAGGTGACCAATCTGATACAGGCCCCAACTGGCATGCAAACATCCTCGTACAGACCAGCGCAAGTGCGCTTTTAGTCCCATTTCGGGGCTCGTCGCACAACGTGATCCCAGCTTTGGCACGCTTGTCTGCTCACCACTTCTCTTTTCATCGTTGATGACACTGTATACACAGGTTCTGGCTCGAGATTGAACTAGCACCAACCAGAACACACGCTAATGCGTGTGCTCGCGGTAATCGCTTCCTGGAGGCATTCGCTGTATTCTGCGGTGCCGAATCCATCTGTAGAAGTAACGCACCACGTCCGGGCCTAGTAGCTGATGGAAACCTAGCGATTCCGCACGAGTGTGCATTCCACTTCGTCTGTGATATCGGACTTGTGCTAATCGTGTGGCATCTCCGTCTTGGTGTCTTTTCGTGCACATTTTTTTCTGACGTGTTCCACTGTTTACAAAATGAGCGTCTCTGACCTTATCGGTCCGGGTGCGCTGGTCATGCTGAGCAGCAGCAGGTAGAATGTCTGAACTTGAGCATTGCCGGGCGCCGAGAATCAAGTTTCGGGGCTAGCAAGGCTCCCCGAACCGCACAGTGAATGGCCCAACTCAGCCCGCGATAGCGTAGTCATCCAAAAAGGGTAATTGCAATGTGATTGCGATTGCACTGGCAGGCCGTGCTTTCTGACTGAGCATCAACTGAGCATTGTCAAACGCTTTGCACCATCGAGTTCAAGCAGTACAGTGGGAAACGACACTGGACTGGAATACAGCCGAACCAAGCCCTAGTCCCTCAGCGCAGAGGATCGACGCAAGAACAGGGCCGCCCCCCTCCCCACACAGATACATGGATTTTTTGAGAAGGAAACAAAGCAACAACAACACAAAACCAAGTTCCAACATGAACTCCATCGCCACCTCGCCCTCCCCATCCCCGTCACCTTCCCCCTCAGCAATAAGCACGAAAAACACCCTATCCAAGATCGCAGATATGCCCGTACACTGCGACCCGCAAACATCGATTCTCTCCGCCGCCCTTCTCATGAAGGAGAAAAGAACACACTGTTTGCTTATCATAGACGAGATGTCGGGGAAACTGATTGGCTTGAGTACAACCAAGGACTTGGCTTTCAGGGCAGTGGCCAAGAACCTCGATCTGAGTACACCGATATCTACTATCATGACGAAAAATCCCTACTATGTATCTCAAGCAACAACCCCCAACGAAGCTTTGAAGTTGATGGTCAACAAGAAGATTAGGCACCTGCCAATCGTGAACGAAAACGAGTTGGTCATCGGTATTTTGAACATCACTACGTGTTTTTACAACGCCATGATAAGATTGGAGAGAATGTCAGAAAAATCCAAAGAGCTAGAGTGTACTTTCAATGATTTGAATAACGAACTGAACTCGTCATTGAAAAACACGCCATCGAACGTATTGAGCAACAACAACAGCAACGCTGTGGCATCGTCTAGGCCAAACATCCCTTCCATAACAATAAAAGACCAATCCCACAACTTAATCAGAGGCCACCATTATTCGAATCATCTGGATATTCTAGCCCTGAACGAAGGCCTCTTAGACTTGAACATTTCTAGAAGAAAGAAAAAAATCATCAACGATTTGAGATCATTAATCTCGATAATGAAACAACCGGATTTAGAATCACTACTAGATGATAACGAGTTGAATGCCAGAAAACCGTTTTATATTGATGCGAAAACATCCATATGGGATGCATCTCAACTGCTACTAGAAAACAACTTAACCGCTGCTCTTATTGTGCAGAATAACAATAATGTTGATTTTGTCGAAAACATTATTGGAATCCTAACCACTAAAGATCTTGTGTATCGTGTCCTTGCTTGTGAAATTGATTCAAAAGTCTCAAAAGTGGCCAGAGTCATGACATCAAAACCCGAGTTTGCAAATGATTCCATGGCAATTCATAACGCTTTAAGATTGATGTATGAAGGGAAGTATTTGAATCTACCGATCAAAAACTCGCAAAACGAAGTGACTGGCTTGGTGAATGTTTTGGATCTCACGTACGCTTTGCTCAAAACCTTGAGCAACTCTTCCCTGAATGATGATGTCGAAAACTATGATATTAGTATGGGTAGTCTAGCAAATTCAAATGACCATTCTAGTAAATCCACAGAAAATAATGTACCCGCATGGAATAAATTCTGGGACTCTTTGGATAGACCTCTCAATCAGGTATCTACAACTACAAAACGCTCATACTCTTCTATCGACAAAAAGGTCCTTAGCCAGAGGTCTGCCTCCTTTGTGAGTATTGCATCCGAACCAGCCAAGCCCGTCTCGCCTGTAAACACCTATGTTGAAATCAAAATTGACGATGATTCAAAGCTCATTTCGTCATCAAAAGAGTTGGATATTCGGTCACTAGGTTCCATTACAAACGATTCACCACAGGATAAGATCTTACTGAAAGTTAGGATTCAAGAAGACCATCGTTTAAATTTGGGTTTAAATGACAAGATTTATAGATTTGAATATTTGAGTGACAGCAAAGAAGTCAACAATATCTTGGATTCAATCACATCAAAAATTCAGCATAAAATAGTGGAGATAGAAAGTACTGCTTTGACCTTCCATTTAGGATATTTAGACGAAGATAATGATTTCATTACAATTGACTCGACAGACGATTTGAAAGTTGCCTTGTCTCACAATAAAAAACGCCATCTGAATCTGATTCTTAGGATCAAACAAAAAACAAAGGAACTCAAAAAATATCTTTCGAGCCCACTTCCATCATCAAATGATGATGATGATCAGAATAATGGTAAAAAGGCTTCAACTTATTTACTTCTGGGTGGATTAGGAATTTTCATTTTAGTCTTTACAAGATTCATATTCATTAGTAAAAGATACCACAGGTTGTAAGACAACAAACCATATTTTTATTACAATCCAAACTGAGACTCAGTGGATGCCAACGGCATAGAATATGCAGCCATATCATTTGTGTTATCCTTCTGTCATTCCAGTCTTCACTTAATTTCCTTCGCCCCCCTTGTTTGATACATACCCTTATACACACATTGCTTTAATAAGCGACGCGTCGATTTTTTTAAATTTGGTGCGACTTCTTGAGAGCTTTCTCGTTCTTTTCTTGAGAAGTCCTTTAGTGAGAAAAAATTTCATCGTCTCAAAGCACCATGTTTTGCCCTCCTGCTTTGTGCCTTTACATTTATATATGACTTTGTCTATAGTGTTTTACCATACTAATTACCATACTACAACTACATAGAAACAATATGGGTGTACAAGACTTCAATCCAGACAGTGAGTTCGGAGTTCAATTGAAACAACAGATATCCAACAGATTAGCCTCATTGAATACGGAAGATCCTTCTTATGTGGCCGAATTCTTATTGGTTCTCATTTCAAACAATCGTACTCCTGCTGAAATTGTTGAGGAATTCACAGGATTATTTGGTGCTATAATCGATCAAAAGTTTGTTGTGGATGTCATTAATGAGATACTGATCCATCAAGGAAAGTTGCAGCCACAACAAGAACCAACACCACAGCAAAGTCAACAACAGCCTCCACAACAACAGCAACAACAAGCTACTTCTGCATTTTCTTCAGCAAACGTAACTCCTCAACCACCAAAATCTGCTTTTGGAACACCAAGTACGCAACAGCAACAACAGCAACAGCAACAGCAACAACCACAATCCCAGCAAATACAGCAATTGCCGCAGGCACCATTCAACATACCCACTGCTCCTCAAGCGCAAATACAGAATTCTATGCAATTTGATGATAGTAGTATGCTAGTTGATGGTGCAGAAAACAAGGAGGTCAGATTTTCCGATGCGACGCAAAACTCATTCAGGCCAAACAATTTCAATGACAACAACGTTAATAGATTTAACTTTACCAAGAGTACTAGAGGCTCAACTAATTTCAAGTCTGGTAGAGGTGGACGGGGCGCCAGAGGTGCCAGACCACTTAATGGGAGAAGACAGGACACCATGTCCAAGATGGTTGAGATGTCACTTGATAACAACAATGAGATGACAACTAACTTTGTTAGTAGCAGACCTACAGAAAGATGTAGAGATTTTCCACATTGTTCAAACAAATTTTGTCCAAATGCTCACCCAACTAAGGTTTGCCGTGATTTCCCAAATTGTCCTCATCATAACCAAACCTGTACTTACTTGCATCCAGGGGAGGATGATGAATTATTCAAAGAGTATGAAAGAGTTAGAGAAGCCAAATTTCAGCAAAGAAACACTAAAGTGGTGAATACTGGTATAACGTTGTGTAAATTTGGATCTGTTTGTCAAAAAGAATTATGTCCTTTTGGTCATCCAACCCCAGCCAACAAGGATGCTAAGGTGACAATTTTACAATGGTGTGTCGACAACAAAGAGTGTAAGAATCCAAATTGTTCCAGAGCACATTCATCTCCTAACTTCGAGCCTCAAGTTGCCCAGTTCAATGGTGGCCAATCTGGCGTCGCCGCAGCTAACGTTGGTGCGCCGGAAAAGACATTAGAACAATGCAAATTCGGTTCATACTGTAAGAATTTCAGGTGCCCAAAGAGACATGCGACATCTCCGGTTCTATGCAGAGCTGGTGCCAGCTGCACAAGAATTGACTGCTACTTTCAACATCCGATTAATGAGACTTGCAGGTTTGGTGTGAATTGTACCAATGTCAACTGTGCGTTCCAACATCCAGAAGGTAGACAGATTTCACAAGCTGGCGCCACACCAGGTGGTAACAAGGTGTGGGTTAATGGACAAAACCAAGATAGTGGTTCTACATCCCAGCGCCAATTTGCTGTTTCAGAGGACCAAGTTTTGGAGCAAGCACCACCACAAGAAGCTTGATGATTAAAGCTTCTTTCTCATCTTATTATTTTTTATGTAGTTTAATAACTGGTTTTAAAAACAACCAGTTTGTTTTTTGTTTTTACTTTTGTCTTTATCATACATTACTTTACTTTGTGTAACTTTTTTTTTTTGATTTTTTTTTGACTTTTTTTCTTTTTTCTTTTCTTTCAGTTCATACTGTGTGTATTTGTGATAAATATAATACTTCTGTGATTGAAATAATACCTGTCAGCAGAAAGAAACTAAGAAGTTGGAGACTTGATAAGTTTTGATTAGGTATATAAAATTAAGTAGTTTAAAATTATACAGGGTTAACTAGACTTATTTCTTACCGTAGGAGTCGGCGTAAAGGTCCAATGGAGAAGCTTGGACAGCATGTTCCTTCCATAAGTTTGGAGTCAAGAAACCGTAGGTGTTACCGATGGCAGCGAAAGCAGCCTTCAAGGTGTTTTCAGCAGTTCTGGTGGAACCGGAAGAAGTGGTGTAGATATCTTCAAGACCTGCGAATTGCATCATTTGCTTGACGGTTGGGGAAGCAACAATACCGGAACCTCTTGGAGCTGGGATCAATCTGACGTTGACGGAACCACACTTACCAGAGGTCTTGTTGGCGATGGTGTGAGGAGCACCCAAGTTGGAGCCCCAGTAACCTCTTCTGACAGGGATGATGGACAACTTGGCGATGATGATGGCACCTCTGATGGCGTTGGCCAATTCCTTGGCAGCCTTGACACCCAAACCAACGTGACCGTTGTTGTCACCAAGGACCATGACGACCTTCATTCTGGTTCTTTGACCAGCTCTGGTTTGCTTTTGAACAGAGATGACGGCCATGACCTTTTCTTGCAAGTTTGGCAACAAGTGGTCGACGATTTGGTACTCCTTGATTGGCAAGGAGTGGGTGTAGATTTGCTCGATCGAGGTCACCTTACCGGCGGACACAAGTCTACCTAACTTGGTGACAGGAACCCATGCCTTTTCTTCGGTTTGTCTGTTGTTTCTTCTTGGAGGACCCCTTCTTTGAGGTCTGTTGTTTTGTGGAGCAGCACCGGACATTGTGAGTTTTCTTGGTTAGTTCTGATTCGTCGGGATATTACGTGGAAATCCGGGGGTGGTGGGTTTCAGTCGACGTATATGGGAATAAGATCTGCAGAAGGAAGCAAAAGTAGCAGGGATGGGAGCACAGGGAGCTCCGGCGACACCCACCATAGACGAAATGGTGTAGATTTCTTCACCACGGTCCTGTGGTGAGCACAAACCGGCTGGCTGGCTGGCTGGCTGGCTGGCCGGTGTGTCGAGGAGAGCCTGAAAATTTTCGCGAGTCCAGGGCCAAGAGGGTTACAGAACTCCTCATCAAACCCTGGACACAAGCACGTGCTCCCGATTCCATTTTCCGCCGAGATTCTTACTCTTTTTCTGACTCCGGCAGCGGTGACTCCGGCCGCCGTACCCCCTCTTTGAACAGAGTCTGCCGGGGCAAGGCGCTGACAGGCCGTTGGCTGACTCGGTCCCCCGGGGCATCTTCTTCACCGTCTCTGCTGGGCTGAACTCCGAGTTCTGCCCCCTCTTGAGTACATCACACTGTCGATATGCCTCTGGGTGTCCAGTGAGGCAGCTCGAGAGAGCCAACCGGTTGTAGAGCCGGGGAGACACATGGAGTCCTGCCAAAGACCGCCGCCCCCGACAGCTGCTCGCAATCGCACGTGACGTGGCGGCACCGCTATTACTCATTTCCCGGCACTCTCGCCGGCGCATGACTGATTGATAGCGGGTGAGGACCATTGTCGCTCGTGTAAAGGCCAATTTTTCAGCACTCACGGAGATTCTGCAGTGGTGTCCTGGCTGACTTGGGCACGTTGCGTGCTGCGTTGTGGGGGGCCTGTAGTACTTAAAACACACCCACATCTCCCCTTCTGCGCCCCGTACCGTGTCGCTTTCGCTTACAAGTCGTCGCAGCCCAAAAGAAGAGTGACAGAGCGCATCGCATCGCATTCAGCATCCAACAGAGACCGAAATACGTCATAATGTCCATTCCACAGCCTATCTCCAACTTGACACAGGCGTTCGAAAGAACGGGCCTGTCACCAAAGAACAACAACACGGTTTCCACCTCTCCAACCGCGTCGTACTTCGAGCAGCACAGACTCGCGGGCGGCAGACGTGCCAAGACCTTGAAGCCTTTCTCCACGGGTGATGTGAAGATCTTGCTTCTGGAAAACGTCAACCAGACCGCGTTGGACATCTTTGGCCAGCAGGGCTACCAGGTCGAGTTCCTCAAGACCTCTCTTCCGGAGGAGGAGTTGATCGAGAAGATCAAAGACGTCCACGCCATCGGTATCAGATCGAAGACGAGATTGACCGCCAACGTTCTCAAGCACGCCAAGAACCTAGTCGTCATCGGCTGTTTCTGTATCGGAACCAACCAGGTCGACTTGGAGTACGCAGCCAAGAACGGTATCGCGGTGTTCAACTCACCTTTCTCGAACTCGAGATCCGTCGCAGAGTTGACCATCGCCGAGATCATCGCCTTGTCCAGAGAGTTGGGCGACAGAAACATGGAGTTGCACAACGGCACCTGGAACAAGAAGTCCGCCAGATGCTGGGAAGTCAGAGGCAAGACCTTGGGTATCGTCGGTTATGGCCACATCGGTTCCCAGTTGTCCGTCTTGGCCGAGTCTTTGGGTATGAATGTGCTCTACTACGACACTCTCATGATTATGTCCTTGGGTAACTCCAAGCAGGTCGGCTCGCTCCAAGAGTTACTGAATAGCTCTGACTTTGTCACTCTCCACGTCCCAGAGACCGCTGAAACCAAGCAAATGATTTCCACCCCTCAGTTGGCCGAGATGAGGGACGGCGCCTACTTGATCAACAACTCCAGAGGTACCGTCGTCGATCTTCCTGCCCTCATCGAGGCCCTCAGAATCGGCAAGCTTGCAGGTGCGTGTATCGACGTGTATCCAAAGGAGCCAAGAGCCAACGGCCCTTACTTCAATGGCCACGAGCTTCTCCCATTCATCGACGAACTGAAGACTCTGAAAAACGTCATTTTGACTCCTCACATAGGTGGTTCCACTGAAGAGGCCCAATCTGCCATTGGTATCGAGGTCGGCACAGTCTTAACCAAGTACTTGAACGAGGGTGCCTCCATTGGCGCTGTCAACTTCCCAGAAGTTTCCTTGAGAGCTTTGGACCTTGACCAAGAAAACGCCTGCAGAATATTGTATATCCATCAAAACGTTCCAGGTGTTTTGAAAACCGTCAACCAGATCTTGTCCGACTACAACATCGAAAAGCAGTTCTCAGACTCCAGAGGTGACATCGCCTACTTGATGGCAGACGTCTCTGGTGTCAATTCAGACGACATCAAGAACTTGTCTGCCGAGTTAGAAGCAACCGCTTTTAACATTTCCACAAGATTACTATACTGATTGCTCCGACCGCGTTTTCCAGCAATACAATATTCAACTATCCTATCCAAGCCCGTTCTATATAAAATAACCACTACAGCGGCAGCTGTTGCAGCCACAGTTGCAGATTACAGACTACATACACCCACATGTACTATGATTTTTTTATGCTTTTCTGAAACTTTTCAACTTTATTTCTCTCTAGTTTTTGAACTCCCTTTTTTTCTCTCTTCCTTTATAATTATAAACCTTTTAGCATGGGTGGTCCACTTTCAACACAATGTTCCACCGTTAATAATATTTTGAAACTTTAAAAACGTCGTAAAAAATAACAAGGAAGTACTTTTCTAGCGACGTCGTAGATAGCAGCGTCAAAACTCAGAAAGGCAACTCGCTCCCCTGAATCGCGCCCTCCGCATCCGATCCGCCATCACCAAAATCCGCTCTGGAAGTTGAGACGGGGGAGGGTGGCAAAAGAGGATGATGATGAACCTGCATACATTTGCCTAGTCACCTAGAGTTGATCTGTGTCCCGATTTCTCCTGCTCATCTTCCGTGCCACTGTCCCATTGAAGTGATAAAGCACAGCATACTGCAGCAATGTCCGTCATAACCTCGGCAGCCCCATATTTATCCTTGCTGGATGAGCACGACCCTTCCTTGAAGGTGTATGCACTCCAATCTCTGGACAAACAAGTCGACCAGCTATGGTCCGAAATCGCCAACAGAATTGCAGACATTGAGCAGTTGTTTGAAGACAGCCATTTTAGCCACAGGGAACTTGCCGCCCTTTTGGCATCTAAGGTTTACTACAACTTGGGTGACTACGACTCTGCGGTCAAGTACTCCTTGTTGGCAGGGAAGGCGTTCAATACCAATGAATCTTCCGAGTATGTGGAAACAATTGTGTCGAAGTGCATTGAATCGTATATCAGCCTATCCCAGTCAAAGTATGCTGATGATTCTGTCGTTATAGACAGACAATTGACATCCATATTCGAGCAGATGCTCACCAAATGTGTCAACGATAATGAAATCAAGTTGGCCCTTGGTATTTCCCTCGAGAGCTACCGTCTTGACATAGTAAAGAATATCATCGACACCCAGATCAAAAACAAAGTTTCCACTGATAACATAATGGGTTTAATTGGCTACGTTTTGACGTGTTCCACCACTGTGATCAACGACGTCAACTTCAAGACTGAAACTTTGAATGGCTTGATTACCATTTTGCTAAGCTTTGACAATCCAGACTATTTCCTTGTTACAAAAATCATAGTGCAATTGAGCGATTCAGTGTTTGCTCACCGGGTTCTCAAGAAGCTACTTTCCTCTGATGACAACGTTTCAATGGCTTATCAGATTGCCTTCGATTTGGTTGGAATTGCATCCCAAGAATTGCTAACCTCAACATCTAAATTCATTGAGGCCGATTCGGAAATTGATCAAACAAATTCAAAAACCATCAGATTGAAGAGAATTTTATCCGGTGTGCCAACTTGTGATTTAGATATTACTTTTCTCTCTGAACATCGTAATGTTGATATTTCCATCCTGAATGCAAGCAAGAAGGCCTTAGATGGAAGAAACTCGTTGTACCATTCCGCAATCACCTTTGCGAACGCATTTATACATTCAGGTACTACCGATGATTCCTTTTTTAGATCGAACTTGGAATGGTTAGGAAAGGCTAATCACTGGTCGAAGTTTTCTGCAACCGCCGCATTTGGTGTCATCCACAAGGGTAACCTATCTCAAGGCCGTGCAGTCCTTGAACCTTATCTCCCAGGAAGTACCTCTAATGCTCACACAAATGGTGGCTCTTTGTTTGGTTTGGGCCTAGTGTTTGCTGGCCAACATGGCCAGATCTTGGACTACTTGCGTGACACTATTGAACTGAACTCTAATAGTGTTGAGAATAAAGATAACGATATCATCCTCCATGGTGCTTGCTTAGGTATTGGTGTTTCGGCAATGGGACTTGCAGACTTGGATCTTTACAATGAGCTGAATGTCGTCCTTTATTCTGACTCAGCAATCTCTGGCCAAGCCGCCGCTCTAGCAATGGGTTTAGTTATGTTGGGTACCGGTAACGAAGAAGCTTTGAGCGACATGTTTACCTATGCACAGGAAACACAGCATGAGACGATCATCAGAAGCTTGGCTGTTGGTATGGCTTTAATCAGCTATGGAAAGGAAAATAAAGCCGAGCCTTACATCAAGAAAATGTTAGACCACAAAAACTCTATTTTACGTTATGGTGCATGCTTCACAATTGGTCTTGCTTACTGTGGTACTTCCAACAGATCTGCCATCAAGAAGTTGTTGCATGTAGCGGTCTCTGACTCCTCCGACAGCGTTAGAAGAGTTGCTGTCATGTGCTTAGGTTTCGTCTTATTGCGTGAATACACTAAAGTTCCAACCATTGTCGAATTACTCGCCCAATCTCATAATCCATACGTTCGTTATGGTTCTGCTATGGCATTGGGTATCTCATGTTCAGGAACCGGTCTTAAGAGTGCTTTGGACGTTTTGGATCCGCTTTCTACAGATGCTGTTGATTTCGTTAGGCAAGGTGCTACCTTGGCAAAATCTATGATTTTGATTCAACAGAACGAAAAGACACACCCAAAGGTGAAGGATTTCAGAGAGAAACTTGCTTCAATTGTGAGTAACAAACATGAGGAATCTTTAGCGAGATTCGGTGCGACATTAGCGCAAGGAATACTTGATGCAGGTGGAAGAAACACTACGATACAACTAGAAAATACACAGACTAACACATTGAATATGAAAGCCATTGTCGGTTTGACAATTTTCACGCAATATTGGTACTGGCATCCTCTTTCACATTTCTTATCTCTTTCATTTACCCCAACTTCAGTGGTAGGTATAACTGAAAACTTGAAAATTCCAAAGATGAAGATAAATTGCCATTGTAAGGAAGATGTTTTTGGATATCCTCCAAAGGTTGAAGTTCAAGTCGCAAAACAGGCAGAAAAGGTAGCCACAGCTGTTCTTTCGACGACTCATAGAGCTAGAAACAGAGCAGCCAAGAAAGAAAAATCCAAGGAAGACAAGATGGATGTTGATGAAATGGAAGACAGAAAGGATGAGGACAAATCACCAGAAGCACATACAGGGGTAGAGAACGAAGAATTGCAGGATAATCAATTCCAATCTTTATATGCCAAGGAACCGTATGAAATTGATAATATGACAAGAGTTCTACCGGCTCAAATGAAGTATGTTACATTTGCCAAAAACTCAAGATTCACTCCTTTGAAAAAGTTTAGATCGATTTGTGGAGTCGTTGTTCTTAAAGACAATGAGCCAACGAAGCCTTTCGACAAGATCAAGACTTTGAGGGAGATGAACATATCGGAAGCTCCTGTGCCTCTTCCATTTACTATAAGTCCTGAGTTGGATAACTTCGAAGGGTTAGAATCAGAATAATTGTTTTATAGATGATTTTAACTTTTGTAATACAAAATCTAGTTTATTATACAAATCACCATTGCTAGCAAGTTCTTAATTGCTTGCATGGCAGTAAGGTCCATGAGAAATAATGAATTAGCCTACTTGAATCTGTCAAAGGCACTTTCGAGGACGTCATCATTCTTTTGTTGAACACCGTTCTCAGATTCTTCCTTTTGACGTCTCAATTCCTTCTCTTTCTCCAAGGCTTTTTCTATACGCATAGAACGCTCAGTGATCATGTTCTTTCTTTGCTTCTTTTTGAATTTACGAAGGGCGGAGCTTCTTGGGGCCGTTTCAGGTCTAATATATCTCTCGAAGTTCTCTGAAGACTTCTCTTCCTCCTTCTCCTTGGCCGCCTTTTCGCTAGCCTCCCTAGCTGACAGTCTTTCTTGTGGCTTTCTGCGGTCGACGGTACCGACACTGTTTGGATCCAAGGATATCATATCAGGCTTCAATTTGTTCATCAACATTCTGACCTCACCTTCTCTTCTCATCTTACCAGTTTCGTAAGGGTTAATCTCTAAAGCATCAAAGTTGGATTCACCAGACCCAGGCACTATCAATGAAGAGAACCCTTTATTATGGCCAACACCAAGCACATCTTCAAAAGGTACAAACCTTGTCGTCTGTACTTGCGATCCAGCAATCAAGTGGCTCATGTAAGGATCCTTTTGGCGAGACTTGAAACAATCTTTCCACACAGTGACATGTGGGCCCCAGCCGACAGATACCAACCCAGTATCGGAAATGTCAACTGTGTTGGCTTGCGTTGGAGTGTAGTAGCTATCCAATTCTTCGAATTTACGAATATCCCAAATCTTCATAGTTTTATCAGCACCTAAAGCGACCATGTATCTACCATCTCGATTGACAGCCAATGAACGAACTGGTCCGTTACACGCTTGGAGTTTTACAAGCGCAGTACTCATACTCGGAGACCACAGTGTTATTTGACCATTTGAATGCCCAGCATGGATCACAGCATTCCATGGATTCTGTCTCATCGATACTGTTGGTCCTAACTTTGTACGTAGTTGTGACACTAGTTCTCCTGTAGAGATATCGTGGTATCTAATCCATCCAGACTTTCCTGCTGATACCAATAGATAATGATACGGTAGGAATTCAAGTAAAGTAGGGTCAATATGCTGCGAGAGTTTGTGAATTTCTGTACCTTCATGATCATAAATGAAAACGTATTTTTTCTGTGCCACTGCAAACATCTGGTTATTTTGCAAGTATTTGACTGCGTTGACTGTTTCACCCAAATGCAATTCGGTATGCAACTTACCTAGACGCCAATCAAACGAGGCAACATGTCCTTTCTTACCACCAATAAGAAGGTCACGTCCGTTTCTTGTGTAGTCAATGGTATAAGGTCCATAATCATTCAACTTAAGCTCGAATCTTTTGCTGGCAGTCGCTATATCGACATTTTTCACTATATCATCTTGTTTGAATTTCCATGTCCTTTCCATGCCTTCAGCTTCAACAAAACCTTGCTCTTCAGTAAGCAATATTTCAGCCTTTTCAGCAGTTTCCCGAGCCTCTTCAAAGTCTTCTTCCATTTGTTTTATCTGCTTCGATCTCTTCTTGTTAGAAATGAAGTTTTTCTTCCCCGACCGGTCGTCCCCTTTCGGAACCGTCGAATTTTTACTTTGCATGTTAATTGCTAATGTATACCTTACGGTTTTCACTCACGAGTCGCCACGGCTATTTCGACCTTGTCAATAGATGTCCGACTGATAAAGCTTCTCCTTTGATGTTCAAGATCATGAAAATTTCAATGAGAAAAAAAAATAAAATTTTTTGTGTATCATGACACAACAGGAAATCATGACGCGCTAACCAAAATTCCTTCTTTATCTTGGATGGGGTAAAGGGGAAACCGGGAAAGTGTTAAGGGAGGAGTTCGAATGGAAAAGAAAACGTACACAAAGTCAATTCTTGGTTTTGTGAAGGTAGAGAGCAGCCAATTAGTGCTTCTAACATATATAGAACTCACATCACAAATGTTCTATAGACAACACATCGACCATGAGGATAGTGATGTCATTACAATCGATAGTGGGAGCATTAATTCTGACGTTTCGTCCCCAGTAGTTTCTCCTGTTGTAGATGAAAATACCGTAATGAATATATTGCATATTGACAAGGATGAGTCTGTAGGAAGTAGTCGTAAGTCTGGAACTAGAGGCAGGTTTAGAGAACTTTTTAGAAGCCTCTCTTGGCGGAACAAAGCAAAGCCAACTACAGAAGACAAGGGTGAAGTTTCCGATAACAACGACGCTGAAAACACGAAAGAGAAAGACACTCATATAGAAATGGACAACGATGCTTTCAGCTTTTCTAACAGCCCGGTAAGAAACGTTTCATCCAGAAACACGTTTGATAACCTTTACGATACTTCCAAACCCATGCTGCATCTACAATCTAATGTATCAGTTGATAACCTTGAGAGTTTTATTAATAATCAAGAAAACGCATTTTTGCCTCAGCATAAGGAATCACCAATTTCACCAGCGACCGCAGAATCTGTATTAACTCCAGTAAATGTCGACAGCATCAAAATCCAGAAAAGCAAATCGCCCAGAAGATCACTCTCAAGAAGGTTTTCTCTGTTCTCAATAAGGTCCAGACCTTCCACAGCACCTAGTACCCTCGATCTTTCAAATGCTTCTTCTTACTTTGCAGACGAGACTTTATTGACTAATTGGAGAATGCCTAAGTACCAAACCGCAACCGTTATTGCCAAACGGTGTCCAGACCATGTCGAAACAAAGAGAGATACAAAATTAGAAAGTGAGATTTACTTGTTTCTAAACGGTTCTGATAACACTAAATTGGAAAAGGTAAATCGTATTAACACCAGAGAAAAAATCCAAAGCAACAATATTGAAAAGATGCTGTACTTCCCGTATTCAAAGTCGTTTTTTGACTCTAGTTGCCTACACAAGGGTAATGCGCTGTCGATAAGAAACGATGAAACTAACTTGACCATGAGCAGTGAACCGCATTTTTTCATCTATAACGACAATAGTGAGATAAAAACTCTCAACACAGAATTTGACGTTGACAGTATGAAAAGATCGTCCGCCTTGTCAGTGAAATCGATGCGCTTTCAGGAACTCATTGAGGCGCACACACAAGCTGCTGTGCATGACAACAACAACAATATATGCAGCCAGGTGAATCCATTGTTGGAGCTAGATCAGTGCATGGACGCCCTAGATGTCCGTGGCTTAATTCAGATTCAAGCCAAAAATTATAATTTAGAGCCTAGTAAAATCTGGAAACTCTGGATTGATGTAGTGGATAAAACCAAAAAATCGCATAGAAAGTTCAGCGTATTCACTGTGCTCTCCGAATACTCTCAAATCATAAAACTCCAAAAGAGTTACGACACATTATTGGACTACTACATCCATGACAAAAACCAGCAGCTTTACATTCTCAAGGATGAAGAAATACCAATATTTCATGGCAAGCACAAGGTGAAAACCTATGGAGAGTACGTATTTGTAATTCCCCTTGCGAGTGCCAAGCAGGTTTGGAGAGTTATACTCCACTTGCTAGTTAGCGAGAAGCTCAGCTTGAACAGCAGCAAATACGAAACAATTGGGATCTGCTGGAGAAGATACGCCTACAAAAGGCAGTATGGTTACCACTTGACGTTCTATGTCGACGACCGCGTCCGGTTCTCTTACAATGGAGCGAACCTGTTTCTCAGCGACATACGGTTGATGGTCCCTGAGAACGTGAAACATTGCTTTAGGAGATGTAAAACTGTGTTTCCAGGAGAGAAAGAGGTCCGCATCCTAGACGTGCTATAACTGTGTAATGCTGTCTATAGACAAGACATTGTTTTGACGACGTCTTCCATGTAAGCTTTCCGTCAAAGAAAAACACAAGTTTTCCATGATGGCCATTACCTAATGCAGAAGTACTATTGATGGCAAAATATCCTAAAACGGAAAATGATAAACATGAAAATTCAGGAGGAGGAAGTGCTAGCAAACTGGAATCTCCTCCAAATATGATAGATCCCGAAGTTTACGGAGATTTTTAGTCTAAGTTAAACTTTTTGTTGATGTTTAGGCAGGTTCTTATCGTCCCTTGTAGTTTCGGACAGATCACAACGGTCAGACAAGGTGATGTTTCATTAGTATGCGTGATCTATCATATTCAATGAACGCAGCCTGGCTGGTTGTAACCACTCTGATGTACGCAACTGGTGCACTCGGAGTAGTACTATTGGACAAGCAGGCAAAAACAGACATTGCCTTGATTATCTTCACAATATTTGAATGGCTCAGTGCCATTCTTTCCACTATATATCTCATTCCCTTCTTCCCTTCAGCAAACTACCTCTCATTCATTATACAAGCACTTAACGCATTTTGTGCCGCCGCATCCACAGCAATAGGAATATACTGGATAGATAATATAATCCTTGAGAGTGTGACAACTAAGAGCCTTTATCTGCGACAGCTGAAGGTATGCTTCATTACCTTGTTTACGGTGTCTCTCCTGTTCAAATTTGTCATTTACATAAGCGCCTTTCTTGATAGTTCAGTGACAGAAACCAACAGAAAGGAAATACCCAATGTGCAAGACCTGGAAGCAAACATAGAAGTCGCAGATAAAGAGTCAACCAAATTTGGATCAGTACTTTCAGACTCAATTGCCTCATCAAAATTCAATGTCGTCAAAATCAAAGACTCCTTACAAACATTAGTTTCAAAGCAAGGGAACAACAATTTAAATGATTATAAAGATAATTCAGCAAAAGCTAGTGAAAGCAGAATTAATGAACCTGGATTTGATTATCGAAGTCAGGAGAGGTTAAATCTGAAGTACGCTGAATTGTTCAAATTACCAAGTACTTCTGAAACAATTGAAACCTCAGATCTCCATAACTCAACTCCAAATATGTTATTTGAACAGAAACCTTTGACAGGTGCCTCATTCAAACAATCACAAATATTAGTGCAAAATAATTATATCCAAGATATCCCTTCCACTCCAATGATGACTAACTTATCAAATCACATAACGGAAGAAGATCTCGAAGAATCCATGGAATCTGTTCTTGTCAAAAGCCCCCACTATCAATTCCCCCAAGATGGCTCACTGACAAGTCCATACAAATCCCATCACCCTAACTACAATTTCATTTTAGAGCGACCAGCTCTAGTTAAAAATGTTGACGAAGACAAAAATATCCAGGCATTGAACATATCAGAGCCAATCTACGGAAGTAATCTCGCTACCAAGCTTACTTCAAACGGGAAAACATTGCATAATATTTCTCTACAAACTTGGAACGAAAAATCAAAGTTGTTTTTGCAAAACAACGACTTTGTTACTGATAACATACATTTACCACAAAGAGCCTCCGATATAAATCACTTCGGGTCTTCAATGTCATTCTCAGAGAATTTCAATGCTGAAAATGAAGCATTGGACACCCATTCAAACAATAGTGAGTACAATAACTGCCTTCTCGAGGAGCTCAATAGAGAAATAAAAGAAAATGGATCTCATCATGCTAAAATTCAAATGCAACAATCTCTACCCAATTTGAAACTTGCCTCACGTCACAGCTCTCAGCTCAATAGAGGTGATTCTGTTTCAAAAATAATGGGTTTGAAACCCTTGAATCAAAAAAGCAGAACAAATTCCAGCTCTCTCAATTTTGCCCACCAAAAATCAAGTTCCTTGTCCGCAATTCCAATGTCAAAATCACGATCTCATAGTCCACTAAAGAAATTCAAAGATTTCAGAGACAGTATACAATTAACACCTCGTACACCTAAACAAACGAGGCCCCCTTCTCCTATTACTTCTAATGAATTTGAGTTGGATTTGCATATAGCAAATTCCATAAGAAAATCACCTGGAAAGAAACTCTCCAGCAAATCATTAAATTCTAAAACTGGAAGCAGAAAAATCTCCTTATCCTCTCCAATTCGTCCTAATACCAACGTCTCTATGCTTGATGTAGAAAGTTATTACCCAACAGGCATTGGGTACGACTTGAACTTATCTCCTGGAGAAGGATGTGTAAGAGTGCTCGGTAATGCAGAAAATGAATCTCCATCTGATAAGAAGAACTATTTTACACATATAGTTGACGACTACATTATTCAAAACATAGTTAAAAGTCAGAGGGTGTTTAGCGGGGTAAGTGGCATGAGCGGAACTGACAAGTCAACCACATCAAACGCATCAGTCCCAAGCGGATACTACGGTGAGTATGACAAGGAGAAATGGAGAGTTATCAAAAAAGTGAAGAATGGAGTAATAGAAGAAGCCAATAAAACACTGGACTTCTCTTGTCACGGTCTACCTGGTCCATGAAACCCTAGTTTCATATCAGCATTTATTATACATGTATACTTTTCTAAATAGCATATGATTCATCAAGAACCCAGTAAATTTTGTTACATTAACAAAGAGTCTTTCAAAGATTTGAGTGCGTCAGCGAGCTGGTTGACCGTGATACCGCCTTCAACAGTTCTCACCTTCAGAGCCAAGTATTTTGGGTGTGATAGCAGGTAAGTCAATGCATTAACAAACACTTTTCTTTCCTGAGGAGTGTCTAGTCCAGGAACCAAATGGACTTCTTCTAAAGGTTTACCCAATTCCGAGCCCACAAAACTGTAACAATCCAAACTGTTGAGTAATTTGGCAAAGAGAATAATTTGCTCAGTTTCTTCAATGATGGATGCACTCAAAAGACTGTCCGTTTCCAACCAAGTTTGAATTGTGTACTTGAATTGATTTTTAAAAGTAAGTGCAAATTGAGAAAGGGAAAATGTAATACTATTCCCAAAATGGGATACTAACAATAGAACAATTGGTAGAATTCTTTCAGTCCACAATCTGTGAAGTCTACCTATAGTGGAGTTACTAGAATATGGTGAAATATGGCCTTTTTGTATTATCAGGCCAACAGGAGACTCAGTTATCAAGTGGAAGATCCCATTGTCTAAAAGTCTAGCAGCAATGGCTTTCCTTTGCACAAATTCGTAGATAAAGGAAAGAGAGTAATCTGTAAAAACTTCTTCATTATTGATTTTAATTAAGTGAGATGAGGAGAACATGTGTGCAATCGCTCTGTATGCCCCTGTCTGTATCACTATATTTGATAGTTCGGATTCTAAATCATCGTTCAATTTCAATTTGAAATATTCTTGAGTGAGAGAGAGAATGTTCAAAATGTCATCAATTTGCTTCATAATCAAAGGTGAATCGCCAAACTCCGAGACAGGTACCGACAAAGCTGAACTTCTGATGCCGTTAAACAGAGTATTTATTGACTCACAAATGATATTTCTGAACAGTTCTAGCAATGTAGAGGAATATTCCGAAACAAATTCAGGAGTCTTTATCATCGAGACACAGATTAGTAGAATTCTTAGTAAAGGTTTGTAGTAATCAATTTTCAAGCTAGCCAATCCCTGAGATAGATTAACCTCTCGTGATTCCAAAAGATCCAAACACGAGGTTAGTATGGCTATCAAAGTTGAATCTTTTATAGACTTTTTAGATTGTGAAATAGTGAGAACAATCAAAAAAGCCAACTCAATTCGACCTTTGTAAATTTCATCATAAAGCTGAAAAGGTATGCCATCCTCATAATTAATTTTGAGAAGTGATGAGGCAAGAAGACAATATTCCGTAGAGATTTCCTTAGGGCTTATATTACAGAAGCATGTCACTAGTCCACCGTAGGCTTTGGCTAAATGTATTTGGGAGTCAATAATTTGGATGTCTAAACTTATATTTTCTACTTGTCTTTTCACCTGAGCCCAATCGTCTTTATTATCAAATATTAAATCAAGTAAGTTGAAATCGTAAACAGCGTTACCTATCCCATCACCGTCTTTAGATTGCTCAATATGAAGAAATTGGCCCAACTGAAATTTCCCATTGGAAAATTTGGAGAACTTTTCACTGATCAGTTTGATACTTTGTTCATCTCTCAACTTGATCTTGAACTTAGCCTCCAGCGAATGTAAGAAATCCGAGGAGTTTAGCAAATTGAAAATTTTACTTTCACACTTTTTGCACTTCCCTCGGGATACAAATAAGTACAAGGAGATAATTTCCACTGTCTTTGCAATGATTTCAACTTTCCACACATTTGGTTCAGCAGACTCAGCGATAGTATTATTTTTGATGATATCTAAAAGTTTTTCAACAAATGTCATATCATCATTATCTGAGCATGAGCCATGCCATATACTTAAACACAATAACATTGATTTGAGTAAATGATATGTTAATTTACCTGTATAATCTGTGATATTTGCAACTAATGAACGCAATAAACGGAAAAGAGAGTATTTTCCTTCGGAAACAACTGACTTAGCGTCTGGAAGGATTGTACCAGTTATCAAAAATAACGATAAACCTTTTTGGTTATTCTCCATTGTCGAAGCCAAAAAATTTAGTAAAGCAACTTTCAAATCACTATTGGAAGTAGGAGTTGATATATCCTCATATAAGCAGTTCAACAAAATAATAGAGTGTGTCGTTCTTAAATGGGTAAGCACTGACGGTGGTTTATCATTCCAATTAGACTGTATTAATTTCGTCAATAGATTAAGAATCTGTTTCCTAAAGCTAGTGTTGAATAAGTAGACATTGATTAAATTGATTAGATTTGAATAAAGCTCTCTCTCCAAATTAGATGGTAAGTTTGCTCTAGACAAGGAACGGAGTTGTACTATTTGGGTAGAAAACTCGAAACACTCTGAAATCCAGCGATGCGCCATCAGCCCGGATCTGGAAGTAGTCAAAAGTTTCATTTTTGGATTTGAAAGCTGTTCAATTGTCAGCAACAATGGAGAAACAGCTCTTAAATCATTTATATCCCCTACCAAGAAGGAGTTCACAATTTTCTTCAGGCTTGGTTCGAACACCTCAAACACAGAGTTATTAGTGTTATTGGCAACACTGATTTTAACTTGAACGATTTGCTTGAGAAAAGAGATAATATTAATTCCGATTTGGTATTTTTCATAATCAGTCTGATATTTCCAAACAGAAAAGTTCTCAAAAATTTGTATGGCAAGGGTAGTAAAATATTCAATCACTTGAGATTTCAAGTTGATGTTGACATTTTCATTTATAGTCAGCGAAGACTTTGACAGAGTGTTCCCTAGTATCAGAAGCGAAGTAATGAATTCGTAGGAGCCTGATGTAGTCTCTATTTTATCCAACACGTCGTAGACCAAATTCCCATTAGGCCTGGAGCCAAATAAATTTGATTTGTAAAGGAATGACCAAATACGATAAGCATACCCTTTTTCTGATAAGATGTTGAAGAAAGTGAGACAATTTGCAAGTAATTCTGTATCTTTGAGCATTATTGCTTGATCAAAGATTCTAAATGATATATCAATCACATCTTGATCCTCAACAAAAGAGTTCATAGAATTCAATATTAGTCCAATGACTGCTTCATCTATGTTCATGAAAACTCTAGCTAACACTTTGAACAAAGTTTTGCGTGTATTGTTTTTTTCTGTTTGGTCAATACACAACCTTACTGACAAGTTTTTCATTATCCTACCAAGAAGAGACCATCCATTATAATCATACAAGAAAAGAACTAATGTTTCTTCTTTTCCATTTACCTTCGATAAAACTTGAGCCTTTGTATCCTTTCTCATCAATAAAGAGAGTTCATCATTGGGTTCAAAAGGTAACTGGATATTAAAATCTGCTGTCAGTTTAACTAGTTCTGGCTGTTGGTCATCAATACTATACTTGGACAAGAAATCTGCAGAATTGACGTAAGTCATGAACGTTGGCATTGCTCTTAGCTCTTCCACCGCAAGATTTGAATTAATCGAAATTAACTCTAAATACGAGTTGAGGGAGAGAGGCATTTTAGCCTTTAGAAGAATCAACATCTCATCTGTGAATGAGCTGTCGAAAAATTTGGCCACAACGTCGTTGGAAGATTTTCGAAGAATTGCTGAAATTGTTTTTATTATATCATCAGTTGGCTCAATATATGGAGTAAATGCAATAACAAATGATCCAAAGATACTAGACAAAAATGGATCGTATGAAATCAGCTCGTTGCATGTGGTTAGTGCATTACACACGTTCAATTGTGCAGCTTCTCCTGCAAAGCTCAAATACATTGTTTCTAAGTTCTTTAGTGCACCTGAGGAAAGGGATCTCTCATAGTCCTGGGCCCTTAATTCACCTTTATGCATTTCTAGGATAATGTGTTGTCTGTGTAATATAATGGACCAGGCGTATAAGACAATAGGGTTTGCCTTTGTACTCAACAAGCGTTTTGTAATCTCGTTAAGACTATCTGGACTGCTCATGAAAGTCGATTGATCTTCAAGAGAGCCAAAGTTGAAGTCCAAATCTAGGAAAAGCAGTGTTATAATGGTGGCGAGAGTTTCCACTGTGGATTTGGTCTCATCTGTGGAATTTATCGATAGGATTGCAAAAGAAGATAGGAAGCTTGTTTTCTCCATTAGTTCAAACCATTTCAACACGGAGGTGTTTTTGAATCCTTTTTGGGATTGAAGTATTGTGTAAACAAAATAATTCAAGAGTTCCAGTAGTAGTGCAATGAGGTTGTTGGAAATCAATAGATCAAGTTCAGATGATACCAGGAGTTTATTCTGTAGTTCATTGAGGGCCTCAATATCGGCCATCAAGTTGTCAATGATATTGTGCCCGTTTTTCTGGATGTCGGTTCTGATATCTGATGCCGAATTGATGTGCTGCTTTCTCAAAATCTGAGAAGACAGCTTGTAATATATTATCTGTTGCTGCAAGATCATGGAAACAAAATATGTCAACGAGTCATTGTTGGAGGAGGACCATGCTGTATCTGTTGCGGTGAAAAGCTGCACGTTTTTATTGTTGTAGTTGGGACAGTTTCTGATTCTCTTGGCAAATATGTCAACCAACTGTGCTACTTTGCTCGAGTCGAGGTCGAGTTTTTCGGATATGAATCCAACCTGTTCACTGTATTCACCTGCCCCGGCAGCCGTAAGCTGGGTACTGGAGCCACTTTCTTTTGCATAGGGTAATTTCCCGGACACAAAAGCTGCCTTATGTGATGAGAAAAACACCTGCAACTGCTCCTTTTCATCTGCAATGCCAGATGGCATTGCAGTCAGAAGTGCACACCCTCCGTCAAATGTGAGATCAGAGGATGTGTCTTCGTCTTTCTTTACGGGAGACATTGCGTGCTGAATATGCAACGACAAGTACTGTATTACTAAACCAGGTTGACAGATGTCTACTAGCCAATATTCAATTACAAACGTATAATCTGTTGTCGATGTTTGCTGCACTATTTACATGTTTCCGATTCAGAGACGGAGGAGACAGAGAACGAGAAAGAAAGAAAAAAAAAGAGCCTCGGATCTGCACCCGTGCACCTCATTGACGGTAGTAAAATATTTCACGTGCTTCCAGAGGCACGTGATCAGATCCGTTATTTTCGAAGACGGTTTTGACAGTTTCCAGTTGCTGAACGGTCTGGAAGCCCGGGGTTTCTGGCAGAGTTTCATTGGCTATAAGGGGGAACTTCTTGCCTGTGTGACTGCCGGCGACAAGCGCCTGCCATCTGTGGTGACATTCGTCGATGACGTCCAGAGCCCGTGCTCTTCCAAGCCAGCGGCCCTGGAACGCAAACTCATTTTCTGGCTTGTTCATTGGCAATTTGTAGTTTTTGAACCACCTCGTAAGGTTTTCGAGGAGTAACGGCATCTTCTCCTCGACATCGGGGACGTCATGAAGGTGTGGTGCCAATTTGTCGGCAGTGTCGATGGCGAGCAGCTTCCAGTCCATCTCCCCGTCGTCGATCATTGCCAAACAGCCGAGAATTTTCACCCTTTTCAGGGTCCCCACTGTGGCCGCCTGGTCGACATTGGAGCCGATCTCACAGATGTCAAGCGGGTCGTTATCACCGTAGTACTGCTTGCCGTCAACATCAATGGCAAGAGTTGGGTCTTCCCAGGTCTGAGGCACGGCGCCGTAGTTGCAGGGATAGCCGTGGAACGGATATATGTTGTTGATGAATCTTGGCTTGCCTTTCTTGGTGTCCTGAACTATTGGGTTGAGCGGCAGTTCTTTCGAAATCTCGAACTTTCCCTGCTCATATCGTGGGATTTCCACGACCATGTTAACGGTGCCCTCTGCTCTGTCGTAGTTGAGCGGGACGTCGTGGAAGAAGGACTGTGGACGTCCTTTTGCATCTGCAAGGTACTTTTTGAACTCGAGAGTGTACTTCCCGCCAGACGTTATCGTGTGTATGTTTCTACTGAAAGCTCTAAACATGCTTAGTGGCTGTGTGGGTTGGAAGGCTCGGGTGTGTCACGGGCATAGCACCTGGAAGTGCAGCTGAGAACCAGGTATTGTTATCACAGATGAAGAAAAGCCGTTTTCTTCCTCGGCAGGTGACAATAAGAGAATTGTCGCGCCCGAACGGGCAGGTATTCCGACGTGGGGTTACGACTGTAGACAGTTATCCGTTTTATATGAAAAAAGGGGAAGAAAGACCACGACAGGTAAATCTAGAGTAGACCCAGTAGAGTGGGGATGCGTAAGACAGGAAAAAGCATTTGAAAATGGAAGGAAAAGTGGTTGAAGCGAAAAAAAAAAATTAAAGAAATGAAATGGAATGGGAGTTTGGAAGGAAAGAGTGAAAGAAATAAGGAGAGAAATCGACATGGATCATGCATCGATCAGGTTCCAGCCATCTTTGGACACAATGTACGGGATGGAGGAACCGAGAATGCCCTCGAAACTTTCCTCTTCGGGCTTTCTCTCCTTGTCTATTTTAAGGAAATAGTTTGAATGTAGCAGAGAGTTTTTAGGGCTGAAAGGTAGACCATACATGGCGTGAAACTTAGTAATACAATACTCGGCATTGAGCTTTTTGGATCTGGTTTTCGACAGTTTGTTGGAAATGTACTTCCATTTGTGGATTTCCGCAAAAGACAGGAGGTTTTTCAGGATAATGATGTCTTCCTCGGTGAAACCGGAAATGTCCAACGAGGGGTCCGCAGGGACGTACATGTCTGGAGATATTTCCGACTGTTTGTTTGCAGCAGACTGCGAGAGTGGCGCATGCGCACTGGAAGGAGTTGGAGTAGGAGCGGGAACGAGAGAAGAGGCAGACGCAGAGGTAGGTCGTTTGAACTGTTTGGCTGAGCCAGTCTGCTTTTGCAACCCAGACCTATTTTTCGGTTTGACGATTTTGCCAATGCCAGCGGAGCCTGCCAAGGAGCCAGCGGAGAATGTGGCAGAGCACGCGGAGGAGGGAGCAGAGACGGGAGTGGATATTGCCGACGATGAGCGAGATGGGAAGGGTGCCACAAAGGGGTCCTTGAGCTTGAGCTTGAGTTGGAGCTGGCGTCTGTCGAGCTCCTCGGGTTTGCTGCTTGGCGGGAGGGGTTGGAATGCTGGTTTGCGGATGGGGAAGACGGTGGTGCTACAGAGCGGCGGCGTGGTCGCCGTCGAGCTGAAGGACGAGTTTGCGCTGGAGCTGTATGCAGAGATCGGGGAGTGTGAATGGGAGAGGGAGTGAGTGTGCTGGATGTAGGCAGCGGGCACGGCGGGCACGGGAGAGGCCCTGGTGCTGTTGAGCAGGTAGTTCTGGAACAGCTGTTGCTGCTGGACGGGGTGTGTGGATTGATGGAACTCTGCTGGGGTATAATGCGGGGTATGGCTCCGTTGTGCCTGCTGCTGTGCGTGCTGGGCCTGCCACGGGATCTGCACAAACGCAGGCGTGTATTCAGCGTACTCGTGGGCCTTAGTGGGGACGGCGTAGCCCGGCAACTTCGCTGCCTGGACGTGGACGTTCGGGGCGTAGAGCGGTGTCTGGTTGTAGCTGGGCATCGTGTTGATCGCCATGGCTGAGGTCGTGTCTCAAGTCCTGGTCGTCCTGGTCGTCCTGCTTTGAAACGAATACCGCACTTGAAGACATGCGCCCAGGCCGCGTCCCGCTGCCGTGGGCGCTGGGGGTGCAAACTGCCGGCGTACTCGTTGTTTATACAGTGATACATGGGGGTATTTATCCGACTCACCGATGGCGTCTGGGGTCTGCTGAGGCGTGCTGGGGTCCTCGGAGAGGACCCGCTGGTAGAATCGTACGACATTTTCCCGGCCGCCCGGGTGCTGCGGGTTGCTGCGGGCGGCTGCAGGGGGCTGCGGCGCGCCCGATGGGGAATGAACAGAGATGCGGTTGCCACATTCCGCGATCGTTGCTAGGCCCTCCGCGGCCATGGATCGCGCGGGAAAAAGCTGCCCGATTAGGCAGTGTGCCCTGTTGTGTCTGTGCTCAGAGGCTTTTCTGCCTTTTTTTGTCTTTCCTGGCCTTTTTCTCCAGTTTCTCCCTCTTCTTGTCCTTCTTGTCCTTCTTGTCCTTCTTTTCCTTCTTTTCCTTCTTTTCCTTCTTTTCCTTATTGTCTTTCACCTTCTTCTCTTTTTTGGCGCGTTTTTGGCGCTGCCGACTTTCGCCGTCGCTCTCGTCGTCGCTGCTGAAGAAGAACATGAGCTGCTCCGGCTGCTCTGCTTCTGCCTTCCGCTTCGCAGCGGCCCCTGTCGCCCCCACAGATGACTCCGGTAGCTCGGCAGTGCCTCGCAGCACCTCCCCTTTGACAAACATCTGGTACAACGGTGACTGCTTCTTCTTCTCGGCCCGCTCGAGCGCCTCCCGCTTCGCGTTGTCCGCACCAAAACCGTCCTTCCCGTTTACGTCCAGCGACTTCAAGTGCCCGTCAAAGAGCGTCTCCCACCACGAGACGTTCTCCTTGGCGCCGTGGCCAACCCCCTTGAGGTCAAACTTGTGCGACACAAGGATCGGCTTCTTGATCCCGCCCTTTTGTAGCGGCTGGCCGGGAGTCCAGCCGTACGACTCCAGGTATTTCTGTGAGTTCATGTGTGTCTGCGAAGATGTGTTTCCTGGATTCCAGACAGCCACGTCCCGTGTGTACAGTACACCCGTGCTGGAGAGATCTAGATGGAAAGACCGACTTGTGAAAAAAAAAATTGTATGGGATAAAAAATGCGAAAATGTAAAAATGCGGGAAACAGAGTGGAAAAGACGGCCGCGCGGGACTTCTGAGAGCATCGGGCAGGGACCCAGGCTTTCCTGCGACATACAGGACAACCAAGATACCTCAAAGTGGCATTTCCGAGTGGTATTTAGTGGCCAGAGGTAATTTTCACGTCCACCGACAGACCTGGTCGTGACAAAGCTCCATTGGCTTTTTCTGTTAGGTTTGCACAATGGGAAACACTAGCTCCAACCCGAAAATTACCAGGCATGATAAGGCCATTTTAGAGCTGAAGCTCCAGCGAGACAAGCTTCTCAAGTCGAGACAGAGACTAGCGACGGTGGTCAACCGAGAAACTCAGATTGCCAAGCAATGCGTCAAGGCGAAGAAGTTTGAGAAGGCGAAGTTGGCGTTGCGGAAGAAGAAGAGACAACAGTCGTTGCTCGACAACCTCGAGCGCCAGAGCAACACCCTGGAGGAGTTGATCGATACGATCGAATTCAAGCTGATAGAGAAGGACGTGCTCTACGGCTTGGAGCAGGGAAATAAAGTGTTGAAGGAAATCAACAGTGAGATGAGCATGGAGAAAGTCGAGAAGATTCTGGACGACACAGAGGAAGCCGTGTCGTACCAGAACGAGCTCAGCGAGAGGTTGGGCTCGTTGTTGACGAATGGAGAGGAGGAGGAGGTGGACGAGGAGTTGAGGCAGTTGGAGCTCGAAATGGGCGTGGCAGACAGGCAGGAGAGCGTGAGTGTGCCAAAGAAGGCACAGAGCGACTCCGCGGTGAGACGGAAGCTCGACTCATTACCGGCCGCTCCTAGCGAGTTACATCTTCCGCAGAAAGAGGCAGAAGGAGACGGAGCACCACAGCCGGAGAAGCAAGAGGAAGAGACTTCTAGAGTTGCACAGCTGGCCTAGCCATTTGTATCTGTAAACCTTTACTACATTAATTAATTTTTTTTTATTGCATTCGTTAAATTAAGATATCCCTATTTACAAGTGAGCCGTCGTCGCATGGGGTGTCATGAGTTACAGGGAAACGGGTTCGTCCAACCACTCCAAGAACTCTGGCGTGAAGTAGGAAATAATCAATCTGGCACCTGCTCTCAAGAACCCGTGGTGAGCCTCAAAGGCAATGCTCTTCAAATCAACAACACCCTTTTCGGCAGCCGCGTGCAACATGGCGTATTCACCACTGACATGGTAGCAGCAGATCGGGTAGTCGCTGCATATGGTCGCCGCATCTTTAACGACGTCCAAGTAGAAGGTGGATGGCTTGACAATGACACCGTCGGTACCTTCGTTCATATCTCTGATCAACGCTCTTCTCGCCAAACCGGCACCACCAGATGGCAACTGGTAGCATTTTCTATCACCGTGCGAAGGACATGAGCCGGCGGCGTCTCTGAAGGGACCGTAAAGAGAACCACTGAACTTGGCAGCGTACGACATCAGGAAAATTTTGTGGGCCAACCCTGCATCGATCAAACCTCTTTTGATGGCTTTGATTCTACCATCGATCATGTCAGAAGGAGCGATGGAGTCCGCACCCGCCTTGGCATAGTTAACAGCAACAGCCGCTATTCTGCGCACAGACAATTCGGTATTAATCGAGCCGTCTTCGTACAAGACACCGCAATGTCCGTGGCTGGTGTACTCGCAGAGGCAGACATCGCACATGACGTACAAGTCTGGGAAGTTTGTTTTCAACGCCTTGATGGCCTGAATGACTGGTCCATCAGGGTCATCTGCTGGGGAGCCCTCGGCATCCTTGGATGCTTGATCTAGCAACACACCGAACAAGATAACGGACTTAAGACCTTTTTTCACCAACGTATCGATGTATGGAATCAACTTCTTCACACCAAACCTCTTGATGTTTGGTAAGGACGGAATATCGGTTTCATCTTCTGGATCGTCCGAAATGAACAATGGGAAAATGAACATGTTTTTCTGGAGTTGCCTCTCATGTTGCCATGCTCTAAGAAGTGGATTGTTGTATCCACCTTGTAAGACAGAAGAAATATCGGTTGGTTGTCCTGGGAGATATTCGGCGCTGTGGACCATTGTTCTTATTGGTAAGCTGTATTGTTTTTTGCTGCCCGAAGCACTGAAGGAATCTAGAGGTGCTTGCGTGGATGAAAAGGCTGGTATTCCAACAAATTATGGATGGGGATGATCGATATAGACTGGCCGTATCGACGAGCTGATTTTTTGGGAGATATCTTTACGCCTCGATACGACGTTCCGAAAAGGGTAAGTTCCGTTGACTCAGATCCAAAAAGGGTCGATCGGCGCAAAATAGATTTTTGTAGTGTCTGTTATTACTGTACATTTCGTTAAGTATCTACGTATCTATCTATCTTCTTTGAATGTTTCTTCTGATGCCCACAGTCTTGCCACCTATGACGTCGTTGTTCAAGCTTGCATTGACGTACGGCGGACAAGAAAGACCGAAGTTGTTCCAGTACATTGCTGGTCCCTTTGTTAGCTGTGTGGAGTATATCTCGTCCATCGGCACCTCTCCCCTTCCCTTGACAAGCAGAAGTTTTTCTTTACCAGAAGCAAGATTTTCTGATAAAGTAACCGTATCTATTGGCGTGTAGATGTTGATGGTCTGGTTTTGGGTGTCGACCGAATGCACAATTGCCAAACCGTGAAATGTAGATGGAACTGAGTGAATAAAGCTCTCAGTAATGCAATTAGGAGAGCTGCTGGACGGCTTGGGGTCTTGACCTTCCAGGCTGAGCAGTGTGTCGATGGATATAGTGACCAACGCCACGTATTGGCATTCTAAAGACTGTGGCACATCTGCAACACTAACGCCCTGGGAATCAAAGATTGAAACGCCTACAATGCCGTTGAAACTGCGCATTCTGCGAACGTCGGATGTTGGCGTCAAGTATGACAACCGGTACGGGGACTTGAGCAGCAATGGGTTGAAGTCAAACACCCGGGACACGGCATCGTAATGCATATACGACAGTAGCTTAGCATTCCTGATGATCAGCGGAGAATAGGTGTTGAAAGAGTGTGTGGATCTGTTGGCTGCGGGGAGCCGTACAATTTCGGTTTCCCTATTCCAGGGGATTTCACGGATAATGTCGAGGTCTCGCAGCTCATCCGAAAGCTGAATGAGCGAGGTTATGTCCAGGTTGGCATTCAAGTGTGCGATTATCTCTGCACCAAAACCCTTGACCCATCCAGGAGAGTTGATGAGGGTGATGGTGTTTTTCGACGTAATCACGCTATCAATCAACTGGTCTAGCTGGCGCAAGTAGTTCAACGGCTGAATGTTCGGCGAGTTGAATCCAAGGTACTTGACGACCTCTGTGGACTTCTGGACGCGGAAGGAGTGGACGGTTCCGATAAGCGGGGACGTGATATTCGACAAGGAGATGCACCCAGACAGGCACAGCTCCGGCTGGCCTGGATCTATATCCAGGATCTGGACACCGGCATTGGTGCTGGCGGCAGAAAGAAGAGTGTTGGCAAGAAGCTTGAGAAACGACGATTTGCCTGTGTTTTTGTTCCCCACGATAAGGACTATCTTGTTCCTCCTGTCCGTCACACCAAGGGATAAGGCGAGTCTACCAAGCTGGTAGGCCCACGAGTCTGGCACGGAGGTGGCGACCCGGTTTGGCTCCGCCTCCACGAGTGCGCTGAACGTGTAGCTGTGTCCCTGGTGAGACCACGAGTTCTTCGAATGTTCGCAGGCGTACAGGTACCGGAGGTGCGGGTACAGCAGTGGGAGACGGTCCAAGCGGTCGTCATGACTCTCGAGCTGCACGACACAGGCGAACGGCGAAGCACTGAGCCCCGGAAGCGAGTGGTCCACAGGCGTGCCGGCGGCCGCTCGAATGCAAGGCAGCGACGCCAGGTTGGAGGCGTCCACAAGCTGTCCCGCCGTGCCGGCGGTCATGACAAAGGAATCGACGGACGCTACTCCGCAAAGCACCGAGACTCGGTAACGGCCCTTCACGACGAGGACGTTGCCGGGCAAGAGCCCGACCGTCTGCGTCTGCTCACCGAAGACGACGTTCTGCTCCGCCACCAGCGAGAAGTTCGAGTGCAGAATGGGCACAAAGTGGTCTGTGGCCGCAGCCCCGTTTACGAACATCGCAGCTCCTCCGAGCCCCAGGTCGAATGCCATTCCCCCCATCTCTGCAACGGGCGTGTCGTTTTCATTGGCGCCGGCGCTGGCTCTGCTCGTGTTGTCGTTGTGGTTGCCGTTGGTTTCACGGTCTGACTCCGAATCCGAATAGTTCAACGCTGCAAACGCACTCAGGCGTGCAGACATCTTTCAGGGACTGAGGGAAGAGCTGGTGGCTGTCTCTTCTTCTTCTTCTGCCGCTTTTCCTCTCTTTTCAGGCCTTTTCAGACTCCGTTTGCACCTCTTTTTCCGCTTCCGGTCTCGAAGGCTCAGATTCATGTCGAGAAAAAAAATTCTTGTTGCCCCGTTGCCCCGTTGCTGCGCCACGCCGCCGATCGACCGTAAACGCCTTTTTCTTGCTGCGCCACGTCTTTTGCTCCAGCCAATCAGCGGCGCGCCCGCCTGCATCCCTCCGAGCCAAATCAACCCACCGGCCCGCACAGACGCCAGACACACAAATTTTCCGCCTGGCAGGCGGTCTCTGGGGCCTCCGAGCAGGCCTTACGTGAGAGCGAGTGGTGCTGGCCCTGACACTCAGGAGCTCTGCGAGTGGACTAAGCTTATTTTATTCATAGTGGCCTTCTCTGAGCAGGAGCTATTGTTGTGTCACACACCACAGCAGACCCCCTATTAGTAGCTGACACAAACACACGCAAACACATACACACATAGACAAGATGGCCGACTACAAGTTACAGACCCCGGGTTTCGACGCAAGATTCCCACAGATGAACCAGACCAAGCACTGTTTCCAATCTTACCTCGACTACCACAAGTGTGTCGCCATCAAGGGCGAAGACTTTGCACCATGCAAGGTTTTCTGGCAAACCTTCCAATCCCTCTGTCCAGGTGACTGGGTTGAGACCTGGGACGACCAGAGAGCAAACGGCACCTTCCCAGGTGACTTGTCCATCGAGAGATTCAAATAAATGTGCTGACGAAAGTTCTGCGCTGGTCTCCCCTTGACTACCACCATCATTTCTACTCTTATTATTACTACTATCACAACTATTATTATTATTATTATTACTCCTGCCACTCCTGCTACGGCCCTGGTGCTTTTTCCATTATCATAGAATCTGAAATATGTTCCTAGTGATGAAGAAAATATAGATCAACCAACCATTGGAAAGGGAGCAACCTTTCACTTCGAACATCTCTTCTACTTTCTAAATCTATTTTATTTTATATTTATTAGTATAGTTTACGAGTATCTTAAAAAAGAAAAAAAGATCAACACGGTCTTCAGGACTGCTGCATGCTCCATCCGTTTGACACGAGGTTCTTGAACTTGCTCACATAGCGCACCGACAGCTGTTCGTGCCGGTGGAAGTTTATGTACGTGTACATCACGGGCACCTTCACCAGCTTGTCGATCCTTAATACCTGATTGAGCGTCTCCCGGTCGTACAACCCGTCCTCATCCTTGCCAAAATCGTTCTTCTTCCCTGTCCTTTTTCGCACACTCACTCGTCTCTCCATCAAGGTGTAGTCTATAAAGTTCAGTTGCGTGTAGTTCCGCCGTATCTTGTCCTGGCTCACCACCTGTCCGGAAATCACCACCTGGTTGTACTCGGGCAGCTTTGCAATCGACGTGTTCCGGAACCCGCTTCTCCCAGGCCCTTGCTCCGTCATATCGTAGTCCTGCAGCTGCAGTATCTTCTGCTTCAATATCTCCACTATCGTGACCATCTTTTGTATCGAATCGCCGGTCGCAATTAGTATAATCTCCTTGTTACCATCGTCACCCTCACTTTCTCCCTCTTTGCGTTCCTCGATGAACCTCAATATCTGGTCCATTTGTCGTCCTATCTTCGAATTCTTACTCAGTGGTATATAAAGCACCCTTTCGTTCTGCTCATTGAATACCTTCCCGCCAATCACACTGAAATCAAACGTGTCGGAGAGGTCCATGTTCTGTGAAAATTTGGCTAATGATCCAGATTCATCTCCTGAAAAAACAGGGGTTGACGCCCTTTTCCCTTCTCCTGCGTCGTCTTCACTCTCCAACTTTCGTTTCATGCTAGTATATATTCTATTTATTGCTTTTGTCAAGACCACGTCTGAGACCTAGCAGCTTTATCCCTGTGAAACTTAACTCGGTATCATCATGTTTCCAGTCTTTTTTAATGAAAATATTCTAGATACTCAAAAATTCTAAAAACATGAGAAAAAATCAAAAATCCAGAAAATAGAAATTCTCGAAACTATGTTTTGCTTTTCTACGTGTTCATACATAAGCTTCCAGACGCTACAGTAAGATACGTCCAACGTATTCAGCCATAGCTGGCCCATCAATCACAGAGGGAACCAATTAACACTCAACACCGGACATACTTCTTGCAAAAATGTCGTTAATCTCATCCACACAAACACTAAGGGTGAGGCAAATAACCAACTTGAAAAAGATGCTTCATCTCAACATCGATGTAGATAATGAACTTGTGACATCCACAGACGAAACCGATCTAATATGGAAAGTGTTGATTCTTGACAACAAGTCAACTGCAATTGTGTCTTCAGTTTTGAGAGTGAACGATTTGTTGGAATTTGGTATTACTGTCCACGCCTTGATCAACCAACGAAGAGCTCAACTTCAGGACGTGCCTGTAATTTATTTCGTCGAACCAACAACCGAAAATGTGGCAACCATAATCAGCGATTTGGAAAACGACCAATATTCACAATTTTACATTAATTTCACCTCAAGCTTGAGTAGATCTTTATTGGAGGAGTTTGCTAAAAGAGTGGCATTGACCGGGAAGGCTGATAGAATCAAGCAAGTGTTTGACCAATATTTGGATTTTGTGGTTACAGAACCGAATCTCTACTCCTTGGACATGAAGAATGTTTACTTCCAATTTAACAATCCACAGACAACTGAAAGTATAATCAATGAGAAGGTCGAAACGATCGCTAGCGGAATCTTTTCCTCTATCTTAACCATGGGTTCTGTCCCTATTATTAGAGCAAACAAGGGCGGGCCAGCAGAATTTATTGCTCAAAGATTAGATGAGAAATTGAGAGATCATGTCATAAACACCAGGCGGTTGTCTCTGAATAACCCAAACAGTTCTTCCGGTGCGTCGAGCAATATCTCAAGTGATAAAGCTGTTTTAATTCTGTTGGACAGAAACGTGAACTTGACTTCTATGTTTGCTCATTCTTGGATTTACCAGTGTATGGTTGCTGACGTTTTTAAGTTGGAAAGGAACACTATCAAGATTGAGAAAAACTCAGGCAGTAATGGCAGTGAAAAGGTGGAGGTTAAGAAATTCGATATCGAACCAAAGGATTTTTTCTGGAATCAAAATGCATCTTTGCCTTTCCCAGACGCCGTGGAAAATGTTGAGAAAGAGTTGAACAAATACACCAGCGATGCCAAACAAATAACTGCCAAGACAGGTTACTCTTCGATCCAAGACATCGATGTGAACGATCAAGCCGATACCCAACACATTCAGGAAGCAATCAAGTCATTGCCTGAATTGTCCCACAGAAAAAATATCATTGACATGCACATGACAGTTTTATCAGACTTAATAAAAGAGTTGGATTCCAAGAATTTGGATTCCTTCTTTGAGATTGAACAAAATCTAAACGATCCAAAAGTTCAAAGGCAATTGTTGGACATTCTATCCACAAACTCTAAGGCTGATAATTCAATGGATAAATTAAGGACCTATATTATACTATTTTTATCAAGTGACTTACCAAAGTCTTTTTGTGATGAATGCGAGTCAAAGCTAGCACAGCTTAATATTGATCTTTCACCATTGAACTACATCAAGAAAGTTAAGGAGTTCAGTAAGTTAACGGAAATGTCCTTATCGACAAAGACAAATCCAGGAAACGAATCCTCATCATACCTTGCTAACAATGGAGCTTTATTTTCCAACTTATCTTCAAAGTTGATTAACTTGGCTGACGGTTCAAGTAAAATCAGTGAAGGCTTTGGTTCTTTGGTTAGTGGAATCAAAAAGCTTTTACCAGAGAAGACGCATTTGGCTGTTACGAACATTGCAGAGGCCATTATGAATCCTACTCAAGCTAATGCCAATTCTCTCAAACTGACGGATGATTATTTGTACTATGATCCAAATATCACTAGAGGATCTCACTCCAAGCAACCAAAACGTAAAACATATAACGAAGGTATGGTTTTCGTCGTTGGAGGAGGTAACTATTTCGAATACTCAAATCTACAAGACTGGTGCAGCGATTGGAATGTTAAGCAAGGTACATCAAATGGTGCAGTTAATGGTGGTAGTCCAACAAAAATGGTTTGTTACGGATCTACTGAAATCATAACTGCCACAGAGTTCCTTGAAGAGTGTAGAGAGTTGGCAATGACATGAATTCGATAAGCAAAGATAGACCGATGGTGTGGTTCTGTATAATACTAACTTTCTAAACATGTCTATTTCTTTTATTATGCAATAAGTGGCTTTAGCGCTGTCAACAACGTAATATTACTAGTTGTAACAGTGAATCCAAAAAGAAGATCTTTTTCAATATGGGAACGAAAATTGTGATTAATTATACATATTACTAAAGATTCTTTTATATATTTTTCTTGACTTTACTTTGATAGAAGCTTAAACATTATAAATAACCTTGACCTTGCTCTAAGACTTTTGTACTACGTTGAGCATCTAAAAACAACACTTGACATTCATCAACATCGTCAGAACCAACCTCTTTTCTTCCGCCAATTTGTGCCAATATGTTTGCTGGTGATAACAACTGCAAAGCATATCTGAGAGATGCTCTTGTTGCAACTTCTGATAATTTATCTAGAGCTTCATTAGACACCAAGATACTCTCAATCTTGGATCTCTTGAGAATAATGTTCTTAATCTCATCATAGCTGTAAGCTGACGTCTTGACAATCAACAACCTATCGATCAAATCAGGTGGAATGCCGTGTGGCGATTTTATGTCTTCTGCACCCCTCACTGTTGTCAAGCCTCTGTTGGATGCAAGAATCACCACCGGAGCAATTGTGGACTCCAACGCTCTATTCAAAAATGTGAAACATTCGATATCAAGCATGTTAACTTCATCAATGAACAAAACACCAGGGACTAACTCCGCCACTCCTTGGTCGATATATTTAGAGACCATTCTGTTCACCTCTGTTCTAAGTTTTTCTGTAATCTCGGTTTTACGAGGTTTGAGTAGTTGTCCCATCATTGACAAAATGTCTTGACCACCTTGTGGTCTGGCATTTGCAACATCCAAATCGTGCAATGTGATATCTTGAACAATTTCCTTCTTCTTGTGAACCTCACCCTTAGGCAATGGAACGTATTCTTCCGCCTCTAGATCAAATTCAGTAGCATATGCATCCGATCTACCAACTCTTTTCACAGCACCTGTGTTTGCTTCAATATATATGACATCACCAACTGATACCTTCTCCTTTTGTATTGACTCATATATTGAAGGATCAAGCTTCAAGTTTTTGGTACCCTTAGAAGTTTTTAATCCAACAAGAACGTGTTTGATGGTCTTACCGTAACCACCCAATGGGTTCTCGGCCTCCTCTGGGGTAAGCTCGACGATTTCACCCTCGTAAACTTCTTTGGTTTCTTTGATTCTCAAACCAATTGCTTTTCTAAAGTTCTCCATCAAAGCCTCAGTTTTTTTCACTTCAACAGAATATAATTCTGATCCAACAATGGGGCAAAATGGAACCTTTGGGCCCAATTCTTGCGAAACTGCCAATGCCAATGCGGTCTTACCTGTACCTGGACCGCCGGCAAGCAAAATGGCCTTACCACTCATTTTTTTGGTTTTAATCAAATCGACGACAATACCACATGCTTCACGAGCTTCCTTTTGTCCAACAAATCCATCGTCGATCTGTTTGGCAAATCCACGCTCATCAAGGCCTAGCCCTTTGATATGTGTATGGGCAGCAGTCCGGTTGTCTTTGGTCACGGTCGAGGTCACATTGGCCGTGTTGGCCGGTTGCGCCTCTTCAACTGGTGCTGGCGTTTGTGCTGGGGCTGGTGCTACTTCAGACATCGTTGCTCTTAGTTTGTGAACTACCACATATACCGAAGCCAGCGATGAGTTACCAGTGTGTATGTGTTATGTTCGTGAAACTTTCAGCAACAAAATTTGCCGTTCGTCAAGACTTTTTCCCATCTCCAATCTCGCACTTGTGTGAACCAGGCGAAGCGGCAAAATCCAATAAAGCTACGAGGCTACCACGTTGAACCTAGGTGGTGACTAGGGGGTGACGAAATAAATAAATAGTTAGAGAAAGAGTGCACTACACAAGGTAAATATATAAGTGGTTTGCATGGGCGTTGACAAACGTAGTTTCGGAATAAATCAGAACATCTTAAGAGGTGTAGCACAAGCCGACCGCCTGTGGGAAACGTTGTTTACTCCTCTTTGAATACATAAGGACCTGGCTTTCTGATGACATCAAACTTCATGTGAGAGCCATCAACAAGCTCCCCCTTGTGAGTGCACCATGCCTCGACCTTGTCGAGAGGACGGACTGGACCCACACCCTTTGGAGTACCGGTCAAGATAACATCACCGGGGTACAAAGTCATGATACTGGACATCTTGCTGATGAATTTGTGGATAGGGAAGATCATCAAATCAGTCAAATCGCTCTGTCTGTGTTCGTCGTTAACCTTTAGGTTCAATTCCACTGCGTAAGGATCCACGATCTGGGCCTTGGTGATAAAAGGACTCAATGGCATGAAAGTGTCAAACCCTTTGCCGATGGTCCATGGCAAACCCTTTTTCTTAGCTGCATCCTGGACGTTCCTGGCAGTCATGTCGATGGCTAATGCGTATCCATCGATAGCGTCCAGTGCCTCGTCGGGACCGAACTTGTCGGGGTCCAAGTTCTGGAGCTTCTTACCAATGATACATGCCAACTCAACCTCATGGTGAGCAATGACATTCTCTGGAATCTGGATTGGACCTTGTCCTGGTATGAGGGCAGAGGATCTAGGTTTCAAGAAGAAGAATGGCTCTGTTGGCTTCTGATTATTGAGCTCCTTGATGTGGGCCATATAATTACGGCCTATGCACAAAAATTTTCCAGCATTCTTGATGTAGTTGAATGACATAGCTGACTTGTAGTGATGCTCGTCGATATTTCTACAGAGGCTTTCCCGGGCCCTCTCCGATATTGTAGAGTTGTCGAAGATCAGTTTCGAAGATAGTGGAGAGGCTTTTATAGCGTCGCCAACCGCTGGCGCGATCGGAATTGGAGTCGGAGTAGCAGGGTAGACAGGAACTTGTCGGCAAGTATGCGGGAGTCTATTTGCTCGGCACACCACGGTTAGAAGCAAAGGCGACACAGTGCCTTTAGGTGGGCAGATAAAATACATTTTAAGAACTAAATATGACAGAATTAATTTAAATGTGGAATGGTATGATGTGGTTGGCGGACGGCTGAGCATGGCGGTAGCTCGTCTTCTTGCTCTATCTTCTTCCATCACTGGGAGGTAGAAAGCCTGCCCTGTCTTTCAATGGCCTTGTTGGTAGTATGCGCTACAGCAGCGGCAACGGCGGCCTGGACGTTGGTGCCGGAACCGTTCAGCAGCTGTGGAACCTCATCGGCATTGATGTTTTCCGGACTCTGGTGGGCCTCTGGTATTTGGGCCACATAGTTGGTGGCATTGAGAATCGTGTTCAAGCTCTGGATGCCGCCCACCTGCTCGATCAGAAGAGAACAGTCCCGGTGAGCGTAGAGAATGGTACGTAGTGTGAGGGCATGCTCGCGCAGAGTTCCCACCTGATCACGAAGCAGCTTGTTCTCGGCTTTGTATTCTTCCAAGTCATACTTCATGTTCTCAATCATCTCCTTCTTTCTCTGCCGACATTTCGAAGCAGCCACTCTGTTGCGTTCAAGGAAGTTTTGGCGCTTCTCCTCTTCCGTGGCAGGAGCCTTCTTCTTTGACTTTGCAGACTTGGCCTTGACAGACGAAACACTCTCGGGTGACCCAGTTAAATTTGGAGATGATTCTTCCATCTTCACGCTCTTGGCTCTTTTTGTATCGTGATTTACTTCTGAAGAGCTTGATAACCTTTTCCTGGTGTTGCTGGTAGCAGTAGTGCCTTTTTCTGCTCTTGGCATAGGAATCTCATTGATGTATGAGGACTCATTCATGACGCCTACGTTGAGGCTGGAGTTAGCTAGAGGGATGATAGTGTCTTTGGAAGCAGGAGATACAGATGCCTGATCGCTAGTCGGTCTAATGTTATTTGTGGTTGTGTGAGTTGTAGATGTAGAGCTTTTATGCGAGCGGTTGAATTGTGTGCCATCCACGATTCCCGCTTGCCCATCAACTGATATGCCTCCCTTGATGTTTGCATTGTTCATGTCCTGATGAGTTTGTCCTGGATCTAGGTTCGATAGTGTTTTAACATCCAAATTTCCCAAAGTCGGTATATTGAACCCGGTTAACCCTGTAGACAACGGTTTTCTAATATCGGAACCAACTCCAATAATGTTGCTGGCATTGTTGTTGTTGGTATTTGTCGTATTGTTCGTGTTGTTAGTGGTGTTGGTAATGCTGGTGTTATTAGTGTTGTTGCTTCCGACCGAAAGCGATGATCCGTTCATGGGCATCTGAGAATTTGGGGCCATAGGAAAGTATGAATAGAGAGAGCTATTTTGAAACATGTTGACCCCAGGTGTCAGGCCTGTCCGAATGGAACTCTCGTTCGGAGTTAGACCTGATCTTTTTGCGTTCATGATGAAGTTGTACATCTGCATTGGCTGCTGTTGCTGCTGCTGCTGCTGCTGTTGTAGTAGTTGTGGAGGTTGTGGAGGTTGTGGGGGTTGTGGATGTTGTTGAGCCTGTTGAGGTTGTTGAGTCTGTTGAAGTGCTTGAGCCTGTTGAGGTTGCTGAGGTTGTTGTTGCTGCTGACGTTGATCTAGTGTCAACTTATCTTGCTGCTCAGCATTCGCTGAATCTGAAAGTTGAGCTGCTGTAACATCCATTAAATTATGTGAGTTCGGCTGTTGCATCTGCTGCAGTTGCTGTACTTGAAGTTGTTGCAGCTGCTGCAGCTGCTGTTTGCTGGGTCCTTTTCCTTGATGCTGAGTTTGTTGAATTTGCTGTATCTGCTGTATTTGTTTCTGCAAGTTTTGAAAGTTTTTGTTCTGAATTTGTTGTTGCTGTTGCAACTGCTGTTGGGTCATTGCCAAAGTGTTTGGTGATAAAGCTCCCAAAGAAGCAACATTAAGCGGTGTGTTCTGTTGCTGCAACAGTTGTTGCTGTTGCTGGACGCCGGGGGTCAAAGGAAACAGTGAATTCCAGATACCAGGCGTGGCAATGAACGAGCCACCGCCGGGAGATAAGAAACCAGGCAGAGGAGGCAATACACTTGATGCCATCCTTTTTGTCCCACCCGGAGTTAGTACCGGTGGAGACATCGAGCTGTGATCCAATCTATGCGAAAGATTGAAGGACACGTTGGAAGGTTGCTTTGGCAAGTTTTGCTGGATGTGTTTTACATTGAAGTCTAGTGGTGCCTCATTTTGCTTGATGTTCTGAGAGTGCTGAGAATTAGGGGTATTGGTGTTTGCCACTGAGCTTCTGGAAAGCGATGTGTTACTTTGGGAGTAAGGGAGGATTTCCTGCTGTGGTTGTTGGTTTTGTGAGTCCAGTTGCTGTTTTTGCTGCGGTTGCTGCTGTTGAAGCTGAGGTGGAGGTTGTTGCTGATGCTGATGTTGATGTTGATGCTGATGCTGATGCTGCTTTTTCAAGTGCTGAGCTTGTTTCTGAAGCACAGCGTCCTCATCGTACTTTCGCAGGTTGTTCAACTGCGTATCGCTCTGCGGCTTGATCAGGGGCTTGGAGCCGTCAGCAGCACCGGCGAGGTTCTCTGATATGCCATCTTTGCTGCCGTTAAGCTTCCCCGGGCCAACCTTGCCCGAGATCAGTAACGCATCGTCGTTCTGTGCAAACGACTGCTCAAATGGGTTAGGTTCCAGGTCTAGAGTTTTTGTGTTCGAGAAGGTAGACACAAGATCCGGGTTCGATCGGGAGTTTGTGTTGGAGATGGAGACCATGTTTGTGGTCACAGTGGAGGAAGGCAAAGACATGCCGGTTCAAGTCCGCTGTGCTGCAAAGATAAGAGGAGCAGAGTGGCGCTGGTGAGGCAATGATGATGCAAGATGCAAAGAAAGTATGAGGAAGTAGTGCCGCTGGGTGTGACGCAGTGGACGCTAAATGCAGAAAGTACCCTAGCTCAACCGAAACGAAAATCAGAAATATCAGGATCAGTAAACGCCGTCAATGACTTTCAGGTAGGAAGCCAGAGTGAACGTGTATGCTGATGCAACAACAATAAAAAACGGTTAGATAACGGTACGGAGCCGACAAGCAGGCGCAATGGGGACTCAGGGGTATGATTTCTGATCGATGATCTAATGGGTGCTTCCGAGCGGTATCGGTGAAGGCTGTGGTTATGAAGGTGGTGTAGCAGCTGTAGACGGAGGAAAAGCCAAAAGGGCTAAAGACGGATTAACCTTGGCAAAAGCATTGGGTAGCCATTACATCATATGAAACGAAGGGGGGGGGGATGATGGCGGGCGAGCGTCAGAGGAAAAAAAAGAATCAGCAGGGACAGGAAACAAGGAAAAAAAAGGAAAAAAAGCCGATCGACCCTATGATAACGTAAGCGGTATTTTACTGCTTGTTATATTTTTGTATTGCGATACGAATCCGGGGAAAACCTGGAAAGAGAGAAGCGAAAAGACAGAAAGAAAGGGGCCAGGGCCAGGGCCAGAGAAAGATAAAGGAGGCTCGTGTGGTGGCGACTAGAATGGCTTCCTTGTTTGCCACAATTGGGACTGCCTAGATGGCCTTTGGAACATCTACTCTTTGCACAACACTGCTCGTATAGCCAGTCTTCATGTCTCTAGCTCTGAACCGGAAGATGACGACGAGCGGACATGATGAGCACCCGCTTGCCTACGGGGAAGGCTCTGTCACCAGTACAGGCGTGACGCCACACCACTCCTTGAAGTACTGTGCAATGTACGGAGTTGGGGGAAAGACATCGTTTTTCGGGCCGGACGTTCCGCAGCCTAACAACATCCCGGCGCAGAAGCTTTCGGCGGCGGACTACAACGACTTGGTGGACGTGTGCGGTGACTCTTGGAGAGCGGTGGACTACGCCTGCTGCGACTCGGCCCAGATCGCCCAGTTGAAGACGAACTTGGCGAAGGCAGACGCCTTGATCTCGTCGTGTCCAGCGTGCAAGGAAAACTTCTACCAGCTGTTCTGCCACTTCACGTGCTCGCCGGACCAGTCGCAGTTTGTCGACATCGTGTCCACGCAGACGGCGATGAACGGCAACGAGATTGTTGACGAGCTGAACTTTTTTGTCGACCCGGAGTTTGCGTCTCCGTTCTACGACTCCTGTAAAAGCATCAAGTTTGGTGTCACCAACAGCTATGCAATGGACCTCATTGGCGGTGGCGCCAAAAACTACTCCGAGTTCCTGAAGTTTCTCGGCGACAAAAAACCCCAAATTGGCGGCTCTCCATTCCAGATCAACTACCTATACTCTCTCGACGGCGACGACCAGAGCAGAAACATATCCCTTTTTGAGCTCGACGCACGGGCCTGTAATGACTCCGATCCGAAGTTTGCTTGTGCATGCTCTGACTGCCCGCAGGTATGTCCCTTACTCGAAACACTTCCACACCACGAACAGTGCCAGGTCTACAACATTTCCTGCACATCCTTCACGGTGCTCATATCCTATTTCATAGTATTGTTCTCCTACTTCTCTATTGTCTTCTACCTTAGATACAGAAATAACAGGAAAACGAGAAAGCAAACCTTGCTAACAGACGACAATGATCTGCTAGAAGCTTCAATTTTACAGACTACAGACTCTCCGGAAATTACAGATATCTCTTTTTCTTCCCAGAACACCCTGAACTTGGTGTCATTGCATTCAAGGAAATCATACATCGTTAACAACTATTTGGAGCACTATTTCTATAAATTGGGTTCTTTCTGTGCAACGTACCCCAGTTTGATTTTGTGGACTACGTCAGTTTTTGTTCTATTATTGTCGTCTTGTGCTTACTTTACCCAAATCGAAACCAACCCTGTCAACCTATGGGTAAGTCCAACTGCAGATGCGTTTATTGAGAAGGGTAAATTTGACGAGAGTTTTGGTCCTTTTTACAGAACGCAACAGATCATTATTTCGAACTCAACCGGAGACTCAATTTTACAAGATTACGAGTTTGTACAATGGTGGTTTGAGAAGGAGTCACAAATGATAACCTTGAAAGCCAACGTAAGCATTGACGGATTCGATAATGATGTCACATACGATGATGTCTGCTTCAAACCTTTGGAAGATACCTGTATTTTGGAAAGTTTCACCCAATACTTCAATGGCGATTTAAGTAATCTCCCCGAGAGTTCAGACTGGAAGTCGAAAATATCCAAATGTGCCACTTCTCCAGTGGAATGTCTACCAAGTTTTCAACAGCCCTTGAAGAAATCGTTAGTTTTTGGGGGTGGAAAAACTGATGATGTTTTGAGCTCAAAGGCCATCGTCGTGACGCTATTGAATAACAATGACAACGATCCAAATAGTGATCAAGTGCGCAAAGCTTTTCAATGGGAGACGGCATTGAATGATTTTATCTTAAACAATATCACTGAGGAAGCAAAAGAGTTCGGGGTAGAAGTGAGCTTCATGACCGAAATTTCATTGGAAAAAGAATTGAACAAGTCAACGAATACAGATATCAGAATTATTGTGATATCTTACCTCGTTATGTTTGCTTATGCGTCATACGCATTATTGATAAACCAGAACACCGGTATCTCTTTTGTCAATACATCATTTATTACTCCCTTTGGCAATATATCAGGCAAAAACTTTATACTCCGGTATCTAGCAAAAACAAGATTTTCTTTGGGATTGATAGGTATTCTTATTGTACTTTTCTCAGTATTTTTGTCTGTTGGTTTTTGGAGCTTGTTTGGTTTGAAAGTGACTCTGATAATTGCTGAAGTTATTCCTTTTTTGATTTTGGCTGTTGGTGTCGACAACATTTTTTTGATCACCAACGAGTATTCCAGTATAGAAAAGCTAACCATTACAAATTCTTTGCCAATAAACGAAAAAATTGGTAAGACTATGGCTAATATTGGACCAAGTATTCTGCTCAGCTCTTTGTGCCAATTTATATGTTTCGTATTGGGAAGTTTTGTTGGTATGCCTGCAGTGAAAAACTTTTCGTTATACATTTCAGTTGCGATCATTTTTAACACTTTACTACAGTTGACTGCGTTTGTTTCAGTATTAACACTGGATCAACGTCGTTTAGCAGAAGGAAAATTGGATCTATTGCCTTTTATCAAAATTGAAAGAGATGCAGTGTCTTTACCAGCAGATCCTGCAGACGTCGAGCGTTCTGAAGAGCTGAATAATAATTTGGCTCAAATGTTGAATGAGAGCGACAACAATGATGACGGTTTTATCAAGTCGTTTCTCAAGAACAGCTTTGGTCCTTTAATTTTTAGGCCTGCAGTGAAAAATATTATATTCTTGTTGGTCCTTTCAGTTTTCGGAATATCACTGGCCTTAATCCCAAATTTGAAACTAGGGTTGGATCAAAGAGTTGCGGTGCCGTCAGACTCATACTTGATCCACTATTTTGATGACCTTTACCAATACCTTGATGTGGGGCCACCAATTTACTTTGTTGTTGAAGGTTTAGACGTGACTCAAAAGGCCGAGCAACAAATGCTCTGCAGCAAGTTTACTACGTGTGGTTCATTCTCTTTGGTTAACATCATTGATCAAGAGTACGTGAGGTTCAACGAAAGTACGGTTGCAGAACCTGTTGCAAGTTGGATTGACGATTTCCTATTGTGGTTAAATCCAGATTTGTCCGAATGCTGCTTGTTGAAGAAGAATTCGCCAGATAAATTGTTCTGTCCACCTTTCTCATCTCCAAGAGTTTGTGATAGCTGTTTTGCAAACAGGAAATGGGACTATCAAATGCATGGTTTCCCTGAGGGAGAAGAGTTTATGGAGTTCTTTGAGGCATGGATCGATGCTCCGTCATATCCTTGCCCACTAGGAGGGAAAGCGCCATATTCAAGTTCCGTCTTTTTGGAAGATGGTTACATTAAACGATCCGCTTTTAGAACTTCACATACGCCTTTGAGATCACAGGACGACTTCATCTCAGCATACCACAACTCATTAAGGATTGTTGGTGAAGTGAAGAAGGCAAACCCGGATGTTCAGCTATTTGCCTACTCTCCGTTCTACATTTTTTTTGTTCAATACGAGACAATTAGAAGCCTAACATTTACTTTGTTGAGTGTCGGGTTAATCCTCGTTGGACTTATCATGATGCTCTTACTTGGATCTTTGCGTAACTCAGCTGTTTTTGTTGCAAACTTGATACTCATCATCGTTAGCATACTTGGCTGGATGGTTCTTGCTGACATCTCCCTTAATGCCGTATCACTTGTCAACCTTTTGATTTGCCTAGGGTTGAGTGTGGAATTTTCGGTCCATTTGTTCAAACACTTCAACTTCAACGAAACGCAAACCGAAGGTCCTCGAGACGGCAATAAACGGAGTCGGGCCTACGGATCCTTAATCTACATCGGATCGACCACCCTCGGTGGTATCGCCCTGACAAAACTTATTGGTATAGGAGTGTTGAGTTTCACAAGAAGCAAGATTTTCCGCTTGTACTATTTCAAGATGTGGGTCGGGCTAATAGTCATTGCCTCTGTCCACGCTCTCGTTGTTGCACCACTCTTGCTCAGCATGTTTGGCAGCACTTCTGTGTACGGAAAGAGCAAATGGAGCAGAGTTGTTTGCGACGACATCATTCGCCGCCAACGGGAGACTCTGAACTAGCAGCCACAACCCCGTCCTCTAAATTCCTTTCCCCAGACCTCAGCGTCTGGATGTATAATTATGTAACGTAACGTACACTCTCCACATTTCAAACGTGTTGAAAAGAAAAGTGAGAAAGAGAGAGAGCGCTGTCCAGTGAGAGGGTGCACATCAAAAATGCTTGGTGTAGCACAAGAAACGAAAACGGTTAGGAACAAGGATGTTGCGAGTATTACTTTCGAAAGTGGAGACCTTTTCTTAGCCTACAATATAGCAGAGCAGGCACAGGAGATTACATATCAAGTATATGGTACAATACGGTCTTGCATGTATATATAGTACAGAGAGTGTTTCCAAAAGCAACCCCAGATCCAGACCCAGACCTAGACCGGAGACCAACATTAAAGGTTTTCACAACGTCACAGTACTTCACAGAGTCGACATATATAAGGCCTTGCAAGTGAGATGTTCACTCCTTTGAAGTCCACACAGGCGATACCACATTCGCATCCATACCCGCCATCTGATTCACCTACATCTTCCTCACCGGGCTCTCCCTCATTCCCCTCCGGAAAAAATGGCAAAGACACAGAAGATAGGAGAACCAGCAGCAATCATGACACAAACAACAACACAAATACAACAGAAAACAAAGGAACAGAGAATATACCCTCAATATGGGCCTGTGCCTTGGCTGGAGGTCTTGGAGGGTTGATCGGCGATTCTTCAATGCACTCACTCGATACAGTGAAAACTCGACAACAGGGAGCATCTCATATAAACAAATACCGTGGAACCTGGGCTGCATATGGTACCATTTTCCGAGAAGAAGGAATCTTTCGTGGCTTATATGGTGGATACAGTGCTGCCATGCTAGGATCTTTGCCTTCTTCAGCCGTCTTCTTTCTGTCCTATGAGGCTATCAAACGATATGAGGTCAACGAACTCGGGATACCAGAAACGCCTGCTTTTTTGGCGGCTGGGTTCTTGGGCGATTTATTTTCAAGTGTGTTTTACGTGCCGTCTGAGGTGTTGAAGACAAGACTGCAATTGCAAGGTAGACACAACAATGCCCATTTCAAATCTGGATATAACTATAAAGGGTTCATAGATGCTGCGGCCACCATAATTCGAACTGAAGGACCAGGAACCTTGTTTTATGGATACAAAGCTACGCTGACTAGAGACTTGCCATTTTCGGCCTTCCAATTCACATTCTATGAAAACTTCCGCCAATGGGCTTTCCAGCTAACTGGCACTCATGGGAAAGTCGATTCATTTAAACAAGCAGAAACAATATCATTACCCCTGTATGCTGAACTTTTAACTGGTGCAGCAGCGGGTGGTTTAGCAGGTATTCTCACTACTCCTTTGGATGTGGTGAAAACAAGAATGCAGACACAGAATGGTACCTCTGGTGTCATTCTAAAATCAACCTCGATCATTTCCAGTTTGAGAACCATTTATACAGTGCAAGGTGTGTCGGGTCTCTTTTCTGGAGTAGCACCCCGTTTTGTGTGGACGAGTATGCAAAGTTCCGTCATGCTTCTGTTATATCAAGTATTCTTGAAAGCGTTCAGCACAGGTGAACTGGACCTGGAAGGGTAAGTATACCTTTTACAAGATTCTCAACAAAATATTCATAGCTGAAGAGTGCAAATTCGTGAATTAGAATAATTAGTGTAGTCATCAATATTATTACTATCTCATCCCATTGCCAACTCAAACATTGGTTACTTGTACATTGATAACATAAGCAAAATCCATACCTAGATCCAATATCAGACTTATTGCATAAAAAACATGTCAATATCTCTCTTCTATTTATTTACTACCATTCAGTTTATTTATTCATTTATAAATTTAAATATTTATACACTTTTTTGTATAATTATCGGTAAAAAGATCTGATTCTAACAAAGTTTGTCACTATTCAGCAACGCTCGAAAACCTTGTATAAACCAGGCAAGCTTGCAATTTCAATAACATCACGAACCAAATTATCGGTAGCTAAGAACTTACGCTTAACAATGGGTAACAAGAGATTTTCAAAATCGTCGGCAACTTTACGTTTTCTTTGCTCCAAATCATTACGATCATCACTGTCATCATCGCTTATTGACTCAGGTACATAAAACAAAGCTATTTGCCTTAATATTCCTCCCAAACATGCCTTTTCATCATTCCAGTCTATCTTGGATATCACACGAAACAAAAACAAGCTCAACTTATTCCAGCTGGGTATATATCCTTTTACGAGCAAAGGCAAACTTCGAAGTTTTGGGTTTTCTGAGTCCGTCGTATCAATATCAACACTGAAATATTCATCCCACATTTCCCGCATATCAACAAAACAAGTTTGAACGAGTTCATCCAAAGCTGGCAATTTCTCTAAATTATTCTGCTTGCAATAAATTTTGGAAAAATCTTGGTTTTCATAAATTTCTGATCTAATTAGTTTTTTGATATCAATCCCATCGGTGTTAGCAAGCTCTATTTTACCAAAACCTGCAAAATCAGCAAGACCAATATGATAGAACAACTCGGCGCACAAACTTGCATAATCAACAAGGTAAAGGCGCACGTCATGTTGGACACAACAGAGCCGTTTATCATAATCTGCAATTCCTACATAGGTATGCTGTGCAAAAAGCTGAGTTAGCTGACGATTACCACGTTCTTGAAGTTCTTGACGTAATGAACGGATTGACAACAAAGTCAAAGGCTTTCTTTGCCTTTTCTCTATATTTGTCTTCAAGATTTTAGATGAACTGATGTCTTCTGGCTCCTCACTTCGCTGAAGCGTATTCTCATCACTGTCAGCATCATCATTAGGAACATTGATATCGACAATATCTTCCTTATCTTCAACTAGAGTGGGGTCTATAGAATTCGATAGTTTCTGTGATGATTGGGAATTTTGAGAAGGTTTAACGAAATTGTTCAAAGTTGTTTGATTATAATCTGTTCTTACCAATTCATGTTCATAAGGTTTTCGAAATTGAGAAAGAGGTAACTGTTTCGTCTTTTCTTTCACGATAGTTTCTGGATAAGTAAACTTTGACCGCTTATTTCTTCTTTCTTCAACATCATCTTCAATCTTTCGAGTGTTTGTGAGAACCTGTTGAGTTAAAAACTCTCTAGAAGAATCTAGCTTCGACAATATTTGATCAATGGATAATACGATCTGTTCTATTATTTCATCCTCATTTAAAAATCTGACCTCTCGTTTTGTCGGGTGCACGTTCACGTCAACATTTTGAGGTCTGATCTCAAGTGACAAGTAAACAAACGGTTTGTGACCTTTAGGTAAGTAAGTCGAATATAATGAGTTGATTGCCCGTTTCAAAGGTTCACAGATAACTAATCTATTGTTAATAAAAAAAATTGGCTGAATCGCTTTTCTATTCTCAAAACTAGTATTACTTATCATTCCGTGACATTTGTTCAAGCCGAACTCTTCATCAAATTTTTTATCTATTTCTATGTTGACAGGTATCAGATTGTTTGCTATGTTGGATCCATATATGGACCGAATTCGATCTTTCCTGTTTGCAGTTTTTCGGATCATTAGATCCAAGCCGGTCCCACTCAAGCGTTGGCAGTTGAACCCAACATTCTCAACATGAATTGAGTAATTACTAACGACGTCCAAAATTTTGGCATATTCTTCTGTTGCACCTTTTAAAGCACGTAACCTCGAAGGAACATTGTAAAACATATCCTCGACTACTAGAATTGTTCCCGTTTTACCTGCAACAGGTTTGATGCCATCATCAAAACCTCCAACAAGTTCACCCTCCCTATATGTTGTCTTCCAAGCACACTCATCCTGCGCAGTTTTAGTAATGACACTTAGTCGTGCAATATGTGAAATGCTTGCAAGAGCTTCACCACGAAATCCGTATGTTGAAATTTCTCGGAGATCATCAAACGCCACCAATTTTGAGGTAGTGAAACGTTCACATAAAATTGGTAAGTCTTCCTTATTGATTCCTGTACCATTATCTGTAATTTGAAGAAGTTTTAGTCCACCCTCTTTGACCATTATCTCAACCTGGGAGGCACCTGCATCTATAGCGTTCTCAAGCAATTCTTTCAAAGCATTTGATGGGGCAATAATGATTTCTCCAGCTGCAATGAGGTTTACCACACTCTTAGCTAGTGGTAAAATGCGTCGTTTTTCTCCTTCCGTCATCTTTGTTATAGCAGGTTTATGTCAAAGCTGACTTAAATAAGGAAAGTAAGTAAGCGTACAAAAGTTGTTCGATATCTACTTGAACCTGCAAGAAGATAGTTGAAGACGCGTCAAAGTTTGTTGCGCACTTCCCTGAAAAATAAGCCTTCACTAAAGGAAATAAAAAAGGATAGCTCTGGTCTCATGTTTGATCTCTGACTGCATAAGCATTGGATCATTCCTTATGCTGTCGATCTATTTGGATTTATGACTAATTATTGATGTTTTTGAGAATCATGGAATTTGATTAATTGGGATAATAGTAATATTTTTTTTTTGAACTACAAGCAAATAAAAAGCAAATGACTCTTTCCTTGCCACAAATAGTAGCTAAAGAAAATCGAGACAATACTCTGTTTATCTTTTATGCCAACCTTTTGGATGAAAGTGTGGACATTAACGAATCTAAGGTGGTTCAGCTCCTTCGTGATGATTTCAAATTTGAGTTGCTGCTCAGAAACTTGAGTTTACCGCATCAACTGAAAGTGAGAAACATAAAGAGTGAGCTAGATAGGGATGTCAAAATTATCAATATGCTTATTCTGAAATATATATTGAAAAGATATGAAGCAGGAAATGTTCATAGCAACGAATGGGAGGAGTCTAAAAATGAGTATGGAAAGCCGAGTCTCAAACATAGAAACTATCAATATAATATTTCCGATGAGATAGGTATGGTATGTCTTGCCATCGGGTTTAACGAAAAATTAAACTCAGAAGTTGGAATTGACTTGGCAAACCCAGATGACATTCAACGATTTGGAATGTCTGATTTGCGAAGTTTTTACGAAAACGATTTCAGATCGATTTTTGGGGCGAAGGAAATTCTAGAGCTGGATCGATCATTTGGTGATCTTACTTATGATGAACAATTACAAAGGCTCACGCAGATTTGGGCCTTGAAAGAAAGTTTTTGCAAGTACCTCGGAGTGGGCATTACCGCTGGGATGGAGAATTTTGAGTTTCCTAAGCCAAAGAAACCTTCAGTTATTGAAGGTGGTGTTGAAGGCAGCAAAGATTTATTCCAGGTTGTTGCACGTGATATTGAGATGAATTTCACTGGGGTTGTTGATGTAAGGAATGGGTGTTTCCAACTTCCACAAAGTAAGCTCATATGCTCAGTGTTTGGTGACTACAAAAAGGCATGTTTGGTGAAAGTCGATGTTGGCAATATCATAAAGGAGTTTACACAATGAGATGGAAAGAAAAATTATCGAAAAGAAAGACACATCTTGAAAGAAAGAAGTAGAAAGTGTTGTTAAAATATCTATAGACGTGATAGTAAAATTAGTCCAGTTTGAACACCTGTTCACAGAAATGTCTGATCACTGTTTTCCCTTCTTCGAAAGTTGGGTCTTCGTGTCTCACGATTGCAGCTGCATGAGTTGCGTTTGTTTTCGTGATGTAGATTGGGTATTTGGACCATTCAAGCTGGTTCAAATTCTTAATGATTTCCCTCTGGTGGGGAGACATGTTTAATCTGAAAGACTCCAATACCTGGTAGTATTCGAAGGCTTCTTTCTTTGTTTTCCCTAATAACTTGTAGTCGCTTTCCCAATCTGTGATATCGTCTATTGGTATTGAGCAAAGCTTACTGATGGATGTGACCAAAGTTTTATCACCTTGGGATTGTTGGTTGAAGATAGACTGATTCATGTTGTTCGAAGATGTGATTGCATCGAACACGGAGTCTAAGAAAAAATCTCCTTGGTCGTGGAGATCGTTTTCGAGCTTGTTGAGTTCGTTGCTATACCCCTCGCTGAGAGATCTTGACAGAGTGGGCTTTAGCAAAGGCGTCGAAGATGCAGAGTGGATTGGAATAGCGTTTGAGACAGTTGTTGCGACCTGGTCTACAATATTGTAGATGCAGAAGTTATCTTTTAGCCTAGAGGACTCTCTGGTGACTCTGAAAAAAGAGGTGAAGAGCTGTAGGACGTTGAACAAAACGAACCAAGTCATCCACATTGGCACATAGATAAAGGTGTTAAAGAGCAAGATCAGCCACTTGAGTTTTCGGTAAAAGAAGTTTTTCAAATAATCCTCCTCCTGTTTTGCCACCTGGGCGTATTTTGCCAGCTTCTTTTCATTTTCGTAGTTGATCAAACCAGTAAACTTGATTGGTTTGTTGACGTCTAGGATGATTGGAGCAAAAGCGTCAAGGAAGGACAACTCAAATTTTGAGCCGTTGGCGAAGTTAATGAACCCGTCATGGTCTATCAAGACCTCGGGGTTTTTGTCTAAGATCTCAAACGGGTTGATGTAGGAAATCCCAGAACTCCACCAGGAGGTCCGGATGTCTGCTCTGATGTTTGAGTATAGAGAGCGGTATTTAAATTTCTTCAAGCCCTGGACAAAGATCGAGTTCTCCGTGGCCATCAGCTTGAGCAAGGGAACCTTCTCGTCCGAGTGCTCTAGGTGGACGGCGTCTTTCAAAAACATATGTTTGCCGCTGTTGCCCAAAAGATACGGCACCATGTTGTTAAAACATTTGATGCTCAGCGAGTCTCCCGGGGTCAACACGCCCACGTGCGGCGAACAGAAGGTGACGAAGTTGATCGGGGAGATGCTTTCGAAGTACTTTCTGTAGGTGAGCATTCCGATGGCGAAGCGGGCAATGAGCCCACCAAGCGAGTAGCCGATGAGGGAGAACTCAGTGACGAGAAGCCCGTCTCTCGTTCTGAGCTGAGCCGTCTCCTCCAGGATCTCGTCCACGACCCTGGCGCCGCAGAGGTCGATGCCGTCGTACGTCTTGAACTTCTCGTTCGACTTGGTTTTGTAGATCGCAAACCGCTTCTCCGGGTAGGCTGCCGCGAGGCTCTCTTGCAGCAATTCCTCGAGGTAGCTAAAATGGTCAGAGGTGCCCCACAACCCGTGGGATAGCACAATCAAATGGCATTCCTGCAGCTGGGACACTGGGGGAGAGGACATTCAAGAGATACCGAGGTATAAGCAGCTGTACGTGCTGGTCGCCGTATAAAGGGGTGCAGAGCAGACAGATATAGACAGAGCGGTGAAGAGGACCGAACTGATCTGTGGTAGGGTTGCCAGAAGTAGAAGATCAACTGGGGAACGCTGCAGCAACAAAGTCCGGCAAAAATATGTAGCAACGGAGGCTGGCAGGGGGTTAGGCCAAGCAAAAAGACCACGCAAAACCTCCTTCCCCAGGGCAAAACAGCAACAGTTCAAAAGCAACCCCAGGCAGCATCAGAGCCAGAAGGCGGCAGGGAGGTCCTGAAGAAGGCACAGGGGTCGTCTGACGACAGCGGCCTGTGGTGAAGAAAAGCCCGAATGTGCCAGAAGCGGAATGCTCAGCTCTTATCGCCCGCACAGCCTCCCGCGCCGGCAGGGGACGCCCAGAGACACAAAACAGTTGCATCGCCGGCCGCGCTTTGTTTGCCGCCGCGGCGCGGCTGCGTCAGCGGGGCAGCAGCAGACCAGAATGCGGAGAAAAAAGGGCGGCATTTCCAATCGACGCGTCGGCGCCTTTTTTCCGATTTTCGCATTTCCGCCAGATTTTATTTCCGATAGAGCAGCAGCGCCCTTTCCGGGCCGACCGGTTCATCCCGTGCCTGCAAACGGTCGGGACTGCATGTGGCCAGGCTGTACAGGACAGACAGTGTACAAGGAGGGCTGCCTGCCGTTGCAGACGTGACAAGAACGGTTTATTCCTCCGTGTGGTCATGTAGCGGGTGTTGCTGTCGGTGCTGTTTCTGTGTCTGTGTCTTGCTTTGTCACGGCAGAACACAACACAACTCGACTCGTCCACACAATGATTTTCTCACGGCCGATCCGGCTGCTCGGAATCAATTCGACGTCTGCCACGAGACGCTACTCGTCCCAGCGATACCGGGGCTTTGCCAAGCCGGGTGTGTTGCTGTCTGCGTTGCGTGCAGCTGGCCCGGCGGGGCTTCACAGCGGCAGGAAGCCGTTCTCGTTCTCCGCCGCCGCTTGCAGCGGCGGCTCCACCCAGCCTTCCAACTCCGAACCGCCCCACGTTCCTGCGAAAATCGTCCCTCCCCCGGAGAAGAAGCACGAGAGCAGTCCGGGGCGGTACAGCTTTGTCAAAAAGTCGTTCAGGTTCTTCATCGTCGGCAGCGGGGTCATAAGCGGGTCCTTGCTTCTTGTCTTGGGCTCGTTCTTCATCTATGACTACACCACGTACTCCCCGCCCGAGGTGCCGCAAAACCTTTTGATTCCGTTCGACTCGCTGAACCCTCCTATTGGCGGTCCGGAAAACCTTCCGATTCTCGTGAAAAACCTCGACTCTTACGACTCCGCCTCCAAGATCAGCGACATGCAGAAGAAGAAGCTAGTCATCCTTGGCTGTGGGTGGGGTGCAGTCTCGCTGCTACGCCAATTGAGCAAAGACGAATACGACGTTACTGTCATCTCGCCAACCAACTACTTTCTATTCACGCCAATGCTCCCCTGTGCCGCCGTTGGCACCTTGGATATTAAGACCTTGATGGAGAGTATTAGGTCTTTGATTAACAACATCAACGGCCATTATCTGCATGCAAAGGCCGAGCGAGTCGAGTTTTCGGAGAAGCTGGTCAAGGTCCAGGACATGGAGACAAGCAAGTATTTCTATGTTCCTTATGACAAGTTGGTTGTAGCAGTCGGGTGCACCTCGAATAATCACGGAGTGAAAGGTTTGGAGTACACCCACCGCTTGAAAACCGCAGAAGACGCCTTGACTATCAGACGGAAACTTTTGCGCAATTTTGAACAAGCCTGTTTGCCTACCACTTCCGACGCAGAGAGGAAAAAACTTTTATCTTTTGTTGTCTGTGGTGCCGGGCCAACGGGTGTTGAGGTTGCTGCAGAAATCTTTGATCTCATCAACGAAGATCTGCCACGGTTGTATCCAAAGATCTTGCGACAAGAAGTTTCTATTCATATCATCCAGTCTAGATCCCACATTTTGAACACCTATGACAAGAAAATCTCGGAGTATGCAATGGACAGATTTAGCAATGATAGCATCGACTTGTTGGTGAATTCCAGAGTCAATGAGATCTTACCGGACAAGGTGATTTTCAACCAAAAGAAAGAAAACGGTGAAATTGAGCAAAGAGAAATCCCATATGGCTTATGTCTCTGGTCTACGGGAATTGGACTCAATGATCTCACAAAGCAGCTTTCAGACGACCTTAAACCTTTCCAAAGAAACAAAAGAGCATTAGAAACAGACTCTCATTTACGGGTCATTGGGGCCCCCTATGGTGATATCTATGCCATCGGTGATTGCTCAACCGTTCGGACGGATATCGGCGATCATTGTGAGGACTATGTTAGACAGTTTATTCTCAACCATAAGTCAATTAGAGAAAGAGATGAGAGTAAGCTCATCACCGACGCAGATATTAAAAATTTTGAAATCACCCATTCACAGCTAAAAGGTTTATGTTCTGAAATTGCAAAGCACAATCCTTTGGCCTTGGAAGCTTTACTATTAGCAGAAGAGTTGGTTTGCAAGTATGATAAGGAAAATACCGGAAAACTAAAATTCAAGGACTTGAAAATGCTATTTAAAGAGGTGGATTCAAAAGTCACTGCCCTACCTGCAACCGCACAGAGGGCTCATCAAGAGGGAAACTATTTAGGAAAAAAATTGTCCAAGCTTGCCCTCGCTGAAGAGAACTTTCTTCAACATGATATCCATAATGGAGATATTGATGATGCCGTCTCGAAGCCTTTCAAATATAAACATTTGGGTTCTTTGGCCTATTTAGGAAACTCCGCAGTTTTCGACCTACCAGGACATTCTCTTTTTGGAGGATTGGTTGCTATGTACTTGTGGAGATCTGTTTACTTTGCACAAAGTGTAAGTATTAGGATTAGAGTCTTGATGTTCTTTGACTGGGTGAAGAGAGGTATTTTCGGCAGAGACACCATCACCGTCTGAAGTCAGCTTTTTACCAGCTGAGCATCCGCCTTCGCGGCTCGTTTTTTATTTACTAATTTGGTATAAAGCACTATCATTTTGGATACTTATTTATTCTATCTTTTTTTCCCTAACATGAGCGCTGGCCAAAAGAGGAAACTAAGAATTGCCCCCACATTCCAAAACTTCGATTCGACGCCCGATTGCCTTTTCTCATCGGTGGATGTTTTCCTTTTTCTTTAATCCTTGCTCTACTATATCTCTTCTTTCCCTTTTCTTCCCTATATTATATTTTCCTTCTAAGATAACTTTCTTGTATCTGTGATAGGAATCAAGAATTAACTGAATAGGATATCACCCATTCAGATCATAAAGCTGTCTGCTGGTTAGTAAAAGAAGCGTAAAAAAATAAAACATAAACTTACAAAAAGTACAAAACAAATACATAAAAAAAAGTAAAACTCAAAAACTAAAAAACTATAAAGTCCAATTATATAATTAAAAAGTAAAAACAAAAAAAACTCTAAAAACAACAAAAGCTATTCATCAATCTATAATCTTAAAATTCACATCATGACTTCCAATGATTTGAACCAAGCTACAAAAGTCAGTGACCTCTCACTGGATGAAACACATTCTTTTCCCAAAAGTTTGAGATACATCAAGTCAAAGTGGCTGGGAAAAGAGGACAAAAGGATAGATGCTTCATCTAAGGAAAACATTCAGTCTGAGACAGAAGGGCAATCTCCAGTCAGTCGTCCTGCTACCAATCATAAAACTGCAGCAAATATCAATTTTTCCACAAATCCTACAACTATCAATCTTGATGTTGATTCAGATCTTGAAAATCTATCTAAATCTGTCACACCATCACCAGAAAAGGGGAAAAGAAGAAAGGCTTTTCACACAATTAAATCATATTTGGAGAAAAATAAATCACAGCAAAGTATTGAGACTAAGCAAAGTAAAGAGCCTCAAAAAGAAGATTTCTCAAGTGTTTTAGTTCCCGATTCGACACCTTCGTCAAATCAGCTAACTATTTTTGAAGAAAAGCATCATAAAACTGCCGAAAATTGTAGCTCAAAACAAGATTACTCTATTGATACCATTGATACTAAGCTGGATCAGCCTAAGACCTTATTTGAAATCTTTAAAGTTATCGAAAATAAAAAGCAATTTAGAAAGGAATTGGCAGATGACCGAGTTAATCAGTCCGAATCGGATTCAGAGTTGAGCTCAGATGTTCTCACTATCAGCAAGAATAAAAATGAGCAAAATGAAAATATCAGTAGAGATGAATTTGGTCACCCCTCAAAGGTATCCAACGCAAAAGTTAATGGCTCAGTGTTACCAATTCCAATGTTCAATTATCAAACAAAAATGATCTCATTATACGTTGGTGATTTAGATAAATCTGTGACTGAGACTGATTTATACATGTTCTTTTCTAAATATGAAGGTTTAATTTCTGTCAAAATCCCCCTAGACACAATTAAAAATGAATCATTGTCTTACGGATATGTCAACTTTGACAACCAAGCTCATGCCGATTTGGCAACAGATGGCTTGAATTATACCAGCTTAAAAGGCTCTGATGTTAGAATCATGCCATCACTCAGAGACAAAACTCAGAGAGAAAATATGGGTGCAAACCTTTTTTTCTCCAAGTTAAGTCATGACCTAAGCTCAAGAATCATGTTTGACAGATTAAAAGTATTTGGCAAAATTTTGAGCTGTAAGTATAGTAAAGAGAAAGGAACATGCTTTGTGAACTTTGCCGATAAACTCCAAGCGTATAAAATATGCAAGCAGTTTAATGAAACAAAAATGGATGATAGAATCATCAATGTCTCTGTGCATATCTCTAAGAAAGAGAGAGAATCTTTTCAACAGCATAGCAAACCTGTTTCATATACCTCAAAAGAATTGATTCCAAACTCCACGTCAACAAACCTAGACACAAGTCCAAGTTCAGATGTAGATAAAAAGAGTGAAAACGTTAGGTCTGGTAGTACTGATCTTGAGAATGAAAATCAAGGTGTAGAAAAGGATGCTGCTACCAGTAAGCCTATTAGCACACAATATTCGATATTCATCAGGAATATGCCCCTACACTTGAAAAGAGATGTCGTTAGAAGTTTAGTAGAACCTTATGGCACTGTTAAAAACATTCTTACAAGAGACGTTCCTATCAAGCAAGGTTCATGGGCATTAGTAACAATGACAAACAAAGCCGCAGTAGACAAGACTATACAAAGTTTGAATTCAGTTGAGCTTGAAGGCAAACAGCTATTTGTTACTCGTGCTATTCCAAGAGAGGAAAAAGAATATGCAAAAAGAGAAGAAAAGTATCCAAAAAAGAAACTCAAACTATTAGTAAGTCAAATAGATATGGAAAAAGATAAAGAATCTTTGGAAAATTGGTGTTCCAAATGTGGTTCAATCAAATCGGCCGAGTTTTATGCCTCTTCAAATGACGCAAACCAATCAAATGGATACGGATATATTGAGCTCAATGATGAAAATGATGCAGATAATTTGGTCAAAGAAATAAGAGAGTTAGGCGTCTCTTGTTACAAAATCAAAATTGAAATACCATCAAAGGAGAACAATTTTGAAACATTTCGTTACCCTTATGTGATGAACGCTTTAAGTAGGAACGATAACTACAATGAATTTAGAAAAAATCCAGGTGTTGTATCCTTCTCATATGTCGATCCTAATAAGATGTTCCAGCTTGCAAATTTCCAGAAGACGGTCGATAATGACAAAATAAGTGTTTTCCAAAGGCTTGAAAACAACAATAAAACCAAATTTAAGGAAAGAGGTAATCCCTTAAGTGAAACTGATGAAGAAATTTTGAAAGAAAAGCAAAATGAGATGTATCGGGTTATTTGGGAGATTTGTGTCAGATTATTCATACCAAAGCCTGAGATATGGGCAAACCAAAAGTATTGTGCCGGAATTTCACCCACTAACGAAATTTTAAGTAAATCCAAAATTTCCTCACTTACGAATCACTTGGTTAAGTTCTTCTGGGCAAACAACTTCAATGAGTTTTACAAATTTATGAAACAAAATCAATTTGATAAAAAAAATAGACTTTTGTATGTTGCTCATCCTGTTCTTGCAAATCAAATAGTTCAAAGTGCAACCTATCTTGGGATAGTTCCAAAATAAAATAATGTGAAAGGTGAGTGGTACCGGTGAAATTCGTCTGAGATGACGAATTTGAATTTTGCAGAAGATATATAGATTAAGTGTTTAGGAATTGATCGAAAAGTAATTTAAAGCTAGATGTGAACAAGAACGCTTTGGTAAACAGATTAAGGAGAGGATGTAAGAAGTATAAGAAAGTGGTAATAGTAAGTACAATTTAATTAAAACCATTTGAGAAGAGGAAGGTAAGAAGAAATACAAAGAGAGATGAAACTGGTAAAACTGTTTTTTTGGAGCTTGATTTAGCAAGATTCAAAATCAAACTAAGTCTACATAGTTTGCAGGGAATATACCCTCAACATTACCGATTCTTCCAGTCCACCAATCATCCGTAGAATTGGATTTTTGGATGATTGTGATGACGTCACCTTTTTTGAAAGGTAGGTCGCCATCTTGTTGTCCTGCAAATGAATACAGCGCAACCGCCTTGTTCTTTGACCCTGATGATGCAGCTCTTCTTCCAAAGTCTGGCTTGTCATCCGATGGCCTGTAACCTTTATCTGATCTATCATAGCTTCTTTCGGCTCTGTCGTAACCTCTATCGCCACTGACAGCTCTACTGCTACCTCTGTCATAAACTCTATCACCACTATCGTCTCTGCGGCTGGAGGATGCACGTCCTGAATCATTGTCAAACACCTCATCTTCCCAAGAGGCGCCCCTTGTATGACGGGCTCTGTCCCTTTTGTAGTAAGCTCCAGCGGAATCGTCGCTATAATCGTCATCGTCGTAATCGTCATTGCGTCTTCTTGCACCTGAGCGGCCCATGTTTCTTCTTTGATTAGAGGACATGTAACTGTCGTCATCTGAGCTGAAGGTGGAAGGAATGTCGTCGTAATAGTCTTCATCATCGTAGTCATCTGGACCTAAACGGCTGAAGGCCCGAGAATCTAAAATTCTCATCAATGGCTCGCATGCTGGGGGTGGAGCAACACGGCCGCTTAGAATGTATCTTGCCTTGCACATGTCACCGTAGAACTTTCTGTTTGCTTCTCTTCTTTCTACAATTGCTGAACCTTCGAGAGAAACACCGGCGAAAAGACCCTTTGTCTTCGAGTATGAGAAGATAGCAGCAACGTTTCTGGTGGAGGCATTCCCCGCCACCTCGGCGTTCCGGCCCAATGGGCCTGCTGCGACGGAGATGTTACCTCCCAACGTGACGGAACCGTACTGTGCAAACGACTCGACAGCGGCCTCTGTGTTCAAGATGAAGACGAAGTCCGTCAACTCTGCTCCGACTTGGCCACCGACACCGGCGCCGGCCGTGACGATAGCGGAGGGCGGGGACCATGAGCCGTCGGGCAGTCTTGCGACAACGATACCGGACCCGGCACGTCCTGAAAACAAGAACCCGGCCTTTAAGACGGTGATAACCGCTAGGCCCTTGGCGTTCAAGAGGACTTCGTGCGGGATGATCTCGTCGGCACCCAGAACCTGGTTCGGCTTGATGAATGACGCAAGCACCTTTGCCGCCTTGATGGACTCGCTCTTCAAGGATCTTGGGATTGGATTGTTGATACCCATCTTTCTATGTGTACTTTGTGTCTTTCCAGGCTGCTAATTGCTATCTCCAAGCTGATTGCTGCTAACGTGTGTATGTCTGTTGATATTGCTCTTGCTGTTGCACTCGATTATCTCTTTCCTCAATGTCGCCGATGATGGACTTCGGAGGGGGTTTTCTGGCGCCAGGGTACTGACTAGTGCTCTCTATCCGATGATGTCAACAACAACTTGCCGTGCAGTGGAAGGGGGAAGGGCACGGGAGAACTGGCGTGGCGGACGGGTGCTAATTGCCGTCTGGGCCAGCCGACAAGGGGCCGTCGGGTGGCTCCCGTGGAAAAGCCGAACACAAAAATCAACTTTGGCCGGCCAACTCTTTAAGCTTTGGCTGTCTCCTGGTGCATCTGGGCTCGGAGCGACAGAACACCAGTGCACCAGAATTGGCGAGGAAGTCGGGGAAGGAAGATGGATCTGGACATGAAAGACTGAGGAAAGTTGATGAAGATGGAGACAGGGAAGAGAACGAAATGAGCACAACGGAGCGAGGTAAGGAGTGAAGCATACAGCATCGGACAAAAGGATGAATCAAGACACAGAGAGCTTGTATGTCTTTTTGCACTCCCGAATAGAGCGGGAGGTAATGCAGCTGAAACAGAAACACGGAGCGGCTGGCTTCGGAGAGGATGCCACTGATGATGAGCTACTCTTGACGTACAATCAGCTCTTGCGGTACGCCCGGGACATTGACAGCATCCGTGTGAAGGTGTATGAGAGCAAGCAGTTGAATGCTTTTAACAAGAAGTTGCATGTGACAGACCGAGATATCCAGAATCTCCTTCTCGATGCGGAGATGCGAATAGACGCCATGTATAGGAAGGCGCAGGCGCAGAAGGAGCTGGAGAGGAAACACGTCGCAAATGCGGCGATTGGTGGTGATATTTCAGATGATGTCGAGACGATCGGCAGGTACCAGCACGATGAGTTTGAGGGGCGGGAGTCGATTGAGAGCTTGAAGTCGAGGTTGTTGAGCACGCGACACGACCAACTCGATCAGGTAGAGAGCACAGAGTTGCAGAACAACTATCACGACTCGATTCAGCAAGAGTTGATAGATTCGCTGCCGTCGATGGTCTCGTCGTTGAAGGACCAGGCACTACAGTTCCAGGAGATGATCAAGCAGGATGCGGTGATCTTGAAAGAGGCCACGCAAAACTTCGAAACCTCTCACGGAAGATTCGACAACGTCAATACTTTACTATCCAAGTATCACAAGGAAGGGAGATTGGGGTTCTGGTTTTATATAAGGATTATAAGCATGGTATTGGTATCGTTCTTGTTCTTGTTGATCATCATCAGATTGATTCCAGCCCGGCACTAATATATACTCTCTAACAGAGATTAGAGCTCTAGCGGCTTTATTAGCAAAGGTTCTTGGGTTTTCCCCTTTTCATACGAGTTCTCGGACACCAGCTGGTCGATTTTGAGCCAGTCTTCTAATCTCCAGCGGTCGCCCTTGATAAGTTCGGGATAATTCTCCTTTAGGGCGGGTATCAATTGGCCGTACAAATCAGTCATGAACTCGTCGTCTAGTGCTGTCGGCTCCGGTTCCTCATAGAAAAGGTCAATGATCCATTGTGCATCAATACGGGGGGTAATAACGGTGGTGTTGTTATTGATGCTTGAGTAGTTGACGGTCTTCATCACCCATAGTCTTAACATGAGCTCCATCTCAGATTTGTCAAGTTCGTCCATCTCCTTGTTCCATCCACACACATCTATAAACTCTTGGAATTCCTCGTCCTTTTTGAAAATGTCCTTCAAGGTGATGAAGTACTTTCTGTGTTCCTTCAAAAGTCTTTTCTCTCTTAACTTGATTTCAGCCTTTGTGCAGTTGTATATTTTCAACTGGCCTTGCCTGAATGTTTTTGCGTTCCAATATTCTCTTTCTGAGATAAACTGGTTATCGTATCCGGGCATCTTATCCAGCTTGTTCATATATTTAGCTTCTAAGCTCTGTCTGAGTTGGTTCAACCCATTCATGGTATTTTTCAGTGTCATTCCCTTATCGCATGCGTTTCTATTTATGTAGCAGAAAAGCTCGAGTAGTCCATCAGGTATCGGTCTGAAGATATTTAGCATGAATACCGTAGTGTCATCACTCCCAGCAGCAGTGTCTGTATCTTTTGTTTCAAAAGCGTTGTTGGTGAAATCGCTCAGTACGGGCAACACGATTTTCCATTCTGTTAACAGGTTTGTCTTTAAAGCAATATCTAAAGTAAGCGATAGCTGTAATGACTCAAACTCGTTATCTTCCAAGACAAATCCATAACCCATTAATAGCTCGGCATTACCCTTCGGTCCATAGTTGTTGAAAATCTCGAACTTTCCACTTTGGCCGGTAGATTTCAAAATCGATAATTTAAAGTCTCCATCAGAGTTGCTCGACCATTCCACCTTTGCATGGGGTTTATGGTTCAAAAGATCCACAATTGGTAAAAGCATGACTTCGTGTGACAGTGCATTTGGATTCACAATCCTGTATGGGAATGCTCGGGACGTCACTATGAGATGCGCCCATAAATAGTCACTGAATGACACCTTTGAGTTGAGACTTGAAACTTGTACGAAATCTTTGCGCAAAAGTTCCAGTTTTCTCTCTACCACTGATGAGTTTAGTGCTGTATTTTCAAAAACGTAGAGAGACTTGTAGTCCATTGACAAGGGACTGTGTATTTGCGTTGCATCCGGAAGAAGATCAATGTATGCCTTGAAATTGTCATTTGAGACGATACCAAGTCGCAAACAGGCAAGGTAAAACTTAAACAGTATCAGAGAATCTATCTTTCCCGTGGTGACATCAAGATCTTCAATTGCATTTTCGGGTTTTATTATCAGTGAATTAGGGATCTGGATTGAAATTGGAAATTTTGCACCTTCCTCTTCGGTTACTTTGGCAAATGCGGAAAGACCCGAAGAGTCGGTGTTGAGAAAAGAGATCCGGGGGTCGATTGACGCACCTTTCGCCTTCCCTGCTTCAAGTAAAGCTTCCAATGACATGCTGTGGTTGATTGGACTCAGGTAGAGAGAATAGTGAGATAGCTGGACAGACGAATAGATTTCGAATAGAGAGGATGGATTGTTCCGAGGAGGGAAAATCTTTTTTTGTCCTGAGGAAGTTGCGGAGGAAGCAGATCAGCTTTGAGTGATTACATAAGCCATACTAGAAATCGGTTGTTTGTGTGAGTGTGTGTGTTTGACATTAGATCTTCTTGTTCTAGGAGATACATAACCTTACATAACGAAGAAAAAAGCATTACATGTGTGCATATAGAGAAAGTCTTGAGTAGAGAAATAAACGGAAGGTTTAGCTGTTAGAAAGACAATAGTGTTACAGTGGTAATAACATAAGGAATAGTTGAATAATTTTGTGCTGCCATTATGCTGTATCTTCCATGTGGACCGGCATCAGTTGTGGGCGGCCTTCTTCTGTTTGTGGTTCTTCTTCTTGCGGATGATCTTCTTCGGAGTCTTGCCCTCAACGTACAAGTCCCACTGATCCTCTGGGCTGAGGCCGTCCGTGCAGGGCGGAGCCCGGTCGGAGTTGAACTTCTCGTACTTCTTAAAGCTGTCCAGCATCTCCAAGTCGGTGATCGACTTCCCCAAGGCCTCCACCTGGTCTATGACGAGGATGTTTTCGTTCCCCGCTTCGGCGTCTGCGTCCATCGCAGCCGCTGCCGCTGCTGCCGAGGGCCGGGACGATGCCTTCTGCGAAGACTGGGCCTCGCTGGCGGCCAGGTTCAACGCTGCCACCTCGGCGTAGGACAATTGTCTCAACTGGATGTCAATGAAGTCCTCGTCGGCACATGTGTCGGCGGCGGCGGCGGCGGCGGAACAGTCGTCCGCCCGGTTGACCGAGGCGCCGTCGTGGAGGACCGAGGAGTCGATCTTCTTCATCGCAATGACCCTGTCGTGGGCGTCGTCCAACACGGACGCGTGTGCGGCAGCCGGCGTGCTTGCCACAGCGCTCTTGGCCCTGCCGAAAGGCCACATGCCGAAGAAGCCGCCCCGCTTCGCCGCCCCGGCGTCGGCACCGGCTCCGCCGGTGCCCGCCGCCTGCTGGATCGTGTTGAAGTCGACGATCTTAGGCAAGGAGTCGTCACCCGCGTGAGCTCTGGTGGCGTCTGGCGCCGCCAGAGCAGGCTTGGAGTAGATTAGGGAGAGCATGGCGGTGGGAGGATGCGTGTGTTTGTGTGTGTGCGTGTGTGCGTGCTTCGGGGTCCTTGTCGGTGCAGCGTGTGCTGGTGCTACCTCGTGTAGCTGTGCTGTGGTGCTGGCTAGCTGATCGGTAGCAACGTCTGTCTTCTCAAAACGACACAGAGAAAACAGCACACTGCAACTAGCCGGGAGAACCAACAACAAACCACAACGCCAGCCCACGATGGCGACACGGGTCCCGGGGCCGCCAAGAGCTGCTGCCGATAAACAACACGGTCCCTACCTGCGCCGCCCCCGCCCCCGCCCACTAAAGGCACCGCTTGCCTTTTTGGGACAGCCCTCTCCCCCGGAGTTGATAACGCGGAAGCAGCGCTTATCGCGGGGACAGCGGGAGAAAGAAGCGCTCGGAAGGAAAAAGAAAAAGAGCAAAAAAGCCTGCCCCGCGACGATCGACTTGATGCGCCACCAAAAACGCCGATCGACGCAAAAAAGGGTCCCCGCGACGATCGACCCGTTGCAAATTGAATGCGGGTCGATCGACCTACGGGTCGATCGACCCGGGTCTAGCCTCGGAGGGCTCAACTCCTCCGAAAGGCGCATTTATTGTTTTTCTGCATTAGCGCTCGGTGCAGGAAAGAGGAGGAGCTGCCAGAGATAGGGGGGTGGCAAGCAGGAGAGCAGAAGGCCCAGATAAAGAGTGAAGGAGAGGGGTTGGAAGGACGAAGAACGGGGCTAGTTTGCGAAACAAGAAACAGCACGGGTTTCTGCACAGCACACTTGTGTCCTCTGCACACCGATTCGTTGTTCCGGAGTCTGCCAGGTGGTCAGGATCGCACGAGAGAGAGCACAGACACACGCACGCCCCGATACCCGTTCGCCATGTTATCGCCTTCCCCCAGAAAGTCGGGCAAGAAGCCGGACGAGGGCGACAGGGGCGCCAGAGCCAGCAGTTCGGGCACCCCGGACCCCAGCGGGGGCATTTTGGACGAAGTACGAAAGAGAGAGCTCGGAAACGCCGTCTCCAACAGCGTTCTATCGCCACACAACTCGGTGTTTGAGGCGTTGCACAACCCGGACTTGAACAGAGGGGTGGACTTGACGAGCATCAGGTCGAAGGTCGTTGGCGGCGGCGGCGGCGGCCAGGGGCCGCACACGGAGGCCCCCGATCCAGACCGGATCGCAAGCCCCGGCACGGCCGGGTCGCAGCTCCACTTCCAGTTCAGCAACCAGCACGACTTCAGCGACAAGAACAACTTGGATTTCTCCATCACCTCGTGGCAGAACGTGTCTTCGTACTTCAGCCCCAACGACGAGACCCGCTCCAGCTCGCGGGACTCCAACACCCAGTTCCCCTTCAACCTCACCAGCAACAACAACAGCAACATCATCTCCTCGGGCAACAACAGCCCTTACCTCAAGCACGAAGACACCTTCTGCTCAAACTCCCCCAACAGGGTGGACAGCCCCAACGTGGCCTCGATTCTCTCGTGTTTCTCCGGCCAGGAAGACCAGAGATCTGTCGACGACAACCCCATCGTGGAAATGAAAACCCAGGTGGATCTGCCGCACGAAAACATAACCTCGGAATCGGATCCCGAGGTGGACCACACTGTCGACTCCTCCACAATCATATCCTCCTTCGTAATGCCACGCGTATCCATCCATTCCAATCTGACTGCCTCACAGCAGCAACAACAGTTACCTTCTCACCAATCCACCTCGACCTCCTCCTTATCTCCAACCTCTTCCAACCCCGCCCTCATCTCCAGGTCAACGTTAAATATTAGAATAGTCGGAGATAGAGATAACTCTCTAATGAGCAGATTCCAGTCGTACAAAAAGACATTCACAAATATAGACTTTTTTGTTACTAATTGTGAATCCACAGATTTGATTCTCTTGGTTCTTGATGATGACAATTACATGTTACCCAAAATTACTAAAACTCCCTGTATACCTATTACCTTGTCCAAACAAGCACTAACTACCGCAACGAAAATTCCAAAATACTTGAAACTTTGTGATCCAATAGAACTAGAATCTTTGAATGACGATTTGATAATCTTAGTCGACTTCCTCAGCAACATCAATGATTTGGGTACTTGGAGAATGTTTTTATCAGCCTTCCCCGTCAAAAGCAATCAGCATGACATCAATGACATCAATTCAAGCTTGATTGAATTTCATTCCGGGAACAAATCTGGATCAGATGCTTCTCTCCTATCAATGAAGAAAAGTGGGCATGCTTCAAACAAAGACAATAACAAGCAGCCATATAATGCTTTCATTATTGCTGGAGTTGCTGTCGGACTATTGTCAATTGGAATCCTTTTTGTTTGGAAAAAGTTGGCTACTAAAGAATTTGTTCAACAAAGTCCTACAAAGCAAATCTCAGATTTGTCTTATCAACCCATAGCAGATGTAAACAATGATTCCAAATTATCCCTGGATCAGTATTTGTTTTCAAAGCTGAGGTCAATTGCAATCGGCATTGAGTCTTGGGGAGATGTTGTGTTTTCACAGGGTGTATTTTTATTTCAAAAGGCAAAATTGGTATTGATTGAACTGTTAAATTTTTAGGTTTTGAATTTTCATCTTACTCTTTATTATATTTCATTTTATTTTACTCTTTTCCATCTCTTCTCTCTTCTTACTTTTACTTTTTCTTTATTTTTCATGGTCTCTCAAATGGTGTCGCTTCAATGAAGTCTTTTCATACTTATTTTTTTTCAATCAAATCATTTCTTTTTTTTTCTCTATTCGGAATCTTCCTTTCGATGGTTTAAGGAATTTCTAGATCTTTTCTTCATTCTTCAACTTTTGTCTTCTTGGATACATTTTCTCTTTCTATGTCCCCTATCATCTAATTCGAGCTATTTTAGCTAGGCAGGATAAATTTTATTGGCAGCATTCTCTCATATTTCTCTATATATGATTATTTTATATACTTATTTAGCTCTTTTAATGGACTGGCAAAAAATCATTTTTAAAACTTGCCCGCGTGCAAAACTCGAACTGGCTGATAATAATCAATTCATCTGCTAACTAGGCCATACATTAAAAATTTGCTTCCAAAAAAAAGCTTTTTAAATCTTAGCTCAAGCTAATTGCATGCTTAGCTAAGCATTGATAATTGGATTCATAGCAACTGTAAAGTTCCTGCTGACTCAAAAAAACTTTTATGTAGTAGTCAAGTGCTACGGATCAGTGTTAATAACTGTTTTGCAAGCATTTTTACTTTTTTTCTCAAAGCATCTTATTAATATCATAGATTAATTTTTAATAATCATGAAGATCAATGTATCAAACAAAAGTTTTGAAAACTTTCGGTATTACATAAGCATAGACGTTACAAGACATAGCTATATTTTAGAGCTTCTTTAAGTTACTAAGTAGGAAATATATTAATTTGTCAAAGCAGTAAACAGCTAGAGGAACTTTTTTAACTTTAAATGTTTTTTATTCAGCAGGCAATTGTACTAGGAACATCCGACTTGATTTCGGCCCATTTTGTGTGATATACCAATCCATTTTTAAAGACAGACAGCAAATGCTTTTCTGGTTTATCCAAAACAGTAATGTCTTCTAATGGATTAGAATCCAGTACCAAAATATCGGCATAAAATCCCTTTGCAAGCTGGCCAATCACGTCACCAGCTTTCATGATACTAGCAGGTGTGATGGTTGCGGATTGTAAAATCTCCACCGGATTCAAAACTTTTGCTCTGATTGCAAACTCGTTACTTTGATAAGCAGTTAGGTTACCCAATAGGTCAGAGCCAAAACAAATTTTGACACCGTATTTTTTGGTGATAACTAAAGCTTCCATACCTTTTTTCAAGACAATAGCGTTCTTTGCTTTGGAAGATGGTGGTAAAAAAGCACTAAATTGATCAGATGCAAGGGCTTTGTAGGTAACCAATGTAGGACAAACATAACAATCGTTTTTGACTAAAAGTTGGGCACATTCTGCATCAATCAGGTTGCCGTGTTCAAAACCTTTTACACCATTTGCTACACACTTCTTAATGGATCTTGGCGTGTAAGCATGGGCTGTCACAAAGGAATTATAGTTCTCAGCAACTTCAACGATAGCTTTTATTTCAGCATCACTATATTGAACATGTTCAATCTGATCAGCAGGTGAGGCAACACCACCACCGCTCATGATCTTGATAAATGATGCACCTCTCCGGAAGTTTTCTCTCGCAGCTTTTATACAAGCATCTGGTCCATCAGCGACAACACCAAGATTACTGAGATGACATTCACAACTGTCAAATGCTTGACCAGGGAGGTTGTTATCTCTCAAATCTGCATGTCCACCGGTCTGGCTGATAGCCTTACCACAGAAAAATGCACGAGGGCCAATAATGATGTTATCATTGATTGCGTCAGCAATGTAATGCTCCATTCCACCACAATCTCTAATGGTGGTGAAACCTCTTTCGATCATAGCTCTACTATGTGCACCCACTCTCATTAACATCACATTCTGAGGTAATCTAAGTGTATCACGCAATCCAGTTTCACCCTGAACTGCAATCATGTGGACATGGAAGTCAAACAATCCCGGGCTTAAGAACTTACCAGTACAATCAACAACTTTGTACTTGGTAGAATCAAAGCCACCATTAGGAACAACGTTCTCAATAAACCCATTTTGCGTCAAAACAGTGTATCCCTTAATTGAAACTCCTTTCAAGGTATCGATGACAGTTGCATTTGTCAAAGCATAGGATGTTGGTGCAGGAAATCTCCAAGGTTTGGACACTTGTTCAAAAGGTTTGTCCATTCCTTCATTGACATCAATTTCCGGTACCATCATTTTCGCTATTTTTCTACTTGATTTTTTTCGAAGCTTTTATGGTTGTTTGTAAAAGGTACCGGAATATAGTTGTAATACACAGAAGTTCTGAAAAGATAGAGATCAAAAGGATAGCGAAATTAGGCTTATTTTAGTTTAAATTTTGATTTGAAAACCGGTAACACCTTCAGTTTTAGGAACATATCAGTTTACTTTTTTTGGAGTTCCCGAAATCTGCCATTTGACAGCGGAATTGTTATCTAGCCGAAAATCGCTTCCGCAGCTTGAGAACCGAAAACAAATTCTTATCGAAATAGGGATTACTCACTTTGGAAATCCCGGTGCGGCGACGCTGATAAGGTTTTTTCATACCGAGGAGGGATTTCCTTTTTGGACACTCTATGTCAAACATGTACTTCGACACCTGAGGGTCATTTCTAGCCTTTCAAGTAGTTGCAAAGAAAGAAACATCCAATTATACCGTAAAACAATAATAGCTGAAATTGAGTATCGTAAAGTGACACTTGGCTTGATAAGATAAGGTGACTTTAGACTTTCGTTCTGGTACGTGTGCATATCTTAGCGAGAGCCAACAATTCTTCGCCGATTATTACTATTATCTCTTCCACATTCGTTTAAGATCTGGAATCTAGGCTGCTACTACTTATAAATATAGCTACTCTTTCTTTGTTTTTTTTATTTGTATTTGCTTATTGACAATATTCCAAAAAATAGTTTCGTGGTAGAATAGTAAAAGGTTTACAAAGCACAAGTCAGTAGATAGTTACCAATTGAGTAATGATTAGCGTTTCAAGCTCTGCAAAGAGCACCGAGAAGAATTCTGCAAATGAGAAAGGCTTATTGGGCATTATTTCGAATGAAAAGGGCTTACTGGGTATTTCGACAAATATTGATATAGTCGCAGATGAATATGATGATGTTACATATACAGAAGAAGAAGAAAAGGCAGTTGTCAAGAAAATTGACCGTATTGTTCTACCATTACTATGTTTTGTGTTTTTTTCTCAGTACCTTGATAAACAGTCATTATCATACTGCGTTGTTTTTGGCTTGAAAAAGGATCTTCACTTAACAGGTAATCAATATTCTTGGTTAACGTCCGGATTTTATCTTGCTCAGTTAGCATCACAATTTGTTTACATTTATCTATTATCCAGATTTCCAATCAAGCTTGTAACTGGTATTTCTATTATTATATGGGCAGCTGTGTGCATGTGCTTGGCTGCACCAACAAATTTTGCAGGTATGGTGACTGTGAGATGTTTTTTGGGGTTTTTTGAAGGTTGCGTTTCTCCAGCTTTTGTGATGGTCACCTCAAACTACTATAAAAAATCAGAACACGGGTTCCGTACTGCAATCTGGATTTCAATGAATGCAGTTGCTCAAATTTTATGCACTTTTTTGATTTATGGTATTGGTAAAAATACTCACCTTAGTATCGCTGTTTGGAGAATTGCTTTTATTGTTTGCGGATGTGTCACTCTTGTTGCCGGTGCTTTATTCCTTGCATTTGTTCCTTTCACCCTAAAGAATGCTTGGTTCTTTAATGATAGAGAAAGACAGATTGCTGTTAAAAGGCTTTTGAGTGAATCTGACCAAGGTGAAAAGGACCTTTGGGATTGGAGCCAAGCACGGGAATGCATTGGCGATTGGGGTACATGGTTTTCATTCTTATCTGGAATTTTAGTTACCATCACATGTGGTCCAATTATTTTCTCCAGTTTAATTATCAATGACATGGGGTATGATGTTTACAAAACCTTAGAATATGGTTCTCCCTCTGGAGGGGTTCAATTTCTGTGCATCTGGGTTGGTGTACTTTTGTTATACCTGTTCCCTAAGCAAAGATGTGTTGTGATTTCTGTTTTGATTTTGATTCCAATTGTTGGAAACATCATGCTTTTGGTAATGAGAGAAAGGGGTGGATGGGGCGTGATTGTTGGATCTTGGCTTGGATCTTGCATTACTTCATTCTACGCTATTCTTTTGAGTTTAAATGCTTCTAATATCAGAGGTAACACAAAAAAGTCGATTGTTAACAATATGTTTTATATTGGGTACAGTGTGGGCTGTGTTATCTATCCTCAATGGTGGAACTATACCAAGGATCATACATATAAAAACGGTTTGATTGTTGACATCGCTGCCTGGGCCTTCATGGAAGTAGTGATTTACATTTACCGTTTTAAATGCATCCATGAAAATAAGAGAAGAGACAACCTGTCCGAAGACGAAATTCCTCATTATCCAGAAAACATGGACTTGACCGATGTCCAAGATCTTCGTCACAGATACAGTTACTGATTTTGATATTCATATTATGTTGTGCCTAGCGCACTTTAGAGACTTTATAATTTTTTGCTTGTTTTAATAAAATTAGATTGAAAAAACTGAAATTAGCTTGAGAGTGAAGGATATTCGAAAAAAGATAAGAGTAAGAAAATATAGAAAAAAGAATATAGAAAAGATAAATGTCAAAGAATTATCAAGCTACAGGACTTTATTCCTGATGTGTTAGAAAAGATTTGTTTTCTTGGACAAACTCAGGGATGGGTTCATTCTTACTGTTGTATAAGAAGATTCCGTTTTCGAGCGCTTCACGTCTCTCGTCCCTTTTGTAGAGAAAGTATGCCAAGACCATACAAATACAAAATCCCATACTGAAACCAGCACATGTTGAGAAACCAACTAAATAACGTGGACTTGCTGTAGTTGGCCAAATCAATCTACTAATCCAAGCACTTGATTGTAAACCAATTATGTATATCGCCATCCAAGCAACAGCCCTGAGATCTGTATCCTTTCTGAAAAAATCACTAATCAACGGATTGAAAACTGAAGATTGTGACCAGGACCAGTAACCAAAACAGAACGCAAACCATTTAGCACCATATGAAACATCCCAAACTGCCAAGATTGTATTGCCAATAAAATTCAGGAGAAAGGAGATGATGACAAACAAGAATCGCTTTCCTGTCATGTCGGCACCAACACATATTATAAGGACATACAAGATACCCAATGCCGGAGGAACAGTAGATAGGTTATTGATCTCGCCAATGTTATAAGTATCCAAAGATTTTAGCCATAAAATGAAACTACCGGAAGAGGTATTGTTAGAATTGAAACCCATCATGTTTGTTAGGCCAAGAAGATAGACATGCCATGAACTAAATGCTTTTTTCCAGGTTTTGAGATCAAACAAAGCTTTTGTTTCTCTGTTCACGTCGGTTCCGTTCTTTTCCATTCTCCTTCTTGCAAGCCTAATCTCGTCATCGGTCAGGAACAACGAGTAACATTTGGCAGGGGTACCTGGAATGCAAACTAGAGCAAGGATAGCAACAGCAAACGAGAGACATCCGTCGACAATGTACATCCATCTCCAGCCTTCTAGATTGTTGATACCAGAAAGGTTTCGGAATGTTGCACCTTGTAACAAACCGGATGTCAAGACACCAAGGAATTGTCCCATATAAAAAATAGCACCTCGACGGCCGATTTCGGTAGGGAGGTACCAACTTGCTAATAGGAAATGAATGCACGGGAAATATGGTGCTTCACTTGCACCTACAAAGAATCTAATAGCTTTTAAGGCTTGGGCACTTTGAATCTTGTAAGTACCAAGGGTAAAGGCCGACCAACACAATTCTGTAAGACACAAGGCGTAAGTGATAGGGACTCTTGGTAGGAGGAAGATCCATGGAACCTGCAAAACGATAGACCCAACTGTGAAGATGACTTGGGTGTCAATAAGATCATCACCCTTCATACCCAAATCTTCTTTCATTCCCGAGACGTAGGCGTTATTCAAGTTTGAACTATCAATGTACTTGACCCAATAACCGACAAAGGAGTAGAAGGCAAGCAGGATATCTAGTTTGATCAAAAGTTTCTTTTCTGTTGCTGAGGTCCCCTCTGGATACCACTTATACCATTTGTGCTTTGAAGCTTCAACCTTTGACTCTCTATATTCAAACTCGTCAAAGAACTTCCACCAGGGTCTATCTGCTTCATCTCGCAGCTCCTTGATCTTATAAACATTTTCTCCTACTCTGTACTTCAGACAGCTGTCCTCATCGTCAGCATCATATGTAGCGACCGCAGATACTTTGTCAATCACAATTTCATCCTCCTTCTTGTCACTTTCATCTTCCTTCTTGTCACTTTCGTCTTCCTTCTTGTAACTCACCTCCTGAACAACTTCACTCTCTGAGCCTGAGTCTGTCTCCGGAAGGACGGTGTCTTCGGGAAGATATCTTTGGTGTGGGAAATACTTCCAAAAGGTAGTCATTATTATACACACTGTTTGTTCAATGTGACAAATTCTTTGATCTTTAAAAAAAGGCCAATGGAAATAACCAGTTAAACTTTGTGTCTATCGAATCAGTTTTCTGCCCTAAAGTTGCAGATAAACTAACGCTTATATAGCAATCTACGGAATCTACGTTTCTAATCTTAGTTCCTTTTTTGACATGATTCTTTCTCAATACTTTGTAATTTAACAGATTTGCAACCGCCATGGACGTTGTTGTCGGTAATTATTACTGTAACGTTGCTATAAATTGAGAACTGTGGAGTGTTCAGACAACCTGACAGGCGGGTGACATAGCCAAATCCAGATATGTGGCATCGAGATACGGAATTGTGGCTCGGCCGTCCCCCGCATTCGCTACATCTCCGAGGCCAGGAGCGGATTTGAGGATGGAGCCTTGATGTGGCTGACGCCGGAAAACAGGCCAAAGAGATCAGAAGGAAGGGAGATAAAATCGGAATAGTCAGAATAGTCATGCAATTTAAAATATTGCTGCAGTTTAAAAGGAGACAGACCTGCCTTTCAGGCTTAGCTTCCAGGCCCCCTCCTTGTTTCAAAATTAATGGTTGGCGGTCGATTGTTTTGAAGAAAATTTCGTAATTGACAAAAGTAATAATAGTAATTGCAAATGACTTCACATCAAGACGAAACAGTGCAGCAGATCAGGAAGCAGTACAATTTTCGTCCGTTTGTGGATGCTCCTGCCTCAAACGAAAAGGTTGACTTGTTGGACCTCACCGTTATCGATTTAAGCAAGTTTGACAGCGGCCCGGATGCCCGGAAAGAGTTGGCCACTTCCTTGGAGAAGGCATTGACAGAGTACGGATTTTTTAGGGTTGTTAACCACGGATTTAGTCCTGAATTTCTTGACCACATGAAGTCCGTGGCACAGTCAACTTTTGAGACGACAGATGAGGTGAAGAGCAAGTTTTTTGCAGGGGAAACGAAGATTGAAGAAGACAAGGATTTAGAGCTCGGCGTTATTCGGGGAACCGGGTTCAAGCCTAGAGGATATTGGAAGTACAGCAACGACACACCTGACAACGTTGAGTTCTATAACTTTAGACACTTCCTTCATCCAGAGATTTTTCATAATAGAATTGAGTACCCAGAGTTTGTGCAGTACCATCTTGACGATATTAGAAAATACTTTAGTGAGTTACACACAGAAGTGCAGAGAAAAGTTTTAACTTTGATGGATATTATCTTGGAGATCCCTGAAGGGACTTTGTACAATAACTTTTTCCCCGCCATCGAGAATGACACTCTCAATTCGGGAACTGGTTTTGGGCGATTCTTGCTATATCACCCCGTTGATCAAGAGTATAATAAGAAGACATCATCAACATGGATGAGAGGACATACGGATGCAGGAGCGCTCACCTTCATCTTGTCCCAATCTATTTTGTCACTACAGATCCGCTCTTATGCTGATAACCAGTGGAAGTATGTTTCCCATGTTCCAAATTCCATTATTGTTAACATTGGAGACACATTTAAGTTTTTGACTGATGGCTATTTCAAGTCCTCAATCCACAGAGTCCACACTGCTCCCGAGGACCAGAAAAACTATACTAGAAATACTGTGATTTACTTTGCTTCTCCAAAACTTGATATTTACATGGATTCTGGCTCATTAGCGTCGCCAAAGTTAAAAAGGTTGGGTTACAAGCTAGATGACGGATTGGAAAGAATCACTGTTCGCCAATGGGATGAAGCAAAGGGAAAATTCTTTAACAAAACCAGTGCAAACCGAAAGACAAACCTGACTTTGTACGGTAGGGAAAGCGTCGGTTCTTTGATTGGTGAGAACCCTATACAAGTTTGAGCATGTTAGTGGAACGCTGGATGTATCTTAATGTTACTTATTTCTCCAACTGGTATATAATGAAGTGTGCAATTTTTATTTATTTTACTTAGGAACGGAAAAAAAATATGAAATTAATTCAAAATACACATACATCACAATCAATGACACTTAACAGATCTCCGGTATTCTGAACCTTATCCTTATCATCGTAAGAGTCCCATACATTTTTTATCATTTCCCAAACCTTTTCTAAATTTCCGCTTTTCAAACGAGTCTTCAATTCACAATACAGTTTTTTCAGTCGCAGCTTATCAACTTCTTCGTGAACTGATGTACCAGCAATCAAAAAAGGAAATAACAAATAGTTATTTAGTTCCCAAGCCACCAGTTTATGGAGTCCAGACACAATCTCTTCACGTAGAAGTTTAATTTGTAGATTTGCGGTGGAGCAACCCAATATTCTTACTTTGAGAAAAACTTGTAAAGATATCTTTAGTATGTCATGAAAAAGGTTGAGGCGATTTTTTTGGTCATCGGTCAACCCTGGTATATCAAGATTGGGTTCAGTATGACAGATCTTTTCTTCCAGTACCCCACCTTTCATATTAAACCAAGAATAAAAATGTTTTTTCATGCTATCATATTTTTTGTAGATATCTGAATCCAAAAAGTATGTAAGATTGTTTCGTGATATCGATTTGTTCTCTATTATTGGATTTATAAATATTTCCTTGTATTTGTTTAATTCCTGAAGTTTGACGGCAAAAAGGTCATACAACGTGTTTACTTCTCCCATAGTAATGTAAAGATTGGAGCAGCATCTTGTCAGCGGGCCGCATCCAGCTGGAAAACCTGGGTTTTTGATTTTGCTATAGGCTGTGACCTCAATGAGTTTCTTGTATGTGTTTTTTGAAAAAAGGGGGCCAAAAACTTCTCTATTTGATAGCCTTCCAAGCTTGAAGATATCCTGATAAAAGAACCACCCCAAAACCCAGCACGCAAAAGGGTTATCCTGGAACAAGCCAAATGCTTCCTCTATTCCTAGCTGGTCAAGTAGCTTGTATATTTTTTCAAAAATCTTCCTCCACGACGCATAATCCCCTTTCGATGATGCAATTAGGGCATGACAGGTTTGTGAAACAATTACCCCTGTGATATCACTAACAAAATCTTCGCTGCTGGACAGTAAATTTGATTCAGTTAGTTCGAACAACTTAGTCGACTGTTTCAAGAATTTTTCGGCAACCGGAAGTTGGTTGATCGACAAAAGCCACCCGGCAAAGGTGTACATGACAGTTTTATTTGAATATGCAAGGGAAAGTATTAACGAATAGCATTGGTTATACTTGTTAAAGTAATCTTTCATATTGTCTGATGATGATATAATCGCCAAAGCTTGAAACTCTAGATCTAGTTCAAGAGATGACTCAAGCGCCGAAAAACTATATTTAACTTCATTTGTGGCCCCTTTCTGCTTAGAGTCAAAGAAATAGCTGTGACTTCCCAGCTCACTTGGGTTTTCTAAGTCAGTAAATATTGTGCTGTCAATTGCACCATTCATTTCAAAAGCTGGTACTAAGGCTGTTTCGTTGTGCGATTCAAAACCAGCAAGTGTTTCAAAGCTATTGGCGCAATCACGCTTTTTCATCGTTCTGCTTGTATCGCAATTTGACTTCGAATTTTTAGTATATTTGCAAATTGCATTGTTTGTGAGACATCTAGTGCATGCTGGTTTTATTTCGTCACATTTTTGCTTGCGTCTTCGGCACTCCGTGCAACTGATAAGGGATCGCCTCCCTTCATTGACAACAAACTGTAACTTCATAAGTCTTAAACATAAGAACAAAGTCCACGCAATTACTAGAATAATATAGGTGTCTACTCAATAATCAACTCCTCATGCAAGCAGGGACGGATACACCAAGGACTAATCTGCCTCTATCATTACTGCTATAAAGCTATCAGTGGGTGGCTTGGGCTACAGCCGAGTGCGGAGAAAATGAAGACCCAGAAAAAAAATCAGATTATCCAGTCATTTTCGCTAGTAAGGTTGAACATTTTTATACAAATAGTACACACAACTCCGAGCTTTTTCGGAAAAACAAGGATGGAAACCCACAAAAAAAAGTTGTAAAAACCGCTACTACTCAAGATCCAAGAATAGAAACATACATTTCATATTCGAAAGCTGATAATTTCGTAATGAGTAGCCATCTATAATATCTTCTAACCTTTGAATTAGGCTCTCCGACCATTTCTCAATATTCTGATCTTTCATGTTATTGGTGTTGGAGCTGTTACACGAATTGGAATATTCCCATATCGTGTGAGTTAGATTTGAAAGTGCATTTTTTGCATTGTTTTTAGCATAAATATCGAAATCTTCAATTTCCAATACCACACTACAGAGTTTTTCTGCAACGAGCAATTGTATTTTTCGACCTATATAGTAGGCGTCACTGACATTTGATAGCTTGGAAACAATTGACAAATTTAAGTCACCCCCAAACTTTCTGGAAATTGGCCCATCAAAAGAAATGTCGGTATCATTAGACTCTTCTAGATTTAAGTTGAGAGTGATATTGCTTTCAAGATTAGATTCATTTGAAATCAATTTCAAGTCAGCTTGGCTTTCGAGTTGTGATGTGTCATTACTAGAGACAAGTTTAGTCAAAGAGTTTGCGATGGAAACCTTATATTGATCTCGTATGGCACAACTGTCCAAATCTAGCTCTAAGTTGAATAGCAATGATCTATCATATCCGGAAGGTAGATTCTTAAGTTTGATACAGTATTCGTTGGCATTTGTTTTACAATCATCAACTTTCTGTGACTCTTGGTCACTGCCAATTGATTCAAAACTTTTTAAAGAAATACACTTCGGGAAAGAAACATATGTTTCAATTTCCCTGATGATTGTACTATGAAAACTTTCCAAGAGCGAATCTATTATCTCCTTTAGATTCATGAAATCTAAAGCAATTTGCATCTTAAACTTGTTGTCAAATGTGTAGTCATCAAAGTCACTGCGGAACCTTTGTTTTAAATACCGATTCATTGACAATATTTCATAAACTTCATATTTGAACTCATCTGCAAGAAGTATCAGATTAAAGTTCGCATCAAACGCTGTACAAAGGTATGAGATTCTTTCGTTTATTTCTTTCTGGAAATTTTTCTTTCTCTCTCTAAAAAAATCATCTTGATTCCTTTTATTTTTCTTCTTGATAACAGAATTAGTAAGTTTGGTATCTTTTAAAAGCTCACTAGAAATGCATATAATCTGATGCAAGTAGTTGTCCTTTTTGCCGCCATGGCTACTAAACCCAATGCTTGCTAGAAGCTCGATGTATTTCGTACCTTGTTCCCACATGGAGCTCGCACTTAAGTCTCCTTCTTCCCTTATTACACTTTCCGTTATCAGTCCTAACATGACTTCCCACCCACTCCATGATTTGGATATGCATCCGTAATAGTTACCAAGTGTTGACAGGTTCTTCGGGTGATTGCCTAAGAAAACCACACCGAGTTTGTCTTCAGTATGCAGTGAGCTTAAAACATTGCTAAGAATACTTTTGATAACCTCTGCGTATTCGCTGTTTTCTAATCCATAATCTTCGCTATTAACTAGGGGTATAGCTACAATCAAAACCATTGGAATTGGATCCGGGGTTAAAATTTGGCGTTTCAAAAATCCCGAAGGTAAGTCTAACCCTCGTGAGGTCAGCTTTTTCAACACTTTGATATCATTGGGAATGACATCATCATCATCTTCTTCTGAAATCAAACCCCATGCGTTCGTTGAAGTCTGAATTAACGGAATAGTATCTGCAATAGGCGCATTATTAGAGATCTTGCTCAATATGACATACCATTTGTTTCTCAAAATACTGTTATCGGAATTAAAAATGACACTTGAAAGCTTTATCGAATTCAAATTGATTATTACACTATTCCCTTTCAAATATATGGAAGATATGAACGTTTGGGAGCTCAACTCCTGATTGAGTAACAGTTGGCTGCCCTCTGAATTTAAAATTATGAGATTTGATTCGAATAAATACACCTGGCATAACTCGAATGTGCTCATTCTTAGTGTCACGTCCATCAGATCGAACAATATCAAACTGCCGACCGTGGAGAAATCTATTTTTGCATTGCTTACTTTTTGTTCAAAGTTATTGATTATATTGTTTGTTATTTTGTTTTTCCCAATTTGAGCTTTGAGTTGTTCCTTCTTGTTGAACTTGAGAGAAGTTTCAAATTTTGTGACTGAGAAATTCAAGACACATCCGATCTCCAGCTTCGATCGATTATTGATGTTGATTGAAGTGAACTCGGGCGCAAATACAGTTTTTGCTAACTCCACATCATTATTCTTGAATGGAGATGGTGATTTTTGTACTTTTATAAAAAGTGGGGAGTCATCAGAGCTTGCGATAGAAGGTAAGGCAATATCTCCTTCACGATTCCAGAAGTTCATGCCCACTTGCAGTTGAGGTGTGGTTGGAACTTCTGTCTCACTCCTGTCATCGATTCCTGAATAGTATTCCTCATCTTCGGCAGATGATAGGTTCGGAACTTTAAAATTGTCGATAGTAGCCATTATATTCGAATACCCATCACCAGGATGTAGCATTTGATCATACAGGCTTTGCATGTGGTCGTCATTGATGTTCAAAAGCACAGTTTCGTCAGTGCAGGATGTCCTGCTATCACATGAAGGGCAGGTTAGCTGATTTTCCTGCTGCCCATTTTTGTCTTCAACCGGTGCATGGGACAAAAGGGTGGGAAGGATTAACAACTCCTTCAAGCATTCGAAATGAATTATGTGGCCACACTGGAGGTCCACCATTTTCTCTCCTTCGAAGATGTTCTGCAGTGGCTGCAAACAGTAGGAACAATTGCAATCATCTCTTCCTTTCAGAGATTTCCGTTGTGCAGACAATGGAGTGCTGCGTGGTGTACTGGACTTGTACTCTCTGGGTATGCCCAAGGAGACATGCTGTGATAATGGAGTGTTTGATACCGAAGTGGAGGCTGTCCAAGTCGAGTAAGGAGTTGAACATTGGGATAAACCCGCCGTGGAAGTACCCGATACGTTCAGAGCCGCAGGGATCTTTTTGAAGCTGACCGTCTCCAGAGGCTGTCTTTCTGGCATCACCTGCTGATCTGACTTTTCGGACTTGTTTTTCTTTCCTAGACTTTGCTGTTACCAGTGGGCCAAACCACGATCCATGTCGAAATGAATGTGGTGGAGGCAAAGAGAGATGTAGCAGCAATGATAAAAGAATCGGAGGTCCAGACGGATATATGCAAGGAGGGGGAGGCTGCCCGATCACCATGGTTTCTTTATCTGTCATATCACCATGCCATTTTCCAACAGTATCTGCCACGCACCGCCATGTTTCAGGCGGGGGAGTTTCATCAAATAGTCTAGTTTTATTTCTATATACAGTTTAGGTAAAAGATACACCGACGGGCTTTTACACTTATTCCCTAGACTCCCAGATATCTTCACTACTTCCTCTTTTCAACTGCTCCACTAGCCGCTTCTTGTAAAAGTCCTGCACGTTCACCTCCTTGACGTCTTCGGTGTTGAGGGAATTTGAGAAACAGAAGTTGAGTTTTTCCGACTGCTTGTCGCAGAGCGTCAAATCGCCGTATCTGTAGTAACTACGGATCTGTCCTCCTAGCGACATGCATTGCATTAGTTCGTCTAGCGCAGTCATACATGACATTTCCTTCTGTAGTATTAGGGGAAAAACTTTAGCACGTGGTGTGCATGAAAGATGTTAGTATATCGTTTGGTGGAGAAAGAAAAGGGGCGGTTTACGCAAACGCACCGCTACATACCGGAAATTTGTGTAGTTCTAAAGATTCTGCCCTGGAGCTTGCTTTGTCTCGCAATGTGTTGGAGCCCTTCTTGCCTTCACCAATCACGTCGTTGATGATGCTCTCCATATTGCTAAGCTCGTTACCATCGTCATTAGGCGGCGTGTGAAAGTCGTCGTCTTTGGTTTCGGGCACAGTTGCCGTCGGCGTCGCTGAAGTTTCTTCCTTCTTTGACCAGAACATGTTGTGCAAGAAAAGAGTAGTGAAAGTTCTCAACTGTATCCGCTGTCTCGAATCTGCACACTTCTCATTACCTTCCTCTCTCGGGCTTGTCTACTGCAGGAAGATAGGTTCTCCTGGGTACTTTTTTTTTGCTGAGCATTCCGCGTTGGCGCGATCTATTCCGACAGAGACAGACAGACAGGCTCTTGTCAAAAAATTGGGCTTCTACATTTAGCTGTATTAACCGCTGGGATATATAGTATAATATAGAGAAAGATTTAGCGAGTGAGCCTTATTGTGAAGGTTCGGACATTGTAAAGCAGGAGGAGAGCATTGAATTTTTTAAACGTGGTTTTCGATTGATCTCATTTTTTTCTTTTGCTCATTCTATTTTGGAAGAAGGGAGGTGGACTCAGAAACTGCAGTTGTTTCGGTGGTGCCGGTTGCCGTAGCATTGGCTTCGATGTCGGCATCCGCATGGCCGGCACCAGCCTCTTCCACGGCATCTTGTGTGTTCAAGGCAATCGTCTCTCCATAGACTGTACTCATGCCAAGCTCCTTGACTGCCTGGTTCATCATACCGTAGACCTTCTCGGTCAAACCTGGTACGTCGTCCTTGGTGAGTCCGAGCGTTGGAATTGGGTCGAGGACCTTGATGTTGATTTCGCCCCTGTTGAAGTTGAAGAGCTTCATCGAGTAGAGGTTGGAGGTGTTGGAGACGATGACCGGGATGATCGGGATCTGTGCCTGGACAGCCAAGTGGAAAGCTCCCCGTTTGAACGGCAGCAGGGTAGGGGTGGAAGAGTACGACCTCGTGCCTTCTGGGAACATGAACAATCCGCCCTTGTTCTCCTTCAACTGGTCCAACGCGTTGTTCAAGGTCCGGATGGCCGACTCTCTGTTAGACCGGTCGAGGAAAAAAGTGCCAGAGGCACTCATGAACCAGCCTAGGAATGGAAGGTACTTGAGCTGCTTTTTCGCAGTGACCACACACTTAGGTGGGAATATCCTGCCCAACATGTAGATGTCCAACTCAGACTGGTGGTTCGAGATAAGGATTGCCGGTAGCTTCTCAAGCAGCTCGGGCTTGTCGATGTTAATTCTCATGCCCATGACAAAGCTGAAGATGTTGTAGTAGAACCGAGCGGTACTCCACTGCGCCAAGTTTCTTCTGCGCGTGATGGCAAAGTAGACGGAGCAGAGAACACCGTACGTGGCGCTGAGAAGCAACACGTTGAGCGCTACAATCCCCTTCGTGACGAACTTGAACTTCTTGAAGAAGTTGCCCCAAATTGACATATTCTGGTCTGACCTATTTTCAATAAACGTTTGCGCAAAGACAAAACTGGATAGGAGAAGCACGAAGCAGGTAGCAAACAACAGCTTGGATGTGTAACCGTTCTACAACGGAGCTCAGTCTCTGAAGCCACGCTGCGCCGGTCTGCCCGCCTGATGTGGGACCCGCTTTTCTGGCACTTCTTCTAGCTGTCATTTTTGGAAGCAACGGTGCTTCCTTCCCGTTTCCCTGGAGCTTGCGAGGAACTTTTTCCGTGAGGAAAATAGGTCCCGCTGGCTGACATAAGCGCCGTTGTCTACGGATATGGATGGACATTAAATGAGCTACAGAGGTCTATAACAGTGGACTAGGATTGGGGCTTGAGCATGCCATGGAGATGGCACACCAAAGAGCTCCGTGGGACTATGTACAGTGTGCATATGTGGACGCCTCCTACATCTTTCTCTCGATTCTGTTGAGCTTTCTCGCGGTCTTGGCGTTGGTCTTTGTTCTTTGACCTCTAACCGGCAAACCCATCGAGTGTCTCATACCGACATAGGAGCCGATTTCTCTCTTCATACGGATGTTAGCTCTCACTTGAGAGAGTAACTTGGAGTCTGTCGTCATTTCCGAAAGCTCCTTGGTGATCGACATGGTCTGTTGTTCCGAGAGCTGGTGCATGCGCATATCCGGGTAAAACCCGAGCTTCGAGCAGATCCGAGTGGCGGTCTGTAGCCCGACACCGTAGAAGGTTTTGGCAAGTCCAAACTGTGTGAATGGGAGTAGCGTTATGTTAGTATGTGGTTCTGTCGGTTCCATGCGGTTTCTCGTCGGCTTTTTCCTGTGTCCGTGGTACGTACGCTGATCTTGTACTTTCCCTTGACGGCTTTCCCCAAAATATGCACAACCATACTGCTTGCAATCTGTGGTGGGTAGCTTTGTGTGTTTTCTCGTCGTTCTGAGCCCCTCTGGTTGGTGCAACACATAGACATAGACATACCTTGGGGCACTGACGTTGTGCAAAATTCATGTACGCAGTACAAAGCGCTCGCCAGCTCAGGCATGCGAGAGGTGTCGCGGTCCGGGTAACCCCTCGTAAAAGGCACCAACGTAAGAAACAAACTACACAAACTATACAGACTATACAAAATATACAAACTATAAGTTCAGAACCTAGGCGTTCTGGTGCATACGGGACATTTCAATCCCGATATCCAAACGCAGGATGACCAATAGCCTCACCAACCCGACTGTAGAGACAAAGCTCGCCACCCCGATGGGGACGACCGCAAATACAATGAGGTTGTAGAGATCGACCTTTCTCTTGAGCTTATTCTTGAGGTTCTCTCCGGCAATACCGCTATTGCCTCTGGTGTTCCAGTTACCTGCACCGAAATCATCCTTTGGCCTCTCCTCTCGGTCGTCGGGCGGACCGCCCGCTCGGTCATCGTGGTCATGGTCGTCGTAGTAGACGCCGTTCAAGTTGCTGCTGCTGTCGTTGGCCGTGTTGGACCTGCTCCGGGCCAAGTCGCTGCCCAGAGCCGCCTTCGAGGTCAACCGCTCCTCGATGTCGAGGTTGTTTGAGTAGAAGCATTGAATAATGAAGAAGATGGTCAAGACACACGAGATGAAGATCCACACCGTGAGACAGAACTCATTGTCGGCGTTGTTGAACGTGTAGCCGAAAATCTCCACCACCATAACGATAATCAAGCTCATGCTCAAGATACGCACGATGACCGCCTGGATCGCGTACATCACCATCCAGCGGACCATAAGGCCGTCGAGAATGGTGTACGAGAGCAAGGCACTCACCAAGCACCATAAGGAGGCGAGAAAGAACTCGGTGGCCCTCACAGTCGTGAGGTTGCTGTACGGAATTTTGATCAGCCGGTACCACTGTGTCAAGAGGACTATGAAATTCTTCAAGATCGAGTAGATGGGGATATCTCTGCAAATGGTGACGACAATGTGCTGCCGCACGGTCAACCGTTTCAACCCATAGCTCTTCAACCTGCTTCTTTGGCGGTATAGGTCTTCCATTGCTGTCGATGCAAGCCCAAAGAGTAAGTTGCGAGACACCTTGTTGTCGTTCACCAAGTTGGAGCTCGAGTTGTTGTGCGACAATTGTATGCTGCTGTCTGTCGAGCGGTTCATCGTCCGGCTGCTGCTTGCGTTCGCACTGTTGCGACTGCGGGCTGCAGACTCGTTGCTCGTGTACTGCCTAGCCTGCACAAACGCAGGGTTGATCTCTATCTCTATCTCAGAGTCCGTCGGTGGAGGATGGTTGGCGTACTCGGAATCACAGTCTGACTCCATGTTGAGGTTGGCGATATGTCGGCGCATTCGGAACATGTCCATCTGGATCGGCATGTCTCTCGGGGTGCGGCTCATGCAGAGGGTATGAGACTGTCTCCCAGTCTGTGTTTAGTGTCCAAAGGTGGCAGCAACGCGGTGCAGGCCGAGTCAGACGAATCGGTGGCATATATAGGATTTGATTAAGCAATAAAAAGATCGGATCAGCCAGTCTAATAAAAAAACTACATGGGTGTTTTTCTGGATTAGGCAATCTTACGTAAGCGGGCTACGGCTACGGAGCATGTGTATGCCTATGATATCGAAAGCTGTCTGTATTCAGCACAGGAGACCCAGCCTACTAGGGAAAATAAACACACGAGGCAGGGTCTTCTGTTCAGAACAGGAAGTATAGAAATACGAAGGCAACGGAGATCTCCAATAACACCAGAGCCTTGCTATTTGTATAGAAGCCGCATTCACTTTATAACGCCTCCAATTGGTTGCTGATCTCGTCCAACTCCTCTTGGGCCTTCTTGAACTTGTCCTCCAACTCCTCGTACTTGGTCTCCAAGTCGGTCTTCTCCTTTTCTATGGCGTTCAGCTTGTTCTCGAGGGTCTCGACCTTGAGGTCGGACTCTCTCAACTTCGCGGTGGTCTCTTGGAGAGTCTTGTCCGACGTCTCCAACTCCTCCTCGAGCATGGCGTTCTTCTTCTGGATGTTTTCGTTCGAGGTCTGCAACTGGGTGGAGTCGCCGACAATCTTTTTGCTGTCGTCCAACTCCGACTCCAACTTCTCGTTCTGCTCCTCCAAGGTCTGGTTTCTCGTGGTCAACGACTTGATCTCGTTCTCCTTCTCGAGCAGCTCCTGCTCCAGCTCCTTGACCTTCTGCCCGGCCTCGTCGGCCTTCTCTTGCCAGGTCTCGGCGTCAAGCTTAAGCTTGTTCATTTTCTGCACACAATCATCCCCGGCGCACAGCCTGCAATGTTAGTATTCTGATCCTGCACCCTCAATTCCCCTCTTCTGAAACGTGTGCTGAAACGTGTACCTACCTCCTTTAACTTGTCCATTCTGTGGTATCTACTTGTGGTGGTTCTGATCCTTCCTGTGATGTGCAATCCGCCTTTTGTCCACTCTGATCCAACTCTCCGTCACCACCTGCACACTGCTCTCTTCCACACACCCCACCCGTATATATACACAGCGTTGCAGCGCAGTGCAGAGGGCCACCGTGTACGACGAGCCCGCACACCACCCTCTCCCTCTCTCTCTCCCTCAGATCGTCCCGCTCTGCCACCCAACACCGTTTGCCACCAGAAACGGGGAAAATGCAAATAGAAAACAATAACACAGGGGAATGCGGCAGCAGCGGCGCGTCGGGGCGTGTCGCGCAGCGGATGAGCAGACGTTGAAAAAGCAGGATGCTTGACTATATAGGGATAGAGAGGCGGGTATAGATAGAGATGTAAGGAAAATACAAAAGAGGAGGGCAGAGGCAGGTAACACGCAGAACTGTAGGGAAAACTGTAGGGATAGCTGTAGGGATAGCTGTAGGCTCGAGAGTGGTGGCTAGGACGAGGAGGGGTCTTCAGCGGCCTTGGTGCGCTTGAAGGGGTTGTTGCGGGCGTCCATGGGCTCACTGGTATGTAGAGCGTTGCTGTTTTTCATGGACGCAGCCGGGTCGAGGTCTTCAAAACAGATGTCTGCGGCGACGGAGGGGAAGTCGTGGACGGAGAGGGTAGTCCTGAGGTCGGCGTCCAAGGCACGCTTTTTGGAGATGTCGATGTTGGTGCCGTGGCCGTGGCCGTGGCTGGTGCTGGTGCTGTTGCTGTTGCTGACGCTGGCGCTGGCGGTGGTGTCCGAGTCGCTCAGCTTCAGGTTTTTGGCGAGACTGGACATGCTGGACTCGCCCATGCGGAAGGACGAGAGGTCGTCTGCGGACGACGAGATGTCCTCCGAGGACGAGGACGACGACACGCCGCCCATCTGGAGGCCGTCCTTCGGGAACGACGAGCCCAACACCTTGCCCAAGAGGTCGACGCGCTTGTTGGAGAAGGCCGTGATGTCCGGGAAGGAGATGTCGAACCGTATGATCAAGTCGCCGTACTCGGGTCTGTCGCCGTTGCCGTCTTCGGCGGGGTCGCTGTTGCCACTCGCATTGTCGCTACTCATATTGCCACCAGTATTTTCACTTTTGCTGCTGCTGCTGCTGCTGTTTTTGTGGATAGGCATGCCGTAACCCCGCAACACCTTGAACTCGTTGGCCGACTTGAGCTCGCCACACGCAATGAAGATGTCGACCTTTTTCCCGTCAATGTGCTCCAACGAGATGCGGCCGCCGCAGAGCGCTTTGACGAGCGGAACCGAGATCGTCGTGAGCAGGTTGTTTCCAAGACGCCTGTACTTCGAGGTCGAGTCGTTCGGGTCGTCCTTGAGCGTGATGACAACGTCGCCCGGAATCAAGTTGACGCCCTCGTCGGCTGCCCGCGGGAAAACAACACGGTAGCCGTCGCCGACGCCGCGGGGGCTCTTGAAGTCGAAAATGACCTTGGTGTCAATCAACTTGTTTCCGCCACACTCGTCACATATGTACTTGGCCGGAATGAATTCCCCCGTCCCCTGACACCGGGCACACGTAGACTGGGTTCGCTGGTACATCATGCCATTTCTTGCCTCGTTGATGATGTAGCCTGTTCCACAACAGTCATTGCAGGTGTAGATTTTAAGGCCTCCGCAGCCCTTGCACTTCGGACATTTGACGCGCTTGCACAAGCTCATCTTGATGTGTTTGCCGTTGTAGTAGTCTAGCAACGAGCAGCTGACGGTGTCCATTATGTCTTTCCCCTTTGCCACTGTCTTCTTACGGCTCGGTTCCTCGTTGTAGCCGTTGTTGTTGTTATTGTTGTTGTTATTGTTGTTGCTGCTGCTGCCGCCGCCGCTGTCAAACATGCCGAACGGCGCCTTGAAGCTGTTCATGAAGCTGTTTGTCCCAAAGTCGTTGAATATGTGGTTGAACATGTCGTTGGAGCTCGCAAAGTGGGAGCTCATCATGTCCTGGGCCGAGAACGCGGACGGGAAACCAGGCCGCTGGCCCTGGGTGTGGCCAAACTGATGGTGCTGCTGGTGCTGGTGCTGGTGCTGCTGCGCGTAGCTGCCTGGGCCGTGGTCGTACTGGCGGTTGTTGGTCGTGAACACGGACGTCTGCTCCTGCGGGTTCACGGCAACCTCCTCGCCGTACGTGTCGTAGAGGTACCGCTTGCTGTTGTCACTCAAGACGTCGTAGGCCTTCGACACGGCCTTGAACATCTCCGTCATCTTCTCCTTGTCCGCATCGCTCGTCGCCGGCTGTTTGTCGGGGTGGTATTTCAACGCAAGGGCCTTGTAGGCCCTCCTTATTTCTTGTTCATCCGCCTCTGTGGAAACCTCAAGTATGTCATACAACTGTCTCTCCTTGACCATAGGTATTTTCAAAGGTGTTTTTGTAGTGCAATAATAATATCTCAACACGAAAGTAGTTGCCTAACGTCTACCGGTCTGCGGCAACTATCACATAAAATGGAGGGATTTTATTTGTCTTGCTTTTCCGTCTGATCAATGTTTGGTACCACTAATCTTCAAACTGCTCTCGCTGTTCTCTGTGTTCAGAAACTGCTAGATCGCTAACTGCTTAAATAAAATGTCAAGACACGCAGCGGAGGAGGGAACAACCAACTACGTGAGGCAACAAGAAAAAAGAGCAGGACAGGACAGGAGATAAGATGGAAAAACGACCAAGGACACCAAGCCTGCTCTTTACTGCGTCGCAACGCTCGCGGCTAAGCGCTGCAGCCTGTTTTTCGCCCGCGCTTCTTCGCTGCCGTCGATTTGCGCCTTCTAGTGTTTTCCATGACTTTCTCTCTGCAAAGCGTTTCTTTTCTCCTCGCGAGCCCTCTACATTGCCTGGGGTTGGCCCACTTTACGGCACGTCAGGTGCCCCGATCCTGTGCTTGACAGAACTGCTTTCTTATGCTTTGCGGGGGGAGCTGTGGGCAGGGCCCTGAATGCTGCTGCTGACGCTCAGGTATTGTTTCTGCTGCTGTTGCCATTGCCACTGCCGCTGCCTCTGCGTTCTAGGTTACAGTACTACTACGTCATGTAACCTTGCCTGGCCCGCCATGGTCACACCCGCAGGCGTGGGAGCGCCACTCCGGGATCGTTCGAATCTTCCCGAACGGGCGAGGCAGGAGGGTGGACGGGCGGGCGCGGGGAAGCAGACGCCGCCCAGGGTTGTGCTCCGTGATCCGCGGTTTTGGGACGATCGTCTCAAAAAGCGGCCGAGGGAGACCGAGAAGATGAGAGGTGCGGTGGAGCAGGAGGAGAACGGCCAGACTGAAAAGTTGAGGATTAACAGCATGTGTGATGCTAAACTCCGCAAGCTGCAGACACAGTGGCCAGCCTGAGACTCCCCCGGCAAGCACTCTGGAAGCCACCGGCAATGTCGCTGCTATTCTGCAACCGCTTTGTGCCCAAACAGTACTCGGTGTCGTTGGCGTTGAACGACACGAAGCCCAACTACTCGGGAAATGTGTCAATCGAGCTGGTCAAAAACGACAAGTTCCACGGCGATGGCGACACGGCGGACTACTTCAGCGTGTCACTCAACACGGTGGAGGTTGTGTCGGTGTCTGCAGTGCTGCGGTGCGGTGACAAGGCCTGGAAGCTTTTGCCGACGCTGAACAAGACCGCCGAGTCGACGGAGTACTCGTGCAAAGAGCTGCCGCTGCGCCAGCTTGCCGACACAGCGTGCCTCACCCTGGAGATTAGGTTCATCGCCGTCGTGAGAAAGATCATGACCTACAGCGACGTCACGAAGGGCGTTTTCTCCACAAAGTACACAGACCCCAGCACGGGGAAGTCGGACCTGTTCCTGCTGTCCACCCACTCTCAGCCGCACTTCGCCAGATGCATCTTCCCCTGCCTCGACGATGTCAACTGCAAATGTCCCATCCAGCTCGAGCTCACCGCCGACAACAGGTTCTCCTGCATCTCCAACATGCCCGTCGAGTCCTCCGAGTACCTCTCGGAGACCTCGAACAAACTGGTGAGGTTCGCACAGTCGCCGCCAATGTCCACCTCGGTGTTCTCCTTTGCCGTGGGTAACTTTGACTTCCTGGAGCAAACCGTTCGGATGCCTGTGTCCAAATGCGATTTCCCGATCCGCGTGTACACGATGGTCGGAGAGTCCCAGAGAGCGCAGTACGCCCTCTCGACCGTAGCCGCTGCAGTTGGAGTGCTAGAGCAGAAGTTCAACGTCAAGTACCCATTGCCCAAGCTGGACATTGTGGCCCTCCCGTTTTTGTCCGATGGCGGGGTTGAGAACTGGTCCATGATCCAGGTAATTAACGACCACATCCTCCTACCCGACTGGAAGGTCACCGACGCTCACCTGGCGAAGATACACAGGACCATCAGGGACGTCCTGGTTCATGAAATCGTACACATGTACGTCGGTAACTACGTTTCTTTTGACAGCTACGACCATACCTGGATGAACGAGAGCTTTGCTACCTTTATGTCCAACACCATCATCAACTCCGTTTTTGATAATACCACTTGGTTCAACTTCCTGAACTCCGATCTCCAGCAGCTGAAGGTGAGAAATATGTCTGCAGATTCTGCCCCTATATTCACAGCCAACGTCGCCACCTCCAGAATCCACGATACTTTCTCTAGAAACTCATACGAAAAGGGGATTTTTGTGATGAGGTCGCTAGCTTCGTTATTTGTTGAGAATGATGACCAGCTTAACCAGCAAAACTACGACGTTTTCTTTGGAATGGTCGGGGATTTCATCAAAAAGAATGAGTTCGGGAACTTCAAACCAGTCGATCTCTGGAATTTCCTTAAGGCGCACAAATCCAACAGGTTCGGCTATGATATTCCAACAATTATGAACTCTTGGATTAGAACCTCAGGTTTCCCTATCTTGACTGTCACCAAACAAGATGATGGCTCTTACAAGATAGAGCAACATCATTGCCTAGATGAAGCTGATGCCGATATCGAAGATGTTCCGTTCCAAATCCCCTTGCTTATCAAGAAATCAGATGGTACGTTGGGCAGACAATTGATGACGGATAGGTCCCTAGTGATCTCCGCTGAAGATTTATCTGATGACTTCTTTTTTCTGAATGCAAATGACTCCTTCATCGCTACTGTGATCTACCCTGAAGCCACCACCAAAGAAATTGCTTCTAAATTCCATGTTCTTAACAATGTTGAACAAATGCAATACTTTAAGAATTTCTCCTCTGTAATAGGCACTCACTACCAAAGCAATGAAAGCATCACCTCATTCTTCACGGCAATCAAATATATCAAAAAGGTCAGTAGGCCAGACCATGCAGCAATGACTTTTGCGCTTTCTGTGCTGTCCAATATCTACAAATCAATCAATACGTTAGCGTGCTTCAATGACGCAGCTTTTTACAAAAAACTTGATACCTTCATCAATGATTTGTCAAACAAGTATGTGGCTCAGCTCTATTGGGATAACGTTGACTGGAAAGTTTTGGGTACCGAAGAGCTTCGTTTAAGAAATGCAATTTTGTCATTGAAGTACGATAACCCAGCTACTCAAGTCGTTGGTAAAACACTGTTCAAGAAAGTTTTACACGGTCCAAAAGAGTCTGTTCCTGCTGAACTTTTGACAACTGTGTTTGCTATTGCTGCTCAGTCTTCCAATTTGAAAGAGTACAAAGAGATTAGTAAATTGGTCCGTAATCCAGGTTTGGTTGTTAATAACGTTTTCCCAAGCGTGCCAAACGATGTTCAAACTGCCGCTATCAACTCCCTAGGCTGTATGCGTGATCCTGAGTTGAGATACAAAACCCTAAATTTTGTTGCTACCAATCCTGATGTGAAAATGATCGAGTTAGCACTACTGGGTTTCAGATTTCAGATGTCAGCATACGGAGAGTTGTGGAAATGGTATCTTCAACATTACACCGTCTGGTACAGTAAATATGCTAGAGACAACAAATCATATCAAGGCCTGTTCTTTAAACATGTGAGTGAACTTGCTTTGGAGTGTGCCTACTATTCTCCTCAATTGAGTAAAGAAGTTGAAAATTTCGTTGCAAGCAAAAATGATGATGTAAAAACCTGGTTTGAAGAGGCTAAAGCGAAGTTGGATAGCATTAGGTTGCTGAGTGAAGCTAATCAAGATCTCAAGTTAATGTTGTAATTTATTAACATTTGTACATAGAATAAATAACTTATAGACGTTTTTTTTCCTTTTTTTTCAGGCTTACCGTACTCTATAGAGTGATATAAAGCGTCTAATTCTTACGAGCATTATGCGACTCGAAGAATAATGCATTATCTTCACCATACACAGAAGCAATGCATTCCCTTAATCCGATCCAGGCTTCATTTCCTTCTCCCTTGTTTGACTTATCAGTACCCAGTTTCAATGCAATTTTTGCAGATAACACTCTGCGAAGATACAGTTCTAGCATGTATCTAATCAAAAAGAAATAATTTTCTGCCAGATCTGGGTCCTTCTTTGCTATATAACGGTATGCGCTGTCCCAATTCAATAACCGTTTTGAGGCAACCTCATTTTTGACCTGATTGTACAGCTCGTTACCAGTTGCAATACTCAAATCACCACAATCACTAATTCGTTTCCTGTTTGGATTTTCCTCCTCAATAATAGTTTTTCCTGCAGCATTCTCCAACAGTTCGGTGCCATACTTCGAGAAGTATTCCTCTTTCTTCGAAGCGGAGAGTTCCCGCTGCAAATGGAAACTTGCATTTTCTGACCCAGTGTCATATGGGAGAGCGCTTCTTCTCTTCAAAATACTGTTCCTCTTTGCCGTCTTCAGTGGGTAACTTCGCTGGCTCGAAGTTGTTCCCTCAGGGTGATATGTCAGTTTTGAACGACGTGCATACAGTGCAGATGTGGAAACGGAATCTGCACCCGATCCTGATGAGCCTCCCTTGTTTTCGGAGCCAGGTTGCGTACGGGAAGATGTCGTTTGTGCTTTACTTGATAGCTTTGTCTCCTTGCTATCACCTGTTGTTGTTGCTTCGGAGTCCTTCTTCCGATGTTTATAGAAATCAAGCGATGTGTTCAAATATTCTACCATTGTCATATCTGTCGGCTGATACGACAATACGGCCGGAGCAGAATTTCTTTTGATATTTCGTGCCTGGTCCATTTCCTCCTTTAACAATTTAGAAGAACCCATTATAGGTAGAGAATTGTATTTGTTTTTCCTCGTTCTTCTTGTCAACTCTGCTTCATTATCAGTGTTATTTTTGGTATCAATATGGGCTTTTAAAATTTGATAGTGAATGGCCGGATCCTTCTTGATCAGGTTCAATGTCGTGGTGAAATACTGGACCATATAGGACGGATTCTCCAGTAGACTTTTTGAGGGATACATGTCAAATGCAGGCTCTATTTGTCTACTGTTCTGGAACTTTGCGGCCTTTTTCAAGGACTTTGGTGAAGATGCACTGTGGGAGAGTCTGAAATAACTGGGTTTTTTGTATGAGTTTTTGCGGACGACAGTGAATTCCTTTTTCAGATTTGCTTTCGAAAACCTGCCATGACCAGGGCTTTTCAAGTTTGATAACGGTTGCTCCTTGAGTTCATTTTCGGTTAATTTTGTAAGGCTTTTACGCTTTCCGGGATTTTTGGAATTGGCACTTGACTGAAAAATAAAGTCACCGCTTGCAATTCGATGGTGTGCATCTGAAGTATAGACACTGTAGTTCGACGAGCTTGACCTGGTGTCCTTATTAAAGTACTGGATTGGCGGTTGCTGAATTACCTCCGTCGCCATATTTGGTTAATCACAGTACTTTCCATATAGCCGGATAAGCTTGACTTGTTGGATGAACAAAAGAAGGCTGGTAAACAGAAACTTCCAACCCTTGTCAACAAAATTCGACGGAGCTCAAAACTACATCTTTCCTGTGCAAAATACCGGTACCATTAGAACCTCGGGCATCGAAAAATAACCCGAGAACCTCAACAAGTAGTGGCTGGTAACTCTCTCCTTCCTAAACAGGAAATCATATGGTCTGCATGCACAACATCGCAGCCGTTTCCTAATGTAACACTTGATTCCAGCCTCTGTGTTACGTAATCTTAAAGCTTTTTTTTTTTCCAAAGCTGAAAACGCGCCGATCGGTCCAACGGGATGTTTCACAAAGATTTCGATTGCTAGTGATAATGTCTATCTCAATTGTAAACAGTAGAAGATGACCAGATGTTCAACCATGCCATTAACGGTATTGCCAGGCTCAGTTCGTTGGACAGCCAGAGCTTATTGGACGGTGCACTATGAAAGGCTCTTTGGAACCCGACAGACTGGTGGGGGTCTACTCCACAAGACTGGATGAGAAGCTAGAAGATATGCTAGATGAGTTTGACAACTTCGACTATACTCACAAACCGCTTCTAACTCAAGCTGAATTTGAAGAAGAGTTTCTTGTTATCATTGAGAAGCTTTTCAGAAGGAGAAATAAATATCAGATGGTCTCGTCAATATTTGAGAAGATAATATCCAAGTCACTCAATGATCAGCACAAGTTTTTATGTTTGATTGATTTTATGGTCAACATTTCCAGGTATGATCCAGCCAACTTCAAGAATCTTCCAAATGACATTGTCGCTAATGTGGCCCATACTCCGATTTTTGCCAAAACACAAGAGCTTATCTATAATATGGGAAGAATGAACTATCAGTTCAAGAAATTTTCCAAGCAAGCCGCCAAAGAGAGCAAAAGTGACGCTAAGGATGAGACCATAGCAGTGTTGCCACAGCAGAACACTGTTCCACATGCCTTGGACACAAATGATGAATCTGGCAGTGATTCTGCTGACGAACCCGCAAACCGGATCATGGATGTTTCCCTTGCTGAGTTGACTAAAAAAATTATGAGCAAGACTAAAACTGCCACCAAAAAAATGAACGAGAAGAAATCTGGTCTTGCCCAGAAGGAAGAGTTGAACGGAAACGAGGATGACATGTTAGATGCTTCGCATTTGGAAGCAAGTGATTCTTCGGACTATACTCGGCCACATTCAAGGGAGAATGATTTGAATCAAGCAGATGATTACTCTTCCGATGAAAATGATGAGCCTTCTTCACTACATACCATCCGAGAAAGAGGAAACAAGTTCTCTTCGAAGTCCAAGTTAGAAACTTTGGTGGAGTCAGATTCTTCCGACTACTACACAGGCGAAGAATCCTTTGATGAGAATGAAGCTTTGGTTGACGATAAGAACGTTGACACAATGACCGTTAGAAGGGTTCGGAGCCATAAATTGCTAGTCCCAAAAGGTAAACATGTTAGCGCAAAGGGGGAAGAAACAGACAATAAGAGGGCTGCTGGCAGCAACGAAGTTGAAGACGAGGATTTTGACGTTACAATGAATAACTCGACGTCAATTATGGAACATCTTATGGATTACAAAGATTCCACAAATGATGCGCAGCGTGTACGAATCACCAAATCCAGGAAAGGTATACTAGTATCTCGAATATCCAAGGGTAATGAACTAATGAGACCCGACAAACCAAAAAGTAGGTCAGCCGCCGTCTCATTTGGATTAACCAAGCGGCAGAAGTTAGGAGAATACGGAAACCAAGTTCACTTCCAGAAAAAAACACTCAAAAATTTCAAGCAAATTTCTCCAGTCAAAAGAAAAGCTTTCATGGTGTTAGAGAAAGACTTAGATTTTTTGTATTCTGGGTTAGAGCGTCTTAAGCCGTCATGCAGTGCAACTCTGCAAAAGGAAGCAATTAAAGGATTTAGCTACAAGCCTGCTCAGTACTCTTTATTCAAAGATCTTAGAGAAGAGGTTTCTGGTGTTGACTCTGAGGTTGCAGAATTTGCTGACAGTCTCTTGAATGCCTTTGTCAGTCAACTTGCCAAACGATGCGGGGGTAATGATATCGATGAATCGCAATTTGTGCATCCTTTTGAATATAATTACATAATGGAGAAGTTCGAAGAATTGAAACAGAAGTCGGTCAAATTACCTCCAATTATCTTTCATAAAAGGTTTGATTCATTGTTCGATTACGAAGGCAATGTAAATAGTGACATCAAGACGCTTAAGATTCACAACACTAAAGTTAAAGGTCTTATGAGGTTGACTGTATTTGAGACAGAAGACCAATATTACCAAGTTTTCAAGAAAATTGTTCCTCGAGACAAAATTGGTTCTAGGATCAAATTTTTGAACAACTTAATAACAGACGGCAAATCATTATTCTGTTTTGATTTGGTGGATACCGTGCAGTATATGATGAATGATCCAAGATATATTGTAGACAGTGAGGAAGAAGAAGAGAAACTGATTGCACAACAGAAAGCAGCAGCAGAAGGAGCTAAAAAAATGAGGATAAATTTTATCAAATCGAGTTCGAAGCATATTGAGACTGACAAGGAAAGCACGGAAACTGTAATTGTTGAGAACAATGACTTGAATGGTGATATGTCTGAGGTTGTTCCGGCCAAGGTAAGGTCACCAAACGCAAATGACCAGGCCTATGAGAGAGCTACGATTGACAGCGGTGATCATGGGGCAAAATGTGAAATACAAGATAATATGAATGATAAACTTATCGAAAGGAATATTGATCAAGAACAAGATTCACTCAATAAAGACGCCCCTGAAATAGAGAGAAAAACTGGTGAACATGAAGGCAAAAGTTTGCCACAATCTCCTCTTTCAAAAAAAAAGGAGACGCAGACTGAAGGTTTCTCAGGGAACTTCGAAAAGCAAGAAGGTTTTGTGGAAGCGTTGGAGGATAAATCAGAGAAATTGGTACAGAATTCTGCGTCAGGATCTTCGGAGAAGTCTGAAGAGGCGATAGAAAAGAAGGTTGCAGTAGAAGATGAAAAGTCGGAAAAGATATCTCAAACCGCAGAAGAGCTCAGTAAACCAACGTATGGTGGCCTAGTAGAAAAGACGAGTAATGACTCAACAAATTTTGCGTTCGGTGAACCTCTGACACAGTTAGAGTTGGAGCAAAAGTTGAGAGAAAAACGTGCACAGATTCATTTATCGGATAAACCAACAGAAGAAAGTCTAAATGATGATCGTTCTACTGCGTACTCCTCATCGAAAGGATTAAGCATTTCGACAAGAGCAATCAAAAAGGTACTCTCCACAAAGGAATGTTTTGAACTGCTTGCAGTTTTACTTTTTCCAAGACTAAAAATTGATCCTACTTATGAAGGAATTCCATTATCTAGCTTGCGGGCTATAGGATCTGCTTATGATCCTTTTAGGCCATATCTATTGTCGTTGTTTCTTTCTGATGTGTTTGAATTCTTGAGACTGCCAAGGTATTTCAAAGTCGACGCAATGATGTTTGAATTACAGTTGCAGGATTTATTAAAAAGTGCAAATCCAGGTTCAAAAATGAAAGCCGTTGCATTCCATGGCTAGAACCCCATTTTATGTATCATATGTATATTAGTAATTAACCGAAGTGGTTTAATAAATAGTCAGGTTTTGTGTGTATATAAATTGACAATTAAAAAGATTAAATGAAAAAGAAATGTAAAAAAATGAACATAAATGAAAGTCTAATTCTATAGGGCAAAAAATACATAGCACCAAACATTCAAATTGAGAAAGAGAGCAAGAATAATAATAATACAAAGAACTAGTGTGCCAACACGTTTTCATTCGCCAGAATCCGCCTAACCTCACCAATGAGTTTGTCAAAACTTTTTGATGAACCCTTCTCGTGTGTAAATGTCATTCTGGATTCATTTTCTTTAGAAGGTGTAATAACACATAAGAACTTGCAATGTTTGATGTTGAGGTTATTGTTTTTTGCAAGCTCTCCTCTCAGCATTCTATGTTTTGAGTCAATGAATAAATTACCCACACCATAGTGTTTCCATCCTACCAGCAGTGATTTCATAGCATCGAAGGCATCATCAGCGGTCAAAACTGTAACCATAGACTGTGGTTGAGATAACTGATTCCCTGAAAAAAGGGACTTGAAAGTTTTACCGAATGAACTCTTCCTTTCGGTGTCAGGCTGAAAATGTGATAGCTTGGAAAAGAAAGAATTTTTTCGTTGATTGTCTGTTGTTCCCTTTTGTTGATTTAAATTTGCATCTCTTGCACCTAAAGGTTGGCGCTGCTTTTCAACCTTCAAAGGTTTTGAGTTTGGCTCTTTAGTTTCGAAAACTTCAGTTGGTTTGTTGACTGATGCTACAAGAGGAACATTCAAAGCCTCTTTCAGTTCTGACTCGTCAAATTCTTGTTTCGACCTGCGTATAGCGTCCTCAAAGATTTCAAAGGTGTCATTTTTGTTTGCAGTACGATTTTTTTTCTCTTTAATAGGAGAGCCTGGAATTTCAGGTAGCTTTGGACCCTTTTGCTTTGTATTCTCAGAATCAGTCGCAAATGAATCTTCAGTCTTAGGCGGTAATGGCGAGATCGAATCGTACACCGATGATCCTAGAGTAGCATCTGCACCTGTCTTGGTATTGCTGCCTTGTGCTGTACTTGATAATGGTAAAACTGCCGGTGAAATGTTGTTTTGCGTACCAGAGTTATCGCCATGCTGATCAACAAAAATCAAATCATTGTCCAAAGCAGTTGATATACTTGCCGATCTAGGTTTAGCGCCAATGTTTTCGGTCCTTAATCCAGCCTGTGAACTTTCTTCATCGGCTTCATTTAAGGTGTTCATGCTTTTATTATGATGGGAAGTATCAAACTGTGAATCCCGATCTTGAATAGCAAATTCTGGATCGGAAACTAGCAAACTCAGTCTAGAAATTCTATCTTTCTTTGTTTGCTCGTGAGTCTTGGTAATTTCGTCATCTAGCTCTTTGAGATAAAAGCTTAATCGTTTAGATGAAGCCTTGGTGGAGTACATCGAAAGAGTACTATAACGGCTAGATTTCAACTTGGTATGATTAGGCTGCTGATATGTGAAATTATTTGCCGAGTCATTTTTTTTGAGAACTGTCCCACTAGATAAGCCAAGCTCATCATTAAATGTATTGTTAACAAGCTCTGATCCTTTGCGATGTACTGATGTTTTCTTCAGGCGTTCGAGTTCTTCTTGTTCCTTTTTGAGTTGCTCTTCACGTTTTTTGATTTCAGCAAGAGCTTTGGCTTCTGCTTCTGCCTCTTCTTGCAGTTGAAGTAACTGAGCTGCGTGCTGTGAAGTTCTCTTCTGGTAAGTTTCGAAAGCTTTAAATCTTGGGTCTAATCGGGAGACTGGTCTTGGTGGTGCAGTGAGGTTATTAGCCCCTGTATGTATATCGGAAGCAGTACGACGCTCAAAATCGCCCAACTCAGAAGCATTTAGAAGCTTTGAAATCCTCTGAATTGGGTTACTTGAGTTTCTGTTCTTTGGCGCATTACCACCCGTACTTGATCTCTTGGCTGAGGACTTTTTGCTGGATTTGCTTTCATATCTAGAATGCCTTTTACTAGTGGGTGAGCCTGTAGATAGACGTGCAGAGTTACGTTTATCTCCAAATACAATTGCATTGAGAGTAGCCATTGAATCAGAGTTTCCAATCTTAGTGTTGGCCTTACTCTCATCGCCAAACAGGACATCACACAGAGCAGCAAAATCAGAAGAGGCTCTCTTACCATAATTATCAGCAGACGTCTTACTCTTCTCATACTCAGCCATTACTGCATAAGTAGACAAGACCTTTGAAGTGACAGAATTTCTCTTCATCCGAGTTTTTGTATTGCTTGTTGCAAGCATTTTTTTCAAACTGGATGCTTCAGAAGGAACTCTAGATCTTCTTTTGGTAGGTGTAACATCAGTGACTATTAGTGATTGGCGTCTATGTACCTTATCATCATTGAATGATTTGACCGGAGTTTGAGTATTTGGGTTATTTGGTGAATTTTCTTTCTGATGGCTGAGAGCACGTTGATGAGAAGCGGCAGAAGGTGTTGTTAAATTTGCGACCGAAAATTCAGTAGTCTGGAGAGAATCTCTTGATCTTGACACCCTATTGTTTTTCTGGAAAGATATAGGACGTCTATTAGGGGTAGATGCAGTTATCAACAGGCTCTTTCTCTTTGTTCCATTGGAGTTGTTTGATGAAGATGAAGATGAAGTTGAGGCGGAGATGGGGTCAGTAACTTTCGAAATTACCGAAGAGCTACGCACTAGATCATTTCCCTTGCTAATTCTATTGGAGTTTGCATGATCATGTCTGTATCTCAGTAGTAAAGTATAGAATGTTTTCTCTGAATTGGCAACTGGCGAAAGTAGGGCCTCAACGATCGATTCGCTTGAGCGGCCGTGCCATAATATAACCAAGTTTTCCAATATGCGCTTATCTATCTGTTGTCTTGATTTTACAGGACTAACAGCACTCTCTGGAGATGGTAGTTGAATAAATGCATCATCTTTTTCACAGTCATAATATCTTTTCACAAAAGGATGTTTCAATATATCCCTCGTTTTGATTCTGGCTTCAGGGTTAACTGTGAGCATGTGGTGAATCAAGTCCACAGCTTCTGGGGATAAATCCTCAACAATTTCATACTCGCCAACTTGGACTTTCAGAAGCAAATCCCTTATGTTATCATCATCAAATGGCAATCTTCCGGTCAGCAACGCAAATAAGATTACACCGCAGGACCAGACATCAGATTCAGCACCATGGTAATGCAAGCCGCTCACAATCTCAGGAGCAGCGTAATGAGGAGAACCACATGACGTCTCTAATAGTCTGCCGCTTTCCAATGCTGCCATACCAAAGTCTGCTATTTTCACATTCAGGTCTTTGTCGAGGAGGATATTTTCAGGCTTGAGATCTCTATGGCAGATGCCCAAGCTATGACAATAAGCTGCACCTAGTATGATCTGTCTGAAGAATTCAACGGCTGTTTTTTCGGGTAGGGGGCCGCTATCGACAAGCAGGTCGAAAAGCTCGCCACCTTCGACGTACTCTAGCACAAGATACAAGGCCTTTTCTGTTTCCCAGACGTCGTACAATCTTAAAACGTTGTTGTGGTTGAGCAATTTCATGATTATGATCTCTCTCTCAATACCGTAGCTCAATCCGGCAGAGTCGCAGTCTTGTTCCTCGTTGTCCTGCGACTGGTCGTGTGTGAGAGCAGCCTTGGAGACAATTTTCACAGCAGCCTTCTGGTTGTTCTCGACATTGGTGGCCAAAAAGACTCTGCCTGTAGCACCCTTTCCTAGTGTTTTTCCCAGTTTCCATGGCCCAATTTTCACCGGCGTTCTCTTCTTCGGGAAGATGCCACTTGTCTGGTGGGAGTTTGCGCTTGTCGACACAAAAGACGAGGCGTACGAGGGTTGCCTGGAGTGTGGAGTCATATTCTGAATTAAAGCGGGAGATGGTTAGTAAACAAAGCTCTTAGATGGTATGCTACTGACGACTTAGATTGATACTTACTTCTCTCTCAGTGTTTGATCGTTAACAGCTAATGTTTGATAGAAGCGCACGAAGTAGTTAAAGTAAAGCGAGTGGATGACTTTTTTTGTAGAATAAACAAAGTGTAAAAGAATGTAAATGAGTTGGATGCTGTGCCTTGCTTATTATAAAAAAAAAGTCTGTACTTCTTCAAGTGTTTTTTCTAGATGTCAAAATAAAATTCAGCTTCCTGATTAGTTAGGACTAGTCACAATTCTATGTAGAGGTGTCTTTCTTTTCTTTTCTGCGTTATCTCTGGAGAGGGTGTTTCTAATGAAGGAAGTAAGGTATTGGAATAGGACAGCCAAGCCTATGAAAGACTAGTAGGGAAGAGACCACACCAAGATTTGATAGAACCCAACCCAAGACACGATGGAGCACCCGCTGCCAACACGACGTGTACGCCGCTGTGCACAGTTGTAATAATAGGCTTTACGGGTAGCCAGAGGTAGCAAGCGCCAGCCAGACACGCTTTGTCCGTCACCAGCCCCTGTGGCCAGCGGTTTGTCAACACCGGGTCCGCGCTCTGCCTATTGTGAAACAAAACGCGTTTTTCTCCGAAACGAAAAAGGGCATCAAGAACGCGTTTCAGCTCAGCCGCCCGGTGCACGGATGTAAAAAAATGCTGGACGTCGATCGGCTCAAAAATCGAAGAAAGACGTCCTCCCATGGCGGTATGGACAGTGGGTGTGCTAACAGTAATACGCAATACATTTCGGGATGTACTTAGTTATACAACGGCTGGGATAGTCTCCAAACGGAGCGGGATGGTTCCGTGTTGAGAGGGTTAAATATACAATTTGGGAAGAACCCACAAGCTGACGCTGGGGTGCAGCTAAGACTGCTGCTCAAGTCGGGCGTGCGGAGCCAGGGTTTCGGTTGGGGTCGCTGTATGTGCTTCTGCTCGGTCACCGGCCCCGGCGACGCATGTGGCGCTCAACAGCTACCTCCGACTTGCTCTCTGTGGGCCTCGATAACGTCACCCTCGTCCATGTCCAAGCTCTCTGGTGTGTCTTCCGGCTCAACTCTCTGGCCCTCGTAGAGAAACCGCAAGCTGTTTGGCTGGCGTCCCTGTCTCTTGCAGAAGGCTTCCATGAGTCTTTTCAATTGCGTGACCTTCTTGATTTTGAAGTAGACCTCAGAGTTACCGTCGGTGACCTTCAAGTTGATGTGGGTGCTGTCGGCTGGCTCTGGCTTTGGTTCGTCGGACATTGTGTGATCCTGATGTATCCTCTCGACGGGCGTTTGCTTGCTGGGCGGCTGTGTGAAGGGGGAGAAGACGACTGAGCTTATCAGAAGCAGGCCCGAGTCATGAGAAGGCCGTATGCCGAAAACAACAAACACGAGGGCGAGATGAAACTGAGCGATCTAGGAGTGAATGAGCTTCAAATTTACCGTTCCGGGACAGCTCCGGTGCACAGATGTGGGCGCGGAGCAGGGTCTGGGATTCTCTTCGGATAACCTATATTCAACCATATGTATCTATCTACAGGCATGTCGGGTTGCTTTATATTGGGAGAACCACATCGGCAGAGTCCTTTATGTCCAGCTCGATGTAGACGATACTGGCAATTGTGCACGCGGCGCCCACGAGAGAGCCCATGATGATGTCAAAGTAGCCGTGCTTGAAGTCGTAGATCCGACTGGTGACAACGTCCAGCGCAAGGAGCATCGGCGTGAAGCAGAAGAGTCCGACCAGCCCGTTTTTGCTTCTCCGGCCGTAGGTGACATAGAGCCACATTGAGAGAAAAATCATCCCGCACATCGACATGGAGGAATGGCCCGAGGGGCACGATTTGTAGCCGTCGTTCAGAATGAACTCTCCGTACGGAGCCGTGCAGATCTGCTCATCGTAGAGAAGCTCCTTCGCTTTGGCAGCACCGACTGTCGGCTTGCAACGTGCCAGGAAGTCGGGTCTCAATTTGGCGAGTCTTTTTTTCAAAAACGTAGTCACAAATGACGTGAGTGCAACGGCAAAGGAAAAGCATGACGTAGCCTTGTAAAACCTATGGAACTTCCCGCTTATTCTATCCAGTAGAATTAGCACTGACATCAGCACGAACGGGCCAATGATGCACAGAAGAAACAAGATGCTTTCCGGATACTTTTCAACTTCCACAAACGGGTACGAGATGTTGATGTCGGTCAACGAGAAGGGCCGTTTAGCGGGAGTTGCCAGTTTCTCCATGTACGCCGAAAGAACCAGTAGAAAGATTGTTGTCCCCCACAACAGCAAGTTCTCCTTTGCACGTTCTTGAAACTGCATCATGAGGTCATTCAGTGGCATGATAAACTCCTGAAGAAGCAACGGCTAATCTTCGTGTGAACAACAAACAGCCTCCAGCTTATTATTACTGACCTTCAAAGTACCCTCCACAAAAAGCTCAGACCCAGCTCGAAAACGGTTAGCACGCACAAACCGCGGGAGCCTCACTCGTTACATAACTGGTTCGTTTCATCGAATATTACACGTTTATTCATCGCACTACCACTAGGCATAGGCTACGTAAGGCTGTCTTGTTCTCAAATCAACGTATCCCAGAATTTGTCAAATCTGGAAACATTGACATCTTCGTCGGCGTCTTCCCAGACCTCTTCATCGATCCTCCTGGCATCCGAATCCAAATCTACCTCCTCTGTCGGGATTAGCCATGGTTCCCTCCTGTAGTATGTAAGCTGGGCGACGATCCAAAACACTACTGTCATAATCAATGAGACGTAGTTCGCAAAAAAATCATTAACGTCGAAATTGAAAAAGACCTTGTACCCTTGTATAAAAACAATCAGGACAAGGAAGAATTCCGTGATCCATGCTACCACGGGCCCAAAATTGGCCTTAAACGGTAGCGTATCACGGGAAATGCTTCTTGACTGCAGAATTTTCATAAACCTCAAATGGGCTCCTGTAATGAAGCACCAGCAGATCAAACCTGCTAGGGCTGAAATATTCATTAGCCAGTTGAAAACCACCACACCGCTGTTGGAGACGTTCAAAAACGCCAAGGCGCCAAAAACAGCAGTGAAAAGTACGCCATAAATAGGCACACCATGCTTGTTAGTTCTAGCGAAGATCATAGGTGCCGTTGACCCAGCCATGGAATATAAGACTCTGGAACCAACATACACGTTACTATTGGCTGCCGATGTGAGCGTGATTAGAATGACAGCATTGAAAATGTGTCGTAAAACAGGAGTACCGGAATTAGTGATAGCAATCAAAAATGGAGAAGATGAGATGAAACTAGCGGACGAAGATAAAGCAGGATCATCATATGGCACTAGCATTCCAATGAAAAACAACGTTAAAATGTAGAAAAGCAGAATTCTCACAATGACCTTGTTGATGGCCTTTGGAACAGTCTTTCTCGGATTGGCAGATTCGCCGGCAGAGATACCGGTAAGCTCAATTCCTTGATAAGTAAATGCTGCATTGATCAAAGAGGAAACCCAACCAAGAAACCTGTCTGTGTTTGTATTTGAGACAAGTCCTGCACCTGCACCCCAAGGACCCGGGTGTCTCCAATATCTGAAACCGACAGGTCCTGTAACGCCTGCGCCACATACCATACAAAGGGCGTAGATAATGAAACCTACAATGGCCACAACTTTCACAAACGCAATCCAAAATTCTATTTCACCATAATATCTTACCGGGACAAAGTTGGCAGCAGTTATCGTCACAAAGAATATTAAGATCCATCCCCATACAGGGACTCTATCAGTCCAGTACATGATACACTGTGAAACGGAAAAGATCTCAATTGCAAATGTGATCCCCCACTGGAACCAGTAACACCAGTTACTGCTGAATCCAATTGCCTTGGAAAGATATCTGGTATTGAATGTACAGAAAGAACCGGCAACTGGTGTGTGCGTAGCCATCTCGCCTAAAGACTGCGTGACTGAATACGCCAAAGCACCAAAAAAAAGGTAAGCAATGAGAGTATTAACTGGGCCCGACATTTTTAGTGGTGCCGAAGTACCAATGAATAAACCAGTACCGATTGTGCCCCCTAACGCTATCATTGAAACGTGACGCGATTTTAACCCACGCTTGACCTCAGTTTCCAACACATCACCATGCAAATCCTCATCATGCTCAAACGTATTCTGATATTTTTTATCAAATGCACTTGTCCAAGGAGATGACTTCTCATCAATATAGCTCACATCAGTATCGGCCTCATTTTCAAAATGGCTTCCACTTGAAGCTTCGACAGCTAAAGAATTTTTAAAGCGGTTCAGTTTTCGTATAAATGTCATTTTTTAAATAATATATTGAAACGGCGGTTTTTTGCTCTGTTTGTCCACTTTTTGTTTAAGAAGCAACAGAGACTAAGAGTAAGATTAGAGCTGGTAGGAAACATACACGATTATAACTACAGAAAGGCTATCTGGTATTTTTTCTCCTATTTCTTGGGGAGAAAAGATCACTCTAAATGCTCATATCTATAAGGAAACACATAACTGAACAGTTGCCTTTAAGGAGAGTACCTAAAAGTAGCCGGAGAACACAAAATGTGTCAAAACCGGTGTCAAAAAAGAAAAGAAAAAAAACAATGTGCCATAATAAATTTCAGTCAATAAAAATCATCTACTCGCCTCGCCGTGGAGAATGCCCCTCCGCGTCAGCGAGTTTGGCATTTCGGCTTGCGGATTTAATTTTCCGTGGTTGTCCTTTAATGTACTTGTATAGCGAGATGCTTCCTATAGGACCTACTATGGTAGTCGGAGGGGAGTTATCCAGCGAATTTGCTGCCGCCTTAGCTAGCAGGTAACCAAACTGTAGAATGATAAAGTCACACAATTAAGGTAAATTGATGGGTCGCAAAGTTGCCACCGGTAATTACAACGATAGCCCCTGCAGCCAGGGGTTATCAACGGTTTTCGAAGGTTACAGTAGCAAGCATTCTTTTATCTATTGTTACCTGGTGTACTCTTGAAAATTGCCAGTGCCTAGTGGAGATAACAAATGTAGCGGGTAAAGCAGGTGATGAAAAGGTGTTAGTTGAAGTTAGCGGTCAAAATTGCAGACTTCAGTGAGACTTGTCTTGAGGAAACGGGTTTCACGACGTTGCAGTAGTCCACTAACGTTTGTTACAAGGTATTCCTTGACGTTAGTGGACAGCATGCTGTTGATGCAACTTTTGCCTTTGGGAGTTCATGCCGTGCTGCAGTTTTCCAAAGATGTTAACGGAAGGTGACGGCGATGATGCCGTTTCCTAATTATTTTTTTTTTGATTTAATTATTTAATTTTCCATATCCGATGTCAAAATTTCCAAGATTCCAGCCGCATGTATACATTCATGTATACACTTCCGAGCCTCTCGATTGCAAAGTGACAGATCCAACTGTTGATTTCTGCAGACATAGAATAGCCTAAGTTTGGTTTTGTAGCATGGTATCGGCTGCAAATGGTTTCCAAGGTAGCGTGTCCAACAGTTAATTTTACACAGGATACATGAATTATCGGATTAGTTATAAATATACACACACTAGCACGTATGAAGTAAATGCAAAATAGTTAAGAACAAAGAAACGAAAGGTATTAAAAGTAAAGTCTATAAATGAGGTGGATTGTAATTTGTATTTTTTCTCTATTTGGAGCGTTCAGAGCAAAACGTCCCAAAATCTGTCGTATAGCGATTTCTTTTCGTTCTCCTCTTCGTCTTCCCATACTTCGTCATCGACGTTTCTAGCTTCGGAATCTAGGTCGACTTCATCTGTAGGAATAAGCCAAGGGTCATGTCTGTAGTATGTCAATTGAGCGACTATCCAAAACACAACAGTCATGATTAAGGAAATGTAGCTAGCAAAGAAGTCGTTGGCGGTAAAATTGAAAAAGGCTGCGTAACCTTGGATGAATACGATCAAAACAAGGAAAAACTCAGTTATCCAAGTGATAATAGGCCCGAAGTTTGCCTTAAAAGGCAAGGTATCACGAGATATATTTCTTGACTTCAAGATTGTCATGAATCTCAAGTGTGCAGCCGTGATGAAACACCAGGAGATCAATCCTGCCAATGCAGATATGTTCATCAACCAGTTAAAAACAGTCTTACCACTGTTGGAAACGTTCAAGAAAGCTAGGAGACCAAAGAGAGAGGTAGTGATGACTCCGACATAAGGAACACCGTGGCGATTGGTGAGGGCAAAGAATTTTGGTGCTGTTGTTCCGGCCATGGAATAAAGGACACGAGAACCAATATAAACGTTGGAATTACCTGCGGATATGATTGTAGCAAGCATGACGGCGTTGAAGATGTGTCTCAAAACAGGGGTACCGGAGTTGGTGATTGAGATCAAGAATGGAGATGAGGAAATAAAGTTCGTTGTGGAAGCCAATGCTGGGTCATTGTAAGGAACAAGCAATCCGACAAAAAACAAAGTCAAAATGTAGAAAAGAAGAATTCTGACAATGACTTTGTTGATGGCCTTGGGAACAGTCTTTCTAGGGTTAGCGGACTCACCGGCAGAGATACCAGTCAACTCGACACCTTGGTAGGTAAATGCTGCATTGATCAAAGAGGAGACCCAACCGAGGAATCTGTCTGTATTTTTGTTCTTGACCAAGCCTGCACCTGCACCCCAAGGACCAGGGTGTCTCCAGTATCTGAAGCCCACCGGGCCGGTAACACCTGCACCGCAGACCATACATAAAGCGTAGATGAGGAAACCGACGATGGCAATGACCTTGATGAAGGCAATCCAGAACTCGACCTCACCGTAGTAACGGACTGGAACGAAGTTGGCTCCTGTGAGGACAAAGTAAAAAATCAAGATCCATGCCCAGGTTGGCACTGCCAGGGTCCAGTACTCGATGATCTGTCCGACGGCGAAAAGTTCGATGGCAAAGGTGATGGCCCAAGAAAACCAGTAACACCAATTGGTGGCGAACCCAATGGCCTTGGACAAGTATTTGGTGTTGAAGGTACAGAAAGAACCTGCGACGGGGGTGTGGGTGGCCATTTCACCCAAGGACTGGGTGACGGAATAGGCTAGTGCACCGAAAAAGAGGTAAGCAATAAGGGTGTTGACCGGGCCGGACAATTGGAGCGGAGTGGCGGTACCGACAAACAAACCGGTACCGATGGTACCACCGAGAGCAATCATGGAGACATGACGCTGCTTCAACCCACGCTTGACCTTTGTCTCGTGCACGTATCCTTCGATGTCGTCCTGGGAGTTGATATCGTCGATGTCGTAGGCACTCTTCTTTTCCGAAAGCTTTTCGATGGATCTGTTTGACTTGGCGGCTGCAATCTCGTTGTTGGAGCTGATCATGTATAGCTCTGCACCCGGGTCGGCGGTGCCCATTTCTGTGTCATGGCTGAAGGGCGAGCTGTTGCCGATGGAGCGAACATCCTCGTGGACGTCTGCTTGTTTCTTGAATTTCGACAGAACGTCAAACTTCATGCTGTTTGTGTGGGTAGGCGTGTGTGTCGAAAGCGGAGATAGAGGCACAGACAGGACAGAACAGGACAGAGAAGGAGAACGGATCAACGTACGCCAGAGAAGAAAGATGAAAGCGGATGAAGCAGGACAGCGGATGATCCGAGCAGTGCAAAATGGTTTTATACAGCAGCCGTGGTGCTACACAATAATGACAAATTTTCAGATATGGGGCCGGACGTGAAAAGAAGGAGTGAAAAGTGAGGGAAACAGGCAGCGTCACAGGGCAGCCAAGCGGCGGCTTCCGCCGAGCTGCCGCTGCAGGTGCTGCAGCGGTGCCCAAAGCAGCAATTCGGCACGCATTAGCGCTCTTCCCGGGCGGGCAGAGCTGTGCGATAAGCCCCAAACCGAGGGCATTGCTTTGTTTGGTGACTCAGCCCGTCACGGGCGAAAACGAAGGCATTGTGGACCGTGCCACCATTGCGTTGCTGGCGCCTCCCAGCACCACTGCTACTGACACTACTGCCGTTGCTGCTACTACTGGTGCCACTGTGTTGGGATTACAAAGATTGGGGCAGACGACGACAGAAAAAGCGTGTGGAAAAAAAAAAGAAAAAAAAAATTAGCGTGACACCTTGACGTGATGGCTTCCTGCTGCCAAATTGGTGACAGCGAGAAAATTTTTTCTTTCCGTGCAGGACGTCTCTTTTTGACACATTGGCCTGTCCTAGCGGTAGAATAGCAGGGCAAGGCAGGGCAGATGAGCCGGGAGTCGCTATCTCTTATCTCTGCCGCAGGCTCTGTCTTATCTGTTGCTGGCTACAGCAAGCGCATTGCCTACGGCAGAGAGACCGTGGAGATGCGGTTGGCGACATCTTGTGCCAGGCTGGCACGCTGTAGCGTCCAAGAGCCCCGGAAAGAGACCACCCGTCCGCTAAAGTTTTGTGCAAGCCAAATCTTGACGTTAGCGGACGGGTAGCAGCGGCCGCTGCGGCCGTGGCCGTGACGGCTGCAGGTGCCTGCAGGCGCTGACCCGTGGCCACTGGCATTGCAAGGAACGCCGCGAGAACGCCGCTAAGAGCAGGGGCAACCGAGACCGGGGGCTCGCGGGGCACTCGCGCGCGACAGCGGCGGTGTTGCGTTTGCGCAATGGATCTGGCGAAAAGATGGTGAAGACACAGATCGGGGGGGAAAGACGCCACCGGGAAGACAGCGGGGTCGACACGAGACGGGCGGACACAAGCAGACGATGCAGGCTTGGAGCCGAGTGGTGAGACGCTTTTCGACGTGCAGGCGTGTACAGCAGCAGCAGCAGCAGCAGCAGCCGGCGACGGAGAAGCTCGACGTGCAGAAGATCGCCAAACACTTCGACGTGTCGTACGCACGGAGCTCGGGCGCCGGCGGCCAGCACGTAAACACGACCGACACCAAGGCCGTGGTGCGGCTGCCCGCCGCGCGCTGGTACGCCGCCCGGGGGCGCTGGATCCCCGGCACCGTCTTCGACACGCTGATGGCGAACACGCGGGACCCGACGGCGCCGCAGCAGAAGCGGTTTCCCTTCTTCTCGCCGTCCGGGGACGTGGTGATCTCCAGCAGCACGACACGGTACCGGGATAAGAACCTCGCCGAGTGTTTCCGCAAGTTCGTGGACGCGGTGGCGGCGTGCGGACAGCCCCGGCCGGCGGCGTCGGCGGCGACGCAGGAGCGCTGGGCCCAGCGCCGGCGGGCAGACAACGAGGCCCGCGTGCGGGACAAGAAGCGCCAGGGCGACAAGAAGAGCAGTCGCAGGAAGCCCAGCATGGGCGATTACTGAGGTATGTAGAGAAGTAGATAGCAACAAGACCCCTACCGCGCCGCGTTCCACAGGTCCTGGAGCCCCAGCACGCTCGTCGCCACCCCGCAGGCGCCCACCACGCCGTCGCCGAGCCCGAGCTTGCAGTACAGGTTGAGCGCAATCACCATGTCCAACGCGTTCTTCACCGCGTCCCGCAGAACCGTGTCTGCCGACAGCGCCGCCGGCGCCGCCGTTGCACCCGCAGACGCCGGCTTCGTCTGCCCCGGCTCCCGCGGACCCTTGGCCCACCGTCTCGCAGCCAGCACCTGTGCCTGCCGCCCGTTCTTCACCAATCCGCCGGCGAGCGCCAGACACCACGCCGCGGAGGCGTACTCGCCCGCGTGCTGCACCACGCCGAGCCGCCCCGCCCGCTCGTTCACCCCCCGCCCGCCGAGCACGCCGAGCAGCTTGAGCCACTGCACCACGTCCAGCGAGAAAAAGAGCACAAGCCCGGCCTGCTTCACCGCCTCCGCCGTCCGCAACACCGGGTCCGCCAACTCGTCCGACACACACGCCGAGAAGGCGTTGAGGTGTGCCAACGGTTTCAGCGCCCGCAAAGGCTTTCTTGCCAGCGTGAATTGCGTCTGCAGCTCCGGGAGGAGCCGGACCCACTCGGGCGACAGCGAAAGCGCCCGCCGAAACACAACGCTGCGCACAAGACGCACAAGGTACTGCAGGAGCCGCAACACCTTCTCCCGGGCGTCCGCCTGCGTCGCAAACTTGAGAAGCTGTCTGTATAGAGGGTGCTGCACGAGCACTTGCAACGACGACATGTTCTGTGTGCACTTGGTGCCCGCCAACACCTCTCTCCGGCCCGACCCGCTGACACACTCCGGCCCGACCCAACGGCGCCCGGGCCCGTCTTTATAGCCCCCGGACGGGGTCATCGCCGCCCCGCCCGCTCGCTTCCCCACGCCGGGCCGGACATTTTATCTGCACTGAGGGGACTTGTCCGAGCCACACAGGAGGGGCAGACGGGGCAGACGGGGCAGACGGACTCGGGGTAACCGCCGCCACGCCACAGACATGGGCCGGCCACACAACACGGGCTGCTGGCTTGGTCACCCAGTCAGCCTGTGCAGAACGTATTTGCTGACACTTGTGCCCCGCAGACAACCTGCGGTACCCGGTACCCGGTGCCCCTCCGCGTCACGTGGCCCGGCGTCCCTCTCGCTGGGCGCCGTTCCGGCACACCACTGCCGTCCACGGGGACCCCTATAGCTGCATGGGTCTGCCCCCGGACCAGCGTCTGGCCTGGGTCTAGCCGAGTGGCGTTGCGTTGGCGGCGTAGACACACTCTATACACACTAACATGGCCTCAGACATGGCCTCAGATACCACCCAGCTGCAGGACCCGGTCGCCTACCCGCTCGTGTCCATCCTCTACTGCGTCAAGTGCAACTGGCTCCTGCGGGCGTCGTGGTACCAGCAGGAACTGCTGCAGACGTTCACGTCCAAGGCGACAAGCGCCGACGAGGCGGTTGTGCATTCGATCGTGCTCAGACCGTCGTTTGTGCCAGGCACCTTCCAGGTGCTGGTGAAGCGGTCCGCGGACGCCGAGTGGGTGCTCGTGTGGGACCGCCTCAGAGACGGAGGGTTCCCCGAGGCAAAGGCGTTGAAGCAGTGCATCCGGGACGTGGTGTCGCCCGAGCGCAGCTTGGGCCACTCGGACAAAAAGTCCAGCGGCACGTTGCTCACAGGCTCCAAGGCGTCGTCGGCGTCGTCGCCTGCGCCGCCTCCGGCATCCGGTGCCGTCTCCTCAACAGGTTCCATACCGCTCGCCACGCCCAGGGAACACACCCCGACCGAGAGGGAAATAGAAACATACGGCTCGCCCAAGTTGGCGTCCAGCCACAAAACATTCTGCGAAGAGTGTGTGGAAAACCTCCCTCCTGCGTGGGAAATGTGACTCCGCAGCACGCCCGCAACACGCCCTCACATATACCTCCCTTTTATCTCTCTCTAATAGTTTACAGACCCTACATGCGCCGCGCTATCCCAGTACTCCTCCGCAAGAGCCACGTCCGGGTTCTCGGCATACCCGTCATCGTAGAACACGTACAACAGGAAGTTCAACACCAGCAGCAGAAGAACTATATACAGCGGGAGTCTCACGATCCTCCAGACAAGCATGTAGATCTGCACTATTCGGAACCTGACCTGACCGAAAACGCTCTTCGGCTGATCATCGCCAACTTTTCTTTTCAACTCGTTTATTAGCACGTTCTGTTTGTCGATGCCGTCCTTCAGGCGCTGCACGATCCCCTGCATGGGCCCCGTTTCCGGCACACTCGATGCGCTCTTGGAAACAGTGATCTTGTCCAGGCTCTTGTAGTATTCGAGAAGAAGATCCCTCATCTTGTTGACGGTGCGACTGTCTCGCGTGTTGTGTGTCTTTGAGCGTGTCAACATCGACTCCAGCTCACGGATCCTCCCCCGGAGAATATCTTCTTTTTCCCGCAACGTGCCTTTCAGCATGAATGAATTGAACTTACTGCTCTCCATGTTCATCGTCTGCGTGAAGTCCTCCCGGTTCTCGTAATCAGCCCCGTGCAGTGGTACATCAACGGCTGCAAAGCGGCTCTTGCTCTTGTTCGTGAGTCCCCCTCGCAAAATATCTTCCATGGAGCACTCAAAGAGTCTCTCCATCAACGCCTTGAATTGCTCCTGGTTCACTTCCACCTGCGGACACTCCATCACAAACTCAATGAGGAAGTCCCGATACTCATCCGACAATAGTTTCTCACGTACCAGATCTTCGAGGACATTAAAGAGTGCTAACAGATCCGTCAGCCGCAGTTTCGAGTCTGAGTACGAAGTCACCTGCATCCACGCCCTGGAGATGAGCACATCTGCAGAACTCATCATCTGCTCGATCAATGTCTGCGAAGAGACAGCCAATCTTTCTCCACTACCCGCTTTTACTAAAAGTGTTGTTGATTCATCCCCATTGCATCAAAAAAAAGTGTAAGTGTTGATCTTTTGTCTCGCTCCGCAAAAAACATGCTCGGAAGAATCGTAAAGGGTATAAGTACTGGGCACTACTGTCACTGATGTCATGCATTTAATCGCGATCTCATGCTTACATATTGGCCTATCGTATCGGCACACCTCTTTTAACTCACTTTCTTAAAGTATAAACTTTATAGCCATTTCCTACGAGAGTCAATCAAGATGTCAAAATGGAGAGGAAATTATCCGACCCGAGGATATCATAAAAGAGTGTCACTCAGAGGAAGTAGTGTGGGGAGTAGGGGAAGAGGAACCAGAGCACCAAGAGGGCCAAGAGGCACACAAACAAGAGTAGCAAGAGGTACAAGGGGGCGAGGTGGCGGCAGAGATTATGGCCAGACCCCAGAGTACGACGGATACCATGGTAGATCCTACCAACCATATGATATTTCTCATGACTACAACTATCAAGAGACGTCTGATACTCAGGAAAATAATAATGAAAAAACGGAGGAAAACGATCCAGCCAACGTTTTTACAACAGTCGATAATCTCGAAGATTCTAATCATCCTAGCACTTCAAGTCACTCAAAAACATATCCCACTTCAACGGTTCCAAAAATAGGATCCAGTGGATCCGCTGTACCAGTCCAGAGACATATATCAGAGCTAGATGACTCTCCTGGAAGATATCCAGAATTGAGCCCTGTTAGACCCCCCTTGACTGGTTCAAAAACCGGATTTCAGTTATCTCCTCGACAAGACGGAGGTGATTTATATCTTAAAAGGAGTAAGAGTGACAACCAAATTGACTCACACAATTCTTCATCTACAGAAAACCACAAAAGGAAATTTGTGGAATCAGTAAAACCGGCCAGAAATGAGGTGCTCAGTATGAAAAAAGTGACTATAGATAACATTATCAGTCCAGCTAAGCTAACCAATACCTTGTCATTTAAAAATCCTGCATCCACATCTTTGTCATTATCCCCCCGGCTTATTTCGACCGGTGAGAAATTAAATTGTCACGATCCATATAAAACTCCTTCTACATCATCTAAGCAAATAGAAATATCTTTCAGAAGTCACAAGCAAGGTTTGCCAAAAAGGGAGTCAGTCTCGCCCATACGGGAAGCCATTTTGATCAATAATACTGAACTAAATAATGGTCCTAGACGTATGGAAGGATCTGAGGCTTCATGCAAAATCCATTCTCTTTCTCCCTCTTGTTTACCTTCTTCGGCTAGTTTATCCATACACAGACAAGAAAGTAATATTTCCTTTCGAAGCCGTGAAAAAGAGAATTTGCAAAAATCAGTGGATAATGAGGAAAAGTTCTCTAAGAAAGGGAAAGGAATAGAAATACCAAATGAACAAACTGTAGTTCAAGCTGTCTCACCTAATTTGGAGCTGAATAATGACCAGACTTTGGTAAATAATGCCAAGCAGAATAGTATAAATGTTCCAGATAAGGGTATAAATACCGAGAACCAAGTTTCGCCTGTTTTCCCAACTAAGAATCTTTCATTCTCTTCCTCTGCAAATAAAAATACCTCTGAAGAGACTAAGATGAATGGTGTGACCCTGGATAGTAATGTAAAATGTTTCAATACAACTACTGTCGGTTCTCAGCATACAACCAAAGGTGACGGCAAAGAATCATTATCTTCTAAACAGTCATCCTTATATTCGGTGAAAGAACAACATTTCAATGACAAAAAGAGCGAACCATTTGTCCAGGATAAAACAAAGGAAAAGGATATTGACACCAAAGAGAGTCGACTTATTACTAGTGAGGGCCATAATATCAGAAGCAAATTAATTATAAGAGAGCCAATAAGTATCCCTAAAATCGATAGTTCAAAGCTAGAACTGAAAATTGTAGAGACTCCTCAAAACCTTTCAGTCGACAGCAAAGAGCAGAAGTTTGAAAATGGCATCATAGCTTCTACCACATCACAGTCAGCAAACGAAACTAGAATAGGTAGCGAAGTTGACATTGTTTCAGGTTCAACAAATGCAAAGCAATCCTCTAAAAAAGCATCATTTTCAGGGATGCTGAAAATGAATGGCCCACATTCTGGTTCAACTAAAGAGGATATAAAAGAGATAAAAACCCCAGAAAACCAACCTACAAAGCAAGATGTTCCTGCGATAAATTCGGTCAATCTCCCTAGAAGTATCCTCTCATTTTTGGGAGTAGATGATGGTGCTGTCTATTCCTCGTATAAAGACAATGAATCTGTTATCAAGACTTTCTCGCTTTTGCAGAATGAGAACATACCATCTTCTCAAGCTAACTTAAATATATTTGATTTTGATCATACGATGACTTCAACGTTGACTCCAAATCCAGAATTGTACACTGATACCACGCATTCCTATCTTTTGGCTTCAAATGAAAACTGCGTTAGTTGGTACAATGACGTTCTACCTTCTTTGGAATTAGAGCCCAAAGTTATGTTTGGTGGTATTGCTCCCAGTCATTGCAAAGGTCAATACTGTGCCGCACTGGAAGATGCAATCGCTGGCCCTGAGTTTGAGAATCATGAATCTCTGAAAACTCTGAACTACCAGTGGTCCAAAACTTTGCTTTATATGGTTCGAAATTTATGTGCAAGCCAAATTGCCTCAAATGTTTTGATAATTGATAGATATGTTAAAAATATATCCAAGCTAAAGGCTGATCTAGATTCGCTTAATGAGATTGGAATTAAATTTCATTACGTGTTATACATGCCTTATAAAAACCATCCAGATAAACCCAAAAATCTTACATTGAGTTTACTCGAAGAAATTTATCATACCAGGTTTCCTTGGTCTAGGCTGACGAAAACAGTCACAATTTTTCGTCCTTTCCCAGGTAATCTAGATCGCTCAAAATTGAGCAAGTTTCGTTTCCTTAGCACTCCGGGGCTAGATTTAAGAGCTGTGTATACAGCTAAACGTTGTGCTTACGTTAAAGAGCCATCTACGGAAGTTAAACATGTTTATACCGCTGCATTGAATGATAAGCGTTTTAAATTAACGATGTCTATCAGCGGAGCTGTGTTCAGACTTGCATATTCATCTGCATCATCTTTGATAAACTACCTTGATTCAATCAAGTTTCTTCCAGTTGAGTCATCCAGGAGTGAGTATTTGTTCAACTTCACAGATGTTTTCATCACATATAATAAGTTACCTGGAAAAGCAATAGAAGATTTAGGCAATACATCCCTATATGATGGGGCAATATTGCAATATGGACAAGCTGGTAAATCCTTATATGTTGTTCAGTTTCTCATATCCACTGAAAACGTCATGTGGGAGTATGAGGCGCCAATCATGATCGTTGCACGAGATAGATCGATCAGCATAGCAGCTGCCAAAAAAATCCTCAAAAAAATGGACTGGACACTTAGTGACTCTTCACTAAATCTCAAATTCACCTTCTTCCCGTCAAGCAAGCTCAAAATAACACAGACTTAACGATTACAGGGCAGTGCTACACGCAGGAGAATCACAAAGCAATGGTATGTGATGTGAGAGATAAACTTTTGAGGGGATTAATTATAAATTTTCTAAATGTATTATAGTATAGAAAAAGAGAGTACAGAGTTGACGGAGGGTGAATAATGATTTTCTTTTTACTTTGTTATTTTTGTTTCGCTTTGTTATCTTAGGTTTTCTTATGAGGTGCATAAGGTCTGAGTACTCAGAACCATCAATTTAAACGCCGAAGACTTGCGAGAACTGTGAATTAGCTGCGCCACTTTGTTGAAATTCACTCATGACTTGCTCTAACAAACTGAGTGAGCACAATACACCAACCACAACACCAGCAACCAAACCCTTGGCAAGACCTGATGACTCTGCAAATCCGATAATAGCACCTAGAAGCGTAGCTCCGATAACTGAGGCAGATGAAATCATTTTGTTCAATTCTTTGCCAACAGTAGCATCTCTATGACCCACAACAACAATATCTTGGTCCTTGAATTGCTTGGCAAGTTCCTTACCGCTGGATCCGCTCATTGCGTACCAGTAACGACCAAATGTTGCGGAAGTTATAGTGACAAACAACGTGAATGCAACAATTCTGAGAATGTTGAAATAAACACAACAGGCAGAGTTTGAAGTTGATAGGAAATATAGGAGACCTGATGTTAATTCATAAGTTTTCTTTGAGAATGGGTCAATCTCCCATGAAGCAAGGTATGGGGAGCCTCCAAAAATCTTTGTCAATGAGAACGTCAAGATGTTGGCATTGTAAAGTAAGGAGTAAGAGAACAAGATTGGTAGGCCACCACAATAGAATAGACGAATTGGATAGTTTGAGACCATTGAACGCACCTTGGAAGATTTGATGGAGACGTCCATCCGAAAATGGTGAAGGTATGAAACTAAACCTAATACGCCTATGACCAAGTAAACTTGAATGAAGTTAGCTTCACCTGAACGAGCAAAAACGTCATAAATGGCATTTGTAAATGGCTTGTTGAAAATGTTCCTGAACAATTGAATAACAACACCATTGGATTCTAGGGTTGCTGGGTTAGAAAGAATACCAAACAATGAACCCGATAATTTAGTGGCGGCATTGGCTGCAATAAAAGCCATAACACCAGGACCGAAACCGTAACCTTTCTCAAGTAGCTCGACCATTAAACAGATGATAGCGGTAGCAGTGCCAAGTTGACAAACGATTAAGGTGTTGGCCCAGAAAGTAGCACCTGCTGTTGCTGCGGTCTTGGCGAATGCATCGATAGGTTGGAAGTAGCCTGAAATGGCAAGAAGAGATGCGTAGACGATAGCAATCAAAACTGCAAAAACCTTCTGCAACGATTGGAAGTATTGTCTGTCATAAATGTTTGTGAAGTTTACTTTAATGAATTTGAACCCAGATAAGATTTGCCACAAGAATGCAGAAGTAACTATCGGAAGAACACCAAATTCAAGCAAAGTACCAGCTTCTGAAGCAAATGGCAAACGTACCCAGTAGAAAGGATCTGCGATCTTGTTTGGGTTCACTCCAGAGAGTGGGAGAGAAAGTAACAAGTAGATAGCAGCAGCACCAATGGTGTAGACGATTTTTTCATCAAAGACAACCTTTTCGTATGGTAGCTCAACCTCTGGGATGAGAGAGCTGAGCGGTTTGATAAAATCCAAAGTCCTGAATCCACTCATTCTGGAAGCAGTATGATGTGTTTTGGTTTACCTTCTTTAGACAAAGCCAAGAACAATCGGCAGCCACAGGATGGGGCCAGGACGGCCAAAATCAAACTCAGCAAATCAGTCCTCTTTGAGGAGATAACCATTTCCTCGACAACTTTCTCGACGACACCAGCGCCGCGAGAGCTGGTTTCCGGATCGGTTACGTAAGCGAGAATTTTCCCCATAGAGTATCAGAAGAAAAGAACGGGGGTGATAATCCTGACAGCTGGTGGGAGAATGGGTTAAGGTGGTTGAAGAGGTTCTGTAAACCAGAAAAAAGACACCATTATCAAGAAAAAATATTTCAGTATGCCAGGAAAGATAGTGGCAGAAAACGCGGAGACGGGTGGCGAAGAAGAGAACGTGGACAAGCTGATCAACTACAACGATGCCATTTCATATTGGACTGACGTCCCGGCCACTGTTGATGGTGTGCTTGGCGGGTTTGGAGAGGCAACATCGGTTCCTCGGGCAGATGTAGTAGGCTCGTCAACTTTTATGAGAAAACTCAAAACCAGATGGTCGGCGGAGCCGGGCAAGATTAAGTACGGTATTGATTTCGGTGCTGGGATTGGGAGAGTCACTAGAGATTTCCTACATAAGGTGTGTGACAAGGTAGATTTACTAGAGCCGGTCGAGCCATTTGTGCAGCAAATGCGTGTCGAATTGGAGCCGTTGAGGAAGGAAGGAAAGATCGGGGAGATTTACGACATTCCCATGCAAGACTGGAAGGCAGAAGAGGGAAGGTACGCATTGATCTGGTGCCAGTGGTGCTGTGGACATCTTCCTGACGATGCCTTTTTAGAATGGTTGAACCAGTGCAAAAGGGGGCTGCAGCAGGATGGGCTTCTGATCGTCAAGGAAAACAACACCAATAGTGATGACGATTTGTTTGACCCCGAAGACAGCTCCAAAACGAGATCTGACAAGAACTTCCGCCGGTTGTTCAAGCAGGCAGGATGGAAGCTCATTGCCACCGACTTGCAAAAGGGGGTTCCGAGAGAATTGTTTCCTATCCGCATGTATGCCTTGAAGCCAACGAGGGATTGAGCTTTGTGGAACATATGGACCTACTTTTTACAACAGTAATCTGTATAAACTAATTTACAATCAACAAACACAGCAAGACGTTAACCAAAGAATAAACACCAAACATAGATCAGATAGGGGTGAAAGACTATTTGATGGTAAGTTTTTGTCCTCATTAGAGTCAGTTGAACTATGCGTTAAAATCTTAATCATCATATTAAGTTTGGTGTCTATCCGAGGGGCTAGTTTGCAAAACAGAAAAAAAAGAAAACACTCAAAACAGTGGGGAACATCGTACCATATCTACTGATATGAAGTATGTTTACCTTGTACTGTTTGCTGAGGTTGCTAAACAAATTGATATCATTAGAGTAATACAAAGGAGAGTGAGAATAAGACTAGAAAAATCAAAGAAAAAAAGTTTGGGAGGGATTAGCCTCTTTTTATACGCGCCAGCCATTAGTCGTTCTGTATAGAGTGCCATAATCAGGGTTTCTTTTTGTATGGGTTGAAAAAGTACGATGCAGTGATCCTTCCGTTTTCCGTCTCCTCTCCTTATCGGGTGCAAATCTGTCAGCACTGGGTGTATCTAGTTGTTATTGAATTGTCTATTTGGATATACACTCTTATTTAGTTTTGTCCAAGTCGTTTTCCTCTGTGAAGTAAATACAGATCAATGATGCTAGACCAGTACCGATCAAGAAGAGGAAGACACCATGGCATGCAGTAGAGTAAGAAGAAACGATGGCGTTATGTATCACGGCTGGAATGGCATCTCCAAAGGCGTAACCTGGGCTCTCTAGGGCTTGCAACTTTGCCGCCTTCACCATCTCTGCGGTCCATCCGTCAGGGAGTTTGACGTGCTTCAACGCGTCGAAATTGGAGTCCAAGGTCCCACGTAGAATGTATTGCATCAACGCACTGGCAAGCGAGACCCCCATGGTCGAGCCTGTTGATCTGAAGCCGTACTGGATGGATGTTACTAGAGCCTGCTCGGATTGCGGGACGGCACTGATCATAGCGACCAAGATGGTGGTGATGTTGGATGCGGAACCATATCTCAATGGTAGGGAAATGATACTATCTCTGAAAGAGCTGTCATCTTTTGTGGAGAGATACAAGATGCCACTTCCGAGGAACATGCACCAGCCGGCGAGGATGTGCAACGATCTGTATCTGCTGGTCTTCTTGATCATCCATCCGCAAAAGACAGAGGTGAAGGAGGCCAACAAAGAGCTTGGGATCAATCTGTAACCGCAATCCAAGGGAGAGACGTTCTTCACACTGGTCCAGTAGAAAGGCAAGTAGAACAAGCTGGAGAACATATTCATGCAGGTGAACCAGCAGTTCAAGGAGCTTGCCAAAATGGTCTGATTGTGCAACATCTTGACGGGGATGATAGGCTGGTCGGTCTTGCGTTCCCAGAAGTAGAAGGCCACGAAGCCGACGACGGTGTAGGCTGCCAAGCCCTTCCAGCGGTAGGACGAGACTGGTAGCTCCGAGCCGTTTGTGCCACTGATGATCATCAAGGAGAGCAATGAGGTGACCAGCAGCGCTGCCCCGGTCCAGTCCAAGGAGACAAAGTTTTCCCAGTGTGTTTTGTCGTCATTTGCGTCAGCCTTGCGAGGTAGTTCAAACCAGAGGTAGACGGCGAGTCCGGTGATGAAGCACACGGGCACCTGGATTAAGAACGCCCACTTCCAGCCGAAGTAGGCGTCGATGATGCCCGCAAGCACCCCGCCGCTGGCGGAGCCGGCGTGGAAGAAGATGTTGATGTAGCCCTGGTACAAACCCCTCTCTCTGGTCGGCACGAGGTCCGAGACGGAGATGGTGGCAAGCGTGAAGAAGCCGCCACCGCCAATCCCGGTGATCATTCTGCCCACAATCAAGTACGTGAGGTTGTCGCCAACGCCGCTCATGAGGCAGCCGAAGAAGAAGCACACCGTGCTGAAGAGAATGACAGGCTTCCTGCCAAACACGTCCGAGATTTTCCCAAACAAGGGTTGGAACGCCGCACACGATAGGAGGTACGAGGTGGCCACCCACGAGATGTGTTCCTGCGAGTCGAGGTCGCTGGCCATCTTGCCCAGCAACGTCGCCACCATCGTGGAGTCCACCGACGCCAAGAACACGTTGGCGTATAGGCACCCGAGGATGATTCTGAACGCCGTTGGCGACAGCTTCTTGGCCCCACTCTCGTTGGGCGAGTCGGCGATAGGAAGAAGAGGTGAACTTTCGCTTGCTGCAGTCATGGTCGCTCGCTGTCTCTGTTCTCTTTGCACTCTGGCAAATCCAACAACTTTCAAAACAGCACAAGCACCACCGCAACTGAGCCAGGAAGAAGAAAGGACTCTCTCACCAACCCCAGCATATACCCACGGAGCAAACCCCAAACTTTTCAACCCCCCATCTGCCTCCCTATCTGCCTCTCCTCCGAAGTGTGGATCCATATATCTTCTCCCCCGACCCACAGCGGCTTCAGCACGCGACTTAGCCGCTTCTGCGGCCGCTGCGGGTCTGTGGCCGACAGAATGCGGATCTAAGGCGGAAGCGGAAGACGGTGGTGGCTAAGGCGGGAAAGAAAAAAAACGGATAATAGGACGATCGACGCGCCGATCGGCGCGTCGATCGACCGCAGTGAAGGCCTCCGAGGCGGGTGCAGGGACTCCCGAGGCCATGCAGATGCATCTGAAGACGCCAGGGAAGGCCAAGCTGGCAGACGAAACATCGTTTTGGTGCCGGTGTGGGCCGGAGCGGGACTGCTACAGGCCGGGAGACAGCATTCGAAGCAGAAACAGCACGCAGATATGTCATTGCCTTTCAGAAGAGCGCCAAGACCGACGTCGAGAGTGCTGATCGTGAAGAACTCGCCAGACAATGAGATCGCCAAGACAAACTGTGTGGCTGCGTCGCAGCAGGACTTCCCGGACGGGTCGTACGTGATCCTGGATGGGAAGTTTGTGTTTTCGGTGAGAAACACGGCGAAGGTGATGCCCGGGTCGATTGGGTTGAGCGGGAACCAGCGGTTCTGGGGGTCGTGGTCGACGGACCAGAACGTGACGGTGTCGCAGTACGACCTCTTTGCCGAAAACGGGAACAAGGGCGGCTATCTCGGGACGGTGAACGTGGAGATCAACTTCTGGAACAAGAACAGAGCCAACAACATCCAGTACGACTGCGACGAGATGATGAAGGTGTTTGTGCAGAAGTTCGAGTCGCAGGTGCTGCAGCCTACGCAGATCTTGTTGTTCGAGTTCAAGGGGAACTACTTCGAGGTGATTGTGAAGTCCACGTTGGTGGTGGACTTGGGCCAGGTCTCCGCGGACGGGATCCCTGCATCGTCGAACATCATGAGCAAGGGCATGGTGGTCCAGACCACCGTCGTCAACTTCTACAAGGGCTCTGACGGCCTAGTGAACCTCAAGCCCTCGAGCACCAGACCCAACGCAGACGCTATCATCCGGCCGGACTTCAAGTTTGAGGACTTGGGCATTGGTGGACTTGACAAGGAGTTCACGGCCATCTTCAGAAGAGCGTTTGCCTCCAGAATCTTTCCCCCGGGGGTCATCGAGAAAATGGGCATGACCCACGTGAAGGGTATGTTGTTGTACGGCCCGCCGGGAACGGGTAAAACTTTGATTGCCAGGCAGATCGGTAAGATGTTGAACGCGAGGGAGCCGAAGATTGTGAATGGTCCCGAGATCTTGTCCAAGTACGTCGGGTCTTCCGAGGAGAACATCCGTAATCTTTTCAAGGACGCCGAGGCTGAGTACAAGAAGAAGGGAGACTCCTCTGCCTTGCACATCATCATTTTCGACGAGTTGGACTCCGTGTTCAAGCAGAGAGGGTCCAGGGGTGACGGAACAGGGGTCGCCGATAACGTGGTAAACCAGTTGTTGGCAAAGATGGACGGTGTGGACCAACTAAACAACATCTTGGTCATCGGTATGACAAACAGAAAGGACTTAATTGACAGTGCGTTGCTGAGACCGGGTAGATTCGAGGTCCAGGTGGAAATCCATCTTCCGGATGAGGAGGGCAGATTACAGATCTTGAAGATCAAGACCAAGAAGATGGTGGAGAACAACGTCCTGGGCAAAGACGTCGACCTTCAAAAGCTTGCCGAGTTGACGAAAAACTTCTCCGGTGCCGAAATCGAGGGTTTGATAAAGTCCGCAGGCTCGTTTGCCCTTAACAAACACATTAAGGTCGGGACGTTGGGTCAGTTGAATGGCGATTTCAGCAACATCATCATTGACATGCAGTGTTTCTTGAATGCCCTCGAGGAAGTCAAGCCTGCATTCGGTGTCCATGAGGAAGATTTGCATGACTGTGTGAAAGGTGGAATCATCAATTATTCACCGAAGATTCACCAGGTCATCAAGCGTGTGGAGCGTGACATTGAACAACTTCGTCAATCTGCAGACTTCAACTTCTCTTCGCTTTTACTTTATGGGCCTGCCGGATCAGGTAAGACTGCTCTTGCCTGCCAGCTTGCTCTAGATTCACAGTTTCCATTTATCAGATTATTGAGCGCCAAGGATATGGTCGGTATGTCCGAATCAGCAAAGGTTCAGCACATTGACAGTGTTTTCCGTGACGCCTACAAATCCCCACTTAACTTATTAGTTGTCGACGATATCGAAGCCTTGATTGACTACGTTCCAATAGGTCCTCGTTTTTCTGCAGTCGTTCTTCGTGCTCTTATGACTCGTCTTGCGTCTAGTCCACCGGATGGAAGAAGATTGATTGTCATTGGTACAACCTCCAATTACTCCCTCATGAAATCGTTAGACATGTTGAACTGTTTCAACGATGAGGTTTGTGTTAATAACGTCACTTCCTTGGATGAAATATGCGCCGTTGTCGATAAAGCAGGATTTTTCCGTGGAAGTGGTGGTGAAGATGAAATTAGTAATGGCGATGATGATACTGTTAGACGTATACACGCCAACCTACTTTCGATCTTCCCTCAAGGCAAAATCAACATCCCAATCAAAAAGGTTTTGTTCATTGGAGATACTTCCAAATTCGCAAGAGACCCTGAGGATGAATTTGTGCAATTGATTGTGGAAAACAGTAGGCCTTAGATGATGTTACCGATACCTTTCGGTTATGTTCTCTTTCTATGAATGTTAGAAAAAATTAGGAGTTTGAAATCAAAACAATAAAAATTATATAAATATATAAAAAATAAAACTAAAACATGAAAAAAAAGACATATACAAAAACATATGATTATATATAACATGACAAGTTGAACTAAGCTTCGGTAGTTTCAGCATCAGCTTTTTCAACAGCTGCATCTTCCTTCTTTTCTGTTTCTTCTGCTTCTATTCCGTGTTTACCATCGGCAGCATCTCCAAATTCAGCTTCTTCTTCGGATTCCTCTTCTTTATCTTCTCCTTCGGATTCTTCTTCGACATTTTCCTCAGCAGAATTTTCATCCTCGTTATCCATAAGTAGGTTGAATCTATTGCTTTGTTGTCTTGATTCACTGCTTTCTTCAGTACCAGCAGATGCAGTTATTGTAGACATGGAAGATGCAGTTCTAGAGACAGGTGGTGCGCTACCCTTGGAACTTTTATTTCTAGAGGAAACAGTAGTGAAATCGCTAACGGGAGCTGAAGCTTTACCTTTACGCAAAACGTTCATTGAGCTTTCACCACTCTTCCTTATCACACCGACCTTAGAGATATCTGTGGAAGAGATTTGATCATTACCCCATTTGGAGCCGCTTCTGTTTGAACGACTTCTAGAACTACGTTCACGTTCATGTAGAACTTGCTTTTTGTTGAATTCAGCATGGATCTGAGAAATTGTCTTAGGTCCTGCCAGTTTGGAGTCTGCATTCATCCATCTAGCCTTTCTGAGATCAATCAAATCTAAGAATTTATACTTAATACGTGATCCAATAGCAGGGTTGTCAATATAACTCTTGATACACTGGAATGCATATTCAACACATGATGGAACATCCTCCTCCAATGGTTGACCGACCGTAAGCATGAATTGATTAAGGGTTTCCAACGTATCTTCTTGTGGCAAGTAAGGCCCATTGGACTTGGCAGCCTTAGGTTTGTCTTCCTTTTCAGGCTCGGTTGTAAGTATCCTTATACAACCAACAATAACTCTGAATTTGATCAAGTTGAGTCTGTACAATTCACCAATGAATCTAACGAGACCTAAACCTCTTCTCTTTTGAGCTGCTAATGCGTAATATTCATCGGACATTAATTCTGGTTCGATTGGAGAACCATCTTCGTTAACAGGTAAATCAGTAGACCAACCCTTTTCATATTCAGACTGACATCTTGTAACAAGTAGACGGTATGCCAAATTGGTACCTGTGTAATACTGGTTTTCGGAAGTGGCATTAGGTATTGGGTAATCTTCTGAGTAAATACTTTTATCCACGGTTGAAACCAACTTTTGGCAGAATTTAGCATACATAGAAGACCAATGAGGTTCATCTGTTGCCTTCGCAAAAGTAAGTCTGACTGTCATCTTAAGTGCATTAGCATCAGTTTCCCATTTGGATTGATTGGCAAGAGTTATCAGCTCATCAGTGATATCATCGAACAATTCTAGAGACAATTTGTTTAACAAAGATCTAATCTTCTTTTCCAAATCTTCATTATCATAGATGACGGTTTCACCATCAGGAGCATATTTAACTTCCTTGGCTTTACTTTGAGATTTTGGAACCCATCTATTAGCAGTTTTTTCAAGAGGTTTGACATCTTCTGGAGCCAATTTAATCTGTGGTTTTTCATCAGCTCTTTCTTTTTCACCTCTTGGGCCACGAGACCTTCTAGAACCATCTCTGTCTCCTCCTTTTCTACTCCTTTCACGTGCATCGCGAGGATCACGAGCATCGCGTCCTTTTCTCTTAGAGCCGGTTCTTGAATTGTTTCTACCTTCAAATTCGCCTCTGATTGGCATACCCTTCATAGGCCCATTGGAACGAGCTCTACTATCCTTCATTCTGAAAGATTTATCGCGAGATTCGCTTTTGTCCGGAATGTAAATTTTAGACAAGTATTTTTCCCTCCATGCATCATCGACGTTATAATGAATCTTTTCAAACTGTAATAAGAAAATTGGATCGTATGTGAGGACTTTTCTAGCTTCGAGACTAGCGTCTGGACCATGGAAACCTTCTGCATATTTGAAGGAAAAAACATCTGGAATAGCCTTAGCACTTTCAATTTTCTCGAAAAAGTTAGTCATTGTCATATTATGAGAAGGTCCAGCTTCTTCTGCGGGTTGTTCTTCTAAGTTGTCTTCTGTAGTTTCCGTTATAGCTCCTTCAGCACTTCCTTCAATCTTTTCTTCAGACGTCTCTTCTCTATTTCCTTCCACCTTTTCTTCGGCTTGTTCTACAGTTTTGTCTTCAACATTTTCTTCATTGTCTACGGACTTTTCTTCAGCATTTTCTTCTGTATCTGCTTTGGGTTTTTCTTCGGCTTCTTCTTCGGGCTTGACTTCAGCATTTTCTTCAGCATTTTCTACTGGTTTGACTTCCGCTGCTTCTTCAGATTTGGCTTCATCCTTTGCTTCAAGTGCTGGTGCTGACTCTAGAGAAGTTTCTGCTTCTTTTGTCGCTTCAGGCTCAGATGCAGTGGTCCTAGATTCGGTTTCGGAAACTGGAGCAGACACTGGAGCTTCCTCCTCGGTTGCAATAGCAACCGGTTCTGCTTTCTGTACCTGCTCAGGTTCCACCTTGGAAGCTTCGACCTTTTCTTCAACAGCAGCTGGTGTGGTAGATGACGGTTCGGTAGGTGTAGAATCCTTTGGAGCTGTTTCAGCAGCGGATGCGGCAGGCGTAGAGGTAGAAGCCTTCTTCTTAGCTTTCAGTTGTTGCAAAAACTGTAGTTGAAATGCTTTCTTCGATTCTAAAGTTTTTCCCTTTGGTTCTGTTGTGGCTCCGGCAGAGGCAGGTGCAACAGCAGGAGCGGCAGCAACGGCAGCGGTTGCAGCGGCAGCGACTGGAGAGTTAACTGGATGAGTGGTTGGAGCAGATGTATTGACTGGAGCGGACGTAATGGAAGATGGGATTTTGCTTATAGATGACGATTTCGAATGCGAGAAATTCACAGGAGTGCCGTCCTTGGTTTTGATACTCAATTGGGTATGCTTTTTGATTGGAGATGTGATTGGCTTCTCAGGTAACACAGGTTGTGGTTGCATAGGATAAGGCATTGGGTAGTAAGGCATTGGCATCATTGGGTTCTGGTTTGGATAGAACTGTTGTGGTGGTATATTACGGTAACCCTTTTTGTAACCGTTGTTATTCAAGTTGTTTGGGTTGCTGGTATTACTGTTGGCAGGGCTGTTTGGGTTGTGTCTGATCACGTTGTTGTTGTTCATCCTGTTACCGTTGCTCTTGTTGTGCGTTGGGTAGTTTTCATAAGCGTTATTGTTATACTTCTGATAGTTAGGGTAGTTTGGGTTAAACTGGCCTTTCATGTTGTTGTAGTTCTTGGGCTTATGAGGATACTGTTGGTGGGGATGTTGTGGAGGAAACATCTGCTGCTGCTGTTGCTGTGGGTAAGGGTGAGGTTGCTGCTGTGGATTTAGCGCCTGTTGCTGCTGTTGCGGTGGCAACTGCTGCTGGAGGTGTTTTTGAACATTGGTGACGGGTGGGTTTGGGAGAGAGCTCGGTGCTGCAGAGGTCTGCTTGGCAGAGGTGGACTGAGATGGGGGAGCAGACGAGTTAGTTTCAGGGGAAGGTTCAACAGGCTGTTGCGCTGGTTGCTCCGCTGACATGATGATACTGACTGGTGTTGGTGCTTGAATAAAGTAAAGCCGGTTTATGCTCTGGGGTGTATCTTTTCCTTTGAGAGTCTAGTAAAGAGATTAGTAATAAGGGGGGAGTACTCGAAATGAATAATTATGGAGCAAAAAGTGAGACGACACGAATAAGTGAATAAACGATACGACGAAATGTTAGACCCGTGCTCGGTGTGTAGCAGCGGGGGTGGGGGTGGTTTCCTAACGAAAAATGCTAAAATCGATCAAGCCACTTCTATGAAGATGCCAGTGGAGATGAGGGATCAGGTAGCAATAGCTCGTGTGTTCTCTTCGCTATGCAGGCAGTTCTGTGGCACAAGAAGGTCGCTTTGGTCGGGATCGGCAAACGCAACGGGTTCTTGTAGCGGTGATCGGCAGACTGACTAGGCAGGAGTGAAAAAGTGGGTACTGGTGGAAAAGTACGGTGACGAACTCGGGGTGACGACGGCTGATTCTGGTGGACCTGTGGATGAACAAGAACAGCAGAAGGTGTACACGTGGCGGGGCTCGACGGTGTGGTCTGTGGAGAAGGCGGAACAGAGCCAAGCACGCTCACGCAGAGAAGAAGCACCAGTTGCAAAAGGCTACGGTCTCTCGTAGACGTGTAAAGTGAGGCCCCCAACCGTCCACACGGGTCCCACGTACCGACGGCGACCCTCTCTGGTGCTCCTGCCCCTCGCTCTCTCCCTGCCTGCCTTCCTGCCTGCACGCCTGCCGCGGACAACCTGCCTGCCCGCTGAAGCCTCGCCGAGTCTCCTTCGGGGAAGGCAGGATGGCCGTTCAGCGGAAAAAATTTTCTGGGCGACGTGAAAAAAAAAAAAGAGGGCGAAAGCGAGCAGTGTGGAAAGTTTCGTGCGACGGTTCTCATTTTTGGCAGGGAACGGGGGGAGGGAAAAGAAATAGAGGGAATTAACGACGCGTCGGCAGGGGGGGAAGGAAATGAAAACGTTACGTAATGAAGGAAGGGTGGATTGGGTCGGGGAATGGTGCACGGGTTATCAGGCTCTTTGCCTTCCTCCCCTGGGAGGGCCCGTTTCCCAAATAGAGATGTAGACATGATTTGCCACCTTGGCTGATAGTGGCAGAGAGACGGGAAAAGAGCTGTTTAGACTTGTGCAGACCTCACTCTGTTTGCAATTGCCGCTTCTACACACAGGAATGTCGTCAACTGCGTCGCCTATCGCCATAGCCCACACGAGCGGCATCAAGCCGTTTTTCAGCCAGAAGATCCAGGACTATGAGATCGAGCTTGCAGCACGGACACAGAACTTACGCAGACTCGAGGCGCAGAGGAACTCGTTGAACTCTAAGGTGCGGTCGCTCAAGGACGAGTTGAAGCTCTTGCAGGAGCCCGGATCGTATGTCGGAGAGGTGATCAAGGTGATGGGCAAGAAGAAGGTGTTGGTGAAGATCCATCCGGAGGGGAAGTACGTGGTGAACGTCACGAAGGACATAGATATCAAGCAGATCACGCCTTCGCTCCGCGTGTGCTTGAAGTCGGACTCGTACGACTTGCACAAGATCTTGCCGAACAAGGTCGACCCGTTGGTGTCGCTCATGATGGTGGAGAAGGTGCCGGACTCCACGTACGACATGGTGGGCGGGCTCGACAAGCAGATCAAGGAGATAAAGGAGGTGATTGAGTTGCCTGTCAAGCACCCGGAGTTGTTCGAGTCCTTGGGGATAGCGCAGCCAAAGGGCGTCATATTGTACGGGCCTCCCGGCACGGGCAAGACCTTGTTGGCCAGGGCCGTGGCCCACCACACAGACTGCAAATTCATCAGGGTCTCCGGTTCCGAGCTAGTCCAGAAGTACATTGGTGAGGGTAGTAGAATGGTGCGGGAGCTCTTTGTGATGGCCCGGGAGCATGCGCCCTCCATCATCTTCATGGATGAGATTGACTCGATCGGCTCCTCCCGTTCGGAGTCGTCCTCCGGAGGCGGAGATTCCGAGGTCCAGAGAACCATGTTGGAACTTTTGAACCAGTTGGACGGTTTCGAGTCCTCGAAGGACATCAAGATCATTATGGCCACCAACAGATTGGACATCCTAGACCCTGCGCTGTTGAGACCGGGGAGAATCGACCGTAAAATCGAGTTCCCTCCTCCAACCTTGAATGCCAGAACCGATATATTGAAGATCCACTCCAGGTCGATGAACTTGACTCGAGGAATAGATCTGAAAAAGATTGCCGAAAAAATGGGTGGCTGCTCCGGTGCAGAGATAAAAGGTGTCTGTACAGAGGCAGGTATGTACGCTCTCAGAGAGAGAAGAATACACGTCACTCAGGAAGATTTTGAGCTTGCCGTGGCAAAGGTCATGAACAAAAACGAAGAAGGCGATGTCTCTGTCGCCAAGTTATTCAAATAGGTGCCGTCTCTCTCCCTCCATTCATCCTCATATATCTTTTTGTATAAGCTTTCCATACGCTAGATATATGTATACAGTAGTAGTTCAAACCACTTGTGCAAATACTAATCTGGCTGCTGCTGTAAGTTCTGCTAGTTCGACAAACGACAATAACTACACACTACAGGTAACCCATGTATTGTCAAAAGAAAATACCATAAGGCATGGAGTTCTTCTGCTACATTGCTCCTGGGAGCTTTTCAGCCACCTTTGTAGCTGCCAATCCCAACTGATTGACAAATCCATGCCCATCTCCCACATTTCATTCTACCTGGAGGCAATTCCGTGTAGGAATGTTGCCGCTAATCTAGCAATTGCGCGCAATAGCGTAAGGCTTCGATCACCTCTATCAATGCGACAGTTATTAACGCTCGAGTACCACCACGTACTCGTTATCAGACGATAGTAGAAGTATCGTGGCATACCGAAGAGAGAGGCAAGAAGCAATTGAGGCAAGATAAGATGTCTTTCATATTCAAATCCCCGCTAGACGTTGAAATCAACCTTGATTCAGAAGACACAAGGGAAGTGGTAGAGGTGAACTCAAGTAAGGGCCGTAAGGAACGATTACTACTCTACAAAGATGGAGAAACCGTAAGAGGGGTTGCTATTTTACGAACAAGAGACAATAAGAAAGTTGAGCACAACGGAATCCGGGTTCAACTACTAGGCACGATAGAAACTCATAATGAAGGCAAAGTCACAAACGATGACTTTCTCAGCTTTGCACAAGAATTAGCTGCTCCTGGTGAGCTCAAAAATACAGAGTCATTCAACTTCGAGTTTAGAAATGTGGAGAAAATGTACGAGAGTTATAGAGGAACCAACGTCCGATTGAGGTATTACTTGAAAGTCACCGTTTCAAGGAAAAGCGCAGATATCATCAAAGAAAGAGAGTTGTGGGTATACCAATATGTTCACTCCAATGGTGCAGCTGCGAAGAATGGTAGCTCAAGTGATAAACTAAGTTCATATTCTGCATCGACAACCAGTGATAAGAGTATCGCTTCAAAGAACTCCTCTGGCCAAGTTGATAAGTCACCTTCTGCTGTATCCACAGTCAAAATGGATGTCGGTATTGAAAGCTGTTTACACATTGAGTTTGAATACTCCAAAAATAGATTTCCTTTGAAGGGGGTCATTGTGGGAAGAATATATTTCCTTTTGGTAAGACTCAAGATAAAGCACATGGAACTAAGCCTAATTCGTAGGGAAACTGTCGGAAGTGGAGCAAGCCAAGTCAGTGAGAGTACTACAGTAGTCAGGTTCGAAATCATGGACGGCGCTCCAGTTAAAGGTGAAACAATTCCCATCAGACTCTTTTTGGGTGGCTTCGACCTGGTGCCTACCTACAGAGACGTCAATAAAAAGTTCAGCACGCGTACATTTCTGAGCTTGGTTCTCATTGATGAGGACGCAAGAAGGTATTTTAAACAAAGTGAAATCATACTATATCGAGAAGAATAGGGCATATAGATTGTTTATAGCCATTCGGGTACGTGAGTAGTCATATATCTGTTATCTGTGAATCAAAAGTTGTCTCGGTAAACTTCACAGTTTCGCTCTATTTCAAAATGAGTGTACTTTCCAACCTGTAAGTTAATAATTCTAAAAGTTCTTTACAATAAAATCTAATCGGCTAGTTGAACTTGCGTTCAAAAACAATCAATGTTTTCTCCCTGGCTGAGTGCCGTGAACTCAGAGAAACCGCACAACAATGTTACCAATTTCAGAGTTGAGAAGTTAGATAAGATACGTTTGCTTCCTAAGGCTCAGCAAAAGTTAGCATCCTCGGTTCATACAAGTTTAAATGATTTACTTGTCAAAGACTGTAGTTTCATCGACAATAGATCATCTTGGTCATTATTTGGCTTGGATGAATACAACGTTTATATTCCAAAGTTACAGGAAAAATGCCAACCCAATGTTTTGAAGTGCAAAAAGCAAAACTGGTCATATGACAACAGTCGATGCTTCAGCAAGAAAAAGCTGGAACAGCAAAGGCTAGTCACTTTAAAGGAACCCATAAGTCTAACATCTAGTTGCAGGTCAATGTTAGAAGGTTGTGTGAAGAGCCAAAGCTGTGAATTCAAGCCCGTGGAATATCCCTCTACCAAACCAAACGCATTGTTCTATGATACTTACGATTAAATTTTTTGCCGAAATAGTTTTGGCAATACTGATTGCAAACCTCGTGATGAAAATAACGCTCAGATGTATATGAAGTGGAATCACACTTCACCGCTAAACCCTAAACATGTTCTTTCAGAAAGTGAAGAGAACTCAAAGCTTGAATCCCTATTGTTCGGTCATGAATACCTTCAAACAATGCCGAAGTTTTTGTCTCCTTGGAGACTATCTTAAAGATGAAATACTCCTTCCTACTAACCTGAAGAATTCCTCCCAAAGTCTGTATCTGGAAAACTTACTTTCAAGATGGAATTTTCAAAAAGCGTTGGGGTGGAAGATAGAGAAATCGTACATCTTCGACATCATTGATGACCCAATTTTAGAATTAGAAATGAAATACAAGCTTCCTTTACTTTCAATTGCAGTAATGAGGACACATCCTCAGCTGAGAAAAAGCTTTTGCAAAAAAATGGCAAGCAAGGAAAGGATTTTCAGTGAAAATGAAACTTATATGATTGACTGGGAATCTTTTAGTACACTAAAGTTGGAAAGTGGTATGGCTGAAAATGAAACAAACACAAAACTCACCATTTCACTAATGTTATTGACTAATGATAATGATCGCTGCTTAAAATTGTCAGATATTGAAAACGACTGTAAAGCAAAATCAACAACTATCCATCAATCAATTCCAATAAACCTTTCGCAAGATTTTGACGAAACTTGGAAAAACAATACACATAACGTACTGGGAGAAGAGGGTGGTGCTAGTTTGTCCCATCATAGCAACTCAGAAGATAAAACTTTTTTGCAAGTGCACTGTGATACGACAGTAACGGATGACGAGGTGCAAAGTAGCAAAATCAAATTTACGGACTTGCCTTCAACTCCAAAGGTTGTACATGTGAAACCTTCTGAAAAATCCGAATCAGCATCAACAAAAAGAATGATGAGTGAAGTGAGCTCTATTACACTGAAAAAACGCAAAAGAGAAAACTTGACTCAATTTGACTTCAGTAAAAATTACCCAGATCTTGATGTTCTGAACCAAACAACGGGATCATTCTATCAACTTCCAGAAATTGTATTACCTAAAACTCAGGCTACTTCTAGAGAACTGATGAATAAGTTCCGAAAGCAAGATTTCCCACCAAATGTAGAACGTGCAAAAATTCTAGATTATAGTGAAATAGACCTCGATGAAACGGTTCTGAATATTCCTCCCTCTCAAGTTTGTAATGTAATGCTCAATGTAAATTTTGCTACAAAGTTCGGAGCGGCATTTCGTCAGTTTAGTAATATACTTGAGAATACCAACAGAGTTATGTGAAACGAATTCAAAATGAACAGCTCAAACTTGGAGTATGATATGTTTTTGAACGCATCCTGTGGAGTAATTTTTGTCCGACCCATCAACATTTATCAGATTGATATGCATACGGGAGAGAACTTGATGTTTCGACAAATGTTTGAAATTGCAATGCAAGTAACTAGTCTGATTGTTGTAATAGCAGTGGATAAAACTGACTGGCTAAAAAATGACAAAAAGCTTCTTTCTTTTATTAAAGACGCTGAAGATTATGGTGTACAAATATTCGTAGTGGAAAGTGACCCTAAAATCATTGCGGTAAGCATGTTAGAGCTAATTCAAAAGTATAGTGCTTTCGACGAAAAGCCCTTCTTGTGGACAGCTGAAAACAAATGGCTTGAGGATTGTGGCATATCCAATCCGTTTCTTGCACAGTTGATCCTCGACACTTGGAGTTTTGAGGATTTGGTGAAACAGTCAGAGGAAGAACGAACCGGTAATCTTCTCCGAATGTGCACAGATGATTTAGCGAGCCATATAAATAGGGCTGTGCAAAAATTCACCAATGTAGAGTTTTGATCGCCGGAGAGCTGTATTCGGAACATGATTTCCTAGACATTTGCCGTTAGCCATTTTTTTTGCCTGCATATCTTATTCTGGTGTATTATTTTGTACTTTTCTGGCTGAAATAAAACTGCAATATCCAAGTTCAAGAATCGAAAGCTCAAAGAGGATGACTCAAGATAAAAAGTTGGAAATACTGGAGAAGTTAACATACCAGCCTCACAATGGGGCAAAAATTTTGCCTAAGCATACGGACAAAGTCATTCTGCCAGAAAAAATACTTAATTCGTTGATAGAGTTACAAAAACTACATGATCTCGGATCTTTACCCCATCCTCTAGTGTTTAGGCTCAGTACTCCGAGCCAAAACACTTATGTCGGGGTGAAGGAATTTCACGATAAAGACGAAAGCAGTATTTTTTTATCCGAAGATATAACTAAAAGATTGAAAATATGTCCACCAATTCATGATAACATTGAGGAATATCCAGAAAAGGATGATCAGGCAGAGATTCTTTCCATCGAATTGGCATTAAATGTTTCGGCCATTGATAACACGACGAAGAAGGCAACGATCGAATTAGCACCGAGAGAAAATTATAGAGTGTTGGACTGGAAGTCATTTTTAGAAGCCACACTCCCTGCCAATTATACTGCAGTAACAACAAATGATGTTCTTATTTTTGATTTTGATCAGCAGCAATTCGTTCTAGACGTTATATCTGTCAAGACCACAGAAAATATACGCACGGTATGCGTTATTGATAGGGATATTGAATTGAAAATAAAAACACCGAGTGGCATTGAAGGTGATTTAAGCCCTGAATCAAATAACAGTCATAGAGACACATTGCCTGGCGAGTACGTTGACCTTTTTGGAGATAAGGAAGGTGAAATACAAGTTGGTGAGAGAGTTAAGTTGAAAATTGGTTCTGCCGAGAGTTTTGTCGCTGACGGAGAGTTTTCTCTTGCTTTTGACCAGTTTGTAAGCGACTCAAGGTTCGAAACTGCGACGATGGATCGGCCAGAGAAAGAATGGACCAACGATACTGATGATGAGATAAACATATATGTTTACGGATTCGGAAAATATTATGATCATAGCCTTAGTGCTATAAAATTTACTATTTTAAAGGAGCGGAAACAGGATAAGGATAGCAGAAGTGAAGAAAGTGAAATCCTTGATGCAGATTCTGTTCGATGCATCTATTGTAAGAATATAATCAAGGCATCATCGCAGGTACTCCATGAAAACTTTTGTCGGAGAAACAATGTTCTATGTCCAGAAGGCTGTGGGGAAGTTTTTCTTAAAACTGTTCCTTCAACACATTGGCATTGTTGCTCTACATATGGGGATAGTGACTGGAGCAAGAAACTACATTCTGAATATATGCATGATGATATCAGCGTAGTTGGTGTTACATGTGAACAATGTAAAGAGTATCATTGTACAACAAGATACATACTTTCACAACATATCTCTAGGGATTGTCCAAAAGCGATCCATGAATGCCGATATTGTCACTTGGTGGTAGCTCGGGGTGAACCATGTGGGGAGTCGAGATTCTATGGGGTCAGCCTACATGAGTGGTTATGTGGATCGAAGACAACGGAATGCCCGAAGTGCAATAAAATCATCAAGTTACGAGATCTAGAGACACACCTGAAATTACACGATATGGATCGTCTGAACAATTCTATTCCACAAGTGTGCAGCAATGAATTATGTGTGAATGTTGTTGGAACAGTGGATGAGAATGCACTTGGGCTCTGTAAGGACTGCTTTGGATCTTTATACTCTACCGTCTACGACCCTGATGGAAAGAAGCTGATGCAAAGAATAGAGAGGAGGTATATTCTTCAGATCAAGAACGGATGTGGGTCTCGTGATTGTGAAAATGAGCTATGTGGCACTAGTGCCAAGTGCAAAGTTCCATCTGAGACGAGGGAAAGCATGGCTGGGGTCGTCAAGTTTGTCAAAGGCGAGGTCATGAAGGAGGTGTTAAACAGAAAGAAGTTGCATTTCCAGTTCTGTGTTTCGAAGAGTATGGAGCATCGGAGACGTTTTGTTTCGATGTTTGAAGGGGGTGAGTGGGCAAGGGGCTGGATTTGCAAGAGCAACGAGGTCTGCGGAAACGACGTCAAGGCCATGGGACAGTGGTTGGAGCGTAATGCGGTGACTAACATTGAGTATGGTAGATGAGGGAGGGATATGGATAGACAAACAGGCTACAATACTTTTTTATTAATAAATAAATAGATAGATCAGGCATTTCACGGGGAATGGACTAGTTACCTAAACACTTTAAGATGTCGGACCAGACGGTTTTTGGGCTCTGAGAGGCGTCGACGCCAGACCAGATGCCAGTCTTCTTGTAGTAGTCGACAATTGGCTCAGTTTGTTTGTGGTAGGTTACTAATCTCTTCTTCAAGGCGTCGACGTTGTCGTCGGATCTTTGGATCAAAGGCTCGCCGGTGACATCGTCTTTCATGTCAGACTTTGGTGGGTTGAAGATCTTGTGGTAGGATCTGCCTGATGCTGGGTGAACCAATCTACCTGTGATTCTGGCGACCAACAACTCGTCGTCAATCTTCAACTCAACGGCCTTCTGCAATGGCTTCTGCATGTCCTTCAACATGGAGTCCAATTTTTCAGCCTGTGGAATCGTTCTTGGAAAGCCGTCGAGAATGAACCCGTTCTTGCACTCTGGGTTACCTTTCAACTCGCTCTGGATCATGCCAACCATGATCTCGTCGCTGACCAAACCACCCTGGTCCATGATCTTCTTGGCCTCCTTACCCAGAGGGGTGCCCTTGGCGACCTGGGAACGCAACATGTCACCCGTGGCCAAGTGGCAGGCACAATACTTCTCCTTCAAGTTTGGAGCCTGGGTACCCTTACCAGCACCAGGAGGCCCAATGAGGACCATGCGGAGCGCAGGAGGCAACGGAGTGGTGAGCCCGGTCTTGGTTTCGAGCTCAGCAACACGGTTTTCGAGTTTGGTGACAAGGTCTTTGAGTTGATCCATTGTGGGTGAAAAGTTAGCTCTTGCAGAAAAGGTGGCTACAGTGAAACCTCTACGACAGACCAGCACCAGACCCAGGGCCTGTCCAGCACCCCAGAAATAGCCAACAGTCCAGCACTGCAGAGAAAAGCAACGCCAGGCTCCTCCAGCCCGTACACGTCCAGGCCAGGAGCACGCCGAGGCTCTGCTACACCGCTTCCGCCAGCTGCCTCACCACCTCCGCCGCCAACGGCGGGCCTGCAAACCCGTCGCCGTCGGCCCGGCTCGCCGCAACGGCGGAGGGGAAGCAGAAAAAAGAGGAGAAGAGGCGGAAATCGAGCGACGCGTCGGTGAGCAGGTAGAGAACAGAAGGATGTCGGGATGTATGTGGATGATCTATATATCGAGATTAGATGAGTCATAAACAGAGAGAAATAAATAAATATATGAGTTAGAGAGAATAAATAGAAAGAAGGAAGACAGCAGGGATTCTGGGAGACAGGCCAAGCTTAGAACTTGACGTCCCAGTTGTCTAGCTTCATGGTACCGTTTTCTTGCAAGTTGATGTGCATCTTGAACGCATCTTTCAAAGAGTGTGGTTCGTGCAAGGACTTGGTCTTCGTGCAGTGGAAAAGGGCTCTGGCGTAGTACTCGTTCAACTGGTCCTTGTAGTCTGGATGAGCACAGTTGTTGATGATCAATGGGACTCTTTCCTTTGGAGCCAAGCCTCTCAAGTCGGCAAGACCGTAGTCAGTGACAAAGACGTCCAAGTCGTGCTCGGTTTGGTCGACGTGGGAGGCGAATGGCACGACACAGGAGATACCGGTAGGGTCTGTCTTGGTCTTACGAGCGGCAGGGGTGTGCATTATTGAAAGCTTGGCGTTACGCAAGAAGTCGGCAGAACCACCGAGACCGTTCAACATTCTGGAACCGTTGACGTTGGTGGAGTTGGCGTGACCGTAGATGTCGAACTCAACAGGGGTGTTCATGGCAATGACACCCAATCTTCTGATGATTTCCGGAGAGTTGGAGACAACCTGGGATCTCAAACACACCTTCTGTGAGAACAAGTCCCAGTTGTCAAAGAACTTCTTGAAACCTTCTTGAGATAATCTGATCGAGGTAGAGGTGGCGTAGTCGATCTTGCCGCTCTCGAAGTATGGCAAGAAGGAGTCCTGCATGACCTCGGTCCAGACAGTCAAGTTCTTGAACGAAGATTGCTCCAACCCTTCGATGATGGCGTTGGCAACGTTACCGATACCAGATTGTAGTGGGTGCAAGTTTTCTGGCAATCTACCAGCCTTGACTTCCTGCTCGAAGAATTCGATCAAATGGCCTGCGATCTTCTTCGACATCTCATCTGGGGCAGTTGGAGATGGAACCTTGTCAGGAGTGGTGGACTCGACAATAGCAACAACCTTGGAAGGATCAACTGGGATGGCGGTTAAGCCAGACTTCTGGTCAACGGTCATGTAAGGGTATGGAGGTCTGTGTGGAGGGTTGATTGGCATGTCAATGTCGTGGAGACCCTCGAAGGATGGGGTAGCGGTGTTGACCTCGATGATGATCTTATCCGAGACGGAAATCATTTCTGGGGAACCACCGACAGCTGGACCTGGGACAATGGAACCGTCCTCGGTGATAGCGGTGGCCTCAATGATGGTGTAGTCAAGAAGGTTGTTGTCCTTCTTGAATCTGGTGTAGTACCCATAAGTCAAATCCTGTGGGAACATGGACAAGTGTTTATCGAAGAACTGGGTTCTGTTATCGTTGATCGCCTTGGAGATCGGCTTACCGACCTGATGCGGAGCTCTTCTGTGGATCATGTTCAACTCGGCCCATCTGGACTCTTCTGGACCGGCAGAAGCACCAACAAACAAGTTGAAACCAAGCTTGCCCATCAGCTTGTTCTGCTCAACGTGGTCGGCTAAGGCGGTTGGAATCACCTTTGGTGCACCGACACCAGTGAACCCCGACCAACCCAAGTACTGGCCGTCCTTGAATAACGGAACACATTCCTCGGCGGTTCTGAGCTTCTTGAGGTATGGAGCGTATCTGACTCTCTGCTTTAAGATGGCGGACATTGTTCTAGTGGTAAGGGACAATAAAACAGCTTACAACAGTTAAATAAACACGGCGGACGGGCTTACGGCTTGTCTGATTGGCTGGCTGTTTGCTTGGACAACCTCCTCTTTCTTCTATAAGATCACAAACGTGGGGAAGCAGACAAACGCCCCCATCCAAAAGAAAAGAGTGTGTACAACAGAGGCAAGAGCCTCCCGCCGACGCAACAAACCGTCCACAACAAGCGGTCCTACCGAAACGGTCACCCGCCGCCGCAACACGCCGTGGAGAGAACCTGGCTCATGACCTCCATGGACCCTCCTTTCTCCCGTGGACCGCTTCCCCACACTTTTCGGGGCGCTCGCTTACGTAACAGTGCCCGTCTCGATTCCGATATCCATTCCTGCTCCGGCGTTTCAGGAACACGGGGATGCTTTTTGGGCGTTTCATGCGTATTATGAGTTTCTAGAAATGCTGCTACTACAATTACAAACGGAATACATCTCCGAAAGTGTCGTCGTACCTTTCGTCCATGCATTCGTCGATGTACCCGACCTTGACGTGGCAGCAGGGGCCGAAAATGCTGCGCAGCCGCTGTGTGTAGGTGTCGATCTTGCGGACTTCCTCCTCCAGAAGCGGCTTGCCGCTCCGCTCGTAGTTGTTCCCCCTCATGAGATAGAGTTCGAAGTGACGCATGTGCATCTCAATGCCGTCCTTGGCGGCAAAACACTTGTCAAGCTCCTGGATGGACGAACTACGCCAGCCAACAAGCACAAGCTTCTCGAGGTTGCTGAGAATGCTTCTCTTCACCATTGCGCTGTCCACCGGCGCACCGTGGCCACTCCAACCGTTATCTGGCGCCACCTCGGTGTAGTACTCCCGCTGGAGGTTGATCATGTGGAGCCACGGGTAGTAGCACGTGAACCCGTTCTCTTTGTACCTGTCGTTGAGAACAACAACCTCCAACTCCTTGAGGTTCTTATAGAAATCAATCTCAAAGAAAAACCGCTCGTTGTACTCAGTGTTAATAAAGCTCTTGAACCGCTCGCATCCGGTGAACTTCACATAGTCGCCGCTAAAGTAGAGTCCGATCTTGACCGGCCGGCAATTAGTATCCCCCCGTCTGTTCCTGGTGCTGCTCGAGAGTAAACTCCCATTTCCCGGCATCGGATACTCAGGCGAAAAAACGTCCTTCAAATTGACTGGATACTCCCACGCACAGTTGATCAGCTTGACCTCGTCCAACTCGATCAACTTGCCGTCGAGACTTCGTTTTCGGTAATCGCTCATATCCTCCTTTATCTTCGGGTAGAAGTAGATGTCCTTGGCAATGCTGAACCCTTTCAAAGTTAGCTGTCGTATATTGTGGAATCTCTGCAACTGTGTCAACTCAAACATCGCATTATCATTGACATCCCCGCTGTTGCACACGCTTTTGCTCACAAGGGTCATCTTTTCGACCTTATTACTAAGCTCAACATCAAAATCATCCTTGTACTTCAGGCATCTCGCACTGGTGATCAACTCAATATGCATTTCTCTCAGATTCTTGCATTCTTCAAAGAGCTTCCTGAACGAGACGTTCCATTCCCCGTTGTTAGTCTCCTTCTCGTTCTCAAGGTCGCAGAGAATTTTCACCCGTTGTACGTAGTCCAGCTGTTTGAAATTCTCCAGAAACAGCTTTATATCCTTCCATTTCAAATGAATGTTTCTGAAAAGATCCATATACACCAGCCCCCGATGTTCGTGGTTGGTGCTCGATAACCGGATTAAATCCTTCCTGCTCACCTCATCAAGTATTTTGCCGAGAATCTCGTTTGGAATATGCATTAGAAATGAATTGACGTTGCTCTTTTTTCGGAGTTTCATACATTGGCGATCATCAAGTATACTACCGTCTTGCATTTCTTCTTTGACAATTCTATATTCATCAACCTCACGTTTTCGTTTCCCTCCCAAATCTTTCTCTGTTGGGTACATCTTGTTATTCAAATGGTACTCGGTAAGGGTTGGATCTGCTGTAATATTCTATACCGTTTCCATAAGTTTCTTCCTCTGTTTGTGCTCTCCGATCCATTACTACAGAGAAGGTTTGTTCTCAAACGCCTGATCCTTTTACTTGAAAGGAAAACAGTCATCAGGAATTATCGCTCTTAGGAAAAAAAATTAAAAGAAAAAGAAAAATATCACGTGATAAAGCTATCTTTCATGTTCTCTACCTTGTAGGTTACTTTTCCGTCATTACTACTTTACAAAATTGTCTAAAAATACTATCACTACCTGAAGGGCCTGGATTGACACTCTTCTCTCTCTCAGTAGTTGATAATGTCCTCTTCTTCCTGGTCGCCGTCCTCATTTCGCCACAGTCTCTCGAGCTTTTTCATCGAGTACCGTGCTGCGATCGTCCCAAAATCATGCAAATCTCGGAAATACTTACTCACTAAAGACCGATGTTCAATCTCGGTTGTCCACTTTCCAACTAGAAACACACAAAACTGAAACATCATCAAGGCGTACGACTTGATTTTCTTCTTGGTTCTCAAGAACTTGAGCAAGTTCACAGTCTGCTCGATCGCGTTCATCACAAGAAAATGGTTTCGATCCAACATGAATAGCTTGGTCAATGTATGGATGATGCCTGACATTCTATGAGCCTGGTAGCATATATCCCACCATGATACATATACAATGTCACCATTCAAGTCGATATCATCAAACTTTTCAACTGCCTCCGCTGGAATTCCAAGGCTAGGCTCATGTCGAAAATCTTTGTTTAAATACCCAGTATGAGACAGTAAATAGTATTCCTTGATTTCTTTACACTCCAATTGTGTCAAAAACCAACTTATCTCACTCAACTTCAGCTTTTCACCCAATCTGGCACGCCTCAATACACAGCATAAACGGCCTAGAACTATGGCAAGTTTGTCTGAATAGCCTAGCATTAAATTGAAATCGTCAACACCTTCATTATCGATACTAGGATTTTTCCAGTTGATCCTCATTCCTCTCAAAAAGTCGGAGTCTTCTTCAATCCATAATTCCATTACCTTCCAGTCTCTATCATTCATAGTACCGCCCCAATTTGATGACATACCTGCGATAATCTCGATGCTGAAAAACCATGATCGACAAAATGCCAGTGTTTCTCTTTCCACCTTGCCGAATTCAATTGTATCAGTATTATCATTGTTTTGATAGTATGCAGAATGCATCAATAATCTTCCAGCGGTTTCCAAATGGGGCCTCCACTTGACCACATTAGATGAAGCATTGTACGATGTCAAAAGTAATGTTGTGATGATCATACCTTCCATTTTACCCTTTTGTCTCTTATCTGGTGTTGCTTCATCATTGAGAGACTGTCCGAGCAATGACATACATGTCGATAGATAACTGCAATACTGTTCTTCATCGGTCAATGACTTACTGTGTCTATACGCAGTCAACGCACCACATGCTAAGACAGCAGCCAAAACATAAGATTCCTTCTGTGCATAATATAAAATGATATCTCTTGCTGGGTTAATCAAAGACACCTCTTTTACTTGAGTATCACCACTTTGCCTGTTGTTCGGAGCACTCGCTGCTATCGGAGGTATTGAAGATGCTGTGGTCAAAGCTGGTGCTACCACCGTTGTTGCTGTTATCGGCACAATTGATGCAGTTATACCCACCCCCAAGTTGTTCACTGTTGTTGCAATACCCCCAGTCACATTAGAGGGGGACGCTGAAAGTGAAGGCACAGGCGATGGACCTTCTGATGAGCCAGTACCTGGAAAAAGTGAGTGATTTTCCTGTACGTCTAGCGGACAAAATGGCATTATCACTTTAGAGTAGTCCTCATAAAACAATCGTAAGTATTCCATGTGTGTTCTTGGTAGCGAGAATTCTGAAAGTGTGCTGTGTGGGATGGATGACTTGAGTATTTTGTGAGTTTTAGTAGGTGAGTTAGACTCTCCATTAGAGAGAAGAGACGAAATGGAAAATGGAGACGTGTTAATATTGTTGCTCACAAACGAAAATGAACCTTGTGGATCCGTCAACCCAGTCGCATTGTTCAGCTGGCCAGTCGTTTGGGAGAGTTGCGTTGTCAATAGATCGTTTAAGCTCTGGCCCATAATTGACGTGCTGTCCTTGTAACTTTCTGGATTCATTATCATTTCAATTGTATTCATTACGCTATTGTTCGAAGCTGCATTCAGTAGTGATGGTGATAGTGTAAGAAAATTTTTCGACGTTTCGTCAAGCTGACTACTTCCATCGGCAGAATTTTGAAAAGCATTATCCTTCATGACAACAGTTTTTATTCTTGGATGTCGCTGCGATTTGGAAGGCCTTGCTTTTACATTATTGATGTCTTTAACAGGATTTATATCCAAGTACTCTCCATCCGTAGATGTCGTCTTTGTGACCTTCCCTTCCTGGGTTCTCGGGCTTCTGTCCTTATTTTTCCATTTAGGCGGGAGGTAGACACATTCTTTTTCTAATCGTTGGCAATGCCAGCATACCGGCTTAGACTCGTCACACTGTGGGTAATATCAAGGAAAGATTTGAAATAACAAAGTTAGTTCTTAGTTCTTAGTTCTCTATCTTTGTTTCAGAAAGCTTTGTTTGCAACCGTCTGCACATACCTTTATCTTCCTGCGCTTGCACTCGGCGCAGCCGAGTTTGGAGTATCGGCCCTTTTTGAGCGGGTTAGTCGTCATTCTTGAATACCCATATAAAAGCTCAAAATTGTTAGACGGGCTGTATACGTGTATAATGTTTGCATTGGCTGAAACCCCGAGGTCCTTACATTTCTGGGATGCCGAGATAGAAAAGTATGTCATTACAAATTCCTCCACGCATTTGATTTTTTAACGCACATACGCTCGCAGGGCCTTTATATGCAAAGAGGGAGATATACAACATGGAGTGGTGACTCTCTAGAGAGGACTGACAATTTCCAACTTGAGAGCCAGTGTTGAGCCACTATAAATGCCCTGTGAGTCTTCCTATCTAAAAGAGATTCAGGAAAGTACCGGTGTTCAATGGTCTGTTAATCAGTGCGGTAATGTCCTTATCACTGATTTCAAGATTAAAAGCATTGCAAGGTTAAAACTGTGTTAGTCCCTGCTACTACATCAGAGGAAATTTTAAAAAGTACATATCTTCAAAGGATTAGGTCTAAAATAAATAGATATTGTCAACATGAAAAAGTATTTAAATGTTCACAACTTAGCTTCTCTTGAGGAAGACAGGGCGAGTTCTGCTGTCTTCTCAGCTGCGCCCCATGACATTTCGACACCACTTCCACCAAAACCGTAACAGTGGACAATCGAGACTTTTCCCGTACCGGTATCTAAATCTTCCTTTTCCAACCTAACACCACCATTACGGGCAGGTCTGAAGCCGACGTTTATACGCAAAATGTCAAGTTCTCCGGTTTTTCTGTCAAACAAATGAGGGAATCTAGATTTTGCGTTTTGGATCAAATGTTCAGTCTCTTCTGCTACAGGAGTATCTTGGTAACAATATTGGTTCTTAGTTCCACCAAGTATGATACCTCCATTTAAAGGACGTGGAATAAAAAAGCACCACTCTCCATTAGCCATCTGAACAGTTATAGTTTTACTCTCGAACTCATCCAAATAATCCAGTGGTGGGCGCACAAGTAAAGTTTGTCCACGGATTGAATAGCACGCAGAATCATGGGAACCGTCGTATAGCAGGCCATTACCTGTGCAGTTCACAATTGTTGAATCTGGATACAAGACTGAAACTTGGCGAAGAGAATACACTTCTTTCCTGACAAGTGTTATTTTTTGCCGTAATTTCAAAGAGTCCAGCATGAAAGTCATGTACGCATGAGGGTTAACGCAAAAGCTCTTGTATTTTGCCCCAAACTTAACGTTCTGAGGTAACTCGCTTTTTGGAATGATCTGAAAATCCTCCACAACTTCTGTATACCCTTTGCCAAGAGATGAGTACAGTGGATTCTCAAACTCTAGATAATCAACCCCGGTCATGAGCTTTATTGATGACTCTGGGTGTTCGATTGCAAGTTGTTTGAATTTTTGGTAGGTGGCATGGGTGTACTTTGAGTCTCTGAATTCTGTTTCAGACTTTGACGGAAATGGTCTGAAGTGTGCCCCTGCCTTCGAAGAGGTGTAATAAGGGCTCAACAGCCCAGTGTCAGGAAAGTCTTTTGAAACGATAACGATCCTCGCATACGGGTTGATTTCGGCAATCTTGTAAGCCGTGGAAATGCCAATAATACCAGCACCAACAATGACAATGGGAGCAGGCATTCTGTCTACTCGTAATTCCTTTAATAGTAGAGAATTCGAAAGATTGACAGAAGTAAAGAAGATTTAGCCCTAACTCAGGATCCCTTTATAGTTGGTATTCCGTGTGGTTAATCGCTGTAATTTAACATGTCCGAAGTGGAAAGCACACCACTCGATTTAGCGTCTCTTAAACGCCCCGACGATAAGCAAGCAGCGCTTAGCTAATTATTTTCAAAGTCGACGGGCCATTTTAATATCTGTGAGTACGGATGGCTTGATATCGCTTGAACTTAAACATGATCTAGATAGTAACTAAGCTACGGTAGTGGTATTGAGGGGTATGCAAACATGAGTGGTCTGTTGGGCAATCCGAAAAACAGAGTGCTCCAGCTTGATGGATATTTACTTGACGGCCAGATTATTAGCATTCTCCAGACCCAGCTAACAGAGGCATTTGCAGATACCTCCTTGCCAGTGGGCCTTCAGCGTATAGGGTCTAGACATGGTAGTGACTTGGTATTCTTGGTAAAAGTATTACTTTTCAAATTTTTTGTGTGGGATAAGTCAAGTTCCTATGGATTGATTTTGCAGAATTTGAAACTGTATGATGACGGAAAATCAGGGAAACTGAGCAGGTTGGGCAAACTTACACTTTTAGTGCACCTATTAGCATCTCATCTCATTGACAAATTGATATCGTACTCTTACTCAGATGATGCAAATGAGCTAGGAGTAACAAATCCAACGTTGAATTTTTTACTGAAGAAGTTTACCAATTACCTCCCAATTATGAAAGCCGGTTCCTCTTTTTTTGAGGTTGTCAATAGGGTCCTATTTCTTGCATTGGGAGATTATACTACGTTGTATTATCGACTATTCGGCATAAGGCATGAAAGTCTGGACACCTCAGCTATATCATTTGCATCAAATCCGCAATCCATCAATTATGAATTTCAAGATAGACAGTTGATCTGGAATGCTTTCACCGAGTTCATCACAAATATATCAGATGTGAAAATGCCAAAAATTGTGCATCGAGCTTGGAAGAGGGCTTTGCACAAAGTGATGAAGAAGGAGAAAGAAAAATTTGAGACGGGAATGGCAATTGACGGTATAGGTGTAAATGATGAGAATTCCAAGTCAATGTTCAGATTCTTACCGGAGAGATGTTGTGCAATATGTTATGCAGATGATACAAGCCCAGCGAAAGGTGTTGATGACCATTTGATAACAAATCCCTTTGTCACGAGCTGTGGACATTTGTATTGCTATTATTGCTTAATAAGAGTAATGGAGGAGGCCAGGAATTCCGATGACTACGAAGATGATGACGGTGATGATGATTTAGTGAAAGAAGAGGGTGGTATAGAAGAAGGTACGAAATGGCGATGTTTACGATGTAATCAGAAGGTTAGCTGGTCCAAGATATACTCAGAAAAGATGGAAGAGCTTGAGTCTAGTGTGGAAAGTTACTTTGCATCGTCTGCGTATGCTAACCTTTCTTTTTCCCCTAATGTCACTGATGAGGGTGAGGAGGACGAAGAAGAGAATCTGTCCTCATCATCAGACTCCGATTCAGAATCTCTAGACGAAATGGGTTCAGAATCTGAGAGTGATGGGAGTGATGGGAGTGACACAGAGTCTGCTTACGAATATGACGCAGACGAAATGATGTAATAGTATACAACTTACTTCTTACTACGACGTACCGATCTCACAGACTTCGCAAGTTCCAATATATTTCATCGTCATGCTGGTGGATATTTGTTTGGCCAGTTAGCCAAATTTTGCATTTCCCATGCTGAAGAGGTATACACGCTCACGGGCATGAAACTGATGCCACTTTTGCTTCCGCTTTTTTCCTCAAGATTCCAGTGCTCAACTTTCATAACCCTGTTTAAAGGAGTGAAAGCAAAAATTACTTCAGCCGCATTTCTGAGGTCTCCTTCGATTCCACAGATAAGATTTCAAGTTTGTACTATACCCAGTTCTGTAAATTGTTACACAAGAGCTCATTAGTTTACTTCAGTATATAGATTTGTTATTTTTAATAAAGCTATAAATCCGTATAAAACATGATATAATGCAGGGTAAATTAAGGTATATTATAGTTAAAAAAGTTAACTAATAGAACTGAAGAATTGACCAAAGTGAAGAAAAAGATTCTCGAAATCGATGAACTTTTGGAGTGTAGGGAATCAGATTTGATCAAGTCCCGATGAGGATGATTCAAAAAAGCAAAAACTAGACATCTTTTTTATCCAAAAAAAGAATGATAAGACAACGGTTAAAATTGATAAATATGTTATTCTGTGAAACGTTCATCATCATGATTATAACATCATAGATAATAAGACTGCAAAGACTGCAAAGACTGAACCAGAGCCAGCAACCTTAACACCAGCATTGCTGTATTGAGAGACGGATTGACCCTTTGGAGCAGCACTGGAGTTGGAACCAGAAGGAACAACAACTGTGGAAGCACCAGTGGAAGAAGCACCTGGGGTTTGGTAGCTTGTGTAGACAGAAGTACCGGAAGAGTAAACAACGACAACACTGGTGTAACCGACAGTGGTGACGGTGGTAGCACCTGGAGCAGTGGTAGTAGCGCTACCAGTAACAGTGGTGGTAGAACCAGCTGGTGGGGTAACAGTGGCAGTACCTTGGGTGGTGTAGTAGTTACAGGTGGTAGTGGTGTAAACAACCTCCTTGGTGGTGGTAGTACCGGCGATAACAGTAGTAGTGTAAGTAGTAGCTGGAACAGTGACAATGATAGAGGTAGCAGTGATGACACCAGAAGTAGTAGCGGTCAATGGGCAGTAAGTGGTGTAAACGGTTTCTTCAGAAGTAACGACAGTGACACCGGTGGTAACTGGAACTTCAGTACACTTGTGGTCGGAACAAGAAGTGATGGTAACAACAGTAGTAGTCTTAGCGGTGACAGTTTCTGGACAAACGACGGTAGAGTCAGTAACAACAACAAGGGTGTCAGTAGTGGTGGAACACTTGTGGTCAGAACAAGAAGTGATGGTGACATGGGTAGTAGAGGTAGCAGTGTGGACAGAACCGGAACCACCAGAAGTGACATCAGTACCAGTAGCAGTAGTAGCTGGGGAGGAAGTACCAGATGGAGTAGCAGTGGTCTTGGTAGTAGCGCCAGTCTCACTAGAACCGGAAGTAGAACCAGAAGTAGAACCAGAAGTGGTGGATGGCAAAGCGGAAGTGGTGGTAGCAGTAACAGTAACGGTAAAGACTTGGTCAGCTCTCTTCTCAATTAGTTGAGGTAAACCTTCCAAGGAAACCAAGAACAAACCAATGAATTCGTCCTTAGCATCAGTGTAAGCAGCTTCAACAGAAACCTTGACAGCAGTGTCAGCAGAAGTCAAGGAAACATCGCTGGAGATGTCAAGGGAGGAAGAGGAGCTGTCGGATGAAAGATCGAATGGGGTACCTGCTGGTTCGTAAACACCAGAAATAGAGGATGGAGTGAAGGAGTAACCGTAGAAGTCGGAGTTGACATCGGAAGCGATAGAGAAACCAGTGAAACCCGAGTTTGGTAGGAACAAGCTGAAGAAAATTTCACCAGCTGAGAAATAACCAGTACCGTATGGAACGTAAGAAGTGTTCTGGTAAGTGGCAGCGGCGGCGGAACCGACCAAAGCCAAAGACTTAGCGATTTGTGTTAACTTCATGGTATACTTGATAAAAGGGGAAGAGATTGAATATAATTAGCGAGAGACTGGTTATATCAAGTTTATCTGATGCCGAAAGAACAGGAGAAAAAAAGAAAAAGAAAAGAAGAGAGAAGTGGAGGCGAAGGGGTCCAAACGAAGCACGGGAGGACGAAAAACATAGATATAGAAAGGAAACTAGGGCGCCCGATTGAATTTATAGGAAAGAGCAAGAAAGAGGGTAGAGCAGCAAGCAACTGGGAGACAAAAATTAACTCGAGAGCGTGTCCAGAGTAAGCAAAAGGTAAATCGAAGAATCGAGCAAATCTTCACGCTTGCATTGTGTTGATGTGCTTTTTTGATTGCTTCTCGCACAAGCAAATCGCACTGGTGATAGTACAAAAATATCTCTACTGAGGCTCACCTGCAGATCGGGGAGAAAAGCCCATTGAAAAAGTGCAGCAGATACGTGAGCCGCATGCTGTGGTCGCGTTTTTAAACTTTTTTAGTGTGCAAAGACAATTATTGGGTGCCCGCCGGTGCCGATGATGACGTGAACGCCCTCCGCCTCAGTTACCGACGAGGAGCCAAAAATGTGCACTAGCACCGGGAGGCGTGCATGCATCCCTGTTGCCTACCTGCCGTTTCCGCTTTCGGCAGGCCTGCTGCGCGCTGCACGACGCCTGCGCCGCTCGAATAGGCAGGAGCGAGCGCCTGGCAACCAGCCACTTCTCTTTCGGGGACAACGCTCGCGTACATGTGGATGTAGAATGTGGAAAACAACAGCCGAGGTTGGACGGAATAGGAGGATGGGCAATTTGTTCTACTGGATGGTGTATTAGGCGGGCGGGGCCAGGCCAAGGGGTGGATTGGCGGCGTCAGTGGCCTCACAAATTCCACCTCGAACTAATTACAACAGTTTGGTGCTACCAGGCTAGGCCCAATCAGTCGACCAGTATGTTTGGTGAGCACAGGAACAGGAGACATCGGTTGATCTATTTGCGCACCGTGTCTAGGAGCGGTTGAGGCATCTGCGATGGTATAGTGCAGCACCTCGCTCACAAAGTTGCGGTATAATTTTCCACCCCTGGGGGCAGGGGGAGGCTTCCCCTTCCAGCGCAGCGTGGCCGAGCGTGGCGGCGGCAGCGGCTGCGACGCGGTGGGCGGGGCTGGGGAAAGCGACATTGTGCTGGTTTTGCTCGGGTTTGGCTGCGGCGCGGAATGCTAACAGCGGGCTCAACCGTTGCTCGTAGCGGCAAGCACGCCGTGGTAAGTCGTGGCTCCCCGTGGCGACGCAGAGTGCAGTGCCCACCAACGTGCACCTAGTCGGTTGCTCCCTTGGTGAACCTCTAGGGCTGCTGGATAGTTGCCGCCGATCCCCGTAGATCAGTCTCGGTGCTTTGCGCAGCACAGCACTACGCGGTTTGCGCATCTAGCCCCGGATCCACGCCTGTCCACGCCCGTGGGCCCTCGCCCGTCTCTCTTCCCGCCTACTTCGGTGCTAGCCCTCTTGCCGCTGTGTTTAGCGCCACTCCGCTCACCTGTTGACGCGCGCACACATTTTGTCCCTGGCACTCGCAGCACACCATGCTCCTGTGCATAACTCCGAAAGAAGGTTGGCTGCAGATCGCATGCGCCGCACAACCTTAGCTAGACCAATCCCCCCTCTCAGACTGCTGTCCAGGGCGCAACGCGGCGACCACGGTTAACAATGCGCGTCCAGTGGCGGCCCCTTACCGCGGCGCGACAGCCTCGCGACCCTGGTTCTCCTCCTGCCGACCGCATTTCCCGACCTCACCGCGCCAACCAGCGTGTGTGGGTGTACCCTTGCGGCACTAGCTGCCATAATTCCACTGCAGCTGGCATTGGTTCTCGGCTGTACAACGGCCCATTTGGAGGCTCTTCCGCTTCGCGGTAGCTGCCGCACCTTCCTTGGGCTCGGCTTTCCTACTCTCCACCATCACGACGGGGCTCCTGCCGGATGCGGTATCTGAGCAGTGGACTCTAGCCGGGGAGTGCCCTCCTGCTGTTTTCTGGGCCAGGCTCCGACAGAGCCGTCGGCGGGTCGCCGTGGAAAACAGAGGGCTATAGCACATTCTGCGTGTCGCTGGGGCAACGTTAAGTGGCCACTGCCGCCGGGCGGCTTATCGGCAAGGGCTCGGCCCCGGACATCAGCGTCGCACGGAGCGGAAGGGTGCTTTTCAGACATGGGTTGCAGCTCAAAGCCTACACCTGACTATGCTACACATATACCCACATGCTGGAGCAGAACAGTGCACCAGGGGCCCAAACGTAATCGGATGTTTCATCGGATCCAAGGGGAGAGGCATACCTTTTCTGATCGATGGCTGCCAGCATCACCTGCTGGCCCGCTGATAGCAATCAATGGCCTTCTGGCATGGGGCACACGGGAGCCTGCGAATGTGTCATTCTTCTCCTCTCAGTCCTCCTTAATTACTCCGCAGCACAGCCGGGATCTTCTCGGGTCCATGAGCCTGCGGGAGGAGCCAGAAGAGCTATCTCAAGTTTGTCCAGTTTGCAGCAAAGTATAAAAGCAATGCTGCACCCCCTTCGATTTGGCTGGAATTTTACCGTCTGTAAAAAAATAGCCGCCACGGCAGATCGGCTCGGTTACTGTGTTCTAAAGAATGGTAAATTAGGCAAGTGTACAAAGACGAACCTTCTATACAAAGCGTAGTGCCGCCACAAACAATCACCAATCGCCGTACCGTGTGAACCGGGTGGGCAAACTGACTGCATCGTCCCGGCCATTGCCGGCGCCCGTGCGCTGCTTGTTCTTCTTCCTGCCGAAACCAAAGCTCTTCATGCTGATTCCGGAGGAGAAAACCTGGCTGCTGGCATTCCGCTCAACATATCTCAGATAGTACGACGCGCCGATAACTAGCACAGTGACCAGGAGGAAAATGAACCCAATGATCCCTCCAAACCAGCCATAGTTTGACTGGCCGTGACCGGGAACTTTCACGTTCATTCCAAACAACCCCGTAACCAAATTCATCGGAACTAGGATCGTACCTAGAAGTGTAACCTTGGACAACATGTCTGTCACTCGGAGGTTAGAGTAGAACGACTCGACCTGTAACTGGGCCAAATAATTCGAATGCGATCTGCTGAAAATCTTCTCGTACGATAACAACGATTGAAACATGGTGATGATATGATCCTGGATATCCCCCAAGTATAGTGCAATGTCGGCACTAGGTTGTGCCTGTGAATTATTGTTGCTGAATCCATTGATCCGTATGCTGGCAGCTTCATCTTGGCATCTTTTAGCAAACATCTTGATCACATCGGCCTTACCCTGTAACAATCTCATCAAAGTCATCACCTTCCTTCTCGATTCACCAATCTTGAGTAGCATACGACCAAAGTCATTCTCCCTAGACAAAAACACAGAATCTTCAATGGCATCTGCTTCATACTCGATAGACTGGATAATAGGTGCAAATCCATCTGTGATGTCATCGATCATCGCATAACAGAGCCAGTCGGAAGAAACATTGACGTAGTCTCTCAACTGTCTAACTCTCCTTCTCACGTTGGCAGGGTTGACAATTGGCGAAAAGTGGAAAGTTAATATGCCAGACTTGAAAACGACAATATAGACATTGATTGGTTCCAAAAAGTCTTCACTCTCAGAATCGGTCTCAAACGTGTGAAAAGAAACAAAGTAGTAACTCTTGAACAACTCCACCTTTTCACGTGTTTCCTGCATTCTGATATCCTCAGCCGTCAAAGGATGGATACTAAAAGCCTTTGCCAACATTTTCATCTCACTATCGGTTGGACACGTACAGTCCAACCACCAGATCGAATCTTCGGGCTCAAAGAGCTCTTTAAATGGATGACCACGACCAACCAAGGAGGGGATGTCTGCTGCGTGGATAGTCTCTTCCACCTCAGAAGAGAAGAATGAGAACCTTGTAGGCAAATCTGCCTCCTCGTATTCTTCTTCCTGTTTATTGCCTTCAGGGTTGAAGGTAACATTCTCAAACTTGCCGGTGCCACCATCGTCGTTGTTGAAGTTGTTGTTTGTACTTGTAGAGTCGTAATGGTCCTTTTCAGACTTGAAGGATTTGTCGGAAAGGTCAGAGGAAGAATTACCTGTTCTGGCGTTGAGCTGCTTTGGGATGTACTTGAGTGCTGCAGAGCTGATTTTCTCGGAGCTAGTGGTAATTGAGTTGCTGCAGCCCATCTTAAGCTCTTTCTCTCTTTCCGCAATGCGTTCATTTTCCTCTCTTTGCTCCACAATGAATTCCTCGATTTCATCGAAATCAATTCCTCTGATCCTCACATGTTCCGGCAGCATGGGGAAACAAACATCCTCTTCAGTCTCTTGGGATTCCCGTGAGGCGTGCGAGTCGAGGTCGCTGTCAGCGTCATTGCCCTCTCTGTTTGTCTTCTTTCTGGTAGATTTAGAGGATGCTCTTGATGGAATCTTTACAAGGTTGTTTGAGTGATGTGAAAGCCTCCGCATAGAGGCGCTTTCGTTACTGGCAGTATCCAACACGGGGTTAGCATGAGAGAACGAGTTCTTGTTACCTGCCTTGCCCTTCTCTTGGAACTCTTCGTCAGAAGCGGCCATGTTGTTGTTGCTGTTGCTGTTTGAGCCTAGCAATATGCCTCCGCTAGTAGATTCCTCTCTTGGTCTGATGAGCGACTTGACCTGTTCGCTAAAAGACTTGGTTCTTGTGGTGGAGTTGCGCCTGCCCGGGATGACCAATGGCGCCGGGGTGGTAGAGCTCGACGCAAAGTTGATGTTATTACCGTTCTTGAAACTGTCGTTGAACTTTACAGCATACTCGTCGTACTCGTCGTCTGCGACCATTCTGTTTAGCAAGTCTCTCGAGTCGACGTTCGAGTTGATGTTCACCTTCGAGGGTTTCTCGGGCATCGGAGGCAACGGTCTCGAGGAGCCGACCGAGCACTGGGAGTTCGTTCTTGCCTTCTTTCTTCCGGGGCCCTTCTGCTGGGTCTGGTGGACATGGTACTGCGTGTCAGGCTCCGAGCTGCCTTTTTGCGCCGCCAGACCTTCGCTGTGCTCCTGCACAGGCTCTTGTACCGCCGCTAGCGGCACCTGCTGCTGCTCCTGGCTGGCTGCAAGCAGCCGGGACTCTGTCCGGATCGGCAAGCTCTGGTTCTGGTGTCTGTGGTCGTCCAAGATCGACTCGCCGCTGATGGTCGAGTGCACGGAAGGCTCGTCGTTCGAGGAGGACACGGAGATGGAGGACTCGGATGATGCCGAGTTGCTCGTGGAGTTTGTCATGGTCATAGTTGGGGCTCTGTTCTGTGGTTGTTTTGTTTGGGAACGACAGAGAACGAGATCAGGGTGGGTCACTTTTTACAGGCATGAATTCGCAGCAAATGGGCGTGTGCTGATGCCGGTGTCACTACTGTTTGTTTCACGTTGGTTAGGCCTGTGACTAGCTACAATAACTCGTCATCGAGCACCGCACAGCACCCGAAGAACAAGAGCAAGCAAAGGAAGCACAAGAACAGAGCCTCAGACGATAAGAGGGGGCCACCCGGCTCTGTCGAGCAGAGCAAGGCTCCCAGAAAATTTTCATCCTCAGCCTCCCATCCCCTAATTTGGCACATGGGCCACTTACCGGTGCCCGCCACCAAAATTTTCCGAGCACGTTTGCAGCGCAGGCGCCCCGCGCCCCGCCCCGCTTTTCAACCGTTGGCTGCCAGTTTGGGACGCTGCTTCTCGGAGTTGGTGTTGAGGAAAAGACCGTCTGAAAAGAAAAGGGAGGTTGCCGACACCGTAGATGGAACGCAAAGCCACCTCCACGGCTAAGGTACAGTGGATAAATGGATGAAAAGTTTGCAGCTAGGCTATCTGAGAAACTACAATCGATACTGAAACCGCACAATACAGCATAGCGCCATCCAAAGATATTTTTAAGGGTAGCTTAACGATTATTATTGATATCTAACGACCATGTTATTTAGAAATCCATGTAATCTTGCCATAAACAAAGATCACCAAGGTGACGTGCTGCGACGTTCTTTTTGTTGTATCATTTCACACGTGTAATGGTATACGGGTAGCAGAAGGGGCCTCTGCCTCTAGTAGAGGTTCTCTGCGTTGTGGACGACGCAGCCTGGGGCGCCGTCCTTGCGCTGCACAAGCTCGCCGATCCGGTAGACGGTTTCTCCGGCATGCTCGAGATTGGCAGTCACTTGCTCGACGTTTTCGGCCTTTACGATGACGACCATTCCGACACCGAGGTTGAGGGTCTTGAGAATGTCTTCAATCGGCACACCGCCTTGCTTTCCAAGCCATTTGAAGATGGCAGGAACCTCCCACCTGCTGATGTCGATCGTGGCGGCAAGATGTTTTGGAAGCGCTCTAGGCACGTTCTCGACGAGACCACCGCCTGTGATGTGCGACAAGCCGAGGATAAGGTTCTGCTTTGTCGAAGGGAGAAGCTGCTTCACGTATATCCGCGTAGGAACGAGCACTTCCTCGCCGATCGTCCGGCTTGGGTTCCATGGGGCCTTGTCGGTGTATTCGTATTCCGTGGAAGAGATGATCTTTCTGATCAAGGAGAAGCCATTAGAGTGAACCCCATCGGAGGCAAGGCCAAGCAAAACGTCGCCAGCCTTCATCTCGTCAAACTTCGGCAAAATCTCCTTCTTGAGCACCGCACCCACAGCAGTACCGTTTGTGTCGTAGTGGCCTGCTTCGTACATACCAGGCATCTCACTCGTCTCTCCTCCGACTAACGCACATCCGGCAAGCTTACAGCCGTTGGCAACACCTTCCACAAACTGTGCGGCAACGTTGATGTCCAAGTGGCCAGTGGCAAAGTAGTCCAAGAACATTAACGGCTCAGCACCCTGGACGACCAAATCGTTGACGTTCATTGCCACGAGGTCTATACCAACAGTGTTGTGGATGTCCATTATCTGGGCAACTCTAAGCTTGGTTCCGACACCATCGGTGGCGGCAACCAATATGGTTTCGTCGATGTCGTCAAAACCAGCCTTCTTTAACTCGAAGAGACCACCGAAACCACCGATTTCGGAATCTGCACCCGGTCTAGCGGTGGCTTTCACCATCTTCTTGATGTTTTCAACCAACTGGTTACCAGCGTCAACACTGACACCAGCATCTTCGTATGTGACACTAATCTTTTTGCTCTTGCCAGCGTCTTTGAACGCTCTGTAGGCAATGTCTTTTCTGTTGTACTTACCGTTGAAGGAGACGTGATCAACACCGACATATGCCTTCTTCACTGCGTCCTCCAAAGAGTCGGCAATAGCAGTGGCAGCAATGACTCTGCCTCCAGCCGTCACAACCTTACCGTTGCTCAACTTAGTACCTGCTTGGAAAATGAAGGTGTCATCAGCAAGGGATGCAGAGTCAATGGTGATCTCATCTCCCTTCTTGTAGCTCTCAGGGTAACCCCCTGCAGCCATTACCACCGTGGTGGCAGATTTGCCAGAATAGATTTCGAAAGCAACAGAATCAAGTCTGTGCTCAACGGTTGCAAGGAAAAGTTCCAACAAATCGCTCTTTAACAACGGAAGAACGGTTTGTGTCTCTGGGTCACCAAATCTAACATTGTATTCTAAAACTTTTGGCTCGCCGGAAGGTGTTACCATGATACCAACAAACAGACAACCGACAAATGGGTATCCTTCCTTTCTCATACCATCAATGGATGGCTTCAAAACAGTGGTTTCAATTTTGGAAAGCAATGAACGAGTTGCTATAGTTGCAGGGGCATACGCACCCATACCACCAGTGTTCAATCCAGTGTCACCATCGCCAATTCTCTTGTGGTCTTGGGCAGGTGGGAAATAGACGTAGGAGTAGCCGTCACTTACACATAGAATGGACAACTCGTCACCTTCCAAGTACTCTTCGATGACAACCTCATTTCCGGCATCGCCAAAAGCCCTGTCAACCATGATTTCCTTGATTGCATCTAGCGCCTCTTCAGTGGTTTCCGGAATCAAAACACCCTTGCCTGCGGCAATACCGGATGCTTTGATGACGAGTCTTGTCTTTGCGCTCAAGACATAGGCCTTGGCCTTTTCGTAATCGGTAAAATTTTCGTAGCTTGCGGTAGGAATGTCACACTTCTTCATGAAGTCCTTTGAAAAAGCCTTAGAGCCTTCCATGCGTGCAGCTGATGCTGATGGGCCAAAGACTGGAATCCCGACAGCTTTGAAGGCATCGGAAATACCGTCGACTAATGGTTGTTCTGGGCCTGGAACAACTAATGCGACACTCTGTTCAACTGCAAACTTGACAAGTTCCGGGAAATGTTCTGGGGAAGAGCCAATTGGAACAGAGGTAACGTTCTTCATTGTTTCAGTTCCTCCATTGCCAGGTGCAACGAAGATCTCTCCCGCTAGGGGTGACTGTGAAAGCTTCCATGCCAAAGCATGTTCACGGCCTCCGTTACCAACGACTAAAACATTAATTTTACCCGCCATTTTGCACTTGTTTGATGTGTTCTTCAATAGTCCTTTCCGATTTAGAACTGGAGTTGTTGCCAGTCAAAAGACAGCAGAAAAGGATCGATTGTCATTATTATCGTTCCAATCTTGCAACTATCTACCGGATCCATGCTTCGATAGTGAGGAAAAAAATTTTGCGGCATGCTTTATTATTTTACTTATATATATTTTTTTTTTACATTATCTAGTCCGAGTCAGCACAAAATTGGATCCGTGACTCTGAAATTCACGGCTATCAAAATTTATTTGGGACGATCGGCCCAAACATCTCCGAATCTTCAAATATTTTTACCCAGTCTATTAGTTAAGCTATATCTATTTATCTATACATTCTCCTGATAATAATTACAGCTTCATTGCCATGGCATGGGAGTGTTTGCTTCCGCTCCCGGTTGCGTTGGCATTCACGTTCCCAGCACTTTTCTTACTTTTCCGATTGCCTTGGGAACCTCCGTTTTTCCTGAAATTGTTTCCTCTACCTCCTCGTCTGCCCCTGCCGGCAGACCTGCCAGATCTGCGGCCTGTTTCGGCACCTTGGAAAAACCTTGACGTCGTCGTACTGCATCCTGACATGGTTGCCGAGTCCTCCGTTATATCGAGTACCTCATTACTCTCGTAGAAATCATAGGCTTCAGAAGAGGTCAAATTTAAGGTTCCAAACAATAGCATTCTTTTATCTCTCAACTGGTTGATCTTCTTAGTAAAATGAGGCAAATATTTTTCTTGGTCCCGTTTGAAATCTTCTAACTGCTTGTATACTACCACATTTTTGGGTAGCTTAAGTGACAGATCCTTTAACATCGTATCCGATGCTAAAGTGGCTTCCTTATTGAGCCCGAGCCTGGTAGAAATCAAATTTCTTTCTCTCCTCAATTCCTGGTAGCATTCGTTCAGGTGACTTTTTTTCGCCGGATCTGTCAAGGACAGAATATCAAGGTTAATTCCCTTTGCGGAAACACCTGCCATAATGCCATTTCCAGTAAAGTTTTTGCCCGGCTCTCTATCACTATTGTTAGCAAAAGAGTTTCTTGTGTTCCCACTCCAAAGTTCGGAGCTGGGGCGGAAAGATGATTGACGAGCCAAAGGAGCTGGATTTTTTGCCAGTCTACCCTTTCCTGATTTTTTGTTAGTAAATTCCATCATGATTTTTTCTTTGTTATCCAAAAGCCTCCTTGCCTTTTGTCCAGGATACACATAATTGGAAGAAAAACGACCACCCGTCATGAGTGATTTTTCTTGGATGTAATCATTGTAAACTAGGTGGAAGAAAACTCTTTCAACATCGGTTTTACTCAGATCCCTACCAGCACCATGATGAATGCTTTTATCGTATCCACCACTGACAATTTTAGCATACTTAGCGCCTTTGATTATATCTTGACATAGGAGCATAGTCACCTTTCTCTGAGAGATTTCCTTCACTAGACTAACACACGCGTGGGCCAGTTTTGTCATATCTTTGACAGTCACTTCGACGTTGTCTAACTCCTGGCAATTGTCACACTGTTTCAAACACTCTTTTCTCTCGAAGCGTTCATTGAAGTATTGTAGAACCAGCTGTCTTCGACAGTCTATATGATTTTCGCAATATTGAATGACCTGTTTCAGCTTATGAGTGTGATTCTCCTTGCTTTGAGCATCCAAATCACGATCTTTCTTGATCAATCCTTGCAAAGTTCGGGCATCTTTCATACTATAGAACATGATACAATCGGAGTGTTGGCCGTCTCTTCCAGCTCTTCCTGTTTCTTGGTAATAACCTTCCAGATTCCTAGGAATAGTCAGATGAATGACAAATCTCACATCCCCCTTATCAATGCCCATACCAAACGCAACAGTTGCAGCAATTACTTTGACCTTTCCTTCCTGCCAGTCCTTTTGAACTTGAGTCCTATCGTTGGTTTCCATTCCGGCATGATAAAATTGACAAGCTATGCCAAATTCACAAAGTCTCTGTGCGGTAACTTCACATGAATTTTTAGAGTGACAATATATAATTCCCGTCTGGCCCGAGTATTTGCTATTTATCATTGAAACAATATCTTCCATTACTGATCTCTCCTTGCTTAGAACCTCATAAAACAAGTTGGTTCTATTAAAACTTTGTTTATAGAATTTGGGTTCATTCAACCCAAGATGCTGAATGATGTCAGACCTGACAATCTCATTTGCTGTTGCAGTTAATGCCATCATTGGAATATCCGGATAATCTTCCTTGAAAAATTTTAACTCTTTATAATCAGGCCTGAAATCGTGACCCCAGGAAGAAACACAATGTGCTTCATCGATTACAATTCTAGCTAGCTTTCCATCACTGTAAAGTTTTGATATTGCTCTCCTGCATTGGCCACTCCGACTAATCATTTCGGGAGATAAATACATCAGATCAATGTAGCCGTTGATGAACAGATTATAGACATGTCTCCTCTCGTCTGCGGACATCTTTGAGTTCAGCATTGATGCCTTGATGTTCTTATGTTCCAGATGCGAGACCTGATCTTCCATCAAAGATATAAGTGGAGATATAACAATAGTAACACCAGAAGTCACGCCCGACTTAACAATAGCAGGTAGTTGATAGCACAAGGATTTACCACCACCAGTTGGCATTAAAACAAAAACATCATCACCTGCTAGTGTTGAGTTGATAGCGTTCAGCTGATTCTCTCGGAAAGATTGCAATTTGAAAACATTTTTCAAGGCTTTATATATTTCTCCCGTCCATTCATGTTTCCCATGGTATCCCCTGAAGTCGTCTTTGTTTGGATTTGTAAGTTCTTCCACATCCTCTTCTTCATCTTCTTTTGAGATTGTACTTTCAACGGTTGCCGAAGGAGGTGCCTCCAGATTTTTGATCAAATCTGCATCATTAATATCCCACAGAAAATCATCATCAAGATCGTCATCCACATTTTTTTCCTCAAAGTCGATTCCACGCTCTTTATCGAGCTGTGTAAAATAGTCTGTTCCGTTATTTATAATCATTATGTCATCGTCATCGTCGTCATCGTCGTTATCTTCCAACGCCTCATCATTTTCACGCTCATTTGTAAATGCTGGTTGAATGATGCCATTTGGCTCCTCATTATTCATATGAATCCCAAGCTGTGCATGATGTTCATCCGCTTTGTGTGTGCTGTGTGCGATGGACCATCCTTCGTTTTCTGTGCTCTTTTCAGCTTCATTTAAGCCATCAGATAAGCAAATCGGCTCTTTGTCTGGTAAATTATCTAATGCATCACTGAAAACTAACTTATCGTCCTCAATATCACTATCACATATGCATATTTCATCATCCAAAACCGCAGACTTGGAGGTGGTTGGTGGTTCATCAGGATCATCAATATTTTCTATCTCTGTGTTTCGCAATTGTACGATGTCTGAGTTATCAACATCTTCGATTTCATCAATTTCATTATCTGAGTTCCACTCTGGTTCTTTGTAAGAGTCATCAACAGAGACATCTCCATCATCATCGCTGACCACAAAGTTTCCCATCTCCTTTCTAATCTGAGTCTTGGTTTCTGGCTCTCCTTCACTTTCACAGTTGAAAGAATCCTCGATGTCATCTTCTTGGGTAGACCATACCGGAGGTGGGAGAACAGGCTGCAAAACTCTTGAAGGTCTCGAACGCCTGTCAACGTCCGAAGGAGGAATCATATCATTGTGCTTTTCATTACTGTTCAGAACACTGTGACTAATACTGGTGTTGGTGTTGGTTGTACAAGATGGTGAGGAGAGAAAGGTCGAGTTCGTATCTAGCCTTTTAGTTATCTTTGGATCTGAATTATGAATAATAATATCTGTATCGTCATCATCCTCGTCGTGGTTATCATCCTCATCAGATTCTACTTCTTTTTCCCTCTGCCTTTCCTTATCCGTTTCTCTAGCTGTGCTTACATTATCTTCCAAAATGCTGAAGGACTCATCCATGGGGATGTCGTGAATGTTTTGAGCGTTCTCAGAAGCAATTTTCGAGAATCCTTCTGAAAGGCGATCGTTCTGACTTGCCACATCTGCGTGGTTGGCGGTGTTTACAAAAGAGCCGTTGGTGTTGCTGTTATCGCTGTAAGTTAAAATGGTCTGTGTATTAGAAACAGCGGTTGATAAATTAATTTTGGGTATCTTTTGAGCTAGACGGGAGCATTTTGCTCTCAATTCTTGGTGTTTCGGATTAAATATTCTTCTTTTCTGCCGTTTGCAGTCTTCAGATAGCGAAGTTGATGTCTCTACTTTTATTCCAGACTCTAAGAAGTCATTAAAATGAGTCAGATGGTGGATGAGCTGAGATTGTTTTTGGCAAAGCTCTATGAGCTGTTCCATGGTGAATCTGTGCTCGTTTGGATCGCCATCAAGCGTATTTGGGTTGGATGCTAGTGGGGACCTTTCGCCAATGTCCTTCGAAAGAAGGATGTGGCTGGCTGAAAAGGAAGTCTTTTTGGAAACTTCGCTTGACTCCCGTTCGGCCAATATCGCCTCGACCTCTTCGTCGTCGGAAAAGACGTCGGTGTCATCAACCTCTGCTGTTCTCCGTTTGTTTGAAAAGTTGCTGCCCTGGCCTACTCCGGTGTCTTCTAGCTTCCTCTTCTGCGGTAGAGTGGGAGTGCTAGCTGCTGGAGCAGGATTTGCGGCTCGTGCAGGCGGCACGACGTCTTGGGTGAGATCGATGAACGTGTTTGCGGTGTTGCCAGTGGTGTTCGACCGTCGTTGCATCAGCTGCGTTATTTGTATCTGGCCACGGATCGACGTGGGAGGTGTGGCGGCGGCGGCGGCGGCGCTGTGAGACGTGTTTGCGTTGGCAAAGGCGTTGCCGTTGGAGTTCGGGTTGGCGTCCTGATTCACGCTCGGGCTCGACCTGGACTTCTCCTGTGCATCTGCATGCAGACTATGTCGCAGGGGCAAGGTAAGCTGCGTGAAGGTGGTTGTCGTGGTCCCCGTTCCAGCGACCGCAGAGGCGGCAGCAGTGGTGGAAGAAGACGCCAACGACGACGGTCCTGGCCTGTGGCTTCCTGGCAGAGTGTCCGCAGCTGTGCCGGCGCCCGTGGTGTTCCACCGCTGTGTCGGGCTGTCCCGTGCCAGCGGGGCCTTCCCTGCCGTCCGGTACTCCTGCTCCTGTCGGGACGTCAAGTCCGGCACGGCCAGATCGACCCGGGGCACGTAGGGCTTTGAGCTTCTGATCCATTCCAGCTGGGTCTTCAGGTTCCAAGTCGGGGGCATCAGGTTTATGTGGGAAAGGCGATGTCTATCTGTGTGTGTCCTGCTTCCTTCTGCTCTGGAGAAGAGGCTGTCTGCATTTCCGGAAGTTGTTTCAGCACCCCATCGGCACGTCGTGTGGAATGTGGTGCAAACAAACCCTGGCGATACATGTAGCCAGACGGTAGATACGACACAAACAGACGCGCCGCGCCGCCTTTGTTTTCGTTTTTTTTTTAGTTTTCCGATGCAACAGCGCCTGCAACGTCTGAGGTGACTTGCGGCTACAGCGGCCTACACACAGCGTTGTTTCCACACACGCACCTCAAGCCCGTGGCCCTGCCCATGACCAGCAAGTAAGCCTTTACTTGCAGTGTTCATGGAAAGGAGGCGTCAGGAACCAAAAAGTGTAGAGGGTAACGACACCAGCGTCAGGCGGCGATGCCAGATAAATCTGAGCCCTCGCCAGTCGACATACTTCTCATCAAAAATAAACGTAACAATAATGGAGCCCCCAACGGGGCCCCGATTTCAGTTGTTACACTGAAAAGAACAGATACTACACTTGATCTAAGCCAAAAGGCAAAGAGATCTTGCCAAATGAACCATTTCAAAAAGAGGGTAGTAGTAAAAAGAAGAAGGGGGAAGGGCGGCACCGCTACCTTTTATACTTTTTCCCCGTCGGCGCGGGCACTCAGCCCTCTTTGCCCCGCCGGCCGGGGCCCCGGTCTAGGCCCGGGGCTGGGCCGGCAGACTGCGGTGTTATGCTTTGCTGATGGGCGGGCAGCCCGTGCCTGTGCCGGGGGGCCTGTGCCAATGCTGACGGGTCTGAAAGGCTGCCGGGGTGGTGTTGGCTTTGGGTAACTCAATGTCGGAAGGGTGCCAGTAGCAACCGCAAAAGTAGCAGCAGCAAGACAATTATCGTTTCCAATATAATCCGAGAGGAGACACAAAGAGAGAACTAGGGTTGTAACAGCTGCAGCGTTACCGAACACATACACACAGGTACACAAACAAATACACTCGCTCACCGCAAACACATACACAAACACACAAACACACAAACACACAGCATGAAGCTCTGTATTCCATCAGGAAGGCCGATGCGGAGGGTGCTGGTGCTTGGCGGGCTGGTGTTGATAGCGGTGGTCTTGCTTGTGTGCATTCCGGAGAGGACGGCTTCATCGCTGGCGCCGGAGATGAAGCTCCACCAGTTCGGTCTGGTTAGCGAGGACGGCGTCATCGAAACGGACAAGATTGAGAAGGTAGACAAGGCCGCCCTCGAGCTCGAGCAGGACCGCCTGCGGCGTAAGAAGGAGTCCGAGAGAGAGGTGCTGGAGCGGGAAAACGCCAAGAGCGAGGCCCGGAGCAGGCGCAGACTCGACCGCCAGCGCAAGGCGAAGCAGCGCAAGAAGGAGCTTGGGGCGAAGAACGGTCGCCGCAAGGCCAAGGTTGGCAACGTCGAGCTGGTCGGCTATAACGCCGTCCGGGCAGAAGATCGGCGGAACGTCGCCGTTGTAGCTGACGACAACAGCGACGACGGCAGTGGCGATGCCGCCACCTCCGGCTTCGGCACCAAGGTCGATGACTTCATCCAGAACGGCGAGCAAGACTCGGACCTCGCAGGCATGTCCGACCGGGTCAAGCAAGTCTTCCTCCGCAAGGTTGCCACCCGCAAGCTGCAGACGGAGGGCCAGGCATGAGCTCCTCTCCTCGCAAACGCATTTTCTCCTTCGCACATTCCACCGCATCATCAACACATTGTATAATATATGTAAATAGAAGATACATATACACTCTCGAGAAACAAAATCTAACGAAACAATAAGTTAGACTCAACCCCGGCTCTTCCTCTGTTTTCTACGCTTCCCCACAATGCCGGAGTCCTGCAACAGCGTGCGTGTCGCGGCTCATCTTGTGCGTCCCTCTTCCAGCACATGGTCACGTGCCATTAGTAGACTTTTTCGAGCCACACTCCCGACCCCGTCGGCGCATCTGCGCTTCTTCGGGGACACTGCCAGAAGACGATAAGCCAGCTGCAACACGAGCAGATCCAGCAAGGGATTCCCCATTGCTGGATGTTATAGTAACGGATGCGTTGGAAGTGCAGTGCAGTGCAGTGTCGACTGTTGTGAGAAGAAGAAAAAGAAAAAGCAGACAGCAGTAGTACGACAACGAACACGACACTACAGCAACAATGGTAGATAGAGGTGTGCCGATGCAGGCCAGCAGCTCCCAGTACGACTCGGTGAGCTCGGAGGTTGATCCTTTTTTTCCTGCTGAAGACGACTCTATTGTCGAACCCCTTGACAGAGAGGAGACTGAAAGTCTGCTAGGACCCATGAGCGTCAAGAACCCGAAATCGTGGGTGAACTTTGGGTCACTTCTCCTAGAAAATACCGGGTCGGTTGCCCGTGACCACTTGGCCTCCGAGCGGACCTTTCTTGCGTGGCTTCGGACCTCATTGAGCTTGGCGTCCGTCGGCGTTGGCGTCACACAGTTGTTGAAGTTGAGCAGCAGCAACGGTGAGTCTAAGATGCTTCTGCGCATGAGTAAAGGCTTAGGGTTGTCATTCATCCTCATCGCCGCAATGACTTTGGCGATTGGGACGTCCCGGTATTTTGTGATCCAGCGACTGCTTACCGTGGACGAGTTCCCGGCAAGCAGGTTGGGGGTCGGATTCGTCCTCCTCTCAGTCTTGGTCTTGTGCATAGCCATCTTTGTTATCGTCATGACCATTTAGTGTTCTCTTTTCCTATATAAGAAATCAGCAATGAATTCAGCATCATGAACTTGAAGTACAGTTCAACTTCAGCCTTAGCTTTTCGGCTTCAAAGCTATTCCTTCTCCTTCTACGTGCTTTTTTATAGAATGTCCATAGTATGTAGCCTTAATCAACACTTCATCTAGGATACTATTATTCTTACTAAATCTTTGAAATAAGCAGAGATTAAACATTATCAAAGATCTTTTAAGGAGATCACTAATAAATTTGTACAGCAATCTTGAAAGTCTCCGATAGAATTCAGGCAGAAAAAGATTCAACCATTAAGTAAGGCTGTTATTCGACGTTTTAATACCTAGTTGGTGCGAAGTGTTAACGTCTATTCATTCTTGATGGAATATCCATTTCTTATGGTATATAATATCTTATGTTTGTTGCTTATTCATATAGAACTATCATAACTTACTTACAAACTAATACCTCAAACATGGATACAAGAGATAAGACTTTTGTTTTTGAATGCTCATCACATCGGTATACCTTTCTAGTTTTAGATTAATCTAATACCTTGTCTTTATAAGGATCATTTTTATCTAGCGATGCCTTATTCTCATCTTATCTTCTATCTCTATTGTCTGTCTATATAGCTCATCTCAACATACACAACATTGCTTATATACAGACCCTTATCGGCTTCGGCATCGTGTTTCAGCACGAAGTTACAATTTCTAATAGGTTTACTACTTTTGATGCCCCAGGAATGGTCCATTTCTGAACAAAGAAAGGAGACCAACAACAGTAACAATATCTTGAAAAGATGAATGTTTTATACTATTGGCTAGCCAACATTAGGTACTACCATATTATTTTGGGTAGTATATCTTCCGAGATAGTTTAGTGGCTAGAATTTCCGCTTGTCACGCGGGGGACCGGGGTTCAATTCCCCGTCTCGGAGTATTTTTTGGTGAGCATTAAATAGTTTTTTCTTCTCTTTGCAGTACTTTCCCCCCTACACTCTGGACCAAGACCAGCAAGGAACAAACAGATAACCACTTAAATTCAAATAACAAGACTTTATTATCAACTAGGAGTATACAGCACTCAAGATTATTTTATTATACATCACACTCGGTAAAATGTTACACTAAGCAAAGCATCGCACCAAGCCTTTGCATGCATGCTCAAGAAAAAAAAATTGACGAAACATGAAATGAAAATTTGTGATTATTTACTCCCGGATAATAAAATCTAGTTTTGAGCTTACTATCAACTGCTAAGTTAATTTCACACTGCAAGCTTTAAATATGGTTTTATCTGTAGCTGAAAGTGCATTTATATATGACTCCCTGGTGGCTAGTCATCCAATTAGACCAGATTCAAGAAAGCCAACCCAATACAGACCATTAAAAGCCAACTGTGGATTTTTACCGAACTCAAATGGCTCGTCACGTATATACAATTCTGATGGTACAGAATGCATCTCAAGTGTGAAGGCAAAGGTAATTCGGTCTAGTGAGATTTCCGACTTGATTAACGTGGAAATAAATATATTCGGTGAAAAAGACAATACTACTCTATGTCAACATCTTACAACCCTGATAAAGGATTCTCTTATAGACAGCTTCGATTTTAGTGTTTTGAAATTAACAGACAAATATTATTTTCAGCTTTATATTGATATCTCCATATTGTATCTTCCAGAGGACTTCCGCTACTCATCATATACTCTATACTCCATCCTTTCTTTAATATCGATGGGTGTTTACATTGCACTTAAATCAGCTAAGCTACCCCTATTGATATCAGACAAAAAGGATTTTGAGGTAGAAGAAGAGCCCACCTTTTCAGATGATTGGGAAGTATCCGCTTTTCTTATTCCAAGAAACGCAAAACGCTCTTTTCAACCTGCTCTTATATTCATCGTTGGATTAGCTGGAAACACGGTTATAATAGATCCTTCGTTAGAAGAAGAACAAGTTCTGGAACACGGTATATGTGTTACTTGGTCAAATTCAAAAGTAAGTGCTCCTGTGCAATCATTGGCTCTTTCAACAACAAACAATAAGGGTTTAAAACCGCAAATGATTTTGAAAGCCATGGATTTAGTGAAAATTGTTGCAAGTGAGGTTGGTGACGCATTGGATCTTATTGCGGAACAAGATATTGACGAATTCGATGCTGTATTCTAATCTTCAAATATACATATATATTATCTATGTACAAATATTTTCAAACGAGCTAAACGTAATTAATTATTAGCAATGCTGAGAGGAATATGCATGGACAATAACAGCAGTTGCAGTCTGAATATTCATCGATCTGACAATACCTACTTGTTTGATAATGACGCACATATCCAATTCAGCCAATAAATCACCTGGGATACCTTCCTTTTCCTTTCCTAGTAATATCAGTGACTTTTCAGGGAATTTAAGGTCACCGTTTAACTCCACAGATTTATCAGTTTGCTCTAAACCAATCAGAGTATATCCTTCCTTTTTCTTTAATCTCATGAAATCAATGATATCTTGAATTTTTACTTCGATTAAAGGCATCCATCTATCAGCGGTAACCGCAACACTTTTGAACTCTGAATTGTTTTTGACTGTTAAATCGTCAACGGCCATCCATCCTGCTCCCAAACAGTCACATAGTCTGCAAATACCTCCAAGATTAGGCGCCTTATCAACCAACGATGATACGACGATCAAAGGCGATCTTTTTATTTGAGCTGCTGCCCGAACATTCTCATCAAGTTCCATAACTGTGGACCAAGCGCCACTTTTCGTTTGCAATAAAGATGATTTTTCATTTTCGTTATCAGCATCTGCGTAAAAGCTTTCTAACTTCACTTGTTCCTTTCTGTCACAAGCGATCCATAACTCTTTTTCATCATGACCAATTGGGAGCCTTAAAATAGATTTTTGTTTCTCAGTTAGATAGTTTTCGTAATCTGCTTGATAAATAGCATCAATGACTCTATCACATACCTTCAACAATAAACCACCAGTGATAGAAACCAAGTTGCAATCTTTTGTGATATCCCAAAGTATTGCATCACCACTACGGTACGAGCCATAACCTTCAGCCTTATGTGCAATCTCGTGAATCTTCTTCAATGAGTTTTTCATTAAGGGTGGGAAATCGATTTCCCGAGAAACTATTTGATCATAAATGAGGCATGCCATACTGCTGGAAAAATGCCTATTAAGTGCACGATTTGAGGACGAAGTTGGTATAATGACATCTGCAACAAATTGAGTTAAAAATTTTGTTTCTTCCTCTTTTGGCAGTTGCATCGAAATCAACATGGAGATACGTTCGAAGCTGACAACAACCAATGGTTGTTGTGCTTCAAAACCTTCTTTCAAGGTGCCAAACACATCTTCTTTAAAAGCAGGCATACGTATAATGGTCAAACATAGCAACCATTCAATATAGGCACGACACAATGGTGAAGCTTCTTTGAATAATCTTGGCAGTAAATGATTTTTCATGTAAGGCAAGAGTTCGGATGGTTTAAGTACACCATGGGTTGAAGTCAGCAATGAAAGCAATTGGATACGTTTCCATTGTTCTTCGTGCCCTGTACGTTTCTTAGGCCTTATTAGGTGAAACATACTGTCATTCTCAAATATGAACTTCCAAATTTCAGATGAAAAGGTTTCAGCTTTCAAAGAGGCGGCTACTGCAAAAATATTAGCACGGTAACTCACTTCAGGATCACCATAGACTGTAGTGTATAATGACTCACCTGATATGTTCAAGAATTTATCAAATTTTTGAGCAATGGTACAATCGAGTTGGAAAATATTAAGCTCACTTTGGAAAACGAATACCCCCTTAACCAATAGTCGTGCCAACCATAAAGTTTTTTCGAAATTTTCTTCCTCGCTGACCTGATAGTCAGACACAGCTTTGAACATACAGGGCAATAAACCTTTTCTACTAGAGGAGTTTTCAATAACCTGCTCTAAGATTGTAAGCAAGGATTCTGCCAAGTCTTTTTGATTTATTGAAAAAACCAATAATTTTTTGTGCAAAACCAATCTGATAAATGCTTGATGTAAATCACGCTGGTTCAGAACCAATCTATCCTTAACAAGATCGTCCCAAATCAGACGTAAGCTTGACACTATGGAACTAGCTTCACCTACCGTCAAAATTTTGCCCTGATCAGATGAATCGAGAAACTCGGCAATCATCCTAACATTAGATAAATGTGAATGGTATTCAGACATTGAGATCACATCATTAGCTAAATTTAAAACACCATTTTTGAAGTTTTCATCAAAGACAGATATCTTAAATAGAGAGGTGATGTTCTGTAAGATGAGAGAAATCAACTCATCCTTGGCTTTATAAAATCTTGTATCACTTCCCCTTGGAACCTTTTGTAAAGCATTATTGAGTAATAATTTCAGCGAGTCGAAAGATATTGCAAAGGTCTCATTGTAGATACATTTACCAAAACAAACAGTAATGAATTTGAACTGCGCAATAAGGTAGTATGCTTCTTCCATATTATCCACGTTAATTAAAGAATTCGAAACTTCACTGAACAATGAATTTAATGGCATACTTTCCCAAAATTGACTTGAGAATAAAAAAGAGTTTCTGAACAATGCCTGACAGTCTGAGTAGATTGAGATGTCAAACTTCTTCGAACCAATCGCCATCTCTTCTACAAAACGCTCGATGCAAGATATTATCAATGGGTTTTTCCATATTGGTAGTAAATCAAGACCGCATACTGCCATTTGGATTAAAACTTCGTGATTTTTAGGATGGGATAATAGAGACGGAGTAATCATAGATACATCTGTTTTTTTTGACAATAAATATGATGAAATGACAATAAATTCTTCGGGAGAAAGAATATGAGTATTGTTTGTTAACAATTCTACGAATTCATTCTTGCCAAAATTCGCATTAAAGTAGTCCAAGAAAAACTCCTCATTCTCTGCATATAAGCTAAACCCATTGTTTTGAATAAAATATACTAGTGCATGAAGATAACTTCTCAAATTAACAGAGGCTGGGTCAAGATGAAGCAAAATTCTCAGGTGTATTGTCTGCAAAGTTGTTTTCGAAATGTTTCCTTCCGCCATAGTTTCAAAAAGCGGCAACAGAGATGGAAGGATTGATGACTCAAGAACTAGATTTCCCTTTTTTTGTAAGCCGTTCAAAACACCCCAAACTATATAGATACGAGCAATACCGAATGTCAGTCTATTTTCGCTAATAACGTCAAAGATCAAACTGACTAGCTTCGTGATATCAAGTGAGTTACTGAGCGATTCCACACAATTGCTAATAAATTCAGTAATTTTCTCACCAAATTGACAGCTGTAATTACCATCCATACTCTTGAATACTGTAAAGTGAAATGATTTCATGGTGAATGGTAAAAAGACATGCGAAATAAACTTGAAATCATTTTTGAACAAACTTAGACTTTCTTTAGGTAAACTAAAAGTTAAGTTCAAAGCAAAGCTTTTTATGCGGTCCATTGATGCCTTGAAACCAACCGAAAGGATAGTCAACGAAAAAGGCACTGGAATATCAGAATCCGGTGCAAAAACATTCAACAAATCATTAGAGGCAGCTTGGACTTGGTTCATTGCTGCATCAATTCCTAAAATTTCATATAGAGTACAAAATCTCTTCCAACTTTCAACATACTCTGTCTCTCTGGCACAATCCCATTTTATGATAGGCAATGATAAATTTGTTGCTAATGACTGAATGGAAAGTTGTATCAAAGTTAATGCAAACTTTTTGTGTTCGTGGGTAAGACTAATTAAACCATCTCTAAGAAAAAGCCAATATTTTTCTTTTGAGAGGACAAGCTGAAATCCTTGGTTATTTTTCAAGTTTGCAGGTTTGAAAAAGTTAAAATATCTAAGCCATAAGATATAACCGTAAGAAATTTCTGTCTTATCTCCGGACGCTTCAAGGAGAAATATAACTTTCCATAAAAATGTAGAGGACTCATCAGTTTGACAAACAGAAGGCATTCTCCATTTCAAAACCTTGGAAGAAGTCTTTGAAATGTCTATTTCTTCGTTTGTGAGATACATGAAACACAATCGATCTAGAGTGTTATCATAGTATTTCTCCGAAAAAAACTCGTTGTTAATTAAATACCAATCTGTGAATTTTAATAAATTTAGGATGAAACCCGATGAAAGATCGTAATCTTTGTCTCTTCCAAAATCTAACTCGAGGTTTTTTACAAAATTGTCATCAAAATGCCTAGGATAAGTTGTAAGATATAATTTCAGCTTTTCTACGACATAGGCCATCAGCTTGATTGGAAGCTGTTTTATTTTCAGTGAAAGTTTCAAAATCGAGTGAAAGTGAAGCGAAGAATCCTCAAAGTTCAGAATACCTACGGCATAATCATATGCAAAATCTTGTACTTCACCTTCTAACTGAGGAGATTGGTCAAGTAGTGCACACAATGTATCGATGTAAGTGTTTTCACTATCATTTTCTTGAATTTCTTTCAAATGCTTTAGGATATCGTCAACAATGATTTGTTGTTGATTAGCTGTCAAATGTTCAAGAACTAGTGTAAGTGATGACGACATAGCTAAAGCTTACTACGTCTCCCCTTTGGTATTCCGTAATTGTAGTGCTATTATTACTTCAATGACGGTACTTGCAGGTTTTACCAGCAAGATGAAAAAGAGCCAAGAAAAAAAATGTAGTCAACACACCAGTGCACCATAATAGTTCGGAGTTTATCAAAGTAGGAATGGCTTGAATTCCTTATTCTATTTAGCACTGTTCAAAGATGCTTGAAGCATGTTATTCTCAAATTGCAACTCGAGAATATGATCATTGATTACATTTATAGTCTTCTTGCTCATTGCCATTTCCTCCTGAAGTTTGGTATATCTGTCTTCTAGCTTTTTATACAACTCCCGGATTGATTCCTTGTCCTTCTTTGCAGTTCCAAACGCTACTATCAAGTCGTTGTTCACAGTCTCCTTTTCTTTCAATATTTTATGGTTGAGATCAAGTTGTATATTCATATCTTTTATCTTAGAAAGTGCCCTGTCAAGATCTATTGCAAAGTTGTCCGATTTTAGCTCCTCACATCTAGCTCTGTATTTCTCAATTCTTTCACTCATGTACAAAACTTCACAACATCAGAATATCCGGCTTTTTGCCCTCAAATCAAAAGCTCCAGTTTGTTAGTAATCACCATCACGCTTATCTAAAAGCAATTGTATAAAAATCAGAAGCAGAGACTTTTGGGAAATTAAAGTAGTCACTTTTACGTACGTGTATCGGAGCAGCCATTGCTATGCTGAAATTCATCACGTTCTGCCAATCTTTCGAGGAAAGTTTGCTTCCAGTCTTTCATTTAGAATAATAGACTTCAGTTTTGATATTCTTAGTAGTTATCCCAAGTGAATATCTGGTCTGGCACTCGAAAACTTGCTTTTGTCGTATGTGTTAGTGATGGGTGGCGAATTAGAGCGAACGCAGAGGCCTCCTATATTTTTGATTTACACAAACTTCGCCCCATCATGCCCTAAATGTTTGCACTTCGATGCATGATCCTGATAAGATGTATTTCCTCAACACTTAGGGCCGCAGCATTCAGGTAAGCATCAAAAGGGTCAATTACTGACTTGTAATTACTGGGCACTGCATACATTGGGTATCATCTTAGCGTCATCTAAACTAATTACTTTGCCTTGATAAGAGATAACACAATTATCTTCCATTTGCTGCATTTTTTTGTAAGCTGAGAAACCAGCAGTATTGAAAGGATGAATTCAAACATAGGTATAAACAAGGCTTTTCATGATGAGGGAACTTCAAGCGAAATTCCGACGCCAAATATGCCAACAGAAAAAGCCCACACAAGAGTAAAAGAGAATGGTTCTGTGACCAGTATAGAACCAGGCATTCCTGAAACGGAAAACATGCCATTAGTATCACCACCCTCTGGCCCTAGTTCAAAAGACATTTCAGACGAAAGCAATTTGAAATCTGTCAAAAAAGCGCATCCGAAGCCTGAAGTAAAGTCGAGTAATTCAACAGATAACAACGGTATTCTTCAAGGTAGTAGCTTGGGGAACGAAACAGGATACTTATGGGGATTGTGGAACGTATGGAGTCGTACTCAGAAAGTTGAGAAGGATAACAACGATTCTCCAGAACTGGAGCATTTTGAAGATAGACATAAAGAGATAGAACTAGGACCTTGCGAATCGAAGCCAGCCTTCGGCTCAGATAACACTTATGAGCACACAAATGCCAAAACTATTGCTGCTGAAGTGATAAATCCCAGCTTGATACCAGATAAAATACTGATTCAAAGCCCCACCACCGGTGTTGTGGAGCAAACCATCACATCAACAGAATCAGGAAATTTGCTCCCATCCTCAGATACTGAAGCAGGCAACGTTGATACCAATCCTGATGCAAATTTTATCTGGGATATAACTCGACGGGTCTCAAAGATTCCTTTCTTGCCACTTTCAGTGTCAAACCAGTTAAACATAGATGGTTTGGCGCCAAATAAATGTTCCCAAGTAACTGATAACGACCAGCAAACTGTATCTAGCGATACCAATGGGACTACCAACTCAGACTCACAAAGAGCTAACACAGGAGAAAACACAAAAATCGGTTCTTGGTGGGCTCCATGGAGATGGGAGTTCACAGCAAATAAGGATCTCGAAGAATCAGCCAGTGAATCGGGAACAGGGTTGATTGAGGATGAGCTTATGAAAGTTCAGAGAAAAGAGATTGCTAATCAAATCAAATGTCAATCTTACGGAATCCCGAAATCGATTACATGGGGTATTCTTCGTCAAAAAGATGAAGATTTTGGCCACGTCTACATTACAGGAAAATCTTACAAGAAACCGGTTTTAATGAAGAATTTTCCCACATCGGCGTTTGAGCTTCAGGAACAGCAATTAACTCCAAATTCGGACAATAACAAAAATAATCAAGCAAAAGTAGAATCTATTGTTTTGCCAGACATTGAATGGAATTATCGAAATTTGACCCTGCGGACTCGATGCAGAATTGCAATGTCAAAAGTTCCTGCATTAAAGAATATGTTTGCGCCCCAGTCTCATTTATACTATGATAGTCATATGAAGAAAAATCAATCATCGAAAAAGATTGAAAAAAAGGCTCTTATCATATCCTTTCATGGTTTCCTTCCTCAAAAGATTGTCAAAAACATTATAGGTGAGAGCACTGGATCATCACAGAGAATGGAAGAGCAAGCTGCAAAAGAGTTGAAAAGATGGTCAGATATCAACAACGTAGAACTAAACATTGAGACCATAAATCTCGAAGGATACGGCAAGCTTTTTGAAAGGGTTAATGAGTGTTTATCAATTTTGGAAAACTGGATTGAAAATATATCAAGCTGCGATTTCATACTAGCAGTTGCTAATTCACACAGTGTGCCTTTAGCGATTCATGTTATTGCTCGGTTAATTACCTCGGGATATCTTGACAAAACAGAAAAACTTGGTTTTATTGGACTGTCGGGTATTTGCATGGGACCAATTCCCGAAGTGGAAAGTAAAATCAGCATTCGTGGGAATGTTGGACAAGATGCTGATATTATAAGCGAGATTCTTGATCTAGAAGACCCTGATTCGCTACAAAGCAAAGAGTTGAGTCGAAATATGAAGGTCGTGATCAGGAAAAATTTTAAAGTTACATTTGTGGGGTCATTGAATGACTGCTTTTCACCAATATATTCCAGTTTGGGACTGCATTTGTTACACCCAAACATTTACCGGGCACTTTATATAGATGGCAGCCAACGTCAGCCTGATTTTTTGACTAGTCTCTTCAACTTGATACTAACAGTCAAAAATTTAAACTACAGTGATCATGGGCTTTTGATCGAGTTGAGTAATTTTTTCACCGGTCAAATTGGAGATGGACAGCATAGCAAAGTGCTGACAAACAAATATGCTTTTCGGATTGGAATCAGCAATATGCTGAATACGAGCGACTTGTTTTACCAGCAAAAAGTGGTGGAGGAGCTTACCAACATCAGAGAGTATACTACGAATAGTTACCATATACCTTGGTGTTTGAGAGGATTTTTGGAGGAGCTGGAAAAGCTGCAAAAGCACTTTGATGCTAAACAGATAATCGAACAGCTGTACGAAGAGTTCAAAAGCTGGGAACCTGAAACACAGAAGATGAAAGATCTACGGTATTGTATGTTGGCCTTTGAGAGTGTGATGAATGAGGATTTGGGATTGTAGACTACAATTCCATCAAAAAGATGTGACACCTGATTCTTTTCGTAATCGCTATGCTTTCGACTTTTCTGTACCAACCCTGTATATTTGTTTGAAAAGTACAGCCATTCAAATGAGCTTTTCTACCGTTGCCATGCGTGCAGTTGATAAGCATGTACAAGGGCCACCGGCTAAGGCTCTATAGCCGATCGTCGCAGGAACGCATTGTGCGCCGGCCCTGTTTGAAAAAAATCACGTCAGCGATCGAGATCAGAAAAGGGCACAGGCCACAGATCTTCTCTATCGAGGGCGGTGGAGCAGGAGAGCTGCGGAATTCCACCATGAATCAATATTGTTTCAATGTCATGTTTGTGATGTCTTTCCCTGAAACAACAGGTGCTAGGTGTTCCGCGTTCAGCAAACAAACAATAACGGTTGCCATAGTTTTTCAAACGTGTCAGGGTCACTCTCAATATTCTTCTGGTCGGCTGCTGAAGAACGCACCGTACATAGATCAATAACTTAGAAGCTTATCATTAGAAACCGAAACCCCCAACTTAGCTTTAGGTATCTGGAGTTGTCTTTTGCATCTTTCACTGTTGGTGAATCATCTGAAGTCAGAATACGGTATTGGTTTTTTTGATATTCTTTTCTGAAGAAAGTCATAGAGGGAGAACTAAAAGGGTTTTCAATCCCCATTTGAAGTCGTGCTCAGGAACGCAAGTCATAAACTACAGTCATGCCATTTATACCATTTTCATCAGCAAACTACAGATCTTCAACTTCGAGCTCATCATTTGATCAAGATGGATCGAATCCCATCCTAATTGGCGCTAACGCCAACAGTAATAACACGAATTCAAGCTCGAATGCCAACGGGAATGGAACTTCCAATAATAGTAGTAACAATAACAGCACAAACAACTCGCCTTTATTTCAACAAGGGTCCTTTCCTTTACGTAGAAAGACCTCTGTTGGAAACGCTCTTTTTAGCCTGGTCAACTCAATTAGACAACCAGCAATGAGCCAGTCGTCCAAGGTTCCGAGAAGGAATTCACAGTCCTCACACTCCCGCTCACGTTCTGCATCCATTCCACTATCAAAGCAAGCATCCAACCCCGGTAGTGATCGAGGCCATGAGAATAATAGCAGTGATGACTTAAACAGAGCACGAGAAGAGGTTGAGAGCGCCAACCCCTTTCCCATCAGCCTTGCGCCGGAGCTGATTCAGCGAATTGAAACAGAGGGTACCAGTACGAGGACGAATAATTCTGCTCCTGCTTCTCGAAAGGGTAATAAATCTGATCCGCAGCTAACCACGATTCTTAGTGGGGGTCATGCGGCTGCTGATCAAAATGGAGAAGAGGCAGAGTTAGGAGAAGAGGGAGAAGAAGAAAATAGGGGAGAAGTAAATGCGGAAGTGGTGCCGATGGCACAGGAAACCAGGGCAAATTCTGAGCTGAATGACTACAGGAGGTTAGGTTTCCAAGCCATGCGTACTTCTGGATCGTATTCCAGCAACAACTTAGATGAGAGTGTTCATAATCTGAACGAAATCCCAAGAAGTATCGATCATGATAGCTCCAACGATGGTACAAATCGCAATGCGAGCGCTAGCGGTAATACTAATTATGGAGAGAATGGTATCAGCATTACAAATGGAGATAACTCTGCACATAACATGTTCAACCCGGCGGCATACAATTACAGCATGGCTAATAGTCAAACCATCCCTAATTTTAGAATCTATGCCAATGGTGGGATAATAGGTGGAGATGAAAGTATCTCTGCAAATGGTATTAATAATGGCACTGGAAATGCTGTAATTGCTACGATCCAAGAGGATAATGGCCACACTACATCTGCTACCAACGACTTTATTGCTCCACCCAACAACACTCGGACTCGCGGGAACACACTGCGTGATGAACTTGTTCAGTATGAGCCTGTTGTCATGAACAGTGAAAACAACCATACTATGGGCACGGTAATCAACAATCCGATTACTATCGATGATTCACGAGATGACGTTGTATTAATTGATGCTGCCAATGGATCGCCTGCTATTTTATCTGAGGATGACCGTGCTATGCAAATCATTGGCACGCGAGGAGAAGAGCGGAGGGATCAAAGTATTGGTCCACATGAGAATAATAGAGACTTGAGGAATCGGGCGATTGGTGTGGTCGGCAATGAGGGGAGTGGACGTGGTTTGAATTCCGCTGGAGGGACGGAGACTGCTACAAATACCATGTATGCACAAACAACGATACAACAAGAGGAACGGGACCAAAGCAGCTGCGATCCAAATGGGTTCTACTCGATCAGGTTGACGCCATCGATTGACCACTCGTCGACACACCCATACATGTTTTTCGGGCCGATTGTGCGGAAGTTGAAGCCGGGAAAGGGTATATCTATTGGTAGATATACGGAGCGGAGCAAGAAGGCGGCGACTGCTGCGTCGGGGTCGTCAGAGCCTGTTGTGTTCAAGAGCAAGGTTGTTTCGCGTAAGCACGCAGAGCTTACGGTGGACGAGAGGGGCAGATGGTACATCCAGGACGTCAAGTCGTCGAGCGGAACGTTTTTGAACCACGTTCGGCTTTCCTTGCCCAACACGGTGAGTCCGAGGGTGTTTCTGAACGACTCGGACATTCTCCAGCTCGGCGTCGACTACCGAGGGGGCTCGGAGGAGATGTACCGGTGCGTGAAGGTGAAGATCGAGCTGAACTATTCGTGGAAAAAGCGGGCTGCTAAATTTAGCAAGGAGGCGCACGAGAAGTTGAAGCAGTTGACCAATGTGCTGGGAGGGAACAAGGAGGAGCTGACGCCCTGTGTGATCTGCTTGGACGATATCAAGCCGTGCCAGGCTGTTTTCATGAGCAGCTGCTCCCACTCGTGGCACTACAAGTGCATCAGGCCGTTGCTTGTCAAGACGTATCCGCAGTTCCTATGTCCGAACTGCAAGGCGGTGTGTGACTTGGAGGCCGAGCTCGAGGACGGGGACGACGATGCCGGCCCCAGCGATGACGTCGAGGACGATGGCGGAGTGGACGCGGTGGACGGGGCTGCACACAGTGCGCGCGCCGGCCTCGACCTCCGCCCAAACCCCAATGGCACCAGCGCCGGCAGCGGCAGCGGGGGCGACGATTACGGTAGCAGAAGGTATGAAGCTATGGACGAAGATCTCATGAGAGACGTTGAGGAAGCGGCGGCCATGGGAGCAGCCTTTTAGAGCATCTTTTGCGCCTCTTCCTGCAGCGGCGGCCGTGCGTGGGCTAATAGATCGCTGCGGTCGACAGGCACCCAATTAACGAAACGGGTAAGCAAGCACACCCGTAAGCAGGTAAGTAAGTAAATAAGTAAGTAAGCAAGCCAGCAGTGTGTACGTGTGTGTGTGCACCGGCTCGAGGGAGACCCGCCCTTTGCGCCTGCCCCCGCTATCCCTTCCCTGGGCCGGGCCTGCAACGGTCGCCGGCGGAGGCCCGCCGGCGACAAATCGCGGGGCGAGCAGGTGTCAGACGGGGCGCCCACGGGCCAATGGCGGCGCGTCGAGTGCGCTCGGGCATATCGTGGCAGAGGAGGCGCGGCGGGGGCCTTTGCGGCCGCGTGCCGCCGGCGGCCGGCGTAAGAGCGACATCTCCGAGCGGGCTGCAGTGCGATAAGCCGGCGGCCGGCACCCGAGAAGGGAGATTGTCGGTCTGTCAATGGCGCAGGGCCATTGTCCCTGCGGCGGGCATCCCACGGGCGCCGGCCGTTGAGGGCAGTTGGGGCCAAACTGATAGGGAGCAAACGGGCCGTGAGGATTGTCTGGCTGCCGCTGTCGGAGGCGGACCTGCGAATGGGCGATGGCTAGTGCTAAGAGGTAGGACAAGCGGCAATGGCGGCGAAAGTGGAGCCGGAAGTAGCAGTGGGAGCGTTCGAGCAATCAATTAAAGGATAATTAAGGTTGATTGTTTGTTCCGTGCAGTTCGGAGAGGCGGCAACAGTGCAGGCGACGGGACCGAGGACGTGTGGCAGGGTGGGGGCGTGCAGGCAGGAAGGTAGGGTTTTTCCATTGTCGGGAGGCTGTTTTTCCTCTCCGTGCCGGTGGCCTGTGATATGTGCGATGTGCTGTGTGCGGTGCAGAGCGGTATATATTGTCTGTCGGATGCTTCTCTAGAGGATTTTCCAGTTGGGTGTTGGTGGATAAAAGTGTGTCTCTTTCCTCTCTGGCTCTGGAGGTTCCCATTGCTGGACGATTTTTGCTGCTCTTTGTTTTTTTTCCCTCTGGCAGGAATAAGCACGAGGTTAGCGAGTAGACACATTCACCATGGCTGACGTCTTCAGTGTGCAGATTTTCTTCATTGTCTTCAGAGAAGCTCTAGAAGCCATCATTGTCATCTCGGTGCTTCTCGCGTTCGTGAAGCAGTCGATTGGCGAGGACAACAAGAAGCTAGGCCGGAAGATCAAGATCCAGATTTGGGTCGGGTCGATTCTGGGTGTCATCATCTGTCTCGGTATCGGTGGTGGTTTCATCGGTGCATACTACACGCTTGGTAACGATATTTGGGCCAACTCGGAGGATCTTTGGGAAGGTATTTTCTGTATCATCGCCACCGTCTTGATCTCCTTGATGGGGATTGCGATGGTCAGAATCAACAAGTTGCAGAGAAAGTGGAGAATCAAGATCGCTAGAGCCATTGTGACTCCTCCAGCCAAGAGAGCCGACCGTTTCAAGATCGGCTACTTGCTCAAGAAGTACTCCATGTTCATTTTGCCTTTCATCACCACCTTGAGAGAAGGTTTGGAAGCCGTGGTCTTTGTCGGTGGTGTTGGTATCTCGGAAACATCTGCCAGAGCTTTCCCATTGCCCGTTGTCATGGGTATCATCGCTGGGCTTGCCGTCGGTTGCTTCTTGTACTACGGTGGTTCTGTCGTCTCCTTGCAGGTTTTCCTCTGTGTTTCTACCGCCATCTTATACCTAATTGCTGCCGGCTTGTTCTCCAGAGGTGTCTGGGATTTCGAGCAAAATTTGTACAGTCGTCAAACAGGCGGTGACGCTGCCGAAAACGGATCCGGTCCAGGTACCTACAACATCCACAAGACTGTGTGGCACGTCAACTGCTGCAACCCAGAAATTGACGAAGGTTGGGATGTTTTCAACTCCTTGTTGGGATGGCAAAACACCGCCACTTACGGCTCTATCATTTCCTACAACTGCTACTGGCTCTTTGTCATCGTCATGCTATCCTTGATGTTGTTCGAGGAGAAACACGGACACTTACCTCTCCTCAAGATTGGTTTCAGACAACTGAACCCAATGTACTACATCAAGAACAAGAAGAAGGACGAGTTGACTGCCGAAGAAGAAGAAGAATTGTTCCACAAAGCAAAGGCTCAAATTAAGGGCCACGCTAAAGAGGAAGAATTGGCCGAGGCTCATGAAGCGACCGACTTGAGCAGCTCCACTAACGTCTATTAGATCATCTGCTTGGAATCGTTCTGAAATCCAAACTTAGAGCCAGAGCCAAAGCCAGAACAAGAACCAGAAGCATATATAGACACTACTCTCGTCGTTAATTTCTTATTTACTCTACTTCGTTTTCATTATTTCGTTTCTCCCTTTCTTACTTTTTTCTTACTTTCTTTAACCCTTTCCTCGTTTATATAGTTATTTAATCAGACGCTTTTGTAACATTCGTTACGTCCCTTAACTCCTGTCTAGCAATGGACCCCTCACTCCCATTATTACTGCTCCGGCTCTTCCTCTTTTTTGTGACCGACAATTTCCGCTTTACCTTGCTCACCGAGTTATATCTCTTCTTGATTCGGTAGTTCGGATTGTAGTTCTCATCAGTAACAGCACTCCCACTTCCACCACCATCAAGGTCAAGCGCCCCGTTAGTGCTGCTCTCTCTCAACATCTTCCAAATAAGTATAAACTCTTGGTATTTAGAGTTGTCTTTTTCGACATACTCATCCACAAGTACATTGATGTTGCCTTGCAATTTAGTATAAATATCTTTAATCTCCTCAATCCGATCGGCTTCAAGCATCCACTCGCAAATTACCAACTTCAATAGTTCCCAGACTACATTCTGCTTTTCAAAATTCAGGTTATTAACCTTTTTGAAACATTCATCAAAAACTTCCCCAATGAAATCGTCAATGTTGGAATAGACCAATATCCGATGCAAACACCTTATCCCGTCTTTGAACCCGACAGAATCGACATTCATCCGGCTCAAAGAGTCAATACTATTCTTAATGAGCTGCTTAGCAAACTCAAATGTCAACGGGGTCTTACTCTCATACCAGAAAGAACAATGGAACATTTGGAAAATATCACGCTTGACATTCTCTGCAACCTTATCGTCTTTGATAACTTCACCTAAAAATTTGACATTATTCATCACACTTTTCAAAATGAGCTCATGATATGTCTCAGTAATAAAAGCAAACCTCAAGATCTCCAACTTCTCAAGCATTTTCTCCTTTCTGAAATCATCAATTGCTCTTTTGTTTAATGTTTTCAAAATTTTTTTAATGATTTTTTCATTCAATTTGTCACTGACAGCATCGTTGCCTGACAAAACACTCTGGTATTCAAATTCATCCCAGTTTCCATATATCATATTCAAGTAGACATACAAATAGGTTGGTCCAATCTTCGACATGTTGATAGTATGAATTTTGCTATCTGAGATTTCCGACTCTTTGTTCTTCAGGCTTCCAGACCTCGATAACATATCCCCATCCGATCTGCTAACCCTTTGACCAATTGAATTATTATAGCTTTCAATGATTTTATTGCCATACCCACTATCTTCATCATCTTCGTCTTCATTGTCTTCGTCTTCATCGGCTATCAAAGAAATGTTCTGAAAACTTACCAAGTTTGCAGTTGAGGAGAAAGATCTAGAATCTGCTATAGATGCAGTATCCAGAATTGCAGAAGAAAATGTTTGAAAGCTATTCTCAGTCTTTGAAGTTATTCTAGCAGTAGTATAATCTTCAATTCCATCAGTCGATTCTGATAGTCTATCATCTTCGTAAAAATCATCATCACTGCGAATTTTCTTGAAATGAATGTCACCGATACTCATATTGCTATAATCGTCAACTTCACCAGCAAACTTGAAACCTGCACCAAAACTTCCAGATATTCTGGAAACATCTGCTGTTTCGTTTGCGTAGATGTCAATGAGGCTATCATAGCCATAGTCGTTGACTGAGTCTCGAGAAGTTGTTGCTTTCCAAAACATTGCTTTTTCCTTGATTTTACTGGGAAGATCCCATTTAGAAGTGTAAACTTCTTTAATTGTGGATTCTTTACTCAAAAGCTTTTCATCATTATTTTTCTTACTTGATGTCTCGACGTCAGAACTGAAATCATGCTCTAAGGCATAATCGTTCCCTTCACTGGAGTCGGATTTTCCAACCAAAGTGAACAACCATATTGTGAAAAACAAAAGTCCAGCCAAAACAAACGCTGTCGTTACTACACAAGATATCAAGCCATATAACTTAATTTGCATACTGAGCTCTTTTATTTTTTCCTCACATAAGTCATCAACATAGAACAGAAATAAATCTAAAAGATCATTTTCCGTACCATCATAATTGTCCTCCCAATTCAAAAAAGAGTCAGTATTTGAGTTGTCATGTTGCTGTTGCTGACCACTAAAATCTTCTGTAAACAACAGTAATCACGGAGTTGAAATTCTTCTCAACTTCGTTAAATCGATGAGCCGAGTTAGTATTTGAAAGATGTTTATCTTTTTATTTTTGAAGTGCTTTTACAAAAAGGGGGTTCAGATACTACGGTTATCAAAATTAGGCATTATCCCGCTTAGTATTTCGTCAATTACTGCAGACATTTTTGAGAAAGTAGCATCAAGCTCATGACCTCTATTTCTCGGAAAAGAGAATCTCGGTTATCAAGAAGGCAAAAAAAAGCTACTTCCGCAACAAACAAAAATCACAAAAAATATTAAGGCATCATGGAGTCACATGCTCGCCAAAGTGTGTGATGCAAAAGAGAAGTGATGTACCAAGTCTCATTTTATACGTGTCTGAGATGTGATAATATTGTGAATATAAATAAATAAGTACATACATGTATATGACGATAGATACAGATGTAGGCATTATATGGGGGTGAAGAATAGATGAAGATTACAGTTTGGAATCGCTTTTCGCCGAAAACACAGAGGTAATCATTACAGCCTGCATGATACTGATCTCGACAACAATGGTAATAGTGACACAAAAAATCAGTTTTCAACCAGAATAGCCCGTTTCAAAATGGATCATCCTACAGTGAAATGAGTGAATTTAACATCCCTGCAGATTCGACATCTAACGTCTCCTATATAGATAAAAAATGCGTGGCCAAGTGGTTCAGTAGATGCAAATGCGAATTGGATCAAACTGTATTCTTGAAGTTTGCAGGACCCTTTTCGTATCTTGGTGGTGCATTTCTATCGTACATGATACCACCTGGTCTCTTTGGTGGAATGATTGGATCTGGGTGTTTGAATTTGGCCAGTAGCTCTTCGGTTTTCGCAAATACCTTTTCTAGCTCAGCTGGGTCGGAGATATTCTTGTTATGTTCAAATCTTAATCTGATTTCAGCAGCTTTCTCTCTGTAGAATGCATTCTGGTTAATCCAGTTTCTAGCAGTTCTCAAAGACGTTCTGTAAAGGGAGGCCACGTACTTGGCATTTTGAGGCGAGAATGGAACTGGCGCAGGCATAGTATGTGAGTGACCACTGTATACTGCTTGACGGTAAAGACTCAGAGCGAATAATCTAGCTTCTCACGTCCTTTCTTCTTCCTTTTCATGTACATCCCTATGCCAGCAGCTGCAACAAAACACCCTCGTTCAAATCCAGCCAAATATCCCCTCCACAAAAAAATGGAAAAAGAGGGGGGATAATCCGCCAGAGGTGCACGGAAGCGTTAAACTACTAGCCCTTTTACGCCGATCGACTGCCCTTCCCATATTTTCCTCGGACTGTGGTGTTGATCCCATACTGTGATAGGTACCAACTATTAGACATCGTTTGAAGAGCTGCCTGAAAGTTGGATTTATATGGGCCTGATACTCTGCTCGTAGTTGAACCTGCTGCATCGCGAGATAGTCTGAAGAGATTTATCTACGTGATATTTCTGATCCTGTAGGAAGCAAGGATTTGCCATGACTGGTACAGAGAACAAACCATTGAATCCCCAACATGGAAATAGCCTCAATGACACGTCTTCCCAATACGGCAACACAAGAACCACCGACGACAAGCCGGCACTCACGAAGAAATACGATCAGGTGGCTGATGGCAGAGTTTCAAAAGTAAGGCTGGCGCCAGCCGGATGTCTTACCTGCAGACACAGACACAAAAAGTGCACCCGAGAAAAGCCCGTGTGCGATACATGCATGAAAAGTAGTTACAACTGCTTCTGGAGAGAACCTGGGACCAGGTTTACCGACTATAAGGTCAAGCTGATACGTAGCAGCAGTCCGGCGGGTACGATTCTACAGCCAAACCCGTTATCGAGTGACAACATCTTGTCTACACAGTACCATATTTCCGATGAGGAGAACGATGATCCAATGCTGGCCAACAATTGGACAGAGGATGACAGTAACCTGCTTGAAGAGGATTCCTTGATCACAGTTGCGCAGAAAGCAGTATCCATCACTAACGCATATATGAACTCTAAAGAGGTTCAGCCGGTGCCCAATGAGGAGGAAGTGGACAGAATAAAAGTAAAGCAGGAGGATCTGGAGGCCGCCCTAGATGGATCCAAAGATGGACACCCTCGCAATGTGGACAAAACAAAGGAAAATGAAAGAGGAGAGCAAGAACACGAGAACGACGAAGAGGAGAACAACGATTCTGAGGATGAGCAGAGTGTAGCCTCTCGTCACAAAAAAGACGATGATTCAGAAGAAGAAGAGGATAACGGAAGCAGCAATGGAAATAACAACGGAACTTCGAACGTTTCGAGTGAGGATTCTTCTGGCAAGGACACCCATAACGACGAAAGTACCAATTCTGATGATGGCGATGGATCATCTCAACACAGAAATACAGCTATCGATTCAACACAAGATCTCGATACCTTGAAGCTCCTTAAATTCAAAACTTTACTAGATATTGACCAAACAGATAACCTCATAATCAACGAGGGAACTTTGATCAACATGCCATCAAAAAAAACTACAAATAGGGGTTCAAACTGGTATACGAGGTTTTTGAGCTCCACTCCCGATACCTTTGATGATGACTCAGGCAGTGCAAAGCGACCATTATCTTCAGCTATCGCTAACGAAACGTCAGCTTCGTTAGAATCACTAAACAACCATCAGAACATAGATTTGCTTTCTCCTGCATACTTTTTGTCTCATATAACCAACCAAAGGCTGCAGCAGAGAAGCCAGACTCCTACGGTGCAACCCCCATTTAATGATAAGGAAGCTGAGCACGAATATTTGCTGAACCCCACAGAAACTCAATCAAAAGCACTTGTTACTGCACGCAGAATGCAGAAAAAATATCACAGCACTTCCCGTCAGTCAGCCAGTAAAAAGAAAAACATGAAGAAGATTAGCAAAGAGATGGGTGCCAAGCTGTTGCTTGATGCGATATCGAAGTCGAGGAAGACCTACGATAGATGCAAATTATACCAAGACGGTCGTAGAAAGCTTCAATCAAATAAAACCCATGTGAACTTATCCGAGTTACCGTCTTACATCACACAGTTTATGAAACAATCATAGCTATCTTCTTCTTGACCTGCCCCCTATTATTCGAGCAAAGTGTATATTTTTAGGAGCTTTTTGCTAGAAATGCATTGGTAGATATTACGTATTGCTATGATTGCGAAGAAAAAATCCTCGATGGTTAGCGAAGAGCCGAGACTTCAAGGCTCCTTAAGCGCTAGCGCAAAAACTTTGTTTATGCTATCTTCCTTCCCTTGTTGGTTTCTTTAACCTTTCCTTTGTTTTGAGGTCCTAATTGGAGCAATTGAGTCATTTCGTTGCAAAACTGATAACAATAATGTCTCAAGAACTAAAACGGAGGGTCAATACTGATAGGGCATACGAGAAGCCTGCAGAATCAGACGTTAAAGACGATCTGGTCACTTTGGAGCCCGATTTTGCAATTAAGATCTTTTACAAATATGACCCTAAAACTCGTCAGACTGACAACGAATCAGAAGCAAGCTTGAAAGTACTGTCTAAGATTTTGCAATTGAATGGGTTTATCGTCTCTATCCGTCCTGATTCGAATACGAATTTTATGATCCTATTTGTGACGTTGAAAGAAAAATCATTTGCAGAATTAGTAAACCTATCCAATGAAACCGACAAACTTTTCAATGTTGCACCTAACCCAACTAGCAACGAGAAGACATCAGTCGCAGAAAGATTACGCTTGATTCACATGAAATTGACTTTGCCGAAGTTGAGTGGAGGTTGTGAAATCCAAGTTGGGAAAGGTAATGTCATTGATATTCTGCCGGTCAAATCTGCAATCAAGTTGGAAAAAGAATCTAAGTCTAATTGGAAAAACTTTGGTAAGCTATTCAAGAAGAAGACTCGTGATCAAAATGAGCTATTTTTGAAAGAAACACTAGGATCTAAATATGCTATTTACTACAAATTTGTTCAGGCGTACGTCTCTTCAATCGGTTGTCTTGCCTTTATTGGTGTTTTTGCACGTTACTTTTTAGGCAATTTTTCCGTTCTCTATGCGATAGCAAATGTTTTTATTGGTTTGACATGCTACGTATGCATCTATGCTACTGAAAAGAAGCTAGCAAATGAATGGAATCTATCAAACATTAGCAAAACCGAAATAATCAAGCTTGAGGAAACCGATTTGATCCCAACCTGGAAAGTACTGCTTCGCAAGTTGTTGTTTACCCCTATAACACTTGGAGGTGCTTCTGGCTTATTTTCGATTCAATTTGGGTGTTTCCTTTTGGAAATTTTCATTAATGAGATTTATAAAGGTCCATTCCAGTCAATTTTAGCTTTACTACCGACCATTCTTGTCTGTGTTTTGGTTCCCGTTGGAACTATGATATACGGAATTGTTGCAAAGAAATATCTGTTGTTTGAAAAGAACCCAACGCAAGAAAGTGAAAATGATTCTTTGTTGATAAAGATGTTTGTTTTTAATTGCCTTGCTTCATATTCTCCATTGATGATAACAGCGTTCATATATTTACCCCTTGGATATGCTCTTGATCCATACCTGCAAACGATTCAAGCCATGGTCACAAAGGCTAGCTCTGTTTACTCTTACATCCCTAACATTCCAGTGTTGCAATCTCAATATAAGGTTAACAACACGAGAATGGCAAGCCAGATCTTTTATTTCATGGTTACCAATCAAGTTGTCGGTACTTTTGTCGAATTTGTCGTTCCAATCATTGTGTCGAAGGTGACAAGCATCCCAAAGATTGCATCTCTCTTAGGTACTCCAGCATCAAATAAAGAATTGAAGATGATCGAAATCGATGCACCTGAAGAGCATAAATTCCTCGAACTTGTTCGTGCAGATTTCAAGAAACCAGAAGTATCCATTGATGATGATTACAGACAACATGTACTTCAATATGGATTTTTAATGTTTTTTGGTCCAGTTTGGACATTAGGTGCGTTGTGCTGTTTTGTTTTCGGCTTAATCCAGCAAGAAGGTGATTATCTGAAATACATAAAATTGGCAAAACCAGCCGTCCCAGCTCGTGCCGAGTCTTCACAGCCATGGATACTTTTTATGCGCTTTTTGCTAGTGATTGGATCCTTTGTTTCTGTTGCAATTACTTTAATGTACAACAACGACTCTTCGATGGGTGAAGAAATTTCCAGTTATGTTGGCCGTTCCAGTGTTGACAATTCTTGGATCTATATTATTGGAGGTTCTACGATCTCGTGTATTACTGTTCAAGCTGTTGTCTGGTCTTCCGAGACTGTTATTGATCATATCTACGATGTTGATGATAGTGAAGAGCTCTCAAAAGAGATCAAAGCAAGAAATTTGCTCTCTACTTTGGTTAAGCCGGAAGAAGGTAGCGCTGTCACAGATGTTGCTGGGATCATGGAAGAAGCAGCAGGGCTTCAACGCGCATTTTGACGAACCAATGTTATATTATTGATTTCCCAGTTCGTTTTAGCGATATACTGTTAAACAGTTACGAATAAATATATAGTGGTATTCATCAATTCTATCCTTCTGTGTATAGCTATATATTTATGTCTACTATTGAATTATGATTTATTTTTGACAACTACGTACTAAAAATGTCAACTCTTGCACGCTTCCAAGCTGTTGCCAAATAGACTTCCGTTACTTCTTCCTCATCTTTTGTGTTACCTGCTATTTTATTCATATCACTTATATCAGGGCATTTGACCTGCATCAAAGCATAAGATCCTCTACTACCATCCGGCCGCACCACCGAGCCAGGATTGATAACCATGACGTTTTTAACAACTTTGATAAAAGACTTCACCACTGAAGGGAGTATCAGAATATCTGGCATCTCGTCATTGAACTCGGAAAGGCCAAGGTAGGATGTATCAAGCTGAAAAGATCTGTCGTCTGGTGCATCTGGTGGGGGGTTAACAGGGTAAAATTGTCTTTGCTGAATGACATGTTCCACAATTCTCTCAATTCTGTTGGAATTTGCATCTTTTGTCGTGACGTCTTTCAAGTCTCTCAAGATATCTGCTGTTGAGACGCCAAATGATAGCTCGTTTATGTTGAAAAGGGAAGGGTTTGGAAAGCATTTGAATGTTTTGGGTAATGAAAGAGATTTTCTGTTGAAAGGAGCTTGTGGATATGGAGTATGAGGGTTCGTTACATCTGAGCCATGAGGCAACAGAATGACACGCTGACATTTAATATCGCTAAGTATAGGTGAAACAAATGACACAAATAAGTCATCTAGACTCTTTAGGTCGTCGATATCTTCACCTGTGTTGAAGAATGAATTGGATAGTATATTTGGCACAGCCTGTATATCAATGAACGGTCCTAGCATGATAACAACGTCTGGTTTGATAACGGTATTAATGTGGTTCACAAAATTTTCCAAGTGGGTAAAGTCAAGAGATTTTTTGGAGTGGTATGGACCTGATGCTACAACGACCTTCAAGTTATCATCCCCTATTATATCTGCGAAATTTTGAATTTCTTCCGAAGTGTACGATATTGATCCTAAGTATGGGATTTTCAAATTCTCAATTACTTTGAAAGTATCACCTGTTGCGTTTATCCCTCGGAAAGCAACTATTTGACCTGAAAAAAACGATGCTTTTGAGACGTTGGACAAATCTAGATGAACCCGACAACCAAATCCGTTTGATCTTGAAGTTTCCAAAAACAAAGATTCCAAGTTTAGCTCGGAAGTTGACGCCAATGGAGAGTCTGGCACTATTCTACCAACAGTGTAAATTTCAGATTGGGACTGACGAGTTGGATCTGCAAATTGTGTGTCCTCCAAGTTATATCTGTCTGCTACAATTTGGGAAACATCGTCTATTTTTTCGTCCAAATAGTCTGCAATTTCTAATAACTTGAGATTCATAGTCCTGTACTTGTATTTCTTTGGATTGAAATTTGCAATAATTTTGATGTTTTTGTTTGAGACAGTAGTTTCTTTGTCAGGAACAGCTTCCGCGTGAACAGACTCTAATATTTGGTTCGACTCCACTTGATTTTGTGATTCTTTAACAGGGGAAGAAGAAAAATTGAGTTTTCTCTTTTTCGTTTGATGCGAACCTATTAATGAATCGTTTGCATCCAAAAACGAGTTGGAGTTAGAATTAGATGCACCAGATTTGAATCTTGATGCTGAATGCTTATTATTGAGCTTCAAATTTTGTTTTGAAGAAGGTGCTTCCGCATTTTCTAGAGTGAGGCGATCTTGTATATATGTTTGTAGAGACTCTAGGTTTTCCAACGAAATTTTCATGTTGGTGTCATTGTGGTGTTTAAAAGTATAGGCTTCCCAATTTGAAAACAACTCTTGAGCAGTCATGTTGAAAAGACTGCACAACTGAGAGCATTTTCCGATGATGCTTGGGTCGTTTGCAATTTGCCCAAACATTCCAATAAACTGCGCATCAGTCATTTTAGTGAGAAGTTCAAAGTCTTATGGCTGGAATGAGTGCTGTCAGCTCTTCAAACTATTTCTACCTCCTGTAAGTTAGTGGAACCCCATAGCCTTCCTCTCAAGTGCTTTTATCATGGGAACCAAGGCTTCAAACGCGTTTTCAGAAAACTAAAACAACGCGTGTCGCTTAGCTAATCGCCAGCATACATTTCATAATCGAAGTGATATTAGGTTAGGTTTATTACACTACAAGAAATACGCAGATACATAAGGGCATATATAGATCGGCAGACACTTTGGAGCACATAAATTCTGTACAATACAATGGAGGATGAACCCAGTGTGCAAAAGGGAAGCACCGACGCCTAATCTCTTTCTTTCTCTGACTTCTCTTCTCTGACTGGAGATGCATCTCTCTTTCTTGCCTCCTCCTTGGATTCTTCTTTGGCTTCCTCCTTGGATTCCTCCTTAGACTCATCCTTGGAATCTCTTCTTCCTCTTCTCTTGTTCTTGTTACCCCTGTTACCTCTTCTTTCACCGAACTTTTGGGCCTTGCTTTCGTCGTAGGCAGTTTTGCTAATGATGTCTAACTCGACTTCACCATACTTAAGCTTGTTTTCGCCATTCAACACCTTTTCTGCGTCTTGAGGATTTTTGAATTCGACAATACATGAACCAATGAATTTCTTCTCCTTGTTCTTCTTCATTCTGACTTGGTTGACAGCAGCAATGTCGGTGAAGAACTTTAGGAGATCGTCCAAAGTTGCCTCCTCAGGCAATTTCTCAACAAAAATAGATCTTTTATTGATGTTTAGCTGAATTTCGTTGTAGTTCTTTGGCAATGGAATTTTTCTTCTGACCATTTCGCCGTTTTCAGAAACTTCCAAAAGCTCTTCCGACTTTCTGAGTGCGTTAACGATTGTCTCGATTGGTCTGTACTTCTTCATTCTCTCAAATTGCGAAATAGTTTGGATAGGAACCCAACCATCGTTAGCGTTTTGTGTGGTGAAAAGAAATTTGTCGTTGAGGAGGTTGGACTCAGAGAAGTAGAATTCAACTTGCTTGAGGATGTTTTGCTGTGCTTGTTCGTCTGTGGACATTCTGGAACTCTAAGGGACTTATGCTTCTCCTCAACAGCTAATCTTTATCCAAATAAACACAAGAAATTTGGAAAGCCCGTCCATCCTTTCACCTTGATCTGAGTTGAAGAAAAAAAATCTCCTATAAAATTTTTTTGCCAGCGAGGAAAAGTGAGACTTAGTCTGAACAAGAGACAAGGAGAAAAAAGTTAGCATTAGATAGCGTGCCTCAGACGTATCGGAACACTCCCAGAACAGACGTACCCAACAAGAGGCCATCAGCAAACCGTAGATTGATGACGTCTATGCAATTGAGATAGTCTTCTATCAAGCCGACGTTGCTCCAGATGGTGAGTTCGATATGGCGGTCTAAGCCCGCCAAAGGGCCGTCTACTTTCAGCACGTCTTCGAACTCCACAACAAGTATACTGTCCTTCCCGGCAAACAGCCTTCTGAACTGATAGCCGCAATCGATGACCAGGACCACCCCGTTTCCTTTGCGCTTATCTCCTTCAAGATGTCGGTTTACAATGAAGCTGACAAATCGGATCCAGTCTTTGCTGTTTGTATATCGTATAACGGGGCCCCTTGACGACTCAAAGATGTTAATATCTCCGGCAACCTGTCTGCCAGCCTTGTACTCATCAAACGGCGTTGTGACTATCTCCTTTGCGCTGGGAACGCCTGAAAATTTGAGTATATCCGCCAGCCTACATTCTGTTATGCCTTCCATTCTTAGCACAGTAGAAACTTTTTTGACCCTCCGCTGGAACAGCAATAAAGAGGGAGAAGAGTAAACAACGTCCTATAGATATACACACGTTCACCCCGGCGCAAAGCTCAGTTGAAAAACATCAACAACTCTTCAACAAGATAGCCAAAAACTGGTAAAAAAAGATTGTCGTTCACGTCAACGATACCCTCGAATAACGCGCACAACACTGCACACATGAAACGATTGGTCCACGATAAGACCACTATTTTGTCTTGCACAGAGCACGCTTGGAAGAGGAAATCAAGCAGGGCGTAGCCTCCCATCATACCCACGACCATGGCAACACTTCCTTCAATGGTCTTGTTGGTTTCAGGCCAGGTGTGACGTCCAAATCTGCTTCCAACAATAGACGCAATAGAGTCCCCGAGCCCCAGTGTAAGCAGCCCCATGTATGTACTCTCTTGTAAGCTATCGACGTTGTTGACCCAGAGCGGTAAGGAAGCACCCAGTACCAGGTAGATGTAGCTTAGGACGAATTGCCCCTCATTGTCCTTAGTATCTTGGAAAGTGGAAAATAGCCTCCTGAGGGTGCCACCGAACGGAGGCAAATCGTTGGCTCTGACAATTTCAAGAATTATTAAAATACCAAGGATACCGAAGAGAGCAATTGAAACTAATTCTGGCTCAACAATCATAGGTTTAGCCAAGAGCATAAGTAGAACGAAGTGCCAGATTTTCCGTTTCAAACTCATGCTCACGTTCACCTTACTGAAAATGACAAAAATACCGGGGACCAAAATGGACGAGGCAATAAGCCATTGCTTGAAAATGCGACTACGTTGTTCTGAGGCACTAACAAATTCGATGAGCCAATTTAAATGGAATTTACCTAGACTAGGCAGCAATAGCTTATCACTGATAATGAGACCTGCTGAGAAAAACAGTATGTAAATACCCAATAACCATGTGTACTTAAGGGTTCTTTCAGTCTGTGATTTGTAAAGGTCTAAAATAGGAGAAGCCAAAATTATGCCAATAATGAACGATAGATATAAGTTTCTCATAATGAATAGCGTTAGGTTACTATCGTTGTAGCTGATGAGGAAGGAACCCATGGCTAAAATGACAGAGAGGAAGGATTTCTCAGAGAATTCAATCTCAGAACCAACGAATTTATGGATCGCTTCATAGAAAAAACAGGATGCTAATGGTAATATTAAACTTTTGCCGTTGAAACTATCACCATCGCCAAATTGAAATAAAATGACATATGAGATCAAACAACGGACAAACACATTCATGTATGCTATTTGAACAACACAACAGGAGACCAACACAAGCTTATCGGATGCCTTAGTCAAGCATACAGCAAGTGGAAAAAAAACAGAGTAAACATAATTGAAATCTAATAATAATGGTTTGACCTTGGTTTTCCCACTTTCGAATTGACGAAATCTCGAGTTAAGAACGGCACAGCATTCGAGCAGTGCAGCAAGTACAATACAAGAAGCAGTAATCATTTTCTCCATCGCGTCAGTTGATCCGTCATCCTCTTGGGTCTTAAAATGTAAATAGATAAGGTTAGTCAAGAAGAATAGCATGAATATTTGAAAAACGTGTCTAGTGTTAATGCTGACGTCTACCAATGCCATGTAGTATGAAACGATACCGCTTTTTATATCTCCCACCTCTTCAATATTCTTTGGTGGCGCTGAAATTGGTGGCGCTGGTTTCTGATCTGCTTCACTTGTAACAGATTCGACCTGTGTGTCGTAATCGTAATCGAGGGCCGTCGTTTTGTGTTTGACTTGGCGATGAACCACAGAGCTCGAAGCTATGGCATTTTTCTTCGACTTGGATTTCTTCGGAGGCATTATACCTGATTTTTCTTCGCCTACGTCGAGTAAATGAAAAACAAGTCGGCTGCAATTCAGTAGATAGCCGCTTTCCGAATATAAAAGACAGATAGTCCTGATAATGATGTTGAAGAAAAATTATTGGCCAACTGAAAACGGATGATACCGCTCTATCGAAAAAATGTGCCGAGATAGGGTAGCCAGAGATGATTACGTAATCATAAGAGCTCACAACCAACCCATTTCTATCGTCGATAATTTCATTATGTTGAGGTTCTATACATAAGGTAATACACTATTGAGTCTATAAGGGTGAAGCATGCTCTAATCAAGTTTCTAATGACCATTGTTAGGAGGTCTCACCCCAAATATACTTGAGCCTACACGGACACTGGTACTTCCCTGTCTCACAGCCTGTTGATAATCGCCACTCATACCCATGCTGAGCTGAAGGTTTGGTAGGTTGAACTTCTGCTCCAAATGCTCTTTCAACTCGGCTAGCAGCTTGAATTCCTGATTTTCGCCTTCCCCGTGACTCACCGCATAGCTTCCTATGGTCATTAACCCGTGAAAATCCACAGAGTGGCATTCCTCAAGGATGACCCGGACAAGTTCATCGAGTTCCTCCCCTGGTTCGCACCCACTTTTTTGTTCTTCGCCAGAAGTGTTCACCTGGATGAGAACTCCTACATTGCCAAAACCAGGGGTCTTGGCGTCAATCATCTGTTTTCTTACGTCATTGAGCTTCTTGGCCTTCTTTATTGTGTCTATCGTTTCAACCGCGTACAGGTTGGGGATGTTTTTCGCCAAGTCCTTGCACTTGTTGGTTTGTAGACCACCGATGAAATGCCATTTGATGTCTTTTGGCAATATCTTAGCTTTTTCGATCAACTCTTGTACGTAGTTTTCTCCGAAATGGCGATATCCAACATCGTACAATGCCTGTATGTCCGAAGCTGGCTTCAACTTAGACACACAAACCAAGTTTGTCTTGCCACCGCTGAGGGATGCAACCTCCTCTTTGATCGAAGTGACATTGGCAATCAAGTCGTTAGCTCTTTCAGTAGTGTATTCAAGGGACATGTTTGGTATAAATTGTTTGTGGTAACGCATAGTAGAACTAAAGCTTCTTTTTGCTATGCAAAGCATTGACCGAAAGAAAAAGAAAGGGCGGTATTTCTCTAAATGTGGGCGTCTAGGCCGTCCTAAACTAAGCAATGAACCTGAAATTTTATCTTTCCATATCTTTCTCTCCTTAGTCAGGCAGAGCTATCGCTAATTAATGTTCCCTAGCACAGCCGCAATCCGCTCACACATTCCCTCCACAATTCCCACATCTGTACACCGCACTTCTACCGAGGATGCCGTCAGCACGACCAGACACCCGACCGGATGATCCTCTAACGTCAAGATGCTGGCACAAGTGACCACAAAGCCTTCTTGTCCTACGTTAGTGCCTCCTTCGGCCGAGACAACTTCAAAGTTCATTTTCTTCATGCAACGTGTAATGAGTTCGACAATATGAGTCACGTTGTCGCTAGTTGTAGAGCTTGTAGTAGTGGAGATATCCAGTTTATAGCATCCCTTTTCGGGCATAAACTGGCCAATTTGATTCCACCTAGATTGGAACGTTTGGATTGACATTGGGTTTCCTTCACTGATGTGTAAAAGCTTCATTGCTAGCGATAGTCGCAAATTGATTTCCTCCCCTGCTGAAGGGATTCTGAATTGTAAAACAGGCTCTTTATTTTCAGGGTACATCCTTTTAATTGAAAACCTTACAGTTATTGTTCCATTCTCGGACTCGTTCACCAGACCTGGCTTGCTTTCAGCCACTTCAATACTATAAAAATCTTGCGAACCATTAGCTTCTACTATTTTGCTCCCGAAGCCTTCTGTGTTTTTAATCTTGAGCTTGTAGTTGAAATCAATCTGGGAGAATTTTTTATCTCTTTTGACACGGAACGTGATTCTGATGTTTGCAGAGTCATAAAGAATACCCTGATCAAAACGCAATAGTCTGATATATCCTTCTTCCCATTTTTCACTCAAAGCTGGTAGTGATGGTGATGTCAATGGTAGTGGTAGTAGGGATGAATCTGATGTAGCGAGAGGAGGAAGTGTTTCAAAATTAGAAAGACTAATTTTTTTGTTCAAGGACAAGTCTAATTTGATAATGGTAAAATACTCATGAGCTCTCTGCTTGATTTCTATATTGTTAGATTGCATTTCTTGTTGAAATGCTAGCTTAATTATTCCTTTTAGTTTTGCATCTTTGACAATGTCGTAGTATGCGTCCATAGTATCCAATATCAATAGCTTCGTGAAAAGTGTGGAGTTTTCATATTTATCGATCAAAAGACTCAATTGAGCATCCATATCTCCCAGATTCCAATAGGTACAGTTATGTCTGAACACCAGACATGAAAGTTTAATAAAATTCTCACAACATCCAATAGATAAACTCTTGACAATAAAATCAATAGCAACTTGTGCCAAATCAAGTTTTTTTCTGTCTGAAGTTGTCGTGGAAAAGATAATCAACTCGTATATTTTAGCCCATGCCTCATCATCACAGTTGCCAATAAGAACAAAAATCTTTAAGATTTTCCTTGAAACATCTTGAATAATCCCGGTTTCTTTGTAGTCATCAAGAATAGTCAAGATGTCCGATAACACGATGCCCCTTTCAGTATTTTCACACTTTTGTAAGTAATACATTAAAAGTGCCAAAACGTCTTTCATCTGATTCAATGCAATATCATCACTTGCCCTGATATTTCTATCAGTAGCAAGGATGAGAACTCTGGCAGTCAGTTTGCAGACAAAGAGGTCCTTATCGTGCATGAACTTTCTCCACATGGCTGATTCGACTAGAAGAATTTTCCTTCCAAAGCCATAATCACTCGTTTTTTCCATAACTAAAATAAGTTTCTTTAAACAAGAAATTTTCACATTAACATCGTTGTTGAATTGGAGAAACGTGACCAATGCTTCCATAACGGTGCTGACATCGCTGCGATCCAAATTACCAGCATCGTTCACATCATTGATGTAGAGATCCAACGCCGCAAACAAAACGCTTGCGACTATAAGTTGATTTTGGGCATTATTAGTGGCATTATCTGTCAGTAGTTTGGCTTTGGTGTTAACACAATTTGATATAATTTTATCTACTGTATTCTTCAAGTCCGGACGCGTGGCAACTCCTGTACCATGTGCAACAGTGGTGATATGTGAAAGTACGTTGAACAATGAAATAATCATATATCCATATTGTAAAATCCAATCAGAATTTTGAGTGTTATTCTTAGTGTTTTCAAACTCAATCGAGTTCAAAATTTCAGAGACTTCAGTCAATTTGGTTATAAGTAATCCCTCTAAACTTTTTATACCCTCCCAATCAAAAACAACCCATTTTTCAAGGAGTGTGCATAAAGAAATTATTATACTGGTGTCATTTAAATTTGATTGTGATAGTGTTTTCCCAACAAAAGCGAGGTTATCCCATGTTAGAACTTCTTTTTTAAGATCTCCAGTATGGTTCAGCTTAAATAGCTGCGCTATACAAAGCATTGCACGAGTACTAACAAACTCAGGAACCTTCATGCTTTCCAAATGTATAAGCTCGAAAACTGAGCTTACAAACTCACTCATAAATGGTTCAGTTATTGACAAGTTCTTCACCCAAATTATCAACTCACTGACGCTTTGTAAGCCTATTCCGACAATAATCCACAAAGACTCCATAACATTCTTATTTTTTTCGTTCTTCAAGACAATCGTAGAGCTGATATCAATAAGTACAGAATTAACAATTGATTCGAGATCATGGACAGTTATATGTTCGTTGTAAAGACTCTTTAGTCCAAGAAAGCCAATGTCCCGATCATTTTTCAGTTCTTTCAAGTTCAAGTCAATATCCTCTACAACTCCCTCGTCTTTATTGCTGTCATCTGTATAATTTGACAATTGTGCATTAAGTAAGATGAGGCATTGTTCGACTCCTAGACGTACCAGGCCGTCCTTATCTTTCTTATCCGCTGGCAAGATATCATAGCCTGATAACTGGATGTACATGAGCTTACAAATGTACTTTCTTCTATGATAATTTGAAAGTCGTGTGCTGCTGCTCACTTTAGCGCAGTTATGAAACTGTTCATAGATATGTTTCAACTCTTTGTCTATCTTATTCGACTCATCGGAAGAGTCCTTCGACTGCCTCACAGTTGTGATGAACTGTTTGAGTCCGTTCATTGACATATCGTCTTGTGTACCGAAAGCACTACTGTTTCTGGTATTGAAAATATACTCACAGAATTAATTTTACTTCTGACCCCTCTTTTGATAGTTTCCTGTCAAATTACTATATCTCTTCCGAGCCACACCGCAGGGCGGTATAACGCGGTACGCACTGCGCAGGTGCTGCAGCGACCTGTAGCTGATGATGATTCAATTTTTTTCGATGATTAAGTGTTTTTTATTAGCCATAAGTTTGGTAACTTAGGGGTAACAGGAGAAAGTAAATGGGGAGTACCTACTTTTGAGTATACCTGATCTGATTTACAGTTTTTTTCTTGTTGTTATTTAGACAAAGAATGGTTTTGCTAATTATATATTAAATCCTCTGTTGTGTATGTAACTGATACACAAACTTATATTATCTACTAAAGTTCATTCTACTATGGCTAATAGCTTACATTGATTAACGGTTGGCCTTCGGACCAGGCTACACGTTGGCGTTATCCATATATTTTCTGAGATCTGCCTGAGATCCGCTTTTTGGAATCAAGTTCTCTGCTCCGTGGGGCCTTTCCATCACATTATCATAGAAGCCGTATAAGGGGCCAGTTAGAGAAGGGCTATTTGGAGATAAATAGCCTTCTGTCTGCTGTCTCTGCAGCTCCCGTACACGTTCCTTGGCTGTTCCCTTGGAAATAAACGTATTCGATTTGTTCGAAAGTCCAACCGGATTGAATACAGAGATCGACTTCCTAATTTGACCTGGGCTTGGTACATGTCCCTCTTCCTGCCCCCAATTGACATGATCTATTGGATTAAAGTTCTGATCGATTGGGACACCCGGAAAGGTAACTGGATTTCTGTGGGATTGGGCGCTAAATGTAGTAAAAGATTCTAGCGTGGATGTACGCTTGTTCAATTGATGAGGTAACGGAAGTTTTTCGAGTGCAGGCAATGGTTTCGGAACGCCCGCGTATGGTTGGGCCCTTTGGTTAGCTGGATATCCATACTGTTGGGAGGGATACTGTTGATACATTTGGGGATACTGTTGGTAGTATTGTTGGTATTGCAGTTGATTTTGTGAGTAATCGTTTGCATACTGTGGTGAGTATTGCTGCGGGTATTGTTGCGGATATTGTTGTGGATACTGCTGAGGATACTGCTGAGGATACTGTTGAGAATACTGATCTGGGTATTGTTGATATTGTTGCTGCTGTTGCTGCTGGTTTTGATCAACAGCTTCACTCTGAATAATCTTCCCGAGCTGCTGGTGCGCAAATTGTCCTGCAGTCGAAGTGGAATGGTTCAGACCTCCGTCGTTCACCGGTAAGTACACACTTGAGGAGACGCTTGCTCTGAAAGCGTCACTGTCTTCCTCAGTCTGAGGTGCTGTAAGTTTGTCTCCGGAGATCGGTGGTGGGGTATCATCCGCCTTTGCGTATTCCACTTCTTCGGTTGGAAGGGAGATTGTTGGTAATGGGGGCAGGTTGTTGTCATCGATGTTCGGGTTGGTGTTCGGGTTAGTGTTTGAGTTGGTGTCATCTTTGCGTTTGATCGAACCATCACGGGAGAAATAGACTTGATAAATGGATTTCATCCTATTCAATTGTTCCTCCTCCTCTGGGGAAAGCGGAGTTTCCTTTTCTGCTAGGTCTTTAAAATTAGGAACTTCATCTCTATCATGAGTCCTTTCCTTGCTGTATTCAGCCTGTTTGTCGTCGACAAGGATCTGTGGGATCACGTTGGCCACTTCATCCGCCTCATTGGTGATGGTGGTGTGGGACGAGTTGATGTTTTTGTTGGAATCGCTGGTAAGTGAGGATGTTACAGGGGAGGCAAGAGAAGGCGTCGACTCCTGCAGGTGGGTGCTGTTGCTAAATTGTCTTGCAGCGACGACTGGCTGCTTTGCGAGAGAGCTGTTCAAACTCTGCAGCCTGCTCCTGGACTCTTGACAATCTGTAAAGGGACCATCATCGCTGTCTTCGTCTTCATCACCTTCTCCTTTATGAGCCTGTCTAGTTGATCCTGCAGGTGGGTCATAGTGGAGGCTTTTCTGCGAGGATTCCGTAGAATGCTGCTGATTGGAGACGCTGCTCGTCTCGAGAGTGTTGAGGTTGCTCCTCACCTTCCCTACAACACCGCTGACGTTGTTTTTTAGCGGAGAAGACTGGGATGAAGACGCGTTCACGGCGTAGCCGACAGGAGGCCTGGAGCGAGAGCTGTAGGATGTCTCTCTAGAGTGGCTTGGGCTTCCAGGTCTCGGCCCGCCAACGGAGTTCATTTTCTTGACAGGGTAGTTGAACTCATGGAAGTCGAGGCCGAGGTTTCTCGAGTACTGTTCAAGCTCCTCCTTGCTGTCTCCGTAAGGGAGGCGGATGGCGTTGGCGCTGGTGGTCATGTGGTAGATGCTGTCATTGGTTCTGGCGCCGAGTCCTGCTGCTGGCGCAGCAGCGCCGGAGTTGAGCTGCACCTGTGACGGTTGGTCGAGAGCCTTCTCGTTGAACGGGTTGCCCAGGGAGTCGGTGCTGTAAAGATCGAGCCTGCTGTTATTGTCGTAGACGGGGTGGCCCGGGTGGCCGGAGGCGGTTCTGGCGCCGTGGGGCGGGTAGCCATAGTGGTGGTCGTACTCGGGGAGCATGATATTTTCGACGTTGAAGTCCGGGTCGTTGTCGTCGAGCGCCTCTTTCTTGTTGCGGCGGTACGCCTTGGCGACGAAGAAGGAGATCACGACGATGACGACGGCGACAGGTATGATCACTGCGAGACAGATGGCCAGCGTGTTCATCGTGTCCGTTCCGGTCTCGCACATCTGGCTGCTGCCCGTGCACTTGTCCGAGGACGACGATCTCTTTAGCAGTTGGCGAAGCACAGACATGATGCTGGGGCCTGTATTCTTTTGCTGTTTCTTTTTTCCTGTTTTTCTCTTCTGCAGCAGCCACAAAACTAGCTTCAACAGACGTTCAGTGCTGGGGGTCCTGACTAGAAGCAAAGACTGGATTTCACGAACAAACAAGCAAAGCAGGCAGGCGTAGCACGGGTCTGCAAAAAAACGTTCTGGCGGAGACACGCAATCTTGTGCTGGATCACCCGCTGAACGTGCATCGAACATTCAGCATCGAGAATCGGGCCGTCTCGTCTCGTCTCTATCTACAACGGTATTTCTGCGGGCCACGAAAAAAAAACAACCAATACGCGTGGCCCTGCCGAAAGCGGAAAAACGCCAACACAGACGAGAAAAACAAAAAGCCGCTGGCGCGTTACCCGGCTGCGGCACAAGCCCCAGGCCGAGCCAGCACAGTGCGCGCGTCCTGAATCGATCCGGTGCTCGGGCTCGTGGTACACCGGCTCAAAAGCCCGTCTACCTTTAGGAAAGTGCAGAGGGCTCCGAAGATGGCGAAGGTGGCGGCGGTTGTTGCGAAGGCCAAGAAGAAGAGTTCCCAAAAATTAGCTGTGTCATTTGGTATGAGGACGAGCGCCGGATGGCTCTGGTAAAAGGCAAGAGCCATGTGCGTAGCGCGCGATCCTCTGACGTGCTGAAAGAGGCCCTCAAAGCACCAGGCGTGCCTGTGCGCAGCCAACAGAAGTCCCAGCGGAGGGGGCATGGTGCTGCTTTTATAGTCCTCCGCGGCTCGCCCCGTTGTTGCCCCGTTGCCCTGTCCGTTTCGGGCGGCGCCCGTTTAGGCGTGGGTGCAGCACGCCGCGTCGCACAGTAACACGGACAGGCGCCGTCTGGCACGTCGGGCTCAGACGTATCCAGGAGAAACTCAGGTCCAAGAAAAGGGCAGGTAGAGGAGGAAGCAGGCAAGGAGACCGGTGGCAGTGGCAGCAGAAGCAGCAGCAGCAACGGCAGCGGCAGCGGCGACAACAGCAGAAACACAGACGGGTTTCAGGACGACAGATGGTCAGCAATGGTGCCTCAGTCCTCCCGCCACCTTTCGGATTACAGGCCTCAGACGGTGCTTGGATACGGAAAGTTTTCCACGGTAATCAGGGCGGAAAGGTCGCCAAGTCCAATTGACAGTGACTCCGGCAGCAGCAACAGCGGCGGCAGCAGCAGCGTCGCCATCAAGATCATCACCAAGTCCCGCAAGATCAACAGAATCAACAAGATCCTCCCCATTTCCTCCTCCGCCACCAACTACGACACAGAAATCGACATCATCCGCCGCCTGTCGCCCTATGACCACCGCAACATTCTCGCCTACTACGCTCTCTTCAGCACCGACGCCACGGTCTACATCGTCCAGGAACTCGCCCCTGGCGGTGAGCTAAACCCGGCCAACTTCAAACACTCCCCATCGCGGACCAACCAAGACGGACCTGCCTCCACCTCTATCGAGGTCGCTATGACGGCAAAGCTCCTCGACATGCTCTCTGCCATCGACTTCCTCCACTCACTTAACATCATCCACAGAGACATCAAGCCCTCAAACTTCCTCGTCTTTACAAACGGCACCGTCAAGCTCGCAGACTTCGACACCTGCTACACCTTGACCGACGACCTCAACGAAAACAAGGTCCAGCTCTACTCTCGCCTCATCGGCACACCGCTCTTTCTGCCCCCAGAACTCCTCACGCAGTCCACAACAAAGGTGCTAGAGGCACAGCCGCCACAGCAGCCCGAGGCAGCCAGGAAGTCCAAGTTCGGAGTGAAGCACAACTTTGCCAAAAAGACTGAACCATTTCTAAAGCTTTTCGGTAGGTCTGCTTCTGCCTCTTCCTCTTCCTCATCCTCATCCCCTTACACCACCGTCCCATCTTTCCCATTAGCACAAAACAGCACAGCTTCCCCCGCCAGCTACAATCCGTTCATGTTTGACCTCTGGTCTCTCGGCGTCACCCTACATTACCTTTTCTACTCTGCCTATCCTTTCTACGCTGACAACGAGTTCACGCTACTCCACAAGATTGCAACGGCGGCTCCAGATACTCCACCACTATCAGAACTTTCTTTCACTGTCAATCCATCCTTCCCCCTTATCAACATAATTGACATGCTGCTCATCAAACAACCCATTAAAAGGTGGTCAATACCAACCGTACTCCAGGAGCTCGATAAGTGGGACGGTACATCTCACAGACTGGCAAAGCCAGCAAGAAACTGGAATGCTGCACCTATCTCTATACAGCGAACGAAATCCAAAGATCTCTGCATATCGGATCTCTCAGAACCTCCAATGGACGAAAACCAATTTAATGCGTTACCCAACACAGACTCGGTGAAGCCCGCTACTCAGCAGTTTAAGTTCCAGCTACCCATATTTATGTCCCCAAAGGATGTGAGATCCTCTCATTGGGCGGAACACGACAAGCTGATCAACTTGAAAGGTGCAGCGCAAAATAGAAGTAGACCAGGAAATGAAGAAGGAGGAGGCAATAACAGCTCTTCTTCCTTGCCACTACATCCATCCCAGACCACGAAGCTTCACATGCATTCTACAAAGCCCAAAACAGGAACATCCAATCATCCTTTGAAGCCAAGAATGGATTCAAATTCTTTACTCCGGAGGGAGTTTTCGCCAAATGAAAAACTAAACAAAAACCCTGTCCCTTCATCAGATGATTGGAAAACAGCTAACGATTATGCCATTATCATGAAGAAGCTCGAAGGTATGGGTACTGAGCAAGCGGACTCACATCTAGATTTCCTTCGTCCAGGATCGATATCTGCGCTGGATGCAGATACCGATAAAAGATCATCTGTCCACACGCTACCGGCAAATTTCAATTTGAAATCTGTCAAAGGTTCCGGTCGTGGCTTGAAGCACAGTGAAATGATGAATTTCAAAAAATTCATGAAAGTTGACTCTAACGAAGGCAACGCAGAGAATGCAGGTAACGGTTCTCAAAATAATAACCTCAACTACAAGCCTTCCTATGCCACACTGGACAACCAGATGGCGAACGATTACAAGGTTTACACCATGGATGACTACTTGGATAAGCTGTGAATCCTTTAAAGATAATACTTTTCAATCAAATGTATACTCGCATATAAATACAATATTTAGACATAATTAATACTAGATACATTTTATTCAACAACTTATACTAAAATCTATACCGGATGCTTTCTAAGTGTCTATTGTATATTTTTTATATCTTGCATATTGAGCTATGCATCTTTTATTCTGTGTTTTGTTTACGTGTTTGTGTGTGGGTGTGCTAGTGTATATTTGTGTGTTTGTGTCACACAAATTTTTAGTGTAATTGGCACGTGTGAAATAACTTTGACAATAAACTCGGTTCACGAAAAAAAACTGGATATCATATTGTCTAGAAAATCAACTTGTCACCTCTGTATGCAAACGAAAGTGCATTGACATCGGTAGTGTTGACTCTGACTGGGAAGTCTTTTAAGCTAGCACCGTAAGTTGCAACACTGTGTGCAATTAATTGAGTGTTAATCAAAAATGCATCCCAAGCAATGTTGGATATGTCGTCACACAATTGGTGATAGCATCTGTCTAAAACCTCACCATTTTCCGCATTGTCCTTTTCAGCACCAGCCGCAATACCACCACCAGGAATACCGTGTTCAATGAAACCAACGTAATCACTACGACCATCGAATGGAATCAAGGTGTAGTTCAAACCAAGAGAAGTATAGTAGTCAATGTAAAGGTTCTTTAACTCTTCACTACCTTTTGGGTTGTCAACATTATTTGCGTCATAAACTTCGTACTCATAGTTTGGTGATGCCATCATGTCATAGTCCATGAATAATCTAATCTTCTCGTTCTCACCAGGGGTCAGGTTGTCAGCATAGTAGTTTGAACCTAAAAGTCCTTCTTCTTCAGCAGCCCAGAATGCAAATCTAACCTTGTTCTCAACACGGTAGTTGGTCAATTGCTTGGCAACTTCTAAAAGTGAGATAGTACCAGAACCATCATCGTTGATACCTGGACCCGCAGCAACACTATCAGAATGTGCACCCAACATTACAACGTTGTCTGGATCACCGTGGTTTGTTTCTGCAATGACGTTGACAGTAGTGATTGGGCCAACGTAAGAGTCAACTTGGACAGAAGCTTTTAAAGTTTGACCTTCACTCAAAAGCTTTGCATACTTATCACCTTCCTCTTTGTTGATACCAACAGCAGATGCAACTTTTACACCTTCCGGTGGGACACCCAAAGTACCTCTAATTTCGCCTGGCTCATTGTTATAGATTATTGCAGCCAATGCACCATACTTGGCAGCTAATTGTGCCTTGTCTCCAAAAGCACATTCACCTCTTTTGACAAAAGCAATCTTGCCGGTAACATTAGCATAATCGTCATCGGTACAACCAGAATTAGATACCAAAAATAATTCCCCATATACAGGAGCCTTTTTTGGGGTTGGAGGGGACATGTCCATTTCAACCAAACTTTTAGGAACTTCATCATCAATAGTGGCGTTGAAGCTAAAAATTTCCGACATGAAAGCCTTGAAAGGTTGAGTGGTAACATTGTAGTAACCGTGCAACTTCTTCAATTCATGTTCAATATAGCCAATGGTTGCCCAATGGCCCTTCGAGCCAATAACACGAGTTGGGTGGCCGTAGCTCTTGTTGGAGTGACCAGCAATCTCGTAGAGCTTTTCAGCACGAGCAAAGAGGGCCTCGTGAGTGATCAAAGCCTGCAATTCGGTGGAGTTGACCAATGGCAACTCAGAAATCTCAGATGGTCCAAGCAAACCTAGGTAGGTCTCCATGGTCTCTATTTCATTTTCTAAGCTTAAAGCTGCCTGTGGCAAAATTGCAGCATTTGCAATGTTGGCTAAAACGAGGGTTGAGGTCAAGAAGTCGAATTTCATAACGAGTGAGTTCTTCTTTTTATTGCGTTCAGTGTTTTGTTCTTCCAGTTTTTACTCCTAAAACGTAGCAAAAGCTGGTTACTTCCAAAAGAAAAAGGTAGGAGAAGAGAGAAAGGTGCCCGTAGGAAAAGGCGATGGCTGCTTTGAGGACTGTGTCAAAAAGAGGGAGATAAGGACGGCACTGCAGGCTTCTTCCCCATTTCCTGTTCTCCCCATCGCGCGCTGTGGCTTGCATACGCGGAGAAACCCGACCCGGGTTCGGATAAACGACGATTATATCTCTATTATATCTTGTATAAAAAACCAAAAAGACTGTGCCCAGCCGGTACACAAGCATATATATAAAATCAGTATAGGTAGTTCAAAACAGACAATAAACACAGTAGCACAGAAAAACATTGTAAGTGTAAAAAGAAACGGTAAATCATAAAACAGGGTGGGTGAACCATAGGAGGAGGCGTGTTGCAGCCGTAGGCTGCTGTGAGACAAATAACATAAAATAAAGTAGTAAAAAATAGAACATACTATACCTGACATGGGTAATAGCCAACTAAAGTCACATGGGAAAGAGGGGGTATCTCGTATAGTAAAAAAAAATAAACTTAGTACACTGGAGAGATCAGGTTCAGTATCAGTAAGGTATGCATGGAGCTATTTGAACTTTCCGAGATTCAATGGGGGGTGCATGAACTTAAGATAGAAGTTGAGTAAAGTAAAATAGAGTGAAAGAAAGTGAAATCAAACAGTTTGGAGTAAAGAAAACAAAAGGATTAACCAGTAGAGGCAAATTTGGTATGTATTGAGGAATAGCGATAGATGGCATCGTAGAAATAATTTTTCTGTCTTGTATCAAACATGAGCAGAAAAATTGATACCTGGCAACAAGTTGTTATTGGTATTTATGTTAGATCTGTGAGTCCCTCCAGCAGTCTTCGGGGTAGATTGTGAATGTGAGCCATACGTTGGAGAGTGAGAACCACCTGTATTGTCGTTGTTGTTGTTATTGTTGTCTAGTTCTGCCAAAATTGAAACAACTTTACTGTGAATCCTTTTACCGTAGTTTGTGTATCTGATGTTCGGTAGCATGGGTCTAACCATCTCAGCCATGACACATTTCACAGGCCAATCAGCAACCTCCAAAGCCGTTTGAACAACGTAGTTGCCATATTGATCCTTAATTAAAGACATCAACGTTTGGATATTAATCAAAGCAGCTAGCAAAGGATGAATGTTATCATTCACGGTGCAGCCATTTGGATTTAGCTTCAAACATTTTTCAACAACATTGGAGGAGAACTTCCCACAACTCAAAGGAACCAACTCGTTAGCCACTAATCGGAGGAGTTGGAGGTTGATACCGTTTATATCTAAGGATATCAAATACTGAATCACATAATTACCAAATTGGTCTTTCATTAGGTGCACACTATTCCTCAAAATCTCGTTACTAATTTTCTGGATTTGATAAGGGGAACACTTATTTAACAATTTTTGTAGGACACAACAACCGTGCTTGTGAGATGCGATTTCAATGAGGTGGATTATGATGAGGTCAACCAGAAAATCTAAATCATCGCCAAAAAAATGAGAAATCAATTTTTGAATGACATGATTACCATTCAAGTCGTGGACCAAATTTACCACTTGAGGTGAGATAGCAATTGCAATCAAGTCATGATGGTTTGGAGTTGAAAGACAGCCAATTAATTTTTGTAAAGCTCTAGTTCCGTGTAAATTTGTAGCAATTTTTCCGATGTTAGGGGTAATCTCTATGATTATTAAAGACAACTGAGAAGGTGTAGCCGAGATCATTAACTTTTGAATCAAGTAGTTACCAAAGGGATCTAACATCAAAGCAGAAGAGAGCTTATAAGTTGCATTGAAGATGATTGGCAAGTTTGTTGAGCAATCATCATCTATTTTCTTTTGTAACATACGGCAGCCATGTTGATCTTTCGATAAAATTATAATATCATTCGAAGAAAGTAAAGACAAATCAACAGAAGAAGAAGCAGAATATGGAGAGGACAGTGGCAAATGGGATGATGGCAAAGATTTCGGACTATAGTCATTATTTTCAACAATGTTCATGGATGCAGAGTTTGGAGTGGTGTTGTTGTTGCCGCTTGGATTAGGGTTTGAGCTCGAGTTTAAGTTTGAGTGCGAGTTTGACGAGGCGGATGCTGAATTTGATGCTTGGTTTGGAACCATTGGAGTGATCTGGGGGATCCCAGCGTTGCAAGCCCGATTTGGGGCTGAATTCGGGTTTGAGTTCGAAGATGAGGAAATTGCTGAAGCGGACGTTGCTGTCGATGAGATGGAGGCGTTGGAGAAGATAGTGTTGCGTCTAGTTGGAGCGATAGAGGAAGGAGAGATTTCGAAAGATAGGTTGTTGAGTTGGCGCTCGAGTGTTGAAGCTGAGGTGGGGGTGGCGCTTGATAGATCATCGTCTACAATCGAAGGTAGTGAGAACCTATTAATGTTGAAAGAATAGTGGTCATTGTGGATGAGATTGGTGTTCAAGTTGTTGTTCATTGGGGTCGATCTCAAAGAAGAGTTTGAGTTCGGGACATAAGGCAGATGTTGGGCCGAGTTTAGTAGCTTGAAGGAGGTTGGCAAAGAGTTGGTTCTATTATGCTGGATCAAGTTGTTGGCGCTGTTGCTAAGATTGCTATTATTACCGAGAATCAAAAAGTCGTTCTCAAGGACATTTGAAGAGGACGCAGAAGATGGCTTGTAAGGCGATACGGAAGTAAACGGGGTGCTCAAGTTTGAATCGTTCACGTTATAGTGGATTGCTGGAAGGGGGGTGCTGGCTGGGTCATTTAGAGAAAACAAAGAATTGGAGCAAGGTGGGAAATAAGGGTTGTTGATGTTGTTGATGTTTATAATCTTGGAATTGTGATCAGTAGCATTCAGGTTCGTATTTTTGTTGGTCATCGGAGTTTGGGGAGAGGAGCTGGCTCCGGATCCGGATCCGTTCGGAAATGCAATTGGGTTCATCCTGTTGGTCTCATTGAGATTTGAGTTGCTGCCTGAGATGGAGGTGTTGCCGGGGACGCCTTGCTCCAAAGGAAAGGTGCTGAAAAGGTTAGGGTTTTGGCTGTATAGGTTGAACTCCATGGTGGGATGTGTGGTTGGAATGAACTGCGGATGCGATAAAAAATATTTTAATCCAAGAAGACAGCAAAATTCCCCTTTGAATTTTTTAGCGAGGTAGCGTGTGTTAAATTGGCTCCAGAAGGGAAAATTCGGGATGGGGTCTTGGTGAAATCAGGTGGGTAGACGGTAGAGTTGTATGAGTGGCAAGTAGGAAGCCTTGATCTGGCGGGATCCGAGATGCTTGCCGGGGTTTATTTGTTGTTGGTTAGTTCTGAGCTGAACTGAACGGGTTCGATCTGATTTGTTCTGATCTGATCTGATCTGATCTGATCTGATCTGATCTGGTCTGGTCTGGTCTGGTCTGGTTGGTCGGGATGACGCAATCGGACTGACCGGAAAGACTGTAGAAGAGTAAATGTGTACACGAGCGGGTCCGTACGGGCTGGCGGAAGGTATAGGAGGTGGGTGGGTAGGTGGGTGGGTGGTAGACGGACAGACGCAAGGGTATCGCTGCAGAAGGAGCAGGCGGGAGTGCACACCAGCAGAAGGGTCCATACGCCGGTACAGCTTATATATAAGAATATCGGATCAAGAGGGTTAGCAGGCCGCGGACCAGCGAGGCAAACGCAGTAGGAAGCGTTGCAACGTGCAGCGAGGCATACGGGGCAGGAACGGGGGCGGAGGAGCAGGAGCCAGAGGAGCCAGAGGAGCAGGACACCCACCCACACAATAAATAAATGAACAAATGAGACCCGGAAGCACCCACAGCGGGCCAGCAACCGGAGCAGATGCTAATTCGAGCCAGCAGCCCCCGGTGTGGAGAGAGCCAGCAGCAGACCGGTATGTGAAACGGCAAAACCGTGGGAGCCGGAGTGTCTCTGCCTGGAGCACATCCCCTTCGGTTCCCCTTCAGCAGCCCCGTTTCACATAGGGCCGGCCAAAGGGGGCTCCGAGAGCGAAACAGGCTCTGCTCCGGCTGGATCAGCCTTACGTAACGGCCAGTCTAGAATCGCTTGGCGGCGAGCGATTCTAGACGAGCGATTCTAGACTGGCCCGAGGCCTGGCGGGAGGGCAGGCAGGCAGGGCAGGCGTGGTCTGGGGTGATGGAGGACGAGGCAGCGGGGAGATGCGATCAGACGGCGTGCATGTGCCTGTGGACGACGGCAGCTGGACGCAGACCTACACCGCCCGGCATGTCTGCTTCGACACAGGCATGCCGATCTGGAGGGGGAGCAGCCACTGCGGAAGTGGGTGGCCGGGGGGGCTCAGGCCCGGGTTCGGTTCGGGGAGCGGGGCGAAGCCCAGCCAAGCCGGCGGTGCAGGACAGCCGGCTTTTTGTGCGGTTCTGCGGCTCTGCGGCTTTGCGTCGACGCAATCGACGCAATCGACGCGTCGGCGGCTGCGGCAGGCACGGGGGTTGGTTCTGTTTCTCGTCCTCGGTACCCGCCAGGCCTCCCGCTTTCCCCCTTACACGCAGCGGCGCAGGCAGCGCACCCGCTGGACGAGGAGAGAAGGCTTCTGCGGGTGCACCACTGCACACAGTCGGTGGCAGAGAGGCGGGCTGCTCGTGGCAGGGGCCATACGGCACACAGATCCACACCCGCTTGGACTCTCCTCCGACCATTGGGCACTTTGGCAGACTGTTCTCCACGGATTGAACCAGACAGCTTTTGCGGCGCAGCCACAGTGAACCAATTGGGACCGACTCCAAGCTCAGCACGCTCACACTTATCTTGGGCCTAGAACTGCACACACACCCGGCTTCCTTGCCTGTCTCTTGTTCTCTCCAACGCATCTCCGGCGCAGACAGCACCCACTACACTATCACACCCCCATCCTGCAATGTCGGCCCCCTTTGTAGGCATCTGCACCGCCCTCTACGACTATCAGGCTCAGAATGACGAGGAGCTTACGATAAACGAAAACGACATCCTCTACCTCCTGCAGAAGTCGGATTTCGACGACTGGTGGCTGGTGAAAAAGCGGGTCTTGGACGCAAACGCAGAAGAGCCGCAGGGCTTGGTTCCGAAGACATACATCGCCGACGCCGCCCCCGTCGCCCGTGCCACTGCGCTGTACGACTACACGAAGCAGACCGAGGAGGAGTTGTCCTTTAGCGAGGGGACTGTGCTCAACGTCTACGACACCTCCGACCCCAACTGGGCCTTGGTCGACATCAACAGGCAGCAGTTCGGCTTTGTTCCGGGCAACTACATCCAGCTCGACAGCGGCACCGCACAGCAGCCGAGTCTGCAGCAGCCGGCTGCAGCAAACCCGGTCTCCAATGTGATGGGTTTGACCCCGTTCCCAGAACCGGTCGTCTCTCCGGCAAACATAACCCCGCTGTCCCAATCGTTCCCTCCACCCCCTCAAAGAGCCGCTAGACCTTCCTCGTCCAACGCAACACCGCCAGCCCAATCCTCCACTAGAAGCCAATTCCCTAGCAGCAGAGACGATGACTACGACGATGTCGACGACGCCGACGAAGCTAGGCCCCCAATGCCTACCAGACCTAACACGACAACAAACAACAATAACAGCAACAGTGCCTCCTCTCAGCGTCGTTCCAACACATACAACGACTATTCCGAAGATGACAATGATTATGGTGACGGTGACTCAGACGATAATGGCCACGCTAAAGAATCAAAGACAAAAAGTTTCTTCTCCTCCTCGTCTTCCAAATCCCGTTCCAGATCCGGCACAGAAACTTCGAAAATGTCACGTAAGAAGTCGATATCCAATTTCCTCTCCTCTCATAAGGACGATGATGACGCACAACCTGTTCACGGTGACTTTGCTTGGAAAATTCATGAAATTGATGGTAAGAAAAAACGTTCTGGTGTCTTAGAAATCGGAAACGGTAATGTGTACTTGGACGTTGACAACAAATTGTCCGAATCATGGCCTATAACCAACTTAACCAACTACAATGCCGAGAAAAAGCACATATTTCTTGACTTCAAATCTCCCTCTTACTCATTCGAGTTGCATGTTAGCAACAAAAGCTCTGCGCAAGCAATCATGTCGATCTTGGGTGATATGAAAGGCCTGCAATCCCAATCGGCATTGGCAGATATCAAAAGAGCACAAAGAGAAGGTGCCGAAGCAGGTGCGGTTTCCACACTCAAAAAAGGTGTCATTTTGTATGATTTCGATGGTGCTGCAGATGATGAATTGTCATGCTATGAAGGTGACACCGTACTTATAGTCAATGACAAAAAGAACAAGGAGTGGTGGATGGTTGAAAACTCACGCGGAAAAAGAGGTGTCGTTCCTTCCAATTACGTCAAACTCGTTTCGAATAAAAGCAAGAGTGGAAGTGGTAATGGCAGTGCTGGTGCTAGTAGCAGTAGCAAAGATGGTGGTGCCAGCGGTTTCTTGAAGAATTTATTAGGTCCTAATTCTAAGAGTCCTAAAAAGAAGGGCTCCAAAGACAGGGATCGTGAAGAACGAGAATTGCGTGAAATGGCAAAACTACAACACGAGCGTGGTGAATTGCAAAAACAGCGTCGTCGTATGGAACAGAAGGAAAAGGAATTATCTTATCGTGACAGAGATCAACGTGAAAAGCGTGAAAAAATCCGTCGTGCAGATGAAAGACTGCGTGAACGTCGGTTACGTGAAAGTTCCAAGTCTAGCAGTGCTAACAGTGAAAAGGATTCAAGCAAACCAAACACTCATCGCGTGCGTACTTGGATCGATAGATCCGGCGCCTTCAAAGTCGAGGCAGAATTCTTGGGGGTCCAACAGGGTAAAATACACTTACACAAGACAAATGGTGTTAAAATTGCTGTTGCAGCCTCAAAATTGTCAATTGAAGATCTAGAATACGTTGAACGTTTGACAGGAACCTCGTTGGACAAGTACAAGCCAGAAATTTCGAAGCCTGCTGAACCTACCTCCGCGTCGAATAATGATAGCAACACTGCTAACACTGCTTCAACTCCATCACTACCATCTCGTGAGTCTTCTTCAGCAGTCGCCCGTCAACGCACATCTTCTGTTCCTCTCCGTGCAGACTTGGTTGACTACTGGTTTAACTTTTTCGTCGAGGCCAATGTCGATGTTAACGTATGCGATAGGTATGCTAGAAACTTTGCACAAGAACAAGTCGATAACACCGTTTTGGATGGTGTCACTCCTGCCTTGATGCGTACCTTGGGTGTTCGTGAAGGTGATATCCTCAAAATTAAGAAGAAGATTGACCAAGCCTTGGGTAGAGCCACTACTCCAGACCCAGTCTTGGGTAAGAATCCAACTGATCCACTGCCAAACACCCCGGCAACAAGCGGTATGTCCGATGATGACTGGGCAACCAAGCCGGCTGCAAGATCCACCACAGAACCTGTTAAACCTATTACTTCTCCGAACGCATCTAAAAGTTTAACGCCACAAATCACTGGCTCCATAAAGGACTTGTTAGATGTCAAACCGATGGAACCAACGCGTACAGGAATAACGCCAGTGAAACCTATCAACACAATCGGATTGGCCTCTAGCAATTCTGCGACTGCCACAGGTGGTAATGCTACTGGTCCATTGACAGGTTCAGCCACAGGTAATTTGAACTTGCAGAAAACAGGTGCAGGAATGGCCCCAGCTTTTACGGGTGCAATGCCAATGATGGCAATGCCGACAGGATTCATGCCAATTACTATGGTTCCAATGATGACAGGAATGGCAACCGGTATGGGACCGTTACGTACGGGTGGTTTGACTACCGGATTAACTGGTGGTTTGAATTCTGCCTTTACTGGAGGCTTGAACCCTGCTTTTACTGGCGGTATGCCAATGACCACATTTGGAGTCAACTCTTTGGCACAGCAACCTCAACAGCAGAAAACAGGAGGAGCTTACATAATGCCACTTACTACTGGCTCTGCAATGCCAGCCACCTCTTTTGGAAACTATCCCTCGATGAACAGCCAAGCGACGGGTGGTATGGTTAGACTACAGCCAACTGGTGTTAGATTACAAAAAACTGGAGGCGGATTGTCAAGTATGCCTGCCATGCAACCAACTATGAAGACAGGGGGAGGATTTGTGCCACAATCCAGTTTCGGTATACAGTTAAGCAATGCCATGACAGGTGGTGGAATGATGAATCCGGCAATGACCGGCGGTTTCCCGCAGACCTCGTTTGGTAATCCTGCGATGACCGGTGGCTTACCGCAATCATCATTTGGTAACCCTATGATGAATCCAGCAATTACTGGCGGTTTACCACAAAACTCGTTTGGAAATCCTATGATGAACCCTGCATTCACCGGTGGCCTGCAGCAAGCGCAGTACGGTAACGGGATGATGACGGGGGGCTTACCACCAAATTCATTCGGTAATGGAATGATGAATCCCGCTTTAACTGGCGCTATGGGCGGCAATGGGTTACCGCAAACCTCATTTGGAAATAATAACGGCATGATGAACCCAGCATTGACTGGTGGTTTGCCCCCTACATCGTTCGGAAACGGGATGATGAACCCTGCTTACACGGGTGGACTCCCACCTACGTCATTTGGCGGAGCGCCAAACAATGGGTCTCAGCCTGTATTACAATCACAGCCAACTGGTTTTGGATTTGGTAACTCAATCGTTCCTGCCTCAACTGGGAAGCAAGCAAATTTGGCCAATGCTACTGCTGATAATCCTTTTGGCTTCTAAATGCACAGTGGAGGAAACTTTGCAATACTTTCGTTATCAATTGATAAGTATGAGAGCCTTTCTTTCTCTCTTACAAGGCGTGTTTGTTTACTTTTTATCTCTTTCCTTCTCCCCAATTCTTCGTCGTTATGTATACACTATTTATGTCTTCTCTAAATTAACTATTTGTTCTCATTAGAAAAAAGAACGCAAAGGTAATCGATTGATTCAAAGGCGAAAATGCAGAAGCTGTTGCTTTGTTAAGATCAAAATTACTATACAATAAAAACTAAAAAGTAGAATGAGAGATAAAAGAAAGAACTATAAATAAACAATTAACAAAAATATACAACATGGATCACCAATAAAACTACAATATATTTTAATTTTTTTTCCTTTTTTTTCAAGTTTCCTTCATCCTCATGGAAACAAGGAAGAAAGATGAACAATCCACTATAACTTTGATAGTGCCGGATCTGTGTTTTCATTCAATCCATCCTCGGTAGAGATGTAATTATTCAAATCGCCTTCTTCATTGTCGTTCTGTGACTTTGCAGATGACTTCTCTCTGTCTCTGAGCCTTTGCTGATCTGCAACGTGTTGAGCCGCTACGGCCAATGCAGCAGAATCTACCAATGAATGTTCATCATCTTCACCCTCGACAGACATCGAAGCCATGGCGGCGACGTCGGCCACAGAGGGCATATTCACATCGTCGTCATCTTCCTCTTCCTCGTCTTCTTCTTCCTCGTTAGGAATCGATTTGGACTTATCAGAGGAGTTCAACTGATCTATATCGATGTCATCATTGGCAGTCGAACGTTGCTCTTTCTTCTCCGGGTCGACATCTCTACTGGATAATTTATCGGAGGTGTTGGAATAACCGGTGTTTGCTGTGGTCGCGGTATTGGAATTATTGGTGATGGTATTGTTTGAGTCAACAGCTTTCAAGTTGTCATCAATCTTGTCGTCATCAGTTTTCCCCGACTCTGTGGCTTCTGTTTCGATATTATTCTCATTAATGTTGTTCTCGGCACCATCAATAGAGCCTTGCTCAATTACAGTCCCATTTTCAAGCTCCTTGCTAATCTTCGAGTTTGGAGCATCCTCGGTATTGACATCAGCAACGTCTCCGACGTTTTGAAAGACGGGGCGACCGGCATCGTCATACAATCTATCCGGTAAGGCACCATAGAGCCAGAAAAGACCTTTTCCTTTCAAAATCCGGTAATTTTCCAAGTCTTGCACGACAGTCAAAGGATTCGATACGACAGATTTGTGTCTGTTGAATTCGCTTTCAATGAACTCTATAACCTTCTTACGTCTCTGAGCGCTCTTAGCAATTCTCCCACGACGCCAACGGGTACCGTACTTCTTCTCCAGTTTTTGTAGAGCAGGGTTGTTTTTGTAGCCCATGGTCCATTCATCCCAAACGTCCTTCACTGTCTTGGCCTGGTTGTTCAAGTCTATCTCCGGGATTCTCGTCCCCGGTATCATCGGTAAAGGAGAATACAACTTGTGGTAGAAACGGTTTGCACGTGCCTGTTGGTGCAAACTGAGAAGGTCGTTAGGATCATGTGAGGCATGGAGCGGGTCTGCAGGGTTGGACGCGTCGTCGTCGTCGTTGCCGGAGGCGGAGATACCTTCGACTTTGGCAATGTAGCTGTCGTAGGACTCAAACGTGTTCGAGTTGATCAAGAAGTTGGAATAGGAATTGAACAACGAGTTCTGGTCGTAAATTTTTGGTATGAGGATGCTGATCTCGGCGATGGTGCTCGAGATGTTTTCCGTCAAGTCCTTGAGGCTGGAGAAGAACAGCTGTTTTTTCTTCGCTTCCTCCTCGGACAAGACGGTTCCCTGCGTTTCACGTGGCTGGCCCTCTGCTGCCTTGTCCTTATCACTGCCCTCGTTGCCCTCGTCTGCGTTCGGCCCTTGCTGGTCCTGCTGCTGCTGCTGCCGTTCCTCCGCGGAGCCTGCGTTTTTGGCGGCGTCATCGTCGTTGGCCGGTTTGGCGTCTGCGTCCTGCTCGTGCATGATTTCATCACCGTCGTGGTCCTTTTTGGAGTCCATTTTCACGTTTTCGTCGTCGACAAACTTCAAGTTGGGGTCGATCTTGTCGTTGTTGTTGCTGCTGCTGCCCGACTTGTCGGTGGCGCCGCCGCTGCCGGCGTTGTTCTGGCTACCGCTGTTGCTTCCGCTGTTGTTGTTGTTGTTGCTGTCCATCTCTAGCACCAAACGGGCAGTGTCCCGCGGGTTGGCGGGCGAAGTTGAGGCTGAAACCGACATTGAAGCACACGTGGGAACCCAATTGTGTTTTTCCAGTGGAGAAAGGTTAAGTCAACGAGGAAACAACACCAAATGCAGTGCCGAAACGTGCTGACAGGAAGGTTGATAACAAGTAAATAAATACAACTTGTGCTGATTCAGGCGTCCATCGACGGAAAGTGGGCAGGCCGTCCTTTTATTTGCGAAAAGCGGTAGGGGGGGGAGGAAAAAAGAGGAGACGACGACGGCGACGAGCTCCTCGCTTCCTCTGTCCACCTGCCGCCGTCGCGACGGGCTGGCCAGAACGGGCCGAAACGGGGACGCGCGCAGATTGGTCAGCGGCCCCCGCGACGGCGACGGCACCCGCGACGGCACCCGCGACGGCACCCGCGACGGCACCCGCGACGGCACCCGCGACGGCATGGCCGCAAGCGGCGACACAGCGAAGACTGCCGGGGCGCAGGAGGCCGATCGACGCGCCGGCGGCCCGGACAGCCGGCAACCCGCAGCACAAGGAGTCCCGCAGACCGCTAAGGCATTGTGTCAACATGTCACGCAGAGCTCCGCAGAGCTTTTGCAGAAGGCCGGATGCGGCAAAATGTAAACATCATGCCGAACGCAAGCTGGAACAGCGGTGGCGCGGCTGTGCCCGCGCAATTCGTTCGTTCGCATGGTTCCATCGCGTTCGGTGGCGCCGACGTTAGCCCAGAAGCCCTCAACGGTCGGCAGGAAGCGCGCAGCGGCAGGCGCGTGGTCAGCTCAGCAACAGCCGAATCTCGGAGACGCCCCGCGCCCGCAGCGGGCGCGCACGCTGATTGGCTCGTACAGCCGCGGCACGGACGGCGCGTCGCTCGTACAGCGTTATCTGTAGGCGGCGCCATTGGCCACTGATAAAGAGCCAGCGGCGCCAGCAGCAGCAAGCCGGCTTGGTGCGCCCGTTAGCTGCAGGCAATCAGTGTGTGATTGCAATTTGGCTTCTGCTATCTCTCTATCTTTGCTGATTATGGCCGTTGATTAGGCGAGGGCTGCAGTAGATAGGTCCGGTGGGTAGTGGTGGTTAGATGTGCTGGCGGCATTAGAGAGGACAGAGTAGGGTCTATCTCGATTGCGTATCTGCAGCTGCTTGGTAGGTGCGCCAGAGCAGCAGAGTTTGACGAGGTCATCGACTTGGTCCTCATCGTGATTGTGACTCTTCTCTTCTCCTTCCTCTCCGAGATATATTATTTCCTTTGTTTCCGGGTTTTTTTTTCTGAATTCTTGCTGTTGCTTTCTTGCCTCCCCTCCCCTTCCCTTCTTCTGCTTGGTCCGCTTTTTTCTTTTGACCCATCGTTGTTTATTTTGTTCTCTCTTTTTCTCTAGCTTGTACCTCAGACAGTTTACAATTTGTAACTACGGCCTTACTGCACATTATTGCCTACGTTCAAAATGTCTGAAATGTCCAACGACGTGTGGACGACAAACTTGTCGGCACAATACGATGGTGCCTCGATGGTTTGGGTCATGGTTTCCGGTGCACTCGTGTGGATCATGATTCCGGGTGTCGGTCTACTTTACTCGGGTATGTCGAGAAAGAAACACGCCCTATCTCTTCTATGGGCATCCATGATGGCCATCTGCTTGGTCTCCTTCCAGTGGTACTTCTGGGGTTACAGTTTGGCGTTCGGTACCGCCCACTCCAAGTTCTTGGGGAGCTTGGAACACTTCTGCTTGATGGGCGTCTTGGGTGAGAACGGCGGTTCTGCTGGCTTGCCTGACATTGTCTTCTGCTTCTTCCAGGGTATGTTCGCCATGATCACCGGTTGCATCATGTTGGGCGGAGCCTGCGAAAGAGCCAGATTGGGTCCTATGATGGTCTTCTTGTTCATCTGGATGACCATCGTCTACTGTCCTGTTGCCATGTGGACCTGGAACACCGACGGATGGTTGAACGTCTTGGGTGCCTACGACTTTGCCGGTGGTGGACCTGTCCATCAGGCCTCCGGTGTCGGTGCCCTAGCTTACGCCCTATGGTGTGGTAAGAGAAGAGACCCTTTGACGCAAAAGGGCATTCCAAAGTACAGACCTCACTCCGTCACCTCGGTTGTCCTCGGTACGGTTTTCCTATGGTTCGGTTGGTTCGGATTCAACGGTGGTTCCTCCGGTGACGCATCCTTAAGAGGTTTCTACGCTAACGTCAACACCAACTTGGCTGCTGCATGTGGTGGTCTGACCTGGATGTTCCTTGACTGGTTCAGATGCGGCCACAAGTGGACCACCATCGGTATGTGTTCCGGTGCCGTGGCAGGCTTGGTTGGTATCACTCCAGCCGCCGGTTTCGTTCCAGTCTATTTTGCAGTTCCTATCGGTTGCATCACAGCAGTGTGCTGCAACTACGGTGTCGACTTGAAGGATATTCTCCACATCGACGATGGTATGGACGTCTTTGCCATCCACGGTATCGGTGGTTTTATCGGTTCGATGCTTACCGGTCTATTTGCTGCAGACTACGTTGCTGCTAGTGATTTCGGTGTCAGCATCAACGGTGGTTGGATCAACCACTACTACAGACAACTAGGTTTGCAATTGGCAGCATGTTGCTCGATCGACCTTTGGTCCTTTGTCGTCACTTCGATCATCTTGAACGTGATGAACAGAATCCCATTCTTGAAGATTAGATTATCCGAAGAAGAAGAAGATCTGGGTACAGATGCCACCCAAATCGGTGAGTTCACCTACCAAGAGTCAAACATGTTCATCCCAGAACCAGTCAGATCTAGGGTCGTTCCAGGTGATGCAAACAATGCTGATGTTAATGCTGTTCCATTACCTGAGAAGTCATCTACAGACGAAGAAAAACATGATACTGATACTGTTTGATATGATGAGCTGAAAAACTGCAAAGTAGTATCTTCTGCTTTCTAGTGTTGCTCAAGTTGTTACCTTGATTCCTCTTAATTTTTCTAACCTTTTTAAACCTTTCAATGTTTTTTCCATTCTCTTAGTTAATCTTTAATGCCACAAATTCCCTTATCCTAATTCATGTAAAACCAAAAATAAGTAAAAATAAGAAAACTTATGTGCTTACATAATACGTCTACATGTTTCCCTTTTAACTTTTGACTCAGTCATGTTCCTTGTTTACTCGTCATGGTTTACTCCTTTTCGAAGCCAAAACTTGTGCTCCGCTCAACGGGTCGAAAAGTTGCTATCATGTCTAGCGTCTCGTCTGATAGCTTGGCAGAGTTTAGGAAAAACTTGCACTTCCTGCTACATAGTAACGATAACGTCCCCAGTGATACACGAAATGCAAAAAGCGTCAAAACACATGGCTCACAAGCTGCTCCGCGAGCGAGAAGACCACCAGTTGAGAATACAGTAATCCCGAAGAAAAAAATACAGTTCAATGATGAATCCTACTTAGGTCAGAAGAGATGGGAGAGAGAGAAAAGAGAATTACATAATACTATCGACGTGAAAAACAACAAAATACTCACATTGAGCAAGGCCAACCTCGAACGGGCAGAAACTATCAAAGTACTGACCGAAAAAGTGGTGCGATTGGAGAGGCTCAATTCCCAGAAAGACGCCCAGATTGACCAGCTAGAAAAAGTCATTTTACGATTGCAGAATCTTTCTCGAGCCAACGAAAATGACATGGTGACACGAAACAATCATCAGGAGGATGATGATTATGGAGAAGCAGGTCTCGAGGAATCCGTTGACTTGACTCCAAACCACTACGACGAAGAAGATTTACACGAATCTACTATTAGTTTACTGAATTCGAAGAACACACTAGATCTGGACAAAGAAATCAACCTGAACACGCAGCAGCTTATGGACCTTGATCTTCGACATCTGTCTTTCCAAAGATCAAGTGCGCAAGGTGGGCCACCCATATACAACTCCAATGCAACCGATCCATACAAGAATGACAGTGATAGTGATCTTGAAAATTACCTGTTTTCTGTCTAGTCCCCTATATCGACCTTATCCTGCCCCATTTGTAACATTCCTGCTTTCGCGACTATCGGCTTAACCGATGGGCAATTTCGGAGATTATTCCTGCTTAACGTGTAACATGATCTGATGATCCACAATCTGTACGCCATTGCCACAATCAGGCTAGTTTCTTGTCGGGGGAACCTTACTGAGATATAAATGACTGTCAGCTTAGAAGATGTCGCTAGTGAGATACAACACCAGTGACTCTTTGGAGCCTACAAAGGATGAGAGAAGCTTATCAATTGTTTATAAGAATAATGTGTCAAATGAAGTGGTCTTATATGACCCTGTTGCAAATAGTTTCCAGGTTGTACAATTGAGGAAAAGTCCAGCCGACAGCGGTTCCAGAAGTGAGAACCTTAGAAGGAATTCGGTTCACTCCATAGGGTACAATCAGGGTATGGAAGACACGAGGATCAACTCAAAGATAAGGCGCTCAAGGCAAGCTAGGCGGAGAAGAAGAAGTGATAATAGAAACCCGAGGAACAACGTCAAAAACTCAATTATAGTGGATTCTATCTCAGACAACGATACATATGAGTCTTCTAATGATGATGATGGTGATGATGGTATGTGTGATACTTTCTTGTGCTCGGTCTGTGGCGCTTACAACCGGGTCTACAAAAAGAAAAATGCAAGCAGTACTCACTTCTCCGATGTCCAATTGAAATCTTTGACGAACGAAACATTAAGTCCGATGAATTTTACAACAACAAGCTCCGGGAATTTCATAAGAGGCGATTACTTCAAGCTTTTGACCAATACCATGAATAGAAGTGTCCCCACAGAAGGACTGATTACTGATGGCACGTATAACAATACAGACCCAGATGAGGTAGACGAATACAATTTCCAAACCATTCCTGCAAACTTGATTAATCAAGGATATTTTGACAAGTTTTTTAAAATCCTGTCCAAGCTAGGAACTGGATCTTTTGGATCTGTGTATAAAGTAGAACATGATTTACTAGGATTGAACCTAGGTGTCTTTGCATTGAAAAAAATTCCAATAGGTGATGACATTAACAATTTGAAAAAAATTCTATCCGAAGTGAAATTCTTATATGATTTGAGTTGCAATTTTTCGGATAACAGTAGTAATAACAATGTGGTCAAATATAACCATGTCTGGGTTGAGATCGACCAAGTTTCGAGGTTTAGTCCGAAAATTCCCGTTGTTTTTCTACTTTTTGAATATTGTGATGGAGGTACTTTGGAGGAATGGGTTGATGCTATCATTAGTCCCAAGTTCAGCCTTTTGGAAGAGAAATTGTGGAGAAAATTAAGATCTAAAGAGAAAAATAAAGCGAATAAGGCAAGATATTTGAACAACTATGAGATTTTCAAAATCTTCAGTGATATAACTCAAGGTTTGAACTATTTACATAGCTTGAGAATATTGCATCGTGACTTAAAACCGTCAAACTGTTTGTTCAAAACAAAATTTATGGATGATTATCAATCATGTCCTGTAACCGCCTTGAATGATTTCGAAAGAATTCCAACCCTACTAGTGTCTGATTTCGGCGAGTCTGTCATGGTTAACTCTATTGAAGAGAATTGGCAGAGTAATATAGAAACAACAGGAACAACAGGAACTTTGGAGTTCTGTGCCCCTGAGATCATTTTACAGAGGAAAAAGGTATACCCGAAGTTTTCCAAGTTTGGTGGTTTTAGTTATGCAAGTGATATTTATTCTCTTGGTATGATTCTATACTATCTTTGTTTTGGAAAATTGCCATTTTCAACCAACAAGTATGATCCCGATGAAATCAGTGATGAAATATTAAGCTCGGGTCTATTTGAAGATCTATGCGAGATACGTCCCCTGGTATCTCACATTGACCATAGCGAGAATTCAGGTACAGGAGCCGATGGTGGATTATTGCAAGATTGGGCTCAGCTAATTGAAGTGATGGTTTCCAAAAATCCAGATGACAGGCCATCGACATCGGAAGTTCTAAATAAACTCGTATCAATTTACGATAAGCTAAACTTCAAAGAAACGTATGCGACTTGTACTAATGCGATTGAGGACGAAGAGAGTGAAGACCATGAATATTTCTACGAATCTGATTACACGACAGACGATGATTTGGAAAGTGAGGTTGGCAGTCACTCGGTAGATGAAAATGTTACACTCAACTCCGGTGCGTTTTTTCATAATGTGTTTTTACATCTTTCTACCTGGATGGTAGTGATGTTCATCATTGACACGATAATTCTCAACCACCTTTCTGAAATATACCCCACGAAAAAGTTGCTGGTGGCAATGAACTTGCAGTTTTTGATTCTAGGATTGTATTTTGGAAAAGCTGGGATTTCATGGCTCCCAGCGTTACAAATTTTCAACACAGTGGTTATCATTATTCTTTGTATAATCTCTAAACTATAGTACATAACCGATTTATAAAATCTCATTCCCTCATGCTGTCAGAATTACCCACATTAATATTAGCACGAGCACGAACTTGCCGTATTTGAAGTAGCATTGCTAAAATTCAAATCTATGATTCCTTTTTTTGACTTATTCTCCTCATCTATATCATAAAACAGAGTATCGTCAATGCTGTTCGTGATATACTCAAACAAATCTATGATTTCCAGGTTTTTCTTAGCACTTGTCTTGAAATAATTCACGACACTTTTGTGCACATTCATGAACTCCTTTATTTGGTCTTCGAATGGACAAGCTTCTCCATTAAGCAAGTCTACCTTATTTCCAACAAGTATAATTTTCATCGTGTCTCTTCCCCTTCCTTCGTTGGAGGCTGGTTCGTCTAGTTCTACTTCTCCTATGTATGTCTCTAGTTCATTTATCCAATATTCTGCTTTCTTGAAACTTTCCAAACTTGTCAAATCGAAAACAAGTAAAGCCGCATTGGAGTTTCGGTAGTAAAGAGGTGTCAAATTATGGAACCGCTCCTGTCCAGCGGTATCCCATATTTGAAGGTTTATAAGGTCTGTCTCACGAACGACCTTCTTTGATATAAAGGCAGCACCAATTGTGGACGATTTGTTATCGTCAAAAGTATTGTTCTGTAGTCTTTCTAGAATGGAAGATTTTCCCACTGATGATTCGCCAAGAAGCACAATTTTGTAATCAACTGTTCTTTTCGGCTTAGTTGTCAGCAACGCATGCTGTCTTCCCGATGGTCTTGTAGCTGACTCCATGTCAGGGTTTTGTTGTTTATGTCGGTGATTCAACGCTTAGTTGAGCAAGAGGAAAAGATGAACAGGACTTAGGCTGCAGAATTCTACAATAACTGTGTATCTTTTTTTATTTTGCGGCGGTGTCGTCTTTTCTGATAAGAGCAGCACCTCTACATTGTTTTGTTTATCTGTCTTGGGGTGATGCCGGAACAGCTTAGAACGACGACCAGAAAACACAAGGGCAAGCAACTGTGTTTACCTTCATATTTGACTAGTGACACACAAAGTGGATAATTGGAAAATGGAGACCGAATTGAAAATATACCCCAATGGCGGAATAGGCAAAATTAAGTTGGGGCGAACGCTTTACGAGGTTATGAATAGCTTGAAAGATGATGATGATGATGATGACATTGAGTTCAAATTTAACGATGAGTTGTGCTTCCTGGTGGTCTACTTGAGCCGTAAGGGAGTAAACCTAATTTTTGATAGCTTCCTTCAAAGATTGATATTGATTGAAGTAAAATTAGACAATTCAGGCTGTTCAGTTTCACCTAATGTTAAATTCGAATACAAGAATGAAATTATCAAGAATTTCAACTTCAAGTTAATTTACAATAGATACATGGGGCCTACATGTGAAGGCTTTTATGATATACAAAAAAGCTCCTACTTTTTATCTTACTGTGGAATAACTTTCAAGTTTGACAATGTGAAAAGTTCACACAATACTAACGAAGTATTGAACACAATGAGTAAGGAATTAAACTGTTCAGCAATCTTCATATACCAGAATACAGAAAAAGACACAAACACGTTTTTGTGGAATAATTACACAGAGTTGTTGCTGAATACATTGAGACACCCTCCCTCAATCAATTATGTTAAAGACTTGGACCAGTTTACCCCTTCAATATGTGATGATGATAAAGGCAAAATCAAAATCAGATACTCTATTTATGATTGCTCCCATGCTGGTGGGCTTGAAATCAAGTTTAACAAACACTCTTTGGGGTTATCTTCATTCAAAATTGAGCTTGGAGTTACCACATTGCAAGAAATGACAAGAGTTTTTGGATTGCCCAGCGATTCCATGCTAAAACGAAAATCACGTTCGAACTGTATTCAGATGAAGAAGTTTAGGTCCAAAGATAACAATGATCACGTATTCGAGTTTACAAGCTCTAGGGCATATTTACCTACTTCTATGATCGAACCGAGGTATGATTATGAAGATATAATAGAAAGCATTACTAGCACGTCCAACGCTTTGGAGAATTTCAATCAAGAAACGGTCAAAATTCACAATTACTTTAATTTTGGTTTTGATGTGATCTATGACTTGAACGCCACAAAGAATGGAACTAACGTTGTCAGTCGTATAATACTACACCAAAATAGGGTGAGATCGGTTGATTTTCTCAAGTATGAGAAACTGACAGTATTTTTACGGAACCAAAATAAGGAATTGGTTACGAATCTTAAGCTGAATGAAATTAGTAACGAGGTGAATTTATCAGGATTGCCCGTGTTTTTAGATCGCAAAGAGTATAATATACAAGAAAACTTTGAATCTGAACTTAAAGAGACCGATAGGATTTTTGAGTTTGTAAACATAGATGAGGAGGAAATTGAAAAAGAAAATGGGGAAACACAGGTCAGTGGTGGTCGCATTGATGAAGATAAGGATGCTGATAGTGAAGAAAATAGTAAGGATAAGGAAAATGAGAATGCAGACTTGAAGTATTGGGGCTTGACTAACTACGATGGAGGTAATGGTGCGATATTTGAAGCACTCAGTAATACCGGTGACTTGTGCACCATTACGTTGTACTAATGAGGAGAGCTCAAAGTAGAAAAAGTTAAAAAGAAAAACAGGGTACTGACATTATTTTTTTGATATATATGGGAGTATATAAATTAATTGAAAAAACCAATCCAGGTTCGTAAAATGAAATCATAATTAAATTGTGGGATTAGGGACGAAGAAAAAAGAGATAACCTTTGGAGAACAACTAAGAATAAAATATAGAAAGAGAAAAATGTAGAATTGAAAAATGGAAAAGTGGTGTAACTAAAGAGGGTGAAAAATAAAGGGATATATGGAAAAGAAGAATGTTTTATACGGATTTCCTTTGAAAGCATTGAACTTAATTTGAAAGATTAAGCAGAGCTTGGATGTAGATTTGGATATAATATTGAGTTTGAATAAGTTTGAGATTGGGAATCTTAATTTTTTTTTGAATGAAATAGATCTACTAAAATAAAGCAATATGTTGGAATGTAATAAGAGATGATAATATCATAATGTAGTGCATCTAAATTACTTTTTTTAGAAAGTGTAACCTGTACCGATATAGTTCTGAATTGATTTGTTGTTCTCAAAATACGAGATCTCAGGGATCTCGACATCAGCATTGATATTAGCCATCTGTTGGAAAATCCTGGAATAATTGAAATTCAACTTGACATCTTTGAGAACGTAACTTTTGAAGTTTTCTAAGCTAATGAATGAGCTGGAGCAAATTTTCCATAACTTGAAGTAAAGGTCGATTCTGTCATTAACCGATTCGAAGTTCGATAAGTATGGAGAGTTAATAGTTGCATCCCTCAAGGCGACCCAATCAGCGTGAGCAATGAATTTCATGCCATTCGAAGCGTTATTTGCCAATAGTTGTCTGAATAGAGTCAAGATACTCATTGAGTCTATATCTACTGATCCACAAGCTTTCAAACAGCATCTGTAAAAGACATTAGTTTTTGAAAATTGATTCGAATTGGCTGTATTCAAAATAAACTCAAAAACTTCTGAATTGTGCCATGAAGTGGATTTCGATAACAACACGTTGATGAATGGTTCGTCAATCAAACGAATGGAATTGTAGTCATCAATCACTGCTCTCAATTCGCTGAAAGACTCATTTGAGAATGCAGGAAATTTTTTGAAAAAAATAGATAAAAAGGCATCATTTAATGAGGAGGACACTGAGGAGTTGGAAGTTTTCTTACTTTCGTAATGTCTCCAGGTAATCAACCAAATCTTCTTTACCTTTTCGTAGTCGTTGGTGATTTCCCATGTGTTTGAGAGGTACTTCTTGATGAAATTCAACTGGAGCGGGGTTAGATATGGCATTGATTCGTTGACTGCATCCTGGAAGAAATAGTCTGCAGTGTCAATGTCTTTGCAAAAGCCAATGAAAGACAAGTGAGCCATTGTCATGTAAGACTTGACATTGATTGGAGGTTCTATGCCTTTGTGGTTGAAAGAATTGTAGACGTCTGAGGTCAATTGCTTGAAGATTGCCAAAGCGTCATTGGTCTGATCTTTGAAAAGGCAGACTCTGATCATTCCGACTTGCAACTCATTATGCAATTTTTCGTTTGCACCTTTGGAGTCCTTGATTTTTTGATACATTTCCCAAATTTCGTTGAAGTCAAAATCGCCTGATTCTACCAAGAAAGGAAAAATGGAGCCCAATACTGGTTCTGAGGTAAACAAATGGTTCAAAGAAGGATTTTTCTTGCCTGTTTCCCAGATGTGGACTGCCTCGTATGTGAACCCTAGATCCTTGTAAGCCTTGAAAAGATGGGTCAAGCCATGGGAGTTCAGGGAAATCAAGCCGTCCAAAAGATTGTAAGAAACCTCTCTGATGGCACAGGTGAGTAAATAGTGAATGTTTTTGATTGGGTTGTTTGAGTCTTTGTCCAAGTTCTTCTTCAACTTCGACAACTCCAAACGGTGAATCCTGAGGCCGTTTCTTAAGAGTGAGACAAACTCGGCCATGCGCTTTTCGTTCAACTGGCCGGAATAGATCAACGACCTATAGATAGGTATGACTTTTTTCACAGCAAACCAGAAATGGCTCACACCTCCAGAAATTTTTCCCGTTGCCAAGTCATAAGTGGAGTTCTGGGCCAAACACTCGTCAAAGAGGGCCAACTGCGAGGCGAACTGGTTGTCCTGTGAGTAGATATTTCCGCTATTGTTGTACTTGCCGGTGCTGTAGGTGTGGTTGTTGCGGTAGCTGTGGTTGCTGTGGGTGCCGTGAGAAGATGCCTGCTTGTGATTGTAGCTGTTATGGTGTTTGTTTGCGTGGGTCTCTGGCTGGAACTGGTGATAGCCTCGGGCGTTGCCGCCGTTGGCCGTCTCGAGCGCCGAGTAAGGCTGGGACTGATAAGAGTCGAAGGTCTGCGGGGCGATCGCCGAGGTCGAGTAGAAGCGGGCCGAGTTTGCGGCGTCAGCGAAGGTGAACTTGCCCACGACGGGCGACTGCTGGGCTCCTGGCGCAGGAGCAGGACCAGACGTCGAAGACGACGACGACGACGCTGTTGCGTGTGGAGGAGCAGCCGGGGTTTGATGGTGCAAGGCTTTAGAAGAGACTCTCTGGGTCTGCTTCAAGCCGGAGGAGGTGAACGTTCTGAGCATTTTGTCTCGGGAACGGAGTCTGTGGGATTATTTTGTCTGTGCAGGAAACCGGAGGCAGAGCAGCTTGGCAGGTGGATAGAAAGTCGTCTAGATGTGTCAGATAATGGATGAGCCAAAAATAGGAGAGTCCTTTTTAAAGTTCTATTTCTTCTGATTTTCTATTTTTCTAGTATTTTTCTCTCTGCGTGACAGAGGGCGTTGTTGCGGGGGCGTTTAAGAAGAATGTTTTCGGTGGCTATACAGAGAGAGATAGTTGTTTCTAGAAGTGAGGAAGCAGAGTAGAGCAGAGAAGGGTAAGACAGAACAGACCCGAACAGAACAGCAGATGGGGGGGCACGACACTGCGACCCAGGCCGCCCCCCGAGCCCCTCTCTATCTATATACGGACCGCAACGTAAGCCCGAGGAAAAGATGGGGCCATCTTCGTGACTCGCGGGACGGGGAAGACGGGGAGAGAGGAGGGGGGGCGAGGCGGGGCGAGAGGAGGCGCCGCGGCCGGTGGGAGTGAGCTGGTGACGGTGACGGTGATGGTGACGGTGACAATAGCAACGGTGACGGGGCCAGGGGTCGGTCACAGTCTTCGTGGCCCCACTTTGCAATACTGTTGTGCTCTCTTGTGGCGGTGCTGCTTACTCGGGCTTACTCGGCGTGGGAAGCGGCCTTCGCAAGGGAAGCGACGGCGGCGTCGAGGGCGTCGGCGTAGGCTCCAAGGTATTCCGGGTCGGTGTAGGAGATCTTGACCACGCTGCTTCCGACAACCTTCATGTGCATCTTGTTGACAAGCTTGGTGGTGTCGGTGACGGCGGTCTCAGGCGAGGAGGGCCCGTACGCAAGGATGTAGACGGGCTTGTCCCGCATCTCGTGGAAGATGTGGTCGAGCATGATCTTAAAGCCGCCCGGGTAGCTGTGGTTTTACACGGGCAAGACGAAGAAGAAGCCGTCGGTGCTCTCGACGGCCTTGGAGAAGGCCCGCACAACCTCGCTCTCGTACTTGTTGATGTCCTCTGGGTTTGTCTGCGTGTTGAACATGAGGGGAGGCAACCCGTTGATCGGCTCGTTGAGCAAGTTGTATGGTTCGAGGGGCGTGAACTCCTGGACCTTGATGTCCGCATACTTGTCGGCAAAGATCTTCTTGATAACGGCCCCGATGTTTTTCCCCGTGCTCACCTTTCTGGTTGAGCCCAGGATCATGGTGATCACAGTCTGCTTGCTTGTAGTCATCTTTGTAGCTGCTGGGATGGTACTGGTGCTACTGGTGCTACTGGTATTTTTTTACCTTCTTTGCTGTTGCAATTGCCCGTGGCTCGTTCTGCTGTTTAGGTTGCCGCCGTCGTCGACGTTCCCTTCTCGTTGCCTCCTCTGCTGCATTTATACCCTGTGCAGCCAGCTGTACTTGCTGCTCCCGCTTAGTAAGAGCTCCGCCTCGTTTCCAGATTTGTCAGCCTCCTAACCGCGACATCACTTTTGTCGTGCAGTGCCTCACCGAGCTTCATCATAGTTTTCTTTTGTACAGGCTCTACATCAGATACATACAGTTCGGACAACAGGCAGAACGGCGAATACCGGCCGTTCAGCGGCGTCCAGCCCCGGCCTTCCTGCCGCTGAACTTCACCTTGGCGTTCCCGTTGAACCCGGGGAAACCCTGAAAGCCCGGGAAGCCGTCAAACCCATTGAACCCCTGAAACTGGAACCCGCCGCCTTGACCTCCAAAGTGCTGCTGTTGATGCTGCTGCTGCCATTGCTGTCTTTGTCGTGCGTTCTCCGGATCATTCGGGTCTTCTCCGTGGCGGTCGTAGTTGGCCCGCTTTTCCTCGTCTGAGAGAATTTCGTACGCGTTGTTGATCTCTGCCACTCGTGTCTCGATCTCCTCCTCGCTCAACTCCTTGCTCCCTTCCTTTTTCATCTGTTGCTTCACCTTGTCCGGATGGTTCTCTTTCATCTTCTGACGGTATGCCTTCTTAATCTCATCTGCGTTGGCGTCCTTGCCAATACCTAAGATCTTGTAGTAATCGTTCTTAGGCGTGAAGGGCTTACTCGGACGCTGCTGTTGCTGTTGATGCTGCTGGTGGTGGTGATGCTGTTGTTGATGTTGATGACGCTGTTGTTGTTGCTGTTGTTGCTGAAGTATTTCCTCAAACCGCTTCTGACGCTCTCGGATCAGTCTACACAACTTCATCGAATTGGGCAGGCTGTCTAGCAATCCTTTTGCCTTATCCATCTTCTTCTTCTTCAAGTAACTCTCCAACTCTCGTGCAATATCAACAACGTCTCTGCCACTTTGGCTGCTGTGTTCAACCTTTTTGAAGTATTTGCTTTGTAGGATTATCTGGTTTTTCTTGTACTTATCGAATTCACCAATCTGGTAATACGCTTCCTTGCTCAATTTGAAAAGGTCCTTCAGAAAAGAAGAACTCCAAATCTCCTTCTCCTTAAACCCAATCTGTTTGCTGAAGCTAACAAAGAGCTCGATGAGAATATCGAAATTACTTTTGAAACTGTCAATATCCAACCCGTATGCTGCAAACGCCTTTCTATCAGATGCATTTTTTATCTTTATCTTCTTGTCACCGTCGAAAAGAAGGCTTACCACCTCTTTCCACTCTTCAATACTCAATTCAGTATCATTTACTCTCTCACCATCGACTGTTTCATCGGTGTTACTATATACAAATGAATAGTAGATCGAAATATCTTTCAGCAATTTCATCAACTTGTTCAATTTGATATTGACCTTGTTCAAACTCCTACACTCATCAAACTCATTGTCTATTTTCAAGCAGTTTCTTAGAATCTTTTCCGTTTGCAAACTGTAAATTCCGGTTATCCCAAAAAACTCCATTTCTCCCAACATGACGAAATCGTGTAAATCAACATCTGTGACTTCTTCATTGACTAATTTGTTGAGGTCTTCGCTCAATAGCTTGGCTCTCAAATCGTAACTGCTCACACTTTCATCCTCCTTATCTCCAAAGCTATCAGTCAGTAGCAAGCATCGAATTCTATTTCTGATAACTTTGTCGTCGTTTGCCCCAATTTTTGCCAACTCGTCCGAAATATCAATACAAGCTCTCCAATCTCTTGACCTTATAGCATCCTCAAAAAGCTCCAATTCATTTTTATATCTGCTCAACACATCTTTGGCGTCATTGTAAATTTTTTTGTTGATTAATTTGCTGATTTTCGTATCGTCTAGTTTGGTTACTTCGTCCTGGACTTGGTTGAAATGACCGAGCTTCAAACCTAGAGAAGTGAATTTTTCAAAACAACCATTATGAACAACAAACTCTTGACTGTTTTCGTTCCTGTTTACGATACACGAATGGAAGTCGTTGTATGCCAACCTTTCACGTTTCAAGATGAGATTTATCACACCGTGCCTGAACTTTGTGTTTCCGATTTTTTGAAGGATCCCATTACTTTCATCCTTAAAATCGCTGGAAGAGAGAAGCTTTTCGAGATCATTTATGGCAACGTCATAGTCATCCAAGATATCCAGAGATGCACCATTGCTTTTGAACTTTAGATCGATTTCATCTAATCTATTCGAGATCTCATTTTCTGATTTATTCACTGAACTACCAATTGTCAAGGGAATCAGTCCTATAAGTAAAAAATCAAATAATCTCATGTATTGATTACTGAATGTTTGCTCCGTTTCTCTGGTATTACAAACAAGAATTTGAATCAAGAGGATGATAACGGTTGGAAATGGGATTGAAATATTCCTTTTTTGACACGTTGTAGGTATAACAGCATACTACTATTCAAATCTCTAGAAATTTCCGCGTCTATCGGTTTTGTTACGTAACATTGTACACTCGTTTTCTGAGGTTCTTGCCTCTGTTCTACAAAAAATTATTGCCGAACACCAAGATAAAAACGTTAGCTTCCACATTTTCTTCTGCACTTTACCCTCTGGTGTATTAAACCTGCTGAGAGTAAGAAAAATCTGTATGTTTTGAATCCTAGTTCCAATAGCACCCGTGATTGCCAAAGGAGCAGAAGTTTCCCCTCTAATGTTTAAAAGTGTCTACACTTGCACGTTACTGCATTGCCCTTTTCAAACTATGTAATCAGCACCGTGGCGCAGTGGAAGCGCGCAGGGCTCATAACCCTGATGTCGTTGGATCGAAACCAACCGGTGCTAACTTTTTTATTTTTTTGCAGTGTTCCTGGCATTTTACCACATATGGAGGCCGCGCGCGTGGCATCAACTCACATCTTTTTGGCTTCCGGAACGGTGCCTTGTTGTCGAACACAGAAAGAGCCTTTGATTTCTTCTGTTCGTGATGGTTATGCACTGATCTATCTGTTGTGCAATTCAGGGACCGTTTTTCAAAGATTCCAGCAGACACAGACACATAAGACACTGCACGATGGCTGGATACACGAAGCTCTTCTGTGCGCTGACGGTGTTTTTATCAGCGTCGGCCAACGGCTTCTACTTGCCAGGTGTTGCGCCCACGTCTTATAACGAGGGTGACGCAGTGCAACTTTCTGTTAACCACATCACCCCCTCGCTGATGAAAGCAGACGAAGACAGTGCCACATTTCTATACTCGTTTGACTATTATTTTGAGAGATTTCATTTCTGTGTGCCGGAAGAGGGCAAGCAAAAACAATCCGAGTCGTTGGGTTCAATTCTATTTGGTGATCGAATCTTCAATTCACCTTTTGAATTGAAACTACTACAAAACACCACCTGTAACAAACTATGTACAGTCACATACCCAGCAGAAGACGCATCGTTTGTTAACAAATATATCAGGGCCGGGTTTCAATTCAATATGATGATCGATGGGTTGCCTGTTGCCAAAGAATTGATGGATTCGCAAACGGACGACATCTTCTACAGCTCTGGCTTCAATATTGGTTACGACGATAAGGAAAATCTACCTCACCTATACAATCATTATGACTTTTTCATCGAATACCACCCAAGATCTGATGGAAGCTACAGAGTTGTCGGTGCTACTGTAGATGCAACATCCATCCAGTATATTGATCCAGATGAAATCAACTGTAACGCAGAAGTGTTTGAGCCAGTGCGTTTGAAGGAAGATGAACAAACAGATGTCACTTTCTCATACTCAGTCTACTGGGTTCCATCAGATACTGCATGGGCAACAAGATGGGATAAATACTTGCATGTCTACGACCCAAAAATCCAATGGTTTGCGTTACTAAACTTTTCCTTGATTGTGGTCTTTTTATCCATTATAATGTCCCACATTTTACTCAAAACTTTGCGGAATGATATCAAAAAGTACAATGAGGTCAATCTTGATGACGATATGATAGACGAGATGGGCTGGAAATTGATCTATGGTGATGTGTTCAGACCCCCAAAGAACCCAATGCTTTTATCCGTTTTAGTTGGGTCAGGTGTTCAGATTCTATTAATGGCGCTAACGTCATGTTTTTTGGCTGCCTTTGGTCTTTTATCACCTTCCAATAGAGGTTCTTTGGCCACCGTCATGTTTGTCTTATACTCTCTCTATGGTTTAATTGGTTCTTACTATTCTGCATATGTCTACAAATTCTTCCAAGGCCAAGATTGGAAAATCAACATGTTCCTTACACCGGTTCTCGTTCCGGGAACCATTTTCAGTATTTTCATCTTAATTAACTTCTTCTTGATTTCTGTTCACTCTTCTGGTGCTGTTCCTGCCGGTACAATGTTGGCAGTTTTCTTGATTTGGTTTGCTGTCAGTATTCCATATTCCTGCATTGGCTCACTTCTGGCATTGAAGAAGAAGGCCATCGAGCTTCCTGTCAAGGTTAACCAAATAGCTCGGCAGATCCCTCCACAACCATGGTATATGAGGACAAGATACCTGGCACTAATTGCAGGTATCTTCCCATTTGGCGCCATTGCAATCGAAATGTACTTCATCTACAACTCTATTTGGTTCAACAGAATCTTCTACATGTTTGGATTTCTCTTCTTCTGCTTTCTTTTGATGTTGGTCACATGCATGCTAGTTACGTTGTCATTAATTTACTTCTCACTGTGTAACGAGAACTACAACTGGCAATGGAAATCATTTTTTGTCAGCTCTGGTATTGCCATCTACGTCTTTCTGCATGCAATCATCCTGTCAAGGTTGAAGTTGGGCGGACTAACTTCAATTGTTTTATACGTTGGGTATTCTATGCTAATTGCCGCTACCGTTGGTATCATGTGCGGAACTGTCGGCTTCCTGAGTTCTATGTACTTGACGTTGAACATCTACGGTCAAATTAAAGTAGACTAATCCAAAACCTGACATTGCGAAACACACGCCAGTCAAAAACAGACACTGTTTATTTTTCCCACATACCTATATAACTACAACATTTAAAATAAGCTACAAAGTAAAAAAACAAGCATCGTAGAGCTTACTATTGCCATTTTATGGTACTCTCTTCTCCTATACTACATCCTCCTCGACTCCGGCCTCGGCGGAAAGATTTTTCAGGCGGTGCAGCGGGTTTGTGTGGGGAAATTCTCGAGCGTCTCCAGATGTCACAGAGTCGAGGAATTGGACGTCGAGCGATGACGACGAGGGTGGAGGTGCAGAGTGACATGAAGGGCCCAGATACAAAAGCTGGGATTTGAGGGGTTTGCATGTTGGGGCTAAAGTCGGTCTCTCAAAAAATATTGTTTCTCTTTTTTGGTATATACGTTGCGCATCATGTCTGAAGAGCAGCAAGAGCAAGAGCAGCAGCAGCAGACTGTCGATGAGAAAATCGTCAGCCTAAAGATACAGCTTCCAGAGGCTGATGAAAGCCTAGAGATTCCATGCTCTGTTGAAGACTCTCTTTTCGACATCGTCGAAACTTTGAAAGTTCTTCCATCAACTAGAGAGTACACTTCATATCAGTTGAAAATAGACAATAAGGCATACGGTGAGGAAACCATCATTTCCGAGTTGGTTAAGGATAGTGAAGAAACCATCTACATTTCTTTAGTGTTCTCACCATACAACGAGATAACCGCAAGAAAGCATGTCATCGCTGCCAGAGAATATGCTGGGTTGGAGTCTAAAGATGATGCCTTTGCGGAAATTTCTGGTGTTTGCTCCGGAGCCTCTACTTATGAAGACTTGGGTTTGGAAGAATCTACTCCCGCTGCACCAAAAACAGACAAAGAAGCAGAGGACGAAAAGGGAAATGTAGAGGAAGAAAGGCAAGGCAATGAAATCATTAAGGACTTTACTGAAGAACAAAAGTCCCAGCTTTCTGAACTTGTGAATGAAATCTGCGACCTTAAACCAGATTTGAAGGTCGTTGCTGCTAAACCTAACCTCAAAACTTCTCCAGCACTGAAATCTTTGTTTTTTTCTCAATGGTGTCCTTCTGACTTAAGAAGAAAAGTTGCTGGTGACCTTTTCTATTTACAAGCACAAACTTTAGAGGGAGAAAATTTCAACATCACTGCTCACGTCAGTGGTTTCTTCGTTAACAACTCATCAAACACTAAATTTGATGGTTCTGTCCACTCGTTCAATTCTACCAGAGTAGTTAAGAATTATTCATTGATTTCTTTGTTGAAAACATTATCCCCAATGTTTGAAAAGCAGATTGAACAAAACAACTTAGAGTTATCTAAGCACGCAATTGAAACATATATTGTTCCAAATACCACTACTGTTACATCGCCATGGTTGGTGAACTCACTGGAATCATCTACTCCAGATTTAGGTAGATCTCAATACAACCTTTTACATGGTGGTATTGATGGTGCAGACTTACAAGTCGACTGGAACAAAGATTATCAATTACTTAGAGATATCCCTAAAACAAATCTTACCCAGAGGTACAGTAGAGAGCAATCTCTTATATCCACAAGCTCCAGCTTTACCTCTGCTGCCACCAAGAGTGCTATGGCCGTTGTCAGAGGTGAAATCGATCCTATTAACCCAGAGGAAGAGTCTGAATACCATATTTTTTTGAGAAATGGTATCTTCTATTCCAAAGCCATCGATTCAATTGGCCAATTCAAATCAACAGGTGGAGATGAAGCTGCGAGGTCGACTGTCGCTAAAGATGTTGCGGCTTTGAGGTATTTGAACAGGTATGATATTGGTGGAGTTCATTCTTTATTGACTACAATTGTTGACTATTTGGGTCACAGAATTGTTTGCCAAGCACCAGTTCCTGGTATTTTTCAGGATAGCGAGGATGAGAATGCTGAACCAGTACAAAGCGTTAAGTATGGTTTCATTGACGATCATTCGGATGTAGTCACCGATGAAACTTTTGCAGAACAATTCAAGGAGGTAGGTGAAGCTTTCCACCTAAAACCGCACAAAATTTGGAACTTAGACGGCTCTAAAGTAGTTGATGTGGTGACTTCGGGTTACACTAAAGGTACGAAAGGATCTGATAACAAGTCATATATTATCGATCTGTTCAGAACCACTCCTCTAGATATTGAATTTATTGATGAGAATTATGATGTATCGAAAAAAGACTCCTATCCTCACAGAGAGACTTTATTGAGACATGAAGCTATCAATGAATGGATTAAGAGAGAGACACTTCTTGCAGTCAAAAAGGAAACTGAAAGATTGGAAAAGGAAGGTAAGTCAAACTCCGAAATCAAAGAAACTATTGGTGTTGATAACTCCATCTTCTTGCTAAATCCAGATGCGTTTTCATTAACTCCGGCACCAACTCCAGAGTTAGCAGAAGAGTTGAAATCAGATGAGGGTAAGGTCAGAGAAGTTTCCAAGTTCGTCAACCAAGTTTTAGTCCCTGAGTTCATTAAGGAGATGGAGAAGGCCCAGGTTTACAATGCCATTGACGGCTCTCATTTGTCTGCAATTCTTCACGAATATGGTATCAACATTAGATACTTGGGTAAGATTGCTAACTTGGCTGCAGAAAGAAAAGAAGCCTACTTGAAAGAACAAGAATCGAAAGCAGCTGAAATCGAGAAAATTAATGAAAGAGCTTTGGAGAAAGACGAAAAAGAAATTGCTGAAAAGAAGGCTAAACTCGAGGCTAGACTGAAAGCAAGGAAGGAAGCCGCTGAAAAAGGTGAGCCTATTCCAGATTTCAAGGAAGAAGAAGAAAAAGAGGCTAAGGAGGCTGAAGCTGCAGAAAAAGAATTGTCAACTGAACTTAACACTATTCCGGTTCCAGCGTTATTGGATTCACTATATGTCCTTTCGATCAACGAAATGATTGCAAGAGCTGCTAAGCACTTTTTGAGAAAAGCACTTGAGTTTGTTCCTTTACCTCTTGCCCCATATGTGATTTCTCACGTTCACAACTGTTTACTTTCTTCAAAAGCTAACCCAAATCCGGAAGCACCTAAATTAGATTCTTTCTTGGCTGAAGTGTACAACGATGTTGACCTTTCAATTTTGAAGCAAAACTCAAAATCAATTGCGGAATCTATTTCTCAAGAGGTTCATATCAGATACAGATTTGACTTACCAACAAATTGGAGTGATCTAATCTTGGTCGAACAATTAATGAGATCTATCGCACTCAAGTTTGGTATTCAATGGAGGGAGAGAGCTTATGCTTTCACCAAGGAAGCATTAAGTTCTCAGATTGAAAATCTAACAAATGAATTTAACGCTGCTGCGGCAACCTCCTCACACACCAGCAAATATGATGATAAGCATTCTAAGAAGAAGGGCAGAAAATCCTCTCCAAAAGCCGAAATTCCAACTGAAGTTACGGTAATAAGCACAACTTTTGTTCCTGAAGATATAGTCTGTATTGCCCCTGTGGTTAAGAACTCTATCTTTGAATCAACTTCTGTTCCAGATGCATGGGAGACTGGTGTTTTAAAACTATCCAGTCAAGATGAAGCCCAAGTTCAAGAAGGCTCAATTTTTATCAACCAAGCTGTTCAGTTTTGTGAAAGACTTTATGGTCCTGTTCATAACATTACTGCCACTTACTTGACAAAACTAGGAAATCTTTATGCTTCATCCGGTGCTGAGTACGACGCAGTTGACCTCTTTAAAAAATCATTCCAGATTTTTGAGAGATGTGCAGGTATTGATTCTTTCCAAGCTGCTCTGGCATTAAGTCAATTGGCAAATGCTTATGTTTCAAACAAGCAAATAATCAATGCTGTCAAAATCTACAAGAGATTGATTCAATACTGGATTTTGGCATTTGATGAATACCATCCTAACGTTATTACTATTCTTACCTCTGTTGCCGTTATATTAATGAAACTTGAAATGACTAGTGATGCTATAAAAGTTTTCACCAAAACCTTGAAACTCAGTGATAAACTAAACGGTGAACTTAGTCAACAATCTGCGTTCTTCAGATATCAATTGTCTCAGCTTCTTCTCTCAGATAAGAAATTCCAGGAAGCTTTTGACTGTGCCGAAAAAGCTTTTGAAGGTTTCAAAGCTACCCTGGGTCTGGAAGATAAGTCTACTGTTGATGCCAAGAAATTGGCTGTTGGTTTGAAGAACTACAACGAATACATGAAATACCAAGCAAAGAATTTGCAAGAAAAGGAACAAGAAGCTAGAAAATTGGAACAACAACAACACATTAAGGCTAAACAAGCACAAAAGGCCAAGCAGGTGAATCCTGATCCTGAAATTGCCAACAAGAGCATTGATGACATTGTTGCCTTCATTAGCGGCTCTAATAACGCTAGCAAGAAGAAGAAGAGCAACAAGAAGAAAACCTCTAAAAAATAGTTAGACTCTAGATTTTAATGCGTGTATGTATTTCTGTATAACTTGTCCATAAATTGTTCGTATTGTTTTAGATGTTGAGGATACCCATCTTTATTTTTAGTTTTACAATCTGTATCTATGATATTTTATTTTCTATAGTTGACGATTTGATCCATCGTCAGTGTTTTATCATAATTCCTCATCGCCTTCAACATCACCAAATTGCCAGCAACCTACGTGAAGTGACTTTGCCTGTTCTTCCAAAGCAAGCAATTCATCACGCTCTTTGCTCAACAGCAATTCAAATGGAGCCAAATTCTTCTTTTTGACCAAACCCCAACCTTGAGAAACCATTTCTTTGTTAACAGACTGCGAGGGGTTTTTGGAGATGACTTCAGGTTGATAGAGCTCGACATCATACTCAACGCCCGAAATCGGGTTGTTGAAGGTAACACAGGCAACAACTTGAGAATCTAGCAAAGTGTCTTCTAAGAAGTAGATAGCCTCTTTGTAGTAATCCTCTTGGTTTGCTGGAGGCATGTTTACTAACGATAACTGAGCAATATGTGCTTGCGGTCTGTAGTTAGAGACAGAAAATTCAGCTGGTAAAACACGAATATCAGACAGTGGTATGACTTCGATTGTTCCGTAATCCAAGTGCTGAACTTTAACAGTTTTCTCTGCTTTTCTCACTTCAAGCAACTTAGCTCTGTATAATTTTCCATTGTCCTTCAACTTTGCTGCAACCACCTCATTACGCTTAGGCGATGAAACATGTGGGAAGCTAGCGGAGACAGAGTGTAATTTTTGCATGAACGACTTAAGTTTCTCCTTTTCTGCATTAAGAATATGCAATGCAATCAGGCCGTTATCGAGAATTTCACAAACCTCGGCATCAAGGTATTGTTTCTCAATCCTAAGGCTTTTCAGTTGCTCTGCTAACTTCTCCGGGGACGATGCTTCTGTGGCCGGATCGTAGTTTTCCCAGATTCCAACTTTCTTCTCTTTGGCTTCATCTTCTGCAGCTTTTAATTGAGAGCCGTATTTGTTATCAAAAAGAGATCTTTCATGGGTTTCAGCTAAACCTTCTCTCAAAAGATTTGCTTGAAATGGTGTCGTGGAACTGGGCAAAAATATGTTCCCAATGAATCCACCGACCTTGTCAACACCGTAAATTTCAACCGTCACATCTCTTTGGTAAAATTTCTTACTAGCAAGTTCAAGTGACTTCTTTGAGATATCGTCATTTTTATTTGGAGCGTTAGCTAACCCCCCTAAAACCAAAATGAGTTTGATGCCTTCTTTAGGAAGGTTGATTCTGAATCTTGTGCCTGAGAAGACGTGGTCGACAATACCTGTAATTTTATTTCGACTCTGAAACGAGAACAAGTAAGGTTTGGCTCTTAGTGCTGTTTCAGAGGCATCAACAAGATTTTCAGATGGTGGAACTTTCCCATGAATACCTCTTTTACCTTTGACGGCCATTGTTTCAGTCTCAATCAAACCGTCCCAGTAATCGGGCTTTATTTCGCCTCTTCTGTGTCTAATAACACTTGCATAACCACTGGAAACAATATCTTCATTGATATTTTGTCCAGCTGAAGTTCTGATAGTGACCAACGGTCTTTCCTCAAATTGCTCGTTTCCTTCTCTGATAGACTCGACAGTAGCATCAACGTGTTTGCCTATAAGTTTTTGTCTGACGTATTCTTTAGCCGCTTGAGCAAAAGGTGCAGCTAATGGGTCAGACATTCTCGGTGCTCTCAAAGAAATTAGCTGAACGGTAATCTCTTTGGCATCCTTCAATCTTAAAACTACCGTATCGGAAGAGATTATTCTGGCAACGACAGCATCAATTCTTTTACCAATTTTGACATCTGAACCATCTGTATCAGACTTGTCAAATGCAGAAGCCTGCTTCTTCCAAATGTGTTTCCCCAAATTACGAGCTTCTTTCTCTTCCTTACGAAATGCAGTCATCTCCTTAACTCCAATTAGAGAAGATTGCCAGTCGACAACTTCAGCAAAGCCCTCCTCCAGAAGTTTATCTGCAATGTTACCGTTTGGATGAATGACTTTAGCAACGAATGCCCCTGACAATGATTCACCAAGAAGTTGGACGTTGATAGATCTTGATAAAAGCCTAGATTCCACATAAGATTTTGCCTCATCACCATACTCCGCTGCAGGTTCAGTACTGCTGGAGCTTCTTGGTGTTTTCACACCTGCGATAAGGACTGGAATAACACAATGCTGTCTAGAGGACAACAATAGTCTCACTAGCAATCTGTCACCACTAAGAACTTTTTCAACAATCGAAGGAATTTCCTTAGCGTCTGCGCCTACAAGTGATGCATTAGGCCTTTCTTCTAATTCAATTCTTTTATAATTCGGATCCCAAATCCCCAATTTAGCAGCTTCAGCTTCTTTCTGAACCTTTCTAAAATGGTCGACATCTTCATCATCGAATGAATTGATATTGTCCCTTAGCTTTGCGGCACCCTTAGACAAAACAAAATCAATTAATGACTGGAATATAGGAGTAGAAACATCCCCAAACTCTCTATTTGAAGCATTTTTATAAAGTACCCAAAACTTGACTTGTTTTCCGACAAGCAGAGTTCTCAAAAGCTCTCTTGCTTCAAATGCGTATTTTTCATTGGACTGTAATCTTGGAGATTGTAAGTACGCCAAAGATAGTATACGTTCCTGGGTACCAGTGGCCGAAGTTAAAACAAGCGTATCGGCGGAAAGAACACTTTTGACTTTAGCAAAGAATACTTGAACCATTCTGAGTTTATTCTGCGTGAAGACCTTACACTGAGAAGATAATTGCAAAGATCTTTATTGCATCGAACACGTATCCATACTAGATCTGATGTCGAGTTTTAGGAACCTCGAGGATGCTAGGTGCGAAAGAGGACGGCCAAACTGAGAGCCTTGGCCAAAATGGGATATGGCGAAGTTTGAGGGCGCGATAACAAAAAATAAGAAAGTATTTTTTAGAGGTCGGTTGACAACGGGAGCCACAAAACGAACCAGTACTTCTTTCAGTATCACGTAGCCAAAAAAATGCACTTTTCTTTCTATCAGTGCGCAATCTAGTAATTTCAATTATTAAATACACAGTTAACTGAAAGTATATCATGAATCTAGTAAATTTTGGCTGTCTAGTTTTGACTTGATTTTAGCGAGTAGTCCATCATCCCTTTGAAGCCAGGAAACGGATGCGTTGCTGGAAGAGTCCGAGTGTAACTGGTCGTCTATTCTCCACACAATCATCTGCGATTGAATAGGCTGCTCATCAGGATTGAGCTCTTTGATGGATAGTAGCAACCAAAGAACGAGTCTGCGATTTCTAGAAAGACCAAAATTTTCCAAATTAGGATTGTTAATCTGCAATTTCAATGGGTTTTCTGACTCGTAATAAGATGGCTCAAGATTATTTTTCTGTAATTGTCCATCTATATCTGTCCTGTTGTATGTCAGATAAACATACGCAATTCTTTGCATTAAATAGCCGTTGGACAAATTATCAAAGAGCTTTGAGTCTATAATTTTCTTGAATAGAATCATTGATTCATTATAGTACGTCTCAACATTGGGTGATGTCAACGCAGACTCGTTTAGTGCCGTATTATAGTCAGTCTCTCGGCCCAAGTGAAAATATAATTCTGCTGCAATTATCGTTAAACGTAAGGTGTAAGTTTTCAGATTGCATCTTGAGAGATATGAGTAGAACGACGAGTCAAGCATAGGAGTTATCACAGTTGATATCATTTTAGGAGTTATAGGTTGTGCACCAGTTCCCGACTTGCCACTGGCTCCTAACAAAAGCGAAAAAACACTGTATTCTTGCAACGAAGAGAGATGTGCATAGGCTTTGTCATTTAACATATTTTTTTTGATTAAACCGTAAATGGTGTAGGCATTCTTATAATCTCCCAACATAAAATACCAATCTGCAAGCTTTCTTAAAATCATTTCAGGAGACTCTGCCAAATAGTAACCTCCCGTACTGTCATATGAGATTTTTGTATTGTTATTTTCTTTATCGCTAGTATTTACCGATTGATTAGATCCAAACGAGAAAAAAGAACTTTTGTTACTACTTCCCCACTTCCTTCCGCCAAAAATTCTTCCTGTTAAACTGGTACGAGGTGTAACAATCTCATCATTCCATTGCTTTATTTTACTATTCATGAACAGAAGTAAATCCTTTGAAATTATTTCCTGCAACGGTCTTTTCCATGAATCAAATGCCTTTTTTCCTATAATCAGTACACCTGGATCTTTTTCCTTCGACTCGAGTGTTGCTTTTCTGAATAAAGAGGGAATCAACCTTATTGCTGTAGGTCCTTCTAAAACTTCGTTGCTTTCCACATTTAGAGGTATCACTGTGCTGCGCCTTCCAAGTCTTACTTTCATGTCTTCTTGAATCTTGAGTGCATTTTGCAAAGTTTCATTATCATTTTCATCAACTAGTATAATGGTGTGCTGCATAATCGATGAGATATCTAACCACTTGGGAAGGTCGGATGAGTTTAGGCTGGAGGTTAGTTCTTCGATTTTACTTTTTGAATCATTTCCAGATATAACGACCAATTGCATCACTGGATGATTGAAACATTCAAAAGATGACATATTCTGCGATAGACACAGTAGGGAAATAAGTTTCAAGTATATGCTGTTCTGTAAGTTACTTATTTTGTTGTAGTTTTCTTTATAAGAAGTATAGTTTGGTGGATCGCTGAATTTCTCGATACTGGTGTCAATGACCCGAACATAGTCTTTCAGGTCTTCACTAAATTCTTTCAAATCAAATAACTCTTCAAAATTGAGATTGTTGTTGCTAGTTCTCCGAAACACATCGCCAACGAATCTTACACATCCCGAGCCGGCAAGATTTGCAGAAGGGTTCACAGAACTGGGTGTACAGTTGATGGTGTTGATATAATTGCTCCCATAAGCAAAAATACTTTCAAAAAAACTGAATAGGTGTTGAACATTACTCACGTCGCCAAATTTTTTAGCCATCAAGTCAGCTGAAGCTGAGCTGATGACTGAAATTTTTGGAGCATAGGCAGTGAGTAGTAGTTGTTGCACATTATGAGGAGAGGATCCACAAATATCCACTGCGGAGCCTGCGGTTCTTGAAATAGAGCCATAAATAGTGGGTATTGGTAAATCCATGACTTGTTTCCCCAATAAATTAGTTCAAGAGGATAGTAGACAACTTTAAGTACTTCACTTCTGGACCTACTCAACATAAAAAGCTTGAAGTGTTTATTTTCCTTGCGATTTTGATTGATCTTTTACGCGAACATGTTTTCTTCATCAACTGTTGATAAGCGCTGAAACACTTTTTTGTAAACGAATCTGCGAGAAGAAATAAACCATTTTTATTAGTTTGCTTTTTATCAAAAAGCAGAAGTGTTTATAGAATATAATATACAATTTTTGTCAGCCTGCACTGGAAAAATTATTGCAAGACTTGCTAGTAATAACAATTTAAAGAAAAGAAAGCAAAGAAAGCAAAGAAAGAGGGAGGGAAATATTTCCAGCATTGTTCACAGAGCTATGCTTTTCATGATACATGGTAGTTTGGAGAGCACTAACTAGACTCGATGTTTGCACTGGGTACAGTCTTTCCTCTGTAAAAAAACTAATCTTCACCGGTTAGTTTTAGACCCTCAAGTTTCTCTTCACCGTTTGAGGTCAGCATAAGGTATAGCATACCAGCTCCAGATAAAAGCATCAGGGTACCTACAGCTAAAGCACATCCCACACCTGTTACTTGCCCATTGGTGAATTCTGAAGTGTTCTTCCGCAGCGGCGGATGTGCAGTCATTGAAGGAGAATGAGTCGAGGAACTGGTGCTTGACGAAGAGGTTGACGTGAACGGCCCATCGTAAATAAACATCGTTGTCATCTTGACAACAGATTTGGCGATTGCCTTATTCACGTCTAGATCATTGGCAAATATGGTGTACGGTAACCACATTTGCCCATTCCATATAGCACTAGAAACCAATCCATAATTGGTAACATTGAACCTACCACTTAAAAGTAGAATTTGTGTATTGTAGAAAGTTGTATCACTACTGGACCCATCGAGCAATGCAATATCAGTAAATTCTGCGTTCATCAAGTCTAAACCCCCTGAAAGGGATGTCCATTTAGAGTCATTGAAAAAGCCGATGTAGTCAGCACCCATCACGACTATAACGTCGTTCAACGTTTTGTTAGTTTTCCTTTCATCACCAAAAATGAATTTTTGAACAGGGTCAGGAAGCTGAGAAGAAAAGTGGTCGAGGGTCAGCACAGTATTATTTGAAGTATCGTAGTAACCCATATATGCTTGCTTTTCTTCGGCTGTGAAATTACCACCTAATAATACTTTGTATGAGCTATAATAGTTCGCTGATGAAATTGAACCAGAAAGATTTGAAACGGTACGGTTGATAGTCAAAGAGTTTGAGTTATTACCAAAGGTGCAAACTGCGTTGCAGTTTCCAACCGAAAAGTCACCCACACCTATGATATTACCAAACTCAGGATCAACTGTCATATCAGAAATATGCCCAGTAAATGATTCATTCAATGTCTTTATAGTATCGTTTTCCATATCATAGATTGCCAGCCCATTGATTGTTTGTGCATGAAACATACTTGTACTGTTGAAAGCAAATAATAAGTTTGATTTGTACCATAACAGTGATGTAATTGCAGCGTCATCATCGAGATGAAGGTTCTCGGTCAATATAGAACTTGAGCCATTGGACAACCTGTACAAGTTTGATCCACCAATTACTGTTTCTCCATCACCAACATAAACTCCAGATACAAATTCACTATCTCTTGAAGTATTCACTGGACTCAATTCCGAATTTTTGATTTGTGCAATATTATTAGATGCCATGTCAAACATGACAATTGAACCTAAGACATACGATTTGTCTGAATCGTTGCCAAATTGCCAATCTGCATTAGCTGAATCTAACGATGAGAATATATTCATCATCAAGGTCGAAGTGTTTTCAAATGCTTCATTGGAAGTAAAATCATATATGCTAGGTGCTAAGCTCGAATCATTATAATTGAGAATCAAGTATTCTGTGTCATTAAATACAAATCCTGAAAGCTGGTTCACTTTGTCCGAGTTGGTAATATTCAGTGTACGTACGCTATTATTGTAGCTGTCATAGACAACCGAGCCCTGAAGGGATAATGAGCTGGTTTTCGAGAGATTCTTGAAATTATCGAAGTCTCCTATCATCACAAACTCTTCAGTGGGCCCATATAAACTGGTGACTTTGCCATCTGTGCCGCCCTCAATAGAGAAAAAGCCAGACAATTCAATTTGATCTGTATAGTTGCTTGATTCATTGATTCTTGAACCCAATATACCACCACCATATACAGACTCAAAGTCACCAGCAATAAGCAGCGAGGTCTCATTTATGATAAGTGCATTGATGGTGGCATTTGAGCTTACCATATTGCCGATTAAGTTTACACTTGAATTTCCTATGGGATACTCGATATCATCTGAAAAGTTGCTTGGCACATATTCTAGTAAACCATTGATGTTAATGAGATCTGATTTTTGAGCTTGATATTCTCTGCTGATATTTCCTGTGATGTCCTTCAATTCAAGTTGAATGTAATCAAATTGAACCGAGTCGGCAACAAAATATGTCGTCTCACTAGTACCCACAGCAGAATAGAAAACCATATCAATATATACGGGTAGATTAGCAGCTTCTAATGTTAGCACTCCGGTGTATAGAACATCATATTTTTCGTACTGGTTGGTTTGATATATGATGTGACTAGAAAGAGGCATTCCGAGCCCATCATATAGCGTAGCATTAACTATTCCTCTATTTGCACATGAGTTATCTTCCAAACACCCGGTGGTGTACATAAGCACCGAGTATTTCCCGGAAACAGGTAAGTAGATGTTATACCGGATACCTTGCTCACTGGATATATTGGAAGACAGAACATTGGCATAAAGGTAATTTGATACTGGGCTCTGATTCCATTGCAAGTTCCCTAGTGGCTCTGAGTTCACATTAATGTCATAATCGGTGGTAACAGAGCAAGAATCTTCTTGATTCAAAGTGTTGTTAGCGTAAGCTGTGATACCCAAACTGTATAGTTCAATACCCATTAACTCGGCGTAAGAGCCATAATACTCGACAATTTCAACCGTGAAAGAAGTTACATCTATGGAATTAGCGAACGCAAAGTCCTGAGAAGTATCTGTCAGTTTTAAAACTGTTTGGTTGTTGTTTGTGAAAGTGTAGTATTCGTCACCAGTCACGTTTGCATTCGAGAGAGAAGATTTTAGAGAGGATTGCAGAGATAGGGGGCAAAAAGCATCGCAGTATTTGACTTTTAGATCGGTGGGGTCGACATAGGTCATATTCATAATCCCGTTCGCAGGATAAGTTACGACTCGAAAAGTCTTCACACCATTAGTGTCTGAGTTAGAATTGTACAAACGAATCTTGGAAGGGCTTATTTGACTTTGAAGGACTGCCGACCAGGATCCCGTTTGATAGTCCGGCAACTGCCAACCGTTTCCTCCCATAGAGGGGCATATGATACCATTGTAATTCTCCCCAGCTGTAGCTGATACATCTTGTGCCCTTATCGGAATTTTTTGAGAAATGTCTATTATACCTGATGAGTTTCGTATTATAGTGTAATTGTGTTCGGTAACGTTGTGCGTAACGTTGAGCAGGTCGGAGAAACCTATTGAGGAAAATTTTCCACCGAAAATGATGCTGTCTGTATGGTCATAGCTTATTATAGAGTTGACAGTGCTGTTTTTGTCAAAACCGCCGAATGGCAAGGACAGCAACTGCTCGGATTCGTAGTCGTATTGTAGCGCTCCGTACGTATTGTTGAACGAGAGAGAGCCTCCAAAGTAGATGATTTGCTCATCGTAATCGTAGTAGACTGCTTTGACATCACCATCAACATCGTCCCATCCCTTCAATTGTAGCAGGCTAGAATTTTCCAGGTTGTAGATGTGCGGTTGCCCGTCTATGACCATAATCGAGGACGTATCATCTATACTTCGCCAGAGGGTAGGAATTCCCGGCAAGTCTTCTCCATGGAGAACGCTAACTGTACCATTTGAGTCAGACAGTTCGTAGACACTTAGCGAGTTATTCTGATTGATGGTCGATAGGTTGTACTTATCTGTACTGTCGTATAAGGAAACCGCGTCAAAGTTTCCTAAGAAAAGAATTTCCTCGTTGATTTTAACATCTTCGAGCTGACTCGCAGCCTTCACCTGCGACTGTCGTATGTCGAGACACAGGAGAACCAAGATGGTTTTTTTTAAGTGCTTCATTTGCATGGCTGTCCTGGGATGTCCGTGCAACGGCCTTGTATTACACGTTTGTGTGTCTTGAGCGTGTGCTTTTTAACCAAAAAGCCCCGGAAGTGAAGAGACCGGCTGTAGTGACTTAGAGAAGCAAAGATGATTAAGAGAAAGAGGGTGAACTTGAGTCGTGAATTGAAGAGAAACAAGGGTCGCAGATTGACCAACGGTGCACAGACAGCTGTTCCTGGACGCAAAAATAAAAAAAAGCGGATTTGAAAGCACAAGCAGCAGAATAGACGCCTTTGTGTTGTCCGTGCTTCTCCCTCTAAGGCCCTAGATTTTACCGAAATTACAGAACATGGCCGTTTGTCATGTTAGAAAACGCGCTTGCGCACGGAGTAACACAGTTCTGGGGAAAATGTCAACACCAGCCACCGATGCCCAGCCAGCCACTAACAGTTTTTGCCAAGCGTGTCACTCGGCTTACGGCGCGGGGGGTCTATCGGCGTAAATGAGTCTGAAAACGGAGTGCTGACCCGGGTCAGAGAGATGTAGGATGAAGACGAAGAGGACGACTGGATCAGCTTTGTTTGGCCCGGTGGCCACCTATGTGCAGCTGTTGGAGATAGAGCAAACGACAGAGCGTGCGTTTCTGCGACAAGTCCGTGCATGTCTAAGTAGTTCACCAGAGAGAAGCGTGAGTTTGGCTGTAAGAGTACAAATGGATGCCGGTAAGGCGGTTGCAGAAGAGTTGGAGTCGGTTCAGGCCATATTTCCCGAGCTGGAGATCGGGCCCGAACTGCGGTCATGTGCCATCCGATTACCGGTGAGCTTGGAGTGTGCGCTTGTGCTTGAGCTGCAGAAATCTGAGGAACACGGCAGCGAAGTGTCGGTTCATAGAAGCGCATCTTTGAACCACTTGCCTGCGATTTGGTGCCGAATCTCCATTCCACCCGGGTATCCGTACCAACAGGCCCCAGCTTTAGCTATTGGCAATGTCAGCAGCTGGCTGCCGAGCTGGAAGCTTGACGAAATCTCGAAAGAGTTGGTCCAGATTTGGGACTCTTTCAAGGACGCGGTTATTTTCTCGTACATCGACTACATCAGGTCGAATAGTGAATCAGGATTTGGGGTCTTTCGAGACAACAAGATCGTTGTAGACGATGAAGAAAACTTCAAGTTTCTAGTGGAAGAAAACGAAAAAGAAGAGAAAGTGATTTTCAACAATTCGACGTTCACTTGCGAAATATGCCAATCTGAACACAAAGGACTTCACACCACGAGGTTCCCCGACTGTGGGGACGTCTTCTGTGACACGTGTTTGAGCAGCTATTTTGTACACACTATAAAAAGAGGAGATATTGGAAGTATCCACTGTCCGTCGGTTAGCTGCACTCAACTTCACCAGAAGCAACTCAAAGAGCTATATAGCGCAGCAGAATCTAGAATGATTTCTGATTTTGAAGGCTTCAACAACAAGTTCTTTAAACTGCCATTGGAAGATCATTTTTTGGAGAGAATTATTTCAAAAGGGCCGCCGTCATCATCATCAACGCTCGAGTTAATTGAGAGATACCGGGATTTGCATTACCGGTCGACAATGGAAGCATACAAGGCACTTTTTCCGGAAAGAGTCACAGGGTGTCCCCGGCCCCTTTGTGCTAGGGTGTTTTTGAAAGACTCTCCCGATACTAAGCTCGCGATCTGTCCCAAATGCAAGTTTGCGTTCTGCGTCGACTGCTATCATTCATGGCATGGAGCCAACAATCCATGCTCTTCGATTATGAAACAGCTTCCGAGAAGAGTAATTGAAACATGGCTATCTCACCATGGCCACGAAAGCCACTTGCAATCAGATGAGGATCGCAGAGTTTGCTCCAATATTGCCTTCAAATATGGAAAAAGAAGGGTGGAGTTAGCTGTCGGTGATTTTATCGCACAGGAACAGTTCGAAGATTTGGTTAGATCTGGGGAGGCAGACATTGTACAATGCCCTAAATGCGCTATCTTTACACAGCGCTCGGATGGCTGTAACAAGATGACATGCTGCAACTGTCAGGTTTTCTTTTGCAATATATGTGGAGATCGACTCAATCAGAAGGATCCTTATCTGCATTACAACGATCCGATGAGCAAGTGTTATGGAAAGTTATTCGAGAACTTGATTTCCGATGAAGAAGCTCAGTAGGTCCATTGGGCAGCTTTTAATTTTGTGCACCTCTTTGAAAGCTTGTGTCTTTTGCTAACGCTTAGACAGCTGCTTGGTACGTAAACTTTTCTATTATCTGAAATTTGCCGACTAGACAAACCGATATTGATTGTAAGCCGCGCACAATGGTTTTTTATTGTTCTTAGTTTCCCCTTTCCGCCAACTCGTGTGGAACCTGAGGATGATCAGCTAGATGAAGTCACAAAGGTGCTAGTAGGTTCTGCCTGTAGACTGCATGAAATACGAGCTATGCCAAAAGTGGAAGACCTTATGGGAAGAAGCGTGAGCATAAACAGTGGCCCCAATGAAATTGAAACCTCAAAGAAGAAAAACCAGTTGGTGAGACTGATGTTGAAGTTTGCCATTTCGGTCATGATGCAGGGTGAGCCAAACATAGACCTCCTTTTGACCGACAGTGATAGCTATAATGGAATATCAAGCGAAAAAAGAAAGAGAAGAGGTCACTTCATAGACTGTTTTTTCAATGAAACTTTGTTCTCCAGTTCGCAACCTCAGACAAATGATACTGAAATGTCAACATTGCAGGTCAAGAGTAATGAGAATAAAAGCTCCACACGCAAAAAAAAGCAAACACTTTCTCTACGACAGATTGCGATAAATTTTCATCTACTTTCGAAGAGACTGCATGTTATAACAAGCTTTATGCAGAATGCAGCGGGCGTAGTGAACTGGGAAAGAAATGATAAAACTTTGGCAATTCTTTTACTATACACATGGGCTTGCATTCATCCTCATTTCTTCCTAATATACCCAATAATACTGCTCATTTATTACATTTCTGGGAAATACTTGACCAAACACCCTGTGGTGGAAAAGCCCAGCATGTATGTAATGAATGAAGAATATTCCAACCACTGGGACAATGGATTAGGGCCTCGTTTGAAAAACACTAGGGCCAATTCGGTTCATGGAATATTTGGATTTTTATGGGAAGTAGACGACAAAAAAAATAAGGATAGTGAACTTAGACAGTCGTATGGTACACAAGTATTAGGTAATGGACGGCCTTTTTCAGCAACAATGTCAGGTGATGAAGATGAACTAGATTTTCAAACAGTTGACGATATGCTAACCTTTATTGAGGAGGCAGTTGCTAATGAAAATAATGAACCACATTTATTATTACGTAGACAACTGAAGAAAAAGTCTCTGGTAGATGATGCGACAAAGGTAAATGTTGAAATTGAACCAAAAGGTGGACAGATTTTTTACCGAAATTTTATTATGAAAACGTTATTTGACATTCAAATACAGACCACGCAAATATTAGATCATTTTGACAATATTCAATTGGCAGTTGCTGAGAACTGTGAATTTATTGATGAGAAAGAATCCACGCTTCTCCTCTTCAAGTTGTTTTTGATCGTGAGTATAGGATGTATTTTAGGTTCTTATATTCCTTGGAAAACTATATTTATAGCTTCTGTATGGGTGGGAATCTGTATGAACCACCCAAAAAGGAAGGTGTTAATTGACAAGATAATGGGACCAACAACAGAATTTGACAATATTAATCAAAACGGAGAAAAGGGCTCCGACCATGATACCAACGAAGCCCAGGTGGGTTTATTCTCGGTTGATAACGTGGTAATCAATGAGCCTGTATTTGCCAGAGAAGTTCAAATTTTCGAGTTACAACAGCAAGATATTATGAATCCAAATGACTACGTGCCGTTGGGATTTACAACATGTGTGTTTTGTATCAGTGAAGATATACGTTTACAACGAAGGAAACCAGCTTGTGCCAACGATATCGGTGATGTGATTCCCCCTTTGAAGCATGAAAAAGATGAGGCTTACTCTGGCAATCAAATAAACAAGGAAAACCGAGGCAATGATAAATTTCGCTATGATAACCGGAAAAAAAAGAGTGTTTTATACTGGGACTACATCAGCGGAGAAACTTGGCGGTTATCGGATACCAAATGGGTCAACAATGTGAGAAGTTCACAAGAATTGTACGTTAGGCCTTGTGAGGACGAGGGGTGGGTTTACGATATCACTGGAGAGTTTCGAAGAAGACGTTGGGTACGTCGCATATTCCAGCATGTGTAAGATTACAGATTCAAATTTTGTATACCCCGCTGAACTCTGCTCCTGCGTTTTTATATAGTCTAACGGTATTCAGATTTACTTCCGTGAGGAGATTGGAAAACTTGAATAGAAGTGCTCAGCTTTGAGATTTAACCGGACAGCATAAAATAAATGACCATTTCGAACTTTTATTTGAACTACCAATAAAAACTATTAGGCACCAATAGGAGGTAAAGTTAACATTTTGTTCGAAACCTTCCATCATGACATATTTCACGATGAATTCTATGAGAAGACTGACTATTTCTTATCTGAAATCAATATTTATTCGGCAAATATTGGCATTGTAATTGAATCAGCCAAATGTACCACGAAGCATTGTTATGAATGCAGCTTACACTTATGTTAATTTTTTTATACTCATAGCTTATTATGTAGGAAAGATCCAATTCTGATAGTGGCAACTATTAACAATTTTTGTAAAGAAGATTCTATTCATGAATAGGGCTAGATCTTCAATTGAGTCTTTTGGAGTGACCATTTTATAGCCGGGATTGATGCATTTAGAATTGGCGTTATCTAAGATTCCAGTAAAATGCGCTAGAAATTTATTTGATTAGTATGATTTTGAGATCTGCCCTAAACAAGGTATTGGAACCTTGAACGTTTCAAGGAGTAGCTAAAGCATGAAAACAATTCAATGTGGCTTTACAGGAGGGAGAAAACCTATTTGCTTCGTAAAATTTGATTCAGAGTTACTTAAACGTCTATGATTTTAAAGTTTTGCAAATTTTTCGAGAAAGAGTAAGGAGAAAGCCACGGTGTAAAACGTGTTCAATTTTGGAGCTTCCACATTATAAGCCTCTTAAGATAAGGCGTTGTAGTTGATGCTTAACATTGCAACCTTTAACTAAAATCTGGAGATGTTGAAGGACAAATATTCATTTTGAATTTCTTGCTCATTAGCTATTTTACACTTTTAACAAGTTGAAAAATGAGTGCGATTGACTGTTCTTATCGAGACTTCGTGAACCATCCAGAAATCAGAAATTAACTGCTGAACGAAGACAAACGAACACAGGTATCGAATCGGGGTGAGCTGTTCCAAAAGGGGTACTAGCCAGCTTAACAAGGTTGCGCGGAAGGAGATATTAATCATGCAACGTACGTGCATGCATGCATGTCTATCTGCGAAGTATGCAAGAGCTCATTTCTTCCGTAAAAAAGAGAGATTAACAGCAAATGAGTTAAGATTTGAACTGAACCGAAATATTATAGATTTTCATAGGGCACAACGCACATTTTTCACTGAAGAGAGACATTTGAAAGTTGGGTGACCTGGAGCTGGGATTGAAAGGATACCAATGAGAACAAGTGAAATCTCCTCATGTAAAATGCGTAGTGCATTGTCTACAAAGATGGTGCATGAAGATGCATGATGAAAGTTTTTAGCGGACACCGATACCCCACGCCAGAACGTCAAGTCTTGGGGCCAACATGGAGATACGAGATCGGAGTTAAAGGAGCGAAGTAGAAGAAGGAGAAGAACAGACCCGAGATAGCAATGGGGTTCTGATTACTATGATGTGCACGTGAGCCTAGCAAATATACTACTTGTACAGCAAAAGCCCGGGGAACGTAGTCGCATGAATTAATTGGACACCAAAGATGAAGGAGCGTGGGGATTTATGCCCCGGATCTGGCGGTGCAGCAGATGTCGATTTTGTTTTAGCACGCCACGCCTTTTTGTCAAAATCGTTATAGTGGCCGCCTCAGGCTATACTTCGAGGCAATGCTGAAAGCGCGCTAAATTGTGATGGGATGAGCCGAAGACGTGGTTTGTTGCGGCAACCAAATACGGTCTCCACCAGGGACACAGCGAGACCGCAGAAAGCCATACGACGTTATGATTTCGCTTTTAGCCGGCACTATGGCTTTTTTAGTTACCGTATAGAATTCAAACTAACAATAGCTAATTGCGGCGGATGCCGACTATGCATCAACTTCATGAATGTTTGTTTTTTTCGCAATGTGATAAACGAAATATATACTTTCGTTGTGCAGCAATTTACCACTTTCATGCTTACTAGTTATGCTAGTCCTGATTGACCGTGTCAATTTATGCGCATTTGACCCCAAGTGGGCATGTGCTTCATGCGAATAACAAATTCAGCAACAGCAACAGTAGAGTAACCACAATGGCGGCAAACCAGCTCCATACATTGCAGCCTTGAGTTCATTCACAAAAACAAAGCACCTTGCAAAGTTCGTAAAATAAAATGTGATGGATCAGCCACCATTTTTGCAATGGGAATCTAGCTCCTTATTGTTGTTCATATCAATCTTTCCGTAGGCCCATAATATTTAATCTACGCAGCCAGCTGCATCTTTTCGTATGTAGAAGGTACTTATCAATTTTAAACGTGCTGTTTTTTTCCCCGACGACTTGATCGCAAGTTATCGTTATTCCAATAGAAAAGCCACTCTAATGCGGAGCTTAGGACAATAGAGCACAACCCAGCGCAGTGCAGCACGTCTACCTTAGTGCAGCACATCGTAACGCGCTGCAGCACGCAGTGCGAACAAATGAGACTGGAAAGAGCCCCTTCGCATTGTCTCGCCCGCAAGCCCTGCTGCGAGGATCTTTCTTCTATCCCTTTCGCGACCATGCTGGAATAATTGTCACCGATTGAAGCCCCAAAACTCCAGAAGGCCGATGAACCTCCACATGCCCTGCAATGTAGATAATGGGTCACATGCTTAGAACACTAATGCACACTTGGATTTCAGCTTCAGAGTCTCGTTTTCTGGCTCGACAACCCCTTCATCAATCTGTTTAAAGCCATCGTGCAGCCCTGTGAGATAATACATTGAACAGATGGAAAGTACCGACATAGAGGTATTCTTTTCACTTTCTTTTTCTTCCTCATCTCCTTCTGCCGCAGCTGATTGTCGGTCGTTACTGCTGGTTCTTTCGGCTTATTCCGTTTTTTTTCTCATTTCTTGCACTGTCTTAAAGAGTTTATGCGATGCACAATAACCAACTACTCCGCTCTGGACCGTTCAGCTGAAACAACAAAACGGTGGATCCTGTTACGAGGCCTCCACTGGCCCATGTTTCAACCCCCCCTTGGCCCCTGTAGGTATTTAAAATGAAACAAAAAATGACCTTTCAACGCTGTTTGTTTTCCTCATCCCACAGCCTTGATTGTAATAGGCCTTGGTTCGTTTTCGAAGCTTCTCGGTCCGGTCTTTCTTCTCTGTTCCGCAACGCCCTATTTTTGTCTTCAACACTCACGCAACTCTCTTATCTTCCACGTTACTTTTAAATCTTCAGCAATTTCTTTTGTTACTTTTTTCTCACAAATACTAATTGTGTCCACTCACGCTTTTAGTTTCGCATAGCTTGCCTTTGGCCTACTAGACTGTTTCCCACAACAAGAGCTTATTTTTTACTTCACACTTTTTCTAGTTTTCCTATATATTTCGTCTCGTTGTATTGTTTCCAGTCTACTTCTGTTGTTTACAACTCTACTCTACTTACCGTCCTATCTGTTGAATCTTCTTTCTTCCTTCCAGCCTATTCTACTCACATTGCCACTGTATTCCACTATCTTATTTATTCGTTGCTCTATTCATAGCTTCTGGAATTCTTCTAGACAAATAGATCCATAACTTAATGAATAGTAATTTTGTGAACCCAACAAGCCACAAGTGTAAAGAAAGCTGTCTGAAAAAAGAAAATGACAAACGACCAAAACAAAAATGATCATATCTTTTCTTACAATAGGCCAACATCTCTCTTCATGTACCCAAGTTTGCAAAACTCGATTGTTTATTCTTTCCCAACGTCAAGAACTTCAAGTGCTGCTTCCTACTACCATCAACTCTCCAATCCTTTCTCTCAGCAATACACCAACTCATCATCACCTGCTGCAACGGCAACGGTGACAGCACCATCTACAACTTCATCATCATCATCAGCAGCGCCATCTTCTGCTTCATCATTAGTACCAAACTTCTACAATGCCAATAATCCAAATAACCTCAACGTTAACAACACCATATCTACTGGCAGCCACATATATGTTGATGTTAATAACTATGGACAGCAGACCCAATATAATTACTTCCCATATGAATCTACTACTGCTAGCATGGTCGATTCTACAAGGCTCAATCCAGCAGGCGTTTCAGATTCCGTGAAGAGTGGGATTTCTTTGAAGAATACTGACAGTCCCAGGCTACCTTCAATACTTTCATCTACCTCACCCTCATTATTATCATCCTCATCCGGCTCCAACTCATCACCATCCTCTTTTACTGCTATATCTTCAAGACACTCATCTTTACTGTCTACAAACTCGGTATTTAAACAGGCCTTTCTGAGATCTAAAGCGAAGGAGCAAACTGAGTTGTTAGGTGAGCCTGCTCCAGTTTCACCTAAAACTGAAGAAGTTAGAAATGAACACAGTCATATCAACTCTGCTGAATACTCGAGATGCAGAAGAAAGAGAAAGAAGGCTTTTGAGGTAGAAAGACATTACAGATGTAATTACCAGTTTTGCAACAAAGCATATGGTACATTGAATCATTTGAACACTCATATATTGATTCAAAAACATGGGAAAAAACGGTTACCACAAGAGTTCTCTCAGCTTAGAAAACAACTTCGGAAGGAAAGGCGGGAAAGCCTTAAAGCAATGAGATCTCAATCCACATTTAATTCCAAGACTGAGGAATCGCCTTTTTCGTCTTCTGCTTCTTCTTTAATGGCAAATAGCGCTTCGCCTGCTCCGTTGACACCGGCTACAATGGCTGGTGCCGACTCAGAAACTCCAAACTCGTTTTCTCTATCTTCCTCCTCTACGTATGTTTCGCCTGAAATGTCGAATAATGTCCCTTTCAATTATGGTTATAAGAACATCGGCTACAACACAGGTCCTACAAATGATGACGATTTTTATAATGGAGGCGGCAATTACACCAATGGCAACAACTATACTCAGTATTATGAGCCATATGAGAGAAATCCAGCTATATACCAACCAAAATATTTGGGGTATAGTGGGTTGAACACTCAGAGATATGGCAAAGATGGCAACTCTTTTCTACAGCAGCCAAACTACTTGGCTACAGCACCCACTACTGCTCCCGGTGGTGCTTCCGGATCAGGATCATCGAACTATTGCATTATTAGTCACAAAAACAGTGGCAACTTTGAGGCTGGATTCTCGAACGCCAACTTTTACTGCGACAAACTAGATTGACCCCATAAGGCCACAGCAACATTTTCTTTAGTACCCAGGCGGTCCAATGGAAAACAAAAAGTAACTATTTACATACATATGACAAAAAAAATGAGAATGCCTTACAGTTGGAGAGAGAAAGAAGTTGCGAGAAAGTACGCCCATTTTTTGCACTCCATCACTTACTCGATTTGGCTTGTGGACATTTAGTCTACGCATTCCTTTTACAACATTACTCGATTTTTTACCTTTCTTTATCATCTTTTTTTCTGCTAGTTTCATTGCTTGGATTTACTTGTTTACTTCCCGATTTTTGTTTTTCTACAGCCGATTTTCACATGTTTTTTGTCGATCTTGCCCTCCTCTGAAGGGCTCGTTGGCTTTGTATTTCTTTTTCTACCTACATACTATCTCATATCGTATTATATTATATACCGTATTTCGATGCCCTATTTCCACTTGTGCATGAGGATCCATGTAGTTACATCCCCCCTTTGAAGTGGGCATGTATCTATAATTAAGGTCTCCTTATTGTCAATTTATGCATTTGTCTCTTGACACTCTTAGACCTGGGGCATGTGTGTGCCGTTATCACTGCATGCGCATTGGAAGTAATACCCGATACCCCGGAGATGTAGAATTACACAAGACCAAACCGGCTTCAAGTACCCAATATGGATGACCCCAGATCTGTTTGGATAGTCCCCTAACTCACGCTGGTGAACACTGGATCGGTCGATATGAAAGATAGTGGGGATTATCAGTCACAGGAGCATATGCGCGGCGGCGGAATCACACTTTGATTGTTGTCCAGAAGTAGGTTCCTGCGGGCAGCTATCCTGCAGTAGAGTGGAGTGCAAGTTACGCATCTACCCTAAATCACAATCACACAAGAAGCCTCCTTTTGAGCTCAATTTGTAGATTGAAATGTGGCCGTTTTTCGTTGTCTCGGCAACCGCCAATGCTGCAGCCACCGTCACCGTCATCGCAGTCACTTTTGCCGAAAGTAGGAAAGCATAGCGTCCGCCCGGCCGCATCACATACGACCGGCACCTGAGCTTTATCGAGACGCCTGAGCATTTGTTTCAGCCGTAAGGTCACTTTCGGCGGCATATCTCCGATGGAGGCGGCCGGCGCTTTTCGCGCCCTTTTCATGTGCCCAATCCCGAAAACAAGGGTCTGTGGTGCGGATGCTGACGATCCTGCTGTCCAGTTCGGGCGAAATGTGAGATCCCAATCCGGGCCCAGTTCCGGGTCTAGTCCCAGCGCCAGCATCAGCTGCCTCGTTAGGCTATCTGCAACGGAATGTTGGGCCATGTTGAAGTTTTGCACCTTCAACTCATGCGAGCACTGTAGATCCTGCAAGTCTGTTGCAACAGCAGCCTTCCTTGCACCCTTGCTGCTGCCGCCCACAATGATAAAGAGTCGGTTGTCGTATAGGACGCTGCTCACTGCGGCGTCCGCGGAAGGCCGGTGTAGCACGATCCCATTGGTGTGCCCCGCCTGCTGGCGGAGGCGCCGATGCTCGTGCTCCCGGTAAACCTCGACCCGGATCTCGCAGAACTCATCGGCGCTGCCACAGCGATCCTCCACCCCGTCGCCCCCTGTCCACTCGAATAGGCAGCCGGCCAATGTCGTGCTCCCTCTCCCTTTCCCGTCCCCCCTGCCCTCTCCGCCGCTGAGGCTCCGCAAGATGTGTTCGGAAAGACTGCGGGCCCGCTGCAACGGCTCCACCACCGAGTACTTGCTATCAAACTTCGTGTAGCCATAAAGATACTTCCTGCTCGGAGAGATCAGCCACACCTGGTTGAAGATCCAGCGATCCATCGCCAGGAAGTCGATCGGGCCTAGCCCGGCCCGAAAGTGCTCCCAGCGCACGCCGATCCGGAGCGTCAGCGACATGAGCTGTGTGTCGAGCTCGGCCCGGCACCGCAGGTTGGGGTCCTCCAGCATGCCGCCCAGCATGCCGCCCGGTCTGCCACCCTCGCTGCTTCCCCCGCCCCCCGCCGCCGGGACCCCTTTTCGCATTTTCGAGTAGACACACTCGTCAAGCAGCGCACACACTTTTGTGTGCAGCTCCAGCACTTCTCGCCGGCGGGCGCTGTTCGCCTCGCCGGCGAGAAACTGGCGGACCTGATTGCGCGCCGTGAGCCCGGCATCCGCGTTTGTGCGGTCCTCGAACCACGTCAACGACTGGGCCCGCGCGTGCCCGTAGATGTCGGCCTTTGTCACGCCAAGCAGCGGGCGCACGAGATCGACCGCGTGCCGCCCGTGGAGGTTGCCCGGCGCGAGCGGCCGGATACCGGCGAGCCCAAAGAGCGTTGAGTTCGAGAGTAGGCGCATCACGTACGTCTCGAGCTGGTCGTCGAGGTGGTGCCCCATGAAAACGCTGCGGATACCCCGCTGCTCGCAGTACGCGTACAGCAGCCCATAGCGCAGGTCCCGGGCGTGGCGCTCGACCTGGCGCCGGCTGATGGGGGTGCGTATGGTCAACACCTCGTGGGCAACCGGGTACGCCATCTCGCCGAGCACCACCTGTTGGAGCCGGCGGGCCTCGTGCGTGCTCTCCGCTCGCAGGCCGTGGTCGACGGTGAGGGCATGGATCTCTAGGTCCGGGCGGATCTCCCGTTTGTAGCGCACGAGGAGGTTCAAGAGCACGACAGAGTCTACCCCGCCTGAGAGCGCCAGCGCAACCCTGCTCGGCAGACGGTACCCGGTCTTTGACAGGCGGGCCAGAGAGTTCACAAACTTGTCATAGATGGTGCCCATTGCTCTACGGACGGGCAAGGGTCTTTGCGAAGGGGGGCCCCTCAATTATACCCCTAAGGGGGGCCTGATTCTCGCCGGTGTCGAACGGGGACGCTCGGGAATCCGCTGAAGAAGAGGAGCAGGGCGGCCGGGGAAGCGCTGCGTGGGGATTCGGAGGGCGTGGGAAAAAAAGTGCTTACGTACGCGGAACGCATTCTGGGAGGGGTTTGTAACGACAGCAAGTGGGTAACCATGGAACACGAACAGCCTTATCGGAACTTCCCCGACCGATGTCGAATTGTGCACCGCCGGCAATGTCGAAGGAGCAGAAGATCGGCGAGATGAACCAGCAGCTAGCCCGCTTACAGCAGCAGATGGCTACGTTCGCCAAGCTCTCGCAGGAGTCCGCCCAGCAGTTCGAGCTGCTCAAGCGTTTCGGAATACAGCAGTCGAGCTTTTTCATGAGCTCACACTCCGTCTTCCAGAGGCTGAACGAAGAACGGGAGGGGGGCTCGCGTGAGGGCGCCGACTGAGGCCAGCCCACCCATGTATAGATAGACAAACCGCTGTATATTACCGCAAGAAAAGGAGATAATACCAATACTTGAACTACTAAAAAATACTATATGTCACGTCGCAGCGTCGTCAGGCCCTTAATCCTTCAACTCGCCAGAGTCGACCACCTTCATCTCCGCCTTTGGCTTGCCGGAAGGAGAGCCGTTGTTTTCGACGGTCTTCAAGGTCTCGCCACCCTCAATCAACTCACCAAAGACAACGTGGTGGCCGTCCAACCATGGGCATGGAACAGTGGTGATGAAGAACTGGGAACCGTTGGTGTTTGGACCAGCGTTTGCCATGGAGAGCTGACCAGGCTTGGTGTGCTTGATGTCGAAGTTCTCGTCTTCAAACTTGTTGCCGTAGATGGACTTACCGCCGTAGCCGTTGAAGTGGGTGATGTCCCCACCCTGGACCATGAACCCTGGAATGACTCTGTGGAAGATGGAGTCTTTGTAGCCAAAGCCCTTTTCGCCCGTGCACAAGGCTCTGAAGTTCTCAGCGGTCTTTGGAACCTGCTTGTCAAACAAGTCAAACACCATTCTTGGTTGCTTGGCACCGCCAATGGTGATGTCGAAGTACACCTTCGATAACTTGGCAGAGGAAGTGGAGAATTGTCTTTTTGCAATGTTGAACATCTTTGCCTCTTTGCTTGTCTGGTTAGGGTGAGCAGCTATGGATCCAGCCTCAACTGCACCCCGAACGGAGAGGCAAGGGCCGAAAAGCTGTCATTCGGGGAAAAGCCGGGAAGGACGAGGAAGGCGAGTACGCCAACAACGACTCGCCTCAACGACCTTCGTTTTCGTCCTCGGTCTGGGCCTCGGGCAGCCTTGTCACGTGCTACCGGACTTCTCAGAGAAACCGATCACCTTTCAAATAAGTTTAAATTCACGGTCATTGGCTATTTATGACCAGCTCTAACTAAGTATGTATCATAACCCTTTATACACCCTGTCTACAGCAATGCGTAGCGCCACAAGGTTCATTTCGAACTGCTCGAAGTCCCCAGCCTCGAATCCTTCTTTCAATCCGGGCAACACACTCACGTTTGGTGAGCTGAGGCTCGGAGAGAAAATGATGTGTCTGAACCAGGGCCTCTTCCGTAGCAAGCTTGCCATCCGCATCCCATTATCATTACCGTCGGCAATCGAGATAAACATCCGGTCCAACGCCTTCACCCGAGTGTTGTACAGTTTGACCTTGATTGCTGTTTTGATCTTCTTGTAAAGCTTGAACCAGGGGAAATCCTGAGTAATGAGATGCTGCAAATCCTTCAGCTCAATGTCAAACTCCTTGGCAAGCTCACACACGTCTTGCGATTGCATCCGCAAGATGTCGATCTCGTCGCCAAGCTTGGTATACTCGAACGGATACGTCATGTTTCTGTCCAACCACTCGGCTGGCAACCTGTCCACCGTCAACTCGACCTCCCTTTTGATTATCTCGATGTAATCAGTCACAGCAACGTTCAATATCTCATGTTCACTTAATTCGATCGTAAGCATCCCAATGAACTGTGCCAACAGATTATGTAATTTCAAATCTGGATCGAAACTTTTCAATAGCTGTTCACCATCGAATTTTGAGTTAAAGTATGTTACCGGATCATCCTCTTTATTTGGGATCATTCCAATGTTGATCGAAGGGATACCCAAATGGTTCTGGAAAACAGAATAGTCTCCCACACCGTTGCTAATCAATTGGAGAGTACTGTTCTTGGCAAAAAATGCCTCACCTAGTGTTTCATTGGAATTCAACAAAATCAATTCCATTACTTTCTTTAGCACTTTATTGAACAACGGGTTCGACTCAATAGAAAGATCATTACCACGGACGCTGTCAAAGTTGATATAGGCAATGCAATTATTGATCAATTTTTGAGAATGATATTCTCCAAATTCTGTGGATCCAAACTGGCCCAAACTTGAGCCATCCCACGATATCAACTTGATGGTTCTTAAAGGCTTCCAGTTCCGTCGTGCTAGCTCATTGAAGCCTCTTGCAATTTCTAGCATTCCAATACCACCCTGGCTCACTCCACCTTGACCACTGATCACATCTCTAGCTGAGCCTATTATGATCTCTTCATCAGAAATTATTCCCCGAATGGTCGATATGATATTGTATATAGGTTTAATCCCATAGTCTATGTGGTTGACAATAGATAATTGTAGCCCGTCACTTGGTCCGGGACGGTAGTCAAAATCTAACACGTCACCAACCCAATTCAAAGAAGGTCCCTTTTTAGCCAATCTTCTCAAAATTGGCTGAATTTCAGTAAAGCTTATAGGCAAGATCGGAATTTTGGGTATTGTGTCGGGATCTTTCAATCGTTTGTGATCTTCAAACAAAAATGGGGACCATCCGGGCGTGGTCGGATCTCCGGGCTGGTAATATATAAAGCTGCCTGTGTATTTGTCAATTGCGTGATGATTTCTAGCGTAGCCAGCTGGGAAATCCATGTACCCATTCTTCTCTGTGTACTCTCCATCGTCATAAGGATCTTTATAGAACACCAAGCCGCTGGCTTTCTGTTTTTGTGCCCTTTCAACCAACAAACTCGGATGCGTGTCATTGATGCGAATGATGAATATCTTGTCCGTTAGATCGATTGAGCTCGACTTCAACAAATCGTAATCTTCGGCCAGCCCATAGTTAACGTAAACGAACTCGCTTGTAACTGTTCCATTTTTACTAAAGGGAAAGTACGATATTTGATCCGATTCTCTGATGTTAGCCTCAAACAATAGTCCCCCCTCTTCATCCAATAACTTTAACGAGTTGCCAATAGGCGTCCCCATGTACACGTCATACTTTTCGACATCGGTGTCTAAATACTCATAGTTTTTCATCAGATTTTCCATTATATGATAGTTTCCGCCTGGCTCGTGTGTCTGGTCGTTGTAGATGTTGATGTACTTCTCAACATCGTTGATATGGTTAAGTTGACTTATATATATTCTCGACACATCATCGAAGGTTAAAAACCCGCCATAGAGCCTCCTCAAATCTCTATCGAGCGAAGTTCGTGGCAAGAATATTAGGTCGAAGATGAAAATGCAAATGATGCTGAATATCGATACCGCAAAGAATCTACGTCTCTTGAGTTGTGAAACCGTCAAATCCTTTAAATGCACTACCTGTGAAACGATAGACTCGGCGATACTACTTGGGCGTCTCGAATTATTTCCTGCATGATTGTTGTTCTGCTCATTTCCAGCATTTCCGGCGTCTCCGCTCCCATATCCAGCATTTGCAACAATTGCAGCAGGCGCACTGTTGCCTCCGCCATTAGCTACGCCGGCTCCACTTGCCCCTGTTCTCGCAGTGAGGTCGGCACTGGAGCGTCGTAACGACATGTTGGAGCTCAATATCTTCGAGTTGTGCGGGTTGAATATGTACGGATGGGCGTCTTTCGAAGAGGCGCCCGGGTTATCCTGGTAGCTCTTGACGTTCGACTTCGATGACATCAGCGATAACCGGGAGTTGAACCTTAGGTTCGCATTTGAAAATGACGCAGACTTGAGGGACCTCAGCAAAAAGTCGTCCTGATCGTCACCGGGAGTCAACATCATCTTGTCCAGCGTCGTGTTGTGCGTGTCTAGCTCATCCGGCTCCGACACGATCGGAGAGAGCAATGGCCGAATGTCTTCATCTTCGCTCAGCGATGACTCCAGCGAGCTCACTGGAGAGACTGTGAGCGTCAACTGCGGCAATAGCGACGATGATCGTAAGGGATGCATGGTTGTCCGCTCTTTTCCTCTCGGGTTTACCCTGTTGGCGGAAAAGAAACAGAGCCATTTCGTTCTGCTTCCTCGGAAAGACAGAAGCCTTCTCTACTTCTCGGAGAAGACAGGTTCATTACCATCTAGAATTTATCAGGCCAATTCTGGGCCGATCGGCGCGAAATTTTGATTCCTGCTCCCTGCGTGGTGGCTTCCAGGCCTTTCTGGTGAGTCCAACAATAAATAAATGGGGTGAAGAGGAGACGGAAGATGTTCGCCATTCTCCGTGGCGGGCGTCTGCGGGCTCCCTTTTGCAGAGAGCACTACACAGAGACAGAGAGGTACAACAAGCAAGCAGGAAACCAAGACGATAACACGTGTCCATAGCAAAGAAGACCTATTCAACCCGGTTATTGACTTTCAGCCAAAACACTCTACTCCGACTCGTACAACCACAAGATTCCATAGCTGCGGCCTTTGGGTGTTTGCACTTCTCGTAACTAGCATTTAGTTCTTGACCACTAGGGAGGATTAGTCTTGTTTGACGTTAGGAGCAGGAACTCTACCTTTTACAGCATTTCGTTTCAGCGGCACTTGGTCGATCACAGACACAGACAGACATACACATACGTACACAAATATAACGACTTTTAAGTTATTACACATACCGGCTCGATATTTATTAAACAACTCAGAATAGTTTTTACTTGAATTTTATGCTTTAACATTTGGAAACACACATCAACCAATCGTTCACTATTTATCTCTCGCAAGCTTAAGGCTCCACGAAACAGACACAGTAGCTTGCTTATCTATACACGAATCCCAAACATCATTTTCTCAACCAAACTTCAGTTTCAACCCCTGACGTAGTTCACAGCACAATAAACCTTTTTTTCCCTTCATCTCCGTTAGCCCAGAAAAAGAAGATACATACATACAAGAAAATGACGGTGGCAAGTTCTGATTATGCAAATTACCTTCACGGAGGTCTCCTCAACGACCGGTATTTAAGAATGAAGGGCTTAAATGAAGGATCTTTTGGTATTGTTTCCATAGCAAAAGATACCAAAGAAGGCAATACATTGGTGGCGATCAAGTACAATACAGGCAGGCTAGGGGATTTTGAAGCCTATCAAAACAAGACCAAATCAGAGGATCATATTGTGAAAGTCAGATCGATGAGTCTGAACTCAAACACTAGGTCTGCAATCAAGTCAGATGCTACATTTTCAAACACGGAAACAAGCGATAAAGATGTTAGCAAGTCGATAGTTTTGAGAGAAACGAAGCAAGAGATTGCGATGATCAAGAAAGTGGATACCCATCCGAACATAACGACATTGCTAGACTACTTTGACACCTACATGGTTTTTGAGTACGCACCGAGGGGTGATCTACATGACGCTATTCAACTTGGTATAGCTCCCGTTGCCACAAGTGATGTCATTGATGTTTTTATGCAATTGATCAGTGCGGTGGAATTTTGCCATAAAAATGGCGTCTATCATCGTGATATCAAACCTGAAAATATTCTTATTGCAGATGACTGGTCCATCAAGTTAACTGATTTTGGGTTAGCGACAGACCATTTGATCTGCAACGATTTCGACGTCGGAAGTGAGCGTTACATGGCTCCGGAATTGTTGGAACATTCCGACATTGACAGTTATGCTGCAGACAAGGTAGATATCTGGTCTTTGGGTATTTGCTTGCTAAATATCGTATTCGGGAAATCCCCCTTCAGGTCAGCAAGTTCCAAAGATAAGATGTTCTTACATTACGCCGCAAATAGGGAAACCCTTTTTGACATCTTCCCATTCATGAGTTACGACTTGTTTTCTGTTATGATCCATTCTCTAACTATTGATCCGGCCAATAGAGACTTAGAGATGATTAAAGTGAACCTGCTGAATATCGATGTGTTGACCTATGATTACGAATTCGAAGAAGATGTCGATGACATAAAGGCCAAAGCTTTGGTCGAGGAGATTGGTGAAGATGAATCTTACGAAGCAGATGGTAAACAAGGCAATGCGAAATCTGAGGCTGCAAATACAGCTAAGGTTGAAGATACTATCAGCGAAATCAAGCCCGCAGCCAAAGGCGAAAACCCAGTGGTGCTGTTTGACAACTCACCAAATAATATTGACAAAGGAGAAAATGCCACTAGAACTGACCCAATTTCCACAGGAGCTAATTCAGAGGTACGCACAAATGATGGCAAGAGTGAAATTGACATGTCAGAACCTAAACATTCTCCAAATATCAATCCTTCACTACAACCTTCTGCTGTTTTAGAATCAGCAAATCGGAAGATGGGTTTGATTGATACTTTGCTAGGTACAGACACGAACAATAACTACACGGTTTCGGAACCAATTAATATCCAAAAGAAATATGAGCCGCCTCACAAGCTTCTGGCTAATTCGCTTAATGACAGTAAGAAATTTAATATCAGTAATGAGAACAGAAAAGCAAACAACAACAATAACTATAGGGCAAGACGTTGGAACCCTGCTCATCGTAAGCCTTTGAAAATAGCGAATTACAATTACAGAAACAAATCACAGGATGGAAGAATTGGCGGCCGTGATTCTTTGAAAGACGACTCTTTTGATTTTAACAGGAAGGACTTTTTCACTCCTAGGTCCGTCTTTACTCATTACATGGAAAAAGCTAATAGAGGCAAACAAAACGTTCAACAGAGAGGCTCATATTATAGAAAGAACAAAGAGTTTGAGAACTCTTCGAACAACTACACTTATAATTATAGACATGCATTCAACAATACCAACAACTATTATGATTACAGTGACAGAAGAGCTTGGCAAAAGAGGAAGAGGAGATCAAGCAATGTACCTTCTAGTAATAGTAACAAAAATAAGAATAGTTACAGATCAGGCAATCTAAGATCTAGGAATAGTAAATGGGAGGCTCCCCTATGGAATTCAAGTAATGACCACAAATCGAAAAACCCACGGAGGTTATCTGCTGGCATCTCTTCTGGCGCAAACTCTCATCCAGTTCGGGTAACAAGCTCATTGAGATCGTCAATGGATGGAAAGTACATACCACCCAATTTACGTTTCAATGCATCAAATTTACTTGGGTCAGCTGTTGTTTCTGACGATGATACGGAGACAGATAATGACTTTATGAGTGGCTCCAGCAAGCGTACAAGCAAGGGTCATTTTGAAAGTCCAAGAGAAATAGAAGATATCGCTGAAGACGATGACGATACTGGCGATGATCAAGTTGAACACGCCGAAGATTCTGACGAGGAAACTTTCTCTTTTGAATTTGACCAGCCGACCGTATCAAGAAACAATGGTATGAATTTTTTAGCGGGAGTTTCACCCTCAGACGACGGCGAAAAGTTCGAGCAGATCCAATCAAATGCAATGAATTTGCTATCGAAACAGTTCACCGAGAGTAGGCTATTTGACGAAAAGAATAACTCAAGGGACACATCTTTAACTACTACGGTGTCAAATAATTTCTCAAGCACAGGATCGAATATAAACACAAGTCCCAAAGGCTACAAGAAGTATATTCCTCCTCACCACAGACGAAGCTCCCACTCTGCTGCCGATACTACAGGTAATCTGACAAGTACTTTGACAGACAAACCAGCTAGCAATGTGATCATGAATCATTTTATTGACCGTTCGAGCAACAAGAACATGTCACCGGTATCAACTTCTGCACCTACAAAGTCTTCATCCTTTTTCAGCTCTTGTAAAAACATTGCTCCGCATGAATTATTGACAGAAAAGGGGTATGATGCTTTTGTTAACAGTGATCAATACAACGATAATTTGTTCAACATTGAGGAAGGGAATTACATAACGCCAACAAAAATGATGGTTAACGGATTATCGGAGCAGAAATTCATAGCAAATGGTAGCATCGACGATAAAACATCAGGTTAAAATTTTTTTTATTTTTTTTTCAATATTTTTGAAATGATAATTTATAGTTATATTATATTTCACAATCTATACGAATTTTTTTATTTAGCATTTTTGAACAAATGTCTTGCACCCATTGCAACACTATTACTGTAATGCTTGTCCAAAAGAACGTTTTCCCAGAGAACAGCAACTTCGGTATTAGCTCTCTCAGTCTCATCAACTTCAGGATGATAGACACCATTTTGAACCCTATCTTCTGTTGAATAAAGAGTTTTGATTTCATCATACCTAGCGATAAGTTTTTCCATGAATTTGAGTAAAGCGATTGTAGATTTTTCTGGTAAATGTAACGAAGCCAAATACAGTCTTTTTGTGAAGGCTAAAGCTCTTTTGCTAGATCCACTCTTGCTATTGAAAAAGATGGCGTTCAGACACCTCAACAATAACTCAGCTTTTGTTGAAATATTAACAGAAGGTTTCAAATTGAGTTCAGTTGTGGCCAAAGGATCGACAAGCCTCAAGGTCTTGTGCGAAAACTCAACGTTCATGTCGAGAGCTAGGTTAGGAATCAACGAGTATAAGTAATCCACAAATTTGTTCAAGTCCACTACCACCTTTTTTGTTGGCAAGTTTGCAACTAACGAGAATGACGTTATGATGCACAACAAAACCTGTCTAACTTCACTGCTGTTCAAATCTTTATTTTGCAAAATCTCTTCCGTGACTTCTCTAAGGACCTGTAAGAAATCTCCCATCAAATCAACATTGACTAAAGAACCAAATTTGGATAAACTCTCTAGAACAGCAGCCATTAGCTTTGCAGGTCTTGCTTTGAGGATTTCTAGGTAAAAAGTCAGTAGCATTTTTAAGATTTGGGCTTGGTTCTTCTCTCTTTGTTCAGCAGTAATAGCTTGTTCAGCAGTTCTCATTTCTGCATCAATCAGTTTCCTTTCCTTTAATTGTTTCCTTTCCTTTTTGCTTAAATGTATCCTGTCTTTCTTCTTCAATTTTGGTTGATCATCGTGTTCATTTGAGTCAGGGGAATAGTCATTGAGAACCGTCAAAGATAAGAAAACATTAACCACACTCTCATCGACGTTATAATCTCTTCTTCTCATACTTTTCGACAAAAGAATCACCAAATCTAAAGAGATATCACCATGAGATGCATCCTCGATGAGTAAAGAGTCTAGGGTACTGATACATTTCTTATAAGCCTTTAGTTCAAACTCATTTTGTGGCTTTTTCATCACTCGTCTCGTTATTATCTTGAACAAGTCCTTTCTATAGTTGAAAAATCTCAACGACGTGGCTAACTCACAGGCGGCGTTGGTTGCGATTATTCCAAGTTCGGCATCTGTTGAGGTCACCTTCGGTTGGGTCGAAAATCTTGCTGCTTTTCGGGCTAACAAATCTATGTAGTGCTTGTAATTTATCACCAAATGCTGTTCAAACAACCGAAGTTTCGCAACTTCTCTACTCACTTTTTCCTTCTTCTCACTTTCACTTAGCGGTCTGATGTGGTAGGATGGCGATATGCTTTTGAACACTGGCACCATGGCTAGGATTGCCAACTTCGCAGTGAATGGGTTTTTCGAGTTCGACATTCTTCTCAACCTTGAAAGCTGTAGGATATTTTCCTCCGGGTTCTCGATCAACAGTTGTGCCATTTCAGCAATGTCTTCTTTCGTTTTAATGATCTTCTCTTCCTGCGTCAAGCCCTGGTAAGACTCGTCATTTTCTTCGTCAAACAACTCTTCATCGTCTCCTTTGCCTTTTTTGTGTTCCTGTTCCTTGCTCTCGCTTTCTGATGATGAAGCTTCAGACTCCTCGTCACCAGCCTCCTCTTCTTTTGGCATTTCCTTCTGAATTACCCGTCTGTGGAAAGTACCATCCGCAGTACGGATCGGCAATCCTTCCACCGTGTTTGCATCCGGGTCATTGAATTTCCTTGGTTTCGTTTCGTACTCTTCATATTCGCCTTCAAGTTTTCTGTCTGCCTCATCGTTGCCGTCTTCCATTTCAACGTTTTCTATTTCATCGTCGCTTTCAACTTTAGAAAACACCGAAGATTGAAGTTTTGCGTCTTCTTCTTTTCTTCTTTTATTGTTCCGTAGCTCTGATGATCTCTTCAGCTTCCGTTTTCCCATTGTTGCTGTTATTAGTCTCGAATCTGTCACACTGAACACTGTCAACCCTTCTATCTATCCGTTTCTGTTAAAACTTTGGGGTCCTTGAAAAAAGATAGAGAAAAACTGAAAATAGAGACAAGAACCAAAAAAAAGTTTTCCAGGCAGTGCTGGATTTTCACGTGACCAGAGCCGATCGACCCACGGCTTTAGCCGCACACGTGATTCCCGGCCAGGGAAACTCCGTGAAGGCACGCATCCATCCCACGCATGCATGGATTTCAAGCCCTGCACTGTCAATCAGCAAAGACCTGGTGATATTCCTATCGTCGCTCGGGTGCAATTTGGAAAGTAAGCTGTCAGATCCTGCGCAATCGGGTTTATACAACGGTGATCAGTCCAAGGTGAACAGACGGGTGAACTCTGCTTGTGATTGAACCGAGGAAATCTTAGGAAGAGAAAATGTTGAGATACGCTTCTAAAACGATCTCCAAGACTGCATTGCAGCTGCATGCCACACAGGTATCGAGAAATTTCCACGTCTCGAGATTGGTGTTGGCTGCAAAGATCTTTGACATGCCTGCGATGTCTCCCACGATGGAGTCGGGCGCAATCGTCGAGTGGAAAGTGAAAGAGGGCGATCACTACAACCCAGGAGACTCGCTACTGGATATCGAGACTGATAAAGCTACTATCTCGGTGGATGCCATCGATGATGGTGTTCTAGCCAAGATCATTCTACCGGACGGAACAAAGGACATCAAGGTCGGGACTCCGATTGCGTTTCTGGCGGAGGACGGCGATGACTTGAAAAATTTGGAGTATCCAAAGCTTCCTGACGAAGAGAAGCCACAGGCGACACCATCTTCCGAGGCCGCCGAAACAGCACCACCAAAAACAAGCCCACCTAAAGAATCCACAGAGTCTTCAGGAAATTCTTCCACTCCGGCGGAAAAATCACCGGCTTCAGCATCCCCATCCGCCACTTCGAAAGCTGCTAACCCAGCCCAGGTCTTCTTCCCTTCTGTTGAACGTTTGCTAGCTGAAAACAAGATCTCTAGAGAGGATGCGCTTGCGAAAATACCGGCGACCGGCCCACACGGCAGGCTATTGAGAGGTGATGTTCTGGTACATCTGGGTAAGGTGTCTGCCGAACAAAATGATACTCTTGTGAACTATCTCGAGAAGACGTCACGGTTGGATCTCTCGCATATCGAACTACTGGAGCCGACTGGCACAGTGGGCGCTGACTCCAAGACAGAGGGAAAAGCAAAGCCCAAAGCCAAGGAGCCTACCATAATTACCGAGAGTTATCCGATCGACTTGGAGGTGAGCTACCCTGAATTGTCCAAATTCAAGGCTGTAATCTCTGAAGCTCTATCTTCCTCAGAGCAACAGGCATATGCGTACAACACCAACCCAGTCTCTGATTTAGACGATCCTTTGTTTGATGATATAATTGCCCCATCGAGAAACTCTGATAGATTCAAGATTGAATATACCTTGAACTCAGAAGGTGATGAAGTTTCCACTTTGGAGCTCAAGCTAATCTTGAATGACTCTTGCTTTGATGCGAAGGACAGAGCGATTGTCTTTGTGAACACTTTTAAGGAAAACCTTACAAAAGAATTAAAAGCTTTTGAATGAAAACTTGATAAATAAATCTTTATAACCGAAAAGAATGAAATTCTACTAAGCTAAAAAACAAAAATAGCTAAATAGTTATGTAGTGTCCTTTACATTCGGAACCTAATCAGAAAAGCCTGACGAGCAGATTAGTGTCGGAACAAATGTACCTTTTTTTTTCCCCCGATATGATTTTTCATTAATGTCTGCTTTATTTCACATAAGCAACGCGTAACATGAATATTTTATCACCGAACCCTTTTGATGAATTTGGGTTCTTTTAGGAAAGGTACACTTGATTTTGAGAGGAGCTAGGTCCTGTAATTCTCGGTGATGTCAAAAGCAACAAGCTTGACTTTCAATGGAATCATTCCCCTGATTCCTGATGTACTTATCGATAATTTTGAGACTATACACGCTAATAGCACGTCACGAAATAATATCGCCAAATACTGTATCATATCCCACGCCCACTGTGATCATTATAAAGGGTTATCAGGAAAATTTCTTAAATCAAAAGCTCCGAAATTCATTTTAACCAAAACGACCAAGCATTTAATTTTATGTCATACTAATACACCCACCAACATAGAGAAAAATCTGACCAATGCAGAGTTTGCGGAGATGAATGTCACTAAAGAGTTAGAACCTGGGTTGAATTACACATTTATACCGAACTATCACTGTCTAGGAAGTGCAATGGTTTTGATAAAGGATTTACGAGGGGGAAAGGCTTTGAGTGTGTTATATACTGGAGATGCAAGGTTTGAATATGGCGTTATCTATTCAATACGAACATCAACAATACTCTCCCCTTACATATTTGGGAGTGAGCCTTTGAATATGCTGTATTTGGATACAACATTTTCATATAGAAATCGGAATATTGAGATCTTAGATAATCTGGAAGGAATATATAGGCTGGCAAGCTTGATAAGACAATATCCAATTGGTACTAAGTTTCGTTTTCTGGACACAATTTATGGATTTGAAGAAGTTTGGGTGAAAATTCATGACATTTTTGCCAGCAAATGCAATTTCTATTTTTCGAAAAATGTTTCGAGGTGGATCGAAAAGGTAAAGTTGAGTAACAACTGGCTATATGATGATCTGGAAAAAAATGTCAACATGGTAGACAAAATATATAATTTAGTTCCTGTCAAAAGGGACAAATTTGACTATGCATTTTACATTGGTGAGATCGAAGAGTGCGGCATAAGTGATGCAAGCTCTATAATCACCATAAAACATGCCATTGATATGACCAAAACTGAATATATGGAGGTTTACCTGCCACGTGAAATAAATCAATTCGAGGAGCTTAATTGTCAAAATCAGGAAAAGGAAATATGGAATGGAAAGTTTTGGTTTAACAACGGGGGTAGAAAGCAGCTTCTCAACTTCAACTACATTAGATGCAAGCAGTCTTTTATGTTCCTACCTCTTCACATTAAATTCATTTATTCTCGGCATAGTTCCTATAGCGAGTCAAAAAACTTTGTTAAACTGTTTAAAAATGTTCAAGATATTTATCCGATGACGGAGTCTTTTGACACATGGCAAAAAGGCTTCAACATGAAAAACTTTTATGGAATCAATAATTCGAGTTATGATTTAGCTTCAAATGATAAATATGGTAGTTGCAACCTAGAACTTAGAAGCGATGACAATAACCTAAGAATTATAGATTATTGGGGTTCATCGAGTGATCGATGTTCTGATGTACTTAACAGTTTCAATAGTGTATCCACAGAGGTGGATTTTGATTTTGACCCAATTGGTCAAGTCATACGCGGAAAAGAGACGCAACTAAGCAGGAAAAGGAAAGAAGGTGTTGCATTGAAGGGAAGAGTACTTAAGACCCAAAGAAGGGAGAAACGTCGACGCATAGAAAGGTTTTTGAACAATGTAGATACAGTCGGTCCAGCCACGTTCAACCCTCAGAAATATGTACGATGCCTCAGGCTTGACCATGGGATAGACAGGGAGCTCATAAGGTCATACAGTTTGGAAGAAGAAGAAATTTTCGACAACAAGAACGTGATGAAGCTGAAAAGTAATCTGGAGGACATTTTAATAGATATTAATTTTATGTAGGAGTGGGAATTTGAATCATAAAGTCACGTGATCAGCAATGTGCATTTCAGTTACCATCTGAAAATGCATCTTTTTGATTAAATTCAACCTAGATGATGAGTCTGAAATAGGGAGTCAATCACTATTGTCAGCGGTGAGAAATAATACCATTACCGAGATAATATCGAATGAGTACTGTGAGCCAAAATACTTGCTATGACTCGCATTGCCATTTATCACCGGATATCAATCCTGAAAGTTATAGGGAAGACGTGGTGCCGATTTTGTCATCACAAACATGGCCTATAAATCTGATGATGACGAATCATATCGATGGACAGCTACTATTTACTGCAATGGAGGACTCAACTTTAATGGCTAATCGACAGATAATGTTGAATGTCGGGATACATCCTTGGTTTTCTCACCTTTATACATTTGAAAATATCGATAACGTCAAAGATCAAGAAAATTTCAAGTTACAGCACTATAGGAATGTGCTTGATGTTTATTCTCAGAACAGAGAAAATCCTGAGGAGTTTGAAGAAGTAGTACGCTATCTACCATTTCCATTTGCGATACAGAACACTATGTCCAAATTTCGTGATATTTTGACCAACTCCAAGTTCAGACAGCGAATCAACATAGGAGAGGTCGGCCTAGACAAGTTGGCAAGAATCCCACAATCAGGGTATCTTGGGAACGCAGAATATCCAGGTGGAGGTGGCTTAACAAACTACAAAGTAAAGATGGAGCATCAGGTCAAAGTGCTGCAGATACAATTAGAATTGTCGTTGAGCACGTGTGTGGATGACATACCGAAAAGAATTTCGGTGCATTGCGTCGGGTGCCATGGCCAGATGTACGAGGTACTAAAAAGAATGGATGTCAAGCAAATGAAAAAAAATGTTGCTCCTGCAGTGGTGATGCATTCTTACAGTGGGAGTGTGGACAATGCTAAGATGCTTATGAACAAGCTAGAGAATATTCATATCTGGTTTGGAATCAGTGATGTGGTAAACTTGAGCAGAACGGATTTGGGAAAACTAGAAAAACTGATGACTGTAATACGTGACAAAGTTCTTGTTGAGACAGATTTGGGGGTTGATAGAATGCTTGAGAAACATGGTATATATATTCGACTTATCCAAGAGAAGTTGATGGCAATGGGGCTACCTGAAGTTACGTTATTGGACAATTGGCGAGGATTTATTCAGGAGGTGTAGAGATGGACGTAGAATGTTTAACGAAATAAATGTATTGAATATAAAAAAATGAATCAGGAATATCAGCTACTAGAAAAACTTGATAGGAAAACATATAAATATACACAAGGGTGATGTACAGTAAAGAAGATTGGCACAAAGAAAAGAAAGACAACAAATGAAAAAGACAGTGAGAGAAAAGATGCAAAACGTGAGAAAACAAAACAGATAGAAAAACAGAAAACTGAATACTAAAAACGAGATGAACGCATGAGTGTATAAAGATAACCATAAAAAAATAAAGTCATGTAGAGTAAAAAAGTTTGACAAACAAATTGAATCAAAAAAAATAGAGTTATCTGAGCCACGGCAGAGTTTTATTCTTGCAAGACCTGATACACTTGATAGCAAAGACCAACTCTTTGTATGTGGATTGAGCGGTATCTTCAGGAGGTGATTTTTCAAGATGAGGAAGCTCTAGATCAGCAGAATGAAGTGAAGATGTTTCTTCCTCATTTTCAGAGGATATCGGAGACAAAGAAGACATCATGGTCATATCCGTGGCCTGGGAGGAGTATCTCTCAACTGAGGAAAATACTGAAGAGGTGGTGACACGAGATACACAAGACAGAGAAGAAAGGACCTGTTGAGCCGGTTCCAACTGTATGATATCGTTTAGTATTTCATCTTCCAGGATTATTTGTGGTTGAATCGAGTGATGAGGTTGATAATCTAAATGCGGTTGGCAGTCTATGTTGAAAGTTGTATCGAATTCGTCTTCCTCATCACCATCGTCTAAAAGAGAATTGCTTCTTGATCTTGTAGTTGTTCTCGAGACCGCATTGCCATTGGCAGCAGAGTTTGTGTTGGCATTCGCGTTTGTGCTTGTGGTTGCAGTGGAGTTCATGGAAGAGGTCGATCCGGCCGTTGAAGACCTGTGCCTGCCTCTGGTCCGTCTGCCTCTCGATCTGCGGGGAACGCAGTAGTCTGTAGGGAAAGGTATTCTTAGATCAATGTCTAGGCTGATTTCCTTGGCCACGTTAAGCTTATAGAAGATCGAACCATAGAGGTTAACGTTGTAGGAGACCATGACAAACTGCTCTGTAGGGAAAATCAAGCGTAGGGTGAAGGGTTTGGAATGGAAGTCCGAGGCGTTACCGAACTTGACGAGCTCCTGTAGAGAAAAAGACTTGAAAAGGGTTGATTTGAAGTTCAGCATTTGGGCCTCCTGAGGAGAGTAGTCTGTATCCATTATGGAGTTAATGTCTGGCTTGTAGTTCATCAGCTTCTGGACGTAGATCAGGTCCTGAGACTTCTTCTCCGCATCTGTCAAGGAGACCATGTGGTAGGTCAGCGGTGAGTCGATTTTCGACTTCTTCAAGGAGAGCTTGTCGAAGAATTTAGTAAAGGAGGTTTTCGTTGTGCTGGCGTTGGAGAAGTTGCGTGCAAATGTAGGCGTGTAGATCGAGCCGGTGTTGTAGGAGGAGGATGCGGACGAGGAGATGGAGGAGGCGGCGGAGTTGTTCATGGAGGAGTTGCCCGAGTTCAGGGAGAACATTGTCGAGAGCGAGGAGGTTGAGGAGCAGTGTGCGGCGGAGGTGAGCAGCGGCGGAGGCGACGTGGGCTGCAGAGAGCTCAGGAAGACGGAGGAGCTGTTGCCGGAGGCGTCCGGGACGCTGAAGAGGGAGGTGGAGGAGCCGATGCCACCGCCGACGATGTTCATCTTGGACGGGTTTTTGGACTTGATGTTGAGGTTTGGGTCGACAAACGTCGGATGCAAGTCGTTGAAGAGGTACGCGACGTACTTCGAGTACTCGTCCTTGAGGTGGTAGAAGTTGATCTGCGTCGAGTTGATCTCAAAGAGCAAGGGCACGAACGCGGTCTTGCCGTTGCACCGGGACTCGTCGCTGTAGTACACCAACGACGTGTGGTGCAACGACGGGGTGTACTCCGGCGGCCCGTAGTTCAGATCGAGCGCCTGATACTGCGGAAGCTGCTGGTCCTCGGCTTCGCTAGTCATTCTGCTCTGCTGTGTTGCGCTGCGCTGTGCTGTCTTGGTTTCCGTTGCGTGCAGTCTATGTGTGTGTCCGCAGATACTCTCCAAATAAACAAGGACCACAGAGAGAGGGGAAGCGATCTGGTGCCTACAGCGAGCCACAAAGGGGATTTGTTTCCTTTCTCCCTTTCTCCCTTTCTCCCTTTCTCCCTTCCTCCTGCCCTCAGATCCAGAGCGCAGGGAACAGGAACAGGGGCCCAACGCCAAGCACGACCACTGCTGGCGGCCTCACCACCGTTGTCCGGATCGGGGCAAAACAGGGGCCTGCACACCGCTGCACACCGCTGCGCTACCTGGCATAACGTAACGTGACCGGGCCTGCGGCAGGGCAGGGCGCACAATCGCACAATCGCACAATCGCCGCCGCAGTTGCCGGGGTAGGGGAGACGCGGCTCAGCGGGGCTGGCTTGTGGATCGAGAGCGGGGAGGCGGAAAGGGAGGGGGAAAGGGGGCCTTTCCCGGCCAGCCACCGGCGGTGGCGGTGCACGGGGGTTGGGTAGCGGTGGTGCACGGGGGTCGGAGGGCCGGGCAGGGGCCATTTACGACATGTTTCTGACATGTTTCTGACATGTTGGATCTCTGGGGATGAAAAGCCACAGTGAGGGGCCAACAGCAGACGTCGGGCCACCGCAAACATGTCGAAAGAAGGTGTCTCGTTGCTGAACTACCACACAACGTTCCCACGGGTCGTGTTCCCCACGGAGACGCACTCCGAGTGCCACAGGGGCAGGCAATACCGGCTCTCGTCGACACCCACGGGCGGCTCTGCGACGGCGAAGACGACACAGACGTTCAACCTAGGCGTGTACAGTCTGGCGCCGGTTGCCACAGACGTGGACAGTCTGGCGCCGGTCGACCCGCTCTGCCTGTCGACGCTGCTCTCGATTCTGAGCAGAGAGAAGCTGAAGCTTCCGACGCACGCCGGCGACGTCGCCGAACAGGGCGGCGGCGGCGGCGGCTTCAGCAGCGTCTCTGTGCTGTCGCTCCACGCCGCCGTCGACGACCAGCTGCCGATCCTCGTCGAGGACGCCAAGGACCGCGTCTCCCACCGCGTTGTGCGCAAGATCCACTCCTCGAGGGTCATCAACGCGCTCAACTCGTCTAAACTCTCCACGCAGGATGAGCTCGTCTACTCGCTCCTCAACACACAGCTCTTTGACTTCTACAACCTCGCCGTCCTGCAGCTCGACGACCAGACCCTCCTCAGATTCTACTCCCTCTTCCAGTACAATTTCTCGGCCTCGCTGCAGGCGTTCCCGCCGCTTACCAAGTTCCTTGCTTCCGACGTGAGACTCAGCCTGTTGAAGCGTAACGACTTCCACTTGCGGAATCCAGACACCTTCGCCTACTTCGCCTCGTACCTCATCCCCAAGTCAGCGAAACTAGCTTACCGCTTGGAGTCGGCCAGGATCCGTCGAAACGCCGCGTCGCTTCTGCCCCTCTTCAGCCAACAACTTTCCAGAACAAAGTACTGGAGCTCCGACGGGTCAACTCCAGCGGTACCAGGAGTCATAGACTTTCAGCTCGCAGGTTTTGTATACTGCATGAAGTTTTTGTCGGCCTTCACACCCGTATTCAACGACGTTTTGTCGGAAAACAGGACCCTTGTATCCTACTCAAACGATATCATCGTTTCCTTTATATAATTTCTTGCAAATACTTTTTCTAAATATTGTACTACTAAATTCTATACTGTCATAATTGTTTTCCCGATCTGGAAGATGCGAGGCTCAGGCCTGCTCTTACCTTATCAGAAATTTAGCTCCTCTCTTTTTCTCTCCATGACCTCTCCACATTTCCGGAACAAAGCTCCCTCTGTATCTTTACCTCAATGGTCAAACAATGCAGACAGATGACGCTAACCAAGAACCCGCTGAGGCCAAAAACTGTATATGGATCGCTCTTCCACGTATCCCACCTCCCAATCAGCTAACTGAGAAATGTGAGAATCTCCTTAAAAAGGAGGAAAACGACGACGAAAACAACGATGATTCATGGCTTTTCTCCTTTACGGCATCATCAATCCCTTTATCTGCAATATCTGCTAGATTAAACCCGCCAAAAAACTCGACCGGAAAGTTACTTGCAAATTCTAGCAAGTCTAAAACTATGGTCCTATCTGGACTTTTTCAGCTACTTGATTCTCCTCTAGAAAAATACAACTTGACACGATTACTTGTCCCACAACGCTCGAGAGGAACACTATTGTCAAAGCACCAACTTATAAAAAATTTGTACAAATATACAAAAACCGATAATGTCAAATCGGGTGTTCTTCGGGCAATGATCGATTCCATCAAAATTGGGAAACCAACAGAATCACCCACACCTGATTTTCTACTGGGTATAATATCTGTTTTACAAAGTTACTGGGAAGAATGTGTTTTGCTAAAAAATACAGATTTTGTTAGATTCACAAAAGTCTCTGCTAAATATGACAATCAGATCACATTGGCAAATTTAAGTGTAGAGCTTGATAATTTGCTTGGTGCCCGTGCAGAATCGAGCAAAATTGATGGTTTGTTTCCTGCATCTGAAAATTTATTTGACATGATGTATGTAATAGGAAAATCCTCAAGTTCTAAGGTCAGCCTCAACGAAGAAAGGCCACGACTAACAATTGAAATGGTTCTATCTTGTATTCTTAACAAGTCTACTATAAGTGAGCGTGTTGTTTTCAATGCAATATGTTTGAGACCCAAAGGATTGGCCTCTGCAATATGGTACTCAAGGTCCAATTTGTGGGATGTTATATATGGCATTGAGTACTTAAAAGCCAAGGATCTCCCTTCCTGGAAAAAGATGTTGGATCTGACAAAAGACGGAGGCCTTAGACGTGGAGGGCATAATCTCGATAAATCAAAAAAGAGAGACACCACAATTTTTGTGGTCAAGATATCTGTTGGTATTCCATTCTCAATTATGCGTTGCATACGTATGTATGATGAATATGATAGAATCGTTGAAAAAATCAGTGTATACAAAGATGGTATCAGACAGGAAACAGAGGGATACTGCATTGAAGAGAAGCTCGATGGGGAAAGATCTTGTTTGCACATATGGAGAGATCCAACAAATCGTGACAAAATCTGGACTCGATATTACAGTAGAGGACATGTTGTTCAAGTTTGGTATGGTTCGTACGTGGGCGACCCAGATGGTATAATATCGAAATATTTGAAGCATGAATGGTTTGAAAACATTGAAGACATGATATTAGATGGTGAGATGATTACATTTGATGAGACCCAAAACAGGCTTTTGGGATTTCAAGATGTCAAAACCTGTTCTGAGATGTCAAGAAATGCCATCAGAGAGGGTAAAGATTTGAATGATTTCAAAGTCTACAATAAGCTACTTGTTTACGACATCTTGTATTTGAATGGAGAAAGTTTACAGTTAACATATTTGAAGGAAAGAAAGACAAAATTATTGCAAACCTTCCGAAAACTAGAGGAGAACAATTTTAAGTTCATACAAGTCCATAAGTGGAATGTTGGATACAATGCCAACGATTTACAGATTGCCATGGACAATATCATTAATAGAAACAGTGAGGGTTTGGTCATAAAACATTGGCAATCATACTATTTTGTTGGAAAGCACTCACCTAGATGGATCAAATTAAAGCCTTACTACTTAATGAATTTTATTGACGAACTTGACATCACAGTAATAGGTAAAGAAGGTTCTAACTATATCTGTGCATTATACGGTGATAGTGCTGATGACAAATATAGAGAATGGTTTGTTAGTTTTTGTTTGGTTCGGTTTGGTTTATCCAATGAAGTATCAACCTACATAGATGACAAAACAGAAGGACATTGGATTCCATACAAGAGGTACGAATCTGATATTGATATGCAAGAACATCATGTGCGGTTCGGTAAGCTTAAACCACACTACTGGATTTATCCGGAGAATAGTGTAGTAATTACCGTCAAGGCGAAAAGCATTGAAAATTTGGCGAATGGTTCGGAAAACAGATTCGTTCTTGACACTACTCTTCGATTTCCGTATTGCATTGGAGTCCGATATGATAAGGATTATCTTGAATGCGATACTATAAGTGATTACAGGGAGAAGATAAAAAACCAAGGCAGAAAAAACCCGTTTGAGGAAAATGAAAGGAACTTTGTGAAACATAGACGGATTAAAATGGAGACTAAGATGGATATTGCATTAAGAAAAGTTAATAGAAGTTTTATCCAAACTTTTATCAAGAAAGATGATTTGTTCTCAAATGTCACGTTTTGCGTGAAGACAGATTGCATAATGAATGGTGAGTGGTTGCCATTAAACGAGATAAATGGTATTTTAGAGTCTCATGGGGGTAGAATCACATCAGATCCTAGGCATACTTTTGGAAATAGACTGCTGGTAATTGCCGATAAAAACACTTTGTTGGTGAACGAGCTACGCAAAAAGTACAATATATTCAGGTTGAAGTGGTGTGAAGACTGTATAAGAAGCCAGAGGCAGGTCCTTTTAGATCCATCTCACTGCCTGGCGGTAGATGAAGAAACCAAAGGACAGAGTGAGAAAGGCATCGATCAATTTGGGTGCAACTACACAGTACAGTACAATGAAAAAGGCTTGTGGGAGCTTTCCGAGAATTATGGGGAAAAAACCAGCGAAAAACGCCTGGACAGGGATCAATGTGACAAGCTGCAGTTTCAGTTTTACCAAAAGAAATTTGTACTTTTAGGCTATGACGAAAGTACTAGTTTCCAGCGACAGATATTGGAGATACAGATTGAGATCCACGGAGGTGAGGTCATATTGGAGGCGAAGGATGCAGACTACATCGTCATTTCAGATCTTGGCACAGACGAGTACAGTTTGAAAATTCAACAGAATGCCCCTGTTTTAAGTGCTGCTGAACTACTGAAACAGTGTGGGTACGACGGAGATGATACAGCCTGTTCTCCGAGATCTCCAGTGTAGTTGTCGTTAGGGATGGAGAGAAGACAGTGGCGCGAACTGAAGCGAGAAGGAGAAAAAGGCTAGGAGGAAGAAAGAGCGAAAAGCGGAAAGGGACGAAGTGGCTCGCAATGTGGTTAGGGACACACAATAAAGAACGAAAGAGAATAATCAATCCAATACGAAGAGCGGTAAGCTAAAGAAACAAGAACTCTACACATGTTTGGATTAAGACGCAATGTGCATTGCAGAAGATATGCAGTGAAAAAAGTCTCCTATTTTTCTGTGCGAAACATCACGATCCAACAACCTTCAAGCGTGGTGACGACACAACCGGTCTCACTGGAAGACACGCCAGCTAAAGACGATACCTCTGCATCTATCTTACCACTTTATGATGCCGATAAGGACAACGGAATAGAGGTGCCAACATTTACGACCATAGGGACGCCAGCATCGTCATTATCGGTCACTATTCCACCATCTATTCCCGTCCACGTGAAGAAGGGATCTGTGATAAGTGTGTACTCCTTTGCACCGAAGAAGGCCGAGAGCGATGAAGGTGACACCAATTTTGTGAGAAGCAAATGGGAGTTTTCGCAACCCTTACGAAGCTTGTGGCTTGCTGGAAAGGCATCGAGCTATCAGCGGGTTATTGGTACAGTTCCGCTTCAGGTATTAGTGAGTGCATACGACGGGTACGAAGGAAGCAAGTCCAATGGTGTTCGAAGCTTTGTAAATCTCACGTTGGATGGCAGTGTCGATTGGGCGGTATTTAAGCCAGACTCGTTACAGTGTTACTCGGGGAATTCGCTCAACGTGAAGGTCAAGAGCTTGCCAAGGGATCTACACTACGGTTTATCCGGTAGAGGATACACTTGGCTCAGCGGACGTGGGCTTGTCAGTATAGTCGGGAACGGCAGTGTATTCAAGGTGGGATTGGGGGCAGGCGATGAGATACGAGTTGGGAGAGACAACATTCTTGCCATGAGTGTGAACGACCTAGCAGATTTGCACAATGGCGACATTACCTCTGAGAACTGGAATACTACGGACGGTTTGTTTCACAAGAAGAGTGATGACGGCAAGTTAGAAGCAGTTGATTCACCGCAGCCTATTTTGCTCACAAAGAATAAGGCTGTCGACCATGTCCTCACCACCATGCTGGAATATCTGAGATACGCAGTACAGTTCATGTGGAGAAGTACATCCCAGCTAAAAAACTACGCGTTAGGAAACGGTCACTATGTTGTTGTGAAGGGCCCACGGTCTGTTCTCGTAGAGACCAGCAGTGGAAGAGACAACTTTGTTGTGAGAGCCAATGATCTCGTTTTCGGGAACCGCTCCGGCGAGAGCAGCATCCAGCAGCTCGAAGAAGCAGTGAGAGAGGAAGCCGAGTGGAACAAGCCGAAGCCTAAGGTGGGCGACAACCTGGGCGTCGTTCGGATCGTTGACGGGAAGGCTACCTACAAAAACCTGGACAACTTCAACGACGAGGTGAAAAGGATTGAAAACCTGAAAAACAACAGCTAGAGGGCACCGACAGAGGAGCCGCCATGTATAGAAAGTACACCAGCAGACACCACCCACTTTTATAGACCGTATGCATCATCTAGTTCTATTTATCCTCGTACTCCTGCACAAAGCAGATGTTCGGTGTCGGAGAAAAAAGACAGCGAGCGAGAAAGCGAGCGGCAACTGTGGGAAGGAGCCTGTTATCTGTGAAGGCAGCAGACGGAGCTTCTCCCATGAGGCTGCAAGAGAAGAGCGGTAAATGGAGAAATGCGGTAGAAGTGCAAACATCAGCACCATCAGCAGCAGAAATAGAATTGATTCAGTCATGTCAGGCTTAGAGAGTACGTAAACAGAGGCAATAATTGCGGCAGCGAGCCGTTTCCGCCGTCTCCGCCCAGATCGCAGACACTAACACAACTCCTACCGTGGTGATGCTACAGACTCGCTATTCCAATTGAAGTTCACGTCGAAACAGCTCAACCGACAGGCTGCCAAGGCTGGAAAGGAGGAAGAGGGAGAGAAGAAGCGGGTGAAGAAGGCGCTACTCCAGGGGAACAACGACATTGCGCAGATCTACGCCCAGAATGCAATACGGAAAAGCCAGGAACGCATTAACCTCCTCCGGCTTTCGTCGAGAATCGACGCGGTGGCGTCGAGGATACAGACAGCAGTAACGATGCGGGGGGTCACCAAGAACATGTCTTTTGTGGTGAAGGGCATGGACAAGGCCATGGAGAGCATGAACTTGGAGCAGATCACGCGGGTTATGGACAAGTTCGAGGACCAATTCGAGGATTTGGAGAGCTCCACAAACTATTACGAAAACGTCTCTAACCAGATGAGCGTCAGCTCTCAGCCGCAGGGCGAGGTCGACCTTTTGATGCAGCAGATGGCGGACGAGGCCGGCATCGAGATGAAGCACAAAATCGGCGAGGCCAAGGTCGAAGGCTTGCAGACCCCTCAGTCTGGTGTTGCTGCCGCCAATCCATCCAACAGGGTCGAAGAGGACCGTTTGAACGAGCGTCTCCGGGCCCTCCGTAACTAGCTGGCTGCTGGGCCCGGCCTGCCGCCAAGTGTAACGATAGATAGTTTGAAGATACAACATGTAACTAGCGAAGGAGAACCGTAGGTAGGCGGCGGCCGAGCTGAGGCTGACGGGGTGCTCGCCCACAATGAAAAATGGCCTGGTCCTTTCTCGGGAGGAGTCCTCCCCTTTGTGGGTGCTGAAGAAGCAGCAGAAGAGAGGCCACTGGACCTGTTTATACGACATTGTACACCCCACGGCCAAGTAGGGGCCAAGAGAGACTGCAGACGAGAATGCCAAAACAGCTTGCAGACGGGGAGTACGACCTCGACTTCTCGGGCCTCTTTTCGACCGTGCAATCAGACGTTTTTGGCATCAGATATGGCTTCAAGCCTGACATCATTGACGATGGCTTTCCGTCGTTTCTCTACAAGGACGTTGCCGGGAATGCCCGCCAGGCATCTCCGACGAGGGGAAACGAGACCGTGATGGTGGATCCTGGCCTTTCGGCTACCGAAATTCCATTCTACCTCGTATCCGAGTCCAAAGAAAGCACCAAGGCGATCACGACGAATCTCAGCAAGGACGACCGCATCTACTTTGAGGGACGATCCCGGCCGAACGCCGGGCTGCACCAGCTAATGTCCACAGCTATGACGCCGACAGGCACGGGCTCGACGTCTTCTGTCGCCCTCGAGAATGGAGCTGGCGCCGGGGCTGCTCATTTCGGCTCGATGTCGGAATTCCTTCTGTCCTACGACGACGTGAGCAAGTCGTTCAAGGTCGATGTGTTCAATGGATTCATCAAGATGAATAAGTCGAGAGAACCCGAGATTATCTCTGGGAAAATCAACAAAATGACACATCGACAAACGAAACTGTCGAACGCACCATCATCTGCTGCTGCCACCATCTCTCCAATGACAAAATCGTACATAGACTCCCTGATAACGTCATTTGCCTCCGGAACATCTAGCAAGCCAAGCTTGAGCTGCTCCAGAAGAACCACGAGCCCCGTGAGGACTGCAAACATAATACCGACCGAAGTGGGGATGATCAAGCCGTACGGAAAGTCCATTAGCGGCATATCTCCCGTCAGAAGACACGTATCAAACTCACCTATCAACTCGCCTACTAGAAAAGTTTTTCAACCATCGAAGACACTGTCGTCTGTGCCAGTATCGGCTCCACCATCGACTCCAGCAAAGCCGCAGTCACCTTTAAAAGTCTCAGCATCTCCGTCTCCTGTTTTGCAAACAGCCAAGAAGAACGTTATTACGCCCACGAACGGAGGAACGGGGACGAGAAAGACACAGAGGAGCTTGCTTCTTAGAAAGGCAGAACGAGCGGTCGGAATTAATAAAGGGAGAGTCTACAAGCCGAAACTGAAAGAGCCTGCACTCAAGGAAAAGGAAATTCTTTCCAGTGCGGTGGACGCTTCTCATAAAACTCACGAGAGCACCGGACTGCGGATCAGACAGAGAGAGCTGAAAGAGGCCAGGCCGGACCAGGCAGCATTTGAGCTGGTTCTGACGCCGCCACCATCTGTGCCGCCAAAAAAGGAGGTTTCTCCACAGAAGCCAGCGAAGAAGGCAGCCAAAGTTCTTGAAAAAGATGTCAGGAAAGTCACCAAAACCGAGCCTACGCTGGAAGCATGGAAGGACCCAGTATTAAGCGACGATCTGGATCTAGAGAGCTTTGCTGAGGAATTGGAATCTGAAATGAACACCGCCTCTGCTGCTGAGGAGGCCGACACCACTTCTCTCACAACTAAGTCCGCTAAAAACGTCAAAAGCCAAAAGGCCGAAGCTATTAACACCACTCCGAGCCTTGGAGTGGAAACATACCCGACAGCGATCTCACCTACGCCCCCGCTACCGCCAAGCCAGTCGCCTGCTGTTAAAGAGTTGAAAGTCAACCCTGCAAAAGCCATTGATCGGACCACCGATCGGACCACCGACAAAGTTGCCAAGACGTTCGATGATGACTTAAACATCGAGTTTTCTGACTGGGAGGATGCAGATGCTATTGATGGTCCCGTGCTGTCCGACGAAAACGAGCTCACAGCAGGGAACAGCGAGTTCCAATTGATCATCGAAGATGATCCGTTGAAGAGCAAGGAGATGAAGGAGCGCAAGCAGATACATAAGGAAGAGCCGAGACCGGACAAGCTTGCAACTTTCCCAGTGAAGCAGGTCAAGGTCGAGACCAAGTCGGCGAAGTCTGTCAAGCCGGCCAAGAACAAAAACACAGTGAAATTACCTACGCCAACTCCAACGCCTGCTCCTGCGTCTGCGCCTTCGCCCACGGCAGCGGCTCCCCCTGCAAAGAAAAATACCACGCCTGCTTCTTCCTCTGCCACACCTAAGAAGGCGCCTAAGGCCAAGGGTACAGGCAAGCTTAAGAAGAAGACAGGTACTCCGCAGAAGGCCAGACATAGCGGTCTCCCCCACGAGGACGACGAGATCGATCGTGAACTTGACGCAGAGTTGGACAAGGCATTCGACGACCTCCTTGACGAGGAAGACATGAGCGAGGAGGAGTAGAGCACTCCATCCCCAGCTATAACCTACGTGTAAGCATGTATAGAACATACGCCTGAAAAGAACCTCGTTCTCCGGGCTGTCCTGCCTATACGACGGGCCCACCCCGCGTTGAGGACTTTCATTTCCTCGCAGGACGTTTTTCCTTCACTGCGGGAGGTGTGTGCATGCCCCGATGCATGTGAGAAAGGAACGAGGCCCCCTGGATGGGCTAAGAGTAGAGTTTGGAGCAGGGAGCAAGGAGGGACAGAACTTACATCGGAGCAGGACGACGATGAACGACGTGATGAACCTCAATCTGACGGAGATCCTGGCGCAATTGAATGATACGTTGACGTCTATGAACTTGAATTTTTCATCGGACCGACTGCAACTGCAGTTTGCAAAAGACAACACGTATCCAATTCAAATATCGATCTCCTTGTTGCTGATTGTTGGCACGTTCTGTTTGTTTGTGTTCAGAAAGACTCACAAGCGAGTGGAGAAGCCCCTGAAGTTTGAGATCCCGTTCCCCGAAGCGTCACAACCGAACTGGAAAGGGAAAAGGCTAACCATTCCGGACATCTGCCAACCGGACGACCCGGAATACATCTACTGCTACTGTCCAGCTACATCGCAGCTACTTGGCAAGTTCAAATCGCATAAGCCCGAGGAAATTGACTCAATCATCAGGTCTGCCCAAGTTGCTCAACCGAAGTTCTATAATGATGACAAATTCAAGCACAAGAGAAGGAAGTTCTTGCGTACTCTTAGTGAGTTCATCATAAGAAACCAGAAAGAACTTGCCAGGGTTGCTTGCCGGGATTCGGGGAAAACTATGATAGATGCTTCTATGGGTGAGATTATGGTCACCTTGGAGAAGATCAACTGGATTCTAAAGCACGGCGACTCCATTTTGGAACCTAGCAAAAGACCTGGCCCTGCCAACATGTTGATGAAATACAAAAACGCACAAGTCTGGTACGAGCCACTTGGCGTCGTTGGCGCTGTTGTTTCATGGAATTACCCATTCCATAACTTGATGGGACCAATTATCGCTGGAGTTTTCAGTGGTAACGGTGTTGTGATCAAGTGTAGTGAACGAGTAAGATGGAGTAGTGAGTTTTTCATGAGTGTTGTCAAAGGCGCATTGAAGATTTGTGAGATCGATGAAGACCTTGTACAGCTTGTGTGTTGCTGGGGAAAAGATGCCGATGCTGTCAGCGGGAACCCGAGATTGGACCACCTGACCTTCATTGGCTCGAGACCTGTCGCTAAGAAGGTGGTCAAGAAAGCAAGTGATATATTAATTCCGGTAGTTGTCGAATTGGGCGGTAAGGATGCGGTGATTGTATGCGATGACTACATGAAACAGAAGGGTGTTGATTCCATTGCTAGCACGCTATTACGTGGTACCTTCCAGAGCTCAGGTCAAAATTGTATTGGAATCGAAAGAGTGATTGTTTGTGGGGACCGAAATAATTATGAATTGCTACTCACCAAGTTGAAAGAGAAAATAGACATGTTTCACTTAGGGAGTGATATAGATCAGGGCGAAGAGATCGATATGGGCGCCATGATCATGGGAGGCGCCAAATTTGATGAACTGGAAGGATGGGTCAGCAACATCGAAGAACAGGGTAAAGGAAGAGTTTTGTGTGGTGGTAAAAGATACGTCCATCCTAACTATCCACAGGGACATTATTTTCAACCCACCCTAATTGCAGATTTGGATCCAAACAGTGCGATTGCCCAGAACGAAGTATTTGGCCCTATTTTAAGTGTATTCCATGCAGCTGATGATGAACAGGGTCTCGAAATAGCCAATAATTCCGAGTTTGGACTTGGTGGCGCAATTTTTACTACCAACAGGAAGAAAGGGTTTGAAATGACGAGAAGATTCCGGACAGGGAATGTTGCAATAAACGACTTTGCAACATTTTACGTCTGCCAGTTGCCGTTCGGCGGTATCAAGGGGTCTGGATACGGCAAATTTGGAGGTGAAGAAGGATTGCGTGGACTTTGCAACGAAAAGAGCGTTTGCTTTGACAAAAGCCAGTTCATCAGCACTAGCATCCCTGGTGTGATCGACTACCCGATCAAGAGCGGCAAAAAGGCTTGGACTTTTGTCTCTTCCATGAACAAGGCTGCATATGACTATAGCTTGTTTGAAAGGGTGAAGGGTATATATAATCTTGCCAAAAACGCAAATTGACTGGCTGACAGTCTTCTTCACAAAATAGTATTAATTACTTGTGAGTGTATATACAGATTATCAAAAGAATGACAAGACTCTACGCAAATGCTAGCTCATCGATTTCTCAGTGTTTTTAAATGCTGTCGTGAACTTCTCTGCATACGTCTTATAGGAGGCGTCGATATCGGTCGTCAACTTTCTCACAATGTCCTTGGAACCTTCGACGTTTTTCAGATCCTTCATGAAAGAAGCCCTGATAGACTGTAGACTGTATTTGAAAGTGGCGTTGGACTTGAACAGATCCAAGAGCTCCTTCATTTGTTTGATCTGCTTTGCCTTCAACTCCTTTGTGGAATTTGGCAATTTTACCTTCAAAAGCTGTTCGTTCTTAGGATCCACCTCTGGGTTGAGATTCATGTCGGCGTCTAAAATGGCAGAGACAACACGTTTTGTGTGGCTCGGATCAAACACTGTGATGTTGAGAAAGCTTGTGCCCTTCATTGCAGTCATAGCAATTTCTGGGAAGGTCGCCACGTAGGAATCGTCGATTTTGACCTTCAATTTGTCAAAAATGGCAGGGTTAGCCCTACCCATCTTCATTTCGGTGAGCTTTTTCGTGAATTGTGTAAAAGAATCGTCGTATTTGGTCTTTAAACCAGCCAAAATCGCCTTTGGGTCAAGAACAATCTCTTCTGCATCTTCTCCGGCGTCAGCAGAAGCCTTGTTGTTGGCCCTCTTGGTGTCTTTCTTAGACTTTTTGGCACATGCACTTGTTGTCGCAGAGAACGACCTTCTGAGTTGGAAAAGAGGTGACACTGGAGAAAAGCATCTCCGGGTGAAGTTGAGGCTGTTAGCAATACTCATGTCCTATTTGGGTCACTACAAGCAAACCCCCCCATCAATATGACCTGTCTCCAGTGTGTCTGGGGAGTTTGAGCTCCCTCATTCTCTCTTTTGACTTCTACTGGGCACGGCAAACCGGGCTTTCTCGCTCTTCTCCTCTCTGCAGCTCGCAGCAGCTCCGTGTTTTTGTTTATGTTGGAGAGTTATCACTGCTATTGCACTGACTTCGTAACGTCCACCAAGAGACAGGCACACGTCACAGAAGGTTGTAGCTTGCATTTACGACTTCTCTGGCGCTGGCTACACGTATAAAAGGCAAACAGCTCTTCTTCCACCCCCGTCCTTGTTGACCCCCACCCCACTTGACACGGACGACCGACCGCCCCATCCGCTGATCATTGATATTTCATTCTCCATCTTCATTCAGCCAGCCCAGCTTCATCCCTACCACCACCGGAGAGCACATACGTATCCAACACTGAGGTATACTTTCAACAAAGTTGAGGGCATTTTCTTATTGAAAGATCCGACTGCCTCTTTCTCCATTACAGTGACCACTCTAAAAAAAAATAGGTGCATATGCAGAGCCTGTTTCCGGAATACCGGACCCAGTCCGAGTTTATCAACGATGACATCGAAAACTTACACGAAATAAACCACAAATTGTCGTATTCCACACTCACATCAAGCCATAGCAATCATTATTATGCAAAGGGTGCTCCCTCCATATCGAAGGACAAATCTGGTTCAAGCAAAAGTAATACCCAAACAAACGCCAATAATATTAGTTATACCAAAACTCTGACTAACGACAACACAGAAAAAAATAGCAATAGCAATAGCAATAGCAATAGCAATAGCAATAGCAATAGCAATAGCAATAGCAATAGCAATAGCAATAGCAACAGCAATAGCAATAGTAATAGTAATAGCAATAGCAATAGCAACAAAATGAACACGAGTAAAAGAAGTAGTGTCAACGGCGAAGATATACAAGTGGATGGTAGCAGTAATGCTCCAACAAGGCTTTTTAAACCCAGTCAGCCTTCAGCACATCTATCCAACATTTCACAATTAACGATGAATGATACCACAATAAGTTCCTGTGACAATGATTTGTTATTAGAGCCTCTTTCCTTTGATGATAATCCTAACATGAGCGGCTACGATCTTTCCAATTTATCTGCAAATGCGGACAACTTGAGAAATCTAAACGCCTTACGTACCAGAGATAACCTCACCGAAGACAACGACCAGGTTCACGACTATTTGAACATTGTTAATATCGAAAATAATCAGTTGACATTAGACGACTTCAACCTCGATTTAGGCTTGGATCTGGATTTGGACTTGGATTTGGATCTAGACGTGGACTCGACATTGTCTTACTCCCCACCTACACATTTGGATACAAAATGCTCTGTTCCAAATTCTGCAATCTCTGATACAAATACCAATACTAATTCAAACCTGGATACCCCACCTTCAAAAATTCTTCATAATTCGGACTTTTCCGTTGATGATTTGAAACGATCGTTCACTAGATTGAAACAAACCTCAGAATTGATAAATACTGAAAAAGTTTATATATGCTCTCTTAAAATTCTTGAAAAAGTGTATTTGAATAATTTCATGTCTGATACTTCCACTCCAATTTACTTTGATGTTTTTAAAAAATGTGTCACTCAATTGTTGAAAAGTCATCAATCACTCTATGACGGCCTATCTGAAATATACGAGGACTGGTATCAGGACTCAGTGAACTTGTTTGATACAGAAAAAGCGCACATTGATTCAAATGCTCAGTCCCCTAATTTTGATAAATTCAATTATGTATCAAGTGAAAAAGAATATTTAGAAGCAATCGTAAACTTGATAGCGAATAGTTCAATAGATGTTCAAACTTATTCAACTTACTGTTCTTTGTTCCAAAGGGTCTTGAATTTTTCTAGTTCCAAAGGAATTGAGAGTTATAAGCGTGATTCAATGATTATCTTGAATGATTATTTTGTTGATCATAAAAATTTAGAGGCAGATTTGTTTATTGATCAACATCTAGATACTCGGTTTATATCTGTTGTTCAAATGCCAACTAACAGAATGGTTAGATATAAATTAATTTTACAGTCTTTACTAAAACACATAGAGTTGGATGAGAAAAATTCTATACAGTTGAATTATTATGAAAAGACTATGGAAAGGATCAATCTTAAAATTGATGAAATCAATAGCTATGTGGGGAATGAAGACATGCAGCTACAGAAAATCCAACAATTCAGACTTTTCATAAACAAATCAAATAATTCTGTTCTACCGAATAAGCTTTTTTTGGAAAACTTGGAGAATTTACATCTTGCAAGTTCGTTTGGAGTAGTATATGCTATCCAATCAAAGCATCTAATATTAAATCATGAATACATGTGTGGGTTTTTGTTCAAGAGTCATTTAATTTTAGCCAAATGCTCGTCAGTAACATCAAACTCTATAGATATAAAATTTATCATACCCTTGATGTCAATATTCGAAGATTTCGAAAACACATCTTCTCATTTTGTCACAACTTACCCGGATACCATTATTCTGAAATTTGAAGATAAGTTTAGTATCTATGAAGTCTGTTTGATCTTTCCTGATGAGAAAGAAAAACTTCTGTGGCAGGGCCAGCTTAAAGTAAATCTGAGCAACTTAGTGACATTAAACTCAAGTGTGAATTCAAGTGCTTATCGTAAAAGTGATTTCCAGAAAAATGAGTTCTTATTTTCTGATGTTCAAAGAAATATACTTTCCATTGATTTGAACCCCGAAATTGACAAGTTTAACGTTACATCTTATATTCCAAATACAATGAATTCGACGATTAAATCTGAAAAGAACAACGTGATTTACAATCATGATTTTTTTCAGTTTGAAGTAGATCATTTTGTTTCAGAGCTCAACTCCCCCAAAAAGATTCTGCGCAGCGATTCGGTGACTTCACTATCAAGTAATAATCGTACTGAATCATATGAAAATGACAATAGTAGCATCAAAACAAAAACATCCACAATTAATGCACCAACTCATAGTTCACCTGGCGGCAAATCTCAACTTGTAAGGATAGCTCTTCAAGAAAGAGTTTTTGCTCAAACATGCATAAAAACTGTCTGGTCTCCCCAATTCCAGATATACACACTGAATACTTCTATCAGTCGTTCATTGTCTAATATATTCTTTCATTCCAAGATATCATTGCTATCTATGAATAACACGCCCACCACCCCCGCAAGTAACACCTTTGTGCCTCCATCTCCATCTTTTGCTAATAGTGGTGGATCGCTGGGGTCGCCCATAAAATTAAGAAACGTGAAGTCGATGAGATCAGTTAGAGAGGTATCCAGAAAACCTTCTATAGCAGCAAGAGGAAATTCGCTAGCTTATTCCCCACAATGTGGGAAATCTTTCACTCCGGAACCCATTAGAAATGAGCAAAACAAAATAGAAACAGGACTAGGTCATCGTAGTCATAGTGTGAGACACAGCAATAGTCTTAGAAGTCTGTCAAGCTTTCTGGGTGCCTCTAGTTCTAGATCTATGGCTTCGAGCTCAACGATAAACCAGAAAAGCCCATCAAATCTTAGAGGCTCATTAAAATCGATATCAGCACTACAATCGGCACAGGCACAGGCACAGGCACAGGCACAGGCACAGGCACAGGCACAGGCACAGGCACAGGCACAGGCACAGGCATCGGCATCGGCATCAGCATCAGCATCTACATCGTTGGCATCAACATCAGCATCAGCATCAGCATCGGCAACTGCGCAAGCCTCAGCAACCGCTCCACTGCCATCTGCAAAGTTGGGAAATAGTGTCAGTAAATTTTGGAGAAGTTTTAAACATACTAGTGCCAAAAAGCCTAGAAACTGATTAATTGACACTGATCAGTCCGACAAGTAATCTTGAAATTAGTAGGGTTACATCACATTCATCATTAGATAGGCATTATTTATAAATAATTTTGAGTTAGTAAGAGTTATATAACAACTCATGACCATTTCCATGACAGTTATGTAGTAAATCTTATTTGTATTTTGTATGTAGTTAAGAGATCATTGAGGTAAAAAGCTACTGAGGCCGAAAAATCCTATCTGCCCCTGAAACATTCAATCTTTGTGCATGTTCTGAAGTTTTCCAGATCTTAAAATTTTTGGGATGATTTCATCTTCAACACTTTTAAAATCTCCAAACTCTTCGTTCAAGTTCTGCTCGCTTGCAATTTCAAGAATTCCCTCCGATCCGTTACCAGTAGCGTTTCTGTATATGTCAAACTTGGCAATAAATCTAGACATAGGGATTGATGTATCACCAGCAATATATTTTTGGTATTCATCCACATCATCAAGGAAGATAAGAAAGTCTTCTTTATTGCCTTTGTAAAAAACTCTTTCTTGGGATGACATTTTATATTTGAAAGTTTATTAAGTAAAGTTCCGGTTTTATCTTATCTATGAGTGGTTGTACAGACAAAATCAATACCAATAAACTACAAAGAAAACTAAAATGAATATTAAATTAAATACAACTAAAAATTACAGCTATAGTCTTTTTTCGAAAGAGGTAGGGTGGCGGGAGATGCCGGATATTTAAATCTTCGAAGTTTTGGGAGGTGTCAATTGTGTCAAACTGGGCCGATGATATCATAAGGATGAGGAGATCAAGGACAGGTAAGTGGCGCATGCGCGGGTGCTGTGGCTGGGGTGGCGAAAGAATAAGATGAGAACATGTTTTGAGCAGGTTGTGAAAAGAAAATATAAGGAACAAGAGAGCACTAAATACTCAAACTTGTATCACTCCTAATATATAGCTCATACTTGCCACGTACATAAACAAAAGTAACTAGCGGGAATAACCATGCTCAGAACTTCGGTTGATGTCGGTATACGTCATCTAAATAGAGGTGCATGCCGTTGGAGCGGTGTGTCAATAAGGCAAATTGGGACGAACCAATTTGTGGGCAACCACCGTGCCAGATTAATGAGTTTCAGCAACAGAAGACATATTTCCACAAATCAGCTCATACGCCCCTTTTCCTTTTTCTCTATAGGAAAAGCAGCTGCTAAAGCCGCCAAAGTGCCTGTTTATCTAGGTGGTAGCTTGGCTGCTGCAGGTAGTTACGTGATGTACAAGGTAGAAGAAGCGACTAACTACACTTCCGAGCAACTAGATCGTGCAAAGGAGCTAGCATCAGGAGCAAAAAACGGCTTTAATGGATTATTGGATGGGATGCTTTCACATTTCGGAAGTTCCGAAGGTGGAGAAGACAATGGTCAGAACGGTAATAATAACAATAATAATAATGACAACGATGATGATACAACTTTGGTTGGATCTGCTGCCGCTGCCTCTGCTATTGGAATGTTGGGCAATAGCAGTGATGAAGAAACATTGCAAGAGGAAGAACTTTTAGAAGAAGACGATGAGGTGGACGAAGATGAAGAAAATAAACAAAGACAAATTTTGGAGGATCAAATGCTAAATTTAACGAGGCAGATGATTGAAATCAGAAACATTCTTTTGAATGTTAACGGTGCCACTGACCTTAGGCTGCCATCCATTGTTGTGATAGGCTCACAAAGTTCAGGTAAGTCGTCAGTTTTGGAAAGTATAGTTGGACAAGAATTTTTGCCAAAAGGTTCCAATATGGTCACGAGAAGGCCAATTGAATTGACTTTGGTCAATGATCCATCAAGTGCTTCCGAAATTGCTGAATTTCCAGCTCTGAAAATGTTTAATATGACTGATTTTCAGCAGGTTCAAAAGGTTTTAGTTGATCTGAACCTCGCAGTTCCTCACGACGAGGCTGTTTCTGCAGACCCCATCCAGCTCACCATCAAATCTCCCAAAGTTCCTGACTTGTCACTGGTTGATTTGCCAGGTTACATTCAGGTTGAAGCTGCAGATCAACCTACAACCTTGAAGACTAAGATCAGAGAAGTTTGTGACAAGTATCTTGAAGAGCCAAATATCATTCTCGCAATTAGTGCAGCTGACGTTGATCTTGCTAACTCTGCTGCTTTGAGAGCTGCAAGAAGGGCAGACCCGAGGGGTGAAAGAACAATAGGTATAATCACCAAGTTAGATCTAGTAGAACCAGATGTTGCTAGAGGTATGTTAACCAACAAAAAGTATCCGTTAAAAATGGGATATGTTGGTGTTATTACTAAGATACCAAAATCAACATCAATTTTTCAAAGAAAGACTGGGGTGCAAGCGTTTATTGCGCAGCAAAATACCGAGAGAATGTTTTTCAGAGAAAACAAGGATGTTTTTTCAGGATTGAGTGTGGGCACAAAATTGCTGAAAAAGAAATTGATTCGTGTTCTAGAGAGATCAATGTCAAATGCTTTGAGACCAATGCAGCAGCAAGTTTTGAATGAATTGGAAGAGACTAGCTACAAATTCAAGGTGGAGTTCAACGATAGAGATTTGACTTGTGAAAAGTACATGGCTCAAACCATAGATAATTTGAAGATGGAAATCAAGGAATTCAGTGAAAAGTTTGGTAGACCTGAGCTTAAGTCTTTACTCAGAAGTGAATTGGATCAAAAGGTTTTAGACCTCTTGGCTTTGAGATATTGGAATAAGTCCGAACCATACATCAAAAAGAATCCTGCTATTTCCGACTACGAGTTTGAAGAGCCTCAGATATCAGAACTGAGTAATGCCAAAAATGACGAAACTTTTTGGCACAGAAAACTAGATTTGTCAACCGCAAATTTGACCAAAATTGGGGTCGGTAGATTGTCTACTACATTAGTCACCGAGGCTATTCTCACTGAAATAGATGTATTGATCAATAGTACTGACTTAAGAAACAACGATATGATCAAACAGGCAATAAAGGAGGCCGCGATATCTGTTTTGAATCAACGATATAACTCTACTGCCGACCAAGTCGAAAATTGTATCAAACCTTTCAAATATGAGATAGAAGTTGAAGACCGAGAGTGGAGTTTGAGTAGGAAGCATTCAATACTGCTACTCAACGAAGAGCTCCGAGAGGTGCAAGTTGCATACGATGTGATAAAGAAGACTGTTGGTGGTAATAAATTGAAGCAAATTATGACATATATAGAGAACGAAAACAATTCAGTTGGCCAAACTATTGAACGTGAAAATCTGGGGTTCAGCCCAGGGCTGATTTTGAGAGGTAGAGAAGCTATTTTTCTGAAGGATCGTTTGGCAATTTTGAATTTGAGATTGAAAGGATTGCAAAGCTCTACATGTAAACACAAAGAAAACAAGTTCAAGTGTCCTGAAATATTCCTTGATGTTGTTGCCGAAAAGTTGACGCAGACAGCTATTTTGTTTCTCAACGTTGAATTACTTAGTGACTTTTACTATAGCTTTCCTAGGGAGTTGGAGAAGAGATTAGGCACCAAGTTGACGACCGAAGAAATTGAGAATTATGCTAAGCAAGATCCTAAGGTCAAGAGACATATTGAATTGCAGGAACGCAAGGAGTTACTTGAACTTGCATTGAGTAAGATTGATGATGTCATGGCAATTCAGAAGAGGCTTTGAACCAGTGGGAAATTATTGTAGATAGATATATGTATAACTATATATATAAGTATTACGTTGATGCGTATTTAACTGCCATCAAATAAATGACTATTTTATATTTTAGTATCTGGTGATGAAAGCGTGAACACTAAGCGCATATGATTATGGGAGAGAAAAGAAGATGGACAATTATGTCAGAATAATTTGTGAAGCGAATTTTCCTTATTTACTCAAAATTAGTCGTACTCACCAAGCTATGCTCATGTTAGTACCAAAAAAACTCTCATTCGGAAACTTGAAAAAAGCACACAATAAGAAATCATGAGTGTCGGAATGAGATCCAAACACTATGCTGGAAACTAGTCAGAAATATTGTTGCAATGTTCGAGATCAAAAAAGAGGTCTTAAATATAAATCATTCTCCCGCTCACGTTCTTGTTAATACCGGAACCCATAGCCTTTTTTATAGCATCAACAGGGTTTTGATTTCTTCCTACTACAGCACCTTGAACAAAACAGGTTGCTCTTTCACACAGCAAATCTGCATAATATGCTGGTGGAACAACTCTAACAGACTTAGTTGCTCTACCAAATACATTACAGAGATTGTATGTGACTTTTTGCAATTCATCTGGAGTCCATTTGTTTTCGTCATATAAAACATAGTAGTGTCCAGGAATTGCAGTACCTTGTAATGCTTGCTGTGACTGGAGAAAGAAATCGTAAAGACTTCTGGATGTTACGCCCTTTTCAACGACAGAGCCCGGTAATATATTCTCTTGAGCTGCAACTGCGACCATTTTGTCTGCTTCGTTCTTCGCATTCGTTTCTAATGGGAAGAAACGAGTATTATGGCTCTTTAAAAGGGTAATGAAAGTTAGCTTTGGGTCAAATTTGACTCCCAGTCTATTTGCAACAACACTGAAGGAATTTTTGACTGCAGTCACCTCCTCATCCAAGATGATGTTAAATTGACCAAGAGAGACACCATCTCTGTAAAACAGGACAGTTTGTGGCAATTCACCAACAGACTTTTGATAGGCCAATATTCTTTCAACACACATCTTTGACATTTCTTGAATGGTTTCTTGTTTTTGCTGCTGAACTGAGATAGAACCAGGAAAACTATTAAACTTAGCATCAACAGATCCAACAACTGCTGCAATGGAAGTACCATTCGAGTTGTTGGTTGGGTGGGTAACATCAGCTCCAAGAAGTAATGCTGGCAAGCCATTAACAACTAACTTACCAACGTCAGCACTTGACAAAACGTGGTTAGCACCACCCAACTTGATACATGTTTTCATGCTCATCAATGCATACATTTGAATATCAAATTTGCCAAACTTTCTCCTGGCGAATTTGTTACCAATAGTGCATTGATTCAAAATACCCAAGTCTCTATCAAGTGCAGTTTTAACAGCAGCATATATTGCTTTTTCTTTTTGATTCAAGATTGTTAATACATAATCTGTGCTGGCTTGTAAAGGTTTCATAATTGAAACAATTTCTCTCGTTAAATTTTCAACCCGGTCATAACTGACAGCCTTGATAGCAAATTTTTTGTTAAACATTACACCATGTTTGCCAACTTCAGCAACAAACTCATTGCAAGCAGCTTCAATGTCGCTCTTTTCTTCGCCACGAAGGGGTCTTCTGGTGTTTTCCAAGACCAAGACAGTCAGTTTTTTAACCCCTTTTACTGGTTCATAAAACTGCTTGTTAATCAGATCCCAAGAGCCTTTAGCTTTCTCAGATTTACCATCGGCTTGTTTCTCTGTAAATATAATCTTGGCATTCTTATACTCTAAGACGGGAGCGGAAAGAACTCTCGAGGGCACAACGACCAACTTGGTACCTATCCTCTTAGATTCTTCTGGATTAATCGAGCTCGTCAACTTTTTAACACCATCTTGCTGGACTAAGCCAGCAATAACATGGGGCCTGTGGGTACTGAAACTCAAAACACCCTTAACATCTGTAATTTCTCCCTTGAATTCTTGACCAGGTAAAATCATGCACGCTTCCATTGGAACGTAATTAGAGCCACCTAGATGAACCAATGGAGCGTCTCCATATTTTAGCTTGAAATTGTATTTACTCTCAAAATACTGAGCAACTGATGTTTGCTTACCATCGCAGTCAAATTTGTAATTGTTAGCAGTTTCTGACTTACTAATGTCGAATATTCCCTTAGGCTTGGATTTATGACCCAAATAAGTTCTCTGAATTTTAATTCCTTTAAAAAACCATTTTTGGGACATAATTTCATTTGATGAAACTTTTCTTAAATCTGTTTCACCAAAGTAGTCTGCAATTAAGTCAGCAACAGACATTGGAGAGCCATCTTTGTTGTGTGATTTAATGAAAGCACCTGCCACAGGCCTGATATTAATCATCACATTATCAAAAGATGGTAGAACGGATGCATAGTAACCACTTGCAATGTATAAGCCCTTCTGGAATGACTGGCACTTCTCGGGATGGTCAACAAAGAAAAATCGGCTTTTCCCAGCCATAAATACGTTAGAACAATTTGAAATTTGATAGCCCAACACAACATTGAGCGCAGAGATATATGCGTTTGGCTCGATATTTTTTTTGTCGTTGATTTGCACCCAGTTGTTGAGATCATCCATGTTCAATTTGTGAATAAACTCAACTGTGCAGTATACTTGCGGATCTTCATCCGCAGAGTTGCCTTTCTTTTTTCCGCTACTCTTGAGAGTTGTAAGCACAGTGGAAGAAATAACCCCTCTATATTCTTCAGGCTCAAAGTCAAAACGTACCTTTTCGTCCTCTTTGCTAATCGGCAAAGGTGCGCTGGAATACAATGCATCTGAGCCATTGTGTGATATTTTGGACTTCAGCCCCTGGAATGGACTTTTATTCAATAATATTTCCAGCAGATCTTGTTTCATTTTCTTCTTCGTGTTGATTTCGGACTGGAAAGTAACATTATAGTACCAAAATGACATACCAGTAATCTGATATTTCAAATAGTTGGTACCAACCTTTGTTTTGATACCAACAGAACCAAAGCCTGGTCTTCTAACTAATTGGTACGGGTCTTCGGGCTTTCTTTCTTTTTCCTCAGCAACAATAAGATCCTGGATCTTTGGAAGGGGATCTGGCTGAGTCACCTCAGATTCGTATTCAGGCTTGAAGTTATATTCAGGTTTGATAACTTGAGCATCAGAAGCATCAAACCCACCGCCAAAGCCACCTCTTCCTCCTCTTCCACCTCTACCGCCTCTACCGCCACCTCTACCACCTCTGGAGTCTCCTCTACCTCCTCTTGCTCCACCTCTTCCACCTCTTGCTCCACCTCTTGCTCCACCTCTGCCACGACTTCAAAAAATAGCATTGCAGTTAGTATCATGATGTGTATGGTAGCTTGAGATAGATAATCTATTTTGATTATTCAAATACTTACTAGTTTCCTCCCGACATTTCTCTTCAATGCCTGAAGTTAAGTATTCAATGCTTAGTTACGCTGAACTCCAAGCAGATTCAAAGAAATAGAAGCTTGACAAAAATTCACTTTTAACTCGATAAGCCTCTTCAATGGTGGAAAACATCTAGATCTTAGCAGCCTCTCATTTTTTTACGTACGCCAAAATTAACCACCCCCACTTGGCTCGGCTCTCACTATCTTTCTCGCACCGCCATAATTTCAGTCTGCGCACGTCTAAATTTATCGGACACTGTCACATTATTGCAAGTATTCAAAAGTGTAAATAAGAAAAAAGATACATAAAGAAAATATGAAGGAATACATAGAAAGGCAGTTAAGCTATAGCGACACGCTTTAACAAGTATGGTGTGCTTAGTTCATTACAAATCGATCAAGCTGTTTGGGTTTCCGTTGTTCCTTTGGTGCTGCTGGTTGCCAAAACCGTAGCCTGTTTCGGAAGGAACAATCCCTGTTGGTGTAGCGTTTCCAACCCCGGTGAACTGCGTGTCCAAAAATGGGTTGCCTTGAGAAGAAACCTGCTTGAAACCAGTACCTTGCGAGTTGATGAACGTGCCCGTTTTGGTGAACTGGGCTGGAATTCTGGCGTCTCCAACATTACCAAAGGTATCGATACCGGTACCCTCAGCAAGTAATTGGTTGAGTTCGGAGTATTGTTGGTTTATCTTTTGGCTTCCAGTGTTGGTAGGTTTGATTGGAGACTGCGCTTGTTGTTGGAGTTGCTGAACTCTTTGTTGTTGTTCTAACAGCTGTTGTTGTTGTTGTTGTAATAATAGCTGTTGTTTCTTCAGCTCTTCTTCTCTTCTCTTGGCCTCTTCTGCCTCCTTCTGTTGCTGTTGAAGCATCTCTTGTTGCTGCTGTTGTTGCTGCTGCTGTTGTTGCTGCTGCAGGAAGAGCTGTTGCTGGCCAAACGGATTGTTCGAGCCCGTCTGCATTGGAACTTCCTGGTTGGCAGCAGCCGCCAGTTGCTGTTGGTAGAGTTGTTGTTGTTGCTGTAAATACAGGGCTTGCTGCTGTTGAGCTGCCAACTGCTGAGCTGCCAACTGCTGAGCTGCTAGATCCTGATAAGCGTTTTCAAGATAACCTGTAGCCATTGGCTGGTTCCCGTAGACAGGGTTACCAAACATGTCGTAACCTATAATCTGGCCTTGGTTGGGATCCTGTTGCTGCGGCTGTTGTTGATAGAAACCATAAACGTCAGGTGCATTGGCATCATCGTCTAAGTTTAGCAAGTTCTGGTTCTTTTTCCTCATTTCTTCTTCTTCTAATGACAGCTGGATTGCCCTTTCAAGACTCTCGTCGGACTGGTCTCTTCTTCTTCGTTCTTCTTCTTCCGCAGTCATTCTCGATTTCTCCAACGCTCTTTGTAGGTCCTCGTCGTAAATCTCGTCATCCGGAGAAGACCTTCCAGTACGTCTGCCACCTCTGACGCTTCCGCCTTTCTTTCTTCCTCTCGAGCCGGACTTAGCGGCAGCGTCTCTCTCTTGTTTTAGTCTTTCGTCATCTTGCAAAAGGCCGGTCAACTCTTTAGCCTTCACCCTAATAATCGAACCCTGGTCGTTACCACTGAAGTCCTTGACGTTGAATTCCCTCAATGTCTTGATGATATACAAGTTGTCCTTCGCCCAGATCACAACATCGTCGGAACCGTACCTGACCAAGTAATCCAATAATGTCAACGCCTTAGCAACATGTCTCCAGTTCTTGCCCTTATCGTTCAATCTTCTGTCAATGATATCCATCACGTCTTGGAATGTGCCATTCTTGTACGTCAAGTCTGCTACCGCAGACATCTGAGTGATAGTTGGACTTGACTGGTCATTGGAGGTGCACTCACGAACCAGAATCTGAGCCGAAGAATAGCCATTGGTGACATTCTTGATAGACCTCAACACAGCTTTGGTCGCCATCTTGTCAAATAGAATTTACTGATTATCACTTGAAATGCGGGGGCTCAGTAGAAAAAATAATGAAGCTATATTTTCTGAGGACAACTGTAAATTAGGTTCAGTAATCCGATTAACTTTGTGTTGTTTAAACGGGCCTTTTTTCTGTTCCTAGCGGTTCTTTTCTCTTTCTTTTTCTCCCTTCTAGTAGAACAACGGAACGAAACTCTTCTTTCCTTGCACACTTGGCTTGTACACTTACGTCCTATACAGATACACACTCCCCAATGCTGTGAAACCTGAGTGCTCGTGTTCACAGGCTCCCAGGCGCAGTGATGAGACCGCCCCACCCGATCTCCCCTTGCTGCCTCTTAATCGCTCGCTGGAGGCACAGCGGGAATATTGGGACTATCGTCGGCGCAACAGAGGAAAAAAAGACTGCTTACGTAACTCGAGTGCACTTCGATTCACATCCGGGACAGTTGTGAAGAGTTTCATGGATGAAGATGTCACAGTCGATGCAGAAGTCCTGTTCACAGTTGCTGCAGCGGTAACGGGAGCTCATCATCATCTTGTTCTTGGCATTCTTCGGCTTGGTGGGGCCCTCGGCTGTGTTGGGCGTCTCCTTTTGTGCCTGTTGCTGTGCTTGGTCTTCCGTTTTCACGGAAGTAGAAGTTTTCGGCGTTTGATCGACAGCAGTCTTCGGTGCGGCAGTAAGCTGTCTGGTTTCGCCCTGCCCCTTGGGGAAGCTGGCCTGGCACGAGAAGCAGCATTTCGACCTGTAGTGATCAGATACGGGCACCTCATCAAAAAGCTTTAGGGGGAACAAGTGGTGGTAGGATCGGGCTAGATGTGTGGACAAAATAAGCATCAAATCGCAACACGGACACACCGTCGGTAGAGTGCAGACCCTACTCTTGCAGTTGGGACAGATGTAGCCCCCGTAAACCAATCTCGAATGGCACGAACACAACGTGGGCTCTGTATCGCTCACTCTCGAGGGAAAACCCATTTTCACCAACGTGAAACCGTCAGTGTTTTCCGACTCGGCCTTAGTGACAGCCAACGGAGTCACACAATCTAGGATTAGCTCCTTGAAGTGCGTTTCGTTCAAAACGACGTTGTATGAGTTCTTCAAATCGCCGAAATTAGTGGACTTGCACAACTCCTCGCAAATGGCGACTCGTGCTGTCAAACCGATGACACGTATGTTGATCTTTTCCTTGACTAACGATTGAATGGTGCCGTGGATGTTTCCCGGATCTGAGGTGAACAACGCACCAAAGATGATAAGAATCTCCCTTGTGCAATGGCTGGCCACATGTAGCAACAATCCTCTGGACATTTCCAACGCGTTTTGCAAGCTCGGGTCTCCTTCGGGTTCAATACGCTTGAGCTTTTTCAACGCCTCTATGTGATCGTTTGGATTGCCGCTGACCTCACTAACGACTTGAGCCAATCCATTTCTCATTATCACTATACTCAACTGCGAAATTGGGTTTTGGTCGAAAAAGTCACTAACAAATTCGATGACATAGCTGATCATCATGGACGAACGGTTCGGGCGGAAATCCTTTTCTCGCATAACGGAAGAATAGTCGAGAACTAGCACCATTGTACGAATGATACCTCTTTGAAACGGCGTGACGTTTTTTAAGTATCTCTTTTTCTGTGATTCGACTAATCCTGAGACGATCGTTTCAATCGACCCACTCTCGTCTTCCTGCACTATATCCCACGATCGACGGTATTCATCCTCCCAGGCATAGCCTCCACTGGCTCCTTTCAGTGCCTCCGGGGCCTTTTTTTTCACTTCGTTGCTTTTGCCGTTAGCACTACCGCTATCATTTTTGCGATGTGGCGATTCCGATGCTTTGGAGTTCAGGTTATTTCTTTTCCTCTTCGAGCTTGATGACACGATGATATCGTCGTCATCATCATTCATCGTTGATCTGCTTATTGGGACAACTGGCGTTGAAAGGACTCTTCAAAACCTACAGTCTATCCCCAGGACTAGACGATTGGAAATCTATGGGCAGTGAGTGGTTCTCAAATTTACGTGCCTCCCAGTTAAAGCTGAGAGAAAAGACGGTTTGTTTTTTCATAATTTTTCATTTTCAGATTTTTTATTTTTTTCTATTTCTTCTATAATAATTTTTTTTTCACCTTTTCATGTCCGTTTTCAAATCATCCTTCGGAACCTGCTTCACAGTTCAATCAAGACAAGCCTACATACTGGAACAATATATCCCGAATCAAGCACTACATATAAGAAATGGGTAAAGTTAGAGGAAGAAGGGCACAAAGCAAGGAAGACAGGGAGTCTGTGGAACAAAAGGAGACTTCTGTTTCGGCGAACACTGACCTTGAGCAAGGGAAAGAGCAGAATGGCAATGAGACGACGCCGTTCTTTGGTCTCGTTGACTCCAACGAGCTCACATACTTTCATCAAGCCGAACAAACGTTAAATTTGAACACGTTTAGTACCTCGGACGAAAAGGATCTTTTCATTGACAGTGTTTTCAACGAAGCCAAGGGTAAAGAGCTCAAGTTGGTCACCAACCAGATTTGCTCGAAGCTAATGGAGAGATTGATTCTCAACTCTACGTTGAAGCAGATGCACCAACTTTTCAGTGCGTTCAACGGGAGGTTTTACGACCTCTCGAGACAGAAGTACAGCTCGCATGTCATGGAGACTTTTTTGGTGAGATGTGCGGCATTAATCGAAAAGGAGATTCTCTACGGTGGCCATGAAACAGAAGAAGAGGAGGCAGACGAGGAAGAGATGGAAGGCTGGGTGAGCATGGAAAACATGTTTCTTTACATTATCGGGGAGTTCAAAAGCCACTTGAAGAACATGATGAAGGACAAGTATGCATCCCACGTTCTCAGACTGGCGTTGCTCGTGATGACGGGTAAGGAGCTACCGTCGAGTGTGGAGTCTAACTCGATTTTGAGAAGCAAGCGGTCGAAGATTGCGAGAAAGATGATCGAGATCAAGGACAGCGAGGACTACCAGAAGAAGTTCCAAGTTCCCACGTCGTTCAAGGACGAGTTGCGGGAGGTTTTGAAGGAGATCACCACAGGGGAAACGAGCGAGAGCTTGCGAGAACTGGCGATAGACTCGATCTCGTCGCCGATGGTGCAGCTCTTGATCCAGCTCGAGGGTATTGTCGACCGGGAGCGGACGATCTGGCGGATGATTTTCAACGGGGACGATGAGAAGGCAGAGCAAAAGGAGCGGGAAAAGGAGGGCGCCTTTGTGGAGTACTTGTTGAGTGACAACGTCGGGTCCCACTTCTTGCAGAACGCGATCGAGAACCAGAAGGTGAAGAGCGTGGAGCGGCTCTACGACACGTACATGCGGGAGCGGGTGGTGAAGCTCGCCAAACGGGAGACGACCGGGGTCTACGTGGTGGAGAGCATGATGGAGAAGCTCAAGGGCAAGCAGCAGCAGGAGATTCTGGACGCGTTGGTCCCAGTGCTGAACGAGCTCATTGTGAACAACCTCGACCTGGGCGGACGCATTGTGGACTGCTCGCTGCGTAACGACAACTACAGGAAGGCCGAGATCGTGGCGAAGCTGGTGGAGTTCTTCAACCGCGGGAACGAGGAAAGCGGCATCTTTGAAAACGTGCTCAAGCTCAGCAGCTCCACGCTGCACAGCACGAAGGACGACTGGCCCACCTCGGAGGAAAGAAGACGGGCGTTGTTTCTCGAGAAGCTCATTGCCTACGATGAGGAGACCGTGCTGCCGCTCTGCGTGGAGTCGCTGCTCGCTCTCGACGACGACACGCTTGCCAAGTTCTGCAAGCACGGCGTCTTCTCTCACATCGTCGAGGCCGTGCTGGACCGCCGCGAGGCCCTCGACATGGTTGCCCGAAAGCGGATTCTCAACCGCCTGCTAGCGCCCGGCTCGCGGAGCCTCGTGGAGCTGGCCTGCCACTCCACGGGCTCCCACGTCGTGGACAAGCTGTGGGGCTTTACGTTCCGCCTCAACATGTACAAGGAGCGGATTGCCCGGGCGCTCTTCGACGACCGCGACAGCGTCAAGAGCACGCTCTACGGCCGCATGGTGTGGAAGAACTGGCGCATGGAGCAGTACTGCCGCAAGTTCAACGACTGGAAGTGGCTCGTGAAGGAGGAGGAGATGGAGCAGGAGCGGGAGCACGCCGCCGCCGCCGCCGCCCCAGCAGCTTTGTCGGCGCCGCCCGCCACGGGGCTCAAGCGCGGGCGGGACTCCGCCCCGGCTGGAGACGCCGCGGCGGGAAACGCCGCTGCCAGCACGGGCAGGGACAAACGCCGCCGCGGCCGGCGTGCGGGCCCGCAGTGAGCCCCGTCCGTCCATCCGGCTCCGCCCAGACGTAGCGTATCCTATATAGCGCAGCATAGCGCAGCATAGCACCGCGTGGTGCAGCGCATCCTGTATAGCGCAAAAGCAAGACACACATGTACAAGCAGCAGCAGCAGCAGCTGCTGCAGCCTTCTGCCCCCACCTCCGCCCGGGCCTGCGTTTCAGCTCCCCGTCGCCCATGTTTCAGCTGTCGAGGCCCGTCGCGGCCGTGTTTCAGGTGCCCACACGGTGCCCCGCAGCGAAGCCTGCACACCACACGCCCACACTATATATCAGCGCCCTATGTTCCGGCCCCCGGCCCCTGCTGCCACTGACTGAGTCCTGCAAGGCTGCTCCTTGCCCCTCGTCCACAAAGAAACCGCACCTCAGCCCACCCTGCTGTCTTATCTGCGCAATCTTGGCTCCTGCTCCTTCGAGACTCCCGCCACCGACGCTCCGTCTCGCACACCTTCGTTTCGTCCGTCCTCTTCTCTACACAACCAACACCAGCTTCCTCTCCACCACCCCCATTCATCCTTCACCACACCCACATCACACCCACACCGCACCCACACCCACCTCCCGACAGCAAGATTGCCCCTGCTGCATACGTCTTCCGCCTCCTTGCGCACACAATAGAATCCCCAATTCCGCACTGGCGAATCCGGCAGCTGCAGAGATCCGCTTCCGGCTGTGCGCTTCCTCCCGCAGCAGCATATTCCTGACGCCGCTGCATGCACCACCCTCGCTACCCCGGCCTCCATCGCTTTCCCCCCACCCCCCTCGTGTCCGGACGCACAAGCTCCTATCAGCATCCGCAGCGTCCTTTAGCGAGTCTCGCACACCGCCGCCACCGCCGCCTCTGCTTAGCCCCGGCTACATCCCCTCCGCAGAGCCAGCAGCTATCTAGGCCCACCACGGCTATCAGGCTCGCTGTGCCTCCCGGAGCCCAACAACACTTCGGCAACCCCTCTCCGGCCCGCAAGCCAGCCAGCGTTTCCACTAGGCCCGCCGCCGCCGCCGCCGCCGCCGCAGGCCTTGATTGACGAGTGCTGCAGCAGCCCCGAACCGGCACGGCTGACGCCCCACGCACGTCTGCACACCCAGCGCAGGCAGACTCCACAATCGCATCCGGCCCTTTACTTAAGAGGCCGTCCTTGTCTGTCTTTTCGACAACCCCTGTCTACGCCGCCTCCGCTGCGTCGCACTTCCGTTCTCTGCTACTGCTGCTGCTGCGTCTCCATCCACGAAGCAGAACATGTCGACACTGACGGCAGATAGCGCCATCTACCGCACTGGCGAGGGCAGTATCACCAACAATGGCAGCGGTCTCCGCACCACGAGCCAGCATACGCCCAGCCAGAAGGTGTCTATTGCCGAAGGTCTAGCATCACACGCTGCACAGTCGAGCTCTGCGTCGATGCTGAACGCCATCCAGACCCCCGAAAGCGACATCGCGGCCGCCTCCCTCTCGGAAGAGGAGTCGCAGAGCATCCTGGACTCGCTCCAGCTCATCCACGACTTGGACCTCTTCCTTGCGACGGCGCCCGTGAACTGGCACGAGAACCAGGTCATCCGGAGATACTTCCTCAACAAGGAGGAGGGCTTTGTCTCGTGCGTGTACTGGAACAACCTCTATTTCATCACAGGCACAGACATTGTGCGCTGCATCGCGTACAAAATGGCCCACATCGGGCGCCAGATCGTCGACCGCAAAAAGTTTGAAGAGGGCATCTTTTCAGATCTCCGGGCCCTCAAATGCGGCACGCACGCCGTTCTAGAAAACTCAAGATCCCAGTTCTTGAAGTTTTTGCACAGGAACCAGTGTCTCCGGACCCAGAAAAAACAGAAGGTGTTTTTCTGGTTCAGCGTCCCCCACAACAAGCTCTTTGCAGACGTCCTCGAAAGAGATCTCAAACGGGAGCTCTCCAACCAACCGGCCACCACGAAGCCGGTCTCCCCGGTCTTCAGATCGTTCCAATTCGATCAGTCTCTGCCGCTCATGGAACAGCTCTCTGCGTATTTCTCAAACTTCTTGGGGAAAAATGTCAACTCTTTGCTACTGAAATCAAGTAACCCGATGCAGGCATCGGCAGATGGCATCACAAATGCTGGTAGTAATCACACCAGTGCAAACCTCCATGCAGCGGTCAACGCTAGCGCAAACAAGGATAGCAGCTCCAATTTTGCAGCATTCAATAACAGCAACAGCAATACCGCCAGCATATTAAGGACACTAGGAGACTCACCTATAGATACATCCAAAAGCAACAACAACCACAACATGCATATGTCAGATGACTTCCCGCTCGACTTTCTTGATCCGTCAAGCCAATTTCTGAGCGAAAATTATATAACTTCCATATCCCCCGTTGATGGTGGCCTCAGAGCTAACAGTCAGTTTTTCCTGGACCGTCAAAACTTTATAGAGGACCCACTCTTTGCTTCTGGTAGAAGCCCACAATTCCAGCTTCATCCGCAGCTGCAGCAGCAGCAACAGCCGCAGCAGCAGCAACAATATCATCTTCTTCACCAACAGCAACAATCACAACAGCAACATCAGCATGGTCTACTAAGTTCCCAACTTCAAGAACATATCGACGGCGTTTTGTTAAATTCTGGTCAGCCTTTACTTTCTGCATCTTATTCGCAGCCCCAAAACCTTTCCGTGAACCAACAACTTTTCTTATTATCGGACCTTCCTTCGGCAATTGAGCCGACGCACACTTTTCTGGAGTCGCAAATCCCAAAACAATCTTCGCCTTTACCTTCAAGTCTGTCTCAACTTGTTCCTGTATCTCTTCACCATCCGCATATTATAGCATCTCCCTCCACAATCTTAACAAACAATGATAACCAACTCTCGATTGATCAAGTACTGGTACCAACAACTGAACAACCGCTTCAACAAAATTCTGAACAGTATACCCATTTGAGGGACTCCTCTTCCCCTATAAATTTAACGAACACTAATACCTCAGCATACATGAACTTACCTTCTGCATCACTGTTACCGGTTTCTTTCCCTGTTCCCTCTTCAGCATCGTTTAAGCTGGTATCTCGACCTGAAGATTCAAACGCGGCTGAAGGTAGCCAGCTAAGCGGCTCTACCACAGAATCAAATAATGTGGGCATTGACCCAAGTTTGACAGCCAAGGAGACGGATTCAGAACCAAGCAAAACAGAAGAAATCAAGGTTAAGTCTGAAGTAACAGATTCCACGTCAACAATACCTGCCACTGTTACACCGGGCATCCAATCCAACCAACAGCAAGACTACATGATGCTGATGCCATCCTATGCAAATAATGTAAGTCGGATGAATTTTGGAATAATTGGGGGCCAGATATTTACTCCCGGCAGTATTGGAGTAGAATACAGCTTTGATAATGCTGCCTTTAGTGCGGGGTTTGGAATATCCCCTGTAATTGGATTCAATAACGGATTACTGTCAGCCATTCAATATCAATCCTCTAAGGTGACGGATATTAAACATCTTTCTTCCTTAGCTAATGAATTTGACACCAAAGCTGATGATGATGGTACCAGTGATAAAAATGGTAACAACAGCGCTAATGATGATGATGATAGCGACATAACCACTAACGATAGTAATGACAAGAGCTATAATGGTACAAATAATTGTGGTATTGACAGTGGGAAAAGCGAAGAAGATGCTATAAAAAATGTGGATAGTTTAGATCCAGTGGACAAATCATTGCTAAATAAAACTTCTAATAAGTTAAAGGGAATACTCCTTAGAGAAGGGCAGTCAAAGGTGACCAAAAAGAAAAACGTCCAGCTGCCTTCAAAAAGGAATTTCTTAAATCCTACTTTGCGCCATCTACATCTTGATGATGTATTCGATGGCAAGGGATAATTGGATAATGATGCAAGTAACAAAAAGGATACCGGGTGAAGAGGCTTACTAATTGAGTATCAATAGCCCTTCATTTGAATAATTTTTGATCAATCATATCCACCTCGGAAAAGTTGTATATCAAACGATCTCTTAATTAGTCTACAATTACACCAAAATGTTCTTTTGCCTTTTTTTTCTCTGTATACACAATAATGATGAATTTAATATAATCTACATAATGAATTAGGATGTTTTTTTTCAACGTTATTGTAAGTTTGCTTGGCTGCTGTACATTTCCACAATCTGATCACTACTGGTAGCATCCTCAGGTGATTTATCGTTTCTGATTTGCATGAATCTTGGAAAACGTAAAGAAATCCCCTTCTCGCCATCTCCAAAATATGTAATGCCACATTTGTAAACAGGAGAAGTCGTCAAATCTGCAACTTTAACTTCAAATAAAATGGTAGGCTCAAACCAAACGTCAGGACTTGCATTAGAATTTGATGAATCATATACGTAGGAGGGCTTTGCCTTCTCAATTTGTGTAGGCTTCAATATTTCGTGTAGTTTTTGCAACAATTCCTCACTGAAACCAGTACCAATCTTACACACGGTTTCAAAGTCACCAGTATCTTGGTTGTAAGATGCAAGTAAAAAACCACCGTACCAACCTGTACGTTTTCCCTTCCCAATATAACCACCTACAACAACTAGATCGAGTGAATCTCCAACACCTTCCAAATAATCTTTCTTGAGCTTCAACCAGTTTCTTGAACGTTTAGATGGCTCGTAGTATGATTCTTTGCCATCCAATGTTTTGATCATCAAGCCCTCACATGCATCATGAACCGATTGATCCAAAAACTTTGTGATTTGCTCTACATTATCGGTATCCATTTTGGTGGCAAAAGTAAATTTACCTTCAATATCTTTCAAATTATCATACAAAAATTCCCTTCTCTCAGCCAGCGGTTTTTGAATGAGTGATTCACCATTGTAATAAAGAATGTCAAACGCAAACAAACAGACCCGAACTTTGATATCTTTCTCCTGAACGTCTTTCCTCTTCCGTGTGGATAAAATCTGAAATGGCAAAATCCTCTTGGTTTCATTGTCCCACGCTACACATTCACAATCCAATATCAAGGTCTTTATCTTTGGATTCTGAAGTTTCAGCTCGTTAACAACAGGAATCAAGTCTGGGTATCTCTCTGTCATATTTTCTGAATTTCTTGAATACACATGCATTTTTCCATCTTCCGAAAGATGAAGTTGAGCCCTTTCGCCATCATACTTGTATTCACAGGTGAATCTCTTACCCTCTAAAGTATCAAATATTTCACTTACACTCTTAGTCGGCTTGGCTAACATGGGTTTCAATGGAATCCCTGGACTTAGGCCACTATGCTCCACCATATTCAATATACCTTCATTTAGAGCAATCTTGATTAATATCTCATAGTTAGGCAACTGGCAAAATGCTTCCTTGAATTGTTCTTCTGCTTTGACTATTAATTCCGTGGTGATTGCCTCGTTTTGTTGTTTTAACTGCCATTCTACGATAGCTTTCGATAGTGCAACAATTATACTCTTCTCACCAAAATTGATTCTGAGTTTACCTTCTAACGACCGCATCAAAAATTTGGCTTCGGTCCCTTCACACGCTGTCAGCATTTTGTTGATGACCCCTATCTTTTTACTCTGTGAATTTGTACCTTCAGATTTAGCAATCTCATTTAATCCTTTCCAAACCTCTAAAACAGACAACCTTTTTGGTTTGAACATTACACGCTGTTTGGACCTACTCTTCTGGGCAACAACTCCAATATCACCCTCGACGTGATACTCTTTTCGAAGTTGTGGAAGTTCTCGGCCTGTACTCTGTGCAAGGGCTTTCAAAAGTAGTGTTTCACCAAGTCCCAATTCAAGACCAGGAATGTAATCGGGGCCCAATCTATTCACCATCAAGTAGGTAACCATTGTCAAATCTCTTATCTTGTTATCAGTGTCGGCAGCAGGACTAAAATCCAAGACTTCATGAAAAAATTGGCAAGCACAGGCAATATTCTTCAGTCTGCCACTTTCTTGCTCAAGTTCCTCAAAAACAGAAGAAAGTGAAGAGTACATGAGAAATTTATCACTTGCAGATATTTTTGACGTGTTGTTAGTCGGTGTATCTTCAAATTTCTGCTCTAATACTATTAATTTTTTAGCCTCCTCAATCTCAGATTCCTTTTTGTGCTTTTCAATTTCTCTGTCTACTTCAAGAAGTGTCTTTACTTTCTTCTGTTTAGAAGAAGCGGATTTGGATTTGCTATTCTTTTCAGGTTCTTCTAAGCTTCTCGCAGGGGATTTTGAGCTCGACCTTGATTTGGACCTTGATCTCGAGCTAGACCTTGATCTTTTTTTGGATTCTTTTGATTCTTTTGACTCATCCTTTAGTGATAATCTTCCTGAATCAGATAATTCTGTGTTCTTTTTGCTTGAGAAGAATCTCATTAAAGTTGGCTGGCTGCTGTTAGCACTCATTGTTGGTAAAAGGTTTAATCTTGAGAAACAGTATGGGTGGAGAATGAACTTAGGGGAAGAAGCCTGAAACGAGTAGTATAAGCAATGAATAAACGGTTTAAGCCCGGTTGTGAGCATGATACTCTAACCCTGACCTGCTAAATATTTGTGATTTTTAATCTCCTGCCAGAAGCATGGCGTCAAGTTTCAGTCTGAAAGGATACTGCCCCAAGATCATCATTACCTTCAACGCGTAGAGAGGGGGGGGACGCGAAAATTATTGAAAATAATCAGAGAAGTTGTATTAATTTTACTCTAGTATAACAAAAAGGTATATTATTATATAGACAAGCACAAAAACAACCACAAGATGCAGAATCATCACTAGTTAATGTTCTTACCACAAAACAAGAAAGAATGACGAAGCTGACATTTTATATGCAGCCACTATTTTAGGAAAAGAATGAGAAAAGGGAAGAGGGAAAGGAAAAATTAAATTAAGCGTCAAATGTAAAAGAAGTAAATGGAAAACCGAACCAAATCCAAAATCATGCTATAATGTAAACAAGCTAGATTTTTACTATTGTAGAATCAGATCAAAATTATTATTAGGAACTCATGCTTCGTAGTGCTCCCAGTTGTCCAAAATCTCCTTGATCTTTTCGGATCCTGTAAGGTCGTAAACATCTTGGAAATATTCCTTGGTCAATTGGAATGGTTTAGCAGTCAAGTTTGGAATGTATTTACCAATCAAGGAAGCCGGCTTTACAGCAGACATTGGTATTTTCTTTTCTAAGAATCTCTTGAAAGGCTTAACACCAGATTTCAAGTAAGATGAATGGAATGGAACAGAAATACCTCTCAATGGAATGCAAGCAAAGCCTCTTTCCAATTCAATTGGCTGAGGTTTGGCTAATGATTTTTTGGAGACTTCGTCCACAATCTCAGATAAATGTTCTGCAACCTTTTCTAATGGCATTATCTCTTGTAGTTTAACAATGTCAATCTTTTGCAATTTGAAAACATTCAACGTATTAGTTAAAGCATCCAAAGCTCTCAAGTCACCAGCGGTAACATATTGTTGGTTTTCAACGTTATAGTTAACAATCTCTAATAACCAGCCAGTTTGTTTACTGATGTGCTCAACAACAAATCTCAAAGCAGCATCATTGAATGTAGCGCTGACTCTTGACGGGTTAACAGCACACATACCATAGTTCGATCTACCCAATGAATCTCTTGGAACAGCAACTTGCATGGTCATACCTCTGTAGAAGACAACATCGACCAAAGACTCAATTGGCATCACATCAGCAAGTGAAGATAATGCAGAGTATTCACCCAATGAGTGACCAGCAAACATTGATTCGGCAGGAACCAAACCCTTGGATTTCATGTCCTCAAATGCGGCCTTCTCCATCAATGTCAAAGCAGGTTGAGTGAATTGGGTAGCTGATAATAGACCAGATGGAGATTTGAACGTGAATTCAGATGTGTTCTCATCAATATCCTTGAAAATTTTCTCAGATTTTAGACTGCCATCAGCAGCAATGGTTTCGAACATCATAGAAATGTAATTCTCTCTGATTGTTCTACCCTTTGGACCACCAAAATGAACAGTCAATTCATTAGGATTATTCTTCACAATATCCAAGATTGAGAAACCATAGGTTTCAATCAAATGCTTATCAGCCTTGTCCCAGACGCTTCTAGCAACTTCCGAGGAGCCATACAAATCCATACCCATACCTTGTTCTTGAGAACCTTGACCTGTAAAAACAAAAGTTGAAACAGGTTGTTCAATTTCAGCTTCACCGGATAAAACGACGTCGTCGGTTTCGACCTTTTTGGTTTCAATTTTAATAATCTTTCTCCCGTTAATCATACCGATATGCTCCAATTTTGTGGTCAACTCATCATTTGGTAAAACCATTCCGGTGAAATTTGCCTTATAAGCAATAACTCTTGGTGCAACAGCATCGGCAGCATACATTTCAACTAGAGATCTAACAGAAGCAGAAGAGTACATACCATGAGTGATGGTACCTGGTAAATCTGCATAAGCAGCAAATATTCTGTTGACGTGAATTGGATTGAAATCACCAGAGACAGCAGCATATGTTTCGTTGGAAATAGGTGCCTTGGTTTCCAAAGCACGGGCTAATGGAATTGGATTTTCAAACATTATTGGTTGCTCAATTAGAGTACCGTTTCTGGTTAAGTAGTCAATGACAGGGTTACCATAAGAGAAGGCAGCATTGTATACAATCTCAGCAGCTTTCTTGATTTCTTTGGTAGGGGATTCGTAGTAGACGTTACCAGTAGTAGAAACGTGAGAGTATACGTTGGCAGATTTGAATTTGTAAACAGACTTCAATCTGAAGATCAAACTCTTGTTTAGCAATTCGACGTTGTCTTCGACATGGAACCATTCCTTAGACTTTAAAACCGCAGCATCTTTGGCGGTAGAAATAGTCACTTGAGATGGTGTTTCTTCAGTCTTTTCGAAAGTATTTTCAAAGTCTTCGTAAGAACCTCTGTAGAAGAATGCAGAAGTAACTTGCATCACTGGAGTACCATCTCTATAGATGGTACCAACAACTTCAACAGTTTTACCGGTTGGACCATTTACAACAGAAACAATTTCAGCATCTGAGGAAACTTTATCACCGACTTTCAAAGGAGCGGAGTTTGGCAGAATGGTGTATGCATTGGATAAGTGAACCAACTTTAAGATATCACCATCAACACACTTAGGGAAAATTGATTTCATAATGGCCTTCCAGCCTATAACGATTGCAAAATCCATTGGGGCTAACTGATCTCTACCAGCTCTTGGAACAAAGTATTCACAAGAGTTGCCGACAGCATGCGTTAACTGAGCAATATCCTTAGAATTGATTTGCATTGACCCACCATCAATCTTTGAGGAGACATCGAAATCAAAATCAATTGGCTCTTTCATGCCAAACCAGACCTTCCAGTAAAACTCTTTGATTCTATCGTTTCTACCAGAGATGACCTCTGAAATAGGAGCGAAACCGTCAGATGGAACGTATGAGTAAAATAGCTCCAAAGGAACAGGAGCGCCATCTGCAGTTCTGGTCTCAATAAGCTTCATGTTAATAGTTGAGCCGTCGAAGGAGATGTTAACAACTTCTCTCTCCTTACCCTTGACAATGCTGTAGAGAGAAATAGTGCTCTTGGATGAGTCAGAAAAATTGGTAATCTTAACAGTGATGTTTTTAGCTGGTGCTAAAACTTTCTTAGCTGGGTTAGAAACATGGTTATAACCTTGAACAATAATGTTGGAAGAAATAAAAGCATGTCTCCAGTTGTATTCGTCGCTGGCTAATAGAGTGTACCACTTTTCAGCATCTGGAACAGTGGAACCAATTTTGTAAGTAATTTCATTGGCAGATTCTGAAACAGTAACACCAGGAACTTCTGACGGCTTGTATGCAGGCTTGGAGCTAAAGTATTCCACGACAGGTATTTTGGATTCGTCACCATTGTAAACATCCTTCAATAATTTCTCAATGTGACCTTCGTGGATAGTATCTAAAATGTCCTTAATTGGTTCATCAACCTTCTTCACAAATTGAGCAGCAACAGGACCATGTAAGATACATGTTCTTTGGACATCCTCATCAACAACAGCTTCCAAGTGTTCGGATTGCCATAAAGAATCCTTCTTGAAGAAGAACTCAAATTTGTCATTCAAAATTGGGACAAATGGAACTGGCTTTTGAGCAGGGTTCAAACAAGAAGCAATAAAAAAATCAGCATCTTCGGCATTAACGAGTTGAGTTTTTGCATCAGGGTACTTGCTGAAAACAGCTTTCAGGACTGGAGCAGGGACATCTAACTCGGTGAAGCTTTGAAGAACAGAAACGGTTGATTGAGTAGTAAATCTCTCTTCAATTCTTCTCAAAAATTTTCCAGTGAACTCTCTCAAAGATGGGTCAATCCACTTACCTAATTTCTTGATGTACATTAATTCAACACATCTTTGGGCAATTTCTTCATAAGTCATGTCCTTGACATCACAGACACCCTCGCTATTTTTACCAAACCATGGCTTCTGGTAGTCTGCGTTCAATTTGGAAATGATATAATCTCTCTTCTTCTCCAAAGCTTCTAACATTTTATTCTTTGGTAAAGATAGAACGGTATCATCAATTTCTTTCCAAAATTTAACAGCTCTAGTAGCAATCTTATGAATTGGTTCACCCATTTCGGATTTGACAGTCAAGATACCACCAGTTGGCTTTTTGTAAGTTTGTTCCCATTGAGAATCGGAAACACCTGGACATGAAGCAATCAGTTTCTTTGCTTCTTCAGAAGTTAGAGCCTCCTTAGCAGCCATAACTCTAGAACCAAATAAGAAACCATCAAAAGGCATTTCAGGGTAGTTGAAAGATCTAGACCAGGTACCTGTCAAGTATGGATAAGTGTCCTCAGCGGAACCAAAACCTGAACCAGCAACCAGAATGATGTTGGAGCATCTTCTAATTCTTGCATACATTTGCAAGATTGGTTGATGGAAATCTTCAAAAGAATGGTGACCACCACCTCTACCTCCAGTCCATTGGACAACAATTGGGAAAGTTGGGTAAGCCTTTGCAATGGCAATACACTGAGAGATAGCATCGATAGAACCTGGTTTTAAGCCCAAGTGGGTCAAGCCAAGAGTTTCGATATATTCACCGGCAACTTCAAGTGAAGGGACACCAGCACCGATAGTAAGAGATTGAATTGGGAATCCTCTTTCTCTCATTTTCTTAATCATTGGAATACCCCATTGCAACATTCTAGGGTTGACGTAAATCAAATTGATACCAATACCGGAACCTGGAGTAACGTTTTCAGCAACCTCTTGCAAAGCGGCTTCCATTGCTGGTTCGCTGAAATAACCACCTCCAGCAATTTCAATATTATAACCGGCATTGATAGCAGCAATGACAAAAGATGGAGAAACAGTTGTTGGTGTCATTCCAGGAACCATCAATGGTGCTCTGGACAATAATCTAGAGAACTTAGTATCAACATAAACCTTACCGTCCTTGTTCTTAATCAATTTTGGTCTAAATTCATCCAACCAGTTCTGGGCGTAAGTCAAGGCAGAGGTTCTCTTGTCAAATAGTTCTTGCTTGAACCCATATTCTGCATCACTCTTAGCAGCATCAAGGACACCAGCAACAATAATCCTTGCACCGGTACCTTCCTTGTTTTTGTGGGTTAAAACACCCAAACCAGAAACACCACCCGGACCAAAATCTACTAAGTGGGTAGCCTTAAAGTCTGTAGCAGGTTCCCAGTTGACAGTTAACGTGTTAATACACTCAACAACCCTAGCTGCCAGAGAGCCTGAAAATTCACGCATGTCTTTACCATCGAAGGTATCGTAAACTGGAATGGTCATCTTAGATTGGTCAAAAGCTAAACCAGACTTCTTGAAGTCTTCCAATATTCTTGGGGTAGCAGGTGCTAAAAGATTAGAATGGAATGGAGAGTGGATTGGCAAAAACCTAGATGAAAACTTCAATCTTCTTTGAGAGTAAGGGATTCTGGATTGGTCTAAACCAGATGGAGCCTTCGCATTTCTCAAGTTCAAGTTCAAACCATATAACGACTCAGGTGGTCCACTGACGACGACATTTCTAGCACCGTTGATAAGAGATATTTTGATGTGTTTTTCTGAAGGCAAATGTTGGTTTGTTTGATTGACAAAGTTCTCGACCTCAACAACAGATAAATCTCTGATTGATAACATTGGACCTGGCTTACCCTCACCATTTTCTTCAGAGTCTCTGACCATAGAAGGAGACAAGGATGTGGAAGGATAAGCTTGTAAGCATCTGACAGAAAGATAGAACAATAATTCAACTGCCTTTAAAGCTTCAACATCAAAAGATTCCCAAGAATCAGCAGATGCAACAACTAAAGACGTGACAAGACCTTGTGAGTGACCAGTAGTTCCCTTTAAGCAGCTTTTGAATTGGCCTGGGGTGACACCCAAGGTTTTACAGGTGATGATATAGTGACACAATTGGATGACACAAATCAAAGGACATGAGACAGGAATTGATAGCAAGTTATCGGTGCTTGGAGTTTGAGAAGGATTTTTCAACCAGTTGATAAAATCGAAGCCATCTGTGTACACTCTATCAATATCGGAAGTTGAGGAGATCAATTCTTGCATCTTGGATTGGACCTTTGAGAGGAAACCAGAGATGAGGCCATTATAAGTGGTGTATATTTCTCTCAATTCTTCAAAGTAGTCATCGGTGTTACCTTGACCACCGAAGATTGCAAATATCGAAGCTTTATCGTCTGAGGCAGCTTTCAAGAGGGCGGAGGAGACGTTGGAGGAAGTGAAATCTTCCTTGAGGTAAACCTTAGCTGCGAAGTAGTTTTTGATGAGATTGCTGTTAATCTTTTGTAGGGTAGTTGGGTATTCTTCGGAAGCCAACAACTGGGAAGCAAAGGTGTGGATATCAGAGGACTGTAGATATCTTGTTTCGAAGTCGTCCAAGATCAACTTGACGGCTAGTTCCTTTTCGGCTTCGATTGAGTTGGATTCGATGACGTAGCCCAAGAACTTGGTCAAAAGCTCTGATTTGGAGGATGGCTCATCGTCGTCAGCAAAGCCCTCGGTTGGTTCAGGGAGCGTCTTTTTGAAGTCAGAGGTGAGCTGTTGGTAGAAAAGGTAGGAGTCGGAAGGAATCAAGATGGTTGTTTCCAACGACCCGTGGGACAAGGACAAAGGTCTGGTTACAGTCATTGTGTGTGTTTCTATGGCGAAAAAAAGGGGTGGGCGGTGTTAGAACAAGGAAACGGTCGGGTTGGAAAACGAAAAAGCGATCTGAAACTTACAATCAGGATATTTCTTATTGGTCGAAAAAAAGTTGAATAATATAATTGTAGTCGGAGACCAGATCAAAATTGGCCAGCTGGAATTAGGATGGAATTAGTGTGGTGATGGGTCAATTAGCAACTGTGTGACAGACTACAATATCTCTGGATTTTTGGTAATTGGAGTGGTAAGAATTACGCAAAAACGAAGTGTGGATACTGTGCAAAAGACCGTGTAGTTGTAAATATTTCCGTTTGTTCAGATAATATGGGGTTGTGAACTGTGCGTGTTGACAGAACGTGTGTTTGTGTTTTTTTGTTCGTGAGTCGATTGATCACTTGGCGAGATTCTCTTCTAGGATAGCTGTCTAGGAGAGCACTACGTGAAACCTCGAACCTTGTGTGTGTATACGTGCGAGTTGCGACTAGAAACGAGAGAAATAGGGCGAAATATAAAAGAAGCTAACGCAGACGTGCCACCAGAGCGGAAAGTACGCACCAAAGGTCTACCAACAGACACACCAGAAAAGTGTTGGAGAGACGACAAAGTGTTGAGCTTTTCCCGTTTGCCAGAAGACACGTCGAGGCCAGCGGCCCGTCCTGTGCAGCTGAAATATCTCCTCTTGGAAACCGTCAAGGCGGTGCACGTCAATTATGGGGGCTCTTTGTCTTTGTTGGGCCTCTGTTGCGGCACCCGCTGTCGCAACCATGTGCCGCGACTGGCGATGGGCCAACAATTTTTTGGTGGGAGTGGGAGAGCCAGGCGCAAGAGAGATGACAAAAAAAACTCCTACGACGATCGTCGTTAATGTCACGTGAGCGCTTGTTGATTACGTCAGCCGTTTTGCGTACGTAAGCAAGATACGGGCTGTGCAAGAGGGCAACGGGGCAGTTTCCAGAAATTTGCTCTTTCCGTGTCCGAACAATCGTTCCGTGCCGGAAGGCCCGCCCTGGCCTTGGCCCACGGATTTGATCCGAGACTCCACGGTGGAGCCAGAGGAAGGAGAGACCTTTGATACAGGGAGACGGTGTCTGGCACTCGGATTTTTCATCCTGCCACAGACACCAAAGTGTCCGCAGGTTTGAGACGGCAGCTCTCTTCTGCTTCTGGGCCCTCTCTGTGAAGAACGCTAGAAAACCAGAGTGTTCTCTGCTTGTGTCTTCCACGGTCTGTCCTGCTTTCCCTGATTGCCCTGCCATCTGTTTCTGTCTTTGTCTCTGCACAGCTTTCCATTCATGGCCACCGTCTCGACGCTGCTCTCTGAGCTCAACACAGTGCCAGCGCCAGCGTCTGCGTCTGTTGCATCTGCAATACCGTCGTTCGCAACGCCAGTGAAAGAGGTCACTACGATCGATCTTTTCCGGCCTTTTACGTGGACGTTCTGGCTCATCGGGCGGCTCCTCAGCAGCCTGTTTTACTACTCGCTGTTCTTGCTGCAGCAGGTGGTGTACTCGATTCTCTCGAGGACTTTCCAGATCACCTTTTCTGCATACTCGATTGTCTTCTTTCTGCTGCTGATCTCCACCCCGCTCTACGCGTACATCCGCTACACATACCTCACGGTCTACTCGAGGCTTCCGAAAGACTCGAAACGGCAGAACCCGATTCTCGACACGTTTTTGAACTCCAACAACGGGAACGACACGGGCCACGTCAAATCGTATCTCGACGAGTTCTTGACCGCCATCAAGATATTTGGCTACCTCGACAAGCCCGTATTCCACGAGTTGACAAAGTCGTTACAGACCCAGAAAATCGACTCGGGCGAAATCATATTTTTAGACCAGTGTCAGGGGTTTTCCATCTGTGTCGAAGGCGAGATCCAGGTCTACTCTAAAATTGACAAAGGCTCCTCGACTAGGAACCAGGGCAACCCATTGTTTGCCCGGAGCGACGACAACAACAATGTTGTCGTCGTCGACGGTGTGAAGTACCAGTTGTTGAACATTATCAAAAGCGGAGCGCCCTTGTCCTCCTTCATCCAGGTGTTGAACTTGTTGACGGACTCGCAGCTGACCTTATCGAGCATCGCCCCAACTCCAAACATCAACCCGCAGAGACAGCTACCTTCTATACCTCTGGACAATTTCTCCTTGGATACAGGCGCAAAACTGCCGAACAGTCCTGCAATGCCGGGAAGCAACAACAACAATATCAACAGCAGCAGAACTCACTCTCCCAATCAATTTGAGTCCACCCCAGGTCTTATTGCCATTCCGAAAGGCAGTTGCACCATCTCCATGATACCTAAAGAGTCGTTCACAAGAATAGCTGCAAAATTCCCAAAGGAAACCTCTCATATCATCCAGATGATTCTGACAAAACTCTACCGTGTTACCTTCCAAACGGCACACAACTTCTTAGACTTGACTCCAAGTATTTACCAAACTGAGATCAACATGAATCAGTATAAAGGTTCTTCAGACAAAAAATTACCAAGGTACTTGCACAGCCTTGCCATACAATACATCGAAAGAGCAAGCTCAGATGAAGAGGCAATTGACAGCAAAAACAAACCAATACATCATAACGTCAGACAAAAGCGCAAGATGAAAAGTTCCGGTCTCAGAATGGCCCACAATTATCCAGAATCTAGTGGCTTTATCTCCAACTCATCTTCCTCCGCCGGAGCATTCCTCCCTCTCGACTCTGAAGAGAGAACAAAATCTAAAAGAAGTGGGGTTGCCAAGTTCAACTATGATTCCCCCGCCTCAGCCACATCTGGGTATTTGGACTTGTTAACATCAGATGGTGACGACAGTGTTTTGTCCGGTGATACATCGACGAGGATGAAGTCTGTTCTGCAAAAAAATACCATGATGAAGGCCAAATCCCGTCATTTTGTTCTAGACAACAGAACCATTTCAAACCCCGGTGATTTGCTTTCAAATGTTCCTTTGCCTAGAAACTCGGATGTTGATTTCAAAACGAAAATGTCGAAACTTGAGATGGAAGAGTTGAAAGACAGAACTTTCAGCGCCGATGATGAAGAAACTGAAGAGTCAACATTACGGATAGCTCTTGCCGAAAGAATATCCACATTAATTGGGTTAGATAAAAGTAACTTCCCTGTTAACCGATCAAACAGTGTGGGGAATAATACTGTCACTAGCTCAATATTGAATTCGCCATTGTTGAGCACAACGAGCACTCCAACGGGTATCAGATTCGTTACTCCAGTCACCGAGAAAGTTCCTCAATCGAGAATGAACAAAATTCGTTCATATTCAACAACAAGCATGGATAATAGCGCATATAATGGCATGGATGATTCAAGCTCCATCAATTCGGATGTTTACAGATCCTTCAATAATTATGAAAACGTAAAACGTGAATTTGCAAGCGACCTGAAACTATTTAAAGTTCCGAAAGGTACTAAAATCATTAAATCCAAAGAGCAAACTGCAGGTATTTATTATGTGATAGATGGAGCTTTTGACGTTTCCTTTTGGAAAAAAGAAAGTGATTTCATTGGCACTTACCTTGATGACCCTGAAAACGATACAAATAAAAAAGAAAATTACATTGAGGAATATTTGCATACGGTAGGAGAAGGCGAAATCGTAGGTTATTTGGGCACCTTAATCGGCTCAAAATCATTTGTTGATGTCACTGCAAGCAAAAATTCGTATGTCGCCTTCCTTTCCCGCGAGTTCTTCGAGTTCTTGACAGAACGATACCCTTGGCTACAACTTGGCATTGCCCAACTGTTATTGAAAGTTTTGGATAAAAAACTTTACTTGACGGACTATGCACTTGAATGGGTACACTCATCTGCCGGGGACGTTCTGTACAGACAAGCAGATCCTGCTAATGGTATCTACATAGTGCTAAATGGCCGACTCAGAGCTCTTTCGCGTAACAAGGAGAGATCAGACTACATGATTATGGGTGAATATGGTCAAGGTGAATCAATGGGAGAAATAGAGGTGTTGACAAAAAGTAAAAGGTTGAACACCGTTGTCTCAATCAGAGATAGTGAACTTGCAAGAATACCGCGTACGTTGTTTGAAATTATAGCCTTGAGTAATCCTTCCATCATGGTCAATATCTCTAGAATTGTTGCAAACAGAGTGAAGATGGACGGTGTACTTGTTGCATCACATGCAAATCAATCAGCGACCGCTGCAACCAGAATCAGAGATGAGCCCATGGTTCAAAATTTTAATAACTTCAGAACCTTGACCCTTTTACCTACCGCCCATGGTACTATTCCACTGGTAGAATTTGCTGAACAATTGGCAAATGCGTTAGAAAAGGTTGGTAAGAGTGTAAAAATTCTCAACCAAAGTGCAGCATTGAGTAGTTTGGGCAAGTATGCTTTTGATAAATTGGCTAAACTGAAACAAGGAGGCTATTTTTCGGAGTTGGAAGAAAAGTACGATATTGTCATTTATTTGTGTGATGCTGTTGTGAATTCAAGTTGGACGACCACGTGTATTCAGCAAGGTGATTGTGTGCTCTTACTAGCTGATGCCAGCTTGTCTCCCGATGTCGGTGAATATGAGCGCTTATTGGTCAAAACAAAGACAACAGCTAGAACAGAATTAATTTTGCTCCATCCTGAAAAGTATGTCGAGCCAGGATCCACTCATAAGTGGCTGAAAAATAGAATTTGGGTTCATTCACACCATCACATTCAAATGCAATGTTTTAATGATCATCATAATACCAGTTCTAGTAAAACATTCTTTGGTCAAATTGATAATTTAACACTCTTCAGTAAAAAGTTCATGTTCAAAATGGAAAATATTGTCTCCAATAATGAATTCCTACAGTTTTTGAAACAAACCAAAGAAGATTTCAAATCGACTAAATATTACCAGCCTTTGCAAGAACACAAGGATGACTTTATGAGGTTAGCAAGAATTTTAACTGGGCAAGCCATAGGCTTAGTCTTGGGTGGTGGTGGAGCCAGAGGTTTAAGTCATGTCGGTATCATCAAAGCTTTAGAGGACAATGGAATACCTGTTGACATTATTGGTGGTACTTCTATTGGTGCTTTTGTTGGGGGATTATATGCCAAAGATTACGATTTTGTTCCTGTGTATGGACGTGCCAAAACTTTTGCAGGTAGAATGTCATCAGTTTGGAGGTCTTTGTGGGATCTCACCATCCCACTAACGTCTTACCTTACCGGACATGAATTTAACAGAGGAATTTGGAAAGCATTTGGAGATTCACGTATTGAAGATTTTTGGATTAAATACTATGCCAACTCTACAAACTTGACAGATTCAGTGATGGAAATACACACCAGTGGTTATGCATGGAGGTACATTCGAGCTTCAATGACATTAGCATCTCTTTTGCCTCCAATTACTGATGATGGTAATATGTTATTGGACGGTGGATACATTGATAACTTGACTGTCACAGAAATGCAAAGACGTGGGTCGAAGCATATTATTGCAGTGGATGTAGGTTCGGTAGATGACCGAAGTCCTATGGAATATGGGAACACACTAAGTGGTTGGTGGGTTCTGCTGAACCGCATCAATCCGTTCAGCGCACATGCTAATGTACCAACCATGGCTGACATCCAAATGAGGTTGGCTTATGTTGCAAGTGTCAACGCATTAGAGAGAGCTAAAAATAGTAAAGGTTGCTCTTATCTCAGACCTCCAATTGAGCCGTACGCTACCCTGGCATTTGGTAAATTCAATGAGATTTACGACGTGGGTTTAAAGTACGGTGACGAGCAGATTAAAGAGATTTTGAAAGAATGGAACGTTGGTGTTAAAAGGAAACAATTTCTGCCTGGAAGGAGAAGTAGAAGAAGATACTCTTTGTAAGCCATGCCAATATGGGCGTTAGTTGTCGCATATTGTAGTCTATAGAAACAAACATTTGTTCTAGATATTTAATTTAATGTACTTTAAGATTCTACCGATTAGGAAAAGGCAGTGCGTCTTGACAAAGGGAAATATATTAGTATACAGAGGGGTTATAAAGACCGGAAAATTTGAAGAGATATATTTTTGATGAACATCAAGTATGAACCTATAACTTCAACCACAGTTTTACGGCGAAGGTCAAACATTGGCTGCATCGGTGACTAATATTACGGAATCTCCCCTCACAAACACTAGTTCATGCTTCTCTTCTCTGGAATCAAGAGTGGCATTATCTGCTTGCAATGAGAATATGGTTTCAATGGCTTCCCCTAATACCATATTGCAATGGGAATCGTAGGCGTGTAGCTTTCCAATCATTTCACGGCTGCCACGTAATTTTACGTAGATTTGTTCGTCAAGATTCTGTTTGATTATATCTAGAGGTTCGGAGACAGACGATGACATTCTGGATAAGTTCTAGTGGAGTGTGTTAAAATTAGCTGGCTGTCTTATGTTGTGCTATGCCTTTGCCTCGTAAAAGAACTCCAAGATGCAAGACAAAGCCCCCAAGTTTGTGGATTCCGTTTTGGATGTCAGCATTGCACTCCCGATGTTTGTTCTCTCCAAGCGAGACAAAGCGAGAACGACTGCGGGTGAAAAAAAAATCTTAGAAAAAGTGTTGACGGGCCTTTACATGTTTCGACCCTGCAAAGCTCAGTGGTGGCAAACTGAAAGTGCAAGAAGTACCAGTGTTGCAGCTGTATATTTAGGGCAATATAAAAATCAAAGATGAGTGCTGATAATGAGCAACTACGATTCCACTGTCTTGGTGGTGGTAATGAGGTTGGACGCTCCTGCCACATTTTAGAGTACAAGGATAAAGTTGTCATGCTAGACGCAGGGGTTCATCCTGCCTATTCAGGATTGGAATCTTTGCCATTCTACGATGATTTTGACTTGTCAAGAGTTGATATTCTATTAATCAGTCATTTTCATTTAGATCATGCTGCTTCTTTGCCTTATGTCATGCAACACACAAATTTTAAAGGAAGAGTTTTCATGACGTATCCTACCAAGGCAATTTACAAGTGGTTATTGAACGATTTTGTCCGTGTCACCAATCTTTCAGAAAATGTAGGAGACGGTAGTGGCGGCGAAAATGCAAACAGCTTTTTATATACCGATGAAGATCTTCGTGAATCCTTTGATAGGATTGAAACAATTGATTACCATTCCACCGTTGAAGTTGATGGTGTTAAGTTTACTGCATATCATGCCGGTCATGTTTTAGGTGCCGCAATGTTTTTTATTGAAATGGGCGGCTTGAAAATCCTATTCACAGGAGACTACTCGCGTGAAGAAGACAGACATTTGAGCTCGGCAGAAGTGCCTCATAAAAGACCAGATTTGCTAATCACGGAGTCCACTTTTGGTACTGCTACCCACATTCCAAGATTGGAACGTGAGCATAAATTGACGAAAATGATACATTCCACAATTCAGCAAGGTGGGCGATGTTTGCTACCAGTGTTTGCTTTGGGAAGAGCCCAAGAAATATTGTTAATTTTAGACGAGTATTGGCAAGAACACAAAGATTTACAGAAGTACCCAATATATTATGCATCGGGATTGGCCAAGAAGTGTATGTCTGTGTATGAAAGATATATTTACATGATGAATGATCATATCAAAGCAAAAATGGCTGAAACAAATACGAACCCTTTTTTTTTCAAGTTTATTAAAAACTTGGCATCTATGGATCGGATGAACGATTCAAGCCCTTGTGTCTTGATTGCGTCTCCTGGTATGCTTCAAAGTGGATTATCTAGACGAGTCTTGGAAAAGTGGAGTCCAGATCCGAGAAACTCGGTCATTTTAACGGGTTATTCTGTTGATGGTACTATGGCGAAAAATATTGTTCGTGAACCTTCAGAAATCCCTTCTCTCGCCAACTCCGAAAACATGATCCCTAGAAGAATCAGTGTCGAAGAGATTTCATTTGCCGCTCATGTGGATTTCGAGCAGAATGCAGAGTTTATAGATTTGGTCAACCCTAAAACCATTGTTTTAGTACACGGGGATTCGAATCCCATGGGTAGACTAAAATCTGCCCTTCTATCCAAATACCAGAAATTGAGATCAACTGATAAGGAAATCAAGATATATAATCCGAAAAATAGTACTGTACTATCTTTAGAGTTTAAAGCTCAGAAAGTTGCCAAGGTGGTCGGTCAGTTAGCATCAGCTTTGCCTGACGATGGAGATCAGATTAAAGGTATTTTGGTCCAGAAAAATTTTGACATTAATTTGCTCACAGTTGATGATGTCAGAGCATTCACGACGTTGAGTACTACAATAATTACATTGAAACAGTCTGTGCGTTGCAATGCCAATAGAAGCTTGGTTCACTGGCAGTTTTCACAAATGTTTGGTTTCGTGAAAGTTTTGCTTGACTCGGAAGATGTTTACGAATTTGAAGTTATGGAATCGGTCAGGATTAGACACAATGACAAGACATATGTGGCTCATGTGGAGTGGCAATGTGGTAATATGGAAGACACTATCGCAGACACTGCAGTGGCGATACTCTTGTCATGTGATTCGTTGCCTGCATCTGTCAAACTTACTTCCAAGAGCTGTTCACACAATCATTCAGTTCCCGAACAAGAACATTTTGTCAAAGAAGTTTCCACCCAGGCAGATGAGGAAAACAAAGTTTATGTCAAAAAAGAACCAAACAGTGGATCAGCAGATACTACTGGTATTACGATCAAGGAGGATCCCGACGCCATTACGATAAAAACTGAGAAGTTGTCAAGTCCTTCATCTTTTCAATCAGCTTCAAGTAGTGTCCGTCCAATATATGTGGAGCATTGTGACATCGCACCACAAACTCGGCTGGCACGTATTTCGCAGATGTTAGAGATACAGTTTGGGAAAGCATTCGAGCACAATGTAAAAGAAAGCTGTGGGATAGTAAGAATTGGAAAGAATGAAGCTGTTATAAATTACGACGATTTTTCCGTTGCCTGTAAGTCTGGTGTGCTTAAAGGTAGAATTGAGGGCATACTTTCTCGCAGTCTTGACTTGGTGTCGCCTTTGAGTCAAGAGTGAAAAGTTTTGGGCAAAATTCTGCTATTGTATGTAAAATAAATGATTATGTAGACCTATAACTCTTTTCTAAGTAAACTTAATATGTACAGATATTTTTATCATCCTACTATGTATTTCGAGAATGGGTATAGTGCTATTTTTTTTTCCTTTTTTATAATTAATACAACATAATTTTAACATTAATTTTACTTAAAATTAATCATCCTTCATTGGCCATGGGCATTGAGTCAAATTGAAAGACGTGCTTATCGACCCAATCACAGCCGGTGTCACTTGACGGACTCAAAGGATCTAAGAAGCCATAGTCCTGTGCTTCACTAGGAAATCCCATAACCGTGCCAGTGTCATCAACAGGGTTTGACTGTATATTGTTCATGCTGCTTACGAGGTCATTGAATTCTAGCATAAATGTGTTGCTTTTCACATCATTAGTATTTGCATTATGATCCAAAGAGCCTGCACTGCCATTATTATTGTTGCTGTTTTCATTACTGTTGTAATGTGATGATGATGATAGTTGCTCCGGTGGGTTTAGAGGAATATTTTGGAAAGGTGCGGTTTGTGGTTGTGGCTGTGGCAAGGAAAATTGTACTTGGCTGTCACTATTAAATGACTGAGATTTGTACTGGTTATTTGCTGTTCGTTGCTGTGTCCCTTCAAGTAACATATAGTTTGGAAGAGCGTTTGGATAAGTCCGCTCTTCAATTTTTGATGAAGAACCTTCTGCTAGCGGTAGTGACTTTATATTTCTTGCAGCATCTGAAACAATTGTCTTATTATATTGTCTACTAGTAAAACTATTCGAGTCGGGCGTTTCCGACTTTAGTGTTTGCGATGGAGTAGTTGACTCAGATTTGGAGAGTGCAGTCGAAGAAGCAGTTTGGATATTAAATCCCAAGCCGAGGATATCAGTCTGTACTTTCTTGAATAATTTTGGACTTACGCGGGATAAAGTTTCAGATATGTGGGTTATCAATTTTGCGGATAATGACCAATGACGAGAAATCTGTAAAGTGGACCCAATTTCTAGCTTGATGTATTCGGTATATGTATCAAGTTCGGATGCCGAAATTTGTTTAGAATTTTCGTCTAAGGAATCAAGCATAGTCAGATTAGATTCAACCCAAGCGTATGCACTCAAATGAACAAGACACGAAAATGCTAAAGCACACGCTAAAAATGGGGTTCTCTTGCATGTTTGCCCCGGATCTGTGTCAAGTAAGGTTTTCATTAGATAGTTAGCGGAATCAATGGTCTTTTTCGTTTCTATTATTTTTCTTGAATCTGTAGCATTCTGGGACTCCTTATTATTCAACGGCGGACAAGGATCATCAACTCCCTCTTCATCTGTACATCTTGGGTGTTTAGAAACATCTGCTCTCCAAAGATAAGAGAAGGGCCTGTGCGTGAAAATCCTAGCATAGTTCAAAAGCATTATAGCTTCAAAAACACCATCGTTGACGTCACCGTGCTTATTTATCAAATAAGGCATGGCATAAGTGTCTGGATTTGATAGTTTCATTTCCCAATTTCCCAAAGCAGCTCGCATGTGGTTCAAGTAAGGTAGACTATCTTCATGAGATTGAATTGCGATATTCAACGAGATTGCATCGTTGACTAGTTTGCAAGCTTCCGCACGAGACTTATAGTCAAACACATTCAATGAAACCGAAGTTGGATATAGCACGAGGCAATGTTTGGTGGCAAGACGTGACTTTGTATGGCCAGAGGCAGTTCCCGAAATAGAGTCAAAATAATATAGTTCCCAAAACGTTCTTCTCATCGTATCAACTAAAATATCGTGCGGTATAGACGCCACTCTTTTTGCGCCAAACAATGAATCCAGCGTCGTTTTAGTATCAGAATCTGTTGGGGTGTTTAGAGAATGTGCATTAATACTTTTTTCGTCTCTCTCGGACAAAAAGCCATTGACGTCTAGAAATACCGGAGGAACATTTGCTTCGTCTATGTAATTTAATTTCATTTCAAAAGCTAGGGAAATTGTTGCTTCTCGAATGGTAGTGGAAAGGTCATGAAGTGATGAGATATGTGAGATCATGGCTAACAATAGAAGGGTCTGTAATGTAATAAAATCTTTTCCAATCTGTCTTACATATTTGAGTATTGAAATTACAAGATAGTTGACAGTCTCAATATCTCTCGCATATTTGCTAGTTGTCTGGCCCTCTCCCATTATTTTCATCACCAACAAAAGATCGGTTTTAAAAGGAATAGCTTCAAGATATGGAAGAATATGCTGCCTTGGTGGTAAGAATGGATGTGATCTATAGAAACAGTTGTAAAACGAAGAGACAATGGATTCGATATTCAAATCTTTTGTTAGGGAGGGAGATATGTAACATGCGTCCAATGAAGGAGCCAATTTTGTATCATCAAAAATCAAATTGATCGGATCATCGTCTTTCGAGCCATTGAATACTGGATGAAAGTTAATCTTGCTAGAAGTTTTGTTCGATCCACTACTACCGGAGCTGCTTGGTTTCATACATTCGGGTATATTATTGTACTTTTCACCCTGCAGGCATTCCTCCGTACAGTTGGGGTGGTCTGCCAAATGGCCCATACCATTTTTAACACATGGTAGTATGTCAGATTTATGATTCCATACAGAAGGACGTTTTATATCTCTTTTGAGATTTCTTGAGCTGGAACTAGAACGTCTATGTTTGGGAGACTTTTTCATTCCGTCCACTAAAGTCAGGTTTTCACTGCTATTTGACAGAGACTTTTTGTCGTGTTCGGAGTTGTTGCTGAGTTCGGTTTCATCGGTATAATTGGTTTCAAGATTATTGTCGTGTTCTTCGTTCTCATATTCGTTCTCATATTCGTTATCGATGTCCAGGCCCACCTCGCCATCATTACCGGTGAGCGCATTGAGTTTACTTTTGAAGGAAACTCCTTTCTTTCTTGAGCCTCCTCTATGGCTCTTTACGTAGGTACAAGTTCTGTTGTGTTTTCGGCAACGGTCACAGATAGGTTCCTGACCGCCACACTTCAAATGCCTTGATCTGCACTCCAAACATGCTCTCGACACATGTTTCGGGATGTGAGACTTCAAATTCTGGAGCTCAGACATCAAAGATCTCTGCTCCGTGCTGGAATTGCGCCTTCAATAGCTCTTTGCTCGGCTGCCTTCTCACTATCTGATCTAAGTCAAAGGGGATGGCAGTACTGACACCAGTATTGAGGGGTAATGCTGGTCAGCGCAACGCAATCCACAAGGTGTGAAACTCGTGACTATCGGAATGAAAGCGTTGAATATCGCCGTAGGTGAGTCACGAACACCCGCTTTGTGAGTTTGTGCTTGTGTCAGGCGGTAGGTTCAACAAATTGTATGTCGTTAGATTTAAATTGTGGCTCTGCCAAAAGTATCCAAGACGTGGGCTTTTTCGCTAGAGATCTGCACTTTCTTCGGAGTCAAACGTTATCGGACCCTCTGTTGTCAACCGCTATGCACTTCCTGCCCCGGTAACCCGCTGATGCCGTTGCTTTTGCTAATCAGTCTCCACAGGCAGGCGACATTATCTCTGCTGATACTGATACCGTTGTTTCCAAACCCCGCTTAAAAAAGCCTTTTGTTGATCAGATTACGTTTTTTGCTTTCCACCGTGGGTCGGGCTTTGAGTGAAGGCTGCGGCGGGACTTCTCGCTTAGGTAAGCAGAAACAGCAGAAAACAAGAATCGACCCGTCGCTTTTCTATCCGTCTTGAGCATCACTTCTTGGGGCCTCATGAATCCACCATATGAGCCGGATCGGAGAGTCTTGCCAACAGAGGCTACCCGTCTGTGAGTTGCCGTTTTCAAGGCAGAGACTTCAGCAGCAGAGAATGGCAAAGAACGTCATTATTGACAATGGTCAGTACGCTCTGAAGTTTGGAAACGCTGCGCAAGATGCTCCGCACACTGTGCCCAACTGCATTATAAGAACACAGGATAAAAGAGTGCATTTAGGATCAACGCTGAGCTCACAGCAGTCGTTGAGAGACTTGGCTGTTCTCTCCGGTGGACTCTCCGGTATTGCGTTCCAGCGACCGATTCGGAAGGGACAGTGTTTCCAGTGGAACCTAGAGCACCAGATCTGGGACAACGGATTCATCGACTCTAAAGTGGATTCAGGCAATGGCGACTTCCTCGAGGACTCAAACCTATTGTATGTCGAGTCCCCGATCACACTCCCAAAGTTCCAGAACATGACGGACCAGATCCTCTTTGAGGAGTTCGGGATAGGGAACCTCGTGCGGTATTCGGCCCCGGCGCTAGCACCCTGGTTGGACTCCTTCGGCGACAACGAGAACTACAAGGACAAAGAAACAAAGTACAGAAACTTCCAGTTAGTCATCGACTCGGGCTTTGATGCCACCTGGATTGTCCCCGTGATTTACGGAATTCCGTACTACCGTGCTATTAGAAAGCTACCCATTGCAGGCCGATTTTTGGATGGATACCTGCGAGAGGTGGTTTCTTTCCGACACTACAACATAGTGGAGGAGCCTGTTCTTGTCAATGCAATTAAGCATCAGACATGCTACGTGGCTGTGGATTACAACGAAACGCTAAACAAGCTCACAAGGCTGAAGAAGAATCCTCGTGAGTTGATTAATTCCGAGTTATCTCTGTCCTACGTCTTACCAAACAACAAGACAGACTTCCTGGGACATCCAATTCTAGACAAGTCTAAAATGTCTAGAGCAGAACTCCAAAATTTGAGAAATTCGTTGGAGGGCAAACACATGAAGGCCAATGGCTATGATGACGAAGATTACGCCGAAGATGAATACGGCAACAATGGCGGCATGAACGCCAGTCAGTCCCTCTTGCTCACAGACGAAAGATTTCTGATTCCTGAACTTTTGTTTCATCCGCAGTTGGCCGGAGTATACAAGGCAGGATTGATCCAGACCATAAAATCCTCGCTCGATGCGGTGCCGGAACTATTACAGCCTCTGCTAGTGAACAACATTGCTTGTATTGGCGGAACGTCGAACATCCCAGGATTTGCAGAAAGAATAGTGAAGGATTTGGACCCAGAAGTCCCTGTGGAGGCACAGACAAAAGTTTCGAATTACAGTAATATTACTAATGACACGAGTCTGTTGTCGTGGTATGCGGGGAAGTCGTTTTTTGCTAACGGAGGGTTTGAGAAGATAAAGATGACCAAGGCAGATTACGCCGAGTTTGGTGCTGAATATGCGCAGGATAAGTTCAGTTTCAAACTGTAAATGAAAGGTTCTCGAGAAGGACTATAGTTGATACACAAGCTATACATGTATGTACATTTGTAAATTTAAATTATACGAGGGTGTCATTAGCACACCTTTGAACGATAGTTTCGCCAATTCTTCATAAAATTTTAGTGAATAAATAATTAGGTATGTGGAGAAGAACATAGGGATGCAAGTAAATAAACAGAATGAACAAAGCATTGAAAAATAAATTCAGTGTAAGTTGTGGTAAGTATAATTAGTAAAAATGTAAACTGATTGTTTTAAAACTTGTCTAAAAGCAAGTCACAATCCCATAAAAAAAGAAAGTTGTTGCAACAAGGGTCCCCACCCAAACGGCTGACAGATGCCAGGTTGGAGCTGGTATATATCTGCACAATAGCAAGCAGATGCTGAACCCAGACAAAATAATACTCAGAAGTAGACAGGCAATTGCAAAAACAACCAAAATTAAAAGTCCTGCTGTCATTTGAGGTTTAGGCAATTGACTCTTCCCAAATATTGTAGATAGAATCAAAGTTCCTATCGATGATGTCACCAACGAGAACACGACCATGATCATGTATAAAAAAGATAAGCATTTGTCGTGGTTTTCCCTCTCAATAAGGCCAAGTGTTCCAAACCTTTTTTTGTTTGATAACCTCATCATTGCTTCGGTTTCGCTATCATATTCTTCTTCATCCTCTTCGTCGGCACTGTAGGCATCGTCCGTACCGCTGAAAGAGAATCCCCGGGGAGTTCTGCGAACCAAAGGTCTAGTTTCATCGACCCTTCCGTCTTGGTATGTGTCGTCATGGATGCCCAAAATTTTTTCCTTCAGCATAGATCCAAAGTCTCTTGTATTGTCCGCCCAATGCAGGATTTTATTGGTTTTGTCCTTAGAAAGCCAATCCAACCCTGCACCACCATAATTGGACTCGATATCTTCTCTTTCTGCACTGGATCTAACTGTAAGCAGATTGAAAAACCAGTCCAAAGCTCCAAAGTTGTTGTCATTGTCGTGGTCAGTATATACATAGAATCCATCATCATCGCCACCGAAATCAGACCCATTGTCAAATTCGTTCCAATAGCCAGGCTTGCTTGGAGCAATGTCATCTTTATTCAATAGTATACCCTTATTGACCTCGGTAGCGGTGTCCAACGCGTTGTCTGGGTTAAGAGAATCTTTTCTGTCTTGCCTATCGAAAGGTATCGACTTCGCACGAACTTCAGGAAGCTGACGTATATCTGTGTCTGTCAGAATGGTGTGCCAAGGAGCAATGAATAAAAGCATCTCTTCATCAGATATCGATGTCGATTGATTATTTTTAATTAACAAAGATATGAGGTAATTGTTCAAGGAGAAGTTGAAGTTATCAACACGATAAACTAAATGGCTATCTATCAAGGAAGATATGCTAGCGGGGAATTCAGTTTCAGGGACATCAAAATTGATTTTCAGGACAGCATGTGGAAACATATCCACCTGTGGATTTTCTGTTCCATCAGCATTAGTCCGGTTCACCTGGATATCCCATTCCAAAGAAATGTAGAAGTTGATTTTCTCATTCTTATCCAAACTGATATAGCGCAATTTCTTCATGGAGATTCTGGCAAGAGGCTTGACATTGTTTTCCAGAACCCAATTGAGTGAGAGCTGCATCATCTGTTTGTTACCCTTCAAGTCAGCCTTGCACCATTCTTCCTCGAATATCTTCTTTCTTTCGTCAAGAGCAAGTATCGAAGTATTTTTGCTTTGAACGTCGTAGAAGAGAATGTCAACCAAATTTTTATTCAATGATGCAATTGAAAATTGTCTCAAACCGCCAACCGGAGTGATTAATATTGGATTTTTGGCACTATTATCATCAGGACTAGGAGAAGCGTTTGAAACCAGGATTTGCGAGTACGGGTTTGCCTTGAAAACATGAAGATTATCAATGGAATCGATATCGTAGTCAGTGCTGTTTAGAGGGGAAGTTTGGACAAACATAGGATGAGAGGGGTTATTCAACCAGACGGATAGAGTATCAGTTTCGGGGCAAAACTCATCACTAGGATCTTTAAAGGGTTGTCCACCTGAAACTGTGCCTTTGCTATTTGCTAGATCTTCTTGCAAATTGAGGGACGACCGTGTATTTTTGAGGCCCTTATCTTTGGTGAATAAAGAATCATCGGTGATCAATTTGAATTCAGAAGACAAGAGAAATTTGATCTCATCTAGATTGTCCTTGTGAATCCAGAATTTCAACGACCTTGGTCCTTTTCTTATCGAAACGATGTCGAAAGTGGTTGATCTCGAGAACAGTTGGTGAGTAGTGCTACTGCTGCTGGTGGCAATTGGGGTATTATCGATAGTGTCTTTCTGAGGTCCGCTCCCGTTGATAGAATAGCTCTGCGTGACCAACTGTAGAGAGTCAATTGTATGTATTGAGGAATGGCGATGTTTTCGCTGGTTGCTCTCTGCGGTGCAGGTAGTTAGGAAAGTGTCCAGGAAGTCGTACAAGAGGGTTGTCTCTAGTGCGAGATCGTCCAAGCTCAAATGGATGAAAGACTTCGGGTTTTCCACCAAGAATTTGGTAGTGATCTTGTCGACAAAGGACTGCTTCTGCGGGTAGGAGGAGTACTTGACAAACTTCTTCAAGAGCTTCTTGACTGCGATCTTCTGCAAGAGGATGAAGCGGGATAAGTCCTGGAGCTCATTGGTGATCGAATCCAACTCCTTGTGGAACAGGAGTAGTTTCCGCTTGCGCAGCCGCAGAGATACGTCGGACTGTGGGTGCTCCGCCGTGTACTCGGTCTCAGACTTGATGAAGATGTTGCACTGCTTTTTCAACATAGACAACCGGCGGGAAATCTCGCCGACTTTTGAGAACACAAACAATGACGCAAAGTCGATCTGGTCCTTGAAATTCTTGTACAGCTTCTGTAGCAGCTTCTTTTGGTGCTCCGTGAGCGTTGCCGTGGAGTTGTCGCTCGAGGAAGAGTCCTCGAAGCCTGAAGTCGCCTCTCGGATGAGCGTCTTGAGCAGATTGTAATCAATGTTGTAGTTTCTCCATCTCGACACTGACCGGGAAGCAAACTCCACTCCGAATTTCATGGGTGTAGTGGCGTGTGGCGGTGGTATGTGCTGTCTATCTCCCTTTTCTCGTTGGGGCTTGACGCGGACGTCTTCTAGCAGGAGTCGCTTGTATCGACAGTGGCAGATGGTTCAGAATAACAAGGAGGCACGATGCAGGCAGAGCGGCACGGAAGGTAAAGTGGGAGAAAAAAGAAAAGAGAAGCAAGCACCGGTGGGGAGGCACTGACAAGCTGCACTAGTAGCGGACGGACAACGTGCAACAGTCGAATCTGCTGCGGTTCTTAGTTTCCGGTACCGGATACCGGCTGCAGCAACAGCAATCAAGCATCAATAGCAACATCTCTCTTGTCAAGTCAGCCGAGCCAAGTCACCAAAACGTGCGCTCTCCGCAGCGAGGCAGCCAGTGCCCTTCTCTACGGCGTGCCGCACACTTTGCGCGGAACGGAGCGAGCATTATGTCGCCGCCGTGCCTGTTGACATGACAGGAATGATGGGGTTGACGTTGCAGGAGAAGAGAAAGCGTTATACACAGTTATAGAGTGGTACGGTCAGCACCAGGTCTTGTACAAACGGTAGTACCATGGACGGCGTGCAAGCTGCTGGCGCTCAGCCTCGATGGTGGCCCTCAACTCGTCGAGGTCCTCTGCCCGACGACCGGCGTCAACATCGATGTCCTCGATGCGCACGTAGAAAACGCTGCGGCGGCCCTTCCACATGACGTAGACGGCAAGCATGGCGACAAGACAGAAAAGATTCAAGTTGATCTTGAAGAAGTGGACAACATCGACGCCGCTTGCGCTGCCGGCGCCGGAAGCGGCGACTCCGGCATCGGGCGGCCGGAATCCGCGGGGAAAGAGCCCCGTCCAGATTTCGAAGATCAGGATCACGACGTTAAGCACGACCCCCCACCAACTACCGTAGACTCCACACATGGATGTAAAGACCAACTCGCCTGTGTCGCGTCCGCGTGCCTTCAAGGCCTCTCTGAAGCGGATGTGAACTAGGCAGATGGACAGCCATGTGAAAATGGATGAGAGACCCGACAAGGCCATCAGCCAGGAGAAGACCTCAGCCTGCTTTGCCGAGGCGGCAAGAAAGCCGAGCAAGCCAAATAACGAAGCAACGAGAATCCCCACCAAGGGTCTCCCCCGGCGGTCGATGTACCCGAACACGGAGGGAATGAAGCCCTGGTTTGCCAAGGTAGCAAATGTTCTTGACGTGGCGAAGACAGACGAGTTCGCAACGGAGAGCACGGCAATCAAAATGACGGCGTTCATGATCGACGGAACGACCTTGATTCCGGCGTTTCTCACAGCAATGACAAACGGCGAAGCCTCTGCCCCGTCGGAATTCCCGATCAACCGGGGGTCGTTGTACGGCACCAACAAGCCAATGATGGTGAGAGACATCATGTAGAAGATGGTAATGCGCCAGAACACCTGCTTCGTGGCTGAGGGGAGTGTCTTTCATGGGTTCTCTGTCTCTGCAGAGGTCAACCCGACAAGCTCCGTTCCCGAGAAGGAGAAGGCTGCAGTGACAAATACAGAGCAGAAGCCGTTGAAGCCGTTGTTGAACGCTCCCGGGTCATGCCAGAAACGGCCACCGATGTAACCTGACCTTGACTCGCCGCCGCCGCAGTTGATTACAACACCCAAGATGCAGAACCCGATGACAGCGATAATCTTGATTGTGGAAAAGCAAAACTCCACCTCCGCATACCCCTTCACCCCAAAGAGGTTCACAAGCACAATCATGCTGAAGTAAATTGCGACCCATACTGCAGGGTTAACATCGTCATTCCAGAATTTCATGGTCATGGCGCATGCCACCAACTCCAACGGTAACGCAATCAACCACTGTAGAAGATAGTTCCACGCCATGCAGAACCCCCAAGCTGGGGAAAGAAATCGTGTGTTAAGAGAGAGGAAAGACCCGGCAATGGGGAAGGTCACTGCCAACTCTCCTAATGCCTGAATTGTCGTGAATATCATGGTACTAATAAGAAAGTAACAGATAAGCAACGACGCAGGTCCACCGCTGCTGAGTGCTGCACCTGACCCGACAAAAAGACCCGTTCCAATTGACCGCCAATGGCAATCATTTGGATGTGACGATTTTTTAAGTTTCTTTGTAACGGTGCATGTGCTTCGGTGGCATTCGCCTTTTCGATATCTGAGAATTCAGGGTCGCCTTCTGCTCTGGAAACCTCCATTCTTTTGAACCCTTCAACAAGCTTTTTCCATCCCTTGCAAACATTGCCTGCTCCAAAATCTCCTCCGCAGACCGATTTTGTATGTTCTAGAACTGTTCTTTCCTTTTCGCTAGTTCCTGACTCTTCATCGAATGATGTCTCACCAGGAGATGTGACGATTTCTGAGGCGTCAATCATTAGCGGTAGAACTTTGCCGTGCAGTCAAAAGCCTGGTAAACTGCGTGCTAATAAGAGTTAATTTTGATTGGAAGCCAAGACCGACGCAGCTAATAACAAACTAGAAAAGTTGAACTTTGATTGATATCTAAGTACTAAGATTTTACCAATGGCTTGAAAGCAGAATACTAGCTACTCCGAAGGCTCGGGTCTTTCACCGAGAATCTCCCAGAAACTTGTTATTACCAAATCGGGTAACTATTGTAAGCGTATTCTGTTTTTTTCGTCATGTTTGCGCACAATCATTTACGATTTTTGCAGAAGAGGAGCATATCAAGCCCACTCTCCTCTTTTTTCACTGCTCGATCTGATCCGATCAGAATCTCCGTTGTTCCGTGTGCAAGCAAGGCATTTGTTGTGACAACCTGGCGAAGGCATGCCAGCGGGAGTGCACCAGAGTATGGTGGACCGCTAACGGCATGTTTATCCCAAAGCAGCTTGGTTAACTCCGAGGTCGCTCTCCGTGTCCATCGGAGTAACAAAGACGTCTTTCCCTTTATTAAGTGAAACGATTTTGCGAACTTTCTTGCAGGCAGTTTTCCTGTGGTTCTCTACCTTTGGCCCTTCACCCTTTAGTGCTGGCTTCCATCACCGAGAGTTATCTCATTTTCATATGATTTTTCCGGAGACAGCAAATTGTGACGTATCAATAACCTATTCCCTGACCTGAAGAGAATAAAAACCTCTCTCAGTCTTCCTTCATCTCTTACTTCTCATTAACTTTCATTTCATTAGTTCAAAGAGCTATGGAAAACGCAGTTTGTAATACAGGCCAATGAGCGTGACCGTACCGCCTTTGCTCAAGAAACACATGGAGGAGAAGCAAGACCATGCATTCGCTGACTTGAAGTCTTTGCTAGCTGAACTAACTCTGGATCATAAACCACAATCCAAGCCAAAGTCTGACTCTTTGGATTCTTTTCACTCCCAATTGATTGATGACGTGTTGTCCAAGAAAAACAGTGATCAACAAAAAGATAACCTCGATTCCAACGAAAAAAGCGCAACGATTTTCAACTACTTTGCTAACATAACCAAGAACAAGCTACCTCAAAAATGTTTGACCTATTTCTCAGGTGAAGGAAAAACAGAAACAGACAACGTTAGCCTGTACGAGGACGAGAAAAGTCAAACAAAAACCATATACCGCTCCAACTCATTCGATGATCTAGAAGATGAACTTGTAGTGGAAGGTAGTAATAAAAAAACAGAACAGTTAGATGCTGATTCAATCCATGGGTTTCATCTGGAAGACTTCAGCGATACATTCAATTTAGAGAATGATTCCGACGAAGGTGACCTTCAAGATCAAGGGTGTTTGTTGACAAGTCCTCAAAAATCGGAAAAAATTAAGCCTGGTCTCGTATCCAAAACATCAAGCGAATGTGAGAAAGTAGTTAATACATCATCAGTGGAAATTGCAGACAATTTTCCATCCATTGGAAGCAATACAAGCTTTCAATTTGATGATATTCTTACAGGTGATATATTAGGAGAGCTGGACATTGCTGATATACCTGACAGCAGATCTGGTCATATTTCTTCACGATCTAGTCTGGATCTGGATCAAGCAAGAATTGTGAATGTGATAGTTGCCAAATTAAAAGAACAACTGCAGCCAACACTGGAGAGACTTTCGCAAGAGTCAGAAAAATATGAGCTCATGAAGACAGTCTACAAGCTTCCGAGCGTGTCGAACTTGAATGACGAGGTCAAGCAACAGTTTAACGGGAAGGGAAAAAAGTATAGCCTTGACTTTGATAAAGATATGGTTGAAGAAATGGTTGAAAAAGAGCTCAATAAAGCTGAAAGGAGAAAGAAACAGTTTAGCCAAGTCTCGATGATAAGTGCCCAAGATCAAGTAAGACTGAATTTCAATAAGTTCAGACAGCTGGGCACTATAATGGAAGAACAAGAGCTCGAGAAAAGCATTGGGAGGGGGGATGAGTCTCCGCCAAAAAACTATATATGTATGAGCAACACATACTCAAAGTCCGAAGATACGAGGCATGTTCACGAACTTAAGACTGAAGAACTGGTACACCTGCTCCAAAAAATCAAGGAGGGAAAGCTGAAGGAAATGAGCAAAGTCAAACATTTGGTGACCATGTTTGAAGAGGAACAGCAGGATGTTGTTAATAGGTTGGACAACCAAAAGCTAAAAAACGTATTACTGGTAGAGTTGAACAAGAGGAAAGTAATTTGAATGTCTGTGCATTTAGCATTTTTTCTGTTTTCTTATTTATACAGATATAGAGTTAATTTGGTAAAAAGCTTAATAAAACGTACGAGATCAGAGATCATTTTTTTGTTTCTTTTTCTTAGGTTCTTCAGATGTTTCTGCGGCGTCACCGTTTTCACTTGCAGCGTCAGAATTGTATTCTTCGTCCACGTCCGAGTCTTCGGATGCACTCTCTCCCTCGAAATCCTCGTCGGGAGAGTCGTCTTCTCCGGCCGAGCCGAGGTCGGCATCGCCATCGGAGTCGACCATGGCGTTGGCCAACATTTCCTGTGCGATTTTTTCATCGTTTCTGACCTTCAAGTTCTTCGATCTGAAGAATGACTCGAGAAGAGGCTGCTCGGCTCTGTCAATGTTTCCGAAGTTGTGCGTTGGCCCACCGTTTATAGTGCTGATCTCCATATCAAACGTCTTCTGAGCAGACCCCTGTCCGACTCTGGCAAAAGTGATGGTGCCGACCTCCGAGTAAGGGATCAACACGGTTGGCTTCGTCAAGAACAACGCACACTTCTCCAAGGCGTACAAGTGACCCTCGTTGGCCTTCAAGGAACAAGAGATGCCCGGCAGTCCGTCCTTGGACTGGTAGGAGCCGGGCAAAACGACTCTGCGCTCGGTGAACCCTTTGAAGAGGTTGGAGAGAACGAGATAGGTGCTGGAGCTGTACGACTTGTTGATCTTGCCCTCGTACTTCTCCTTGAACTCGTTCTCCTCGATGTTCAGCTCGACCTCGATCTCCTCCTGCTCGTCGAACTGCAGCGTCAAGTACGAGTACTTGGTCTGGCCCTGTCTCAAGGGAGGGTTCACCTGCAAGACAATCAAGTGGTGCATGCCGTCCAGCTTCGGCAAGGAGAAGATTCTCTGTATCTGCGTGTACTGTAGCTTGTAGTCGTACGTCTTGCCCCTCAACCGGAGGAAGCTGTCGTACATGTCGACGTCGTACCGGCCTCTTGGCGTGAGGAAGAGCACCTCGCTGAACGAGACGATGATCTCGCCGACAACCTGGGTGATGTCTGCCTTGGACTTCAACTCCTCCACAAAGAGCTCCGCCTTGGTCTTGACCTTCTCCTTCTTCTCCGGCCCGGCGTCGGCCTCGGCCTCGCCGTCTGCAGCACCGTCTGCCGGGGCCTCCTCTCCCTCCGCGTGCTCCGCCTTCGGAGCGTCAATGTCCATCTCCTCGCCGGCGTCCACGTTGCCCGGGATGTAGAACTTCACCTCCACCAACTCGTCGCCGGTCCGCTCCACCGCCGTGTCCGCACGTATAAGGTCCATCTCAACCGACACCTCGTTCCGGCCGCTCAAGTTCGTGTTGGCGATCTCCGCGTACGGGATCTCGTACGCAGGCTTGTTGGCGACGTTGAAAACCAGCTCGTTTCTCGCCATCTGGATCTTCCCCCAGTTCCAGCCCCGCAACGCGTGCTCCCGCTGCTCCAGCTGCACGTTGAAGTTCTTCGAGAGCTCGTGCTTCAACCCGGTCGAGTCAGGCTCGTCGAACCCGTCGAGAATCACCACCCCTCTGTTCTTCGTGTCGATCCGCAGCTCGTAGCCCCTCGAGCCCCTCGACCAGTAGCAGCTGGAGATCTCCTCGCTCGGCAATAGGAACGGCGTCGTCTTCGTCGTCGACCCGGGCATCGATTGCGCCTTCCATCCTAGTCCCGTCTCCGCCACCCTCATTCTTCCCGGCATCTTCGACTGGTTCAAGTATATTCTCTCGTACTCCGACGACATGGTTCACTCTGCGTGTTTCTTGCCCTGTTTCTCTGCTTTCTGTCCTCGACCGCTGCCCTCTATCCCCTCTTTCAGCTCCTCTACACACCTCTTCCAGCTCCACCATCCATGAGCCTGCTCTGTACATTCTGAAACGCCAAACCGTCTGGCTCTGGCCCTTTTTTTGGCTCAAAAGGGCGTTTCGCCGATCGCCCGCGCGCGCTGCTTTTCGCCACCCGCGGTGCTCAGCGCATGGCCGTTTCGTCGAGGAGGGGGCTGCTGGTGAAGAGAGAAACGTGGAGCAAGAGAAGAGAAAGAAGGGCAGGGACGGGGGCTGCAGCGGAGCGTGGAGTCTGCAGAGACCATCGAACCAGCGAAACAGCTAGCAACATATCCAAGATGTCAGCCGAAGGCGAAGAAGAATTACTCGACTACTCCGACTCGGAAGAAGTCAACAACCAACAACAAGCGGAAGGCGGCGACGCAGCAGTAAAGAGTGAAGAAACTGACAAAAAGGGCTCCTATGTCGGTATCCACACGACTGGGTTCAGAGACTTCCTCTTGAAGCCTGAGTTGTTGAGAGCCATCGCCGACTGCGGTTTCGAGCATCCTTCGGAAGGTTAGTATCGCGTCCGCCCCCCAGAAGCGTGCTGGCTGCCTCTTCCTTCCTCTTATTTGCCATCCGCCTCTCGATGCGCAGCGGCGTGAGGCGCCGGTGCTGGCGCCGAGGCGTCCGAGAGCCCCGAGAGCCGGACGGACAGGCTGCGCAGCGAAACAGGCCCGTGGGGCCCGGCAGAAGACATGGCAAGACTCCCGACCGACCTGTCGGTCGCAATGCTCCCCCATCGCGGTGCACCTGCCGCCGGACGGCACTACAGAAGAGCCGAATCTGCAGAGAGGAAGAGGGACACGGCCGAACACAGCACGTTCCTTCTCAAAGTAACCCGACAACTAACTCTTTTTCTTTTTCTTTTTCTTTTCTCTCTCCAGTGCAGCAATCCTGTATTCCGCAATCGATCTTGGGTAACGACGTCTTGTGCCAGGCCAAGTCCGGTTTGGGTAAGACTGCGGTCTTCGTCCTCTCCACGTTGCAACAGTTGGACCCTACTCCGGGCGAGATCTCCACCGTGGTCATCTGCCACACGAGAGAATTGGCGTACCAGATCAAGAACGAGTACACGAGATTCTCCAAGTACATGCCGGAGGTCAAGACCGAGGTTTTCTACGGTGGTGTGCCAATCCAAAAGGACATTGAGATCTTGAAGAACAAGGAGACCTGTCCCCACATTGTGGTTGGCACCCCCGGCAGGTTGAACGCCTTGGTGAGAGACAACCTGATCAACCTGAAGCACATCAAGAACTTTGTTGTCGACGAGTGTGACAACGTTTTGGAAAACATCAACATGAGAAGAGACGTCCAGGACATCTTCAGAGCCACTCCGTTCCAGAAGCAGGTCATGATGTTCTCCGCCACCTTGTCCAACGAGATGAGACCAATCTGCAAGAAGTTCATGAAGAACCCGCTCGAGATCTACGTCGACGACGAGAAGAAGTTGACGCTCCACGGCTTGCAGCAGTACTACATCAAGCTGGCCGAGGAGAAGAAGAACGTCAAGTTGGCCGAGTTGTTGGACTCGTTGGAGTTCAACCAGGTGATCATCTTCGTGAAGTCCACCAAGAGAGCCACCGCCTTGAACCAGTTGCTTGTAGAGTCCAACTTCCCGTCCATCGTGGTCCACTCCGGCATCCCACAGGAGGAGAGAATCCAGAGATACAAGCTCTTCAAGGAGTACAACAAGCGTATCTGTGTCTCGACCGACGTTTTCGGAAGAGGTATCGACATCGAGAGAATCAACTTGGCCATCAACTACGACATGCCCAGCGAGGCCGACCAGTACTTGCACAGAGTCGGCAGAGCCGGTAGATTCGGTACCAAGGGGTTGGCTGTCTCCTTCATTGCTGCCAAGAAGGACCAGGAGATCTTGGACAACATCCAGGACAGATTCGACGTCAAGATACAGGAGTTCCCTGCCGAGGGCGTCGACCCTTCGACATACATGAACACCTGAGCGCCCTGTGCCTCCTCTTTTTGTAATTGTAAAACAACACTTAAATAAAACAAAAGTTTTTCTTATTGTACAGTGATCTAATACATGTTTCCTTTGTGTGAGCTATCACACCCCTGTCCTGCAATCCGCAGCGTGTCGCCGGCGGTTTCGGACTCACACGCGTGAAACACCGATAACGCAGCAACAACAACAACATCGATATCACCTCACGCACCGGGGGCAGACGAAGATATCGGACATCCACGCCACCGTGTGCTGGCCACACCGTCTCCACCAGCAGCCGACCCCCCGGCATGTCAACAAACCCACACCGGACTGCACCCTACACAGGCGCCCACGGACGCGTCAGCACGTCAACCCAGCCAGCAGCGAGGAGCAAAGTGGGTTCGCTCCTCTGGCAGCGACGCGTGCGGGCCCGCGTGAGCTTTCGCCCTGCCCGGGTATATAAAGACACGGTTGTTCTTTCTCTGTTGCGGAAGAAGACGTGTCTCGGGTCGGGGAAGAAGGAGGAAATGAGGGACAGCACCACGGATCTTCCAGCCAACTGACCCATTCACAGCTAGCTAGCTACACCCTGCCCATTAATGTCTGTCAAAGAAACACCATCGAAAGTCACAGCCAACGCCCTCTCCTCGCTGGACATCAGCAAGGCGTCAAAGACGGACCTGACCGCGTCTCTGGTGGCTGCGGCCAACGCCAAGGCCGCTGCTGCCGGGCTTGCACCGGCAGTCGCCGTGGAGAAGGTGTCGAAGGAGGCGGAGGAGCACAAGGCGTTCCTGAGCCAGCACCGGGTGCACCGACACAAGTTGAAGGAGCTGGAGAAGGACGAGCCGCTGTTGGTTGAAAACAAGAGACGGTTTGTGCTCTTCCCGATCAAGTACCACGAGATCTGGCAGATGTACAAGAAGGCGGAGGCGTCGTTCTGGACGGCGGAGGAGATCGACCTCTCGAAGGACCTGCACGACTGGAACGAGCGGTTGAACGACAACGAGCGGTACTTCATCTCGAGGGTGTTGGCGTTCTTCGCTGCGTCGGACGGGATTGTGAACGAGAACTTGGTGGAGAACTTCAGTGCGGAGGTGCAGGTGCCGGAGGCCAAGTGCTTCTACGGGTTCCAGATCATGATGGAGAACATCCACTCGGAGACGTACTCGTTGTTGATCGACACGTACGTGAAGGACCCCAAGGAGAACGAGTACCTCTTCAACGCCATCGACAACATCCCCTGCATCAAGGAGAAGGCCGAGTGGGCGCTGCGCTGGATCAACGACAAGGACGCCTTGTTTGGCGAGCGCTTGGTGGCCTTTGCCGCCGTGGAGGGCATCTTCTTCTCGGGCTCCTTTGCGTCCATCTTCTGGTTGAAGAAGCGGGGGCTCATGCCCGGCTTGACCTTCTCCAACGAGCTCATCTGCCGTGACGAGGGCTTGCACACCGACTTCGCCTGCTTGCTGTTCTCCCACCTCAACAACACCCCGGACGAGTCGATCGTCCGCAAGATCATCATCGAGGCCGTCGACATCGAGAAGCGCTACTTCACCGACGCCTTGGCCGTCAACTTGTTGGGCATGAACAAGGACTTGATGTGCCAGTACGTGGAGTTCGTGGCCGACCGCTTGTTTGTCGCCCTCGGCTGCGACAAGCACTACAACGTCACCAACCCCTTCGACTTCATGGAGAACATCTCGCTTGCCGGCAAAACAAACTTCTTCGAGAAGCGGGTCTCCGACTACCAGAAGGCCGGCGTCATGGCCAAGAAGGACGACGCTGCCGCCGATTCCGGCTTCTCCTTCGACGACGACTTCTGATCCACGCGTCCGACCGCCTTTCTTCTCTTTCTCTCTTTCTTCTCTTGCTCTCTTTCTTTACTTTATTATCTCTTTCTTTCCTCCTTCCCTCCCTCCCTCCCTCCCCTTCCTATCCGATGTAATATGTATACTAGAACCTCCCCGTCAGCCCTTTTCCGCCGATCGCCTCGGTTTTGCGCCCGTGTACCCGGCACCACGCTCCTTGTGTTGCCCCGGCCTCAGGACCCGGCGCTGAAAAATTTTGGCCCGCTGCTGTTGGCGTGAGGGCGGCGCGGGACGAGGACGGGGCGGGATCAGGGAGCCAGAGACAGGCCTGGGCAATGGATTGAGAAGAAGACAGGAGGTTGGGAACAGAGGTAGGGAGGGCACACGGGGAGAAGGGGCAAAGGGAAAGCAGCAGAAGATAGCGCAGTCGTCCCCACGAGTCCCCGACCCCTTGCACACACACCCCGCGGTCCGCTGTCCCCTTGACCCCCCAGACTGGTTGTGTCGGATGTGCACGCCCTCGAGTCCAGCCACCACTTGCCGCTGCTCTACCCCCACCCCGACCCGGTTCTCTCTCCCAGACACGCGTGTGTCTCTTGTCCCGCCCTTGTTCCCCCGATAGATGAGTGCCCCCAGCGCCTCGTCCCCGACCACACCCGCCCCGATGAACCGCCGCACGTACAAAGAAGCCATCAACGCGTTGAACAGCTTGCAGTCGAACTTCGCCACGATCGACGCCGTGAGGAAGTCGGGCATCAACCGAAACTCGATGCTGATGCCCGAGATGGTGGAGTGGGTCCGGCGGATCGGCTACCGGCCCAGCGACTTCAACCGGCTCAACGTGATCCACGTGACGGGCACCAAGGGGAAGGGCTCGACGTGTGCCTTTGTGCAGAGCGTGCTCAGCCAGTACAAGGTGCCCATTCTGCTTGCCAGCCCGAGCCTGGCGCCCGTGGCCCCGGCCGGAGCCGGCGCAGCTGCGCCGGCGTCGGCGGCTGCCGCCGTTGACCACGTCCACCTCCACCCCACACAGCCCGCCGGCACCGCCTCTGCAGACACCTCCCGATCGTTGTCCGTCAACTCGCTCTCGGCCGACGCCGCCTCCAGCCACTCCGTCGACGTGGCCAAGATCACCAAGATCGGCCTCTACACCTCCCCGCACTTGAAAACCGTGCGTGAGAGAATCATGATCAACGGCAAGCCCATCAGCGAGGAGCTGTTTGTCAAGTACTTCTTCGAGATCTGGAACCGCTTGGACGCGTCCAAGTCGGACCCAGAGGTCTTCCCGCACATGGGCGACGGCATCAAGCCGGCGTACTTCCGCTACCTGACTCTGCTCTCCTTCCACGCCTTTGTCAGCGAAGGCGTCGACACTGCCATCTACGAGGTTGGCGTCGGGGGCGAGTACGACTCCACTAACGTCTTCGAGGCTCCCACCGCATGCGGCATCAGCGCCTTGGGTATCGACCACACCATCATGCTCGGTAACACCCTCGAGGAGATTGCGTGGAACAAGAGCGGCATCTTCAAGAAGAACGCCGCCTGCTTCTCCGTTCCCCAACCAGAAAGCGCCCTGAAGGTGATTGAAGACCGTGCCGCGGAGAAACACGTGGCCCACTTCGAGGTCGTCAACGAACGGTCTGACTTGGACGAAGTCAAGCTCGGCTTGAACGGTGACTTCCAGAGACAGAACGCCTCTCTTGCTGTCGCTCTTTGCCACGCACACTTGACCAGACTAGGCTACCAGGTCGACATTGATACCTTGCCAGAAGAGTTTGTCCGGGGTCTGGAAAACGCGAAATGGCCTGGAAGATGCCAGATCGTCGAGGACCCAAAGCGGAAGTCGGAACTCACCTGGTACATTGACGGTGCCCACACAGAAGATAGTGTGAGAAACGGATCGCATTGGTTTACCCAGGTCGCCAGCCCCGAGAAAAAACACGTGTTGCTCTTCAATCAACAGACTAGGGAGCCGGCAGTGCTTCTCAAAACCTTGTTCGAGCAGATGGAACAAGCAGACCTGAAGTTCGACCACGTCATCTTTACAACCAACGTGACCTGGTCCAGCGGCATCTACTCCGACGACTTGGTCTCCATCAACACTGACAACAACGCCGTCTCCTCCCTAGATGTCCAGACACAGATGGCCGAAATTTACAACAAACTAGATAGAAAGGCCCGGAAACATCTTTTCCACGACATTGAGACCAGTGTGAACTTTATTAGAACGCTGGAAGGCCCGCTGGACGTCTTTGTCTGTGGCTCCTTGCACTTGGTTGGTGGGTTTTTGGTCGTTCTCGACGCTAAACCTAGCCAGTGAACCTCTTGATTTCCAGATCTCTCCCGTATATATAGTTCTCCTTTTTTTTCTCCCCTCTTCTCCGAGTGTGTACAGCTGCACGCTCGCAGTCATTCCCTACTATTCTATCCATTCTACCCCCGTACTTGTTTAATCAGACATAAAGCCCCATTCATGCATACAACGCGCGTGAACCATTAGTTGCCTCTTTGGGAAACCTACCATGTTCCAGTTCCTGTTCCGGCCAGAACAGCGCGCAGAAACTGGCACTGCGTATATCGTCGGAGGCATACACCTATCAACACAGAACATCTGTCTCAAAGATCTGAGCATTTCGAACAAGAAGAAGGAGGTAAAGCAAAAAATACGAAGAATAACTCTTACCCTAGATAACCGCAGGAAACCAAGATGAACAATCGAAACATCATCGATGAGCGAGCGGCTTATACAAAGGTAAGCACCAGGAGAACATGCGGAAAGCAGATTTAGATCAAAGAGATACTAACCATCGTCGTTTATTTTCTTTTCAAACAGCGTGCTCAGGATTATACGGAGCTAATCAAACGGTTCTCCGCTTTAGAGTTGTCGACCGTGGGAAACTACAAAATTTTGTCAGAGATTGGATCCGGCGCATTCGGACAGGTCTATCTCGGGTACCACAAGATGATTAGATGTAAGGTCTGTCTCAAGAAGGGGAATCGGACCCTCTCGCTGACTGCTTCTGATAGTACAGCAGCAAATGCTAACAACGACAACTTGATGAGAGAATTCTACTACCTAAGGGAATTTAGACAACACCCACATATTACAAAGTTATACGAAATTATTTTCACAGAAAATTCGGTCTATATGATCCTTGAGTACTACCCTTCTGGCGACCTATTCGAGTACGTCACTAAGAACGGGCACCTATCTGTTGATGAGTCTTTGAGGCTTTTCACGCAATTGGTGGGCGCCGTCTACTATCTACACAAGAGCGGATGTTGCCACCGAGATCTAAAGCTAGAGAACGTCTTGCTCGATAAGCACATGAACGTCAAGTTATCTGATTTTGGGTTCACAAGAGAATTGCCCTTTGCACAGCACGGCTCCAAATCGCTACTCTCCGAATACTGTGGAACTGGTGCTTACATGGCACCTGAAATAGTTCAGCGTAAGCCATATTCTGGAATCAAAATCGATATTTGGGCTTTAGGCGTTATGTTCTACACCATGCTCACGGGAGAAATGCCGTTCGACGATTCACTTGATGCTAAGTCTTTGGAATACGCAATTATCCATAATAAGCCTAGATACCTTGAAAGTCTTGATTTGTTGAACGACGACTCCCCCGAAAGGTTGGAACAGATCAAAATGTTGCTAAATAATATTTTGTCCAAAGACCCAGAAAACAGAATACCGTCATTAGGAGACGTCTTGAAACTCCCACTATTTGCTCCATATAACGGTGAGAAGCAACTCAATATCGCTAACAAGCTACATTTTGATGGGACTGGTATAAAGGATAGTTGGTCGGATCTTACTGCCTCCGAGAAGGCATTGTTCAAGCGCTTAGTAAATGCAGGAGTGGACCGGGAGATCTTGGAAAGGTCTATACGTAAGGAAACGTTGGATTCAGTCTACGGATTATGGGCCTTGCTCAAGGATGAAAAGGAGAAGAAAGAGAAAAAAATGAAAAGGACAAAGAAAAAAAGTAGAAGCATGTTAAAGTTGACATCTTCTCGTTCCTTTATAGGAAGTGCACGGCAAGCCTTCAGTGCATCCCCTACCCAGTCAGTGGAAAATTATAATACAAACTTGGATAGTGTTGGTGCTGCCACGGCTAGAAGCTCCAACATTATGTCCAGAAACGGATCGGCAACTACAGGTGGTGCAGCATCTACTGACGGTTCCATGATGAGAAGTGGCTCATTAAAGAAGGTACGTGACTTAGTTATGGGCACTGAAAAGGGAGATGCTCCAAAGACTTTGAACTCAATTCATGAGAAATCAGAGAAGGCAGAGAAAATCATCAATCCTCTTGTATCGAATGATAACGATCAAGCAAGCATAGTTTCGAAATCCACGCAAAAGTTTTCCACTTACGGTAGAAGAAAAAAGGGAGGACATCATTTTTCAATATTCAACATTTTCAAAAATAACCATTCAATTGAAGAAAAATCGAATGAGAAGAAGATTTCGGATAGCGATTCGTTATTGCATAGAATTCTGACAAACAGCACGATTAATACTGTTTCGACAAGCGCCAAAAAATCAGCCAAAGAGGCCGACCAAGCTCCAAAAGATAGGGTGATTTCCTTCAGCAATGATGCAGATCCTGCCCCGAGGTTGATATACCCTAGTACGACTGAGGAAAACTTGCTGGTGACCCCAGATAAGTCAAAATTGAGAAGAACACAACCAACCAGACCAGTTTCTGTGCTCTCCGCGTACTCCACGCATACGTCTGTTTCGGAGACGTCCAACGGATCTGGATACATCACAGGTTACTCAACAGATACAAATGTCTTGGGAGGAGTAAATACGCTGAACCCTAATTCTAATCAACACAGCACCAGCAATGACCAATCCCAGTTTATTTATTCTCCACAGGCTTCGGGGCGTCCGAAGTTCTCAAGGGGAGTTAGTGAATGGTCCGTTAATATATCATCTCAAGCGGAATCCCCTAATTCCTCGTTTACCGGTTTGTCTAGAACCAACTCGGTTGACTCGCTGTCAAGATCAGTCAGCAGCAGGAAAAAAGGGAAAAACAAGAGTATTGCCGTTATGAGAAGGGGCCGGTCGCCGTTAAACTCCAAGATGAATGCCAAATGGAATCTGAACAGTGTCAACGTGATGAAAAAGATGCCGGCTATAAAACAAGATAGAAACCAGATTATTGAAGAGGAGTCTAGTGAACAAGAAGATGACGAAGACAATGAGCACAGTTACAGCAGAAGTGCAAAGTCGAATGTATCTCCTCAGCGAAATGCCATTACCGGTGCAAAGCTGAATAGTCCCTCTTTGAGACCAAGCAGATCATATATGAGGAAAGGCTCGATCAAATTCCCAGTTCTACCTGTCACCGAAGAAGATGACGACGCCCTTGACGCGGAAGATGAAGCTGATCTGGAGGAAGACAATAACGACTACGACGACATAGCGACCGAGAACTCGGATAGGGAGTTTGGCAAAGATGTACAGCTGCAATCGGACTCGAATTTCAGCAGTGCCGTCTTCCAGGACAACTCGGCTAATGACGGGATCGGACAGACCAGTAGCGTTGTGAGCGATAACAGCCTCTTCCTGAACGGCACCAATAAGATGGTCTCACCATCTGGAAGCGTAGAAAGTGGAAGTGTGGTGGGAAGTCTTACTCGGAGTTTTAGTGCCGACACCTGTGGTAAACAAGACAGAGTTGTCATGGAGAACCACAACTCGCCGCAAACCACAGGTATCAACAATAAACATATTGTGGCTTCCGAGTCTGACCACCGGGTATATTCGCCAACCCCTAAGCCAGTTATTTCTGCTCAAAGAAGAACGGCATCCCAGTTAGAGGCCTCGGTTAGAGACTGACCACTCGCTTAGGAGCGGTGATGGGGACCGGAACCTGCAGGAGGAAAATCTCGGTTATCTTCGGATATGCGCGGCAAACTTCTCGGTTAGCGGATTGGTGGTGATGATGATTTGCAACTAAAATTGACCTATCTAGAAGGAATGAAAAGTTAGTTATGTATTTAAAGGAAAGAATGTTCCACTTGAAAAATCTTTTCCAACATCCGGGATGTCTTGCAAAACCACGTCTGATTCTTTTTTTTTTGAACCATTTTTATTAAGTACTATTGCCCTATAACAATGATGGAAACTGCTGTGAAAAAAGAATTAGTATCAAATAATATCAAGTCTGTCACTGAACAGCAGGCTATCAAAAAGATGAAAGCCGGCTCTTTAAACAAAAGTGAGATCACCATCTCGGAATACATCTTTCACCGTATTCTACAACTTGGCATTAAATCGGTTTTCGGGGTTCCTGGGGATTTCAACTTGAGGTTTCTAGAACATATATACGATGTTAAGGAGTTGAACTGGATTGGCTGTTGCAATGAACTGAATGCTGCATACGCAGCGGATGCGTACGGTAAAACCTCAGGAAAAATGGGTGTGTTGCTAACCACATACGGTGTGGGCGAACTTAGTGCGCTTAACGGTGTGGCCGGCGCATACACTGAGTTTGCGCCAATGTTGCATCTCGTTGGTACGAGTGCATTGAAATTCAAGAGGGATCCAAGGACCTTGAATCTCCACCATCTTGCGGGTCATAGACACACTTGGAAAAAAAGTGACCATTATGTGTATGAAAAGGTTGCAGAAAATTTCAGCGTCGATTCTGCATCCTTAGAGGATGATCCTGAAGAAGCATGCGAGATGGTAGATAGAGTAATTTTGAGTGTTTGGAGAAACAGCAGACCGGGATATATTTTCCTGCCTTGCGACATGGCAGAGATGAAGGTTGATGTTGCGAGATTGTCGATTCCGATCAAGTTGGAATATGAATTCAACACACATGCTGATAAAGCCAATGTTTATGTTGAGAAAATTCTAGCCATGATGTACAAGTCCAAGAACATGTCTATCATTGCAGATGAGTTTATTAGAAAATTCAGAATGGAGGACGAAATGCATGCCATGTTGAAGAAACTCGATGGCAAGGTGAATTTGTACTCTACAATGTTCTCCAAGGGTCTTGTTGATGAGGAGGACCCAAGATTTGTTGGTACCTATTTCGGTAAATATGAAAGTCCTGTTGCTAAAATCATTGAAAGTTCCGATTTAGTTCTACATTTGGGGAAATTTGACAATGAAATGAACTGTGGGCATTTTACCTTCAACCTTGACCAAGACAAACTGGTTGAGTTCAATCCACAGTACATGCAAATCGGCAAAGAGTTTGATGAGACTGTCAATATGATGCAGATCCTTCCTTTGTTGGTTGAAAAGTTGGATGGACAAAAGATCTCCCCAGCAGTCAAGTACGAGAGACCAAAAAAGCTGTATGAATTGGATGAAGCACCAAGAGAATACTCACTTACGGAAGTTGACCTGGTCAAGTCACTGAATAAGAATATCAGACCGAATGATGTTTTGATTGTTGAGACATGCTCTTTCTTGTTCGCTGTCCCCGACATCAAATTTCGCAATGCTAAAGTGATCCTTCAAGGTTATTGGGCGTCTATAGGTTACGCGTTGCCTGCTACTCTGGGCGCCTCCCTTGCCTTGAGCGATTTCAACCTCCCCGGTAGAGTTATAACTATTGAAGGGGATGGCTCTGCGCAAATGAGCTTGCAAGAATTGTCTTCGATGCTCAGATACAACATTGATGCGACGATGCTCATATTGAACAATTCGGGCTATACCATTGAAAGAGCAATAACTGGACCTTACAGCTCTTACAATGATATCAACGCCGACTGGCAATGGGGCGACATGCTTAAGTGTTTTGGGGACCTGAAGCAAGAAAAGTCAGAAACATTCAAAGTTCAAAACCCTGCTGAACTCGACAAGTCCCTTGGTTCCGAAAACTACGCCAACGGCAAGTTTAAGTTGCTGGAGCTCATTCTTCCTATGTTTGACGTTCCTGAGAAGCTCACAAATGCCGTGTCTTCGTCCTCCTAGGTTTCGAGGTTTCTAGAATCCCCACCTTTACTATATACATACATATACCCGTATTTATAATGTTCCCCGAATAGAACTGATAAGACCGAAAAAGGAAAAAATGCAACTGGGACCAGCCGTGCGAGACATTGTTGTTCTTTGTCGGGGGGGTAGATCTGAGATTCACAACAGGCACTTTTGGTAGAATGAACACCGATGCACGGACTTCAGGTCACCAGAGGCAAATGGTAAAGCAAAAGGTTCAATTGTGGTCTGGAGATGAAGCCATTTCAAAGTGGTGAGAAAGCCTCAGCAGGAGCAGAAAGCGGTCATTTCTTATCAATCAGTCAATCCTCCAATACAAGTCGGCCAGCCGACATCGAAAACAGGGGTTCCCGAAACCTGAAAACAGAGTCATCTGGTAATAAAGAGTCAATGACACCTCCAGAAGGAGGGTTCACGGCATGGATGGTGGTCGGGGCAGCGTCCACTATCATGGCAATGTCCTTTGGGATGTGCAACTCTTACGGAATCTACCAAACTTACTACGAAGAGAAATTTCTCAACACTTCATCAAATGTACTCTCCATTATCGGGGCACTCCAGGCATGTCTAACATATTTTTTTGCGTTGCCTTCTACCGTCATTATGGGCTACTTGGGACCACAGATTGTTGTCGCAGTCGGGGGGCTTCTTTCTTGTCTTTCATTCATGTTTTTGTCAATTTCAAATTCTATTTGGCAGATTTTCATAATTCAGGGATTGATGTTTGGAATGGGATCTGGACTCATGTACATACATTCAACGGGCACCACCATGCAGTACTTTGACAAGCGAAAAGCGCTTGCGGTAGGTATAATCACAGCAGGGTCCAGTTTGGCAGGAGTATACTGGCCAATAGGGGTACGAAACATGATAGAAAGGATTGGATTTCCATGGGCGAACAGGGTGATTGGATTCATTTATATTCCAATGACGATATTCAGCGCCTGTTACATAAAGCCTAGGTTGCCCCCAACGAAAAGGAAACCCGAAGAAAACTTCTTGAGAATAGATTTCGGCGTGTTGAAAGACTGGAAATTCCAGATCCTGAATGTTGCATGGTTTTCTTTCATGCTTTCTTTGTTTCCGGGTTTATTCTTCATTGATCTTTTCTGTCTTAGAGTAGGCGCACCCCGAAGCCTTCAACTTTACAGTGTGGCCATTGTGAATGCAGCGGCACTTGTGTTCAGAATCATTCCAGGATTCCTCGCAGACAAATTTGGCAGAATCAACCTGCTCATCCCTTCTTTGCTTTTCTCTGGCATCTTCCCATTGGCCTTATGGATTCCGGCCAATAATACTGCTTTGACTGCTAGCTTCATAGTTTTGTGGGCATCTGCAACTGGTGTTCCAGTCGCGGTATTTCCTGCGGTCTTGGGACAACTGTTTCAAAATACAGGTCACTACTACTCGTACCTGACTTTTTTTTATATCGTCGGTGGAATCAGCTCATTATGTGGTCCAATCATAGCAGGTTCTTTTATTCCACGTGGGCATGTGGATACCACTGAAGGGTTTCCCAGATTGGCCATTTTTTGCGGGGTGCTTTGTCTCGCTTCTTGTGCCATCATGATAGGATTTAGATCTTTATACACACTCTCGATTAGAGAAAAAATTTAGGCTTATTTTGTAATAATTGTAACATGAAAACATTGTAACTTTCATGTAAAAAACTCAAATAAGCTTTTGCCTGAAATGGAAAGTTTATGGGCAGCGCCATTTCATGTCGCCATAAGATCAAAAAAAAATTGAAGTTTATTATTTCATAGGTTAATGCATTTGTACCACAAGGAGACATTACGAAAAATTTGGCAGATGTTAAGGTATGTTCAATCTAAGTGTCAAAGAAGGCCAAATTGTGAAAGGTTTTGTGAAAGCTGTGAAGCCTTTTGGGGTTTTCATATCTGTTCCAGGACAGTCAAAAGATGGGTTGTGTCACTCCTCGGAAGTTGATGATGGCATCAACTTGCAACGTGGAGATGATGTATTCGTGCAAGTAACTAGACTTTCAGATGATGGGAAAATGAGTTTGAGTATGAAAAGGGTGGACCAAAAAACTGGTGTACTGAAAGACGGCATTAGCGATATTTCCAGAGGAACAGGAGCTAACTCACTCGGTAACAATTTTCAAGCTGGATCCCAGACAGGTTTCAAAAGACGGAACGATATGGATGTCTGGGAACGAACCCAGATAAATTCTGCATACGGTGCTAAAAAACAGCGTATTATCAGGGAAGATGTCGATGATCCCTATGCTGAAGTTGATGAAGAAGATGACGCCAATTTAGAAGGTAACGAAGAAGAGATCGAAGTCCAACTTAATACCCATGTTCCAACTTTTTTGGAATCCTACAAAGATAAGCTTACCAAATCAACTGCTAATAATCGGAATAGAAGAGGCACTCAGAGAGGGGGGATGCCAAACAATGGTAACAATCAAATGAGAAACAACAATCAAAATAGTGCCAACGGTAACAATAACGGCAACCCCAGACCACTAAATCCTAAAACTGCCTCTCTCAACAATATTGCCAACACCGGAAGTCAGTTAATGAAAGACGCTAAAGCCAAGAAACTTGAGAAAAGATTAAATGAGGAAAAGAGGCGACGTGAAATGCATAAAAGTAAGTACGTAGATGATCCGTTGATGCATCAAAAGATCGAAAAACAGCTGAAGGAAGAAGAACTTGAGCAAATGGAAATCAATGCTGTCACAGAATGGAAAAAGCAGGCTAGAACTGAGTCTTACGGTATCAAGTCAAAGCTAAGTATGCAAGAACAAAGGGAATCTTTACCTGTATTTCAGTCAAGGGATGAGCTTTTGAAGGCTGTGAGAGATAACGATTTTATTGTTATTGTCGGTGAAACAGGTTCTGGTAAAACCACACAGATTACTCAATACCTAGCTGAGGATGGTTATATCAATGATGGGATCATTGCCTGTACTCAGCCCAGAAGAGTTGCAGCTATAAGTGTTGCCAAAAGAGTTGCTGAAGAAGTGAACTGTAAAGTAGGAGAAGAAGTTGGTTATACAATTAGATTCGAGGATTATACCGGGCCAAGTACCAAGATAAAATACATGACTGACGGTATGTTGGAAAGAGAAGCCTTGGTTGACCCTTTAATGTCAAAGTATTCTGTCATCATGTTAGATGAAGCGCATGAAAGAACGGTCGCTACAGATATCTTATTTGCCTTACTCAGGGATGTTGTCAAGAAAAGAAAAGGTACCTTGAAACTAATTGTAACGTCGGCCACGTTGGATTCTATAAAATTCTCTCAATACTTCAACGATTGTCCTGTCTTCCATATCAAAGGTCGTACTTTTCCTGTCAAAATTTACTATACCAAGACTCCAGAATTAGATTACATTGAAGCCACAATTGATACAATAATTGATATTCATACAAATAACGCTCAAGGTGATATTTTAGTTTTTCTTACTGGTCGTGAAGAAATTGAGACATGTTGTGAAGCAATTGTCCAAAAAATGAGTGTGCTGTATAAATCGGACCCGTCAATGTCGGAACTTGTTGTTCTACCCATTTACTCGGCGATGCCTTCCGAGATCCAAAGTAGGATTTTTGAACCTACGCCCAAAGGTAAAAGAAAAGTTGTCATTGCAACGAATATTGCTGAAACCTCCATCACGATCGATGGTATTCTCTACGTTGTCGATCCGGGGTTTGTGAAAGTGAATGCTTATGATCCAAAACGTAGTATGGACACTCTTGTGGTTCAGCCAATTTCAAGAGCCCAGGCAGATCAGAGATCTGGTAGAGCTGGTAGAACTGGCCCTGGTATATGCTACAGACTTTACACGAAAAATGCTTATTTGAAGGAAATGCCTGCAAACACAACTCCTGAAATTTTGAGAAAGAATTTGTCACATACAATTTTGATGTTGAAAGCTATGGGGATTGAAAATGTTATGGAATTCGGATTTATGGATAGACCTAAAGAGGAATCGATGCTTAAGGCTTTAGAAGAGTTGTATATTTTAGAAGCATTAGATGAGGATGGGAAACTGACTGAGACTGGTCGATATATGGCATATTTCGCTGTTGAGCCGATGCTTTCAAAAACTTTGATCAAGTCATTTGAATTTGGGTGTAGCTATGAAGTGATCGAAGTGATTTCCATGTTGACTGTTCCTGATGTCTTTTACAGGCCAAGAGAAAAGAGAGAGTTAGCCGATAAAATGAAGCGAAGATTTGATAACTACAGCGGTGACCATCTAACATTGTTGAACGTGTACCGTAAATGGGAAGCAAGTGGGTTTTCCAAGGATTGGTGCACAGATAACTTCATTCATGAAAAATCTATGAAAAAAGCACGGGATGTGAAAAACCAACTAATTAGGTTGATGGAAGTGGTTGATAAGAAAGAGAGTGGAATTCAGCTTTCTTTGGTCAGTTGTAAAAATAAATTGGAGCAAGTTCAGAAAGCCTTTGTTTCAGGGTTTTTCAAGAACTGTGCTAAAAGATCATCAAATCATGGACACACCGATGAGGATGGAGTTTTCCGAACTCTAGCAGACAATTTGGCCGTTTACATACACCCGAGCTCATCTTTGTTTAAGATCCCAGGGGTTGACTACGTCATTTACCACACATTAGTATTGACCAACAAAGAGTATATGCACTGTGCCACCAAGATAGATCCTGCTTGGCTAGTGCAATACGCATCTAAGGTATTCAGGAAAGCCAACGAGGGAGAATTGAGTATTCACAAAAAGAGAGAACGCATCCAGCCGTTGTACGACCGATTTGATCAGAACGAACGCTGGCGTTTGAGTAGGGGTCGTAGATAGAATCTTCTGTACCAGTTATCGAATGTAAACATTTTTGTACATTATTATTAGAAAAGATATACACAACAAATATGATCATCTATGTTTGCAGAGTTGCGTCTTCAAGTTTCTTCAGACTGTGAATTATATTAGAGTCCTTCCTGGCGTATCTAACGTGAAGAGGTTGGTCAAAGAAGTCAAAACCCTCTAACTTGGCCAAACATTCATTGGCATCATCGGGCGACGTCACCACTATCCAGCCTTGCCCACGGAAATTTTTGCGGGGATAGTTTATCTCAAGAACGTCTGCAAAAGACGTAAACAGTACATACAAATTCTCCTTCATCCGATGTGGCTTGATCTTGGTGTTTAGGTTTGATAAGTAAAGTGTGTGAGAAGCTTCGGTGTGCTGACGTTTTGCATTTTCCTTCGACTTTGTGGCCTTCCCCGGTTTCCCGGTGCCTGGATATGCTCTTTTCCTCGGAGGCATTATTTCGTGGAGTATTGTGCTTGCTCTTTTGTGCCCTTTGGGAGAACTTGTCCAGAAAGAGTCCAACAAAAGCATGAATCATTAAGAAGATGATGGGACAAATCTGCGACGCAGGAAAAAGTTGCGTCGCTCCAACCTATCACCTCTTTCACGTCCGCCATGCGTTCTGTATATCGGTGATACTGGTGTCAGGCCAAATACTCTTTGCAAAAGGGAAGTAGCAGACTCTAAGTCACTTCCCTGAGTAATCCCAGCATAACGTGATGCTTGACTTTCAATATTGTAGTGGTCAGCGGACAGTGCCGCAATGACAGACCGTGTTAAGCTAAATTGAAGGTGAATGATTGAATTAGTTGACCCGGTTATTAGAGGAAAGCGTCGGTATTGAGGTAGCTCTCGGGTAGAACTGTACATATGGTTTACTTAAAGTTATCTAATACGCAGTTTTTACGTCCTCAACCGTTACTCACCAATATCTTCATTCCAGATCTCAGGGTGTTCTTTGATGAACTTATCCATCAAATCTTTGCATCTGTTATCCTTGACATTGATTAGCTCAACGTCATGCTTGGCAAGCCAGTCTTCACCACCCATGTACGTCTCGTTTTCCCCTATAACAACCCTAGGAATCTTGAAAAGTAAAGCAGAGCCGGTGCACATTGTGCATGGACTCAAGGTCGAGTAGAGGGTGCACTTTTTGGTGAGGCTGGCAGGAAGTCTTCCCGAGTTTTCAAAGCAGGAGATTTCTGCATGCAAAGTCATCGAGTCCTTCTGGACACGCATATTGTGTCCACGTCCAACGACCCGGCCGTCTTCGTGGATCAGGCATGCGCCGATTGGAATTCCTCCCTGCTTGTAACCTTCGAGGGCTTCTTCGTATGCAATCTGCATACCTTTTTTATCGTCAAAAGGCATCTTGTGTGTCTGATATGGCGGTTGTTCTGTTCAGGAAACTCTTCTATGTCGTATCTTCTACTGTGTTCTTCCCGTAGAGGACAAAATTTTCAATATCACTGCAGAAACAAACTGGCCGATGCCGCGGATAAGAAAATACACGATGAAATGATCATGATCATCACAATGATCATCACAATGAGAGGATCAGTCGCTTTATAAGGAAGCTAGTCATTAGCATATGTAGTTTGGAACATAGTTCTCTACGAAGATATACACGAAATTCCCGCAGAGCAGGTAGGAGAGGAGAAGATGGTTGAAGCAAAGCCTGTTTGCTCCGGATGCCACGTTACTCTGGGGAAAAAGCTATCACAGTTCCATATTCAACCAATCCCAGTTGTTGTGCACTCCATCACTACCAGTAGTATTGAAGTTGCTGGACAGAGTAAAGTCTAGGTTCACTTCAGTGTTGCCGTCGGTCAGGCCCGGACCTGCAGTGTGGTTGGTAGCAGCATGGGAAGCCACGCTGGGAGCAGATGTGGCAGCATCTTGACCCAGCACGTGGTGGTCGCCTAGCAGCATGTCGACGTCGAAAGTATCGTTTAGGAAAGATTCGGCATTAGGTTTGGTGTTGGCATCCAGCACGGGTTCTGCTGAGGCGTCGCTTGCGATTCCCCCATTGGTATTTTTCCCTCTTTTCTTCTTTGCTTTAGCTGCAGAGCTTGAGGTAGGGATCGCATTTAAATCTATGCCGCCTTTCTTCTTTATTGATTCTGTGTCAGACTTTTCATCGACATCGTTGTCAAAATCGTTGTCTTTGTCATTCTCATTGTCGTTGTCATCGTTGTCATTGTCGTTGTCATTGTCGTTGTCATTCTCTTTATCTCTGTCCTCATTATCGTTATCGTTTTCTTCGGCATCGTCCTCATTCGGTGTATCCTTAGAGTTCCCCTTCCCTCTTACTATCGGGGTAGGGTTCAAATCATCACCGTCACTTTTCCCAACACCGCTGCCGCTGCCGGTTCCTGTTCCTCTGCGTTTCTTGGTCACACCAGAGCCTCTCTGTCGTTTCTTTATCACGTCAGTTTTCAAACTCAGCGGGCGGACCACACCGTGTAGTTTCAAGAACAACCCGCACGCATTACACAGCGGCTGACCCTCTGGGTTTCTTCTCCAAAGAGGAGTAGTCTTAGTATGGCAATTTGTGCACGAAATTTCTCCCTCTAAGCCATTTGGAGTTGACGCTGCCGCCGAGGTTGTGGAAGCGGGGGTGTTGTTGTTAGAGGATAGGCTTGCTTTTTGAGGAGGAGTGGAAGCAAAAGGCATTGTTTGAGACGTGGGTGTCGAAAGAGCAGAATCGGTTTTTTTCTTCCTCGAGGTACTTTTCCTTTTGGCTACGTTGGAAGTTGTCACCTTTTTTGCCGTCTTACTAGACGGTGTGGAGGCCGAGGAGATTTTGGAAAAGCCTGGTCTTGCGTTGGATTTTGTGTTCGAATTCAAATTTGAGTTTTCATCCAAGGAGTCAATTCTTGTGAGCAGAGGCATATGATCGGTAGCTCGACCAATGTTGAGGATGTCGGAGGTGTCCAAATTTCCGAGGGTGTCGATCATGTTGAGGTCTCCGTCCAAGTCGAAGTTGAGGTGATGGTTGTTGTTGTGTTCAATCGATAGAGAGCGCTCTTCTTGATTTCCAAAGCCAAAAGGATTCATTCGGATGGAGTTTTGTCTTTTCAAAGGGGACTCAGAGGGGCTGTCAAAAAAGTCGATGTTGTTCATGTTGGCAAGATGTCGGTTGTCCTTGGGATGGTTCGGGAAAGTCCCACCTGCAGCTGCGACGGCAGCAGAGATGGTGGCAGCAGACACGGGTGCCGAGGCGTCAGATGCCATGTTTGTCATTGACCTTGAAAGTTCCGAGAAATGTGTATTTGGCGGGAGTGAGAAAGAGGATGAGAGGGAGAGGGAGCCCATTGTGTCTTGATACGTCGGTACGCTGCCGATTCCAAGGCCGTGGGGTCCCATGGGTGAGACTGTTTGTGCGGAAGATGACAGGAGCATGTCCTGTGAAACTGGGGTCTCCATGTCTTGGCCGTCGTAGTTGGAGAAGTCGAACGCCAGCTTCGAGTTTGCGCTGAGAGCGGTGACGGGGTAGACAGAGGAGGCCGAAGGCGCCGACGACGGCGGCACGCCGGAGTAGGACTGGGAGGATTGGAGAGGTGGTGGGTAGTCCGAGCTGGAATGCTTTGCCATGGTCTCCCGCGGGGACTGGACCCTGTGCTGGTGCAAAAAGGACTGGGAGAGCTTTGACGGCTGTGGCCTGTGGATGGCGGAGATCTCCTTTCTGGAGAACTTGGCTGAGGAGACCGATCCGGCTCGCCTTGAGGTGCTATTGTTGTTGATGACGATGTTGGTGCTGGGGGTGGCGACGCTCTGCGGCTGCTTGTGATCGGAGAGGTACGAATCGTCGTTGGAGAGGGACTTGATGTGGTCGAGGTAGTTGAACTCTGGGTTTTTCGACGGTATCTGGTGCTGCTGCTGCTGCTGCTGCTGATGTTGCTGATGTTGCTGCTGCTGCGGGTGGAAGCCTTGGTTCGGAGAATGATCTGCAGCAGGACCGGCGCCTGGCGGGGCCGGGCCTGCGTCGTCGAGGAACTTCAGGTCGGGGAACTGGGGCCACATGTAGAGGCCGTCGATGTCTGCCGGGTCCAGGCGCAGGTCGGCGGCACCGCTGCTGCTGTTCTCGTGGTGCTGCTGCAGGTGTGCTTCCTGCGGGTCCTGGGTGTGCTGTGGCGGTGCCGGGTAGAGGTCGTGCTGCGGACGCACGTCCACGTCGCCGCCGACAACCCGTCTCTCCTTCTCGAGGTTGATGAACATCAACCGCCACGTCAGGTTCTCCATCCTCGAGCGGTACGGCAAGCCCGCCTTCGCCTTGGAGTACATTCTCCAAAGCGACGTGGCCGACCCGTCGCCCATCTGGTCTAGTGCGGTGTTCATTGCCGGGGTGCGTTGCTGCGGTGGCTGCGGATCCTTCTTACACTGTGCTTCGGTGCAGGCAGCAGGCGTGCACACACACAGACAGTCTCTTGTAGTGTGGCAGCCACAAGCCTAGTGTGCACCAGGCCTCACCGTGCACGACCACCGTCGGTCCTACCAAGATCCAACCTCTCGCAGTTACTGTATATCTCGACATAGTGCGTGGCCCGCAGCCCTATTGTCTCCGGCTGTGTGATGTGTAATGTCCCCGGCGCCGCTGCGCTATCGTCTTGTCCTCGGCCCCTATCCTCCTCGAGGACGCCAACCGCCACCGCCCGCCTCGCTGATTGGCCCGATAAGATCTGCGCACCCGGCACGCGGCGGCGCCCGGCGGCTACCTACAGCCGGGGGCAGGCGACACCGCGGGCGGGGCCGCTGCTGCGACGAAGACGCTGTCGCGGCGCGACAAGCAGCCGGTCGTGGCACGCGCTGAGCACCGCCACGCCGATGGCGCAGTTGACGCCGGCCAGCGTCTCGCCCGAGGCGACGTGGCGCACGTTGTGGGCCATGAGTGCGACGAGCTCGCCGGCGGCGTTGAGAACGGCGCCGCCGCTGCAGCCCGCCCAGCAGGGGCTGCTGCAGATGACGGTCGCGCCGGCAAGCTTGGACACGCGGCCGGCGCTCTGCAGCGGGGCGCCGGGGGCGAGAAAGAGCCCGTGGCCGACGGAGACGGTGCGGTCGCCCACGCGGAGGCCGGGGCGGACGGTGCCGGCGGGGGGCGCGCGGCGCCGGGCAAGGGCGGCGAGCGGGCCGCCGCCGAGCACGTCGATGGCGTCGACGGCGGAGCAGAAGGCGGGGTCGGTGGTGCGCACAAAGCACACGTCGTGCTGGGCGTCGTCCGTGGCCAGCGACATGTGCACGTCGGTGCCCAGCTGCGGGGCCGCAATCAGCGCCGTCGCCGTCGCCGGCGTGCCGCCGGCAGGCGTGTACACGATCTCGACGGTCGCCGGCAGCTCGTTGCGTGCACAGCTGCCCGTCACAACGTGCTTGTTCGTCACCACCGTCCCGCGCTCGACAACGACCCCGCTGCCCCACGAAAGCACCCCGTGGCGGTCCGTGACGCGCAGCGCAACCACCTTCTGCGCGGCCCGCGAGACCCCGGTGCGGGCGGCCGCGGCCGCCGTGGGACGAGCGCCGGCAAAAAGCCCCAGCCGGCCGAAAAGCGCGCCCCAGCCCAGCACGACCATCAACTCGCCGGCCTTCCAGCGCACGCGGCCCCACACGAGGCCGATGCTCCTGTTCTCGCTCTCGCCGGCCAAACCGTCGCCGCCTTCAAGCACCACCACCCCGCCGTTCATGTTCTCCATGAACTTGCAGTCGCTGAGCCAGAACTCGCCCCCCGGGCTCGCGTAGTTCACGTGCCCGTGGCTCGTGTACCCGCCAAACACCTCCACCGTCGTCAGCGCAAACGGCGAGCTCTCGATCCGCACCGCCCGTGGCAGCGCCCGCGAACGCGTCCCGCCGGCCACCGCAAAAGGCCGCAGCCCGTTGCGCACCGGTACCGTGCAGAACGCCGGCAGCCGGCACACAAGGGCGTACCGCCGGCGCGGGCCCTCGGGCTCGCCCCGGCTCGCCGCAAAAAAGGCCTCCAGCTCCGGCCCGTCCACCGCCCGCACACGGAGCCCCTCCACGGGGACGTTGATCCACTTCACTTGGTCGCCGTTGATCAGCTCCGCACACGTGTAGCGCACCGTCACCCGCCGCAGGTCCGGCTTCGCCAGCACAACGCTGACAAGGTAGCTCTCCTCGCCATCGAAAACACACGCTCCCGACGCCGCCTCCCGCCTCGTCTCCTCGCCGTCGGCGCTCGTCTCCCGCAACAGCAGCGTCACAGGCGTGTACTTCCGTTCAGGAACACTTGTCTCTAGGTCGGACATGGTCTTCTATTGTGTGTTGTGTGGTCTGCGATTTCACAGCAGCGTAATAGCCCCGGTGCTGTGCCCCTGGCAGCACACACTCCGAGAATCATACGACTTTCAGCTCCCCCCTCTACGTCTGGCACCACCCCGTGCGCACCCTGAAAAATAATATTCCACGAAAACAGCATCTTTTTTCCCCGGAGAGTTAACCGCTCCAACGGCCGGCGCTTATCGGTGGAGGGGAAGGGTGTCCACCTACCTTCTGCCATTCACGTATCTACCCACGTAGAGATCTGCGGGCAGTACAGATTGCACTTTGATGCCCATATGTACTGCTGCATGTAGTGCGCTAGAGTGCATTAGAGCTAAGTGGCCTGGAAGATGCCCCTCTCATGAAAGTGCACCGCGGTTATACCTGCCTCTTTGGGAAAGAACCCCGATTCAGTCTCTATCTATATACACATGAATCTACAACGCTCTACAGTCTTTCCTCCTCTAAGCGCTTTCTTAGCTCGTTCTTGAACTCCAGAAAAGCAGCCTCTTCCGTGTGAGTCTTGCCGGTGCGTGTCATTGCAAGATCAGTGTCGGCCTCCGCCTCGACCTCTCCAACGTCCTTATTGCCCGTCCTCGAGATAGCCTTGGCACCCCGGTCCAGGCAAAGCCGTTCCAAAGTCTTGCGGAACTCGGTATCGCTGCTCCGTTCGTCGGCCTGCACAATCTCACACCGGTCTGGCTTCACCTCGTCGGTCGTCTTCACAACAGAGAAGAGCTTGAGGTCGATGCCGCTACTGCGTCTGTTCCTGCGGTTCTTCTCGGCAGCACCGTCGAAATCGTCAAGTAGGATCTCGCTCATGCGCAATCTTTTCAGATCCTTGTCCTTTGTGGTTGTATTTTCATTTCTCCTAGAGGCCTTGCCAGAAGTAACCTCGTTATAGCACCTGACCAGCTCGTCAATGTCGCTCTTCAGTGTAAATATTCCCTCCTTGCTATCCATGCCAAGCTCAATCAGGTCGAGCTTGTAACCAACTTTTCCAACCATCGAACTGAGTTCTCGTATTCTTTCATCCTCGTTCCGCTCACGCAAAACACCTAACCCATAGATGTTGTCGGAACGGCTGTTCTCATTGAATTCCTCGCTCAGTTCACCTGGCTCATTGCTGTCAACGAGCTGTACTTCTTCTGCAACTATCTCCTCCTTCATGAGGTCAACGAATGTCGTGAATTCCTCAACGCAGGTGCACATCCCCAATAGCCTCGTAGCTAGTGTTGGACTTCCAACATTCCAATTGACACTCTCAAACCCAAAATTCGACCAGAAATTCTTCATGAATATGGTAGCCTTGACATTGTCCTTCTCCTCGTTCTCCTCAACCTCCATCAAACTCAATATTATACAGAGTGACATTTTTCGTACATACTGTAAGACTCGTACCAAACGTTCAGGTTCATTGGACCAAGTGCAAGAACAGCTTTCCGGATTCTGAATGATATTACGCACTATCCTGATTTCATCAAAATCGCCATCTAATCCATAGACGGCAATATATTTCCAAAGACTCCCCACATTGGAGATGTATGTGATCATTTTTCCTATTCTTTTCACAAAGACAGAGATTAGCAGGTGGATTGCACTAGATATCAGGGTCAGTTTGGCTCTCTTAGAACTGTTATTGTTACCACCTATCGTGAGGTTATATCTTTTGGCTTGATTTTTAGCACTAACCGAAGTAGAAAGAAATCGCTCTAGTTGTAACAAAGAATAGGTCAACTTTTGCGTTCGATATATGAGCATTTTCGAATATAGTTTCAAACCTTCGTTGGAATTGTTCGCCATATTTATAATCGAAACTGCCAATGTGAGCAAGGACAGTATTGTCCTTTTCTCTAAGAGATGAAGCTTTTTTCTTAGAAAGGAAAGTATTGAAAACGACATCAGCTGAGGTCTGATTGAATGTAGTAAAATAAGATAAGGAGTGTCGGACAGCCTTATGGAGACAGTCTCTTCTCCTCCATCCAATGATTCATAAACGTGTCTTCCAATGTGCTCACTGGTTGTTCTGTTCGGTCCACTTGCGGTCCGGTAGTATATAGACTCATTTGGTGGCGACAAGTGGTCTGTGATAATGTCAAATTTAAATTCTTCAAAAGCCCTTTGAATCTCATTCTTCAAGTCGACTTGCGATTGTTTTAGAATGAAGATATAGCTATCGGTGATATCTTCGATGGACAGATTTCTTCTCGTATGCCCATCGAGGATCTTTGTGGTATTATCATAGTCCTGTTCCAATTCAAAATTCATGCTGTCAATATAACCTTTAGCATACGCAGAGAAATCAGCGTCATTCAATGTATGCTGTGAGGTTGTTTCTTCATTGGAGTAATGTATCACGGTGTTATCCGTCTCTTGTCCTTCGTCTTCGCAGTCACTCTGAGAGGCACATTTTGCACTTCTCTCGAACTTGTAGCTATGCAAAGTCCCGTCTGAGGCCAGGTGTGGAGTCGTAGACGCAGAGGTCAATGCAGAGTTTGCAGTGGACGTAAAAGCGGACGTCGAAGAGGTAACCAGATCAGAAAAAGACGGTGCTGGCATCGACATCGTATTTTGGAGCACCTGTGAGGTCGTGGGTATCGCCGGCATGCGTGCTTCTCCTGTGGATCCAGCCATTGCAGAGAGAACGTTTGTAAGCGGTATCTATGGACCGGATGTATACGTGTTAGGCGATCGTGTTGCGGAAGGTAAGACAGGGAATCAGCTTTTTTTGATCTGACCTGTAGTTATTCAGAGATCTCCTGCATACAATTTATTGTTTACCTTTTCACGCCATGTCTCTAAATCAAAAAGGACAAAAAATTCTCATAAGCGAAAAACGGCTGCACTACAGTCTTACTGGGTGGGGCTTGCAAGAGAGAAAGGAGAGAAAAAGTGGCCAGTGAAACAAAGGGGGAGACGACGTAGTCATTAAAACAGCTACTGTTGAAGTTGGAGTTCGAAAAGAAAGAATAGCCATGAGTATGATAAGATAAAAAGATTGGACAAGATTTTACAATAAAAAATTAAAAGATATTCCGATACCGGGAGTCGAACCCGGATCTGCCCGGTGAAAGCGGACCGTGATAGCCGTTACACTATATCGGAAATAGTTAGAAATTGTATACCCAATAGAGTTGTGAGATTACAGAGTAGCCAGTTTAGAGCCACAAACGTGAGCTCCATCTTCAAATTGCAAAAAGGATGGTTCCAGAAAAATTTAAAAATACGTCTTTAGTGTGAAAGCTCTATTTTTGTTTAGGTGAGCGGTTTGCATGCTAATCAACATTACAGATGATTGTTGAGATAAGATGCCAAAGCCAATAAGGATCGAGAGATAAGAGATGAGAATCTTATCATGATAAGGCATCAAGTAATCTAACACTGGAAGGATTAGCCGACGTCATGAGTGTATAAATAGGAGAGATTTTGTCTCCTATCTGTGTTTAGAATTATTAGTTATTAAGAGTTGTATAAGTTGTGTGTAAATAAGCAACAAGAATAATATGGATATTCAGAACAGAATAGCTAGACTTCAACAACTTCAACACTAGACTTCAACAGTGTCCCTTGTATTTATGATTGAGAGTATTAGCTTGTAGGTTAGTTATATTAGTTATATATATGTAAGCAACAAACATAGTGTTAAAAGGTACTACTAACATTGGATACGCAATCTAGAGTAAACAGATTACAACAAATATTTAATACGATTCATCCAAAGCCTGTTTTGGAGAGGTGTGTTTTAATCGATCAATACTCTTATAAATCTCCGTGCCAATAGCTCAGCTATGTTATTCTGTGAATTCTCATTTCGTTCACAGGGATCTTCTTGATAAATAATTACCTGAACACCATTTTCTATCACATCTGCCATTATAGTGATTACGTCAGCATTCTTCTTCTTGTGCCAAAAATGTTACTTTCTCACCCTTTCTGGACAGAAACACCGTACGGTCTAAAACCCATAAAAGGGTTAATGGTCTAGTGGTATGATTCCTGCTTTGGGAGCAGGAGGCCCTGGGTTCAATTCCCAGTTGACCCCTTTATTTTTTTGTCTCTCCAACGCGATTTTTTGTTTTTCTCCTATTCATTTTTGTCCCGCAGTGACGGGAAAAAAATAATACGTGTCTTTTTTCCCTCTGTTTTCGTTTGGTGTCTCGCTGCCCAGCGTCGCTAACGGGTTTCCCTGCCAGACGTGTTGGTGATTGTCTGATGCTGCGTTCTTCACGAGGACATAATAGCATTGTTTTGTCAGCCGAAAGTTTCTGTTCCGACCTGACCTGAAGTGCTGTTTTCCGTCTGCGTCCGCCTTCGTCTCTTTCTTTCCCCTTTCCTTTCCCTAACAATTGCCTAGGTTCTCCGCAATGTCTGCTGCAGAAAGGGAGAAACTTATCGACGTGTCTGACGATGACGACGCAAAGTACAACATCACAGAAGACCAAATGAAGGAAAAGCTCCAAGAGCTAGCCAGAAAGGATCCTAAGCACGCCATGGTGGAGATGCCCGAGGAAATATCTCCTTCTAGAACCTATAGTGACATACTGAAACTTGAGAACTACATTGCTCCCGTGCTCTTCACCATTCTCTCGTTCTTCGTCCGGATGTACAAGATTGGAGCCAACAACCACGTCGTCTGGGATGAGGCGCATTTTGGAAAGTTTGGTTCATACTACTTGAGACACTCGTTCTACCACGACGTCCATCCTCCTCTTGGAAAGATGTTGGTTGGTTTCTCGGGGTACTTGGCTGGATACAATGGTTCCTGGGACTTCCCTTCGGGCCAGGAGTACCCTGAGTATATTGACTTCGTTAAAATGAGAATGTTCAATGCCACCTTCGGCGCGTTAATGGTTCCAATCGCCTACTTTACCATGAAGCAGATTGGCTATAACCGGAAAGTCACTTGGCTTTTCACCCTGATGGTTTGTCTGGAAACAACATACACCACCTTGGCCAGATTTATCTTATTGGACTCGATGCTTCTCTTCTTCACATGTACCACCGTTCTTTGTTTCTACAGATTTCATTCACACAACAGGATCCCAGAAAAAGTTTTCACTAAAAAATGGTTTAAATGGCTTATCTTGACTGGTGTCAGTATCGGTTGTGTTGACTCGGTCAAGATGGTCGGTTTATTTGTCACATCCTTGGTTGGTATCTACACTATTGTTGACTTGTGGAATCTCTTCGGGGAAGTAGGTAGAAAGAAATGTACAAAGGCAAAATACGTTTTCCACTGGATTACGAGGTTTGCCTGCCTTTGTGTCATTCCTTTCATTGTTTTCGCCATCTGTTTCAAGCTTCATTTTGATCTGCTATCTGGCACCGGTCCGGGTGATGCAACTATGTCTTCCCTTTTCCAAGCAAACTTGAATGGCACAACTTTGACCTCCGGTCCAAGAGATGTCATGACCTTGGACTCCAGCGTTACAATCAAGTCTCAATCTTTGAGTGGTGGATTGTTGCACTCCCATATTCAAACCTACCCTGAGGGCTCCACCCAACAACAGGTCACCACTTACTCCCACAAGGATGCAAACAACGACTGGGTATTTCAATTGACCAGAGACGACCCAAGAACTGAGTTCAAAGAACCTCACTACGTTGTCGACGGCATGAGAATCAGATTGGTTCACAAGGGTACTGGCAGAAACCTTCATTCTCATGAAATCGCAGCTCCAGTCACAAAGGGAGTCTGGGAAGTTTCATCTTATGGTGATGACGTTAACGGTGATGCCAAGGACAATTGGATCGTTGAAATTGCCGATCATTATGGTGCCGAAGACTCCTCTGTCTTACATCCTCTGACTTCCTCATTCAGATTAAGAAACGAAGTTTTGGGCTGTTACTTAGGTGTCACTGACTCACAGTTGCCTGCTTGGGGTTTCAGACAGGGAGAAGTTGTTTGCTGGCCAAATCCTTTCAGAAGAGATAAAAGAACCTGGTGGAACATTGAAGACCACACCAACGAGAACTTACCAAACCCTCCTGAGGATTTTAAATTACCAAAAACTTCTTTTTACAAAGATTTTGTCCAATTGAACATCGCAATGATGGCAACAAACAACGCCCTTGTCCCAGATTATGAAAAGCAAGATGATCTTGCCTCCAACTGGTGGCAATGGCCTACTTTGAACGTCGGTATCAGACTCTGCGGTTGGAACGACGAAAACTACAAGTACTTCCTCATAGGTTCTCCTGCAACGACATGGACATCAACTCTCTCCATTTTTGGATTCATTGGTATCATCTTGGCTTATTTGTTGAGATGGCAGAGACAAATCGACGACTTCAACTTGAAAGGTACCACCTCTCTCTCCGAAGCTCTTGTTGATACAAATAGTACTCTTTACAAACTAGTCTACGGTGGTATCTATCCATTCTTGGGTTGGTTCCTCCACTTCTTGCCATTCATTGTTATGGGACGTGTGAAGTACGTCCACCATTACATGCCTGCCCTTTATTTTGCCATGATGGTCATGTGTTACGTCGTCGACTTCATCGACCTCAAGGTCAACAAAACCTCTTTCACAATTGTTTGGTACGGTTTCTTGTATTCTTTGGTCATTGCGTTCTTTGTTTACCTATGCCCATTCTCTTTCGGTATGTGGGGTCCAAGCCAAGACTGGGCCTACTTGAAGGTCTTGAACTCTTGGAGAATCACCGACTAAACTTACCTCACATAGCCCGCAAGCTTCCCTTGTCAGCGATTAAAAAAATACAATAATAATTTACCCGAGCTATATACACAGATGTATGCTTCCACCACTATATATACTATATATACATATATATCACTGAATAGATAAAATCCACCTACTTGGATCAGTAAAAATTATAGCTCGGACTGTGTTCATTTTATTATGGATAGTAGGTACTTATATTTGGTAAAAAGGAAAAAAGCGTACAATGCGAGACACCCCCCAAAAAAAAACTGACTATCAGATGTCATGATCCTTTCCCATCGGAGTGCCTGGCCACAACAATGCTACTTCTATCTCCGCAACTACACAGCAGACATCTTAAGGTGCTTTATTATTAAGGCAGAACAAGTGTTCTCGATATACTGCAAGTATGAACACACAGAATTACATGGAAGGGTCTTTGCGCCCTTATGTTTCTAGGTCCGATTTCGATCTGCACTACCCAATCGCCTACCAGCCGGGCATAGGAATAATTAACTCTTCGACTTCCCAGAGTCTCTCGCAATCACTACCTTTGGTCCAGATGCAACGAGGGGGCTCTTCGAGTACTGTGGGAGCTACCGGTTTTGCTGATTCCAGAGTAGGGATCCACGGATTCGGCTCTAGAGTAAAAGCTCCTGCAAATGCACCCATTCTATCTAAAGAACTATACGGTAAATCAGTCAGTGACTTGGAGTGGAACGAATTTTTTGACATATCGAACTTGAAATCTGTTTTGTTAACATTGACAAAGCGTTTTATTCGTGGTTGGTTCAAGTGTCTCATTAGCCAACCATTTGACGTTGTGCGTATTTTGCTGCAAGTGGGATCATTCAGAAAAAACGATTACCCTACGATAAAGCCAATAAGGCAAATCAATAAAATCATAACTGAAGAGGCTGTCGATGATACTGAACCACTTTCTTCTGAATCGGATAGTGATGTGGAGGGCCGGGATGCCTACTTTGTAAACGAAAGTCCCAGTAAGCTACGTGATAGCAGGATCGAACGCCTTCCAAGCAGGAGGGCTAGTGGTAACTCGAAGCAGGTTAGACTAGAAAATGAACGCTCCAAGAGGGTAAATGTTGTGATCGAACCAGAGTCACTAAATACATTTGACATGATAAGCTCTCTATTGGCCAAAGAGGGTCCAAGGGGTATCTTGAAGGCTGTGAATACTACATTTTTGATGAACACCGTACAATACACAATCGAGTCATGGATCACGGGGTTTATCTCAGGAATAGTTGGTATTCCTGACCCACTATTTGTGGATATGATTCATTCACCGAATGCAAACTGGAGTTTGATCTTAAGTATTTTCAGCAATGTTTTTGCAAGCCTCCTATTGACCCAACTAAGTCTAATACGCACAAGATTTATCGTTACAACTAGTTCAAGAGGGTGCCGTTCGTTCAAGGAAATAATATGGAACATTCCAAGGTTCCATATTTTTAATGTTCCTAAAAGCTTGCTAATACCTTCAATTGTTACCCACTTCATAAAATCGTTCACCACACATTACCCTGAATATTTGTTGACAACAATGAAGATAAACAAATATAATAACCCATACGTATTCAATATGTTCTCAGTAATTCTGAAAATAATTGGTCTGTTCATGAGATTGCCTTTTGAAACCTTGTTTGCCAGAGCTCAAGTTAACTATCTTCTTACAAACAAAGACGAACTTCCGGAAGCCATGCGTATCGACAAGGAGGACATGTGTATTGAATTTGGCGGTTATTATGGCTATCTGTCGACATTATACTACATAATTGCTGGATCAAGGCCACTGACATATGAAGGACAATCCCTAGAGGTCGATGTAGACGATCTAGAGGAAAACAGAGGTATCAAGGCTATATTTAGAGGTTGGAAAGTAGGGTTGCTCAGATTAGTATCCAGCTATACTTTGAATCTTCTACGTGATGATAGATACAACATTGTCGAAGAAAAATTTTAGTTGTTGACATTGTTTTAATCTTTCTAATTCTCATTAGTATATGTATATATAATTTGAGCCTACTTTTTGGGGCTATTGTATTACTTCGACTTAATGGACAAATGTTATATTTTTTCGGAGGCTGAAAGGACTATTTACAGAGCCGTTCAGTAGTAGTTTCATTTCGTTAAATGATTCCGCTGCGCTAAAATTACAGACAGATCTAAATTTACATATGGGGGATATTGTTTATTTCTCTGCCAGCTGTTTGATAATGTCAGCAAACTGCAACGCTACTTTTCTTTTCAGCACTTCTTTGCTTGGCTCTTGCCCATCAAAATTAAATTTACCCTTTTCCCATAGTTCTACGATTTCATCTAATCCCTTGACTATATATTCAGTTAGGCCCTTGTTCAGAAACTTTCGCAAATCAGAACCATCAATTATATCCTCAACACTTCTTCCAGACTGACGGACGAGGTCTGCTTTCGATGGTTGTGTAGGTATTGTGTGCTTAGATTCTAAAGTATGCTTTACAACTTCTATTGTAGTACCAGCTGCTGTTGTAGTTTGAACTGTAGCTATTGGTAGCGTTTGTTGAGTAACAAAAGTCGAATTTGATCTTGACCCATCGCTTCCCTTTGGAGTTTCTATATTCGTTGGAAGTTTTTCTTGTTTGAGCTCACTTTCTGTGACTGAATTGGCTGGCACTGGTAGCATCGTATTCGATGTAGCCTCTGGTCCCTCACTTTTTACCTTTTGACGTTTCAACGGTGGTTCCTCGTGATCTAAATCATTGAGATCATTGTTATTGATAGAGGCTCCAGTGTGATCATGGGGAACCTCACTATCTTCGATCTTGATTTCGGCAGTTAATTGTTGCTCGCTGGCCATTGCTTGCGTTCCAATTTAAATCACTCAGTAAAATGGATGCGATGTTCAAAAAAGAACAAATAAAGATGAAAGAGTGGTGAAAAAAAGATCAACGCTATGTCATTTTGGCCGCAATCTGGCGCACTAAAAGTAAATGACGCCGGCGTCTCTTGGGGTGGCCATGTTCACCCATAGTTAATTCATGGGTAATCTACAGGATTTTATAAGAAAGAATTATTATACATAGAATGGTAAAATTACAGTCGTAGTTATACGTGATGGAGTTGAGTTATACGAGACATCTATTTTGAAGAGACAAGCTCAGTTTGAAGCGCAGTTCTGAGGAATTTCCACAAATAGGCTATCTCCTTAGTGTCTAGAAAAAGCTTGATCGCCTCCAAAAAGACTGCATCCGGTAGGGGAGGATCTGAGATTAGGATTGCCACATTCACAGGGTCAAACGTAAAGGAGGCTTCTCTAGAAAAATCTTTAGGATCAATGTTTTTAAAGACAAAAATAATCGTGTCGATTTCGTTTTCCAAATCACCTTCCACCATGGAGTCATCTACCATGTTTGAGTGTTCTATTCGAAGTCCTAAAAGCTGCTCAAATTGGTATAGCTTGTCATTCACCAAAGTGGTTTGATTCTTCATTATATCTCTCTGCTCGTTGATCTGCCTTATTTTGCTGCTTATTTGTGACTCAATCTCTTCCAACTGCTTGGAGAACTCATCCTTTTGCTTCTTTATGTTTTCCTCTTGGATCTTCATCTCCTCGAGCTTAACTGATGATTGGTCTCTATTCCTCATCTCGCTCGAAAGCTCTTCTAGCAACTGTTCTCTCATTTTCTTGTTCATTTCAATCTCTGCCTTCAACTGAACCTCGTGTGACTTCAGCTGCGAAAGCCTAGACTGGTAATCTGTTCGACGCTTCAATATGGCATCTTGCACAAAGGATATGTACGAATTCACCACTTGTTTAAGATCTTGCATCTGAGGCTTCAACGCCTGCAACGCCTCTATGTTTGCCCGCACCTGCGACTCCGCCATGTTTGCTGTGATTTACTAGATATGCACCAAAACTAGTTAGACTGGAGACTTTGACTAAGAGACAAACAGCCGGATTCAAGAGCTCGACCCATGGCGACTCACGTTAAAAATGACAACAATTGAATCAAAAGTGCGGAGGATAAGGCAGCTGACGCGATCATGTTTCACGACAGGAAAAAGATCAACAGAAAAGAAGGACAGGGATCCTTTTCCTCTCCTGCTCTCTCCGAGCTTAACGCAGTTCACAGTGGAGGCCTGGAAACCGCCACACACACCCACACAAATAAAGACAATTATATAAGTAAGAACCTTACAACCATCTAAAAAATATAACACTTCCAACAAAAAATAAAACACACTTTCTTTGCTTCATAATATTGCTACAGCTTCCTTTCTGTGTTTTGTCAGTAATTCTTCTCGTAGTCAAGTATATCAGGCAGTAACATGAGTATCTCAATCTCTCTTTTTACCAAGAGCGTAGAGCAAACTGTACTGGGAAGCTTACATGTAGGCTGGACAATGCTACGCTTGTTGTCTTTCTCTTTCCTCATTTTGTTTTACCTCGACAAGCTGGTCACCTCCAAAAAGATAAAACACTTGAAAATGGTCTACACTCCGTTTCCGATATTTAACGGACTAGAGGTGATTGTTCCCAAAATCAAGGATTGGAAAGATTCCCCATGCCTTCAGTTTTTTGAATTCTCGAAGTATTATGGCGAAGTTTACCAGATCAATTTCGGGACAAGATTAGTGGTGGTTGCGAATAGTTACGATTCTATCAAAGCTTTGTGGGGTTCCAAGAACGTCAAAGGAAATAACTCAAGGCCTTTGGGCTATAGCTTCCATAAGGTATTGTCGAAGGGGATCTACACAATCGGGACGACCCCGGCTGGAGAATCGTACAAAAACGCCAGGAAGAATATCAACGAGACAGTGCTTTGCGACAAGCGTAATAATGACTTCAACTATGTTATTATCAATCAAAGTTGTAATGCTATGATCCAGCGCATAACTTCTGCCAGCGACATGCTACCCCTTGTTTCGGACGACCTGCTCAAGGAAGCACAATATTTCCATCTAACAATTGCGCTTTGGTTAACCTATGGTTTTGAGTTCAATCCGGAAGATCCCATCCACAAGAACTTGGCAGACCAGATCATTGTCGTTGAGAACAAAATCACAAAAGTACGGTCACATGTGCAAAATTCGATAGATTATCTTCCTGGACCTCTTCGATTTGTGCTAGGCTTGTTTTCAGACCGTAACAGGGAGTTACAAGAGCTCTACAACGTTAGGGAAGGCTATTTACGAATGTTTTACGAATATGCAAAAAAGTTGCACGAAGATATCAAAAGCGGAGAGCTCCTAACAAGGCATGATGACTACGAGAAGACAATCAACAAGATAGAGGACATGAAGAAGTCGTTGATGTACAACTATTTTGAGGATACAAACACAAGGCTCACCACTGGTGAAATCACATCCGAGTGCCTAACGATGGTGAGTGCAGGCTTGGACAATACCCCGTTGAACTTCAAGTACGGTATACACCAGTTGGTAAACTACCACCCGGAGATGTGGCACACGGCTTACAGTGAACTTGTAGAGGCATATGACGGTGATGTCAAGCGGGCCTACAACGAATGCGGCTCGGACATGAGGTGTGAGTACATCAAGGCCATTGTGCAAGAGACGCTCCGCTTATTCACTGCATTGCCTATGGCGTTGCCAAGGGAGACAACGAGTAACGTCATCTACCAGAACGTCGTCATCCCAAAGGGAACGACACTCTTCATGAACTGCTGGGCAGGCAACCACGACGAGCGGAAGTTCCCGGACCCTATGACGTTCAGGCCGGAGAGGTGGTTGACGACCGTCGTCACTGAGAGCTTTCAGGAGAAAACAGTGGTTGACACAACGATGAGGCATTTTGCGTTCGGCATCGGCTGCCGTATGTGTTTGGGGAACAACTTTGCCATCCGGGAGCTCTACGTTCTCTTTTGCAAGCTGATTCTCAAATTCGAGCCCGTGCCTGCTACGGGCCTCGTCCCGACGGACAACCCGTTGGCACTCAACTCGTATCCTGAGTCCCTAGCCATCGAGCCCGTTCCCTTCAACATTGTCCTTCGGCTCAGGGAGCACGCCGGAAACGGTACCCCGGCATGACCGGACCACGGACTTTGCAGCATCTTTCAACCGTATATCGCATGTAGACAGCTCTAGCTGTGTAATACACACAATCGCCGGCCCGTTGACTGGCTGGAAAACAATGCCGCCCTTTTACTGGCAAAGTTCGTCTGCTGGTCTCCTGATGGCCAAGCCAGACAGAGAGAGATAAATAATTTGCTCGTTTTGGGGGGTCAGGTCCCGGAGCAGACAGTGGCTTATCTCTTCTTACATATATAAGGGGTTTGCTTTGGGGACACATTTGCCGTAGCTACACAGTTCTGTGGGGCCCAGTGTCTGATAAACAGTTGCTTTCTGTGTTCTGTGCCTTTTGTTCTCTAGAGGGCAGACAAACTGAAATAGAAATGGCGGCTGCAGTCGCTCAAGCACTCAAAACAATGGCAGCACCCGAGACGGTGATGATGGTCATGGCTACTGCTTCGGCGGGGTCTGGAGGCGGGATGAAGATGCCCTGCCACGACGACATGAACCACGGTGGTATGGATCATACAGGTATGGACCACGGTGGCATGGACCACGATATGCCAGGGATGAAAATGTGCAAGATGGCCATGACGCTCAACAGTGACTACGAGAACTTGTGCATTTTGACCGAGACACTGATGGTGACCAACAAGCCGCAGCTTGTTTTTGCGATGACTGGTATCGCTTTGTTCTCGCTGGGATACGAGTACTTTAAGTTGTTCGTGGATAGGATGCAGGCCAGATACTCACAATACCTGAAGAGTAACACGGTGACAGAAAACGAGAGAGTCAAGTACAAGGTCCGGTTATCGGCAGCATACGCATTCAGCGTCGGATACTCCTTCATCATCATGTTGCTGTTCATGTCCTTCAACGTCTGGGTAATGCTTGCCGTGTGTATCGGTGCTGGTTTGGGACACTACGCCTTTGGAGGGTCGTCTTCCACGGCATCCCTAGTGTGCCACTAATGTGGTTTTACTGCGCTACTTTTGTTCTTTTCTGCGGGGTTTTAGCTGCCGTTGTTGGCTAAGACGAAGTGATTGCTTGGTTAAGCTTTTCCTTTTTATAAATAAGTGATATTTGATGCTAGTTTTACGAATAGTAATTTCCGATACCAACTCGAATGGGAACCATTAGAAGTTTATTTCCCAGTTGCTAGTGATAAGCACGTCCGGGTTCCGAATTGTGAATGCATGGTCAGGTCTGCTTTCAGCCACGTCGGCTGTCCATGTCTTGCCGTTCTGCGAGACAGACACAGAAGCCAGGCCGCCTGAAACACTAGAGCCGACAACAATGACTTTGTTCACCGTTACCTTCTTCGTCTCTAAGCCTCTAGTGAATGTTTTGTTTTCGTTGTGGACCACGCTGGCTCTTATTACTCTATCGGACTCTGATGCTGTCAATTCAACTTCCAACCAGTCTCCAGATTTGTACCCAAATGTTTCTCCGTCGTCAACATACAATTCCCCCGAGGCAGTTCCATCCGAGCCAATCACAACGTAAAGAGTATATGGGTCATACTTCATGAGCTGCGCCGACCTCCTATATCTGTCTTTGGTTGGCACAACGCAGCCTCCCTTTAGGAAAACTGGCATCATACCCAAGGTGGCCTTGACGTTGATTGTCTGGCAAGATTGGAATTTTGTGGCAACGTCGAAGAAATCGTAATATGTTTCACCGTCACACGGGAAATAGACCTCGGCCTCCTCAGCATTCTCTTCAACGATAGGATGCACCAGTAGTCCACCAAGGTAAAACTGATTATCTATTTCATATCCCAGTTTATCTTGTGGAATTTCCCACAGCATTGACTTTAGGATGGGCTGTCCCGAAACACTGCTTTTCCAAAACTCTGTGTAGAGTAATGGCAGTAATCTGTATCTCAACCTTATTGCATCTCTCATGTAATCAGTATAGACGCCACCTGCAATCCACGGTTCACGACGTCTCGAATCGATGTGTGCATGCCCTCTGAAAAATGGATACCAAATCCCAGCTTGGTACCATCTGACCAAAAGGTCCTTTGGTGGATTACCAAAAAATCCACCGACGTCTGCTCCTGCAAAAGGGAAACCGACAGCGTTCATAGTGAGAACCATTGGAATTGATTCTTTCAGGTATTCCCATTTGGCCATATTGTCACCCGTCCACATAGCTGCTGTCCTTTGCGATCCAGCATAAAAAGATCTGGTAAGGATGAAAGGACGCTTGTAGTCATTTCTCTTGATCAAGGAATTGTAGGTCGCTTCATGGAAAGACAAGCCATATATATTGTGAACAGATCTATGTTCGTAATGCCCATAATGCTTTGTGTCTTTTGAAATTGACGTCTCTGGCCCATCAAAAACAGAAGGCTCGTTCATATCATTCCAAATATGTCCATTGGTGGAATAACCTAATAGAGAACTGCCATTCTTAAATTGAGAATCCCATATTTTTTGGGCTGCGGGATTCATGGTATCAATCCAAATAGACTTTCCAGGCCAGCAATGCCCACGGAAAGCACCTTCAATTAATGGATCATTGATTGCGATGTCATTATCTTTGATAAGATCGGCCATGAAGTAATCATCCTTGATGTGGGGGTCGACAATCATAACAAGTTGACGCTTAGTCTCGTCCATTTTGGCCATCATGTCATCTGGTGTCGGGAAAAGTTCCTTATTCCAAGTAAAATATCTTTTCTCATCGGTGTACTCGATATCTAACCAGATGGTATCATATGGTATTTCATAGTTATCAAAATTTTGATGGACATCCAAAACATCACCTTCATCGTTGTAGTTCCATCTACACTGGTGATAGCCAAGTGAAAACAAATTTGGCAGCGTTGAAAACCCAGTGATTTCACCATATGCCTTCGAGATGGCACTGGGTGTAGGTTTCACCATCAAAATAACGTCCATTATACCATTCTCTGACATCCAGTGTGTCTTCACACTGTCTATTGAATCTTCGGACCAGACCAATTCCAAGCCACCAATATTTTCACCAGCGTCGTTCTTTTTGATATCAATATAGGTATCAGCAGAGTTCACCCAAAATATTGCCGCAGAGGTATCAGGCTTTGCAGCAATCATCAATGGGATCGATCCATACATCGGAAGTTTGCTCTGGGTTTCGTACTCAAAGATGTCAACATTGTATAGTCTGTAAGGCTCGGTTCCCGTCGTGTCCTTCAAGGAAAAAGAGTCCGCATGTTCAGGTATTCCATAGACGTGGGTATAATTGACGAAAGTGAAGTCTAGAGCTACAGATTCTGGACCCAAAAAGAGGTGATCATCCTTAGAGTCCTTAAAGTTGTCCTTGTATGCATTGAACGTAGATTCTTCAGGTAAAATGTCAATCGATTCACCACGCTCCTTTTCTTGACTTTCCTTCGTTCTGTAATGCTCTAGATTCAAGAAATCTCTATCATTCAGCACAATCTGCTTGACATCGTTATACATAATAGTAATCCTGAATGGGTACATTTTGATAACCGCTGAGTATTTTAGCCCTTCGCCGTATTTGACAAATATCTCGTCATCTAGAATCTGATGCTGGAAAGGTTTTCTTGCCAGCTTCCCCTTAAATGCTCGATCTCCAGTTTCCGAATATCTGCTAGGGTTCACTGTGATCCCCTCTGGGATATATTTCTTTCTGTCTTCCTCGTCGAGTCTGAAACGTAAATTATAGTCTTCCACTATGGTCACATCAAAAATCAGGTCTCTGTACGATCCATCGCCCAATTGCTTGTTTATCTTTCCCTTAATCAATCCGTTTTTTTCATCAACCACTAGACTGGACCTATCCATGGCGTAACGAGGCTCATAGGCCCCCTCCAATGCTGAAATCTGCTGAGCGTAGTGTCTGTTTCGATTGCAAAAGCCATTTTGTTCACACTTTTTGAATAAATAGTCTTTGACAGACACTGCTGGAGAGGTCCACAGCAGCAACCACAGCACACAGCCAACAAAGCCAAACAACATGCTATCTATGTGTGTCAGCAATCTTGCAGCTCCGAAGAGTAAACGGAACAGACCTGCTCTGCAAGTCTTCCATCTCTTCCCATTTGCTAGACTTGAGAGGTGGCATTGCACTGTGAGTGGTTACGGATCTCGGCACTCGCGTTTTCCCGTGTTTGGCGTTTCGGCCGTTGTTTACATGAGTAGATATGGGAAGAGGCATAGGAAAAGGCATAAGAAGAGGGAAGGCAACCCAGTAGGAAGGAAGAACGACAGCAACGCAGTAACTTGGCAACAACCAGATTACAATTCTATGGGTGGAGAAATACTCACTTTACAAGCAGGTATGTTCCTTGACTTAATTTTTCAGTCTATTGATTTTTTCTTTCAACTATTAAATACTGAACTATTTTACTAACAACCTTCCCGGAATAAATCCCATATTCGTACCATCTTTATAGGCCAATGTGGTAATCAGGTTGGAGAACAGTTTTGGTCGCAGATTTGCTCAGAACACGGCATAAACAGCGATGGAACTACCGACGAGTCTTATCTCAGCCGTCCTAGGAACGATCGTCCCGACATATTTTTTCAGAGAAATGCTAGCAACAAGAGTTTCACACCAAGAGCCATTCTCATTGACTTGGAGCCAAAGGTCATTGGAAAGATTGCAGAAAGGTACGACGGCCTTTTCAACCCCAAAAATATCTTTATGGCGTCTGATGGTGGCGGGGCTGCCAACCGATGGGCGGACGGGTACTTGCACGGCAAGAAGAACCTTGAGACGGTATTGGATATAATTGACAGGGAGCTGGATGGATGCGATAATCTTGAAGGTTTCCAGCTGCTCCATTCCATTGGCGGAGGCACTGGTTCAGGGTTTGGGTCGTTGCTATTGGAGACTTTAAGCGACCGGTACAGCAAGAAGTTGATACAGACGTACTCTGTGTTTGATCGCTCAGGAATCGTCGTGAATCCGTACAACAGCATATTGACGTTGAAAAGGTTGATCCAGAACTCAGACGCCAATGTTGTTTTCAACAACAACTCTCTATTATCGATTGCTCCCGAAAACCAACAGATCGACGGCCCGTCTTTCGACAACATAAACAAGCTCATCTCAACCGTCATGTCAGCTTCGACTAACACTTTGAGGTTCCCGTCATACTCTTACAACTCTCTCACGAGCATAATATCCACGCTGATACCGACTCCCGACTTACACTTCATCACTGCGAGCTACACGCCATATACGTTAGACTACGGAAATTACACAGGAAAAGACATCCGCAGAAGCACCTCTTACGACGTGATTTTGGAGTTGCTCGATAAGAAGTCTAACATGTTCTGCACTGGCCAGAAAGAGGATAAGGTGTTGGCCATGATGGATGTGATCATCGGGTCCAAAGCACCGATGGACAACAAGCACAATGCGTCCATCCAAAAGGCGTTGATCAAGGCACGATCTCGTATCAACTTTGCGCCCTGGACCCCTTCGACAATCCATCTTGCAATGGGCCAACGTTCGTCCTTCAGTACGGTACCGAAAGACATCGTCAGTGGACTCATGCTTTCTAATTCGACCTCTGTTCTACATGTTTTGCGGGGCATCACCAACGACTACGACCGCTTGCGGAAAAAGAGTGCGTTCATGAACACCTATCTGAAGAGTGACTACGACCAGGAATGCGGAGACATCATGCAGGAGTTCCAGGAGTGTAGAGAAATTGTCGAAGCCCTCATGGGTGAGTACCGTGCCAGCGAAACCTTGGCTTACATGGAAGGAGGGGACGATGACGAGGACGAGGACGATGACGAGGATCAGGACGGGGAAAATATGTCCCACGGCGGCGATGAGGTCCTGATGAGTGACGTCCACGACCCCGACCATGACGTTGTCATGGAGTAGCAGTCGGAGCAACTCTCAACGGGTAGATAGCTGTCCTCGTTCACCGAGTGTCTAAACTCTCGTCTTTGTGTCCGCATGCGGCAGTTCTCGCGAAAGAGGGTAAAAAAATGCGAGTAGGTCTAAGCGAAAGATAAGAACTGTTGGAGAAGGAAGGAGGAAAGAGAGGATTAGTCACGGACAAATTTAAGTACAAGAGAGGGGAAAAAGGTTGTTCTTCAAACCAAAATAGTTACATAATAAAACACCAGTTCTCGACGAAGAGGGGAAAGATTGTTCCATTTGGTGACGAGTGCAGAGCGACATGACAGGCAACACAAAAGACGACTACGAGCTATCAGAGGATGTCGTTTCGTTCAGACCCCATTCGATGGTGAGCAACGTGATTGGAAGAGCTTCTTCGTCTATACGAAGGGAAAGTGGTGTGTACTACAGCGAAGATGATGAAGACGATGAAGACGATGAGGCAGCGGATCCTGAGGATGTATTTGAGAGCATTTTTGACGGCGATGTCAGTGGCATCAACAATGATACTGAAAAGCGTGGCAACGACGACGACGACGACGAGAATCATGGATCTTTCGAGGAAGTCAAGTCGAAGGAAGATGTTACTGTTACGGAAGAGCATGTCGTTGAGTATCCCGAGGGTGGCAAGCTTGCGTACATAACGTTGCTTGGATGCTTCATGGGTTTGGTGGGCGAGTTCGGCCTCTGGAATTCCACAGGTGCCATTGAGTCGTACATAGCCAAACACATTTTGGTCGACAACAGCGACATTGCCATTTCGATGATTTTCGCTCTTTTTTCTTTCTTTGTGATGTTCGGAACCATGATCTCAGGTGTCGTGTTTGACAAGTACGGAGGAAAGATGCTATGCTACACCGGCTGTATCATGACAACCGGAGGTCTTATGGCCACCGCTAATTGCACCAAATTGTATCAATTCATCTTGGCCTTTGGGGTGACATGCGGTATAGGTTGCTCTCTCCTTACTGCGCCCTTTGTTACCAGCATTGGCCATTTTTTCAGCAAGAAGAGAGGAATGGCTTTGTCGATTGCAATGCCAGGCGCTTCACTAGGTGGTGTCATATGGCCTCTAGTTTGCAGATCTTTGTACGGAAGGGTCGGATTTGAGTGGACAATGAGAACCTTAGGGTTTTGCATCGGCTCTCTATTGTTTTTTGCCGCAACTTGCGTCCACGACAGACACGTGGAGATCATCAGAATCAAAAAACTCAATGAGGGGGAGAGGAACATGAGCCTTAGGGAAAAGCTTAATGACCTCATTGACTTCAGCTCCTTCAAAGAATTGACTTTTATGGTTCTTACGGGTGCATTATTTTTGAATGAGTTTGCGCTATTGATGGTGAGTACATATATTCCCTCTTATGCCATGAGCAAGGGGTTCTCTGAAAGTTTCTCGTTGATTGCATTGACTGTTTTCAACGCTGCGGGAATTGTTGGCAGAATAGTTCCAACGTTTTTGTCGGACCGATACGGCAATTTCAACTTTATCATTCTCATGTCCACCGTCATGACTATCACGGTCTGGGTTATTTGGCTTCCATTCGGGCACAACTTAGGTGCGTTCGTAGCATTCACAATCATTTTTGGCTTTGCTGTAGCAGGCACATTGGCACTAACTCCATTGTGCACGTCGGCAATTTCAAAACCAAAGGATTTTGGGAAACGGTACGGGACTGCATACTTCTTTGTCGCCTTCTGCAACTTGATCAGTTTACCTGTCGGTATGGCCCTCACGGAGACCAACGCAGGCTATGACGCGATGGTGGCATTTGCAGGAGCAACTTGCACGCTAGCAACACTCTGTTTCATTTACACTAGATATAGGGTTGGAGGTTTGAACAAAATCAAAATCTAGAATGATTTTACGTTAGCTTGCCTTTTCTTTTCCTAATCTCCTCCTTTCCCTTATTTTCTTGCGGAGAATCAAGTAGGAATATTTTGATTTGTGTATTTTATATCAGATATAATAATTTCTGGAATATTTGCTATAGACAGTACATTCATTAACCGGTCAGACAAAAGTCCTAAAATTTCAACACACTACGAACAAAACCAAACATAGTTATAACAATGTAACATTGCATGGGAGAACATCATGCATTGGCCTCCTCCATTTTTTTTTTGTTTCAAAATGCTAAATACATATTGGATGATCATGAGGATTTATCCGTGCCTAAAATCCAAGAATACTGCCTCCTTCCCAACCGGTGCTAACGCTCTGAACACTGATGTTTTCCTCAGGTTCCCAAAAATTTCTGTTCCCACCCTTCACATCATCGCCCAATATATTATAACCCACTGAAGCAGCTCCCGGCTCCGCATTGTACTGTATCAGATTATCCAACATCATTCTCTTCCAATAGCCAGGAACACAGGACTCTAGCTCGGGGTTGTTCATAAAAATGCCTTCATGCTCCACTAACCTTTCTTTCTTTAGAGAGCTGCAGAGGCGGCTGGCGGCACTCTTGAAGACCCGAATCTCACTTTCCCTTGCCTTGTGTTCTTTCACACTCGTGAATCTTTTTTCCGCTTTCACCTCTCTTTTCTTCTCATTTCCCATTGTCAACCTACCGTCAACCTTCGGAGTCACTCCATTCACCGTCTTGACACTGTGCTTCCACGTGTTTATTTTGCTGACTAGTTCGTCATGCTTCTTGCTTTCTATTTCGTCAAGCCTTGATCGTTGCATGTCCTTAATTCCGCTTCTGACATCACCTGCTAGCGAATCCTCATCATCATCTCCATCCTCATCATCCTCATCATCTTCTTCTTCATCGTCTTCATAGTCTTCGTCATCATACCCTTCGTCAGCGTCTTCAACTCCGTTATCGGTAACCGAATTCTTACCCTCGTCGGTAACATATCCCGACTTTAAACTGTAGCCAAAATCGCTAATCACGTACCCTGTGGTTTCAAATGAGCTGGAGCGCCTATTTTTGATTGGAGACTGGAATGAGGATAATCGTGTGCTTAAGATGCTTCCTGTTTCAGCAGCATCGTACTCCTCCTCTTCCTCTTCTTCTCCCTCATCGTAGGGGCTGAAGAGAACCCACTCGGAGTTGCCGCTCACTCCACTTCCAGCAAGCTCCATAGAGACGTTTGATATCCCAACATCCTCTCTGTTTTGACCAGTGACTCTGCTCCTGCGGTCAACGCTCTTCTTGTTGAAGCTATTATCTGTGGCATCGTGGATAAGCGCATCGCCGATCCCAGCCACTCCGGAATGTCCGTGAGCAGCCAAGGCGTAAGGCAGTGTTCCTTGCATAATTCCTACTGTTGTTAATATCTGGTAATATTGTACTATTTTGTTCTAACAGTAAGTTAAGCAAAAGCTTTGCAATCTGAATTGGCCATCAAGAGATCCTGTTATCCATCATCTGCATCTCTCCCTCCCTCCGCCACACAAACATGCCCTCTATCTAATTCCGATAACGCGCAAATTACGTCATCCAGACAGTAATCTTTTTTCCCGTCCCATAGGCAGGCGGAGTGAGAAGTTGTATATTAAGCTGTATTATATTACGTTTGGATCAAGAGATATTATAGACTTGGAGAAAACAGGAAGAAATCAAAAGATTAGAAGGAGACTGAAATAAACAGGGAGAAAGAGAAAGAAGAAGAACGAAAAAAAAGCAATCGTTATACTAGGACTGGGAAGAGTATTCATCGAAAAGCACATATGGATCCTATACGGCACTCTCCGCTTTAGATAGCAGTAATAAAAGTTGACTCACTGTAGGCGTAACCGGAATCGGTTGTTTCCACCTTACCATTCTTCGTTATGGTCATTTTCATGGTATTGCTGAACTGGTAGATGTAAGGCTTTGTGCCGGCGACTCCGCTCACAATGCTCTTAACGAACTGTGGGATTTCGGCCATAACATCGACTCTTTCACAAAGATTTTTCAACTCACCAACGACTTCCACATTAAGGTCGTCTTCAGGGTCCTTTAAGGTGTACGAGATTTTGGATGGGATATCCCAACCAGAGGTTTCGTCCACCTTTGTTTCGAGGTGCTTTGTGTCGTTGTCCAATGTGCCGAGAATGATCTTACCTTCCTTATCGACTACCATGGAGATACTGACTTTGGTCTTGTTGTAAGCTGGGGGAGTGGTGAATTCCATCAAAACGACCGAGTAGTCGTCAGATTGGTAATTCAAGAAGTCCCATGTGGCAGCCGCATGGTGGGGCTTCATACCCTGCAAAGCCATCACGTACATAGTCAAACCGTCCTTGATGGTAACGTTCTCTTTAACAACGTACTCAATTTCCTCAGGCTCCAAGTTGTCAAGGTCTTGCTCTGGCTTGACTTCACGTAAGATGATATTACCATCTACGTTACATCTTGGCCAGAAAACATGTCTCATGGAGCCCCAAGGGTTATCGACCTCTGTTCCGTAGTAGGTGGTACCGTCCTTGCCAAACTTTATACTGCTGCCGATACGCTTCACAGTCAAATGAACCTCGGTCAGCTTGTTGACAGAGGAGTCAATATGGTAAGTGTTGATTTTGTCCTTGTTTAGAACGATCGAGAGGTTGTCAGCCTTGAAGTCGGTCCCGTTTTCGATGGAGAAGTTCTCGAGCTTGGTGGAGGTCCATATGAAGTCCTGGGGAGTCTCCTTCTCGAAAATCTTGAAGGTGAACTGGGCGGTGGTGTGCAGTCCTATCACGTTGGAGTGGATGACCTGTGCAAACCCAGCGTGCTTGGTGTCTTCAAAATAGAAGGTCTGTGTTTCGACGTTGGTGTGGTTTGGAGAGACATACTTCAAGTCTTCGATGGTCAAGTCCGAGTACAGAGGTTCGCCCTCTTTGAGGTCGGAGGCCACTGGGTGGATAGAATCCGGTCCATATTCCGGCTCTGCTGTTCCGGCAACAACAGATAGGCCGCTTTGTACTAATTTCCACATTGGGTGCGTTTGCGGGTGTATATATTGTATTAGTGCCCGTTAATCTAGACGAGTTGTGAGTGACCTATGGCAGCGAGTGATGCTGATGCTTGCTGTGTTTTGTGCTGTTTTGGCTTAGATCTGAGTCTTCTGGAATTAGGCTTTTGGCTGTGATGGATGCAAAAACTGAAGACAGGGGAGGGTAGAAAAAAGGACAAAAAGAGAGAGAATGTCGGTAACTGGATATGCTGTAATATGCTTCTACTCGTTGTTGATGCTGGTGCTATGCTCTTAAGTTATTGGCCTGACTGTCTCTTCTGCTCGTCTCGCTGAGGAAGACACCCGTGCTCAGCAGAACGGTGGTGCTCCACGCCGTGGCGGGCAAAAAGGAAAAAAGAATTTACTCTCCCACAAAGTCGCGGGCAAGCACGGAGCACACTGCGCAAAACACGGTGCACGGATTTCTGTTTTTCTTTTCTTTACCTGTGGGAAATTATACAAATAGATGATTATATTAGATCAGAATACACTGTTCTTGGCGGCAGGAGACGGTGGTAGGGCTCGATAATGCGGGGAACGGTACCAGAGGCAGAACCAGAGGCAGAACCAGAGGCAGAACCAGAGGCAGAACCAGAGGCAGAACCAGAGGCAGAACCAGAGGCAGAACCAGAGGCAGAACCAGAGGCAGAACCAGAGGCAGAACCAGAGGCAGAGCACATGCCGCCGTTGGTAGCGTCGTCGTTATTGTTGTGATTGTAGTAGTTGCGTCATCGTCGTCTAGTCGGCATTGCCGTCTTGTTCGTCTTGTTCGTCTTCGTCGTCGTCTTCCTCGGCACCGTCATCGTCGTCGTAGCTGTCCTCGTAACTTCCTTTCTCGCTGGCATTGCTGCCGGCGTCTTCGTCATCGTCGTTCTCTAGGTCGGCCTCTTCCTCATCGTAGATCAACGTGGCGTCGAAGTACAAGGAAGGATTCAACGCGCTGATGTCGCACGAGGTGGCCTCGCCGTCCAGAAGTAGTTCACTCATCAACAGGCCTGTTGCCGGAGCATTGTTTATCCCCCAGCAGGAGTGGCCCGAGGCGAGGTAGAGGTTGTCGACGTTGGTTTCACCGATCAGCGGGCCCGAGGAGGAGGGGATGTCCAACACGGGTAAGTAGCACGCCTGTCTCTTCAACACCTTGCCGTTTTTCAGGTTGTTTGAGAGCTTGGAGACGTACTTGAAAAGCTCTTCGCACTTCTCGGTGACAACCTCGACGTCGTCGGTGGTTTCAGGTATCAAGACGCTTGAGTCACCTTCTCCGCAGACATAGACCTCGTCCTTTCTGGCGTAGATCTCCGGACTGACGAATTTGTTCTTGTTCAACTTCAACTCGGTGAAGACGGCGTAGGGACTGATTTCTTCGACTCTCTCGGGTTGTATGATGATTGAGTGTGCTCTGAGCCCGCTTATCGGACAGTCCGGTAGGATCTTGGACGTCCAGGGACCAATCGACATTATGACCTTGTCTCCGTGGAGCTCGAACTTCTGCTTAGTCAGTCCCTCGTTCTCGGCTTTGGCGCTCGACGGATGATATATAATCCCGTTGCACTCGCCGGACTCCTCGTCAATGATGATGTCGTCGATCTTGCCAATGACCAGCTCGACGCAGCCGGTGGCTATGCACTGCTTCAAGATGAAGGTGGTGAACTGGTATGGATGGACCTGGGCGGTCGTCGACTCGTTACCTAACTGGTTCCAGTCGTTTATCACCTTGTCGTCGATCCACATCAGGTTTTTCGGTAAGTGGGAGGACCGCTTTTCTGCGGAGGAGTCGTTCGACTCGATCTCGATGGAGTTTTTCTTGATTGTTGTGGCTCTGCTCATGGGTTTGCTTCCGACGTCCAAGTGGGCGTTTAGCGCTTTTTCAAACTCGTCGTGGTCGTCACGGGCGTCGTCGTGGTCATCGGCGTCGGCGTCGTCGGCAGTTTCATCATTGTTTTCTTTACTGTTCTTCTTGGCGCCCGAGGCGCCGTCGGCGGCCGCGTTCTCGGCGATGTTGTTCAATCTCGCATTCCTGCTGTTCCTTGTGGATCTGCCGGGCTGTTTCTCTGCCTTCAATCGTTGGTTGTACTCCTGGATGTAGTTCAGCCTTGCGTCGGAAATGTCGCCCTCGACGCTGATCGTGGTCAATCTTCTGTAGCCCCACTCGTCCTCTCCGCCGAACTCGTTGGCGAGGTCCTGGTGCAACTGGAAGCTCAAGGGCACAATCTGCTGCGGGAACGCCCACAAAGCCAACAAGCCGCCGGCCTTGCCGCTGGCTCCGCCGGCCACTCGCTTGCTCTCCAAAATGGTGATGTAGTGCTTTTTCGGGTCGAACTTCGGGTGCCGGGTGAGGTAGAAGGCGATGCAGACGCCGATGATGCCTGCTCCGACTATGATGTAGTGGGTCTTGCCCTGGTGCTTGCCGGAGGGGAAGGTCGAGTATGTGATGAATTCGGGCTCCTCAGGCACGTTGTTGGTTGTCGTTGGCATTGTTTTCGAGGCCATGGCTGGTGCTGCTGTCTGGTCTTCTGCGCGTGTGTGCTGCGCTGAGCTTCTGGGCCGCAGGGAGTGTCACGAAACAGAGGGGCGGTCTGCTTTCGACACGGATGAATGTATGGACGGGTGCTGTGTGTTTGTGTGTGTGTGTGCGTTGGCGCAGAGACAAAACGGAGGGTGGGCTGTTTGTCGGTGCCAATAGCGCTGTTGCCAATGCTGTTGCTGCTGCTGCTGCTGCTGCTGCTGCTGGTTGCCGGTGTCGGGTGTTGGCAGACAAGCAAGATGTGTCTTCCAGAGACGGTTGCGACGTAGGGTTGACTGGTATGAAGCGGTGGGCCCTTGCTGCTGCTTTGTGCTGCTCTGCTGACCCCCACACGCCTGTCCACCCGCTGAGCAGACCGCCCCCGTTTCCCAGCAGTCTGTCTTTCACTGGCCCTCCTCCCTCTCTCTGTCTCCAGAGCGCTCGCCTCTTGCTCTTTCTGTCGGGCCCTCCTCACCGGGCACGCTGTGGATCTGGCGACTTTTCTCGCAGCCGCCCCTCGGCGGCGCCGGCTGCCGGCGCCGTCCTACGGCCTGCGGCCTACATCTGGCGACGGCCCCGGGCCGTCTGCTGTTGCACCTGCGCCTGCACCTGCCACCACTACGACCGCTACTGCTGCTGTGCCTGTGCCTGTTTTCTCGTCGGGCTGCCCACACCCCTGTTCCGCAAGCCTGCTCCCCTGTTCCGCAGGCCTGCTCCCCGGACCTCCCCGCACCGCCGCTCTGCGCCGCTGCGGCTGCCCGGCGCCTGCGCCGACTGCACATCGCTCCGCCTCGCAGACCTGCTCCTGCTTCTTGTTCCGGCGTCCCTCTTCTGCTGTGCTGCTCCTCTTCAGGCCCGTCCCCACCCCGGGGCTGCTCTGCTCTGCTCCTCGAGGCCATTGTTCCGCTGCGCAGCGCAAAAGTGGAGCCATAAACGTAAAATGCCGGAAATGCGAAAAGCAAAAAGCAAAAAAGGAAAAACAGGCAGATTATGTAAGCCGCTACAGATTACGTAATGTCTTACGTAAGTTTGCGGTCACGTGCGAGGTGGCGATCCCTCGTTTGCCGTCCAGACAGAAATGGAGCTTCTGTCGGATTCATGTGGTCAACAAACCGGGCCGAAAACAGAAGCCAGGTGCTCCAGAAGAGCAGCAGTAGTGGTACAGGCCAGCGTTACCGACCCCCACGTAACCGCTCGCGATGTCGGCAGTCTCAAAAGCGTTCCAAGTGAACGATGACGCGGTCAAACACCTCCTCAGACAGGTGGTGTACATGTTCTACCCCCACCAGTCGATCATCATCATGGAGGCGATTCTCTTCCACAACGTGCTGTTTGAGGACGACCTCATCAAGCTCTGCTGCATGCACAAGAAGGTGTTTCGGTCGTTCTGCAACAAGCTCATGGAGGACAAGTTGATTGTGGCGCACACGCAAAAGGAGGAGACGCAGCCCTACAAGTTGTTCACCAGAACATACTACTACGTGCACAGCATCGAGGCGATCGACTCCATCAAGTGGAAGATCCACACGATTGTCAAGCACGTCAAGGAGGAGATCGGCAACTTCTCCGAGCCGCAGGGCTACATCTGCCCCACCTGCCACCACAAATACACGCTTCTCGACGCAGCGTCCCTCTTGACGGACGACCGGCTCAACTTCGAGTGCTCCATCTGCGGCGACTACTTGATCGACGACGACATCTCCCAGGAGCAGAAAAAGGGCCAGGAGAAGTTGGAGCGCCTCATGTCTCTTGTCGAGCCCATCATCAAGTACCTCAAGATTGTCGACGACTTGAAGATCGAGGACAACAACTTCGACACAACCCTCATCAAGTACGTCCCGGCCTTCTCCGACTCCTTGGCCCTCTACTCCGTCTCCACGAGAACCTCCGCCCGCCGCAAGAAGTTGGAGAACAACAACACAAACCTCAGCGACGCAAGCAAGCGCTCCCAGGCCACCATCCACGTCTCCATCACCGCCGACGACGAGGACCTCAAGCGGGAAAGACAGAAGAGAGAGGACCGGAACAAAAAGCTCAGGCAAAACGCCCTACCCTCCTGGCATCAAGAGTCGACTGTCGGCAAGGCAGCCTTGGGGAGACTGGATCTCGAAGAGGAAGAGGACGAGGATGCAGATCTCATCCAACAGCAGGACCAAGAGAACCCTGCAAACCCTGCACAGCCTGATAACGACGATGGCACAACTACCACTTCTGCAACCACCGCTAATACCATTCAAGACAACTCGACTCTAATAAACTCCACAGATGGTACAAACGTAGCCGTAAAGGGAGAAAATGGCCAACAAGCGCCAGATTCTTCGACCTCACCGGTCAAGACAGAACAACCTGCAATTTCAGATACCGACTCTACCATGCAGCTCCCAGTAAAAGCTGAACAGACAGCAGAGCCTTCCAACACTGCTCCGATGGCTTCGGTGCAAATGAAGGAAGAAAGTGCTGCAGGCTCGTCTACAAAGCCTTCGACCGCTTCCACCTTCATGTCCACAACCTCCGACAAAACCGCCGTACCTGCTTCAGCCACGGAAGGAACAACAGCAGAGGAACTGGATGCATTATCTGCATACTACTCTCAATTGCGCCAGAGACAGGCTGCTGAAGAAGAAGAGGAAGAGGACGAGGACGAAGAAGAGGAAGAAGAAGACAATGCGGACGGCATGGACATCGACGCTATCGACGAAGAAGATGTAGATAACATGGATGCTTTCAACGACGAGGCCGAAAACGGCACCGCAGAGGCGGTAAAACCAACACAGACGACCGACACTACTGACGTGAAGCCCACTGCCGACGACACAAAACAGGCCGACGACTCAATCAACAAAGATGACCTAGATGAAGAAGATTTCGATCTGGATATGTTTGCCAGTGACGAAGACTAAACTTTTGCTAATACAGAAAAGAAAACCCTAGTATATGTATGTATAATTTATCTATACTTCTACCCAAAAAATCAAAAATACTGTAACCATAAAAGCTCTACCTGCTACCTACTCCCACCTTCCTTGCTTTCAGAAGTACCCACCAGTCAGCTCTCCTGATATATCTGTACCGACCCTTTGCAGGTGAATCTCATTTTCTTTATCATCAATGCTGTTTAGCTTTTTTCCCGGAAGTAGAATGGACCTATCAATAGCATTTGGCAAGTCTCTATGACGACCTCTTAGCATAGCTACCATGATTACCAGCTTTGAGATAGCATGAAACTCTCCACAGAATGATGCAAAAGACCCCGGGTAACCTAAAGTCAACCCAACAGTACCATAAGCAGACACAACCTCAAATATTACCCTGAAAATATCAAAATCAATATCGCCGGCATCGAGATGCTGTCCTTCAACAACACAGATAATAAAAACAGCACAGAAAATGAACCATATATCATCTGACAATTGCTTCCTTATATGTGCAACAATATATTCTAGTTTAGGTTTTGTGTAAGCGGTTTCTTCGTCTAGCTTATAGATTCCCAGTGACTGATCTTCATAAACATTAGTGCTCCTAATAGATATTGCAAGTGGTAACGCAGATAAGTACATCATGACAACATAGCTCAATTGGAAGGCATGGCTAAAGTCTGCCAATTGGAAAACATTGAACCCAGTGGTTCTCGTGCAAATTACCTGAAACAAACCATCAAATCCCTTATACCACTCAGGCAAATAGCTTAGACTTTCACGTCCAAAATCCAAAACTGCAAATAACGCCCAGTCTAGCATGTTCATACAGATTAGAACAAACAACAACCACCATGTTGCACCAGATGGAAAAATCAAAGTAAAGCAACGCCGTGGATGCTCCAACAAGAAAGTCAACGAATCATATGCCATTGTAGATGGCCTGGTCATCAGCCTTAAAGTCCAGACTAAAATTCTCAAATTGATTGGAAAAACAGTGTTACCTGCTAGCACGATAATTGTAATGATACTCAATAAACTAATTTCTTGATCAAAAACTTTGAAAGAGGATATGTTTAGAGTTAGACCTTCATTAGAAAAGGCACTCAAAGCAGTAAAGAATGCCCACCAAGTAGAGTTCAAACATCCATCACTAACTAATATCTCTTCATAACCTTTTTTCTGTCTAACAAGCCAAAATAAACATAAGGTAGAAATTACCAGAATGCCAAAGTAATAACCAAAAATAACACGCCCCAACAGTTTCATTGCTTGGTATTCTATGCCATCCAGCTCCTCCTTTTGTTGTTTAGTAAAAGGAATATGGTTAAAATTTCTTCCATGGAAACCCCAAACAAAAGGCTTAACATGATTCCTTGTTGCAAAATCCAGTAACTCTTCATCATTTAATTCGTTGAGATTCATCAGAGTGAAAGTTCTGTTGGAATAGCTGGTTAATGACCTTTTGAAAACACTATTTCTGATTTTTCTTATAGTATCACTCATAACACTGGTGTGTGACCTTCTCAGTGAACAATTATCTTCAGCAAATTTTGTGTCTTCAGCATCAATAGAACCGTACGTGTAGTCACCACGGAAAATAGAACTCTTATCATCATTAGTTTTACCATAGGTTGTTACTATCGAAGAATTGATGCTACCGTTCAGCTCGTTATCTTGATTTAACAACATCTTCTTCAGTTCCAGCTTCCGTTTAAATATATTAAACCGTCCCCTCTTTCTACCACGACTGTTTTGTACGGAAACTGTTCGCAATAAGTTTGCCTCATCTTCCTCCTCATCAGTTTCTCCCTCTATATCTGAATCAAAATTAAATATTCTATCACTTGCTTCGTCTGTATAATGTGATGCACGTTTCCGAGGCTTGGGAAGATCAGCAAACCTGATATCTTGCTTCTTAGGATTCTGATCAACACTAGCCGAATAATTATCGATATTTTTGAGACGTAAAGCTAAATCCTGGGAAGAATTATATAAATTCATTCCTTCTGCGGCCGCTTCGTTGAAGTAGCTCGTACCTGATCTGGAAATGCCAGCCCGTAACTATGGTGTTTGTTCTTCTCAATTCATACTGATAAATTGATATCGTCTCAATATCTTCAAACTCTTTTTTATACCAAAACAAACGAATGAAAATCAAGGATCCGTGAATAAATATAGGGGTTGTGAATGCACAGCTGAAGTATAGAACAATTTGCTGAAAAAGAGTCAATTCCTTGACAACAACAGTGCTTAGCCCCGTTTGTGTACTTGCCGAACAACAAAAAAACAAAAGATCAAGATAATTCAGGGTGTTGACGTTTCCGATGACATAAATAAGAAACGAGCCCATAACAATCCAGGAAAGAATGTAACAATAATGTGCTACCACAAAATTGGAAGCCAACAGGTACTCGAGGCTAGACAGACAAGACTTGAGCTTTGAGAACACACCAAAACATTTGTCTGCATGAGTGCTTTCAGGTCTGTGAGTGGAAATGTTAATGCTCTTGTTTGTCATATTGAATTTTTATATTTAGACAAACACCCAATATTTACTAAAGAAAGAATCAAAACCGGCTACATCATTATCTGATGGAAAATTCCATTCTTTTTATTTTGGGGCAAGAGCAAGAGTTCATAAATGCCACCTATAGTGTACTGAGACTAACACACTTAGCGATCTTTATGAAATGGAGAAAGGAACCAAATTTACTTCTCGATGGCTATTGCAATAACAACCTTTTTTTTTCTGACGCATCCGATGACGTACTGCGGCACCTTAATATCCTATTTCGGAATTCCCTCATGTACCATTGTACACCGGTAAGTTGCACTTCATGGTCGAGAACAAACATTTGCTCCATTTCTTCTTCCTTTTCACCGCTGAATGCTACAGTAAAAGCAAAAGCAAAGTAGGTCGGACTGCTTTTGGTTACTGTCAATTTTAGGAGGCGCAGCAAGTTAGACTATCCCTTGGACCAATAAAATGGAATCCTCGCAGTAAACATAAACACCTAAATCTTTTTATATGCATTTAATATTATGTATCAGAAATATACCATAAATATATAGACTTGATTATCTGGACCTGTATTTACTCAAACGAGCTTCCTCGTACTTACGCTTGTTTTCTGTATCTTCACCAGAATCATTTGTATGATAAGTACGAAGATCTTCCCCTGAAACAAAACCATCATATCCATTGACAGCTGGGTTTGCCCGATCCTCAGAGCTTGAAGATCCTTCTTGCATTCTATTGTCATAAATTGACTTGTCATTCAGGTGATTTATGAAATGTGTGTGCATGTTAGTTTCCTCATTGGGAGTTGCATCATTGACATTATACAGAGGGATTGACTCTCCTCCATTTGTTCTTCCGTACTTCCTATCATTATACTCATGATAGTCATGAAAATCTGGATCATCAATGTTATTCTCACCGTCTTCTTCATCAATTCGTGTGTTCCTCCTGGATGCTCTATCATAACCACTGTATGTCGTTGATCTACTACGAGGGTAGGACGGATCATAAGTATTATACTGCGTCAACTGTCTTGAATATTTATCGACCGAGGTACCAGATACCGTCAAAACATTGGATGCTATCTTTCCGAGCGTTTTTCCTAGCTTATGTGCAATTGATTTGAAGGGAATGACACCATTTCTTAAATTCTCAGAAATAGTGGGTTGCCTATCTAACGTGGCATTCCTCGATCTAGAAGCTCTTGTAGCAGCCCTCGAAATACTCGGAAACAAACTACTCACGTCGTCTGAAACCATAGTGTTGTTTCTTCTCATCGCATGATAGGCTTCTAAATCATCTCTCAAGTTAAGAGTTTGGTCTGATAACATAATGGCTCTGTCAATGGAATTCGGCAAGCCTCTATGACGACCTCTTATTAACGTAGCAATAATGACTAGCTTTGAAAGCTTGGAAAACTCACCACAAAATGAAGCATTCGATGTGGGATATCCCAAAGACAAGCCAACAGTTCCATATGCCGAGGTAACTTCAAACATTATCTGAAAAATTCCAAAATTGACATCACCTCCTTTCAACCTTCCACCCTCAACGATGCAAATGATAAAAATTGCTAAAAATAAAAACCACAAATCGAAGGACAACTGTTTTCTCAAATGGGTTCCAATATATTTCAGCTTAGGTTCAGCATCGGGATTAGCTTCCTCATCCCTATCATAAACACCCAAAGACTGTTCTTCGTAAACATTGGTTCTTCGAATTGAAATAGCCAAAGGTAAGACAGATATATACATCATCACCATGTAACTTACTTGGATAGCAGGATGCAAAGTTGACAAATTAACAACATTAAAGCCTGCAGTTCTAGTTGAAATAGACTGAAACAAACCGGCCAAGATCTGGTAGCCTTTAGGCAGATATGATAATGTTGAACTCCCAAAGTCCAAAATAATGAACAATATCCAATCGAATCCATTCAAAATAATAAGTACTGCAGTTAACCACCACGTTGGGCCGGAAGGAAATAGCAAAGTAAAACAACGTCTAGGATGATCCAATAAGAAACTGAGGGAATCATGTGTCATTGTTAAAGGACGAGTAAATAATCTTAACAGCCATATTAGAAATCGCAAGAAGATAGGAAAACCTGTGTTACCGATAACGATGAAAAATGATGAGATGATAAGAACGTATGCGTTTTGAGCAAACATTACCATTGAAGTAGGATTTAATGAATAACCAAGATCGTTGAATGAACTCATAGAATTGAAAAATGCCCACCATGTAGGTGACACTCCGACCTCTCTAAGTTGTTGCTTGTATTCCTTCTTCGTATCAATAAATGGAACAAAAAAGACAATACCAGCAAGATGGAAACCAACATAATATATCACTAGCAATTTGCATAGAAGTCTCATTGACTGATACTCTACACCACCTAATTCATATTTTTGATCAGTGGATAAGGTAATGAATTTAGAGTTTCTTCCTACCGTCGGATTCCAAGAAAGGTAATTAGTCGGAAATTGAGATCCATATTGATCTGCCAGCTCATCATCCGACAGCGCCGAAGGGTCTGACCTGGTTCTTCTTCTAGACATCCCGGTCAAGGTTCTAGTGAAAAAGCTAGCCCTTCTCCGGTTCGCCTTGCGTGGAAACTCTTCGCTTTTAAAGTCTTCATCTTGATCTTCATTCTGCTCCACTCCTGATCCAAATTCCTTTTGAATGTCATGTCCTAGCGTGTTGAATAACTTTTTTGAAAAACTAGGAATATGAATAGTATGAGAGCGTTCCATCTTTTTCAGGTTTTGATTAATTTTTTGATCATTGGTTGAGATGGGATTCAGATTGTTCTCTGACGAATCATTATCCTCCTTGATATCCATATTACTACTATCTGTCGACAAAGGATGATCGTCGATAAATGCCGGAACTGATAAAGATCTTTGATCTTTCTTTTTTGGGGGATCAATGTCAAAACTCGTCGGCAGGTGTAATGCAAAATCTTCCTTTTCAAGATCTTCTATATCTTTGTGAAGTATTCTTTTCTGAGTATCTACCATCTCTTTTCCTCTCTCTTTGAGCCTTTTAAGTCTTCTCTCCTTAAGCAGCTTCCTGTGTTTTAGTCGGTGTCCCGGTAATCTTTTGGCCTTCTTGTCATTTTCAAGTTCTCTTGGACCTTTTATATGAAGAGCAGGTCCGGATTCAATATCTTCATTTTTCTCCGGATTATTTTGCAAAACTGAAATGGACATATACAAGTCTCTAGGATCCAAATCTCTTTTCTTTTTTTTGTTGGTTTTGGAAGCTCACCGAACTTAATGTTGGGGGTATTATTGGTGTTAATATTAGTCTTAATATTAGGGACACCATTGTTGTTAGTGTTATTGCCTTTTTTGCTGCTGGTTATCTTTTTCCCATTTTTGTTACCTAAAGAAGATGTCGTATTACTTGGTGCATGGGGATTTTTAGTCGAGGAAACAATGTTTTGATTGACGCTAGATCTATCATCATCTGCAATCGCATTCTCATTATCACTGTTAGAAGAGCTTGATGATGATGATGAGGATGAGGACGATGATGATGATGATGATGATGAAGAAGATGAAGAAGAAGGTGAGTTTGAGGCATCACTTGGTTCACTCACATGTTTTACAACTTCATTAGAGTCAGAGGGTTGGCGGGTCCTTTCATTGAAATTAGCAACCTCGAATTTCAAACGGGATGGACTTGTGACATTATTCTGACGAAGAGGTGTTTCCTTTGACAGATCATCTGATGGTATTATGATTTGAGGGCTTTGCTGTTGTTTACTGTTGACGGCTTTCTTATTGTTTTGTATTTTCATATTATTCTCAAATCGTTTCATACGGCTTGTGAGACCTTCAGAAGCATTGTGACTATCATAACCCTTGTCTCTAACGTTTCCACTTGTGCCCGTCATTGTTCTGGCATTCAAAGTTTCCGTTCTCAGATTAGCAATCGTAGCTGTTCGGCGCATTTTGTATTGCTGAATGGATTTTTCTTTGATGTTGTCAAATCTTTTTTCATACCAGTAAAGTCTTAAGAAAGTTAAGGAACCGTGAATGAAAATTGGTGTTGTAAACATGCAAACAACATATATTGTAATTTGCTGGTACAATTTCATGTCATTCATTTGCGTAGTAGCCAAGCCACCTTGAGTAGAGGCACCGGCAGCATACATCAGCGCATCAACGTATTCCATATCCTTCTGAGGGTATATTATAACTGATCCAAGAATCACCCAAAACAGGATGTATACATAGTGTGCTATGATAAAATTTGGAATGATTTTCTTTACGATAGGGCCAATTGTATCCTCGATCTTATAGATTACACCCCTTATTCGTTCACCTATACTATATCGGATATTGTTGAGGTTGATATGTGTATCGTCTAGGAACGTATTAGTCCTGTCAAAATTCATCCCAAAATGGCTCCTATGTGGAGAGTCCAACACTTCATCAGCTTCTGCATGAGGTGTTGGAATCTGATTTTGTCTTCGATGACTACTTAACCTTCTTGGAAAATACGCTCGAATATTGTGATGTTTATCATGATCTCCAGCTTCCTTTGGAGAAGGAATACCATGCTGACTTTGAGAGGAGTTCTGACCGTTAGTTGTTTCATCTGACTCTAGTTCTTCGTCGATGGATGTTATATGTTGTGGATTCGATGACCTTTCTGAAGAATTTGAATGGGCATAGTTCACCATTGCTGGCATACACTTAAAAGTTCACTGTGTCAGCACAGCAATCCCAGCTAGTATTATTAAGCTTGTACTTCAAGGGTGTTCACCTTGCAAATTATGTTTGTCAATTGCAAGGGTCAATACAAATTAACAAGGTAATCAATGATCATCGAAGCAATCGTAATAATAAAAATACATACTTTCTGTCTCGACCATGAAAATTGTTCCATGCAGTGCGTGCTTCCTAATTTGGACAAACGAATACGCTTATCACGTTTCCAGTTCATATAAAACATTTCTATTTCTATATCCTTATAAAAGGCCCAAACACCAGCAATTTAATCGACATACTTATTTACACCTTAACTTTATGCCTGCTGGAGGTTATACAAATACTGCCACTGTTGGTGGCGTTACGAAACCTTTTTCGTATTTTACGTAAATAGAGGATGCTCTGATGATTAGTTTTTTCGCAGACTCTTTGCATTTTTTATTAGCTTAGTCTGTTATTCGTGAAGGACACATAGTCGCTACTGATATCAACTCCCTCCCTGGAATCATTATCACTACGGTCGTACTGGTCATCAACATCATTTGCATCAGCATTGGCAGTGGCAGTCGCATTGGCATCGGTATCTTCAATACCATCATCACCATCCTCATCGTCATCTTCTTCATCGTCATCTCCTTCATCAGCCTCCCCAGTGTATTCATAGTCATCATCTTCATCTTCATCATCTTCAGCACCTTGATGTGATATGTCTCTGTTGGTGAATGCATGGTTCTCAGAATGTTGAAGATTGGTACTCAAAGTTTCGGAGCTTCTAGGATGAGAGATGTTATTGTTGAGCTCATTGACTTGTCCAAAACTAACCAGGCTACGCTTAGATCTTTTCGTGTTTGATTCATTGATTTGTTCTAGCCCACCATTGGAATTTCTAGAGTTAGCCTCTAGTTGAGATGCATCATAATAATTAATCAGGGAGACAAAATCTTGGCTTGAAGAAATACTATTGCTGGCAGGATTCGAAGCTGGGGCTTTTTCCTTATACCCCAATCCGGCAAGGTAATTATTGTTCGGCTGATAAGGCGTGTTAGCGGAAAGATTGATATAGTTCATCAGAACATTATCAGATTGTTGCATTAATAGATCATTGTGTACGTTCCTGGAGTTGTCAATTTGAGAATTGTTAACGTTGGAGATTTCTGTTTCATCTCTTTGATTCGATAATGTTGGTATGTTTTGCATTCTGTTGATATCTTCGGTAGCCGTGGTAGCTTTAGGGTTGGTACGCTGACGCTTTTTTCTTGAAGTTTTGGACTCTGAGTCTTGCCTACATGTTTCACATTCATCAACTACTTTCTTCACCGTCGATTTTATCTTTGACCAATAATACTTGGCCGAAATTAAGCTAGTTGTTTTATTTATGCCCATGTGATCTTGTCCATGTATTTGTTTGATGATACGCAGCTGGTCGTCAACATCTGAAACAACTTCTTTTCCTTTTAAATATAATTTGCTGTTTAGTACTTCGTAATGATATGCCAATGCCCTCAACCGGCTTCGATCTTCTTTACTCGAGTTCTCAGGATATTGACCAGAAAGCAAGTATGTAAGTATATTTGCATGCTTAGAAGTATTTGCATCTTCTTCAAATATTGTCAGTTCCTTGGTGAAAATAAAAGAGTTGATCAAAATATCTTTGGTACTTTTCAACATTGCACATGAGTTGACCTTCCCTACCTTATGAAATCCGCATTTTTCCAATAATCTTTTGAGACCAATGTTCGTTTCAAAAACCAAATCAATAATGCACCTACTATACCCCAAAGTTGGAGCCCATCTTAAAAAGCACTCACACATATAAAAACCAATTCCTCGACGTCTTATACCAGCATTGACCAAAAAGTTAGTCGTACAAATATGTGAGCACCTTCCCGGATATGCCGACTTAATGAAAAAACTACCCAAACACCGTTTAGCCCATTCATTCACTGTTATATCTTCGCTCAATTCTGGTTCATCGCCTATGCACATCACTGCGGCGAACTGTCCAAACCAGAAATTCTGGAACTCTTCGACTGCCAACTTGTCAAAAAAGGGTAGTGTATCTCCACGTAAAATCTCATCATTATATTCCTGTGACAAAAATCGTATGAGATTTGTTGGTGCTTGGTTGATATTAAAAAGTGGGTAGATAGTGGCCGTTGTATCGAGATCTTTGAGGTGAATAGTGACTCTCTCTATTCGGTACGGAGTACTATAATGAGGAGTGTAATGATTCCGGGAGAAGACGACGTTGTTGAATTCGCTCATTCTTGTAAACCGGCGATATTTTAAAGCTGTGTTGTTTGCTATTCAAAAAGCTTGCTAGTGTTTCACGTTTATTTACTGGTACGAATATTTGCAGAATCATGTAACTAGGAAGATGATTCTGACATGAATTTACAAACGCGGTTATGCCAAATTAGGCAGTTAGACCACCACGCTTGCAAAATTAAATTTTCCTGAAATCTACAAATAAAAAACAAAATAAATCAGATTGAACTAGAGGGAAAATAAATAAATAAATAGGTAAATAAATAATTAGATAAATAAATAAACAGATAATAAAAAGATTCTATCACATGCAAACACGATTATGGTTATATATGGGGAAGGAAAACCCAAAAGATAAATTATGGAATTCTGACGTCTGGAGATATGTTTCTTATATCACTGACAACTTTGTTGGATTTACCCCAACCACACTTCAAAGGTCTGCCGTTGATGGTAAAACCTGACAGTTGAACGATTGCCATTGCAGCTCTTTCATGGGTATCATAAGTGACAAATGCGTAACCTTTATGAGAAAGCAATTTGAAGTTTACGATATAGCCGAAATTTTGTAGTAAAGGAATCAAGTCATTTTGTGTGGTGTAATCTGCCAAGTTACCCAAATAAACGGCGGACAACCAACTTGGGGCTTGTCTCAAGACCATTTCGTAAGATGGAGGTCCCATCACAGGAGGTCTGTTGATCATGCTGTTCATATTGCCGTTTGGTTGGTTGTTCATCATATCTATCGAGTTTATTGACATCATGTTGTGGCGCATTTTATTGCCGCCGTTGTTCATGCCGTTAATGTTGTTCATGCTGTTGATGTTTCCCATAGCCATGTTGCTATGGGTGGCGTCTTTTTTCATCAGCATATTATTGTTTGAGTTTGGAGCACTGGATGAGTTGCTACTGTTGAAGCCAGAGTTGTTCATCATGTTCACATTCATCATATTCATGCTGTTACTCATGTCACCGCCCATGCCGTTGTTCATGAGGTTATTACCGCCATTACTATTAGTGTTGTTATTGGTATTACCATTATTATTGTTGTTGTTCATGCCATTAATATTAATCATGCTATTCAAGTTGCTGTTGATATTGCCATTGTTGTAGTAACTGTTGTTGTTGTTGTTGCCGAGGTTGTTATTGTTGTTGTAGTGGTTACTGTTACCAAAACCAATGCCACCATTGTTGTGGTTATTGTTGTGGTTATGGAGGTTGTTGTTGCTGTTATTGTGACGGCGGTCTCTGTGGGAGGCCCAGTTCAGCCTGATTGGGCGGTCGCCCAACATGTAGCCGTTCATGGTTTGTAATGCTTCTTCGGCGTCTTTTTTGTCGTCAAAGCAAACGAAACCATAACCTCTGGATCTACCACTTTTCATGTCCCACATGACGTTAGCCTGGACTAGGGAGGGGAACTTCTGGAAGAACGAGTTCAAAACCTCGTCGTTGACTTCCAGGGAGAGATCACCGATGAATAGATTGAAAGTGTCTGAGTTTTTCACCTGTTGCGTTTGGAAAGCCTTTGTGATTTTCAGCTGGTTATCCGCAATGGAGGTACCGTCCAAGCTGTGGAGAGCGTGTTCGGCGAAGTCTGGGCTTTCGTACTCGACGAACGCGTAGTTGAATCCTGGTCTGTTTTTGTCCTGTAAGATTTTCAGCGACTTGACTGGGTTGCCCAGGGACGAGAAGAGGTCCTGCAAGGTTTCGTCTGCGACGCTTCTGTGGATGTTGCCCACGTAGAGGACGGTTTTGGACAACTCACGGCCGCCGTCGGCGATCGACGCCACGTTCTGGGTCTCTTCTGCAATCAGAGGGATCTGGGACGACGACGGGGTGGAGTCTTGCTGGGCGTCCGGCGTGGAGGCCCGTTCTTGTTGTTGCTGCTGCTGGTCCTGTAGCGGGGACTGCGGTTGCGCAGCGGCGTCCTGCTGTTGTATCTGATCTGCGGACATGCTGTCTGGGTATCTGGACGAGGCGAGAGGCGGGTGGGGTGCTAGCGAGCGTTTCAAGGTGATAACGAGTAGATCAATTAGACAACAGATGGATGCACAGTATTAGTAAGGATTCAAGGACTCAAGGACTCAAGGACTCAGGGACTCAAGGACTCGCTGGAGAAAGAGAGCTCAAGTGAAGAGAACCGAGTGGAGTTAGACGAATCGAGTCGATGCACCGCTGGATGGAGAGTCAACACGGGTCTGTGTGCGATTGCAGTGGAAGTGGGTGTGTGTGAGAGTACGGGGAGCTCTTACGTGCCGGACAGAGGGTCTGGTGCAGGTGCTGGGGAGAAAAAGCGGTGCAATTGGGCGTTTTCTGCGGTTTATTCCTGCTGCGAGCACGGGAGACCTGTTTCAACGACGCCAATGGTGCCAAAGCTCTTCTTATGGACTCACGGCCACCCGTCCTCCTGCTCCTGCTCCTGCTCCCGCCAGACGTCGAGCCAGTGTCCGTCAAGCCTCCCCCCCCGACAGGGAGAAAGCCAGGGTCAGCGCACCGACGGGCGGAAAATTTTCACGCTGCGCCGACGCGTCGGCACGGGGCCATGGGCGAGCATGAACCGGGAGGTGGTGAAGAAGACGATGACTGACAGGAAGACGGCTCGGCGGATGGCTGAGGGCAAAGAAAGGAAGAGGATGGGGGTTCCAGGGCTAGGACGGACAGGCGATGGCGACGAGAGAGAACAACGAAAAGCGGCTGCTGAGCCGGGTGGCGACGTCGGTGCCGGACGCACAGTCGGCAATCGACCGGTCGCTTCCCGAGTTCCCGGCGGCGACGCCCATAGACGAGGACAGCTACTTCCGGCTGCACAAGCCGCCGGCGTACCTCTCGCAGATCAGCACGGGCGTGGCGAGCTTCATTAACGAGAACCACGGGCGGCGGCGGAAGATTGTGCTGGTGACGTCGGGGGGGACGACGGTGCCGTTGGAAAACAACACGGTGCGGTTCATCGACAACTTCAGCGCCGGGACGCGGGGCGCCACGTCGGCAGAGTACTTCCTCGAGCAGGGGTACTCGGTGATCTTCCTTCACCGGGAGTTCTCGTTGTTGCCGTACTCGAGACACTTCAGCCACACGACGAACTGTCTCCTCGACCACCTGCAGTTTTCGCAGGACGGGGAGCGGGTCGAGGTGGACGGCGTGCTCCAGAAGGATCTTCTGAGCGTGCTGGCGCAGTACCAGAAGGTGAAGGCGAACAACATGCTTCTCCTTGTGCCGTTCACGACGGTGCACCAGTACCTCTTCACGCTCAAGTTGATTGCGCAGGAGCTCTCGGTGATCGGCTCGGACGCCCTCTTCTACTTGGCGGCCGCGGTGTCGGACTTCTTCTTGCCGACCTCTCGGATCCCGGAGCACAAGATCCAGAGCCAGGAGCACGGCGGCAAGTTGGTGGTGGACCTCGAGCCCGTGCCGAAGTTCTTGCGCCGCTTGGTTGACTCGTGGGCGCCCATCGCCATGATTGTCAGCTTCAAGTTGGAGACCGACAACACGATTCTCATCAAGAAGGCCCGCACCGCCCTGGAGCGCTACAACCACCAGTTGGTCATCGGCAACCTTCTCCAGACACGTAAGTACGAAGTCGTGTTTGTCACACCGGACAACGAGCATTGGATCCGCCTCTCCAAGGACGCCGCCGAACACAAGGTCGAGATCGAGTCCCTCATCATCCCGCGGATCGTCGCCATGCACAAGACCTGGATCGAAAGCAGAGAAACCATGTAGCGATGTGCGTAGCCCCCTATATATATTATTAACGGATCAATGGAAGCATACGCCAACGACCCCTTCTGCTGTGCCGCAATGCCTACGGCAAGATCTATTTCTAAGTCTATTTACATATCGTATACACGCCGCTAGAGAAACGACACTCCGATCCCCCACTGCAGGCCCTTCCGCAGACCGTCGTTGGCATTGGCAGAGATAGGCACAACCCAGTTGAGCTCGAATGCCGCCATTGGATGGCTGTACGACAAGCCGAAGCCGGCGCTGACGCCGTTGTTTCTCAGGATGTTGCCCGCATTGGCCAGGTTGGTCAACTTGCCCACGTTCGAAAAGAAGTGGAGCTTGAAGTTCGAGTCCGTGAAGTACGGAACGCTCGTGAAGAGGTTCAGTCCGAGAGCATGGAAGTAGTTTCCGCCAACACTCATATTCATCTGCTTCGGCCCCATGCCAGAAACCTGCCACCCCTTGACGTCGTTTGCGCCACCCAATTGGAACTTATCCATCGGATGGACAAGGTCGTTGGCGAGTGGGTGGATGAGCCCTGTCTTGAGGTTCAGGTTGAAAACCATGTCTTTGCTGAGCCGGTGGGCCTTGGAGTAGTCGAAACACGTTTTCACAAATTTGTTCTGCGAAAACAACGACAGCTCGTTCGACATCCTCATGTAGTATCCGCTGTCAAAAATGTACCTCGAGCTGCGACAGTCTCTGACAATCGAGTATGTGATCGACGACTTGAAGCTGTGCCCCGAGTTGAAGAGAAAGTAGTCGGTGATCAACGAGTTGTTTCTGTACGACGCGTTGGGCGAGCTTCTCAAGTCGACGGACCTGACCAAGTTCTCGAAGGAGAGCTCGTGGTTCAGCTTGTTCTCCATAGGGAGGCGGTTCGTGCTCAACTTCAGCGTCAGGCCCTCGATCGCCTGATTGTGGAATGACGTGTAGTCGATGGATCTCGACGAGTGGTAGAATACCGAGCTGAACTTGTAGTCAGGGAGGTTGAAGAGAGGGCACGAGTAGTTTATCAAGTACTCGGACCGGCTCGACTTTAAACGGAACTCATCCGAGGAGATGTTCGTGTCGAGATCCAGCGACTCTCCGCCGCCGAAGATGTTCTTCCATTGGAGCTTGACGTACCCGTCCCCCTCTCCGTTGCCCACGTTCGTGCCAATCTTCATGAAGAACTTCTTCACGGGAACAATCTGCATGTTCACCACGAGGTTCAACAAGTCCGGGTTGAACACGTTGTACGGCTGGCGCTCCGGCACGGCAAGCTGGCAGCCCATGTTTGAGATGGCGTCCGTCTTCACCAGGTTCATGTTCACCAGGTCGATCCGCTTCAAGAGCTTCGACACCGTCAGCGTTTGGCCGCCGTCGTCGAGCTGCGAGCAGATCGGCTCGAGCTGTCTCTTGAGAAACGAGTCCCTGAACTTCCCCTCTCCGCCAAGCACATTGAGCCGCAGAATGTTCACCGGCCTGAGCTCGTTCTCGTTCACAACCTGGCTCAAGGCTTTCATGTTGTACTCGTCTAGAATCTGCTGTCTCTTCTCTGCCTCCTTCTGGGCTTCCGTCTGCGCCGGGCCTGAGCCGCCGGGGGAGAACATAGACTCCGCAAGTCCTTCGCCGTCTCTGTCCATTGCTGCTGCCGGTTCCCTTCCTTGTCTCTTCCAAAGAACACGTCCTCCTGGCCCTGGATCTGACCCGGTCTCCGTGCCACCCCAGGCTGGAGCCTGCCTGAAATTTAAAGGCCCCCGTTTCCTCAACTTCTCCACAGTGTGCGCATTTGCCGAGACCTCCCACAGAAAACCCTCTTGTACGGACTAGAAAGATGTAAGGATATACGGATATATAAACAGCCTGGTCAGAACAGGTCGACCCAGTTCAGCCACTTGAACCACTTCGGCTCCACTAGTAGACACGTGGCGTCCGCCACGGTGGGTCCGGCGGCGCCCCGCCCCGAAAGCACCTCGAGCTTGCCGTCGATCTTCACCTTCCGGCCCCGGGCCTGGTCCACCTTGGCCGTGAGGACAAAGCTCGAGCCCGGAGCAAGCTTCTCCTGGAAGTTCACCTTCAAGTTCGCCGTGACGCCCCTCCCGCTGGGGAGCCTGTCGAACCCGCAGAAGCAGAGCGACTCGTCGAGCAGCGTCAAGACAATCCCGTTGTGGATCTTGCCGTCCAGCCCGACCAGGTTCGTGTTGTCTGCCTTCCCAAACAGCACAAGCTCGCCTGCCTTTCGGTCCACAAGCATCACCGGCTGGCCCAGCCCCATCAACCCCTGCGACACCTGGTTGTACCGGTGTGCCTCTGGAATCAGCTTCCCGACGGGCACCAGCTTAAACCGCTCATCCCGTGCGTACTTCTGGAACAGGTCCACGTCTGCAAACGCCGCCCCGCCACTCTCCTTCTCCACCCGCCTGTCCTGCACCTCCCGCCCGTCCTTCACCAACTCCATCGGCTTCACCCACATGGGCGAGTCCGGCCACGGTCTGGCGAACACCGCAAACCCGAGTCCAAACGACGCAACACCGGCCGTTCCCCGGAAAAGCACTCTCAAAGTCCTGCCTGCAACACCCATTGTCTTCTCGTTTCTCTATTGCCCCTCTGTCTCTTCTCCTCTCATTCCGTAGCTTCTTCTGCCTCCCTCCCCGTCACAGATACCAGGCCACTTCAATCAGTCCGGACCCTTTGGCCCATTACCTGTTACCCGGCCGCGCAGCGCGCCGACGGGTCTCTCTCTTTGCTCCGCCTGCTCCAGCTGCTGGCCTGTACCTGCTACAGGAAGATAGACCAGGAGACGGTGGCACAAGAGCCGAATGGGTTGGAGGAGGGCCCAGGGAAGCAGAGGCGATGGCAGCTATTGATCGGGCATAAGAAGTACGCCAGGATGGACGAAGAAACGCCGCAGAAGAACGTGGCAGAGGCCGTAGGAGAAGCATCGGAGTCGCATCCAGCGCAATCGGATAAACAACCACGTCAGGAACACGAGACTGAGCCGCCAAACGGCACAGCAGAGAAGAGGGAAGAGGAGGACAGAGCCACCAGTAGTGTATCTGCAAGTGGTACACCGGAGGCGGCTGCTGCAGATGAAGAGGATGAGAGCGCCGGCGAGAAGGAGGCCGGCATACCGGAACAGAGTGCCACAGCCGAGAGTGTGCCGCAAGACACATCAGAGACGGCGGAGAACGCCGCCGCAGACGAAATAATAGAGCCAGAGAAGGCGGCAGGAGAAGGAAACACTGCAGAGCAGCAGGGAAACACATCGAACGTGGCAAAGGACGGAGAAGGAGAAGCGCTGGAAGAGACCAAGATGCCCGAGGAGAAGGCAGACGTCGCAAAGGACACTCCAGCCGCGGTGGACCAAGCCAAACCCACCGAGGACGGAATTGCTGACGATGGCGCTGATGATGGCGCTGACGCTGGTGCTGATGGCGCCTCCAATCAGGCCACCGGCGGTGAGCCTCAGGCGGCTCCAAAGAAAAAGCCGGCCAGCGACCCATCAGAAGCTGCAGCAGTCCTAGCAGAACCAGCGCAGGCTGAGGAGAAAGTCAAGAGTGACTCTCCGGAAGATTCCAAGGACAGTGCAGAAAAACAGAAGTTCCAGGGCGGTTCTGGGCCCAATTCAGGCTCCAACAACGATATGGACGACCTATTCGACGACTCCAGCCTTCCACTTCTGGATAACGATGATCCAGATGATGGCGACTTTGTAATGCAAAACAACGATGAGAACAATGGCGACGAGAACCACAACGAGGAAGGCGTTGACAGCAAAACAGTGGCGATTGGAGACCTCAGCGCTGGAGAAACGGAGGACAAGGACGAAGCGGCCTTGGAGGAGGAGAAGGAGGAGAAGGAGAATAATGAAATCGTGGACAAAATTGGCACTGGCATAGATGACAAACCGGAGAACATAGAGCAAGGCTCACCAGAAACTGTGAACGATCTTCAAGAATCGGCCGAAAATCTCTCAAATCCCCAGGTGGGCACCAGTCCGAGTAAGGAGCCTGAAGTATCGATGTCTTCCCTAGGAAGACAGACCCACACCATCGTGTTGCCCTCTTACTCTTCTTGGTTCAACTTGTCCACAATACATGAAATTGAACGTGAGTCTCTTCCGGAGTTTTTCCAAACCGTCAACAAAAACAAAACGGCCGAGATCTATATGAAATACAGAAACTTCATGATAAATTCCTATCGATTAAACCCAAACGATTACCTCTCCTATACAGCCGTAAGAAGAAACTTGATTGGAGATGCAGGATCTTTACTCCGACTACACAAATTCTTAACCAAGTGGGGATTAATCAATTACCAAGTGAATCCAGAAACAAAACCAAAGCAAACAGAGCCACCGTACACGGGAGATTTTGTGATAGATTATGACACCCCGAGGGGAATGTTCCCATTTGAGAGCTACAAACCTCCGACCACGTTCCCAGATCTCAAAAAATTAAGAGCTATATTAGCACCTCCGTCTACAGGTGCCGATGAAGAAAAACAAAGTACAAAAGACTCAGAACAAAAAACCCCTGACAGTGAACCTCCCCTCAAAAAGAGAAAAATTCTCAAACCAGATATAGATCATAACTGGGATGAAATTTCGTTGCAGAGATTGGTCGAAGGTGTTTCCAAGCATAAAAATGATTGGTACAAGGTTGCCGAGTTTGTGGGTGGGAACAAAACCCCAGATGAGTGTATCATCAGATTCCTGCAGTTACCAATCGAAGACAAATTTTTGGAGGATAACAAGGATGTCCTTGGTCCATTAAAGTATATCCCAAATTTATCATTTTCTCCAAATGATAACCCGATCATGTCCACATTGTCATTTCTTGTCAATATGGTGGATACCGATGTCGCAGTGGCCGCATCCAACAGAGCAATCAAGGTGATGGATAAGAAATTGGAAAAGAAACTCAACCGCTTTAAGGACCCCGAGGAAGGGGCCACACCCGCCAGTGACAAGGATGATGCTCTAAAGGACGTTAAAGATGCTGCAGTTAATACTTTTGGGATAATTGGAGCAAGGTCTCATTTGTTTGCAACTTTCGAAGAAAGAGAAATGCATAAATCTCTCGTAAATATAATTCAACACGAATTGAAAATAGTAGACATGAAACTTGCGAAGTTAACGTCTTTAGAAAAAGAGTTTGAGCTACAGAGAAAGCGTCTAGAAAAGAAATCAAGCGAACTTTTGGAAGAAAAACTAGGAATCTTCAAATACAACAATGCAGCAACCTCAAAACTTTTACAGGTTATCTCTTTACTAGAATCAAAAGACGACTACAAGGAGGTGGACATTGGTAAAATCAAAAACTTGATCACACAGTCAAAGGAAATTTTGTATAAGCCACCTCGAAAACAGTTAAATATACTTGAAGAAGGGGATTTTGACGAAAGTGGTGAAAACTTGAATGAATCTGTGAAACCTATCAGTTTCGAAGCTCCAATGCTTTACAGGTATTGGAGCGGATAAGTCTTTTCTTTCCTCTGCGAATTTCTATCCAAACCGTATAAAGACAAATAAGCTGTATCATAAAAAAATCGAGTGTCGATAAAGAATAAGTGTAATATTATTTAAATGCCTGTTTAAACGTTATATTGTAGTGTATATATTTACATGTAAAATCATAAGAATTTGTCCAATTTTTCAGTCGTTTTGGCAGGACTATGTTCGCCATTTGATTCATCAATTTCTATTCCCTTAACCTTGTTGAACGCCAACTTCAGTTTCTGTTCATCTAATCCTTCAACACCTTTAACTTCGATAGGACTCAAATCGAAAACGTCAACAAATCTCTCGTTCCAGCTCTTCAAAGTTTCTCTCACACCCTCCACAGTAATCTTCCCCTGCTCTGCTTCTTCTTGTAATCTTTTCAACACGCCAAATTTCTTTTCGAAGTTTTCATCAAGTTCATCTCTCAAATTTTTCTCTCTCATTATATTCAAGGTAGAACTTCCTAACAAGGTTATTAGAAACAACTGCCAGAATGTCATTCGTAGTGATCTTTTTTTCATCGCCTTTTTGATCTCTGCCTTTTCATCTAATGTTGCTTGCGGTAGCTCTATATCAGACACTTCCTTAGCAGCAATATCACTTTCCGTCAATGGCGTTGGTTGCTCACCCATATCTGACATATACTGCTGCGTTGGTCTTGGCAATTCCTTGGCCCTCACTAGTGTTGTGCTCATGCTTCTGGCGAAAAACACCGAGCCTGATCTTGTCCTCAGTATGCTTGATGTTCTTTGCATCATCACTCTGTTGAAATGTTCCTAGTAGTGGTACTCAAATCTAAAACGATGGTTTGTTTGCAACCTTGCATTAGCTAGTTGACCTTTTGATAGAAATCTATTCCAGACTTCAACAACTTCCTAATAGTGGAAATTTTATACATTGATTACGTAACATACTTTCATGTTTATGATGGCATATGAAAGTGAACAAACAGTAGTGAATGCTACTATAAAACATAAGTTAAGAATATAATACGATAGTAAATATGTAGTAAAACAGGCTAATCATCATTCTGGTCATCGCTCAGTCTAAACTCCGAGTTGTCTGCATCTAGAACCGGCTCATCAGTCCCAGCTGATGATGGCTCGTCACGGTAACCGTTTCCTTCGTGAGAAGTTGTAAATTCATCAAAATCGTCATGATTTCCACGCTCGAGAAAACTGTCGATCTCTCTAGCATCTTCGTCATCGTTCAAATCTCCAAACAAAGAATGGTCATCATCTACCATGTCATTGAAAAATGCTCCAATGCTTCCCGTACTTTGGCTTGATGGGTTACGCCCCGTGACTCTATCGATTAATTTTAATCCACTTCCGTAAAACTTTGACATTAGCTGAAAACTAAAAACACCAAACCTAATAATTGTGTTGACTATTTTATCGAACTTGTTTTCTTCAATCAATTGTAAGTTGTCGTCCTCGTCAAGACGGATTTCGCCAAGTCTGCTAAATCCGCCGTTTCTACGAACGCCACGTACGTAGATGACAGCAATGGGAATGGATACTAAAACAATAAGTTTGAGTAAAGAGGTCCAAAACAACCCCCAACTGCCATGTCCAACTTTTTCACTTTCTTTACCAGGACAAGGATGAGAATTCCATTTATCAAGGTTCACTCCTCCATCACAAGAACTTTGCGCCAACTTTCTGTAGCCAGTAGGTTCCCACCACTCATTGACGTCACCGCTAGAGCAAACTTCATCACCTTTCAAAGAATCCAATCCTTTCACCAATCTGCAGGTACTATCAATGGCTAACTCAAAGTTGTAGTCACACTCATAGTCGTCTCGTGTGCATTCGCAATTTTTAACCACAGTTGATCCCAAATAAAGCGGTGCCCTTCCAATAAAACAATCACTTTTAGCCTTTCTGCGTAAGTATGATGTCTCACGGCCGAATAAGCAGGAACTTTTCAAAGTAGGATGTTTTGGAACAAAATACTCGTAATCATCGGATGGCTCCAGTGAACTGAAAGGAAGCATACATTGCCTCGAGTAAACTTCAGTGAAATCGATTGAAATAATACTGTTGGAAACACCTTCATCTTTAACAATTAGAATGAATTTCAAAGAATTATCAGAGGGAACAGTTGCAATATCTTCTACCAAATATTTCTTGTCGGGAGAGAACTGATAATCAATCCAACTTTCACCAAGATCAAGAGAATATTGAAGTGTATCGACTTCAGTTAAAGTTTGAACAATAACTAAAATTGTACCCTGATCACCAAATTCCCAAATGTAATGACCCTTTGCAATTTCCTTCCAAGAGATACCTGCATCTTTGGTAAAGTATAAGCCAATATCATCGTCATCTAAGGATGAAAGAGATGTACCAACATTACCCAAGCCAAACATCATTCCGATGGCAGAACCTGATGAGAAAGAGTCACGAGATGGATCTAGCCTTTCAGTATATGAATGTAAATGCAAGCTGCAACCCTTGCAATTTATGTTGTTTCCACTAGAGTCTTTCGAAGGTGGCGATAAAAGTAGCCACGTAGCGGCATCGCTGTGTGAAATTTTAGTCACCAATTTCTTATCAGCCCCGTTTCTAACATCTTCAGGATTTATTACAACATTGGCAAGAGATAAACCCTCCAAGCCTTGCACACTTTCAAAGTCCACAAAAGCGTCTGAATTTCTGTTCACATAATTAAGAGCAGTAGTTAACAAAGTTCCATTATAATTTGCCTTCAACAATGCACCAAACTCGTGTTCCGGAGCGTCATGAGTTGTCAAATGGAGGAATAATTCATCAGAGTTAACATCTAAAATGGTATAAGCTGTCTGTCTTTCAACTGTAAGATCTTGAGGAAAGTGGACTTTTGCAAAAGTTTTACCATCAACAGAAACATGAGCTGTAAGCGATTCTTCATCTGTTAGTTCTGCAACAACCATAAATTTGCCGCTAGTAGTAAAGCCAATTATTCTCTCGAATAGTACCTTTGGTTCCGACGCAAAGCTGTCCGTTGTTGATATCAATCTATAATAAGATTCTCCACTAATTGATTGTGAGCAAATTATCTCCGTTTCAGGATAGTTATAATGCTTAGCATCAAAAACACTCTCCGCAAAAACACATTGTTGAATGTCAGATTTGAGATCGTTATAGGTATATCCATTATCTTCGGTTATAGATGCATAAACTTCACAATTATTCGAGGCATCACAGTTAATATGTGAATATAAGATGTGCACATCTGGACTTTTTGAATCAAACGACATTTTGTATGCACTATAGCCAGTAGATGTATGGGGAGCGACAGTAACTCCAAATGTGTTGCCTCTGTCCTTGGAGAAAAAGATTTTTCCTGTATCAGATATCAAATGAACAGAGTCTGGCCAGTAAGGATTGGTGTATAAATATAATATAGACTCATCTGTCATTTGATCAAAATATTCACCATCGTAGGATATATAAGCTTTTCTGGAAGCTGTCAATACAATCAGAGTTTCTGTCTGAAACTCAACTTTGGTTGAATTTTTATTCAAATATTGGTAATACATGATATTTTCTTTGAAAGAGTTGAGTTTCACTCTTACTGCCTTCAATTTTTTCTCAGCAAGGGCATCTTTGCAGTTCAAGGTATAATCATCAGTCAGAGGTTTGTAACCATCTTGACACAAATTTCCGGATGTAATTCTTCTTGTAGACAATTTAACAGATGACTTACCCGTTTCACAGTAGTGTGCCAAAATGGGTAATACTGGCTCACACTCACCGTTGCTATTCTCTTTGAAACCAGAGCTACACTCTGAATCTTTGATTGTACAAACGCAGGACTGTTCAATCACCTCAAGATCTTTGTAATTCAGGTTGAGAAAACATTTGGAGTCGAGCTTCCTTCTGATAAACTTTTCGGAGTGTCCATACACACACACTGGTTCTTTCGTTTTAGGATCGACCCTCGGGAACCATTCCTCCATGTCTGACTCGGTACATGTCTTATCAAAAGCGCCCTGGAAGTCAAAAACATTCAAAAGTGATTTTTTGCTCTCAACATCAATACTCAAAAGAGCAAACGTTTTGTCGGTGTTATCTTTGTTATTGACAAAATAAAGAGGAACAATTTTAGAAGGTAGGGGTACTTCGGTCCAGGTCTGCCCCTGGTCTAGTGAGTAAGAAATAGATTTCGCTGATTTATCGGCCTTTCCTTCCATGAAGTACTCCACATTAACCGGAACAGTGACCAATATATTTCCTAAGTCACCAAATGCAAAAACCGTAGGAGTATCACTAACTTTTTGCCAAGATAACCCACCATCTCTGGATACAAATGTTTTCAGTTTATCGAACGAATGGTCAAGGTATTTTCCAACGTTACCAACTCCAAGTTGAATACCTGGAGTTTCACCTGTCACCAGATCACCATTACCCGCTCTCTGCGTAAGCCATGCAATATGAAGCGAACATTCATCGTCATTGTTACAGGATTCAGAATCTGTGATATTTAAGTAACTCCAGTTTTCACCATCGTCAAAGGTAATCATCGATTTAGATTTTGGAAATTGCATACCGTTGTATTCTACATTGTGAGAGGCCACCCAGACACCGTCTAGCGTTTGAACCTTGCTGATAAGGGACATACCCAGTATATTCGAAAACACGTCTCCAAAAATCTTTTTAAAGTATCTTCCGTCAGAATCAGATCTAAAGATGTTCGAAGATGCCATACCATACCCACTGTTCCTCTCAAAGACAGAGATATAGAGACTGTCGAGAGTAGAGCCTAGAACGTTGAACATCCACCCTTTTTCATGGTCTTCAAAAAACGCCTTATAAAAAGACTTACCGTCTTTTGAGGTGTAAAGAGCACTGAAGTCTGCTAGATATCTGTCTTTGCTGGCTTCCACTATCACAAAATTTTTGACAACAGTAATCTTTCTAGCATTCAAACCATCTAGGTGTGACACATCGCTAGAGATCAAATTATCAAAGAAGTCATCTGTCGTAGCAAGCTCAGAAGATTGTAATACATTGAATGAATTCATCTCGTTCATGATACAGATTATGTGCTCATCAGGTCCCTGAGTGAACTCGGGATTTATTTTTGTGAAAGTGCATTCGCCCAAATTGTCAACTTTTACCTCTGCAGGAACCGTCTTCAGCTTATCCTTGGAATAAAAGGTTTGTTCTACTACTGTGTAATTGTCAAAGGATATGAATTTGAAGAGCATGTAGTCATTGTTGGCATAGTTGATTTGAGCATTTCCAAAGACACTATCGGTCACGGGGAAATCCACATAGTCCCAATTCTCACCCTGGTCAAACGTATACATCGTCTTGCCGCTTGAGGTGAAAATCATTGCAGCGTTGGGCTGGTAGGTAAATTCCTGAATGCCTGTCACTCTTGGCTCATCGCCGTTTTCGTCAGATAGAGGCAATTTGCTCCAGTTCTTGCCCGAGTCTCTCGAAAAATAGGCTCCATCAAAAGAATGTAGTAACAGCTTTGATGAGTCTTCGAAGTGTAAGATATCGCCCACGTTGTCGAATTCAGATGTAGTAATTTCTGGAGACCATGTCGGGTCGTCTGCTGCAACGACGTGGAGTGCCATCAGCCACCATACCAATACCGTGCAAAGGCCAGAAAGTCCGGTATTCATTGTGTCTGTGTGTGTTTTCTGTCTCTATCAGACCACGTTAGATTCTAGAGGCCTATTCAGTTCTGCTTTCAACGCAAAATGAAAGCCTCCTCCAATCAATACTTCCGTCGTGGTGAGCCCGGCCAAATCATGGGGCCGCCACGCAATGCGTCGGTTCTCGCCTCCCCTCTGCAGCTACGCCTTTATTGAAAGCTTACATATTCTTACACGCTACACAGCGACGTCGTGGCTTGTCACACTTCCCATCCAAAGCGGGGGACAACAACACCCTCCAAAGAAGCACTCTGTGCCGTTATACGCAGTGACCGACCGCCAATGCCGTCCTCTTCCTCGTCGAAGACCCCGGCCGCAATGCATTGTATGAACACCACCCGATCCAGGAAATGCACTCTCACAATCGTCTCTGATGCTGAGACTACCTCACTCGTGAGTATATCGAACTCGATGGCTTCACCCAAGACGCCCTGTTTTTGCTGGAGACACTTGAGGATAGCAAGTTTCCACGTGTTCACATCGGCCTGTTCCGTTCCTGTTCTGTCGTACTGGTGTTAGTAGCTCAATTCCGAAAAGCATATAAAAATGAGTGTGATGAAAACTTACATTTGCAACCGCACATAGTACCACTCTCTGTGTTTGCTTTTCAGCACCCATTCATCACTGTTCATGCCTCTGTTTGTCTGCACACTCCGTTTTGTCGGAGGTCTTTCAGGTCCTGCACCCTCCTCTCTGCGATCAGATAGTGCAGTGTCTTCTTCCGGGTCCCTCGCACAAAAGATTTTCGGCCCGTTTTGGAACTCGAGACTCACATACCAACTTACTGACTTTAAACAATGATACACCCTACAAAACGCCGCTCTGCTGGAGCACGTTGCCCGAGTTGAGGTCTAGGGTAGCCTCGAAGATGGCAGTGACAATCACATCCCACTCTAAAGTGACGTACTTCATCCCGCTGTTCTTGCAGGCGGTCGTGAAATGCTTCTGTACGTTCTTCTCTGCCGTGCTGCAAACTAAGATGGCAACGTCGGACACCCCGTTTACATTCTTCTCCACATTGGCAGCTGCGGTCTTGGTGGTTTCTTTGAAAAGGAAGCACTGCTTGCATCCGAAAGCCTTTAATATGCCCTTGAGCGTATCGAAACCACCGGCCAGGCCTGGCGATAAGTTGAACACAAACCCTTCGAAAAGCCCCTTTCTTGGTCTCTTCAAGTACTCAATGGCCTTTTCTCTTGTAGTGTTTGTGCGAAAAAGCCGTTTCGGCATGATGTCCTTTTCGTAGTCTACATGCTCCCAGATGTCGTACTTCTCGATCTTGGGCGAAATCGAGTCAAAATCACCAACCTTCTTGACACTGTCCAAGGTGCCCAGCACATCGCTCAAAAATAGGGGCTCGAGAAAGTATTCGGGGCTGTATGAGAGTGCTGTGAGAAACTTTTGAGTACGAAGTAAGCTCGGAGCAATGATGCAGTTGATGGTTTTGTTGGCGTTCTCAACAATGTTTATTCCAACTTTTCTTAGCTCTCGTTTGTCTCCCACGGAGAGGGAACCATCAAAACCTGTAACAATTGCGGTGATGTTGTAGGGCTTTTCGCTTTTGACAGTTTTTTTGGTTGCTATCCTTTTGTTTTCTTTGGGTTTTTGATCGTTCTCCTCGACTGAGATAGCCTTTCTCTTGGTAGGAACAGATTTTGCTGGCTTCTCACCATTTTCTTGGATTTGCCAAACGCTATCTGGCTCCTCACTTTTCTTTCCTTCTGGATTCTTCTCTTCGGGTATCACTGCTTTCACTGCCGTTGATGCTTCCTCTTGGAGTGCTTTTCTATCTTCATTTCCTCTTCTATTTCTTGTTCGTACACGACTTTCTGGGTTTGCAGGAATTGTTTTTGCTTCCGCAGGCTCTGATAATACCCTTTCTTTTTCCTCAACTTCTTCGAGACCCTTTGGGTCATGGCTGCTTTTCTTCTCCTCTATACTGTTCATTTTGGTTTTCTTATTACTCTGAGTAACTTCAATGGAAGCAGAGTGTTCTTGATTATTTCCAACTTTCCTCTTCAGGACACCAATGTCGCCTTTTTCATCCTGCAGTTGGGTTTCAAAGTCATGCTCTACGACTTTCTCTTGCTCTTTGTTTTTTCCCTCAAAGGTGTACTCAAAGCCATTAAACTCAATGTCTCCAATGAGCCTTACACCTTTGGCGTCTCGTGGCAAATTCTTATACTCAGAAACGTCCATTATCTTCCAGTTTTTGAACGAGTCTTCCACCCACATGTGATTCACAATTTTCACGTTCCAAGACTTGGCAAACTCAAATTTCTTGCCAACACTTTTAGAAGCAACTAAATGTGTATTTGTAGATTTCATGGTTTTACTGAACTTCCCTCCCATCCGCATGGTCAGTTCTTCGATGTATATCCGAGAGTCTCCAGTGTAATTGGTAGTAGCAATTAACGTCTCGGCCATTCCAGAGATCGGATTGCGATTCACAGGATAAAATAGCAGAGAATCGTAAGGCATATTATTCTTTTTATGGAATAACAGGGAAAATAAATAATCAAATGTTTTCTGTTTGTAAGACTTGTCAATCTCATTGTTAAGATATCGGGTCAAAAACACTCTTTCTCCAGCCTTATCTCCATCATCAAACATGGTAAAATATGACCTCATAGTATCTGAGATATTGAGATTATCAGATAGTGCAAAGTTCAATCCGGAAAGGAAGTCAGGCTTTTGAATCACTACTTCTTTCCCTTTTTCAGCTTTTCCATCATTAAAGGAGTACAATGATTCGGGCAATACACTACTCTGCATTATGCTATGGAAAATCCAATCTACTTTGACAATTTTGACAATTTTTCCTGAAGGATTATACTCGTTAAATGCCATGATCAATTTGGTGTTGTCATCTTCTAAATCATTTGTCACGTAGTGAGTTAGTGACTTTTTTAAATCATCAAGATAGATGCCGCCAAAGGTTTTTACTCCGATCTTCAAAACCTCTTTGTCATCATCTTGCAATCCTCCACCTGCTGCCAATATCACATCTTTGAAAAAATGTTTAGGGTCGGGTGAGTAAGACCTCAACGGAATTACTCTTTTATTCTTGATCACGTCTTTGACCCATTGAGTTGTCACAACAGGTATCATCAAACTATCGACAATGACATCATATTTGGGAAAATCAATTACATTTGAAACAACATGTGTAAACTGGCTAAGCTCATATCTGCTCATTTTTTCTAGCTGCTTGTAATTGAACTTTTTCATCGCATCATCACTATTTAATGATTCTATCGAGTCTAATCCGATCTTCAATTCCTCGAGAGCGGCAGAGTTCATTCCATTTTGGGCAGTTCCTTCAACAGCAAGAAGCTGAACATCACCTAAAGTAGTCCCCATTGCCATTGTATGGATGAAATTTACCCGTGTTTGGACCTTTGTCAAAGTCTGGACCATCCTAGATGATTTAACTGATTGTGTTCAGCCTTTGAAGAAACAAAAAATAAAATTCAAAAATAGACGCGTTGCAATTCCAAACACTTTTTCTGGTCATATTTTTTCTCGTACTTGTTCGGCTAGGATAAGTTCTTTTGTGGACATTGTTAGAGGATAATAAACTGTGTCAACTCAGCAAGGTGAATGTGATGTCAGGTGTGAAAAGAAGGTTATCAGTTGATGAAACTGAGACGAAGCAACAGTTTACTGCTGCAAACATCTTGAAATCTGCCTACGAGTCAAGCATCAATGAATTAAAAACTCCCGATTTTCATATCGCAGACTTGGATGAGCTTCATTATTTCCAGCAAAGAAAACGAACTGAGTACGAAAATGCCTTACGTAGAAATAGATTTAATTATGGACAATGGATGCGATATGCACAGTTTGAAATCGACCAGAAAGATCTACGACGAGCAAGGTCTGTTTTTGAAAGAGCTCTTGAAGTTGACTATAAAAATGTATCCATGTGGGTAAGATATATACAGGTAGAGATTAAAAACAAAAACATAAATCATGCAAGAAACTTACTGGAAAGAGCAACAAAATTACTCCCAAGGGTTGATAAACTATGGTATATGTATATCACCATCGAGGAGACGATAGGGAATATTGTTGCCGTGAACGAGATTTTTGAGAACTGGTTGCAATGGAAACCCGTCAAAGACGTATGGATTCATTATATTGAGTATAAGGAAAGATATGGAGAGTATGAAGATGAGCGTCTGCTCTTTGAAAAGTTTGTAACTACTTTTTGTGAGAGTGAGACATGGTTAAGATGGACTACATTCGAGAAGAAGCATGGCGACTTCACCAACGTTGAAAATGTTTTCAAATTAGGTGTTAATGCATTATTTGCAAAAAACAATCTCACATCACAATTTCTTATAGCATGGATCCAATTCGAACACTCGCATAAAAAGTTTGAAAAAGTAAGAGAGTTGTATAAGTTTGGGTTCAAAGCGTTGAACGCAAAGGAAACACACAACTTACAAAAATTTCAAACCGATTTTGAGAAACAATATGGAGTCGACAATGAGAATGTCGAGAAATATGTCTTGTTGAAGCGAAAGGTTGTTTACGAAGACCAATTGGCGAAAGTTCCTACAGATTATGAAACATGGTGGACGTACTTTAACCTGCTTATTGATTCCGAGCTTGAAATATCTAACGACAAAATTCGAGAAAAGTTTGAGAACGCTCTTGGAAATATCCCCCAGGACTTGGAGCACCAGCACTGGGTGCCGTATTGTTATCTATCCTATCGATTTGCTTTGTGGGAAGAGTATGAAAATAACAGAATAGATAATGCTAAGCGCATATATGAAAAACTTATAAAACTGATTCCTCACAAAAAAATTACAATCATTGACGTTTGGTATAAGTATGCTGACTTTGAGCTTCGAAATTTTGATGTAACGGCAATGAGAAAAGTTTTAGGCCAAGCTATTGGTCTTGCATCAAATGAGGATATAATTTTGCACTATATCATGCTGGAAATCAAATTGAAATACTTTGACAGAGCAAGAAAGTTGTTTAACAAGCTAATAGAATTGTATCCCAAGAACTGGAAGAATTGGCTAGAATATTTTGGTTTTGAAGATTCTTTAGGTAATGATGTGCGAAGCAGCAACATTATAGAGATCTCCATATTTGAGAATTTCCTTAGCCCTAAAGACAAAGTTAAAATGATTGGATCAGTTGTTGACCAGTTGATTGAGAACTACAACTTCAACTTGGCCAGGCGATTGTACGAGTACAAAGTTGAGTTAATGGAACAAGATGTTGGAGCAATGATCGAACGCTGCTTGTTTGAATTGAAAGTCCCTAGTCAAAAACAGATTGAGGCATACGACAAGAGTAAGAATAACGGCACTGATCAATTTGCATTTGTTGTTGATGAAGATACGAAAAACAGGGTGCGCAATGAATACGACCGTTTTCTCAAAGTCATGAAGTATTCTGAGAACGTACAGAAGAGGATTGTCCTTTTGGAATCGTGGAAAAAATTTGAGGAGCAGTATGGGGATACGGAGAAGGTGGAAAGTGTTGTCTCAAGGTTGCCTAAAATTATACGAAAAACAAGGAGTGTTGAAGGGGAGGACTTCCAGGAAGAGTACATTGAGTACGTTTTTCCCGAGGATGTGAAGGAAATTCAGGAGCAGGTGGATGAGTTTGAAGCAGAATTTGTGAACGAGCTCCAGGTTGGTATAGATAATGAGAAGGAAGAATATAAGGAAGATGATGATGTTGTTGATGAAGAGGATGAGGCAGAAGACGACGCTAGTGACGGTGCTAATGCCGCAAAAGCTAAAGCGTTTCACTCTCGTTTTGCATCAGATAGCGAGGGAGAGGAAGCCGACCAAGACGAAGACGACAACGATAACGACGACAACGACGAAGCTGATCGAACGAGCAGTAGTTTCCGTGGCCGGTTCGAAGAGTAGGCTGCCATCATCATTATTTTGTTCTGCGTAAAGGTATTGATCGATCGAGTGAGCGTAAGATAGATATATAGAAAGATACAAACAGGTGCGGCTGCCCCGGTCATAGTTTGGGCTTTTCTAACAACTTCTGCTTCAAGACATCAGGGTACATCTCAAGGGTGTTGAAGTTGCCCATTTGCCAGAACCCGCCGTCGACCACCATCACCGTCCCTGTTATCCATTCGGCGGCAGGACTGAACAAGAATATTGTCGCGTTGGCAATATCCTTCGTCCGGCCCACCCGTTGCAAGGGGATCTTCGACTCAAAGTTCTTTTTGTTGGGGACCAAGCGGTTAAAACCCTCGGTGCCTCCAATAGGGCCCGGCGCTATGCAGTTGCAGCGGATCCCGATGGGTCCGAACTCCACCGCTAAGGCGTTCGACAAGGCATCGATGCCTGCCTTGGCTGCACCCACGTGGCTCTGGAAGGGGACGCCGTAGTAGTGGAGGGTGGCGGAGATGAACAACACCGACCCCTTGCTCTTCACCAACTCCGGATAACACGCCTTGACGGTGTTGAACGAGCCGAGGAGGTCGATGTCGACAACGGTCTTGAATGCGTTTGCCGACAGATGGTTGAAGTCGGACATGAAGTTCCCTGCAGCCCCGCAGATGACATAGTCGATCTTCCCGAAGGCAGAAACCGTCTTCGCCACCACGGCTGCCATCGACTCGATGCTGCGCACGTCACACCCGCCAAAGCCCACTACCTTCGCCTTCGCCTGTGCACCGATCTTCTCCAACAGCGACACCACCGAGTCCACCTGTTCCTGATCTCTTCCGACAATGGACACCGAGCATCCGAGCTTCATCAACGCCGCTGCCTGCTGTCTGCATATTGTTCCAGACCCGCCTGTGATAAGGCACGCTTTTCCCTGGAAAAGGCCCTCCTGCCATACTTTAAAATATTCGTGATTCTCCATCGTGTTTCTGTGTTGAATCTTGTGATCCGCAGAGTACATATCTAACAGTTGCTGGCTTCAGAGAGTCTTGACAGGCCCGTCAGCACAAACAGCCCTCCTTTTATGGGGGCCCCAGAGCGACCCCACAAGTTTCCCCGCTTTGGCATTCTGTCGCTAGGTTGACATTTTCTTCTTTTTGTCGCTGTTCCCTATCCCGTCATGCAGGCCGGTCATTCCGCCGTGGGCGTCGGAGTCAGCTTGCTCCTCAGTCTCCAGTGCCCGCTTACCCTTGTTACTTGAAGTTGACGACGATGATGGAGGATTAGCCGGCTCGAGGTTGGCGGTAGACACATCAGTATCGTTGTCCTCGTCGCCGTTGTTGTCTGTGGCTGCATCGCCCGGCTCGGAGGGCGGCTGTGGGAGCGCCAAGAGACTAACGCCGAGAAAATTCCCCTTTAGGATATCGTGGTAGTTGTCGGCAAGATACCTGCGCAAGAGCTGAAAGTTGGGCACCTCGAGGTTCTCGATGACGATGTTTAGGAAGTTGAGACAGGTGGAGTTGACGAGGTTGTTGTAGTCGTTAGATTCGTGCAGAATTTGCATGAAGCCGCTGAGTATGTCGTTCTCAATGATGTAGCGGGTGTAGAACTCATCGTTGAGCAAGACGATGTTGCGCAAACAGCGCACAGCGCTCAAACGCAACTGGTACTTGAAACGCGGGGCGATGAGCTTGTTGATGCCCTTCAACAGGTGGTTTTCGAGGATAAACGACCGGCTAAATACAGAGTCGTGAAACTTGGAAATGAACCCGAGAAGCTCGCAGAGGTCCTCGAGGGTGACCAAGTCTTCTCTGCTGTACGCCGCGTCTGGCGGGGTTTTGTCGTCCTCGATGATGGTGATTATCGGCTGGAACAGCTTGAGTGCCGACTTTTCGTAGAAGTCGCTGAAAAAGGAGTCGTCGACTAGCTCGCTGATGTTGACGCTATCGTTGATCAGCTTGTTGTTCGACTCGACCAGGTTGTTTGGGTCGATCAAAATCTTGATGGCTTCAAACGCCTGCGTTTTCAAGCCTATGTTTTTCTCGCCAATCAGTATGTTTATAAGGGTGTTCATTAGCATCTCCTCGTTGGAGTTCTTGAAGAGCAGTATCTCATGCTCGATAATAGTGACAATTACCTCGGTGACCAGGATTCGGCTTTCAATCTCCTTCTCTCTCGTGGAAAACTTGATCATCGACATCAACCCCTTGGCAATCAAGGCTTTGTAGAATTCGGTTCTTTGGAAAGGTTGCTGTGTTTTCGAGATAAGAACGAATTGGTTGATGAGCTTGATTCCATCTATTTTCCTCCGGTATTTTTCTAGACTTTTTTCGTCATCTTCTTCGTCTTCGTCATCGCCATATAATGCAAACAACTCTTTCAAAAAGCTGTCATTGTTCTGCATGAAGTCTAAGATCCGGCTTTCTTTGTTTTGAATCATTGTCGAAATACAGTTGAGTCCCGAGTCGTCTAGGAGTCTAGCCAGCACGACATCTTTCAAAAACCGCAAGACAAAACACTTTCTGATCTCTTCTTCTATTGCGTCATCGTTGACCTTGATTACCTCCTTGATCTTGACCTTTTCGTTCAAAAAGTCTCTCCAATTCATCTTCAGGCCGGGGAATTCCGGCTCGTATTCCAAAATGCCAACAACATTTTGCAATATATCTCCCTGAATGAGCAATTCAAAAATGTCGATCTCGTTGAAATAGACCAAGGTTTTGACAATGTCGCTGAGACAGTAGATGTTGGAGAGCTGGTGGTTGTCCTCGCAGGAGGTGAAGATGTGCGCGAGTTGAACCAGCCATTCGCCACCACTCTTCAATATTTGGCCGATGATCCTATTTTTGAACTGATTTATCGTTAGCATGTCCAAGATGTTCTCCAAGTTCTCGACGCTCGGGACGGGCAACTCGGGTGCCGGGCCGGCAATGATCTCTGTTATCTCTCCCTCGGCACTTTGTATGATGGCCACGAGGCTGATGTTGGGAGCAATTTTGTTGTTCTGGATCTCAATTAAGAACTCGCAGAGCTGCAGACAGCCGTCTGTTTCCTGGAACGACAACGCGTAGTCAGTTCCGTCTTCGTTAGTCCATACTATCAAAGTGTCCTGCTGCCGTTGGTACTGGGTGGAGCCTCGTATTGGGGAGTTTAGAAGAACGTCTTTCGGGTCAGACTCATTCACCACAAAAAAGTGCGGTATGGGCTCAAGTTTACCGCTGCAGTATCCAGTACCGCAGTCAACCCATTTGTCTGCAGAGAGTGTGTAGAGCTTCACCCTTCGTGGAGAATTATCTCCGCTATCACTGTTCGGATCGTCTCTGATGACTTGGTGTTCTTTGTACATTACTGTTGTTTCCTGGTGCTTTTCCTCTCCCTGAGAAGGCACCTGATTTGCTTTATCGGCCGTTGTTTCAGAATCTGAGACCGGATCTGCAATCTCTTCCATGTGAACCGTTGTTTCTGTATGGACAGGGTCCTCGGGGATCTCCTCCGGCCCGGTGAACACAGATGTTGTCGGCTGCAATTCCTGTGTCTGTACTTTGGATACAGATAACGGGGTGGGCGACAGTGGAGACATCTGTGTCGTCATTGTTGTCCGGGGTGAGCTGGCGCTATTCTCGCTGGCCGGTTGTGGGGCGGACGCTTTCTGCGGAGACTCGGGAAAGTCGTTCGCTGGTGTCTCTGGATCCGGGTGTGTTGTCGGAGCCAGCGTCATTGGGTGCTTACGCGGAAACAGAGACGGCTGGCGGAACTAACTTATGCCAACGAAAGGGTGGGTGCTGTCAGATGCTCTAAAGTCTGTTTGTGGTGATAATGGGTGCTCGCTGCTGGTGAGAAAAAAAGACAGAGAGAGAGAGGAAGAGAGAAGAAAACAGATATGGTTAAAGAAGGCGCACTTACGTCAGCGAGAAGACGGCGTTGTTCAAAGATACGGAAAGTTCATCATTAGAGGGGTTGAAGGAGAAATGAGTATAAAAGGAGGATGGCATCAGAACTTGCTTGGGTTGATGCCCTCCGGGGTGGCCAGAGGCCACTGGTACCTGTCGCGAGGCTCGTAGACGTAGCCGTGCTTCTTGACAAAGTCGGCCAGGCCGTCGGGACCTCGGGAGCCGTACGGGTAGAGGGCGGGCTGCGGGCCGTTGGGGCCCTCGAGGTACTGCAACAACGGGGTGAAGAGCTTCCAGCTGACGTCCAACTCGTCGTCACGGACGAAGTTGGAGTGGTCGTCCTCGAGACAGTCCTTGATGAGGGACTCGTATGCCTGCGGGATGTAGAACTCGGAGGAGTATCTGTCCTTGTAGGTTAGGTCGAGCTCGGAGATGGACACCTGGTTGGCGACGCCGGGGACCTTGATGTTCATCTTCAAGTACATGGCCTCGTCGGGCTGGATGCGGATGACCAACTCGTTGCGGGCGGAGTTTTCGTAGATGCCTGTGTGGACGGGCTTGAACTGGATGCGGATCTCGACCTTGCTTTCGTCGAGGGCCTTGCCGGCCTTCAAGATGACCGGGACGCCGTCCCAGGTGTCGTTGTGGACCTTGAGTGCGATGGCGGCGAAGGTGATGGCCCTGGAGTTCGGGGTGACGGTGTCGTCATCCAAGTAGGCCGGCTTGGAGCCGTCCGCGGAGCGGGAGTACTGGCCCACGAGGATGTCGTGGACGTCGATGGGCTCGATGGCCTTGAGGAGCTTCACCTTCTCGTCGCGAATGGACTCGGAGCCAAAGTCCTTGGGCTTGTCCATGAGCAAGAGGGTGAGGACCTGGAGCAAGTGGTTCTGCATCACGTCGCGGATGATGCCGATGGAGTCGAAGTAGCCGCCGCGGCCCTCTGTGCCGAAGGTCTCCTTGAAGGTGATCTGGATGGAGTCGATGTAGCGGTTGTTCCAGGAGGAGCCGAGACAGGTGTTGGAGAAGCGCACGGGGATCAAGTTCTTGACCATCTCCTTGCCGAGGTAGTGGTCGATGCGGAAGAGCTCGTCCTCGGACCACAGCGGCGCCAAGTCCCGCTGCAGCTGGCGGGAGCTGTCCAAGTCGTGGCCAAACGGCTTCTCGACAATGAGTCTGGCGTGGCCCTTGGAGCCCGGGTAGCAGTACTTCTTCAAGTTTGTCGCCACCACGGTGAACACGGACGGCGGCAACGCGAGGTAGTACAGCCGGTGCGACTGCGCCACCCCGCTGGCGGCGTCCAGCTCGTCCACCTTCTTCTCCAACGCCTCGAACCCGTCCGGCTTGTCGTACGCGGACCGGTGGTAGCTGCACAGCGCAAGGAACTCCTCGAGCGCCTTCACGTGCGCCTGCTTGGTCTTGTCGTACGAAAGGAACGGCGTGATTCTCTCCCGCAGACCCTGGTCCGACAGGTCCGACCGGGCGAACCCGATGATCTTTGTCGACCCTGCCAACCGGCCCTCCCTGTAGAGCCCGAACAGCGCCGGGAACGTCTTCTTCTTCGCCAAGTCCCCGGACGCCCCAAACACCACGATCACCGTGTTCTCGTCAAACCGCTTGTTGTCTGACATCCTGTGTGCTGTCTGTCCTGTCTGTTGCTGGTTGCTGGTTGCTGGTTGCTGGTTGCTGGTTGCCTGTTGTCTGCGTTCCGCCAACCCTGTTTGCTGAGCGGCAAAAAATTTTCAGCCTGAGCTAAAGATGACTACTGTGTCTGAGGATCCTGCTGAGCCCACTTGCCACTTGCCAACCCACACTGCATCTGCATCCCCGTCTCTTCCGCAACATCCTCCTCTTTCCACCACGGGGCACCAGCCCTCAGGCCTCTCTTCAACCACCCCTGGCCCGCCTCTCCCTGGCCCTCCTCTCCCTGGCCCCGTCCCACCGTCTCCGCCGCCCCCGCCGCCACTCCGAGCAGACCCCGTCTGCCTCGCCTTCGCTCTTGCCCGCTCTGCCACCGGCCCCGCTGCCGCCCGCCACCCATCAGCGACAGCTCCGGGCCGCGCCTTCTCCGGCCAGCACGCCTCCGGCGCGGCGCGGCCCGCACTGCTCCATGCCCGCTTGCTGCTGCTGCTGCTGCTTACTATACCGGCTATATGCTACTACACAAGCGTGGCCGCGCTACCATCCCGCCGACGCGACGGCCACCGCGGCCTCGGCGTCGGACTTAGCGCCCGTGGCGCCGGCCGCGCTGCTCGGAGCCCGCGCCAGCACCACGTCGTCCTGTCCGCCGCCGTACTGGGCCAGCCAGCGCTGCAGCCGGCGCTGCTCGTCGTCGGAGTCGGCGGCCCACGCAGGCACCTCGGCGTAGCGGGCGCGCGCGCGGGCGAGCCAGGCGGCGGGCGACACGGGCGGCGAGCCAGTGAGCTGGCCGCCGCCGTTGATGCACCCGCTCGGACAGGCCATCACCTCGACAAAGGGACAGTTGCTCAAGTCCACGGCGGCGCGGGCGGCGGGCGCGGGGGCGGCGGCGCCAGGGGCGGCGCCAGGGGCGGCGCCAGGGGCGGCGGGGCC